TGGGTCCTAATTCTATACCCGTGGGAGCTCCTAATCCTAGACCTCCGGTGGGTCCTAATTCTAGAACCTCGGCTGTACCTAATCCTATACCTGCGACTGCTCCTAAACCTAAAACTCCGGCTGTCCCTAATCCTATACCTGCGACTGCTCCTAAACCTAAAACTCCGGCTGTCCCTAATCCTATACCTGCGACTGCTCCTACTTCTAGAACCTCGGCTGTACCTAATCCTATACCTGCGACTGCTCCTACTTCTAGAACCTCGGCTGTACCTAATCCTATACCTGCGACTGCTCCTACTTCTAGACCCGTGGGAGCTCCCCGTGAAAGTCCCAGAATACCCACCCCAAAGAAAACCCAAAATGTTATTATGGAAGGTAACTCCGCCTCTAATGGTTCCCAGAGTCCCAGAATCCCTACTGATGCTGAAGTTGTGAATGCAAGAACTCAACTTGATATTCTGAAAACTAGTAGTGCCAAAGAAGATAAAGAAAAAAGCGACCTTGTTGAGTCTTTACGCCTGAAGTTTGAACAGGCAAAGAACGCAGCCAAGCTACCACAGCCTCCGCATTTACACAATCAGGCCATGCAAGAGTTAGCACGTGCTAAATCAGAATATGATCGAGCAGCTAAGGAATTGGGGAGACAAAGGGTACGTTCGCAAATCCGTTTAGATGTTGCGACGGCCAAAGTGGATTTGTGTGTATCTCGTTTCAATCTAGAGAGCTTAAAAACACGAGTGGTATCAGAAAACAAAAGTAAAGAAGCTGTTGTGCAGTCACTACGTCAGAAGGCTGCACAAGCAAAGAACGCAGCCAAGCTACCACAGCCTCCGCATTTACACAATCAGGCCATGCAAGAGTTAGCACGTGCCCAAGCAGAATATGATCAAGAGGCAAAGACATATGGCAAGCAAATTGCACGTAATGAAATCGGTACCCAGAAAAACACCGTCACAGTAGACTGGCTCAACGAGGTATTCGAACGTCATAATAAAAGATTAAAATATCTTTTAGAAGACCAGGAAAAGGAAGCTAAGGCAGAGGAAATGCAAGCTGAAATTGATCAATTGAAAGAAACCCTAAAAAATCAAGGTCCTAAGCAAAACATCAAAAGCTTGGAGAATACAATAGTGAACAAAGAGGCAGATCTGCAATCACTACGTGAGGAAGTGCTGAATAAAAGACGTCTAGATGAACTGGATCTACTAGTACGTACGAAGAAGATAGAATGGAGGAAGTCACTTGTTGACCTGGAAACGATACGCCTTAATAACCTTGTGAAAGATCAATATATGGAAGCAGATATTATGTCAGATAAAAAGCGTGCTGAACAATTACAGAGAGATGCAGCCACTAAACACGACCCCGGAGTTATAGCACAATTGAACAGCCAGATAGCTTCTACGAAGGCCGGGATAAGCCGAAAAAATAACGCACTACAAGCGGAAAGACATCGATCAGAAGTCGAAATCATGTACCACATTGCATTATCCAGATGGCGCTACAGTGTTATGGAATTAGAGCGGTTGAAGTTGTCACACCTTTTGGAAGAGAAAAAACAAGCAGCTGAAGTTGAAGACATAAGAGCAAGTATTGCACAATTAAAAAGCAGTGTCCCTGATGCACGTGACAGTGGAGCGATGCGGCATTGGACTATGCAACTTAGGAACAAGGAATCTGAATTGAAAGGCAAGGAAAATGAGCTCAAAAACACGAAGGACCATGCGGAACAAGATTTACAATCAGCAAATGCTGAGGTCGACAATCGTAAAAAGCAGTTCGATGTTGCGGAGAAAAAGGAACAGGTAACAACCGATGTGAATCAACATAATGTAGCAAAAGTTAAGACATCACCACTCGTCCTTGAAAAAAACCAAGCCAAGCCTGCTACTCAACAATCAAGTAACTCCAACAAACTAGTTCCTACAGTCACGCCTATCGAAGCCAAGCCTGCTACTCAACAATCAAGTAACTCCAACAAACTAGTTCCTACAGTCACGCCTACTCAAAACGCGAAGCCTGCTACTCAACAATCAAGTAACTCCAACAAACTAGTTCCTACAGTCACGCCTATCGAAGCCAAGCCTGCTACTCAACAATCAAGTAACTCCAACAAACTAGTTCCTACAGTCACGCCTACTCAAAACGCGAAGCCTGCTACTCAACAATCAAGTAACTCCAACAAACTAGTTCCTACAGTCACGCCTATCGAAGCCAAGCCTGCTACTCAACAATCAAGTAACTCCAACAAACTAGTTCCTACAGTCACGCCTACTCAAAACGCGAAGCCTGCTACTCAACAATCAAGTAACTCCAACAAACTAGTTCCTACAGTCACGCCTACTCAAAACGCGAAGCCTGCTACTCAACAATCAAGTAACTCCAACAAACTAGTTCCTACAGTCACGCCTACTCAAAACGCGAAGCCTGCTACTCAACAATCAAGTAACTCCAACAAACTAGTTCCTACAGTCACGCCTACTCAAAACGCGAAGCCTGCTACTAAACAATCAACGCAAGGTGGAATCATGAAGAATTTGTTAATGACTGTCGAGAAGGATGCTCTGAATGTTGAGAGTGATGGGGAATCTTCGGATAAATTGGACACCAGAACTCTGAAAAACGTTACTAAATCTGAGGATATACGAATTGCTAATTCATCAGCAACCATTAAACCTCATATGCAAAGAAATGGATCATACCGCGGCGCAAGTGTTGGTGCGCTAAGCTCCGACGCTGGAGCTTCGGAAGCGCCAATTAACACCAGTTCTAATTTTGCGAAGCAGGCCACGAATTCAAAGCCGCATCTGACGCAAACAAAAGTTTCCAGGAAGAATACACTTGCCGAGAATACCAGGAGGGGCGATCACGTTGGCACGTTAGCAACGGAAGCTTCTTCTCCCCTGACACGCAACCTAAATGAGACCTCAAACACGGATGAGGTATTTAATGAGCCAAACTCATCAGAAAGACATGCATCAAACGGTATAATGATAGCCGGGGGTGCAATTGGCCTTCTGCTACTAATAGGGGCCGGTGCAAGTGCCGTAGCGTACGAGAAAAAAAGGTATGTTCTATTGTAAAGTATCACTAATAACCAATACAGAGCAAGTACTAACCATAAAAAAGAAGAAGTAAGTTTCGACATATACAAGGATTTAGAACCTCAACATGTCGAGACAGTGGTTAAGATCCCTGGAAAGCTTTGGGCTTAACAAAATGCTTTCTGGATGCGTATTCTTCAAGCTTTATCAATGCTAGGATACGCTACGTGTAAAACTTTAAAATATAGATTCCGTAAAGCGAGTCTAAACCTTTTTATTTTGTCATTAAAATACGCCTTTGGAAGTTTCGACCCGTGTAAATCTATCGAATTTTTAGTGTCACTTAATTATCTGCAATCCGAATCAGGCAGAGCATCCGATGAGTCGACACAGAAGTTTTCACAATTGATTCATCATTACGCTGTCTAGGGCCTTACAACACAGGACTACCTGGGTGTAAACAAGACCGTATCAACGCATGGAATCCGTGCCGTAGTCACGAGTAACTGCATTAATAGCTTAAAAACGTGGTAGTTCATTAAAATCATACACCGAATGCAACAATGGAAGCATCTAGAATAGAAGTCCACAAGAAAACCACTTCATACCCACATTGCAACAACAAAATGAATGCTGAATTGTTTTGCGCTAATTTGCAAAAAAAAACCAATGTAAAGTAGTACCACCCGTGGAATGGATTAATACCGTGCCGTTATAAACAATATTTATCAATAATTATCTTTAATAAAGTTATCTCATGAAACAAAATACAATTTCTCTTTTTGCGACGTCGTCTACTAGGAGAATAACGTGACAGGTATAACTCTGAGTGCATGCTACTCTCCAGTGCGCCAAAATGAAGAATATGCCGAATAGCAACATTAATCCGTACATGAGGTATGATATTAACTGTAGCCAGTGTGTGGCAATAAACAAGATCCTTTGACAACAGACACGGTATACGAATTGAATGATGGCTTTGAATAGTTGCGTTGATGATCTACCTCTGTAGTTGTTGAGTGGCTGATATTCTTTATTGCCACGATACAACTTATAGGGATCTGAGAACGCAAATCCATTTTATACAATTTAGCACTTTCTACAAGACATTCACAAAAGTGAGGCATGTCAGTTGCCAGTTGATTCCCTTGCTGGGGACACCGAGGAGATCTTAGACCTGTTTGTTGCCGATATGGATATCAACTTTCTTGGCTGTGATTATGAGGATACGTCTAATCACCGCGCTCGGACGCTTGGTCGTCTAGCTTCTATGAGCTTGTGGCACGGAGACTGCCGCGTGGCTCCTCTCCTTCAGCTTTCTGGGGGACATTGGAAGACACACGAAGGCGGGGCAGCCTCATTTTCACCAATAATTTTTTAATGTACCTTTCTAATAGTGGTCTGGCTGCGTATTCATCCACACCTGCAAAATGTTCAGGATGTTCCCACATAATCTCAGTGACCAAATGCTTGGCAAGTGGTTCGATGATCACATCAAAGATTTTGCCATCGCGTTGATAAGCGAGGTGGAATTCAACATAGTCAGTGAGCTCATAAATGCCATCATGTTTAAGTCGGTCACGAAAGCCCTTGGGTAGAAGTTCAATGATTTGATCCAATCTACCTTTTGCACGTTTCCGACTATCCTCATCGATATGAGAATGAGGTTTATCCTCCTGCGATGTCACTGATCCATCCAAAATGCTTACTTGCGGCTCACAAACTGAGTCATCGTGACTGAAGTCATCATCATCGTCATCCTCCTCCTCCTGGCTACCTTCTTCCTCATTCTCAAGATGGCTACCTGCTACATCACCTGCTGCAATTGAAGCAGCGTCGCCTTCCTCATTCTCAAGATGGCTACCTGCTACATCACCTGCTGCAATTGAAGCAGCGTCGCCTTCCTCATTCTCAAGATGGCTACCTGCTACATCACCTGCTGCAATTGAAGCAGCGTCGCCTTCCTCAGCGTCATGCTTGGAGGCTACAGTTGAGGCAACATCGTCATCCTCATTGGTCTCGTGGACAACCTCCTCAACCTGACTACCTTCTGCCTCAGCTTGTTCCTCGGTGTCCACATCCTCTATTCCCATGATTTCGAAAATACGTCTCTTGACACTTTGCCAGTCGAAAACTCCGATGGGTTCCCAGACACGGCTGTAAATAATGTCGTCAAACAACTTCCTGATGCGTTGTTCAATGTGATGTTTCTCATACTTGTTGTTCAAATAGTCAACAATAGGGGCGAGCAAATAGTGAGGGAAGGGGCTCGTTCCCGGGTAAAAAGCGAGATCACTGGCTGCATCCCTTGGGAGATCGCTAAGTAACTTGCGTTGAAGATGGCGAGCGACTACGTAAGCGAGCTTCTTAGGCAACTTAATTTCGCCTTCAGTGCCGGCATACATGGCAACTAGCTGAGCCACATGGTCTGGCAATATGACACGAAGTTGTCCAAGAAGTTCCTCGTTATCTGAAACTGGGAACACAATGTCATAGGGTTCCATGTCCTTAAGGTATTCCATGTCACCCTCGAAGTAGTCCGAGGTGTTGCCGCTGACTACGGTGGCCATAGCACCAAGGCCAAGAATCAATTTGGCTATCTTGCCAAGACCGAAGTTGTACCTAGCCATCTTGGTGAGTAAGTTAATTGTCTTCTTCGAAATGATAGATAAAGTACATAGATTGTTTTTTTACAAATACGTATCACTGAATATAAATTCGGTGGTACAATTATGCGAATGATGAGGTAAATTGTCTGTCTCTATGCACGCTGCGTTAGGAGGGGTTTGGGTATACCTGACTATACGTTGCAATATCACCTGTAAATATACTACAAAGCGACACAATATACTTCACCGATACTGTCACAAATAACTATGCCTTCGCTCTCTAGACACCCAATATTCTATGCGCGTCGGAATCTGTAGTGCCCAAGAGAATTACATGCATGCAGACCACTGCCGCGGGAAAACAAGCCACAATGGCTCGTGATAATTTCGCCAATACAATACGTATGGACCTATTGGTCACAATCTGCTACCATGTATCTAGTTGGTGCTTTAATACTCGCTCTGTTGATATTATCTGATCAGTTTCAAGGTCAAACTTTAAAGAATAAAATGTTGATACCGCGTAATGTGAAGGTTCGTACCGTCTATTTTATTCTAATGAACTCACATGTTATTTGTGGTTGGCTTTTTACTGTACCGAAGCCGAAAACGCTGTAAGCGGGAGGCTGGGGTCCTACGTCGCAAATAACCAATAATAATTACCACAAAGATAATTGCAGTTCAGAGTATACCATTAGCTCATATTTGCACCAATGAATTGACAACTAATCCGTGGTATAGGTAGTTATCATGGCTCGTGCCGTGATGCGCTAATTGGGCACGGTCGCGACCGTAAGAAAACTGAACTACAGAAAATTGACCTATTACCATCCTTGATTACGCCCAAATTAGAGCCGTTGTAAGCGCTTACATCAAAATTTGGCTGGAGGGCTTCCCCCGGCATTAGCGAACACGACCAATTGATACGAGGACTACTGTGGTTGACACAACATCCAAACAGACCCCTTTATATTACTATATAAAATCATCTGCATCCCGCACCGTCGTGGCGCGAGGACAACCCGAGAAAATACCGATACCCCTGCGAAGTAACAAACTAATATTACATTAATTTTCAAAATGTCATTCTGGGAGTGGTATTGTTGGAGCGTGGATATACGTCCACCATGCCACTGTCGGACACCGGGGAAAGAGACGCTCTAGGAGTGTTCCGGTATATTATGGTTTCAATCGACCCTTTACTTCGGTCGACTTTGCTCGGAGGTGTCCTGGGCATTCCGAATTGTGGTTCCCTGTTGGTTGTCATTTCAGGTATGGGCAGTTCCATCCCATGTGACCAAGCCTGTGTTGGTCTCTGCATAGACAAGCATGGGTGCACCTCTGTATTTTGAGTTTTAGCCGACGGCGAATTTTGCATCTGTTGGTATGTAATGGCTGTTTCGCCACAACTATCTTCTGTCTTTATAATTGCCTTTTGCATCCTTTCCTGGGCATCTTGTCTATCCGCCTCACTTAGGGTATCGAGGTCTACTGGTCTCGCACCCACCACCTTAATGTTTTCGGCAATTGGCCGCGCTGCAGGTTTGAACGTTATATGATCGTGTATAACAAAATATGGCTTGTGTACTGGTACATCTACTATCTCAGGTTCACCTTGGTAATGATAGACAGGAGTCACCCTCTTCCTCACTGGTACGGCCACTTGCACGTCACGATACTGCGGCACAATATAAGGTTTGTCAACGTACTCAATTTTGGGAACGTTGTACGGCACGGGGATATCAATGATTTTTGGAATTTCACGTATGAGTTCCACGGTCTCTACCTTTGGTACAAACTTGACCTTTTCTACGGGTACATCCCGGTGCTACATATAATGAGGTGAAAACATGAATAAACTACCTCTGTAATAGGCACTATACGCTCTTGTTCGATGATCTTCCTAACAGGCTTGACCACATGTTTTACCACTTCCCGTGGAACTTCTACAATTTCCACCTTCTCCACCTCCTTAATAATCTCTTCGACCTGCAAATACTGTGGATAACATGATATCTACCAACCTCTTCGTATTCTTCATATTTATCCACTATCTTGATGACGGGGACTTCTACATATTTAGGAACGACCTTTACCTCCACCTTTGGCATATATTTGACACGTTCCTGTACCTCCACTTTTGTTACTGTTTTTGTGATTTCGTGGTATTCCGGGACTTCAACGATTTTATCGGTGTAGTGTACTTCCGGTACCTCTACGATTTTGTCTACATATTTAATGTATGGCTTCTTGACAATGCTTTCTATTTCCTGAATCTCCTTTTTAGGCACGTATGTATCTACGTGGTGCACTGCCGGCACCTCTACCACTTTGTCTACAACTTCAATAGGTCGGTACCTAGGTACCTGTATAGTGTCGTACCCCTCGTGAACAAATGACGTCTCAGAGGTATTTCCGCACTCCACAGCACGTGAGTAATCCTTGACTGCAGGTGACGCGGTTGCGCTGCCTCTAGTTACAGGAGATGTAGTGTCGCTCTTCGTTTGCCATTGGCTGGTAATTTTAACTGGCGAATCCATATGTATGCTGATTGCTGATTCTACCCCCGCCGTAATAGGTAATGATTCGTTCTTCAAAGAACCCTCGGGCACAGCCACAGTAGGAGTTGTGCAAGCTGGCATCATCAGAGTCCTTAGGTTGGGGCTGTGTTCATTTAGTTTTGTGTTTTCACGTATCTGCGTGTGGGTTATAAAATTCTTTGGTCGTTCTGTAAGAACTGGTGATCCTTGGTATAATGTTCCCAGAGAGCCTGCAAAATATCCGCCCCTTGCTCTTTGCAGGGCCGAATATGAAACCGATTTCTCTTCGGGTTGGTTATTGTCTTGCTCAAGAAGTGTTGCACTATCAATCGTCGTGTTATCAGCAATGCCTACCCTATCGTCCTCTATATCCTCAAGGCTGTAAGCCTTGGTGATGTTAGGGCCGAACTGGTCGTCTTGGTCCTGCTGAGCACTGACGGATGCGATGGAGCATGCCGCCGTTGGGCAGTCGTAAAACGAGTTTTGTGTCTTGTCGTTTTTGCCCACCGTATACTCTTGTTTCGTATGGTGCTGAATGTCATCACCCGTCGTGTGTGCGCTTTTAGTTTCGAGAGATCCAATAGCATCCATTATATGCGGTGTCTACCGGTCATGTCAAATAGTTGTCCTAAGTAGCATCGTCAATATACCCTGCGTCTTCATTAGTGGGGGTATTGAGATTGATTTCTAACCCTCCTAATCCACAAATATTAGTGCTACTCATGTACGGTATGCAATGGCGCTATTAGAAAAGGGTAGCAACCACAACATGTTACGCATTGATAGATAGATACAATAGCCAGCATTTCCTTCATGTTACGCCCCGGTACGCGCACGTACGTTTCTGTGTTGTGGCCGCGCCGTGACTTGAGGATCGTATGCTGGTTCAACGACGTGATGTGTAAAATTCACCTTTTAAGGAGACTATGTGTTGATTGTTAGAGGGGGTACGGCGAATAGATTCGTATATGTACTCTTCATAGTACGACTAGATTACGTTACGATCACTTGAGACTGCGGTACATGGCTCTTCCCGGCGAGGGGTGCACCTGCCACCGGGTGATATTACCAGGTGCAAGCCCGCAAGCACAAGGCTTGCCTGGCCTTGAGGTACCACGCATAATTTTCAATAAAGTTGCTACGGGGTAACGATTTGAGCATCTTGTCTTTCGCACACGGAAGATCGCGTACCAACACACTAGGCATTACAAGTGCATTTGCTAAAGATCATGCCTGTTGTCAATATTAGTATAGACAAACGTTATACTACATTTTTTGATTTCGCATTTTAGTCTGCCATTGATTTGTGAGCGGATTCGGGGTGACAATTTCCTAGGGTGGGTTCGTTTGGCAAATTGCTGTTGGAACTATTCGAGCGATTCCCGAAAATTCCAATGTAACTCTATACACGTGTAACTCAAATTTTAGTACCTGTTATGCGTGTCTAACTATAGAAATCTTCATTGGGAGACCTTTAGGTGGAGTAGGTGATTACTACCACGTAATACTCCACCTTGGAGTATAGCGCTGTCTAATTGAATTTCCTTTACTAAAACAATAATTTTTACATTGTTGCTGTTGGATTGATATGTGTGATGTGTGCGTATATTCCCCACATGACGCACGAGATTCCTATCCTCCTTAAGGCAGTTCTTGCCCCGCAATCATGCTTCACGCAGCCACGCGTGGCCATAAAATACAACTGTCATACTGGTATTGTGATTACAATTTGAGTAGGGTTATTATTCTGCCCAACTCCTCGGTGTCTAATCTTCTACTGTGATTCCACTCTGGATTCGTGAGCAGAGTATTTGGCTTATTCTTGAGCGTTCACTTCCCAATAGTGGCGTGACATATTCGTAAATATTACCGTCCTTCTCGCGGCGTAGTACCGGAATTGCGCGCTAAGATGGGGTCTCCTTCTTACCTTGTCTTGGCCTTCCTTGCAACACTGTCGTGTCTTTGTGCCGCTAATGATGTCGACAAGCTCGTCGACAACCACCATTTGGATGTGGTGAACCGTCAACTGAGTGGCGTATCCCGCAGGAAGTTCATACCTAACGGCGATGCGACACTGGCCGTTGCCTCCCTGCCAGTATCAACCATGGACGACGAGGAGGATGAAGACGATGATGATGACGACGATGGAGACTACCACCATATGCAATCGACTGTTGACAGTCCCTCAGCTGTTACTGAGGAATTAAAAGCTGAGAGTGACACAACTTCAAACAATCTGACGACCAATGATTCTTCGACTACCACGAGCCAGGGGCTACTAATGAAGAGTCTTCCATCGCACAGCGAGTCCACTTTGGAAGCTCCACGCAGCACAATGGAAGTCATTGGATACTTCTTCAAAATTGTAAGTATTCATTCATTTTTTTTTTGCCTCCGGCGTGCTGTTGGTTGACGTTATTACGTTATCAGCTTATTGTGAATGTGCTATTGTGTTTTTAATGACGGTGCTATTCGACCGTGTTTCGCTATTGTTGAGTTGTCTATGTACGGTGCTGGAAGTAGGGGACGTAGTATCGCCGTAATGCACAACCTCTTTTTGTTTATAGCAGACTAACCTTGCTTTAGATCGCTGAAAAGTTTCACAACAGCATGAACGAGTTTTTCGAGAACATAGACAAGCAGATCAAGGCGAACAGTGCACTGCCTTTGTTGGAGCAGGGTGACACCTTTTTCTGAATACATCGCCAACCTCAATCTACAACTCTTTAATTTAGTACGTGATCGTTCAACGGTTTATTTATGACCAAAGCAGTGTGATCGGCAGTGTGTCAACAGCGCGCGCTGGCATTCCTCGTTGTTAGGGCGTGGCACTTGTAAGACCTGGACCTAACGGCACCATAAGCCTGTCACATTAGTTCCTAAATGGAATCTGACACACATTTTATGTTACCTCTAAATGCTATAATTGGGCTCAGCCGCAGAGTGAACTAAAACACGCTCTCGCGTGTAGGGTCGACGGTTGATATGGCACAGTCTCTCTCACTCGGAAATAAATTGCCTATCATTTATACCCGTTAACGGGGAAGATGTTGAACCTTTTGCCTAAGAGGAGTCCGGCCTGTTCGCTCCTATATGGCAAGACCGGTCTCCAGCGCATCCGCGTCGGTAAGTGTTACCGGATCATGCGCGCCAATAAGTTGCAGGGAAAGACAACAAGGTAGTGGAGATCGATCGTAGCACGATCGATGAAATGTACAAGCATGCCAGGGATGATGTTGAGCTCCACAATGATTTTGTGCCAATGAAACATCGCAAATACATGGAATACAGGTAAGCAATTCCAACTTTTAATTGCCACCATTAGCATTTTAGGTTGGACGGATATCACTTGATTGAGGCTTTTGAGAATCCTGACAAATGCCACAAGTCACCTCTGGTAGGAGCACATTTTTTCGACAAGTTGCGTGACACTTATGCTGGGAAACTCCAACAGACACACGCCAAAACATTGAAGGAAGTATCTAAGATGTTTTTCAGCTACCCTGTACAGGGACGAAACATTAAAAACTAATTATTATCGCGATTCACAGTTGCTATTGTGGGCATCTTTGTCGAATGAAATTGGCGTGAGAGCCGTCTAATACGCTGCCACTGCCGTTCGTCGACATTAGCATCTTTCGATGCCCGTTCTACGGCTCGGGCCACGATGTGCTCCAATTTTTCAGAGCCATTCTGCAGGTAAAACGCAAGTTCTACGACATCTACCGGTTTGAGTTCATTGTGATGATCCCAGAGCATCTGAGCTATCTTGTAATTAAAATTTTCATCCAATATATGGATGTCACAAAGGTTGTACTTCTGGTATATCTCCAAGAATCGACATAGGTCACGCACAGCGGGCCCATCTCGACTCCCCTTGTCCGCCACATACCTCTCTATCGCACTTTGGTAAAGCTTTGATAGACGTTCTACAATAATTCGGATTTGACAATCGATCACTCCGCTCGATACCACATCAGAGTCATGTAGCGATTGTGATTTCTGCCGAATTCCTTCACTAGTGTCACCGGGTCCAGCAGGGAGAGCTGCAATGAAACCCAGCAGTTCGTTCATGTCATATGCATTAACGACGTCGATCAAATGATCAGTATGTATCATTAAAGAGGTCAGCATATCCATGAAGCACCGGTTGAGAGTGGCGCTCCACCGGAGCGATTGCAATGAACTGAGAATAGCAATGGATGCCGTAAACGTTGCGGGTCTGACTATGCTTCTTGGATCTTGTCTAAGCAATTGCGTCATAATCGAGACGCATCTAGTTATTGCATGAACGCAATCATTGTCTCGATTAGCCATACAAATTTTACCCAATTGACTGACGATCACGGATAGACCTTTGGTGTCAATTATATTTGCGGTTTCGTTTTCGTCTAGCAGAGCGTATATTCTTCTCAAAAGCAACGTCAACAACGTCTCGTCACACCTAGTGGACAACAGAATGAGACATGCTATGTCCTTTAGGTTCATTGAGTTGGTATGTTTTTCAGCTAGTTCACGGATAACCGTGTTGAGGGACGCAGCCGGATAATTCCACTTATAAAATCCATGCATTATCCTACAAACACTCTTCACGTCGTTCATATTCAAGTCATCCAGATCCATAAGCTGCAGTGCCACATCCGCAAGGTACAGAAGCACCTCCTTTAGTGGATCGTTATCCTTTATGGATGCTACAGCTGCACATAGATCCCGCATGCTCAGCTCTATAGGGCTCTCATCGAAATATTGCATTTTATCAACGTTATCTGTAGTTTCCAGAAGTTGCATGAATATGTCGATCGGTGTATGGCATTGCTGGGACGCCATGGAGTAACCGACATTGGTGCTTGGCATTCGCTTGCCTACTTCCACGTCTATTTTGGTTTTGTCAGCCGATTTTGCTCTTATAGAACAGTATATTGCGAAAACGCTACGCAAATCGATGGCACGAACTATTGGTTGCATCCTAGGGTTGCGGCATTGAGAGTAGAGCGCCTGCAACTGCGTGACACCCTTGGTGGTCAGGTATGGAAGTGCTTGTGGCACACATTGTATAATTTCGGCGTGCACAGTCTCGCAGGTACCTCCACATGTTGCACATCGTCGAGTTGCTGGGATATCCAGCTTACGTGTTACATTTGCCAGCTTCTGGGCGAGTACTGGTATATGAAACAGATGATTTGCAACCAAGAGTTTTGCTCGTTGAACTATAGGCTGCAGCTTCTTCAGAATCTGTGACCGAGGCTCAAACTTCCTCTCCCTTTCCGATACCTCTGCAGCTAAAGCCTTGAGGATCCGTATAAGGCTCTGGAAGCCCAGCGGCTCTCTCTTCTGACCGTTACGCATCCATCGAGATATATATTAATTGTGTAATACGGGTGATACCGCCTTGTACTGGTGGGAATCAGGCCGCGATACCACGACACCCAGAAGAGTTGCCATCAGCACGCGTGCCCATGACAGTCATCTTACACTCAATATATATGCACATTTAAGAGACGTTTATTGTACAGATGCGAAATGAAATTTAAGCGGAGTGTTATTGTGCCTTCGCCTTTCTCATGGCAGCCCTGGCGGCGGCTCTCGCATCCTTAAGTCTGAATCTGGCCAACTGGCGTTTGTTGAGCTTGATCACCTTTTTAGAGGGTTCGACAAACTTTGGCACAGTTTCGTCTTTCTCTACGGCGATAATTTCCACGTGGCAGGGATGTGACAGAAAGGGGATGATCCTACCGTGAGCACGGTATGAACGCCTCCTTCCTAGGGGTGCCCTGTTGACTTGGATGTGTTCGATGTGCAACAGATCGACATCCAATCCTTTAACCTGAGCGCATATTAGTGCATCGTTTATACATATCGGTGCCTGCAGCACTCCTGAGTCATGCAAACATGTCACCTCTGTCAGACAAATGCCTCTATTAATCATACCCACCGAGCCCGCTGGCATCACGTCCGGTCGTGCGTAGAACACGCATAACCATGGCTATCCAGCGAGCGGGGCTTTCAGGGGCACCGAGAATGGGCGGTGGCCCCGTCATACTCGTCATCGTATCATCATACTAAAGGCTCCCAATTGGTGTAGGGATACTTACCTCAGCGTTCGCCTGAAGGTTGACCAAGAGGTCAATTAAGATACGGCACGACTTCTCTGGCCATCTACCTTGAGTGTGTTTGAACTGTTTTGCCTGGGCACATCGTCCTACACCTCCGTTGAACTTGCGGAAGGGTACGCAGCGCTTGTGGTCAATAACATCCTGTAGATATCTCTTTGCGGCAAGCACTGACATTCCACGGATAGCTTCTGCGGTCTCGTAGGTGTTTTTGAAGTGTACACGTAGATGTGAACCCTTGGCTTGGGCGCACTTCGAGATGTTCGAAGGAGCCTTCGAGTACTTCACCATTCTGATAGCTCTGCGGCGGTATTACAACATTGCTTTTGAAAATAGATTCCAACGACCACAATTCGGGAATACTTTAGATAAGTTGCTTTACAATACACATATTTTGGTTGAGGGTTCACAGCTCACCGCGTTGTTCACCTCCCATTGACCTTGGTCACAGCACACTGTGGTAAGAACGTACCTCTTTAATTCCGCGATTTGCGAAACCCCAAATTAAATGAGCTATATTTGATACCTAAGGGTATGGTTTGTGACTTATGTCTTTATATCTACGGGATTTATGCCGGGGCCGTTGGCCTACCCCATTATGGGCTGCCTCCAGCCACCTTCGACCGTTCACCAGTTCCTGTTTCTTATACTCATCTGGCAATGGCACAGCTGATTAGGGGGTGTCATTGTGGGAATATATTCGGCGATTCGATGTTATGCGTTATCATCGGCCCTTGATGGGAGGTAAGGTACCAGAAGCGGTGTTTATCGCGACAATCCCCTCGGTTAGTCCGTTTACAGGCGAACATTGATGTAATACAGTGGTATTCCGTACTGTATGGCTTTTATTGACCGTTGCCGACGTGGTTTCATACCGTAAAGTTCGACTCCTCCATTTCAATTAGGTTCAACAGGAGTTACGGTTTGTATCACTGGCGTTGAATGCGCAGTATGACACGCATTGTCAGAAATATGGTTCATTCATCATTGTTACTTAACACATCACAATGCCAGGCGACAGCCGGTTTCCGTTTATTCGGCCGGAGCGGCCTGTATAGCTAGTCTCACGATTGAAAGCGAAAACAAATAGAAATCATTTCTTCGTTGTACAATATAGCGTACATCTGCCCACAAGTCTCATTCATCTTTGTATGCGGGTCCTGCGGGGGTGTGACGCGCTGGCTTGATGGCTACCAATAAGTCGCGACGTTACCCTCCCACAACCCTCAAATACAGATGACCACCTTTCTAATAAATAGAGCATACTGTATTAATATTCTTGACCTATTCTACGAGTCGCTCTCGTCTAATTGCCTTGTGACGGCGGCGTGTACCGCTCAGCCGTCACTTGGCCGCCGTGTTTCAACGGAAGTTGTTTGAATATATGGCAGTCAATATCAGATATGCCTGTTCTTAATAATCAAGTGTCTAAGCTGGTGTCTAATGCCGAGATGGCGTCTTCGGTGACTCAACCTCTGGCCGCCGCTGCCACGGCGAACACCTTTACGAATGTTATCCAGCTCGCTGACCCTTTGGATGATTCTGATCGCTGCACTCTCATTCCTGGGATCTTCGGGATATCTATTCAGGTACTTCTTTGCGTCATATCGATCGTTGTCGTATTCTTGAAGTATGTATTCGAGCATACTCGACGACCTCCCCTGGTGTTCTTAATGGATTTTGTAACTCTTATGTGCGGTTCGGGAACCGTGCATGTTCTTAATATATTATCGTCGATTCTAATTCAACGTTTTCATGCCGGTAGCGGAGCTGATACAGGTGACGAGTGCAACATCTATTTCATGACGACACTGTTCGACGCCACATTTGGGATCTACATTGAATACCGTATCGTACGATATTTGGCAATACGTAAGGAGGCTGAACACTACTTGGAGCTTACACGGAAGTCCGTTTTCAATCCTACGACTGAGGAAATGGCGGATGCTACACGAATCGCTACGGTAGCCCTTTCCAAGGGTGTATCAATCGGCAATTATTCGGGTGACATAGAAGGCTCAGCAGTTGAGCATCTGGATGATTTTACAGCATTTGGCGGTTTACCGCATAACGCAGAAAGATTTGGTCGTTGGAGACAGTTTGTCATGGTGGTGACGGATCCAGGTCAATGGTTGTGCATTATGGCGAATAAAAAGTTTTTCGACAATCTTATATCGTGGTTGGCTATTGTATGCGGACTTAAGGTGTTCAGCATAACATTGTTCGTTGTATTTTCGGGCACCGTCAACTCCGTTGGTGAATTTATACTGGGATTTCTAAACAAGCAGCACACAATGAAGCTACTATTCGTTATGATTGGAGCGCCGTTGGTGCTCAACGCGTTCCAATACTGCGTTACTGACTCTATTATCAAGATAAAGAGCGCGGAACGATCACGTTTAGCTCCGGATGCTTAGGCGTATGGACGTGACACTATGCAGTTTGTACACGGCAATATGTGTATTTACTTTTGTTTTCGCTGTTTGGCGATAGGTAGGAGACTGAACGACACCAACAAAAGTGTTGGTTAAAAAGATCATTTCGTTACTACTTGCGACCTCGCATCTCTCTTCGCTTCTTTTCTTTTTCTCTCATGAGCCTTTCTGCCATCAGCTGGTCGTCCTCGCGCAGGACAACGTTGCTGTTGACATATTTGTTCAAAATCATCGAACTCTGATTGAAAAAGGAGTATGAGCTGAATGAGTTCATTCCAGCCCTGACGAACTGTTGTCCTGCTCCGCCCTGCGTGCTGGTTTTTGTATCGTCGTCGAAGTAGTCTGGAGGGGCCTCGGTATCACGGGGCTGTGGTGAGGTGGCGAACTTATCTTCTGCCTCTTTCACTTGGCACGTAACACCCTCAGGGTTAAGTCTCAGCATAAGCGAATGTTTAGATATAAGTTTTAGCATGAGCCTGATATAAAAGGCCTGTCGCTGTTTATCTTTTGGTAGCTTCACCGTGATGGTGCAAACACCGTCTCCTTCGCCACTATCCTTTCTCAGGTCTCCTGGGTTTTGTATGCGTGGATTGAACGTGACCGATACAGAGTATACAAAAAATTCGTCACGTGATACGAACTTTTCAAGGTTCATTGCGGTGTGCTGTGCTGTTTTACTGACGTCCCCAGAGGAGGGGGTCCCGTCTACGGCTGCATTGCATTAAAAGCAGCACAATTCTACCTACCTGATGCCTTTTCACGGTCGTAGAAGTCACATAATGATTTGATATAATTGTTGATGTTCAGTACCTTGTGCATGATGCGGTCTTTGATTACGGAGAGGCCGCATGCTCCGTCATCGCCTAAGACATACTCCTCACCGATTTTGACCAGCCCAACGAGCAGCGTGAACTTTCCACTGCTAATTTTGGCCTGTGTGTCGTCCATTGTCTGAGAGCGTCACACACGCCAAAAGGCGCCTTATTTTACAGATGTGTGGCCTGCGCCAGATCCTTTGGGTCTCATCGGCTATGTATCTCAGCGTTTAAGCTTTATTTATGCCGTCATGGGTGAGATAATGCCGTGCGACGGCAATACATATGGGGTCTGGCTCGACGCTAGTATATGCCTCTATTGCTACGGGGGTATGGCTAAAATATTGACGAGATTAAGGTGTCTACATAGTAAGCCCGCCTACGGACGTTCACTTGGAGATCATGAGTTTTACGAACTCTTCGTAGTTGATCTTTCCGTCACCATCTACATCTGCTTCCCGGAGCATTTCTTCGACTTCCTCGTTAGTGAGCTTTTCTCCGAGGTTGGTCATGACATGTCTAAGCTCTTGTGCACTGATAAAACCTGCAGAGCGTTAAACATATATAGGAATAAGGGTATCGCTAATATCCGTTGCCGGCACTCTTTAGTTTTCAATAACACCAATAATCACGTCATAACTCACCGTTCCCATCTCTGTCGAAAACCTTGAATGCTTGCACTAATTCCTCCTCAGTGTCACCCTCCTTCATTTTCCTAGCCATAAGTATAAGGAACTCTGGGAAATCGATGGCACCACTTCCACTGGTATCGATATCATTGATCATGTCTGCAAGCTCAGCTTCGGTAGGGTTCTGTCCAAGAGAACGCATAACAGTGCCCAATTCCTTGGTAGTGATGCCTACAAGATTATATACTATGAACATTATGACTGACTTCCGTCGCCATCCCTGTCGAACAAAGAGAAGGCCTCCTTGAACTCAGCGATTTGCTCTTCACTCAACTGATCCGCCATGGTTCTCTGTAATGAATATGTATGTCTGTGTAAGGTATATTTGCATTGCGGGGACACTGTGTGCTGGTACACACCGTGCCTTGACGGTAGCGGAATGCGTGTGCTTACCTGTTTGGAAGGCGAGGAAGAAGAATTATAAGAGCAGCGCAAACGAATTGGTTTTCAATGTCTGGGTTTTAAGTACAGACAGGGTATGTGACGGTTGCGTGAACCTCTTTCAAATTGTCGTGCGGTTGGCGGGTGGGATGCGTAGATGGATGCAACAGCTGTAAGGTGGGCTCTTGCCAACCTAAACCGTTATAAATCCATTATAGTATCTGAATGTCCCTTATGTAGCCGTCCGAATGTGCCACTAGACTTCAGCCTACTCTCACTGCGGACACATTAAGCCTTATTCGTATAAAGGGTATCAGTTAACGAATAACGTGCTTTGATGCCATCATTTTACTGAATTACGCTCTACATGTGCCACGGTTACCATTCAGGCATATCTTAACCCACTGAGATAGATGAATTGCAGATGACTGGTCGCGCTTTATTCCCAGGCACAGTGCCGATGATGAGCGCTAATGTTGGAGTGTATGCAATATATGAGGTGTGCCTTCACAAAACTAATCTGTTGCGCTTGTGTGTAGATTATAAGTGTACGAAGGATACAATAATCGTTAGTTAGCAGACCAGCTAGCCCATGTTACGCACACAAAAGGATAGTGGCATGACATAAAAAAATATTCTGACCCAGAATAGTCGCTACATAAGTTGAGAATCATTCGTAGCCGGACGCTGGTTTCGTAATAGTACATGGGCAACCCGGTCGCGTATACTGTGCCACGTACGCCCAAAACACACATAGAACAAAAACACATACCAGGAATATCATAGTGGTCACCAAAGAAAACGCGACTCCTCCTGCAAGTTCTGGCGGGTGTCGCACCCTGCGACAGTGAGATGATGAATGAGGTGTCACTATGCCGAGAGGCTTTCTGACACGCATGGGGGACACATTCAGGTTGCTGTAATTCCCTCTAGACCGAATCGTTCGTTGTTCAGCGCGGCAGCGCGCGCTTTGTGTTGTTGACGGTCGCTGCCTCTACCGTCACCTTGCAAACGCGAAGCAATGAAGGTCATCGAATTTCGCATACCGCTGCCAATCAGCTTGGAGGTATGTCGACGGATAGTATGACAAGATTTTATCTTCGTACAGATGTTCCAGCGCTGTGCCTTGTACCTGGTCGCGCAAGCCAGTATGAAGGAAGTTGAAGGCGGGAGTGCTTTCGAGATTGCGACGAATGAACCATACGAAAGAAACGGAACAGTTGGAAGGCATACCGAAAAACGATATCATTTCGGGAAGTATGTTACTCTTATAGCATCACAAATTCGCCCAGGAACTTGCCGTCATGGCTACAAACACTTCTCGGAACAGAACTCACAGTAGTGAGTGAGGAATCGTAAGTGCACACTGAGTTGGGTCCATGTGTTCGTAGGTGGGCTACGTATCCGTACACATTTACCAAATACTCCAACAAAAAACTTACGTCGTTTGAATTCTCATTCGAGTCAATCAACATTGAAAGTCTAGAATACAAAGACAATGCACTTAACCTCAATGCGAAAGACCTGGCTCGCCGAAAGGTGGTTGTTTTGGACTTGACGGGCTTCAATAAGTGCAAACTTTATGATGCCGCCTCAGACGTGACTCTCAACACATCGCAATTCACAAATGTCCTACCTATTCAGCAAGGCTGGATGGATGAGCCGGGACGCACAGGAATGGTGTCATACAAGGTACTGAAGGTCGATATACCCTATTTCGGGTTCTTGACATCCAGGGTCGAAAATTATCTTGTTAACTACCTACAGGACAGACTGTTAGTATACCTGTCTCATGCAATGTGCGCCATTGATGAATGGTACGACACAGACATTGAACTGTTGCGAGCAAAGGAACAAGAATGTTACGACCTGTTGAACGAAAAGTTCCTGGAGCAATATGGTAAGATGGCAAAAGCCGGGACCACCGGAGCGGTATCACAGACTTCTCTCAGAGATGCAGACTCCCAGAACTACGAATCGGAAGAACAAGATACATCGACTACAGAGCAAATACATCAAAGTGGACGTGGTACTTCCGATGAGCCACAAACGCTTGCGGACAAAATGCAAGATGTTCTAACTGAACAACATACGGATACATTAGCTCCCAATATGGTTTATCGTGCCACAGGAACGGATATGGAAACTGGTACAACTATTGTAGGACGCAGGAGCACCGGAGACAAGAGCCAAAGAAGCGACAGTCGCTGGTCTCCTTCTGCTGTGACTATCGATAGTCATATTGACGAGGACGAATTTTGGGACTGTTTGGAAGAACTAGATGAACATTCACCGCCGTATATGCCGAAATCGACATTTCAATCGGCGTCGCCGGCCGTTTCAATCGCCAGTGATGACGAATCCAGCAGGTCCGACGCAAAGGACCAACGGGAAGCTGAACCACAACTTGACGAACCCGAGCCTGCCGAGACAACTGAACCACCGTCGCCCGCTCCTCAGAGTGAGGCTGACTCGGTTAGTGAAGAGCAGGAATCTCATACGCTGGAGGATGCCGATAACGAAGCGGACGAGGGAGACAATCACCCCAGCCCACGCAGCAGTTCGGAGGCACCCACGTCGGATACCGATGGCGATGAAAGCTACGCGTCAACTGATTTGGAAGCAAAAATTGCTGAATACCCTGAACCCCAATCTAGCGACGAAGACGACACATCTCCGGAGCTGGTTTCTATGGGAGGGAAAAATACACCATTGATTTTCACAGGATACCTTCACAAATTGGGAGGTACATTATTTTACCAATGGAACGTTCGCTACATTATGATACGCGACGGCAACATGTATTATTATGACAAAAGTGAGGACACGGAACCGAAGGCAACGATATCTTTGGCCGACGCACGCATTAGTTGGGTAGGCGATTACATGAGACGATCAAATGTGTTCTCCATTACAACACGCACCAAGCGCATATATCACTGGAGTGCTGATAATCGGTCAACCGTTAAGCGGTGGATCCTGCTGCTCCAGGTGCTGTCAGAGGAATCACCGGAGCTGCTGATCGACGATTTGTCGACTGAGTACCTCTATCGCGTCGGGAAGCCAAAATCGGATGGCGGCAACTTGGTACAACCGGTTGAAGAAAGGTCTGATGTTATCTAATTGATACGTCTCCATTCTCCGTTTGTACCGGTTACCGCCGGTCACATTAGCATACGGCAGGCGTCACTGCCCTGCCATTGTACATAGACATGAGTAAAAGCTCGCACTAATAGATTACCAATCTATACCGTCATTCAATACAATGTTTCTGCAAAAACGGAGCACCCGGTAAAGGAACGCTACGAGGTACACGTCACCTGACAGGCACGCCGACCTATGTCTGGTGTGGGTGAACATGGTAACGAAACATCAGAGCTCTGTATTACACACTACTGTGAGGCATCCATGAGGTCTCTGCAAACGCAGCGTACTTCTAGTGCAAGACTGGTAAATGCATCAGTGGTTAGACGTTTCGTCTTAGGTTCCCGATGATACCTTACTTATAGTTGTGCTTACGATAGGTATGATTACTCGTTCACAGAGTCCTGAGCTCATAATCGAGCTCCATAACGGAGACTGAGGTCCCTGCCTTCTCGTCGAAACCGACCCACGCGCCCGTGGCGTCAAATTCAATATCAGGTATGACGGTACCACTCTCGCACACGACTTCGTAACCACCACGCGGATACCACTTAGTGATGTCGATGCCCCTGCAATCGAAGGCGCCTATGCAGGTGAACGTATTCGATTCCGTGATGGCGTTTTTAGTAACCCCCTTGATCGACTTTATGGTGATGGTTCCCCTACGGCTTGATTCCTTGAAAAAGATGGATGCATGGACGACATTTCGTGTATTTTCACTTTCTACTAATTGTTCGTCGCTGATTGTGACGAAATCACGTGTCTCGTCACCAACAGAGTCCTTTAGGGCGAAGGTCCAGTAGTGTTTCTCCGGAACGCGAACTTCCGCAACATTTTCCAACTGGGCACGTACAAAAAGCCCAACTACCACCATTTCATTCAACTATTTAGTCACAATGTTTGTCTTGATTTTGAGTTTGTAACGTGGGCCAAAAAGGGGCACGTTCACCTACCGTATCCAGGAAGCTTAACGTACTTCTCGAGTTCCTGTAGAACAATGTTTTGATTTGAATACACGTTTTTAGTGCTTGACGTACAACGTGAAAAGATGTGCTACGGTACTGGGATGTAGCAGCCTTGCCCGTCGTGTGTGGCACTACTTTCCGCCCACAGGCGCCATCCTTACGGTTGTGCACATCCTCAACACACTGCCACATAAACTTACCGAATCAGAGTCTAAATATATCACACATTCTCCTACTGACTCCGGTAGGAAGGCCATCATAACATACAGAAGACCCCGAGTTGTCCATCCAGAACGGTGTACATAGACAACACCAAGATTGCGTAGTCTTCTGTCCCCAAGTACTTGAAATAGATGAGTGGCAACTGTACAGACATTCGAAGATGCCATGATGGAGTGGTCTGCTCATCGGTAAGGTGAAGCTGTTGCCGGGATTTAGGCTTACCCATGTTACGAAGAAGCACGACAAACTTGTTCTGGATGATGGGTTGCATAATACGCAATACATAGGCGACCATATGTGTATTACTCAATCCGCTGGGTATTTTGGATGCATCTATTGCGATAACTGGTCTCTGAGCAATGTCGCGGCCAAGGAGCATGGCAAATCCACTGTCGTCCATCTCTCGATAGACAGGTAACTGCATGAGGGACAGTGACAGCCGATAATAGTAGTCAAAATCATAGTCTTTGGCTGAAATATTTCTGTCACTACCAACCCTACAGTTGTCACCGAAGTTGGCGAGAACAGCACTCATTTGTGTTCGCTCGTTTCCACTGTCGCCGTCGTCAGCTGTAGCGGTCTCGCCTGCAAAACCTTCAGATATGCGGATGCTCCGCTCTTCCTTCACAATCTCTCCATATTCGTTCCCGGCCTCGAGGAGCTCTCCGCTGAGGTGCTGCATGGTAATGAGTTCGGGGAGTTAAGAAATCACCACATTCCCAACTTGGTTAACGTGGAACCTTAAAGTTTAGACATTAAGTGACTATAGCGCGAATGGCAACGGAACAAACAGGTCCGGTTTATAACCATGTATGCGGGACCACCAAGACAGTCTCGTAAGATCGTCGATGACCTACCTCTTCAACCTTATCACGAGGGAAGAATCGCCGCATAACTGAGTAGACCTCTGCATCAATTCCGAAAATAAATACACGACGTATTTTGTCGGCGACCACTGGCAGTTCGAGCCATCGCCTCACTGAGCGTAGTACCGCCGTTGCGAACTCTTCGTCGGGATATGTGAATTCCCTTCCCATCATGAGAGAAAAGGCCACAGTGTCAACTCCAGCATCAATAGAGGCCTTTAGAACTTCCCTCACACACATGTTGACAATATTGGCTGACGCATCCGGATACTTTGTGGAATAACGTGGTGCGATAGCGTAGGCGACATGCTCACTGCCAATGTTGTAGCTGCGCTGCAGCATTACGTCTCCGCATCGCAACCGGTTAAATTCATCATGTGGCATCGGTTTACCACTTTCTGCGTGGCATCAAAACTGTTTACTGGCAACTCACGGATCTGGATCCTCCTGGCCATCCTCGATGCATGAGGGGACAATTCGTCAAGGAACACGGCGATGGCACCAACTTCAAGCTCCAATATATCACAAGATCCGATGTAAAGCTTCGAGTTGAGCTCTTTGTTGATGTAGAACTTAGGATGCACGTCAGCTAAGGGGAATGTGCTTATTAGACATGGACAACTTACGGCGAGTGACTTCAGCTCTACGCCACTTTTCGTAACCAGTCCACGGTTCCATCTTATCTTGCGGTACCTTCTTTATCGGTCGAATGGACTCTCTGGGTACGTACTCATCCCAGTCGGAGTCGATCAGTTGTCCGATCTCGCCTACTACCCAGCAGACGGTTTCTGCTAGGTCCGCGACCGTTTGCTCCGTCATTTTACGTCACACCAATGTAGTATGCATACTTATAATGAAATTATGGTACACCTCAGGTGTTTAGCCTAGTTATGTGTTGATGTGTAAGCCTTAGACAGTCGCCGTGGTGGTCCGTGGCGCGCGCCGCGTTGGTGCACCTGAAGCTTCACGTGGATATATATAGCAACTAAACGAATAGACATTCACGTATCGTAACACAACCATTACCACTCTAATAGTTTGACACCCCGGAATCTGTGATTCGGGCGCTTTGTTCATTATCTCCTACCGGATGGTCCACCGGGGGACGCCTGCGGTTGTTCATCTAAGATCACTCTTGTGTATCATAGCATCTATCTGGATATGCTCCATCGCTCATATAGCTACCTTACGCATCCATACGATTGAGAGCGCTGGGTAAGCCATTTGTAACAAAAATTATCACGTTGCATAGAACCTGCTTCATTTCATGGCCCCCTTCATACGGACAACGTACCAACTATACACTGGCCGCGTCCAAGAAGAAGAGGGGTCACGAGCATTCTAGATCGAGAAAATACAGTTCTGACGATGAGCTGGACACAGATATTACGCCTACTGCAGTAAGCGAGGCTGACCTGGACGTGGTATTTTCCGTCCTTCGCAAAAAGCTGCATGAAAACGAGGAGTTTCTCCGTAGCAAAATAAGTCGCTTGACGCTGCATCGAGCCACACCGTCCCTTGTGGAATCGTTGACAGTAGAGCTTCCCAATGAGAAAAAAGAGAAGCAACTGCAGTATGCAGCCCGCATTATGACCGCAGGTAACTACGAGCTGCACGTGCTGCCTTTATCACCGGAGCATCTCGATGCGATTTTTGTGGCACTAAGCACGAAGCTAGTGGACTACAAAGTAATCATGATGCAGGACCGGGTATCAGTCGTTATTCCTTCAATGACTGAGGTGATGATTCGTCAAGCTCGAACGGTAGTTAAAGAGACATTACATGAGGTCAGGTCACGTATCCGTGTTGCACGCCAGGACGCCCTGAAGAAATTGAAATCATTGCACAAGGGGCTAAGCGATGACATGTTTTACCGACAACAAAAAGAGGTTGATACTACGGTGAAACAGAGTGAAAACAGAGTCGAAAAGGTGGCGAATGACGCCCTTCGCAGCCTGGGCTGAGACTCCCAATGGCTAGAAAACTAGTACTATAATAACGCATATTCTAGGCGTATTACGAAATTACTTTTACGCGGTCCACACTCGTAGCTAGCATGACCCATTTGTTCTTCTGTAGGATCTTAACTTGGTCGACATCAGCATCAACTAAATCTCCCTCTTTCAGGGTATTAGCTTGATCACGACTGCCCTCTGCAGAACGCACAGTGACGCCGAATATACCATATACGAGCAATGACGCTCTCTCTGGCAATGTTCGGACAACCTTTCCTACACGGTTTGAATCATCCATGCCTAATAACTTACCAAACATGAGCCCGTTTTGCGGAACGAAAACCAGTAGCTTGACGGTTATGCGCAACGAAAGGATACCTAAGCAATCACCATCAGTGACATATCCATATTTATCAAGTTGACAAATTTTGCCACAGGTTAACCATATCCCTCCCACATAGTCATTGTATCTGCACGCAATATTCATTGCCTGCAACTGTCACTTACTGCATAAGGAAATTCGATAAATAGACGTAGACACCTTTGAGTGGGTTCCCCAGGAATGATGGGTGTATCTGTACGACACCTCTGCATATAGTGAATGACTGTCAGACAGTTCGCGGATTCCTTAGTATGCTCATACGGGCTATCCTTGATAAAGTAAAGATGTGAACTTCGGGGTAGGAGCTGTTTGGCAGAAACGTACCTAACTTTGAAACCCTTTACACACGGCACATACTTTGTGCTGTCCCTTACATAGGAGTTTGCTTCGCATTCTTGCAGCGCCTCTATAAATGCCTGTAACAGAGAAGTGACACGCGTCCTAGTCCCATGGCTATCTAACAATTGCGATAAATCTGCGAACATGTATAATCTTATAGCCTGGAAACATACCTTCAGAACACCGTTCCGCCGCTAACCGAGCCTTCGCGAAGGTTACCGGTCGCGAGCGGAGGACTCTCCACGGAAGCTGCGCCATTCATCCTGGTCTTTGGAATCCAACACCCATCGGTGTGTACAAACAGGTATGAGCGCTTACCGCTCTGCAAAGCAGCGCCTCGGCAATCAACGTAAAACTTTGTGTGGCATCGCTGTTGCTACCAAAGTGGGTACGCGTGGGACCTCCTGGGCGTTAAGATAGAGCTCGCTGACTGACTCCTTTTGTAATATACACCTTTATCATCTCACATTTCTATATTTGCAAACGCAGCTGGCAGAATGGCGAAGGTTCGCAAGAATCGTATCGCCAAACGTTCGGCTGCTCAGCCGTTCCCAGCCTTTCGCGCCTCTACGGCGATCACAAATCCTCACCGTACCGGAGTAAAGGGCAAGAAGGAAGGTGTGTTGCGTTGTTTTGATCTTGACGTTATTTAGGGCAGTACCGCGACAAGGCAACCATCAAGCGTTTAAACATGTATCGCGACAAGCCAAACTTGGAAAAGATGCGTCAACAAGCAACTGAACCTGTACGAATTTGCCCTGATCGGCGCTGGTTTGGCAATACTCGTGTGCTTACCCAAGAACAGATGACCAATATGCTTACGGAGCTTGAAGAAGCGTCTTCAAACCCTCGAACGTAAATTTCTTTGAATATTTACAACGGCTGATGCAATTGCAGGCATATACTGAAACGCAGCAAACTTCCAATATCACTAATAAAAAATTCAGACCAGAAAGAAGACAACAGCAAAATACTGGCACTGGAACCATTCGAACAAACTTTTGGCTCGAAGTCTGTACGAAAACGTCCTAAGTTACTAGCATCAACAGTCGAGGAGTTAGCGGAGAGAGCTGCCAGTTTTTCGTATGATGCGTCCAAAGACACATACCTGCAGCGGGAAATGACAGAAGACGCGTCCGAGGAGGCGCCGCACTTCGTGTTCAAAAAGGGGACTTCTAAGAGGATCTGGGGGGAATTGTACAAAGTTATCGACTGCTCAGATGTAATAGTACAAGTAATCGATGCCCGTAATCCTATGGGCACAAGGTACGTTCAAGGTACCCTAACATCATCTGTTGCAGGTGCCACCGACTGGAGAAGTACATCCGTGATAATAAACAGAGCAAGGCTTTGGTGCTAGTGCTAAACAAGTGTGACTTAGTCCCGACATGGGTGACGGCAGCTTGGATAAAACATCTGAATCGCACGCTACCGACAGTGGCGTTCCACGCATCGGTTACCAACCCATTTGGAAAAAATACCCTAATACAACTGCTCAAGTATGTGTTGTTTATGTGCTTTAGTGCACAGTATTGTATTTTGACTGCTTTTGTAGGCAATATTCACAACTCATGAAGGACCGCAAACATTTTAGCGTTGGCTTCATAGGTTACCCCAATGTGGGCAAGAGCTCGGTGATAAATACACTTAAAGGGGAAAAGAACTGCAAGGCAGCACCGATTCCAGGTAAGTACATTGGCCCCTCGTAGTAAAATTTTTGTCTTGCCTAAAAGTAACACTATAGGGCTACTTATCTACGTTACACAGCTGTTACCGGCACTCTACACCCATATATGGCGTATCATTTTGCCTATTAATGCTAATAGACTTTTCAGGAGAAACGAGGGTGTGGCAGTACGTATCGCTAACCAAACGAATCCACCTTATCGATTGCCCTGGGGTCACGCCGATCGAGGATTCTGATGAAGCAGACCGCTTACTTAAGGGTGTAGTGCGTGTGGAACGTATCAGTGACCCAGAGAATTACATAGGTCGTGTTCTCGAGGTGATTTCAAGGTAAGTAACCCTAGCCGTAAACCTACTGGGATGAGTATCTTTGTTGCTTCACTGTGTCAACTACTGCATATGCTCTTTGTGTTCTACCGGTTTGGGTTATATGGACACACAAACACAATACCCTTTCCGGCGATGCAAAGACAATGCCCTGTCGCCACACCAACTCCCATTTCATTATCAGCTCTGTTAATATATGTGTAGAGACGTTCTAGTACAGCGGTACGGCATTAGCCCAGACTTCGATAACGAGAACTTTTTGGACCTTGTGGCGGTGAAATTTGGAAAGTTCCAAAAAGGCCGTGTACCGGATGTCTCTACTGCAGCGCGGATAGTATTGTATGACTTCCAGCGCGGTCGTCTACCGTATTACAGTGAACCTCCGCCAGCGGACACGAAGGTTGATCCAGGTGCGGAGATCAAGGACCAGATCGAGGAGTTAGGCCGCCTGCAGCTCGGAACCGAACACGCCGAGCCCATATCTGAGGAACAAGTGGAATCCGTCGTGGAAGGCGAAGTCGCATCTCCAGAGAATGAAGTCGCCGAGGCAGTAGCGGAGAAAAAACACCACGCGCGTGCCCACGCGGCACCCTCGCAGTTGGCGGGAATAGATTACAACAGCTTCCTATGTTAGCGTAACTAATCATGTATAATGATCGGTGCTTATAGTCGACTTGGCCTGTTACAGCTGGCAATTTCGATATACTCCGCTTTCGTAGACGGTGCGTGTAGTGGAATGTTTGGTTTTCATTCGTTGCCAGGTGCTTCCGCGTTCACGACACGCCCATCGTCTACTATTCCTGGCATTTCCCCTTTCATTCGTCGGAGCGTGGTTGCGTTTGCGAATCCCGGGACCGTTGAACGCATCTCGAACATTGTCGCCACTAAGTTCGAGCGCGAGGTAAAGGATATAGATCCTGACTGCCATTTTCTAAAGGTTAGCTTCAGTGTGTATCGTTAACATTGTGTCAGGAGTTCAAAGCTGACAATTTGGACGAAGTTGAGCTCTTGCTCTCAATAGAGGAAGAATTCGACTTGACCATACCAGATTATGACTTTGAAGAGCTACATACTGTAAATGATATAGCAAATTACGTGGATCGTAAGCTGGAGCGCAAAAACTAGCCCTGATTCTGTTCTTATACCTCACGTTGTTCTATCGCCTTTACCCATACTTCTACCGGTCTAAGGCTCATATATTTGCCTACAAGGCGCAAAAATACGATATACACCTTTTGTATTACCATAGAAGGTGTGCTGTGGGTAAATGTATTACACAGTTCTCGAAAAAGGGGAATCTCCAATTCGGATCTATTGGTCCCGGAAAACAACACTGGCATTGTCGTCAACTTCATCAATACTCAACAGGTTTATCACTAACCACTTTTACAGTGGTTAAGTTGTTGAATTCATAGGGGATAGGAAGGTTAGGTAGTTTTTGTGTCAATTCTGGTTAAGCGGCGACATCACGCGAAACCCAAGTCGTCACTTCTTCATACACCATTGTTACTGCCCATTACGCTAATACCTCAACTGCTTGCACTTTGTGAACAAAATGGTGAGCAAGGTCGTACAGAGTGGTGGCGATGACGTGTCGGCCATTGTTGTCGACCCGGGGTTTGACACCCTACGCATAGGAAACTGTCAAGAGGACTACCCAAGGGAATATATCCCAAGTGCATTATGCCGTGGAACGTTGCAAAATGAGTATTTGCCCTGGGTACCGCTGAGACGAGTAAGCCCGCCCTCGTTTGTAGAGATGCGGCAGCTGCTCCAGTATAACCGCGACGAGAACATCGAAGTTGAACCGTTCGTATTTGAAAGGCTGATTCGTTTGGGAATCGAAGGCTCGTCTCGAGAGGTATCTTCCGGTATGTTTCACGTAAATTGCGTTACAACAGTTGTACAGGTGACGGAACGGCAGCGCTACAGCGTACGTGTTTATTGTTTTACCTTTATTTGTCTCAGTGCTGGAAAACGATGAACTCTTTTCTACAAAAGTGGGTGGTCTAGGGCTAGACGTGCGGCAACATCCGATGTTGGTGAGCGAACCCACTGCCGAATGCAAACAGTTTCGCGACTCGACGCTCGAGATTCTGTTCGAACAGCTGGACGTTCCAGCTGCCTATTTGGCTAAGAGAGCAAGCCTCTCTGCATTTTCTGTTGGAAGACAATCAGCTTTGGTGGTAGATATCGGCGCAGGAGGCTGTATTGCATCACCTGTACACGAGGGGATATCGCTACAGTCTACCATAAAAACATCTCTAGTTGGCGGTAACGCGCTAGATGTCCAACTCTGTCACATTTTGTATGAGAGTGGACACGATTTTTTTCGCCCTGGTGTAAGTGCAGCGCACGATTATCACCGACAATGGGTTGCACGCGAGATTCGGGAATCTTCATGCTCGCTGACTGCCTCGGATGCGCAACAGTCGTACCGCCTTCCAGATGGTGATACTCTGCAGTTGGACGAGAAGGCACGCGATGTGCCACGATTCTTATTTTCTCCCGAATCGGCTACTGTCTCTGAATTCAACAACTTTAAAGGGCTCTATGGGATGGTCACAGATTCGGTGTTCGACACTGACGTCGACATCCGCCGTGAGTTGCTTTCGTCTATAGTTGTAGTGGGCGGTGTAAGCCTAACTCCGGGCCTTGTTGACGAGTTGAACAAGCAACTGGCACACGGCACCATAGGTCGTGCTAGCAAGTTCAAGTTAGTACATCCGTCGTCTTACAGTGAAGCACGTTATTCTACGTGGTTAGGAGGCTCTATTTTGGCTTCTCTAGGTCGGTTTCAGCAACTTTGGATCTCCAGGGGAGAGTACCGGGAGCATGGTACTACGATTGCTTACCGCAGGTGTCATTGAGCAAGTTGGACGGAGTCTTGGGTGGCTGTATATTGATTGTAGGCCTTTTAAGGGCTGATATTAATTTAATCGCCGTTATCCCGCCGGTACGAGGGGTTTAAGTCGCCTAAGCCGGATCTAACGCCTAGGGTTCTATGCGATTTAGCCGCCAATGTGTAGCGGTCAACGGCAGCATCTCACATATATTCAAACCAAAATAACTTAAATTTTTTCAACTAAACGTTACCGCCCACGTGTCGCCACATACAAGAAGGGCTCGACGAGTCTGGCGCACATTCCATAGAATCCATGGAGGAGACCAGTGAAACTGAAGAATGGCATTCGCCGGCAGAGGAAGACGCTGTGGTGAGCGACAATGTCGCTTCGAGCGACGAGGAGGTCAATGTGGAGGAGCTGGTGAGCTCTATCATGAAAGGCGTGTCGAAAGGTTAGTAGGTTACCAGCGTTTCACTCTCTAGCATCGGCTAGCAATATATGCGATCATCTTAGTGGTAATACGTTACATTAATGTGTTTTCAGCCTTTTCCACGGTCACTGCGAAGAAGGATAGAGGTGTAGGTCGAGACAGTGACTTTAGATTATACTTGCAGACCATTAAGACAGAACCATCGGATGCCCAACCGGTTACAAAAGTAAGTTTTAGATCGAATGTGTATTAAATATTGCCTTGCAGCGCACCAGTAGTGTGTCCATCCGAGCCATTCCTGACGAGGCGTCGGAGATCGAAGAGCGACGCTACAAAAAGATCGCTAACAATGGAGGTAGGTGTCATAACGTACAGATAGGTTGAATGGTAATCACAGTAATTCGACTCTTCGAGCTGCTCAACCAGTCGTGAGGCACGTCATCACGATTTTGGCTGGTTCACAGAATAGCAACGGTTCTTTCATGAATCATGGTCCCCAGTAAAAGATCTGAAGGGGAAATTGTTACCAGGACTACTGGAGTCGTTAATGACTAGCGAAAATTCAATTTTGACTCAAATCTAATTTGGTCGCGCTATTTACGCCACATGAAACATCTTTTTAGGTAGTCATAGTTACCACTTACCTAGTTGTTTGTCTATAGTTGTAGGTTATGTGATTCATTATGGCTTAACATGTCTGATTGTGACGCCTAACATGTTAGACATGGACGCGGCAAACACATGGAACAGAAAATATGTAATATTTGTAGTTTCATATTTAATGCTGTTATTGAATTTACATTAAAAGATGTTGATTATATTAATGTAAAAAGAATAACAGCAAACAGCTGTTTTGTAGCAACTGTGGTTCCCATTCGATCATCTAATGAATGTTGGAATCACCAGCTCCCATGTGTTACTCCAACTTCAAAGGAGAGGGTGTCTTCAGAGCCTCCTTGATATAAAGCCATAGCATGTTGCGCTTTTCCTCAAGCTCCCATTTACTGCGAAACATGCCGAAATTTTCCCTAAGCAAGAGCTTTACGAGGCTCCCAAAGACCAACTTGACTACGTTGGCAGGTATTGTACCGGGTGCCAATTCAGAAAGCCTCTTAAGAACACAGTCAGATACATGAATATCATCCCTTCCATGAAGATTCTGAAAAATCTTCTTATAATCTTTAAGAGATTCCTTTATTGGTGTATGCTGACTAACGCGGTCAAGGATTTGGTGTAGAGTAGTAGATTAGTTAAGCCTCGCCCACATTTTAAATCACGTATTTATCTAGTAACATTGTGCCCATCCGCATATTTGTGATAGTGCGGCCGATCAAATCTGTAGATTCACTGTTCGGTGAGAACACGACTTTTGCAAACCGTTGATACAATAGACGAAACGCATCCTTTACACCTTCGCTCCAAGCCACCGTTATGGTCATAAATATCTCTATTTTCGGTAGGGGAGATTCATTTTGGTGTTTGTTTGGGTCCTTTAGCCCATCTATCCACTGGTAACAGCGTCGATAACCGTGACTTCATTGTCCATTTCCCCAGCCGAAGCAGCATTTACTGCGCATACCGGTTTCTCAATCATCGATTCCTCTGAGTCACGCGTTTTTTCCATCGTCTCCGTGGTCTCCATCTCCCCAGTTGATGCAGCCTTCGTTGGTGTAGCTTGTATTTCGTTGGGGGATTCCGTTTGGGCATCCGTTGATGTGACTACTTTGGGGTGTGATTTCAGTAATTTGGCAAGTCTAGATGTAGGCTTACTCTCCGACCACCAAATTTTCGCATCCTCTGGAGAAATAAGGGCAACCACCCTGAAAATTAACTTCGAACACAGCTCCCTGGTTTGAGCATTTTTTCCACCCATGCATGGCTCAAGATGCTCGCTCAGTACCTTTCTGTCAACTTCCAGCAGCTCCTTGTCACTTAAATTGTCGAAGAATGTTAGCAGGCAACGGGTGGCGGCTGAGCATATCTTTGCGTTGCGATCGCACGCGTGTTTCATTAGTACCCATGCTAGATCTATAAATTCCAGGCGGTGACATTTCTCGCATATCGAGTTAAGATTTTCAATAGCCGGGTTTCGGTAGACCGCCTTTTCTGACGTACAGCATTTGAAAAGCTGTGGCATGAGCTTTACAGCTATCGTAAGTAGCAGGGTATTATTGTGAGTCGAACATTCCACTATACAAGCTACGAACATCAGCGCATTACGTGCGACTGATGACCGCAAGTTGCGTATGTGTTTGTTTGTATACTCTAGTATGAGGTCAAGGTCCTCACCTTCATGAAGAAGATCACTGTTGTTGTAAATGACCGTCTGCAGGTTAGTGAAGGCGATAAAGTCGTGATACCACTCGAAATTTCCGGACCCAGTTGCGATTGCCTTGATATACGCCACGCAGTCGTTAAAGATGGCTGCCGTAACATCCTCAGTACTAGTATTAACGTGTTTGCTTGTACTCGCTGCGCTGAGATCCTCCCCGTTTAGGTCTCCACAAAGGATACCATAAGGAAGAGTAACAGATGTCATATCATCTCGCGAGAAGAATTTGGCGACGAATGTCGGCTTGTCTTCAACTCCGTGTTCCTCTGAGTGAGTGAGCAGCGGTGCGGCTTCACATTCAAATTCTCTAGACATATTTGAATCCTGTTTGCTATTTTGTATCATTAACAGAGGTATGCCGTTGCTTCGCACGGCATTCCCAAGGCGAATGTATTCTCGTAAGGTCACCTTTTCCAGGTGGTTATTGGCATATGATATACCAACGTCTTTTACGGCTCTTACTATGGCGGCCGCGATGTTATATGTTCAGTTAAATACGTTTTTATAGCACTGTGCATTTATCAGATTCTCGATTTCCGCAGGTAACTGTAAGTCACATTTATCTGTCTAATGCGAGGTTGTTAATTAGTGACCAGTATACCTGCAGTTCTCTAAAGCAACATCGAACAAAGCAGTACAGCGCTGTGATTTTCTTTAATAATTTTTTCTTAGATCCGGATCACAAGATCTGAGTTAGTATACGGTATCATTTCAAAGGAGACAGATTCTTGATCATCAATTAAGCACGGAAAAAAATTCTAAACGTGCAAATATGGGTACTAAGGGCGCCATATACTAGGTTATTTCTATGTCTCGTTGCAAAGTGTCGATTGGAAGCTATGGAATGGCGCAACAAAAATAACACCTTAAGAAAACCATCACCAAAGCAAATACACATTAGAGTTATTGTTGCGTTCACATAACAGAACTTTCACGCAATAATGTTGCACATGAGCTCGGTGTTGCCTACGTTACCGTGTCATAGTGTGCGCTATACGTAGACATCTCGAGGCATCGACGGTCTACATGACCACAACCGAAGCCTCATGATGTGTGTATTACGAGATACATATTTATCATAGAGTTGTCAGGTTACACATCGATTCGTTTGGTAAACTCACGTTGATTTTGATAGTTGTGGCGTAGCTGGAAACGATTCGCATTGTATCGAAGCTGCTGTTACACCATTTACACCAGCGTTCACACAATTCTATCCCAACTTATAAATGCTGATAATAAAGGCCAAATGTGTGCGCAACAATATGACTGTTCTTCGCTGTACTGGTAACCCTATAAGGTACGTGCGCTGCGCGGTGGATGAAATCATCTTCATTTCGATCTGCAGTGCAGAATCGTAGATTAAACTACTATAACATCCTCTTTATCCATTTGGAAAAAAGGTGTGTCAGACGAAAGCGTCGACCTCGCTACTAACGCTATCCCACACATTGCCAAATTCGGTACTGTGCAGACCGTGAATTCTTCGGTGTGTACATTTCGATTGTGGCAATGACGGGGTTTGTGCTGGGCGATTTAAATACTCCAGCAATGGATCTTGGGAGAATGATCAAGACCGATGGAACCGATCTCTTTGCCGGATACATAGGAGCGGCACGTGAGCGCCTGCCTCAACTTGCAGAAACCGTTGTAGATACTTTCGGACGTGTAAAGGACATATTCGAACGCCCGATGCAGCTCAGGAAACCCGAATTTGATACTGAGGTGTTAAAGCCGTCACGCCAGGTCGATTTGGCCGAGACTCACCGCGCCTCTGACATTGAAGTCAAACCCGTACCTAAGCAGCGGATAAATGAGGATCTCCGCGTTGAGCATCTTGCTGATATCACAAAAGCGCAGTTCGACGCCACCCAAAGTAATAATTTGGGAAAAGTGAACAAACTAAACACTGAACGCAGGGTTACCGGATTATCTGCTTCGCCATGCGACATAGAGGCTCGTCTGTGTTCTGATTGCTATCTTTCGTTGGCTACTGTTCGTTGTGACTCCTGCGTCACGCATTTTTGTGGAGTTTGTGCCGTACAACGACACTCCGATGGTATTAATCAGACCCACAAGCTCGTCACTGCCACGTCAGGGAAAGAGGCACGGTTGACGGCGTCTGATGCTCTATGTGGCGATCTTTCTTATGGACAGATGGCAACACAACCATCGGGTAGTATAGTGGGTAATATGTACCAGGACCTAACAATCCAGATCCGACCTGGTGAGTCAGCCTTTCCCTCATATGACATGTGTGCTGTGCATTCGGGTCTACCACTCAAATTCGCATGTGTACACTGTCATCTCCTACCAATTTGTGACCAGTGTGCAAAGGAGGCTCACGTCGGTAACGAACACAAGGTTGTGGAGATCGAATCTGCGGTAGCTGAAGTCAAGGCTCTTCTGGGTGAATGCCTAGGCGCTGTGGTACGTCGCCACAACGACCTTTCGCTCGTTTTACCGGAATTGCAACAAGTTTCAGACACGGCAAACGCAGGATTGAAAAATGCTACACGGTCGATTCGTGGTGGGCTACAACGCGTGTTGGATGCACTAAAACTGAAACGAACACTTGGAATGCAGGATATTGTGAACATGCAACAGGTTGGATCAGCGGCACTTAATCGTTTGATGCACGCTAGTGGCGCCTTAAACAAGTATCTGCGTGGTTGCGTATCACAACTCGAAGCTATAAACCGTATCCAAAATCCAGGCATGGCGCTCAACATGTTCGTCGATTTGCGTGCGAATTTTGAAAAGATGCTATTTACTGATGAGGAGATACCTGATCTCGTGTTAGAGGTTCCACATTGGCAACTCCATTGTGGCAACCTACCAAATTTGCTCTCGGATCATGAATCGAGATTGAATAGCAACTTTGCTCAGATATCGGCACTCGCTTCGTCACTACGCCGACATGTTCGCGAAACAGTTAGCGACATCGAGCAGGTTTCTAAAGGTACATCTATAGGTCGAAACCAACCCGTTGTCTCACAACAAGTGCGCCGTTATGCCGAACGGCGTACTCGTCCAGCGGGACCAGCCGTATGGGTTGAGGGAGCGGAGAACACTTTGGATATAGTGACTCATGCTGAGCTGAAAGGTTTATTTTTGCGCCGGGATTCTCAACGCTGTGTTTGGAGGCAACGCGCAGTATACCTTTGCGGTGTTCGTTTATTTGTAATGGAGAGCGATTTCTTCGCCGAAGATGTGCCAGTGGAATCTAGCATTGACCTCGGTGCTGTGACTATTCGCAAGTTTAGCGATCCTGACGTCCTCCAGATTACCAAACTGCAGCGCATGGGTCATCCCAATGGTTTCGAGGTCACGGAGCACAACTCTGGAGCTATGCGTTATTGGCTCTTTACCTGTGAGTCAGACAAGACTGTACAGTTGTGGGTGGCGCGCCTGAACCAGGTGGCTCAGCATTTGCAGAACGAGCGCGATGCCGTTACACCTCATTTTAAGGAGCGTGAGCGAACTGACACACCGCAGGTAGGGGAGGCACCACCAGATGCTACCCTTCAGATGTTGCATCGTGTTACCTGTGAGCCAAGTACCACTGGTTTTGTAGCTGATCCCGAGGGGGAACATAGGACATGTGAGGAAACTCATGATGTCGAGTACATGTACGACGAGCAGAACTTTAAACTTGTCGCGGAGTCGTTACGTAAAATCAAGAACGAATCCAAATCTCTCTACAACAAGTGTTTCCGTGGTGATATCGAGGCTGAAGTTGGTCGTTTGCAAGTTGAGCGCATAAGCCATCATGCTGCATCCTTACCTTTAACCGAATCGTTGAGTCAAGCTGACGATGCGTCTATTTGCACGTCATCTCCACGGGAAAACGTCTCACGTACAGAGCGCATTTCTGTAGGGCGATATGCGATGCCGGAAATGCCGCTGCAACGCTCACGTACGTATACTGTGCGTACCAATGTCTTCCAAGACAACGAGGTGACACTGCCATCTGTACTGCCTAAATTCAGTTACTCACCGGAAGTCAAGTCACCACGTTCTATACATCGCTTTTTCTCTGATATGGCTAACAGGATCCGCAAAAAGGGAAGCTGCGATGTTTTAGACCGGCATTGAACCCACGAAGGGTTTTATTCTGTGCTGCATGGTCAAGTGGCTTAATCACACATCAGTCACTACAACTAATATATGATCGCAGTTAGTCGTTGGCTTTCTTATCGTGGCAGATTCTTGCCGCTGGGCCGTGCAGCTTTTCGCAAAACGCTTCTTCGTGGTAGAGCCCAGCGGTCGCCGGAAATACTGTTACCTCCATGGGTAGCTGTACACGTGAGTAACCTTGTATTATATATATATATATGTGCAGGAGCTACGGTTGATGCTAAGAGTAAACTACCCGGCGTGTTTGCGCGCCTGCGGTGTCTCTGTTGCGCGCGGAAGCTATAGCTGGAGCGATGTGGAAGGCCGTCGATTCCGTACCGAGTATGTTGTATCTATTGCCATCCATCATCTCGCAGCAATAAAAGACATGTCCTAGTGCCGTTCGAGGCGGCAGCAGCGGCGAGTAAGAACTTCGGTTTCCAAGCGATACGCGTATCACCAGAGCCTTCAACTCCACAGGTGAGCTATATATCTCTTGATGCTGTGTTTAACGACATGCTGTAGCGATGTGTAGATCCACGTGCGATTCCTGTGATCGCCATAGTAGGTCATAAGGACCACGGCAAGACTACGTTGATGGAAAGGTTAAGTGGTGAGTATTTACGTTTTACGTGTTATATTTGATCCTAGGCGAGGTGTTTGCGGCGTACGAACTCGGAAATACGACCCAGGAGGTGGTAATTAGATCGGCACTGTTGCCCACAGAAACCGAGCCCCTTCGGGCTACGCTTATGGACACGCCAGGTGACGAGTTGTTTGAAATGGTACGCGGTCGTGCACTCCACCTTGCTGATGTAGCGGTGGTCGTGCTATCTGCAGAGGGAGGTGAGACGCAGACTAGGGACCTCATACTACAGGCCGATCGGTTTCGTGTCCCTGTGGTATTTTGCATCAACAAGGCTGACCTCGAGTTTAGTGACCCTGAAGTGGCACGTGCAGAGCTACGAGCGCAATGCCTTAGGATGCATAGCGCGGGGTTAATCTCCAGTGGTATGGTGAGCAACGTGGAAGGCGCAGTGGCGGTGAGCGCCCGCACTGGTGCGTGTATTTCTTCGCTAGGCACGGGAATAGTTCGCACGCTTGCAAATGTTACTTTACCAGTAAACCCGGTGGTCATGAAAGACTGCTTTGGTGGAGTACCTCTCAGCGAAGTGGAGTCTTTCATTCGTAGGACCAACTGTCTTGTCAGTACTGGTGCCCCCCCTATCGCAATATGTTTCATCCTCGAGGTCGAGAGAACACATTCCTTCGGAGTAGTGCTGACCGTGGTGATACGCCACGGAGTGCTCATTGAAGGTGGTTATTTTGTCGCGGGCACCGAGTATGGCCGTGTATCAGGCATCTACCCATCGTATGGTCGGATTGCTCCTGATACCAAGGTTGAACGTGCTACAGTAGGACACGCTGTGCGTGTCACTGGCCTCAAAACAGTATCTGGCACCAGTGCCGATGATCTTCTGCTGACTTTGCCACAACATGAGGCATTTCGTCTGAGTCAGTACCGTCGAGACATCCAGCTGCTTCGAGCGAATCAGTTGGAGGGCCCACCAATAGATCTTCCGTGGGCGGTACTTCTTAAATCAAAAGAAGACGTTGGATACGATCAAGACACGACCACAACTGCCAGTAGTTTGGATGGAGAAAACACATCAGACGTAGCTGACTCCGGTGATGATGTAGAAGAGCTGGGAACAGTTTCAACTTCAATCTACCTTCGACCAATAGATGACGACATGGTGGAAAGCAGTGGCGATTTGGAAGCTGAGTTGTGTGCTACGGAGACCGATAAGGAAATACCCAGTTCACCGTCGGACTCAGCCAGTAGAGAACAGGAAAGGTATGAGGAGAACACTCCACATGAAGCTTGGGTTGCTGAGGTAGCCCAACGCAACGCGGAACTTCAAAATAGGTGGAGGGTTAATCTGAATAGGGTTGAACCGTCTGCTAAGGTGCCCAAGGCACATGGAGTCATATCGCCTCCCAAGGTAACCCTAGAGATGGGCAGGCCTGTTATACCTGTAATCCTGCGTGCCAATTTCGTCGGTTCGTTTGACGCTTTGCTAGACGGTTTCGAGGATCTGGAGCGCAAGTATCACGTTCGCATCCCGGTAGTTCACGGCGGTCTGGGTGCTGTGGCTCCGAATGATGTTGTACAGGCGGACGTAGGGAACAAATTTGGTTATTGCCCTATCTATGCCTTTCAGGTTCCTGTACTTACTGACGCTGCCAAGCATGCGGTGATCAACCATGTTACTGTGAAGCAGTTCAACGTGTACTCTGACCTCTTGGCAGACGTTGAGAAGCGGTGCGAAAGGGCTGTGCGTCTCGCCAATGAAGCTCGCGAACGAGAATTTTTGACCAAGTGACACAAGGGTGGTTAATAATTGTTCCATGTCTCTATCGGTTTCTATTTTAGGGAATGCTGGTTCGCTCTAGTTTATAGAACATGTACTTTTGCAATGGTAGTATCATTACACGTAATTTTTGCAAAAATCTGTTAAAGCATGTTGCGCCGTAGTGCCCACAGCCAGTTGCAACAAATTAAATCAATGTAGATTTAGGGTAGCACTCATACGCTAACTTCATTTGTACAAATTAAAGCCTAGGTTTACCTGCAAATATACATCTGTTTCGAGGCTTTGAGCGACATTGTAAAATTTTGCATTTTTTACTGATCCTCTACGAGGGTCTTAGGCGCTCGTTGCCGGATCCGTTCTGCCATTTTAACAGACTCGAAAGCATGTTGTTTGACAGCCGATATATAATCTTTGCCTGTGCGGCTGTCCTCTACTTCGTCGGTCTGTACCCTGCGTTCGTGTTCCTCCATCTGTTGAAGTCGTTCCTTTAGATGTACTTCCCCGTGTGACTGCATCTCCTCTAAGCGATCTTGTGTGTCGCTCGGGGCAAACAGGCTCTGCTGTAGCTTCTTACGCTCCTCCATTTCACGCCTACGTTGTTCGGCGCGGTCCTGTATTGCCTGTGGCGGCATGATGTCTTCGGTAACTCCGAAGGCGTATTTCAGGGGGTCGCATTTTCGCGGCACCTGAGGGCCAAGCTTACGCTTTGCAGTAGGTTCTTTATGTAAATTATCCGAGACTCTGGCAGGTACATCAGCTTCAATACTCCGCGAACCGTGGGAGCCCCGTGCCCGGCGGTCATTTTTCTTGCTAACATAACTATTACTTATACTTCGACTGGTTCTGTGCGATAGACTACGTCTATGTCTACCGCGTCGAAGGTTTGCATTATCTTCACTACTGCCGCTTGGGGACCTACGCACACGTCGCCTATGGTACCGCCTTCGTCTACCGTAGCTACCCCGGTCACTTGAATAACTCTCAGCGTATCTTTGGCTACTGTTGGAGTGGTGTCGTCTGTGTGATCTCCGACGTGCCATTATACCGTCCCTGCCTACAGCGCTGTCGTTGCTGTCACGGCTATAGCGGTGGCGGTTGTAATATCCCAACCTTTCATGTGAAATACTGGCTCTAATATACTCTCTACCCCGTTTTGAATGCTGATTCCGCCTGCAGTCACCCCTTTCACTAATGTCTCTATCACGTCGATCCCGATACCCGCGCTGATAATGGTAATCCTCTCCGCTGGAGAAGCTCCTTCTATCACGGTATTCATGATGCCTTTTGCGATCTATTCTCGTTGGATTGCGTGGGCTGTGCCTTTCGTGATATCCGTGTTTGATGCGATCATGAGATATGCTCCTCCTGGTGGAATGACGCCCTCCTCCATGGCTCTCACGGCCCCTATATTCCTTGCTCCGTCTTCGTATCTGTTCATCTGGCCTTTTTCTTGATTCACTTGACTGTTTAGACGGTGTCGATGCATTTTCTTTATGGTTAATCTTTGCGAGGCTTTCATATTTTTGCAGCACCTGGCGTTGGTGCATCTCTATCTTCTTGATGACGAATAGCGGGTCCTCTCTAAACTTGCTCAACGTATCGTCAACTGCCTGTCCTCCTGAAACATCGGCCAGCAGCGACCCAGCTGCCGTTTGATCGATAGTCTCACGTCCAAGTTCTCCACGCGCGCCTTCGATGCTTTTTCCTAGGAGGTACTCCTCCTGTATACTTATGCATATGGTGAAATAGTACACTCACCAGCTGATTAGCACTTTGTTTTCCTGCTGAAGGATCTGTGTAGAGCCATTCTAGGCCTTCGGCCTCGACACGGTTGCTCAGTGTCCATTGCCGATTATTATCCCTTACTAACGAGTCTTCTGTCCGCTCCTCCATTTTGTCACAAAAAATATACGATTATCAGCTTCTATGGGCGTGATATTGCATTAGTTATCCGCCGCATTTTGTCCGCACATTAAGCAAGCTTCATCGTTACGGATCACTTGCACATTTCATTAAGATTACGTATTCTGCACTATGAGTCGAATGCTGGCATGGTTTCGGCGTGGACTAACTCGTGCAGCAATTGTCACCGCTGGAAGGACGGTCGCTTCCGCTTCTGGCTGCGACTCCGAGAGGGAAACCACAGTTACAGGACGACATAAAGGGGTATAATGATATACTTAGTATTGTTACTATGTACAGCGTGTCTATCTCTGTGGATCTGTATCAGCACTTCCAGGAGGAACTGGTAGTCATCCTCTATTTCGAGGTAAGATGGCAGTATATTACGTTTTGTGAAATCACCCTCCAGATGCACGACACTGGCGATGTATCACTTTTGGGCCGACTTTCGGAGCTGCAATAGATGCTGATGGGAGGGTGTACGTCTGGGGTCAGACTTCAGATGGGACGTTCGCCCAGCCACGTCAACTGGATTGCATCGGCATGGTGGACTGCCATTGTTCTTCAGATGACATTTATATGCTTGGTAGAGACTCCCAAGTTTACGTCATTAGGGATATAAAGTGCTACCTCCAAGGACATGATTCAGATCCTGGCTGCCATGTTTCCAAGATTGATACCCCTGGAGGCACGAATGGCAATGTTGATGCTTTCAACAAAGGCGGTTGTAGTAGCGCTGCGCACCCACATTTGGAGACCATAGAAGGTTTATATGGTAAACGAATTGTGAGGATGAGCGTTGGAAATTCACATGCGGCTTTCATTACCGACAACGGGGAGCTCTGTAGGTGCCGATTATGCAACAGATCATCAATGCCATACAGACTGTACGGGTGATAATAGCTTTGGCCAATGTGGCAAGAAACCTTCAAATGTAAAGCACAATACCATTATCACCTTTTCTGAGACCAGCGACAACACTGCAGATCGCGTCACGCTTCATCGGGTATTATACGGCAGATAGAACGTTAAAAGTGAGCAGGTACAATTCAAGGATCCCAACACTCGCATAGTAGATGTTGTATGTGGAGGTAGACATACATGTTGCCTGGACTCTGATGGAAATGTATATACGTTGGTTTGAGCGTCTGTCATTTTAATGTTTTGGCAGTTTTGGCGACGATGCGAGTGTGCAGCTATTCCTTGGTGATACTCGCGGAAGGACTCTACTAGAACTAGATCAGTACAAAGCGTTTTCAAGTCGTGGCGATCAAGGAAACCGAAGCTATACCAAGTATACCCATATTGATCGTCACCTGCAATTCAACCCTATACCTGTAAATCGTGTAGGCAAGCTTAGTGAATACCAACAATTATTGAGTGGAGCGAAAGTGAGTCTAGCTGCGGGAGATGACTTCACAATCGTAGCTGCGACACCCACCGATGAAAGGTAGGATCCATCTATCGGTTGACATTATTTCAAGGGCCCGTGTAACGCATCTCCTCGCAACAGGAGGCAATCGCTTCGGCCAGTGTGCCAGTGTCGATGTTCGTATGCATCGTCCGAGGATTGTTAAGCTTCCTGGTTCAATTGCAGAGGGCAGGTTTGCGTGCGGGAACAGCCACTGCGTGGCAGCACTAGATGCTGGTGGTCTACTGGGCTGGGGTAATAACCAACAGAAACAACTGTATACAGACAGTAAGTAGCTTTTACTATGGTCTATCATCTTCAGAATGTGCAAATTTGACGGTACCAACTCCCATGACAATAACGAGATCCGGGGACATGCCGGCACCTGAGGAGACGCGCAGCATCAAGTTCCTACGATGTGCCTTCAATAATACGGCCATAATAACGCATTAAGATCGGTGTTTAATCGATAAGTGACGGAAAACAACAGTATTATATGTCAATAGATGTAGCAATATACAAGCCACCTAGGGGGCTCGAACCCCTGACCACCAGATTAAAAGTCTGGCGCTCTAACCAACTGAGCTAAGGAGGCTCCGTCGGGGTAGCTAATGTAAAGCTGATTATTGTAGCTCCAATATATCACATGTCGCGCGTCTCGTGAAGTTTACACATTATTTATTTAATAATGGGTGCCCTTGCCTTTTTTCGCCGTTGCTTTAGCCGTGGACCTTACACGTCTGAAAAGCGTTTACGCGTTCTTATTTCAGATGAGGAGGATATATATTTTAATTTGGCGCTTGAGAACACTCTTCTCAAGTCGTTTGGCATGGTGAAGGACAAGGACGCCGCCCCTGACTTACCTTTGCTCTTTTTATGGCGCAACACACCGTGTGTTATTGTGGGATGCAATCAAAACATCTGGTCTGAGTGTAACCTGGAGCGTGTGAAACGTGACGGTGTCAAAATCGTTCGGAGGTTTACTGGAGGTGGAGCTGTATACCAAGTAAGCATATATAAACTTTGGATTCAAAACTTTATATTTATTAGGACCTAGGGAATACATGTTTTACATTTATTTCCCCTGTCTCGGATTATAACTTCGAGAGGAACTCCAATTTGATATGCGCTGCTGTGGGCAAATTAATTGGTTTGTTTGCTATTAATTATTGATCTTTAACATCATTTTAGGTCAACTGTGTGAGCCTAGTGGAAGGAATGACCTCTGTGTCAATGGCCTGAAGGTGTGTGATCTGACACTGTATTGCCATTGATATGCTCTTTTGTTGACCCAGACCGGTAACGATATCCAGCTTACCAGCTGGATATCCCGTATCCAGGTCGTTCGATGCTGTGCGTAGTGATATACCATTGCTTTGTCTATATGGAACTCTCCCCAGTGACGTGTGGGCGTCTAACACTGGCAGTAACTTTACGCAGTTCTCCGGCGCCGCCTTCAAGGTATTGCCCAATGCAGCTCTTCACCACGGTAGGTGGCGAATATGCTGAATATAATAGCCAATATAGGTACCCTTCTCCTGGATGTGAACCAAGGTTCACTTGATAAATACCTTACGCCAGATAAATCCAAGTTGGAGAAGCACAATGTTAAGAGCGTTGGTGCTCGCGTCACAAACCTCTCCGCGTTCAACCCCGACATATCGCATGAAATCGTGAGACTATCTTGTTTGTAAAAATAATCTACGGCAGGTATGCAATGCGATAATTGAAGAAGTGTCAGCGTTTTACGGTGAAGTGATGTCGGATGTCGAGCATCTTAATGCTTCTTCTCCGTGCTGCTCCAGTGATGGGTTCAAGCAGCTTTACAACAAGCTCACGGTTCGTTTACACTTTAATATATGTATATACATTATCAGGACGAGAAGTGGATATATGGTGAACTTGCATCTGGTTTTAAGTCTCTAAAGAAGAGGTTTGATTTCGGCTCTGTCGAGATCTGCTTTGATATTAGGGACGGAGTGGTGGCAAAGGTCCTTATATTTTCTGACTGCATGAACGGTGATTTCATTGCTTGGGTCGAAAATAGGCTCAACCAAGCCCCGCTGAAGTTCCGAGCCGCCGAATTTAGCCGTGCTTTGGAACGGCTTGGTGGGTTATTTTGTACAGCAATTTAATTAGAGCAGAATACGACGGGGCAGATTTTATGCTTGCAGCTATTAAGGAGTGGTTGGTCGGAACATTGTTAGAGGAGGAGAAATCTGCTGAAAATTCATAAGTGATTTTAAATAGGCACACGAGAAAGAAAACATGTAATTAATCACCATTACTCGTGTCCCTTTTCATAGTACCATAATCAGTTGATGCGATAGCAGCCACCTTTTGTGCGATGAACTGGCGTGTACATTCACGTAGAGATTCCAGTTCTGTATTAAAATTCCGTGGTAGCCAAAATATGGTTGGTTGTGTCTTGGTAGCGATAAAATTTGACATGTATTCGTAGTGTCGTGTTAAAGATGATTTCTGCATGATATTGTTGTCCAAATGACACCATACAACTACCACCAGTTCGTTATGTTTCTCGGAAAGATTTGATTCCACTACACGTAGACGTTCTTCTTCAGCTAATAGTTTATTCCGCAGTTCAGCAGAAATCTTCTCCAGTTTCTCTCTCTCTTGATCTGCCAACTTTGAAGCAATAAGTTGTTCCTTTTCTTGGTGTTTTATCACCTGCAGATCCTTGGATGTTGAGTTCGACTTAAACTCACGTTCTCCTTCTCTTGCTCCTTGGTAAGCGCATCTTTAGCGCGCTGTAGATAACCAAGCAAACTTGATCTCACCAATCGGCGTTGTGCTTCAACGTGCTCAACAGCGGAACCAAGTTTTGGTCTCTTCTCAGGCTCCTCAACATCCACCTCCATAGAATCCTATTGACCTTTTGTGGACGAAGGCCGAAAAAGCAAACATACCTTGAACTTACGTTTCCCATTTGGCGATGATTCTGCAGCGGATTTGATCGATAGCAGCGTTGACGGTGCATCTGTGAATATTGATTAACATAGATATCCCAGAATCGTACCACTGTCGATTTGCGCCGAAATTCTACGGATCGACGCCTTCAAAGAGTTACGTTCTTGTAGCAGCGAGCGTATGTCACGCTGCAATGAGGCATCGACGGTCATTCCACCGCGTAGTTGTTCAATATATTCGTCGCGGCGGCGCGACACACTGTACGTATATTTTATATTAGAAAACAGGAAGTTGAAAGTCCCTCGCTACTTAAGTTATTTAAATTGCAAAATGTCCCATGAATCGCTTGTAAAAGTGACAGTGTTGCCTGTTGGTTCCCCAGCAGGGCAGTCGAGCGTATCTGTTGACACCGTCAGCGGTGTCCGCTCCTGTTCCGCAGTCCAATTTGGCGACGGGCTGGCATGGTGCCAACTAAAGTCTATAGCGGTAGGAACACCTGAAAGCAGCAGATCTTTTAATCCAGAGCTCTAAGAAATTTGTGAAAGTGTAACGACAGAATACCTCTAGTTGCTCCATCTGCCCATCGTAGCGGATGTGGTTCCTTGCAAACGATATATCGCTGCTCCTGTCAGGTGTTAATGATAGCACAGGTGTTACTAACCGTTCTATGATAGGCGGCGTGACGGCGTCTATAAGAAACTTGGTCATCATTGAGTCTGCTATGCGCAACTGTCGACAGCAAGATATTATTTTGGAGTTTATGAGCGATTCTGATATCACAGATCCACGTGAAATCCCGATCCTACACCTTTGATTTATACGTTAAAGAAAAGAACCAACCATGCCAAACTATTTTTCAAGTTAGAAATATAAACAGTCTCGACCACACCAAGCAGTACCACACGGCATCCATCCTGTAAATTTTGATTACGTTCTAGCAGTCGCATACCAGGTCCTTTAGTATAACCCTTCCCACATTAACCAGTTCGTCTTTGCTCCGGACGATGTCTAAACCTTTGAGTTTGCATATGTAAAGGGTACCGTCTTGCAACCGGACACCACTATCGCAAGTATGATTGTCAGCAGGCTTTTTTGCTTCAGCAGTTGGGGGTTGTACTGATACCTGAGTAACCTCCGCCTTGGGAGGTTCTCTGGTCTGTACAGATTTAAAGCGAAATGAGGGGCGGACGGATGCTGCCCGTTCATGGCTCTCCAGTAACTTAACGGCGTTCTGCAATACCTACAAGACATTAATGACGTCCTATTACAGAAAATATATTTGGACACAGTTTGCATTACCAAGTCACATTCTGGATGCGTAGGACACTGTGTTTCCCAGCTAATCAAATGCCAATTACATATACATGGCATACAGGCGTACCTTATATACCGCAGGGCTGTAAGAATTCGTCATTGAGACATAATCTTGCAGTCTTATAATCAGTTTGCCTTTTATTTTAGCAGCTTCTTCTGCTGAACGGCAAGAACGAGCACTTTCGTATAGCGCCTCTGCCTCAGCTAGGCTTTCCCTGGAGTCTTCGAGCGTCGACATCGCTATTGGTTATGCCTAGGCGACACGAAGTGTCACCTCTTACTATAAGATGCCGATACATAAAGCGGTATGCCCATAGGAGGGTACAACGTATGTTTTATCTCTTCAACGTTATGGCTATAGCATCATATACATTGCTGAGCGATATATGTCTCGTCTGAAAAATATAGTCTAAATGAGACTATTGATGCTATAGTACACACCTCAAGGATTTGAACGTTAAATAGCTGCATAAGCACGCCTATACAAGTACACTGTCGCGTTACACAGCACCACCGGGGCAGTGAGTAAGTTGGACGGCATTATTCGCACAGGTCAACTTCGCTCTGCAGAAAAGCAATTGCAAAATGGCCTGTGGGATTATATTCATCGCAGCCTTCGTGCTAGCTACGCTGGGACCCGTCCAGGGCACGCAGATGGACCTAGAAGGCGAAGAGACACGTTGTTTTATCGCCTTTGCCAGCAAAAATGAGCGTATGACAGGGTAAATGGCAATATATTAAGTCGTATTAAAATTTTTGTAGCTCTGCAGTGTCTGTTCCAGAGGAATACGCTGTACGACCCTTTATTTACAAGGTAGAAGGGCCCACCTCGCAACCGTCTACCATCCCGGCGTTTGCAATCACAAACAACCAGTTCGAGTACAAGGTACGTAGTTTTTTCTCGAATGGTGGCTTAACCGATTCTTTAGGTGCCGGAAAGTGGCCACTATGCCTTGTGTCTCTCTAACAAATCTCACACAAAGAACACGGTGATATTCAACTACAGGATAGAGACAGGAATTAACAGGGATCTATCTTCTTTGTCCACTGTTGATGATGCTAACAATGTGCTCAAGTTTGCGGAACAGCTACTTGAAAATACGCATATTATTGTCGATCGTACGGAGGCATACAGCTCACGCGAACAATTATATTCGCAAATAATCGAGGACATGAACTCCAGGATCATCAGATGGTCTATTTGCCAGATGATCTTCCTTGTTTGCATATGTTTTTTCCAAATATACTACATCAGCTCATTTTTCGAGGTCAAGAGCTTCGTCTAACCGCTGGAGCATATTTGGTGTCGGAACAACGACAGTGTCAATGCAAATAACAAAATGTGTAAATAATCACACAGTGTTGCGTTAAAGTGCTCACATAGTATGCTAATCAGTAGTTGAGTGTGACGGCATAGAACTAGATTCCAGCTTCACGGATCATCCTGTTGCTCAGAAATCCTCGTCGAAGCTGATGGAGCCTACGGCTGTTCCCACCACGGGAGGCACCTTGGGTTTGCTCTGGCGAACCTGTGCTGCAGTGATACGGAAGTTCAGTGCCGTTGGTTTCAGCCAACCTAAGTCGACATCTATTCTGTATTCCTCAGCATGGCCTGCCATACGTAGGCACTGGTTAACGGCATTCTTGACATATTGCGCAAGTTGATCTAATATAAATGAAAAAGGCAAAAATATAAAGACTTACAATCGGACAAACCCATGTAACCAAGTGGTAGTACGCTTTTGCAGAATGCTACTTCCAGATCATAGGCCTCAGACAAAACCGCCAACAGCACGTCCCTGTTAACGCGCAGTTTCAAATGATCGAATACTGCTGCGGCAAATTTGAGGTGGATATTAATGTCCTTTGCGACGGTATCCAAAGCGGAGACAATGGTAGGTAACATGTTCGATTTCTTCAAGAAGTCGGCCAGTATTCCATAAGCACATCGGAATACACACTTCGATATGCACTGTAGAACTACCTTCATGTAAAAACATTCAGCAGCGGCAAACTTCTGTGAGAGCCATGCAACCTTCGCCAAGCCCTGAGACAGTGTTATTTTGTGCTGAGTATCTTGATCCTACCTCAGGCACCTCAGCGGATCCAGGGACGGTCATGGACATGGTTCCAAATAGTTCGTCATGTATATTTTCGTACGAGACTTGGAACCCGTAAAATGCTCTGGCTTCCGGCAGCTGTGTGTCCGATAGCAAGTCCAACGTAACGGTAGCTGGTCGTGCCGCATCGGAGTAACAGCTGTATAAGATTTACAGTAGTTACTATTAAATATACTTACAGTTTAGCATGGAAGCTTATTAGCTTTACAATGCACTGTTTCAACTCTGTATCGAGTCCAGACACGGCTTCTTGGTCAGCGGAGAAACGGAAATCCTCTGCAGCCCAGAAACTATTCTCAATCTCTTTATACATCGCCTGAATCATGATCAGAGATGATAATTGAGTACACTTACCCATAGTGCGTCGTAATGGATAGGAAACATCACCTGCACCAAGTTGATAGATAACGGTCGTCACTTACCCATCTGTTAGTGTTTTCCCTTAGAAGGGCTTCATTGTGTTGCCCGAGAGCAACTTCCTGAGGAGTCAAATACTGCACCGAATCCAGCTCCATATTCTTAAATATTCAAGACTCTGGCATGGCTATATGCCGTCAAAACAATGTACAGTCGACTACTGTATCTGTATATTACAGATATATAGACACTGCCTATTACGCCTGGTTAAATAAATCAAGGTGTGTCTTGCCTAGGCGGCTGCCACGAGCTCGGTACCTAATCTTTAGGAGCCCACGCAGTCGCGATATGGTATTGTGTCCAACCCGTGCTACCCTCCAATTTGCCATGTTACTATACATTAGTAAGGATTATTATGACTATCCTGTACATCTAAGATCATACAGTTGCTTAATTAATCCATGGGTATATGCACATCGTCATTTCTTCAGTTTTAAGTCAATCGTGATTCGGGCGCACATCGCTAAGTCATCAAAGATGACTATAACCAGTACATCAGACGCATTTCAAAACACGTTAAAAATCAACTAATGTTAGTGATATCGGTGTCTGTGACCGTTCCTAAAACCTGAGCTTCGCCTGGCGCTAGGGCTATACTTAAATCGTGAGGCACTGATAGCTTGATAATCGTTCATTAAAATTACAAAACAAATGGCAATAACTTAAATGGCAGACTTCTGCCGGTTTTTTAAAGTCGCAGGGGAATTCGGCAATAGAGCCACCCTTGAAAAACTGCGCGCTCTGTTATCGCAAGAACGTGAATCGTTTCGCGTTTGCCTGCAGACACTCAGCCACCTTCTTGGACTGAAACTCAATGAACTGATCAGTTTCGATCGTAGTTTTGTTATGAAAGATGATGTAGTATCAATATATCTGTCAGGAGACCTACCGGAAAGCGTAACAGCTCTCCTCGATGAACTGGACACGCAACCCGCTAGGAAACATGCTATGGCGTTACAAGTAGGCAAACTGCTAAAAGCGCGTATTCGTTATGGACTCAATGACGTATTACAAGCGCTGGATGGCGCCCCGGCCAAGGATTTATACAGCAGGAGCATCGCTTGCCTCCTACGTATCACTATGTGTGCGCTAAAGGTAGAGTGTGATATGCGACGGGCAGATGAACCAGAAGTATTGGAATACATGGTCGATGAGACGGGTGCATCCCTCTGTGAGGTGCTCAGCAGGTGCTGCGTTGTACTATGCATCTTTGGAGCAGAGGAATCAAACCTATTTGAAGACGTCAAAGAGGTACAGGAGACTTTGTTAGGACTGGTACCGGGACCGCTAATGTTACATATAATAGGCGCATTCCCAGTGATTGCATTCGACAGTGAATGTCTCTTTTCTTTGCAAAACAGACGCGTGTTCGTTGAGTCATTAGCCACAATATTGCCCGATATACTAGATCACATTTTGATATTCAATCGCATAGGAGCGCAACATGACTCCCGTACAAAAGAGGTACGCAAGAACAGGGTAGATGCAAGTGACGCGACCAATACCAGGGATTCGCAGGAGGCATCACCCACAGCTGCTGCAGCATTGTTTGGGGCATCTTTTCATGGGTCGATATGGAATACCAAGCCTGATGGCTACAATACACGTAGAGTCAGAAATTCGCAAGATCCCGATAGGTCACCTACAGCAATTCAGGTTAACACAGCGGATTGGGAGTTTGCATTTGGTAATGTGCCTCGTGTCAGAACACTATCTTTACTGCTTGAATTCATACTCAAGTATGTCAAAGTAGGTGGTGATGACACGGTTGAGAAACATATGATCGGTTGGCTTGACGCTCTAGTATCGAAGCCGTGCTTCGTTCAAACATTCGCCCCGATATTCTCCACTGGAGACACCAGTAACTTTGAAAATATACTCGAGCTTTCACGCATTCTACGTAAGGATATTTTCGTGTCGCACCTAATACTAGGAATCGGAGAACACTCTGACAAGGCCCTGCGTATGGTCACCGCCGCAGGCATAGATATACTTACGTCAGACCGTATATATGCTCCACAAGTACTTGCATTTATGGTAGAAGGTGTCAGAAAACGCCCTCTGGAAATCATAGAGTGCTGGTGTACATTACTAAGGCCTCTGGTACTACCCCGTGGAGGCGATGATGCGATACGCTTTGCCGATGGTGTTGCCACAACCCAGCTCCTACAAGTTGCTGATCTCTTGTTCGATACCGTCGCTCGGTACGCGCTTATGCAGAATTTTGGCGACGAGTGTCACCCCGACGAGGACAATGTAAATGCATGCACAGCCAGACAACTTATGGTGTTGCTGATGGAGATTTTAGGACACAGGAAAGTCGCAGCGAAACTCACAGATGCTATTAACAGCGCTCACGTCGCAATGAATGAGACGGTCACACTGGAAACAGTCCAGGTACTGGAGCATGCAGTGTTTTGTATGTGGCTGATGAAGATGCCTGATGCTGAACTCCGCGAGAAAGATTTATTTGCTTTTGTTAGGGGAATCAACGAGAAAACACTCCAACATATGATTCACATATTCGATACGTCGAAAGCCTACGACCATACGAGCAAGAGGTTGGAGGCACTTGAAAAAATCAAAAAAGGCATACGTGGAAGTAGGTTGAGGAATATGGTTGAGAATCGTGAGATTTGGTTTGACGATGCTCAGATTAACGGTGCTAACTCGGAGGATTGGGACCTATACTATGCTGAATTTGCTGATGAGATTAAACGTCAGCTAACAGATGCTGTCCTGCATGGCATGCCAACTGCTGGACTGTTCAGAGGGAACACTGCTACACAAGATAGCACTTCACCTACAAACTCAGCGAGACCGTCAAAAAATTCACGTAAATCAAGGAGACCTGGTAGGAAACCTTCGCATGCCGGTAGTCGCCATACAGCACATTATAGTGGTACCACTGTGGATGACTACGTTCGCCGGGTAAAGCTTCTCATGAGGATCCACAAACTTGACGGTACCAAGAAAGTGGATGAACATGTATGTGCTACCATAGCAGCGGCTATGGCACACTACAATATGTCAGTTGAAGACTGCACCTCGATATTTGAGCTCATGCTACCATGGTGCCCCGCACAGTTGCTACATAAAATTCACGAAAGTGGCCGACAAAATATGGTTATCGCACTTATGAATTCCCTGTCACATGATCCTGATGAACGATGTGCTGGGTTGTTACCGGAAATGATGGCCACTGCCATGGACTTATGCAACACATCTGGAGATGTGCGGCCGTTAATTGGGCTCATGAAAGTTATTACGAGTACTGTGACGGCACACCGACCGCTGGCTGAGATGCTAGAAGTGGATAATGGACTCACGATATTGCAGAATTTTATAGTATATGTAAATTGTCTCAAAATATCTACAGCGCATTTTTTGGAGGTTCGAGGTACAATGAATTTAGCACTTGTAGAGCGTTACCTGAAATTTGGAACTGTTCATGCAGGAGTGCCTATTCAACAATTTGTGCACACTCAATTGCAGCAAATCATGTCTGCTCGTGCAGCTACCTTTTCCATAGCTCTGCAGTCAGACCCTGGAAGAGAATCGCAACCCTACGCCGCTCGTGGTGACCTGAGTACCTTGGACACGTTGATCGTCAGCACCTTTCAACTATTCTTCATGACCAATTCTTCATCATCACGTGGACTGAAAGAATATTGCGAAAGGAACCTCAGCGACGTATTTCACTGGGACTTGCTAGGAAGGGAGTATGCGATTGCCTTCAGGACAGTTGCCTTGTTGTTCAGATGCTTCAGCCAGCTCTCAAATACGAAGCTCATGTTCATATTTGAGCATTTCGTCGGGCTGGCGGCCAGGGTAAACGGAGATGCCCACTCCACCGCACGCAGGAGCATCCTCACAGACGATTGCTTAATACGACCCGAGGCAGTTGAATATTTCTATCAAGTCCATCGACAACTGGCGAAGCGCTGCACCGTAGCACCGGTATCAACGTCTAAACGGGCCAGAGCTGCTTAGCAGCTCCGTCTACTGCGCTAACATGCCCATCCCAACAATATAAGCGTCGGTTGGGGGCTATCCATTCGGATGGTTATGCGTGTCTAGAATGGATTTGGGTTAATATAGGACTCCAGGTCCCCGCAATGAAATGTGTGTGGCGCACCTGCGTAACTATAGCTCGAAAGGGTGGGTTGATAAGCGATTGGAAGATGTAGTGTTACATATGATAATATTTGCTAGCCGCAACAATATCCCCACAGCAGGGCAGCAACGTCTCAAAATGTTCATGCTGCCTGAAGCAAGAAAATTTTACTGGGTGTAGGGTTTGGTTCGCTCAGTCACATTGTTGCTTCAGTCACAATTTATATTCGGACACGGCGTAAATTTTACAAGATCAACCGTGTTAATTACTTGCATCATTGTTTGCTAGGAATCACCAGCGCATAAAAAATAAGGACGCTCTAAGGAATTACACGAAGATGGCACGATTATCCCTCGCTGCAACGATTTTATCGTTGGCCACAATTTTTTGCAAGTGTGTGTCGGGGTTATCTGCAACGACTGAGTATGCTCCTTCTGCAAAAATCCGGGCGTGTATTGCTACCCTGGAGCTAGCACAAACTAATGTTGTGAGTGCGTGGGACGCATGTGGCACTTACATTGCGGATACAGATGCGATCAACCATTCTTTGTTTTCGGAAATCAGACGGTTGGCGCGCACGCCGTTGAATGTACAGGCACCTCAGGTACCAGAGGGGTCAGAGCCACCAACTACTCTCAGTGCCGCTGACGACTATCTGCAATACATAAAGGCTACTATCGAGCGCTTTCAGGATAGGGTTGACGAGCTGCAAAAGGTGATAGACAGAGTCGAAGATGCCGAAGTAAGGAAGAATATGGAAAGCCGAGTAGACAGAGCGGTAGCAATGGCGGGAATCATTATAGACGGTTACCTGACCTTTTTGCGTGTCTCTCTACATAGCATTTTCTCGGTGAATGCATTAAGATCACTCTATGAGTTTGACTACGTGATGGCGGTGGTTGCCGGTGTAAGAGATGTGCTGAAATATAATACTGTGGTATTCGACAACGAAGATGTGACATCATTAGCGGAGCGTTTCGACGGTGTCACGAGAGCTCTCAACAGGCGTGTTGACGGAGAGGTTAAGCTGTATGAAAAATTTTTTCCAAACGATACTAATCACATACTGCGCCATGTTAATGAAGAATCGATCTTTCTTGCAAAACCTTTAATGGCAGCAACCGGTGCAAGTGTCGGAGTTTCTGATGTATAAGTGCTCTCCCTGAAAAGGGGATGGTAAATGGGCAACAGTGATGTATGTTAACTATATGTCATTAGGAGGTGAAGCTTGCTATGAAAAGCGCCGCCAAACGATGAAACGGCAGTGGGGAGGGATCTACTTCGGAGGTTTCTCTCTTGCGCTCCTCCAAGCTACTCTCGGAATACGACGCACGTTGTCGAGATGCTGCGACGAAAAAGGATCATAGGAACGCAGCCGTGACAAGCTAGAACCTGATACGCGGTACAGCATGCACCTTACAACGGCTTTGAGATTTTGTTCGACGTCGTATTTTAGTTTTCAGAGGGCATATAACACCAGAATTCTTTTCCCCGTTCTATGCTCATCGAAACTATCTATGGCATGGGCGACTATCTTGAACATCACTACTGTAATCACCCTACACGCTATCACGGCGGGTGAGGTAAGTCGTTGGGGTGGTACCTGGCACCATACTTTCGTGACCTGTTTCGTGTAAGACGCAGGAGTAGAGTTCGCATCAAGAATTTTTCGATTTGTGACTTCTGGATCATTGTCTACTGTCTCAGAGTTGACTGACGAGACATTTGTTATACACAGTGATCCGATACTATACGGGTGGCTCTATTTTTCTCCAAGAAGCTGCAATAACAGTGGTACCGCGTACACGCAGATCCCACTTATTAGATGACAAATCTTGACAAGCATATCTACTCAGCGTATCTCGAGCAAGCTAATCCTACGACGTTGATTGGCAAGGGGACCACGGCAAAGGGTCGTTGCCTGAGACTCTGAGGGCATACATACTAGCACGGCTATCTTGGTTACTTGCGGCACCAACCCGTGACTCCAGACACTAAAAAACACCGAACTCAGGTAAATAATATCGATATTAAGTGAAGTTTTACGTAAAATGGGCGAATTAGTGCCAATAAAACTTATGAGCTACAATGTTCAGGGCCTTTCGTCAGTGCTGCTGCCGATAGCCAACCTTAGTGCTAGAATAGACCACGTAGCTAACTATGTCTACAACTTGGTGGAAAAGTACAAAGTCGATGTCCTTATACTGCAGGAAATGTTTTCTAGTGCACTGTACCAAAGAGTAAAACAGGCGCTGAGTGGTGTCATGCGGGATACCGGAATCATCAACGGTGTCACCTGCGCTTCACCATTATATAAATTTATCGATACTTTACTGAGGGCCCTGAATTTTATCAGTTCAGGGATTATCATCTTCTCTAGACACCCTATTTTACGTGTAGAAAGACTGGTTTTCTCCTCTGGGATATTCCCAGACTCTCTCTCGGGCAAGGGTGCGGTGGTGGCTCGCATAGACGTAAACGGACGCCTTGTCGATGCGATTGGAACACACCTGCAGGCGTACGACGGTGAAAGTGCGCATGTAACTAGAAAGCTACAGATTGAGGAACTCCAACAATGGATCAACAACAACCCTGATATTGGAACAGTTGAAGGTATCGATATCGGTACCTCAAAACGTGTACCAATCGTCCTAGCTGGAGATCTCAATTGCTCTGTGATACAAGATCCATCCTTGTTTGAGGAAATGGTTCAACCCCTTCAGCGGAAATTGGAAAATACTTTCGGCGATGGTGACCCGGAGCCAACCTTTTCCACCTCAAACGACTTCTGCAAATATCAAAACGACCCTAACGCATACGAACATATATATGACTACATATTTAAGGATCGTTCGACTGTGCTCATAGAAAAACAAAGTGTTGTCAAGGACAAATTAGAAGAACCATTTGTCGTGCAAAAAAACGCCATGCGTTCCGATCCCTCAGGAGTCACACCAATGTACAATGTCAGCGACCACCTACCAATAGTATCCGTTATTGGAATATAATGTGCGACCGCAATACACATACCAGTTACACCCAAATACGTGCGTTTGGTCGCTTCTGGGAACGGAGCGGCTCGAAGTGCAGCAGTAGAGTCACGTATAGCCCCTTTGGTCACACCTGACACAAACGTAACGGCAGTTAGCCCTTAGTGTGCTGCAAACTAAATGCAGGGCAATTGTCTGCTTTAGGATATTGCGGTAAAGTGACGCTATTCAATGAGAATAATTTTGGAACTACCTTGAAAATGGATGAGAGAGCAGCGTGATAGTTGGCGATTGCAATACGCAATATACCGCTCTGGCAATGGCATATGCCCATATGGCGCCAATGTGCGCATCACAGAAACAAGGGGTACCCTGCCTAAATTTTTCATTTATAATTACCAGGGTAAACAAAACATAATATGAGCAATCAACAACTCAATGTAGCTACGTATCACCCTCTATGAGTAATGTACATGTATGATTTTTTCTCCGCAGCTCGTTGGAATTTTTTTCAATCTAGCTGCTGCTGCAGCAGTGGGGCCTGTAATTATCATACGCAGCTGGAAGAGTTGCTTGTAGATTTTTTTTAAGTTCATTTGTGTTATCGTTTCACTGTGTATAGAAGTGTAGCGACTCCCAAGGATATTTAAAAAAATTAAGGAACGTTCATCCTTGCAAGATGTCGAAAATTCTGAGCTTCGTGACCATCACGGTCATCGGTGTAATTGCCAGAGTTCGCAGCGAGGACCCGAAAATCTCCTACGAGAGCTTACCATTTGACACTGTGGTGAAACGGGCGGTGGTCATGACGATGGCAAACTTCTTTGCAGAATCTTTTGCACTGAATCACATCATATACCATTGCCTCCGTTATGGAGAAGTGCCAGATGAAATTAAACAGCTGTATTCATCGGCGCAAATAGCTGCTGATCATTCTTTCAGAGTTTTTGATGTAGTTGAACTACACCAAAGCGGAATTTGGCCTCTCGTGGAAAGGCGTATTACCCAGGATCCCGACCACGTGTTGCCACCTTCGGCTAGATGGGAGCAACCCGTATCCATTGTACTGGAGGAACAAAAAAAACTGCTGGAAACCATCAAATCATTCTGCGATGGGCGTAAAGATTGTTTGTACGAAGAACGATTGCGGAGCATTAAAGATTATTTCAACGAAAGAATACCTGAGATCTGGGCGTTGCCTTTGCAGATGATTTACACAAGGTTAGGCATTAAAGATCCAAGCATAGAACCTGGCATGGTACTATCACTAAGGTGCTATCTCATTGGAAAAGAGACTTCCATTATGACAGAAGTCCCTTCATTACCGTTTGCCAAGCCTTTCTATCCCAGGTTATTCAGAAAAAGTGCGCAAAACATTGTCACAAAGCTTTGGGGTGCTATTGATAAGGCAGTGGATAAAAAGACTAGCGAACTTCTCACACCTCTACGGGAGTTTTACTCGTTTATTAGTAATTTAGGGCCTATTGAATAACTCCGCTTCGGTTTACTCCTCACCGGTCTACGACTTTGGTATTAGGGGCATCGAGAGCGGTTGAAATCAAGGGAACTGGTGTATTTGTCCCGTCAAGGAAGTCAAAAAACAATTCGGGTGACGGTAATGTTTATATGGGTGGGTAGAACACAAGAAAGGGGTCCTATATCCAGTTGATTTTTGTGTTAAAACTACCACGGAATGTTGCGCAAAGAAACAAATGCTATAAGTAGCTTTACCGTAAACGCTAGGATTATTTTTGTCGCTTTACGCTGCCTCAAACCAGGACAGTAGCAGCCGATGTGTACCTACCGAGCATACTTAACATTGGGTAAACCTTGAATAATTTATGCGTAACTTTAACATTGTACATGATTTATATACGTGTGTGGGTGGACCGCCATGAAACTGACACTGTATCGCTATGATGCTAGATACACGTATCAATGGTTTGTCTAGGCGGTCTGCGTCCCGACGCTCCACATGAACAAAGGTAAGATTCTGAACCCAGCAGTCGATCATTATAGTCTAACTGTCCAGGCAACTCAACTACACTGGTGCTACTAGCTGCAAATCGCGGTTACAGCACATCGTACATTTTTGTTGACATTTCATTTTAGATATAAAAGCGATCCGTCGGCACAAAACTTCACGTAATAGAAACACTTGTACGGCGGTTGTACTACATGATGCCGTATAGTTTTGTTTATCGGAGCGTGGATGTTGGCTCCCAAACTCGATACTTGTAGACGCATGGTATCAGGACTATTCGCCGGTTAGAGTGCCATAATAATACTACTATCGCAAGATTATACACTTTAGTAATATATATCAACATACATTGCTAGTTACTTTACGAGAAACTTGTCACACGGATCATTCTTGTCTAGGAGCTAGGGTGTACAGCAATTTTTTCATAATGACAAGGCCTCGTCACGCAGTGACTATAATTGTTTGATATTAAATCCACCTATGCTACAATGAAAGCCGATAGCTCTGCAGTTAAAAGGCAAACACAGGATAGATGTGTGACAAGGTCCATACGCATCAGAGAACTCTGTCACTCCCTCAGTGTGAGACACCTTTGTTTTTTGTTACCACCGCGGCCCTAGTGATTCTGAATTAATATCTAGCAGCTTATGTGACACAATTGACGTCACTATGCGGCTGTAATAGACAGTTGATTGTTGCCCGCAACGGGAGTTGTTCCCATATAGCGATAATAATGGAATACCAGTCTTACAAAAAATTAAAATAAACACAGTTGCACGGAATATTACACTTTGGTTTTGACAACTTCAATTAGAGTATTTTTAAAATGACATTTAGCTCTTCGAACCAAAAAATTAAAATATTTGCACTAACCTTGGTAGTATCATTGTCCACGGTAGACAGTGTAACGCTGGATCTAACCCAAGGAGAGGTTCAATCATCCATAGATGTTTTCGAAGGTACATTCAGTGACGGAGGGATTTATAAAATGTTTCACTCAACCGATCACCCAATCACTGCTGTCGTACACGGGGGAGTCTTCTTAAACCCTGCGAAACATATTCCAGCTGATCCATTAGATGTTTACGTCCAACAATATAGCCGAGGTGGAACTGCTATTGTTGAAATCAGCCAGTTTTATGCTAAGGATGGTGGATTCTTGTACTCTGCATTTTTCAAAATTAGCGGCAATAGGTGCAGGACGACAACTAGGTTACTGAAAAATAACTTCGTAGGAGGCAGTATATCATTATCTCTTGATATAGCTGCCGAAAAACTACACCCATTCATAGGTTCAAAACGTGAAGGGAATAACCCGTTCACAGAGTATTCCCTTATTAAAACTTCTCGTAGTTCCAAAAGTAAATGTTCTATCAATCGTTTAAGGTTGCCTAGCGAAAAACACAATATATCACCTATTATCAATATAGATAAAAATTTTCGTGCTCGCAACAGTCCTCCGCCGTCAGTCAGTTGCCATGTCAATAAACTTCATATTTCACCAGAAGGTGATGTTTTACAGATATGGATCTCTAAAGGGATAAACAGTCTAAAATATATCTTAGAAATACCACCGACAAAGAACGGAATTTTCAAACCCCGAAATATGTTGAAATATCCGCATACATTCATCTCATCGCCAGCGGAAGCTGATGTGTTAAGATCCGTCGGTATCACCATAGATATTTTCACCATTCAAAATGATTCACCGGCCGTTTTAATTCTAGCTAACCTTAGAAGGGGTGATTGGTTGTACCGGCAGTACTGTATCGCTCCCATAATCGATTTGCGCTTCGCATTTGTCAAGGTCATCAATTCGGAGAGATGCCAAATATACCACATGACCGATGATGTAATCGTGACCCATGTAGAAGTGTTCGATCATGTAAAACATGGGTGGCAATATGTGGTAGTGAATACTGTTAAAAAGGCAGGCGAAGGTATCCTGGCAGGGAAAAAGGTATATAAACGCATAGATGGGGAACGAAGGTTGACATACTATGACCTCAACAATTTCTGGCAGGAACCATACCTAGAGATGCTATATAACATCGATACCCTTGCACAAAGGCGTGATAACCACCATAACTGTGATTCTATGATGGATCTCTTATCGCCATCATCAACTCTTGACGAAGGGGATAACACAACGATTGTAAGTAACACAGAACATTTTGATAGCGCTGTTACCAGCACGGTGCGAATCACCTAAATGGCTATAATATATTTTTATTACGTCGAGAACTATGAGTAACAGAGCCATCGAATACTATATGAATCGTAGACTGCATCGTAAAAATTACAATAGAAGTTAGTATCGTACACGGTATATTAGTTACTCTAGCTCGACCCAATAGGGTGTTTCTAATGCCTTTAAAACGTAATTCCAGAGATCGCTACGAATAACATATTCATTTCTGCTCCTGTCAGATTCAGGAAGCTCTTCGATGTGTTCCGTCAATAATACTCTGGAGAGGTAACCGCATAAGTCCCATGCCAATGATTCAGGCAGTTGGCCAGGTTTCAAGTTAGCGAGTTTAACAGCAATATTTATGGGCAAGACGATGCTAGGCCTATTTTTCATTCCCTGCACCATTTTTACATATGGTTTATACAAAAAATGCTCAGAGTCAAATTCGGTAAGGCGGCGAAGGATGCGTTTGAACCGCTCCTTGGCAAGTTCCATATCCAGTCCTACATCTGTAGTTTCACTATACCCCGAAGAAGTATTTGGTCCGATTACAATCGTCAGGCCAGCTCCTGTCTTGGGGCCCTTGTGCACCAAATTACTGGTGGGTGCTACTTCCTGAGGTGCCTGCGAATCTACAATCCCGGAAATAGCAGCGAGACCAATTATCAAGCTAGCGAACTTGAACGCAGCCATCTTGAAAACAGTCTGTTACACTTCTTCCGAATGACTAAAGTGGATTAGTTTGTCGTTGTTGATCTAACAATGCCACTATTGGTTCAATGGAAGTGGCAGCCAGACCGCAACATCAATTTTGTGCAACCAGGAAAGGGGTGTGGGGCCTGTGTGTAAATCAGGTGATATATGGATATATACACGAAATATATCGCGCGATGCATCGGGCCAGGCCGCGATGCCAGTTGAAATTAAGCCTCATAAATCAGTCCTCTACCCAAGATTCCATGATTGTAGATATGAAGCGTCAAAATAACTACAATCATATTCGTCTCTGTTGCTTTTGGTGGATTACACTGTTATTATTAACATAGTCTAACATTGAGTAAATTTTAGCATATGATATGAAAAATCTGATTCCATTAGCTGGTGATTGGGGTGGCATTGGTTGCAAGGTATTTGGAGGTGTTCATTCACTCGCAATTTAAACTTGGTTTTAGATTGGTAGCAACAACAAACAACGAATCCGCACTTCAGTCGTAGTACAACACATTATATGCCTGTTGTTACTTGTTTATAAAGGAATATCACTGCGTGGTCACTCCTCATCGCCAGAGTTGTAACGTGAAATTGCGATAGAGTTTTCGTGGAACATCAGATGGCTGGACACATCAAAACGCTTCTATTGAACGCATATGGTTTTCTGCACCTTATATAAGTAATTTGTGTTGGTTAGCATTATTTGTAAGGTTGTTCTGGCGATATGCTGACAATTTTCGCTACGAGCGTTACGTCATGCGCATTCTATTGCCTTTAAAGGGCAACATTGTGGAGAGCGTAACAGTGAGTGAATTGAGGATCGATTTACGGTAGTTTTTTGCGACTCATACAACATTTATGTATATATTCTTTGACGTGCCTGGTAGGTTACCTGGCGAGGCATCTGCGGGCTAGAAGAATGCAACATCGTGGATGATGCAAGCAGTTGTAAGCTGAAATGGCGTTTACGATCCCGGCGGGGTAATCCACAAGGCGTAGCCATATATGAACTATTATACACGATTTACAGATATAGCAGCTTAATGTTCAGCGGACGCGTAAAAGCGGCTCCAATACTAACGCCACATCTAAGTGGATCTTGTTTTCTTCATTTTCAAAGTAAGATATAGTATCGCCAGAACGATCCATTTCACCCCAAAGTTCGGCATTAGTTTTTAACTGCTTCAAAATATTGCCCAACTCAGGAGAACCCAAAGAAGCGATGGCCTCATACAGCGGGGAAACAACAATTTTGAGAAACGCGGCCTGTGATTTAGCAGCTTGATCATGATGGTCCCGGTCGCATAGCGCCGATATGGGAATAGAGAGCTTTGCCTCTTCAGCACCTTGTGAGTAAAATTCACCCAGCAAACGTTTCACCCATGCCAAACTGCTCGACCACTGCAATGTAGGCGCTGCCACATCGGAGGCCTTCATCAGCATTTTGCTCGTCAGCATGCGTGAAGTGGAGTCTTCGAAAGTGAAATCTTCACTATTACACGCCAATACAAACTGCGAAATCATGTGGAAGTGATCCACCGTGTCAGTTGCCAAAATCAACTCAATAATATGCGACCTAACGTAGTTATAATCACAATCAACAAAAAGGTTGCATTCAGGTGTGGATAGGATCCTTAATGTACACGCAGCGTGGTAGTTCTCCAAAACGGAGGTGTCATTGTAAAGTTGCGCTACAGGGTGCTGTGTGTGAACGAAAAAGGCATTGTTTCTACCAGGATGACCCACGTCGTGTGAAAGCGCAGCAACCATCAGCAACCCTTCGTCCACGGGGCTCAGATGATCCAACAAACCCGTGTACGCGGATAAACATCTCAATTTCTGAGCCACCATGGCGCCATGCATTTTGTTGTGGTACGGCACATTGCGGTAAAGACTCTCTAACCGACTCAAAAAAGCCACAATCGTTGACTTATCGACGTCACACTCTTCTTGGTATCTCTGCAGTAAACCGTTGCCAATCGACATGAATGCGCTTTTTGACGACTCAAAGTAGCCAAGAACATCGAAGTTCCAGTCCGAGATCAAGCTTTCACGGTCTATTGGTTCGAACGGATAAGGTTCCATAGTCAACGTATCTTTAGATCGTACTGACAATTGTAACGATCCGTCCCTTTCTAGATGTAGGTGCGTGCTTGTACCATGACGTGTCACTGTAGGTTGTATGCTGGACCTAACCTTTGCGCTACAAAGGTAAGCATCGATAACTTCCAGTTGTTCGTCACGCACATCGAGACCCTCATATGAGAGGCCATAGAGGTCGTCACCAGAACGTAGTTGGTTCATGCACGTATCTAGTGCCTGGGCCATCTTGTTGAAGTACTCGTGACTGCCAATACGGCCTAGCTGCATATCTGACTGCATATTTTGCAACAACTCCTTGCACTCCCGCACGCCATCGTAGAGGCGCTCGGCAACACTAACGAATCGTGCCCGGCCCCGCCAAAACATAGCATCCTTAGGTGTGTAAACGTAATGCGAGAGCCACATCAGAAACCGCATACGAAGCTCAAACTCTGAGCGCCTGGCATACCATACGGAAAAGGCCACAACGGCGAGGTTCGTCAACGCTTGAACGGTCCTAGCAAGTGTTGTGACACAAAACACGCTGCTTACCCATTAATCCAGAGTATTGCGTGAGGCTGTGTAGATAGCGTCACGATTGTCCCGATAACGTTTGTAATTAGTTGGACTAAATGTACATAGATGTTCCATCGCAACCTAGAATTGTATACAACATATTGCTATGTTAACTTACCTCGAACGTAGGAATATTCCAAGTACAACGATGTATCCGGCTCCGAAAACAAAAAAGGCGATCCATGACAATGATTCTAGAGCCAATACATAGAGAGCTTCGCCGGTAAAACGATACGCCGCATGCCTGATTAGGTGGTACCAACACCCCCAAAGCACCAGTAGCGATGCGTAGGAGATGTTACAAGCTGCTTCCGTCAAATGCGCCAGCTTGGGGTGTAAAACGAATACCGGACTCAGCAAAAGAAGATAACTGGTTAGGATTGAACCATTGAAGTATTTTACAACTAAAGGGTTGAGACTTTGATGCAGATCTCCATTCTTCACTGTCAAGCTCAAAAGTAACCACAACATGGCCAATACCAACATCGACACAAGATTTGCGATGATGAATGGCAAACGTATAAGCCGATTTATGTTCAATGCGTACAAACGCTCCAAACAGGGAGTTGCGAACGATTGCACATACCACTGGTTGGCAAAAACAGAAGAAGGGAACGACTCACCACTATACCACCTACACAGGTTCCACGTCGTTCTGTAGGATCGTCTAATCGATCCCCAGCTATGAGGCAGCTTCTCGGCTGCCTCGCGGACGTCTGCGTCGAACGCGTGAGGATCATCCACGTCTTCAAATTCTATTGGAGTTTTGAAGTCTATGTCAGTAAATGAAGACGATGGTGTCATATCCCACGTCGCAGCGTCCTCGTGCGACCTCCTGAAGCTCATCGCCATGGAGGCGAAAATGATGCGTAATTAGCTATCCTAGACAATCCGGCCATTACGGGTGCCGCGCAGCCACTCGAGCCGTACTAACGGGGAGAGGTCTCACTCGCTTCGATGAAGCGTAAAACTGTCGCGAAACGTCACACATACACCCTGGAGGTACGGGATGTGATCATCGCAGATGCCGCCTCTATGTATGAAACAATAAAATTTCACAAAACATTACAAAGAATAGCACCAACGGATAACCGGCAGTTTTTATTAGTTACAGAGTAAAACAGCCAGACAACTAGCTAACTATACCGGTAACTGGGTAACGTCATCAAGGCTCAAATGCCTATCCACTCATACCAGAAGGTGTAGTCAAAAGAAATTAAGCTCACAGACCCGAGACTCAAGTAGCGCGCAACACCCGGGCGATCCACAGTGAGCCGGACGCAAGTGTGTGGCATCGCATCTGAATCACTTTTGTCCATGGGGCCTCGATGCCTATAAAACTAGCGAATGTAGGATGATAGAAGCATCTTAACCACTTCTATAGCTATCTAATGTACATGGTACATGCACAGCGTGAGCCAGCGCAAGGATGTGTAAGCATGTGACGTCCAAAAAGGACTCCTACGTCTAACGTCCTCTCTAATCAAGACAGGCACACTTATATGTTGCAGCAGCTTAAACCCTATACAACATGCGAGCTATACACGATAACACGGAGGAGCAAGCTGTTAGAATCTTTATTGGTTACATTCCTGGTGACGTCATTGAGGTTTGCGTGAAAACTAATTCTAGAAAATAACGCAGGACAGGCTTAGATGAGAATTGGCGAAGTTCGGAGGACTTACATCGATATTCTATATGCCGAATTTTATGCGAGACTCGATGGGATGGGCATACGCAACTTACGACGATCGAGCTGCGGGAACAGCAGCGGTGAGGGCGATCGACGGTGAACCGTTTTTTGAGGTAGGATACTTTGCAGCGTTCTTACTAGTGATTAACATCAATACAGGGGTCAAAAGTGCCGTGTAAAGCGCAGTTTGTAACAATGCAGGACTACGCAAAGTGGGCCTGCTACACGCGCAATCACCCGGTGGTACCCAAGACACGTTGGCAACAATTCACGAGCTCCAATGGAATCTCGTACTACTATAACACTCGTACAGGGCAGACTCAGTGGCACGTCCCAGAGGAATTAATGACGGCAGAACCAAAGCCGATGCACGCCGCGGGTAGCACGGCATTCGGACCTCCAGGAGCAAACCTGTTCGTCTTTCATTTACCGTGCGATTGGAAGGATGATAACTTGTCGTCTTATTTTGAAGATTACGGGAAAATAGTCAGCGTGGAAGTAAGACGCGATCAACATGGAAACAACCGAGGATTCGGCTTTGTATCATACGATAATCCACATTCCGCACTACAAGCCATCAGACACATGAACGGGTTTTCAGTATCTGGTAAATACCTCAAGGTGCAACTAAAAAGAGGTGAGGAACGCTATCTGTCGCATAATCGCCTCATGGCGGCATTATTCAGCAGCTCCACGAATCTGAAAGCAGATGAGAGGACGTCTCACCGCCTCGTGGTCAAAAAGGAAGACGCGGGAACGTATCAAACCAACCAGAGATGAATGCCCTATTATCGTGGCAGCCTATAGCACTGGTTGATACCGTAAAGGCCTAAAAGGGACAACATAACGAAGGACGGCAGCGAAACAGCAGCCACAAACTGTGAAAACCTCAGAAGTTAATCTTAGCAACATTGGCTCATGTGAGGCATATCTTTTAATCTGTGAAATAAAACTATTAAAATGACGGTTGTGCGATTGGCCATGCCATTAAGTTTTACGTCGCACTACGTTAGACGTTTGCGCAAATCCACAGTCAGAGCGCCCAAACCAATCGCCGTCAAGAAGTTGATGGCGAAGCGTATATTCTCTGGGTTATCACGGGGGAATATACCTGTAAGATGAGGGCTTAGCTCTGGGTCGTGGAGCCTCTCTGACAATTGGCGTATTCCTAGAGTGTGGCACAGTTCCTGTAAAATGATTTTCACAAAAATACGACCACTAGATGTGGTCCCAGATTCACTCAATATAATAATTGAGAACACCGACCACTGCAGAGCATCCGTAGCCAACAGGTGAGTGAAAAATTTGGCCACATTGCGCAGTTTTGCGGTCTCCAAGCGATGAATCAGTTGATACTGCTTAGCGAAGCATTCTTGGAAGTTTTGAGCATATACGTGTGACAGCTTAGAGAGACGTTCCGCCTGCAAAGCATAAAAGGGCTGGAATGTGCGTTCCATGGCGCAACAGTCGATCAACATGGTACATATCTCGATTTCGCTTCCCTCGCGCACATTCAGCTTCAATAACTTGTGAACGCATTCTTCGTAGTTAAGTGATGACATAATGCATAAATATACTGTTTTGCGTAAATTCACCAAATCTTGGTTGGTCGAGTCACGGATTACAGTAGTGGGACCACCGGACTGTTGCCCAGATCCTGCATCATCTTCCCTCCTATCATCATCAGATTCTTGCTCTGCCTCCGAGTCCACACTAGAGTCGCTCTCGGCTCCGTTGTCTGACTCAGACATACCCATCAGCTGATTACGGATACGTGCCCATTTTTCCTCCTCCTGCATATATACTTCAGGATCAACGGGTCTAAATACATTCAACATTTCTTCTGCCGTGATGTTTTCATCCAAGAAATCCAAATCGTGTGTGATGCTGTCCTCAAGTTCAACTAGATCGAGTTCCGGTTTCACAGCTGGGTGGTCGGCGAACTTGTTGCGGAATGATTTCCATAAGGCCTCAATAGTATATTGAGTCTTCTTGTCGATTTTACCAGAACTCAAAATCTGTTTGAACCGGTCGAAAACCGCTTCTAAAGCTTGTTTAGCCTCTTCAGCCAAGAAGTTACCGACATCCTCGATGAAACCGGCAGCAACAGCAACTGAATCATCGGTAGGGTTTTCAAGCAAAATAGCAAGGAACTGCAAAGCTAGAACTTCGTGAGCCACTCGGTAGTTTACAAGGTGTGCGATTGATTTTGCCACTGTTTGGCAAGGGATACGGTCATTTTTTCGGAATGCACGACGGAACTGTAGAATTATACGCCGCAAAACCAAGTTACCTATTTCTGGAAACTTAGAGTTGATTACCGCCAGGAATGATGCATAGATGTCTGTGAAACCAGGCGAAGCCATTTGTGCACGGATCCAGCTACGTGCCAACAAACCGCGACCACGAATCAAGTTGCACTCCAGCAATTCCACTACGAGTTCCGATACATTTGTACATGTGAGTTTGTTCACAACAGCGTTTATCTTCTTCTTCAACTTCTCCCATTTTTGACGTTGATACTCAACAGAACCATCGTTTGCAACCTCTTTCTGGAGCATAACAAGCTTGAAAGGTGGGATATATATACCACCCAAACGGCCTGTAAAATTTGAAGTTACAGTTTCGGCTACATCTGCCCCTACATGGCCATTGTTTAAGGTTTGATCTGAAGTCACAGCGTCACCATTGGTACGCCGTAACTTGGTGTTTCGTTGGTCCCGTGGAGAAGGCGGGGCAGATGAAGCCACCTCGCCTTCCTCCCTTGAATCTTCATTCTTACGCGATTCGAAAGTCATGTTGGCCGGTCTTTTGCACTTAACAGTCAAAAGGAACGACTAATTATAGATTCTCTGGCGCGTCGGCCAGGCAGACGTTATAGCGAACGGTATCGATGGAGAATCGCGTATTCCCTCTAAATATTAATATACTACGATATACCGCCTTGCAATGGCAATTTAATAACTCGGAACCCTTAAAGCATGGTGGCTTTTGTGGGACACTGTGCGTCGTATTGCAGTACACACTCAAAAGATTATTAATGTCTTTTTATTATAAACATACTAGCTCAAATTTTCAACAAAGAAAGATATTAGACTTGTGACAAGACTACGGGTGGTCTGGGTGTAATTGACATTCCCGGTATCAGGTAGCTTCTGACAACTTAATCTATCAAAAGTGATAGTATGCTCTGCCATAGCGCAATTAGGCTATAATGCCGTGATGTGTAGTGTGGTTATTTCGTCTTCCTTCCCGCTGACCCGATAGACGAGCGTAATATCCTTGAGCCGGCAGATCGAAATAGTTTGTTGTTCACAACACTAAATAACACGAGGTTGAGTACCCAATGGCATACTTATACATGTGTAGTTCCACCAAAAAGTGGACGCCGCAAACATAGAGCGGCAAGTGCGTGGCCATGAAAAGTGCAAATACCCTGGCGGCAACGTATATTACTTTTTTTCGTCATACAGTCTGCCACAACACACAGTGCTCTCACAATGCTGCTACACAATCTGAGAAATCAGCAAAAATGCTGATAGTTATTGTTGACAGCGAATAGCATTTTGCCACCGATGCCCATTCGAATACAGTCACGATGCGATACCACTCCACAAGATGTCTGGAGAACCCAGAGTCCGGTATTAAAACGCGTTCTAGACTTCAGCTCATGAGGAGTAACCCAAATGTCACGACTAGGTTTCGATATTACACGGATATTGCGTATCACCTGAGGGTAATTGTAAAATATTAGGAGAAACATACCGGAGCACCTTTATAGTGCTTTAGCAAGATGTTTATACGATCACCATGTACGGAATATCCTCTAATAAAACCCTCATTGAGCAATAACTGCAAAATCTCAACATTTAGGGTGTGAAATGGACACCACTGACTGGCGGCATCCGTCCGCAAAAGCGGAACGACCATTTCGCAGGCTTTCTGCATATCTGCAGATGAATGTTATATTTAAACTAGCATTTTGCTTGTCTCCTATTAAAACGCTCGAGATCGAGCCGGCGGCACTTGTTAGAAGGGGTGGTATGACACAGATGCCTATCGCTGGCCAGATTAGGCCGATAAGTAAAAGATATTTAAGTGTCACATAACCAACTAGTTGGATACTAATACTGCCTCTTAAGGCTAGCGTGTATTGGGTGATTCGACCGGTACGTCCTTCCACGCGAACGACTCAGTCCCAAGGATTTATATAGTAACGCTTCAAAGTCACATCACCGGCGGTACACAATTATTTTACATATAAAGAAATAGAAAAACCAAAGGATCAACTAGTTATTGATCATCTTTCCTGCCACGGTGATGTGCTTCTCAGGGAAAAGGATACGCGCGAAAATCGACTGGAGCGAAATTCTAAGATTCACGGGCGAATATGTGAAATACGTGGACCACATTTATTTTTATTAACGCGAGAACACACTAACATTGGCACACGGGGTTCAAGGTTCATAACAGCAACGAGGTACAATAGAGCGATCCTACAAAAAGTGCGCGGTAAGTATACAATAATATATTTCTATATGGAACTTTTGATCTGATCTTTACTATGTAATTGTGATGGGAGCTACGATACACAACCTAATCGGAACTGGTACGTAGCAACCTTCAGAGCAGGTGTAGCACATATTTATTGGTTTCACAAAACCCATACGTAGAACTATATTTATAAAGGACTATCTTTGCTGTCTAAATGAGTGGTTGATATTCGGTTGCTTGCGAAATTAACAACCATGGTACAAGGGTCGTTGCGCCATTACGTATCTATATTCGCGTCATGGATAAATATATTTACAGGAAACTTCATACAAAAGACGAGACTAAAGGCCTTTATAATAGTCCATAACACACATCCAGTCGGCGGTACTTGAATTTTAAACGATTGGGATCATAACAAATAGACAACATGGTGGCCGATCAAAACTATGATTACCTCTTCAAAATCGTGCTCATAGGCGATTCTAATGTCGGAAAGTCCAATTTGCTAGATAGATTCGTCAAGGGAAACTTTAAGCTAGACTCAAAAAGCACTATCGGTGTGGAGTTCGCCACAAAAAATGTTACACTTAACAACGGAAAAATCGCAAAGGCGCAAATATGGGATACCGCTGGACAGGAACGATACCGCGCAATCACATCTGCATACTACAGGGGAGCCATGGGTGCCATCATCGTATACGATATAGCGTGTAAAGCGAGCTTCACAAGCGTCTCAAAATGGCTAACAGAACTACATGATTACGCGGACACAAATATTACCATATGCCTGGTTGGAAATAAAAGCGATCTCACCCACCTGAGAGAGGTCAATAAGGAAGACGGAGAGACATTCGCACGTGAAAACGATCTTATATTCTTTGAGACATCTTGCCTCAATAGCGAGAATGTCGATGTTGCATTCAAGGAACTCCTCAGCAAAATTAGCGAGAAGAACACCCGATACGACAATGCCGGGTTCTCGCTGACTGACTCACAAATGCCCAAAAATGCAATTGTCCTAGGAGCTAAAACAGGGAAAAAGAAAAAAGCGAAATGCTGCCGGTAGTATACTATAGTACATGTTACCCTGAATTAGGTGGTTTAATTTAAACATTTTAAAGCTCATTGGCATACACAGTTGTAATGACAGCTATCTCCTGTAGCGTCGATCCCGAGAGTGTGACCTGCGGGGATATGGTCGACTATGACCTTCCGGGTAAGGAACATTGCGTCTCCGGGATTCGTCGTCCCTATAGCGCGGACGTTCATACTGAAACGCATCACGACGCCTGTAACTATCCGTGTGGTCACGATCGTGACCACAGTAACGGTGATACCGCCTATCATAGCTATTCGGATGATGGTCATGGTACCTTGAACGGTTAAAAGTGGCCCGACGCCTCCGTTCACGATCATTCAGATAGTCAGAGTGAGTATGCCTCTCATAATCACCAGAGTAATCACGAGTCTGCCGGCGGAACCCCTCCCGAGATTCGCCGCTGCCCTTGGGAGGCTCGATCTCACGAAATCTGGGCGACTTTATTCCCTCCTCATTTTCATTCGTATTATCATCAGAATCATCACTGCGATGGTCAATGTCCCTGTGATGGGAAGAATCGGATGGGTCTTCATTTGTATCACCAGATGACGGTGGCTCAGGTGTCGGTTTAACGCCAGTAACGTTGACATAACGGGGTTTACCCATCGCATACAGACTTTCTAGCTGATTACAAATCAACACAATGTCCGACCAACGCGCGTTAAACACGACAAACCATTCATCCTCCTGAGAAGCCATGAAGAACAAAACAAACAAGCCCACCTTACGCAGAGGGATACCTAGAGATGTTGCCGCCATGTATATGCACCCGGCAGCAATAACACCAGGAGTAGCAGTGCAGCACAGTGTAGTCCTCATGCTGAAGCGAGATGTTTGGTTTTACAAACATAAGCCGGTATAGGACCGAAGGGCTGCGAACTAACCTGTCGTTCAAATAACCCCAGGCACGTTGCGCAACGTCACTCACATCGTAGCTCGAATATTCACTCAAGTTACGAAAAAGGGCGAAGACGTACTGCAGCACGTACCGATGGGGGCATACTACTAAACTATCCAAGCGAAAACCGAACTCCACCAAGATATCACGTTCTATCCTCAATATATCTTTGTGAAGGATCTACAAAGGATTTTAAGCATCCTACAACGCTAAATAACCTCGTCTAAGTGGACAGTGATATCATTCCCAGTCTCAATCTCGTTGTTAATCAAAAAGTCAAACACACGAGCTACGTCCTTAGCTTTACGCATGTTCTCTTCCAATTTGGCAGCCAAAAAACACGCACTAGCAGCGCCAGACTAACACACATTGGCGTATAAGCACCCTTAAACTTACACGAATATCAAAATCGCGAAGACTGCGCTTAAAGTAGTATTGATGTAGGATAGTCTGACCGGTTGCGATAGTCACAGCGTTAAGCTGCAGCAGAATACCCGCCTTCTAATGACACATCAAAATAACGTCGATAAATGCGAACCTGGATCAGATCGCAGCCGTAGTTTCGTAGCAATCGATCAGTGTAAGAGTCGACATCTCCAGGTGGAGGAGGATCAAGGACCTCTGTCCCCATTGCGATGACATAATATTGCTGCCATAAAAATGCGATAAATATAAATAATTATAATTGTATTTTTAAACTATAAAAGAGGGGTTGCTCCGGGAATCGAACCCGGGACCTCTCGCACCCTAAGCGAGAATCATACCACTAGACCAAGCAACCGGCAACCAGGGGGCCCAATCTTTAATACATGACACTATGTAACGCTTCTTACAGCATTGGAGATTCATATTATTGACACCGGCATTTCAGTTGGGATGTCATTGATGGACCGCATTCGACAGTGATCATAAGTTTCGAAACGGCATTTGGATGGCTCAGTATGAATCAATTGCTCGGTTGCTGGACAGCCATGTCATTAAGATGGTAGTTGTTGATATATAGAGAGAAAAGGCAAATCTCCATTTCTACTTAACTAACGTTTACAAAAGCTAGAGCTACGACGAACACTCACGCAGTGAAAGCCGAAAACCAAGGAAATGGTCTCGGCATAGTTACACATGCACGAATTCATAGTGAATTTTTATCAAAAATATTGCTAAATTAAAAAAATTTTCAGACTGTTTTGTCGCCCATCACCTATGTAATCTGCATTATTTGATGTTTCTACCAGAGATGTCTACAATATGGCACGAATTATAGTTTCCAAAAAAAGGTACGGGTGCGGACAATCAGACCAATACTGCCATGCCATAACGCATATCACGGCAACAGTCAAGCCCCCACCAAAGGCTGCTTGGTCTAGTGGTACGATTCTCGCTTCGGGTGCGAGAGGTCCCGGGTTCGATTCCCGGAGCAGCCCGTTGTTGAAGATGTGAACTTTGCATATTATATACAATGCCGTCATTATTCTTATATTTCTATCAACACACATAATATGTTTTTTTAAATTCTTACTTCAGTCACAAATAAGCATGAGTGAACTGGAGTTACCAAGTAATCTTAGCGTCGAATTCGGGGCCTACGTCCATTTCGCATATTACATCGGTAAATATCTAATACAGCAGTGCCCCGAAGAAACGTGCAACGAAAAGAGGCTCGTAGAATGGTATGTGAGGGGAATCTGCAGTAATAACGTGTAGGTACCTCGATCATTTCCGAGGCTTGCTATCGCAGGTGTGTATACAATTTATGCCACTTATGGAGTTGCAGACAAACGCAAGCGCCAGTAAACTACAGATGCTGTACAGCAAGTTAGTAAACAACCTCGTCCGTGACGAATGCCTTACCGTAAGTCCAAGCGGAAGCACATAGATATGTCTAGGTCGCTGAGGAGACCCCCGAGGGGCGTATGCTTCGGAAACATCCTTCGTTCTTCGTTTGGGCGTGGCGTGCCCAAGCCAAGTCCCATGAGTATAACGTGCTAAACCTCTAACGGGTACCTATGGTACACCGAGCTAGTAAGGAGTCAAAAAGGGGCATCCTTACGAGCTCCGGAGAGTCATACGTTTCCTAATGAAATCGAAATTTGACGCGGTTTTGTCAGGCCGCTTGGTCTAGTGGTATGATTCTCGCTTTGGGTGCGAGAGGTCCCGGGTTCGATTCCCGGAGCGGCCCCTTTTGAGCATCTCAAGAAACTTTGTGGATGCAAAACAATCATTGAAAGTTAATGTTTTTCACTGTACATGGCAGTAATTGTCACGCGTCGTCTGTCCACCGCTTCCGGTACTCGGGCGTTCCTGCTGGGCGGATTGTGATCCTGCATTTCCAGGGCTACCAGCTTCTGGCATTGGTTGGTCGCTGTTGGGTTGTGAACTGGTTTCTACGTGACGTTGTACTTCTTGTACCAAACGTGATCGTAACTCCTCTCGCTGACGGTTGTAGTCCTCGTCGTCTGTGGGAAGCTCATACCGGCACACGGGGCAAGAATTGTGCTGCTTCAACCAAGGCACAATGCAATCAACGTGGAAACCGTGGCCGCAAACCTTACGGTCCTTGCAAAGCCAGTTAATGCGATCACCTGCAGCGAAGTCCTCCGTACAAATAGCACAAGTGCCAAGCTGCTTAGCTTGCTCCTCGTCAAGCGTCTCTACTTCCAGAGTCTCCAAGACACGCTTAGCGGCTGGTGGCGAACCTTGACGATTAGGGTCATTTTCCATGACGTAATACAAAATTTGGTTCATAGCTTGAACGTCAAATGGATTTTGTAGGAAAACTCGGAAAAGCTGTTGTGGCGTACCCTCGAAAGCATCGCCGTAAACAGCGCCAGTGGCCTGACGGAAAGATGGTCCTTCAACGGTTGGACCACCCATTGTGGATCCCATAACAGAGACACCGGGAGAACCGGTCATATTACTGCGAAACGTGAATGTCGCATTCTGATGCATAGGGCCCACAACACCCTGGAATACTCCTTGGATAAAGTTGCTCAGAGGCATGCCCAATGCGGAGGAAAAGGGATCGTTGGTGCCACCAAATGATTGCCCAGTGGCTGTCTGGAACCCGCCCCCAGGTGAAGGACCCCCAAACGTGTGGATCGTAACGGTCGGACTGGGACGACTTGGGGCCGATATCTGAATAGACCGTCAAAAAACGATATTTGAAGGGAAATCGTGAAACTAACAAAAAGAACGTACAGCAGGACACGCAGCACGAGTCGTCATATACACTATTAAAATAAAATTTTCACGGCGCGGCAGACCGTCCATAGACAAATGAGTAGTTGGAGATACAACGTAGCTCCGGAAATGCCATAAAGGCTACTACTGATGCCCGTAATCAATGAACAGGTGCTGTAGCATAAGCTCGCGCGGCTGAGTAGGGACTTATTGAAACCGACTCAACGGCACAACCGACGTTGTCGTATGTCGAGGTTTTAACAAGCAAAATTTTACACCATATGACATATGAAACGCACATGAATAAGTACTAACTTTGTAGCAAAATGTCGTTGCTCCGCGGCAAGAAAATAATAGCCGAAGCATAACGCCAACACAAACCCACCTTCTCTACGAAACCTTCATTGTTGCAGACTAGACACCTAAAATCTCCATTATAGCATGGTAAAACTTCGTTGGGAGCCCGTTGGCTGTTGCAGTTGTGGCAGAAGTAAAAATATACCTCGTTGCTGCTCATCGTGCTACACAAACAAGTCAATGCACAAAGCAGCTCTGAAGCGCGCCCATAACGACGCCAAATAGTTATTTGTAACGCCTTTCATATGCAAAGGCTTTCTAACGCGTCATTACTGATGACGGCTAGGCAGCAAGAACACCACAGCAGCGCGGCGGGCCGCGAGGCACGAACAGTAAACGTACGTCAACAGGTAAATGTCGGACAACGCATCCCGCATGAGGCTGTGGATGCTAAAATTTGCAGTAATATTCTAGTGTGCGCGTGACTCGTCGATATAATAGCCCCGTAGGGTCGGTTCTGCCCAGGGGCAAAGAAAAAGGGAGCGACGGGCCCACCCGCGCCTTATAAACGTACATCTAACTTGTCATTTCAGTCACAGCTTTTATAAAACAGCTGCCCAGGTGGTCTAATAAGATACCGATGTGTATAAAAGGTGTTGCCGTAGCCAATTGCGTGTAAAGTGATCTATCATTAACCATCGTAAAGAAACGGAGACCAAATAGGCCCTAGTCCCCTATTAGACCATTTTTGGGCTAGTAGAATTCCGTAACCTTGGTATCAGCTGCAGAAATCAGCTTAGTTACTTTCTCAGCTCCCACGATGGGCTCCAGTTGGTTGGCGTGGAAGCGCGTATATAGCGTCACAATAGAGTTCTTTTTAGACAGATCCATCATACGGAACGCCTCACGGTACAGCTCGTGGTAGTCCGGGGGTATGACGAAAATTACGCGGCTAGTGCCTTTTATCAAGTAACGCTTGAAAAAAAGCAAACGTGATGTCGTAATAATAGCGCGCGCCTTACCTGAAATTGATGTTAGCGCCACTATATATCATGTAATCGCCATGGAATCCAGTGAAACCCGCCGATAACGGAAATTTTGGTGGCAACAAGGCGCGATAAACAAACTTAAACATACCTGCCTGAAACTGCTGACGAGCAAAGACCATTTGCTTTCCTGAATTTGACTCGTGGCATGGCAAATATTCAAAATTGGCCAATTTCAAGTCATTTTGGATCCTAATGCGTGTTGTTTGTGACGTGAAACAAAAGGACAAACCTCAAAAAGTGAGTGTAGTCACCGAGAACAACCAAAACATTACCAACGCCGTGGATACCATGTATCATGTTCTTTAGGAAGTAGTTGAGCAAGGAACCCTCAGATTCCTTCACGTTAGATGCTGAAACCTTAACAAATAACTGTTGGATACGTAATTTAGACCCCAAAAGCACAAAGTCATTACGTGGGATGCACGAAAGCTTAATGGAACCACGACGATTGGGCATACGCTTGAAAAATGAATTGAAAACAGAATGCTGAACACATGAAACACACACTGACTGGCGGTACACCTCGCACTGACCGTCAACAGTTGAAAGGCGTAATCGGTTCAGGTCGGCATCGCGCCACTTCTTCAAGGGCAGATTCAACTTTTCAAAAACATCAATGAAAAAACGCCAGTTCTGGAACTTCAACACATCTAAACGATCCACTAAAAGAACCTCAATGCTAGATAAAAAGTCGTATTCATCGTCCTCCTGTAACATTATCTTAAGACCCAACGGAGAAGCAACAATCACATCGCTGGTATAAAACGGTGTATACAGTCGTAACATTCCACCTTGATAACGGATGCCCATCTTAAAAGCATCATCCTGGTTACCAGAAAATGTCTCTACAAAGTCAAAAGATTTATTAGTCTTACGGAAACTCGAAACCTGAGCGGACGCTTCCTCTTCAGGTAAATCGTATTCCTCGTAAAACTTGTCCACCTTAGGATCCTAAGACCAGAAATAAACAATACGTAAACACAGCCACATACCTCCTTTTTTACTGATAGTAAAGTTATGAGATGGTCGATGAAGTCACGTGCCATGCACTTCAGCCCGCAAATATACAAAACACGTGGGCGTGTGAATCCGTGAGACTGCTCGACAGTCGAGTTCACGCTCTTGCATATGTGATTTGCCGTGTGTAATGCGTATAGAAAACGCACGGAGGATATGTCACCGACCTTACATCCTGCGTAGAATACGTCCACGTAACTGTTCAGGCAATGGAACAGATATCGGAGGCGATGGCGATCCTTAAGCACCTCCTCGCCTGAATTGGACTTGCGATGGAGTTTGGCAATTCGTTTTTGCAGAGACGTATGTATGCCAAAAGAGGTGGCGTCAGACAACACACCGGGAAGTACTTTGGCTTTCAACAACTCCTCCAGCACTGGAGTTATAAATCTGAACTTATAGCTTTTGAAGTACGGTAAAGGTGTCGACGAGGTCGGTGAAGATGGCTCTGTAGCTTTGAGATAATCCTCGTAGCCCATATTAAACGACTCAATCGCGTCATCACGAATGTCTGTGCACGGCTCGCCAGAGACATCCTCAGGCTCAGAGCCTGCATCGGAGGCTAAAGAAGCTGACAACAACTGATCTAGCTCTTCAATTGCATTATCTACATCGTTACATTTGCGGCGCTTGTTAGATAGAGTCTTTTTGCCAAGTACCTGAAGAAGTTGCTCGAAAGCTGACGAAGCCTCGGGATCCGCTTCTCCGGCTTCCATAACTAGTTATATTATACACATACGAATTATGTATAAGATGCGATAAAAATTAATGCTCTGTAGCTCCACTCACGGTAGAGCGGGCACGACGTAACACCTTTAACACACGATAGACAACAGTGAATTCACCGCAGACGACTATACACACTGTTACAGAATATTAAAGTCAAGTGTGTGTAATATATAAAACTTTGGTTGCACAAATTCGGGGTTTTACTTACTAACTGATGCTACCGCTCTAAAGTAAAGAAGATTCCACGTCACCAAAAGCGCCAATGTCAGCGCCCCTTGTTTAGTACTGGACATACGCTTATGTGGATATTAATGCTTGAGTTGACTATATGAAAGAACACTAGAAAAGGTGGCGACCGTGCTCCTAGTCTTATCTTCCCTTTTACACGGGATACAAACATCGCAGGGATACTCAGTGCCACTAAATCACGGACATATTAGCGAGCCACAATGGGTGTTGCGTTGCCCTGGATATCGTACGACACATATAAGTTCCCAAAAAGATAATGGGAAGGGCTGCCAAGGTGGAAATGATCGGAGCACGCTGCTCACGACGCCACTATTCTATGTCAACGATGCATTCCATGTAGGACACGCGTACACAATGGTGGCGGCGGATGTCATCAAACGCTACCATGCTCTATTAGGTAAAAACGTTGTTTTGCTATCTGGCACAGATGAACACGGGACCAAAATTGAAAATGCCGCCAACGCCATAGGTAAAAAACCACAAATATATGTGGAACATATGCGCAATCACTACAAGGAAGTACTAGAAACTTACAACGTCCAGGTGGGTATCAACGTTCATACTGCGGTAGACGAACACAAACGTAAAGTCAAACAGGTCTTCGCCCACTTGCTGGATAAAGGCGATATCTACCAGGGGATGCACGAAGGATACTTCTCACCCGCTGAAGAAACCTACTACACTCATTTCCAAATAACAAACGGAAAGTCGCCTCAGGGATTCGACGTTCACCCTGTGGCTGAGAAAGCATTCTTCTTCAGGCTTTCCAAGTACAGGGATGCATTGCGCGAATTGATAAGCAAGGAGGGGTTCATAATGCCAAAAGAACGACAGAATGAGGCACTGGCACTGTTAAACGGCGACATCCCCGATATCGCTGTAACGAGGTCAAACACCAACTGGGGAGTGCCAGTAGACAAACAAGGATTTGAAGAACACACCATATATGTCTGGTTGGACGCACTCTTGGGATATCACATAGATTACAAACAACATGGAATTGGTGAAAATACTATAATGTTGTTCGGAAAGGATATATTGCGCTTCATCGCTCTAGTGTGGCCAGCACTCTTGATGTCATTAGGTTTGCCACTACCGCATCAAATGATTTGTCACGGATGGTTAATGACAAACGGTGAAAAAATATCAAAGTCAAAAGGTGAAAAGGTCTTCGCATTGCCTGCTATCGGAACTTCCGACGTTTCAAGGTTCGTACTTTTGAACCTCGGGGCATTTGGGGAGGACGTTCAATTCAACAACGAACGGGTGGCGAGCCTCACCGATATGGTAAAAGATAAGTATGCTAACCTAACACACAGACTCACCGGAATCATACATAAAAGAGGTATTCAAGAAATAAGTCACGATGTCCAAGGGGAAATACACCCATTTGTTGAGAACATTGTTAACAAATGGGAACAACTACAGCAAACAATGACACAGTACAGAATCGATAGATACCTCTCCGAGATAAACGAAATAGAGAAAGACATCAATGGCTATATCACGGAAAACCAGTTATGGGAGATTCAAGATGATTCAGAGCTGAAGCCACATGTGCTTACGATGTGTCAGGCCCTATTGGCACTAACCATCTATTTCTCTCCAATTATGCCACAACTTGCAAGCATGAACCTAGAGAGGCTGCAGCCACATGTCAACAATGTGCCAGTAAAAGTTGGAGTGGCGTCGGACATGCTGCGGACCCTGGGACATATGGATTTCAAGCCACAACATTTAGGCGTCCTAGTGTAATCGCTTGGTGTACTCACGCGAACTCCATTTGTTCTTGCCGCTAGTAGGGCGGCGGAACCACGGCCATGTCCTGGTGCTGCGACATCTGTTGGTCACGAAAAAGAAACTTACGGCGGTTTACGGTAGTGTACGGCGTCACGCATGCTCTTAAGTTTTGCAGCTTCAAGAGATTCAGTTTCGGGGAACAACTGGGACGCTTCACGTACTGAAACATCATGAATCAGGCAGCCTACGAAATTTACCTATAGGACGCTGGTATGAAAGGTGCTCACGCTCCTCGTAACTGGTAGGCAGATGACGACCCAGCACAATTCGCCGGAAATACCACGTACGATCGGTTTTGCAGATGTCATGATGAAGTAACATGTCATCAACATCTTTTAATGTGCATTTAACAGCCTCAGACAAGAGCACTTTGGCTTGATGGCTGAATACTGATGCTGAGTCCGACTCCTTTTCCCGAGGGGTCAGAAACTTCATCATTTCATGCTGTAATTTCAATTGTCTCAAAGGAGCACTTAAATCTTCGTCGGGAATAGGGCGCTTCCCTATGAGGCGTAGTTTGGTGCATATGTCCTCTAAATAAGTAGCGAACTTGTCAAACGTGAACTCGCCAGGCTGTTGCATTAGACGCTCCACGGAGTATTGGAAGTATTCCGTGGTCTGTTCGTCAGGGTCACCCTCATCTATGCGGGTTACACGCTTGATGCTTTGCCACAGCTTAGTAACCAACGATGACTCGCTCTTCGTTTTAGCGTATAATTCCAAACCCGATGTACCCTTATCCAGTTTATCAGGTGGCTTGCTAATAGGCTGCCAAAGCGATATAGAACGCGATGGCAGATACTGGCACTTTAACGCTGTAGGGAGCGGACGATGATTCAAAGTAGCCAAGGGCGACCTCGAGAACCAAGTTTGCGATAGGCGGTAGCCCGGCATGTTTAAAATATTAGACCGTGGAAGTCGTACGAATCATCATTGGCGTCACCTTAAGGTGTATATGCGGTCAAATCTGCGATAATATTCTATATTTTTAAGTAGAGGTCCGGCCAAAAAGTAGCTGGAGGGCCGCGAAGCTTAAAGTGTACTTTAAATCGTAATATTAAATGCGTGTTGTAAAACAATATAAATCACAGTAATTTTGAAATTACACATACCGACGTACTGCCCAGGCATAGCAACGCAGGTAGACAGGTGATGTGTAAGGCGCTGAATGATGGGCACATTAAACGGAACGACCCATTTTACAACATAGAGTTATATATAATATTTACTAATTCAATAATTGCCGTATTATCGTCTACACGGTCCTCTTACATAAACGGTACTACCGCAAAAAATAAAATCCATCACGTATATACCACTTTTATTGCGATGCTCTTAACGAGAAGCTTAACAACTGTTTCGGATTATTCCATAGTGCACTAGACCGTATAGCAGGCACTCCGGAAGCAACAATACGCACCTCACAGGGTACCCTGCATAGAGCTTAGATATCCCCGCTCTAAAAGACGCCTGAATGGCGTTAGAGGTGTACACAGATGACACTTACACGTATAGATGATGCGAGATTATTGAATGATGTACGTCCCTTATGATGCCATGTTTCTTGTTGGTAACGAATCCTGCAACAATCCATGTAACTCATGACTACCGACCCACCTCATTGTGTCCAAAGGGTACGTAACCGTACGTGCTATAAATGCCGAAAATGAACCGAAAATGATGTTCCAAGGGAACATCTCGATAGGTTTGAGTTCTGAAGTATGTTGAATAACGATAGATTCGGCAGTACCCGACGGCTCAAGCGGACGAATAGTTGAGTTCAACACTGGATTCCTCTCAATCTGATAACTCAACCTCTCCTTCAACTTCCCCTGAAGGTGGTCATTCAGCGATAAGGCTACCAAGAGATGGAGCGCTGTAGACGCAACGCATAGAGAGTAACCACTGTAGAGGCGGCCAAAACCTAATCATAATATAACGTACTAAATCGATACTTACCATGTTCTGTGTATACCTCATTAAAGTACCTTCGTAATGAAACATCACGACCCAGCGTCGAGACAAATCTCCCGTAGGCAACGTCGAATGGATAACTGAAGAGGTGGGCGAAGTTACACAACATAACTGTGCCCATGTAGCCGCTTCCCAAAGAATCGTTAGCACGTGGATATACACCTTGGCCCGAGACGCTCCTCGTGCCAATCAATACTGCTGGGAAAACCGCTCCAGAAAATATATGGATGCGAGCAAGGCTCCATAATCTCCGAAAACCGATAGAATCGTAGAGCCCTGAAATGGAGTCATCATGAGTTAAGATGCTGTATAACACATGTAACTGTAATATTGAAACCTGGCTACAAATGCAGCAATGTCAGCTTAACGAGACATGCTTTGACCAGATGAAAAACTGCACTACTCATGGCAGCCAAATATAACCAAAAAGTGATGACCCACCGCCTAGTATACTGAATGGAGTGGCATTTAAAAGCTGTAAGCTCCTATAGAAGGACTGGTTTCCACCCTGATACGCCACACATGCGCGATAAATTGGTGCCAAAATGAGACGTTGACTAGCGAGGGGAAGCACGTGGGCAAGATATTGAGTAAGATGCATACGCGTCTCTCCTACACGCTTCTTGTGTTTTTTTGAGTTCAACTTCCGCAAGTTTTGCTTAAGTTGCTCAAAGCGTTCGTTGGCCAAGTTAATCATTGTTCAAAGATAGACAAGGGCTCCCATTACGTCATTAGACTTCATTACACAATATACAGGTATCTATGGGCTGAAAGACACTAAATATACTCCATGTATACCCGAGCCTTGCTCTATCGAGCGTGTCTGAGAAATTGGATGGCGCATAAACACATCCTCTATGGCACAGAAATATAGATGTAAACAGCACTTCTAAGACACTATATATAAACAAAAAGGCTCTGGCAAGTAGTTGTGGAACTTAACAAGGTGCAGGACCTGGATAACAGTAAATGTGTAACTGACAAGCACCAGCAATAACGACAGTCTATACATCCTCATGAACAAACACACTCGGACGACTTTATGGAATATTGAAATTAGAATAAATTGAAGTTTGAAACATCATGTGACAGCAAACCTTTATGAAGCCGCTGCGAGGTGACTGCCGCGTCATACCAACGGAACCATGAATAACAATGTCAACATACACCCATCGCGGTGTATCACTGCGGTGTTCACATCGCTTTACATCGTGGTAGCGCTCGTAGGTATGTTACAAATCTAAATAATTCATGATCGTCAGGTATAGGAGTAGGCATCCTACTACTACGACCTTTCGTACATATCAATGTAAACAGAAATATGCCACAACAACTGGGAACGTGGATCATGAAACTGGACGGTTCAGGTAACCTTGTTACAGGTTCTGATTTTGTTGTAGATGTCTCATTCTACAACACCTCTATTTTCCCAGTCACGTTCAGCCCTCAAAAAGCATCTTTCTACCATTATCCCATAGGATCCACCGTGGAATGCCTTAAGTTCAATTATATTGGTAATTCATACTAGTATGACTATTACAAACCCTTAGGTGAGGGTTCTAAAGAACCGAAATCGAAGCAAGTGGGCGCTAAATTGCATAAGGACGTGCTTATGGACACTGTTGATGGCCTGATTCAACTTAAAAGCTTAGTGGTGAGTATTATACTGGCTATAAGTGCCCAATTAGTTAATATGAGATAATAATATTTGCTTCAGATTACGGTGCCTCCAAAGACATCGCAATTTGGCATGTACACAACAAAAGCTCCTGTGGAGGCTTATTTCGAGATAGCAAAGGATAATAGTACACTGTTAACACAACTGAAACCTCTTTATTTGGATTGTAAGAAACATAAGGCGCTCATGTTAGCCATGCGGATAGAAGGGATAAACGACACGTTATGGTTCGTCAAAACACATGTGCCAGTGATATACGAACTACTCCTTCCACTCAACTGTGAAGTGCAAGGGGAAGTAGGCAAGTTGTTTGAGGCGAAACAAATGAATCATACTGGACTGCTGCAGGATGCAACAAACTTCGTGGAAAAAAATGTAAGCTAGTTGGCAAATCCCTACGCATTATCAACGGTACGGCAAATTACACGTGGTATTGAAATGATAAACGCAAGTTGCTTGCCAACTTTTTGACACAATGCGGTGGCAGGGGATATATCTCGTTGACCAGTTAGATTGTAGGAGTTAGAAGCTCTGATAGAGTTTTCATGTTAGATAGCTCTGTTTCCAGGTCATAATGAACAATTCGTTTTTAACGTGACACCACACTGTACGAATATCGGAAACAGCGATTGGTATCTCAATCATTGCGAGATACGGTATATGAGGAATAGTCAGCTGTGCTGTTAGACACAGGTGGTACCAACGAGAGTAGTGGAGAGCCGCGTACTCACCGTCCTCAGACTTCCTCCCAACACATCAACTATAAAAGGAGTGAATAATGAAACCTTTTTCAAAATCATATGTATACGTTACCTTACCGTGTACGCGTGAGGGTGGGAGATGGATAGGGATACCCAGATTGATAAGCGAACCCTACCTTGTTGAAACAGTAGCATAATTTAGTGGCAATGTGTAACACATTTATATATCGCCACCTAAAATCATGGTAAATGTGAAACCAAACCATGATGGTGAACCGTTGTGTGTCGCCAGAATCCTAGCTGCTTGACCATCTCAACAACTTAAAAAACAGTCGTTACAATGTTCAATGAACTGGAATATGTATGGATGGCCCTTTTTGGTGACTGTGTAGTCCCAGAGCTCCGACACAATGAACACATTTTGAACTCGTCAATTGCAGCCGAGTTTTCGTCGATTGAACGTGACGGAATCGGGACAAGAAATGATGAAGCAAAACTTTACAGTCTAAAGAAGGTGTTACAGGTCATTCTGGACAACGCTGACTCGGAACTGACCGAGGTGGCAGTGGAGGCTGTTTTCAGAGCAAGAGAAGAACTTGTGGTAAGTTTAGGTTGCTGTTCATATATCGTAAACATCTATATTTATTGCTATATGAGCAATGTCCTGTTGAAATTGGGACGTTAAAAAGCGCTGACAGCTTCCACGTTACCAGGATAGAGACGCATTCACACCTTACTGCAGAACGTGTTCAAAAATGTCTCACAAACTCAAGGATTTAGTGAAATGCTTAAAGATGCTATAAAATTGATCATTATAGACGCACTCAATCGCAAAGTCAAGGAGCGCAACCCAGAATTCACGACGGCTACAACCGACCTCAGCAACGTAAAAGCTGCAAGGGGATATTTCGAGAAGTCAGCTCAGCTCAAAGACCTCTTGAGAGATATCAAACGGCTGGACGAAAACATAGAAGGGACACAACGAAACATTCAACAGGTTAGACCGTCATCGTTTTTGACACACGAATTGCAGATGAAAGCCACTTTACACGACGTTGATGAGTACATAATGGCACTTCAAAACAAGGAAGGATCATAAATTTACCTTGTCGGCGGCACGTACAACCTATTGCGAAACGGCCGACGGACATCACGGGCGAGGGATTGGACGCTCACCTTTGATCAAAAAGTCACATGTAGCTAAATAAATATTGACAATAATAAATGGTGTTCCGGGTCGCGGTATCCAGTGTGCTGGCGCGGCGACGCGCCGACTCCAATTGTTAGGCTCTGGTATGGGGAGGTGACGACGCAAGAAACGCCTGCAGTCGCAATTAGACGCGCGAGAAAGCCGTAGGCCTAGATACCATACACACCATTTTAGAACTCTCTCCTTGTGATTAACAATAAGCAAAATGCATCGAGGTTACGGTCCACGGGAACCCTACGCCAGACGCGAGGAGTACGACATACGCGGGGCCCCTCCTCCATACGACCGTGAAAGAGGATTTGAAAGGTACGATATGAAGAGGGAACGACCCGCACCATACGAACGACCAAGGGGAAGCACATATCATCGCGATGTGCCTCAAGAGTATCCAAGATATAGAGATGAACCCCCTAGGTACAAGGATGAGCCTCCAAGGTACAGATATGACGCACCTAGGTACCGTGAAGGGCCCCCAAGGTACAGAGATGAACCACCTAGGTATAGGGATGAGATGCCGAGATACAGAGAAGAATCTGCGAAATACAGGGAGGATGGCGGAAGGTACAGGGAAGAACCCTCCAGATATAGGGATGAACCTAGCAGGTATAGGGATGAGTCGGTACGATACCGCGACGATCTTAGGTATCGTGACAGCTTCAGCGCGCCAAGAGCGGGACCCGTCCGTCGTTATGATGAAAGGTCGGCATATCTGGAACCGCAGAAGTCAAAAGTTTTTATCGGTAACCTTGATGGTAGGGTTAGCGAGGAAGACCTTACCGCTGCATTTGGCAAATTCGGACCCATTAATAGGATCGATTATAGGAGGAATTTTGCATTCGTCGACTACGTGAAGGCCCGAGACGCCGAGGCAGCAATGCGCGAAATGAATGACCGTGTACTCATGGGCGCTAAACTCAAGGTGGTACCGCATTCAGAACGTACCAAGCGCACCGAAATGAACCGGGAACCTGATTTCGCATCACAAGCAACAGTCCTTAATCTCGACAACAGTGCAAGCTGGCAAGATCTCAAGGACTTTGCGCGCCAGGCAGGAGAAGTCGTATACGCTTCCGTTATCATAAGAGACCAAAAACGATATGGTCTTATTGAGTTCACAACGCCTAAAGCTATGAAGAATGCAGTGGAACTTCTCGATGGTAAGAAAATTGCGCAAAATGAGTTGCAAGTCGTACCCATGGCTGTGAACGACTACCTAAAGATGCAGATGAATGAGCCCAGCGACGTCGAACGCACAATGCCAGAACGTACAATACCAGAACGTCCTGTACCCGAGCGTCACGATGACCTAGCCGCGAAGAAAGAATTGATATACCAAGATGAACAGTTGGATTCTGTCGATTACGATTGAACAATACTGTTATATTTTGCGTCCTTGGGGAAAGCCGGTGATATCGCAATCCATGCGATACCTGGTATTCCGGAGTAGGGACATAAAACGGGTTGCCGTAAAACATGTGGGACAAACGTGATTGATTGATGTGCGAGGAGCTAGTGGTGCACACGGGAATCTAAAAAGAGTGACAGGATTCTCCTGGTAACGTGAGAGGTACCTGTCTAAATATATAGTGAGCACCCAAAAGACTCTAGAAAAGAATTAATAATCCATGATTTAAAATGGCTCGCGTTTTGTGGTATGGAACCAATAGTTAGCGGTGACAGTTTGCCAAATATTGAATGAACATCACTGGAGGGTACAGTTGGTCTCATGATCTTTTGCAGGGCATGTTGTGGGTCAACTGAACGTGGTAGTTATTTAAATTCTGTTTCGTGTCTAAGGATATGAACAGTGGATGACCGTTAAAATGGGATGATTCATCTCTGGTGGCGGTGTCTTAGACCACCTGGTAACAGTTGGACTTTGTACGCTTATATACCGACCTGATTGAGGCTTTGTGTTTAGGGGTGCTATATCAGGTGCATTATGCCATAATTAGTTATAACCTCAATGCACAACATAGTGCGCCGTTATATCCTGTTTCTTTCCTTTGTGCTATATAGGTATGTGCCATTGCAAGATTTATCGTAGAACACTAAGAAGGCTCTAGCGGGCTGGTTACTGTAGCTTTAGTTGCCGTGGACGCCTGGTTGCCAGAGCTGGCAAACTAGGGCAGGTTCCCGATGGCTCCATTTTATGGTAGAGATTATGATTATATTCTGTAGTCCCGCAGTTTTCGTAAGGGAACCTGGGCCGTCACATGTGAGGAACATGTCGAGCACTTTAGGTGCGTTTTCGCCTACAGTGTCTCGGCGTGTTGCGCCACGTGGCTTGGCAGCTCTGGGTTTTCGCTCGTCGTACCATTACTGGCTGTAACATGCCACCTAAGCCATGACCCTCCCGCGGGGTCGTGTAAATACCTTTTAGGAAGGCTGCCTACTGCAGGCCTGATTTGAGACGCCCCTGTGGCGGTGGTTCTGAATGTTACAGAATCACGCAATAAGATCTCCCTGATATTCTCGGACATTCACTTTGGTTGGTATTGTGACGTATGCCGATGCTACGTTGCCAATTTAACGGGCCTTTACCCATAACGTTCACACGAACGACTCCGTGTTGCTATTGCGCTATAGGGAACACCCATGTACCTAATTGGATCATAGGGGCGAAAGGCGGTGTAATGTGATTGGAAATGTCCAGTACTCAACGTCTGTGGTCTGCCGAAGACTGAATGGACCCGGGGAAATGTCTTGGTTTCATAATCACTGCTGCTTTCTGATAATTCTTGCAGTTCCCTAAATGGGCGTCAAATGTAGGGGATTTGGTGTGTCAAGCCGGTAAATGGCCCTTAGTCGTGCTCAAAAGAAGATGACACTTGACACATTGGATTATTCTAGTGTTAAATGGTTTTATGTAATGAATATAGCGTGAAACTGAGTGAAATGTTATAAACCTCACCAATCGAGAATTAATACACCGTGTAACTCACAGCCACAACAAATCCTAAATGTGCTGTAAACAATTTTGTGTGCCTCCAACCACTTTATGTAGCGATAAATGCGCCTATAAGACACATACTTTGAAAGGGCCATATATATCTCGGCAAGGATGATTCAACGCCTTATATTGTACTACGCTGGTAGTACTCAGAAAGCAACCTCTTGGTGGCATTAACCATTAGAATCTAATAGCACAGACAAATGTGTGATTTTATTGGTTAATAGAGTTGTATCTCACTGTTTTGAATGCAACGTATCACCAGTTAACATTGGATCCTATGCCAACATAGTTATTGGTAGCATTCGGTGTGTGTTAGCCAACTTCCCACGCCATCGAATGCATAGCGGGTCCAAAGGGACCAACAGACCACAGACAAAGTGTGTTAGCACAATGAAACAGAAGGTTAAATGGTGTAGGATGAAGGCTAGGCTTGTAGCAGATATAATTTGTTGATAGTAGATATGACGTTAGTGAACATCGAAGTGCCGAGGCAGCCTTTATTTACCTTTGATGTTCTTGATATGTTGCTTCGATCTGGTGTGATTCATGAGCTGGTTTTGAGACCCGAAAACTTTGTTGCAGACCTCACACGTGACATATTTCTTCTCCGGTTGGGGCTTCTCCTCTTCGTAATGTGATGCGAATACACGGCTGCCATCCCGTTGCTGTAGCAGCTCTCTTTGCTGCTCAATCTCATCAATCTGTTCCTTCATGTTGTTAGCTATTTCGGCCTTTACAATATCTTTCATTTCCTCGAGTCTCTGTTGCACTTTGATTTTGTCCAACTCCTTCTGCACCTTTAGCTCCATTTGCTCTTCCTTGAAACGCGCCATTCTAGGATCGAGGTTTTTCACCATGTTAGTAAGATTTCTAACGTTGTCGTTAAACTCTTTCCTGATCTTGCTGTTCTCCTTCTTGGCTCTGCGTTCGAGGAACCGCCGGTGCATCCTACCCTCAATATCCCAGGCATTCTCGCACAGAAATGTACGTATAGTTACGAAGTTCTGCCAAAACATATAGAACTCGTTAACCTCTTTAGCTGTGCTCTGAGATGTGCCAAATCCAGGAAATTCCTGCATACAAATAAATTACGGTATAACAGAACACAACGCATTAACCACGAAAAAATTGTTGCAATGTCACGGGTATATTAATGCACAACACTTGTCCAATGTGGACAATTCGTAAATACTCAATATTTTATGAAACCCACATCCAATTCCTTCGAAGGTTCGTATTGTAACTCTTCTTTCTCTAATTCGGCGATTTGAGAGAAGCATTTGCAATAAACTTCAAAAAAGTTGTTAGGTTTCGACTCATCGAAGCCATTGTAACATGGACCAAAGTAGAACCATATGTCAAACTCGGTCTTATCTTGAGTCCTTCGAGATTTAAGAATCAGATGCCGATTTTTGTCGTACCACTTCCTCGTCTACATCATTCATGAAAAACAAAAGCATCCGGTGGCAGTGACGTTAGGGATAATCAAAACTAATGACCACAATACTGCAAGCAAGATTGCATTCGCTGGCATTATAATGATGTAGTTATACGGAGAGGGTGGCCTTCATGCACGGTGCCCTGTGAAAGAACCGCTTTTTGCCTTTCAACGGGTCGCCAAACCGACATCATTACGCTGCCAATGGCGTGAATATGCAATACAGTTCTTGTTTACAATAAAGCAATGATCTTACCTCCTCATTAGAGAGACACTCGTAAGCTTGCTGGATCTTCTGAAATAGAGTTTTGCAATCTTCCCTTTCCTCCGGCGGTCTTTTGTCCGGATGGAAAGAGAGCGCTCTTTCGCGATACCTCCGCCGGATATCTTCGCTAGTGGCGTCGAATTCCAAACCCAGCAGCTTGTAGTAGCAGCACTCGTTCAGGAGAGCTTGAACCGCGTCTGCCATGGTAGAACCCACAGCCAAACAGAGCCATGTAACACAACCTACATAATAAAAAAACACATTTTAGATTACACGCGAGTTAGTGATTTCCTCCGGCACATTCACCGGTAAGTTTTCGAGATAATGACCCGAAGGCCCGGCTTATGCCGACTGCCTCGTCAATTTGCTGCACATCGATGTTTCCGTTAGCAGAAAGTGATGGAAATAAAAGATAGAGAAAAACTAAAACAAAAAAGGAGCATACCTTGATCTTAGCAGCACCACTTTGAAGACTGTCCCGAGTCCAGTTGATTTTGTTTTGCAGTCCCATTACCCAGGTCGGAATCCCCCCGACACCAAGCCTCTTGCAAAACGCATCAGCAAAATTTAGACAATTCCTGTACACGTTGTCAAACGAAGCCAATTGGATGCTGCGGGCCCAGCTAAAAACAGTGCAGTTATAAAAATAAAAGGCGTGCCGATACAACTCTGTGGTTAGCGGAACAGCATTCAGAATTTATTGATCATTTCCCCGCAACTTACTTTTTTAAAATATCGTAAGAGCTCCCTAACCACAAGGGCTTCATCATCTCGATGATTTCTATCACCTCCCTGGGTGAGTACCTAGTCCTGCCGAGGTCAATGCTCTTGCGATATTTGTGTGACGCATGGAATCTAGGGTGCGATTGAACGATGCCGGATCCACCTTGAGGTGTGTATCCGAAGTTGTATTCGTTACCATAGATTTCCACGCCAGCATGGTATGCCCCCGCCCCGAAGGTACCAGCGACGACGTTTACCACCCTGTTCACCGCCTCCAAATCGTATATGTTAAGATAAACATGACCATAATCTGTAGTGCTGCTGACACCTCTTGCACTGCTGTGGCTCTGCGTCTTGACGAGTCGGTGTCCGACCTTCTTCATCATGTTATGTACGTCATCGCTGTACCCCCTGCGGATCATCATGTTGCTCTCCACTGGCTTCACGTGTACATGCCTATTGATCTCACGCGATACCACCACGTATGCCGCTGAACCCGTCTCGGAACCTGCGGGTATAGACACGGTGCCCGAGGCATTGGACAACGTGGGCGATGTGTTCACGTTAAGCTGCTTTAATTGTTCCGCAATATCAAATTCCACAGACGAAGCGTTGCTGCGAGCACTCACAAGAGCTTGGTCTCCGCATCGGTTGACCACCTTGCTAGTGGCCAGTGCATAGTCAACCGTATTCGTGTCATCCATCCCATTTGAGAATTTTGGAGAGTTCTTTCGCATTTCCGCAGGGTTACTCCCAACACGTTCCTTCATCGTATCGACGTTGTTTGGATCGTCCAATGTGTGTTCTACTCTTTTGGGTGCATTGACTGGGTTAGCCATTATGGTAGGTACGTCAGCTGATGTAGAGCTCCCTTCTGTGAAATCGGTACACACAATTAACACATTTTTTGTATCTTCAAATATTCATGTAGGTCTCACTTCCGTCCTTTGGTTACAGGAAAACGAGGGATGCGCCGCTACCTGCAGCTTGCAATCGTTACAACCCAGTTATGAGCTCACCATTAGTCGCAAACCCGCCGCGTAACCATGTCGGCTTGTCCTTAAATAGATCGCTAGTACGTTTACTTTGGCGAAGACCGCCGAGTGGCACCCCCCTGCATTCGAGGGCTCAAGTGGCCTTACCAACAGTGCCGTGTTGCTAATACAAAAGTAACTGATAAAATTGACAAAACACGTAGTTATATGTATACATGTGTGTGCTTATTGCTTCCAAGACATCCCAGGTGTCTCACGGTGGCCCTCGACACCAGGTATATTTATGTGTAACCACCAAATTTCTCGTACCGCAACTCTAGAGCGACAGATTTCAGTCGCCAGTGACTTACACACCTAAGAATCTACTTGTTGTAGTCTACGCCGACGAAGAGTGCTCTTTTTGGTCAAGCTTGACACCAATGTTCCTTCCGTCCAAAAGATAGTCGTTGAATTTGTTAATTAACGCATTGGCATCCTCCTCGGTTGGCACATAAACTTTAGCGACACCCTTAGACTTCCCGTTGTCTCTAGTGAGAACGTCAACCCTGCTCATCACATGACCATCCTCAGACATCGACAGGCGCAAATGATGTTCGATAAAGAAAACAATTTCATACATGCAGCTCGTCATAGTTGTTGGCAGCGCAAACCAGAAATTAGTATGCACACCTTACATATCGACTACCAACATTTACCGCGCGCCATTTGAGAGACAACAAACACACGCTACATCCGTAGACACAGCATTACAAACTAGCTCATTTCTCGTGCAGACCCTAAATTAAAGAGTCGTATTAGTATCAGGGCGACGAGGAAATGGCAAAAATGGATGATACAGCAGGCAACGCAGTCGACAAAGAGCCACCAATATTCCATTCACACATTTTTTACCTGTTCACGGAGGCGCAGCTTTTGAAAAGATCCTTCAAATCCTGCCAGGAGGTCTTCCACTGGAGGTTGGTCACTATGACACAGACGCCAGTAGCATCGCCACTTGGGCTACGCCCCCCTCTGCGAAAATATTATTCAACTCAACAAATGAGACACGATCTGAACGATTTACTAGCTGAAGATAGTGGCAAGGAATAGATCACACAGATGCCTTACAACACGTCCAACAGTGGAGTTTCGTCATTAGACCATTCGTGCAATAGTGACACTTGAAGCATGTCACCATAGCCACAACCACATGAGCAACTGAGGGTAATCAAACCTCCATTGCAACAGACCAAATGTATGATGCGTACCTTGTCTGTTGCCAATCCTTGCCGGCGTTCCCTTTCTTTGAGCTACGAAAGTTGTGCGCCTGCTCCCTATCCTCTCGTACAAAAATTGGGCGATCTGATTATGCATAAAACTCTCGTAGTTGTCATACCGAAAAGCATTGTATCGTTGAGCTCTTTCATAGCCTTTTGGGCAGTTTCCTCATCAACGTACTCCACGACGCCGCAGCCCTAGAAAGCCATTACGTATTCGCGAACTCGCCCTTACCTTCGATTTACCGTCATAATCTTCGATGATGTCTGCCCTAACCACCTCCCCAACCTGTTTCATGTGATCCTTAAGATCTTGCCATTTCACTTTCCAGGAAATGTTCCCAACGTAGACTCTGCACTTATTGCTCTGAGAAAAGGTGACTACGGTACTGCGGTGGCGTTACACGAAAAGTAGAACAATTTGTGGGCAGTGCATCAGGCGTATAAACAGCGCAAATGAAATTTATGGCAGTCCAGGCATCGGGAGTATACATTAACGGCTTATCTGCCGTATAGCGCACAAATCTTAAGGGCAATTTCTCCGCTTCTCCCAGACTAACAAGAGATGGAGTTGTTGCTGTTGTGTAGAGATTCGCTGCTGAAACGACCAGCTGTGATACCCTTTCACCTCCCGCTACACGAACAAAACAGAATGCCCGAAGTGACTTACCTGTGACATACTGACGCCTCGCAGACTAGTTAAAACAGTGCCCTAATGAACGTGAAGTCGCACATCCAGGCAACACGTGCGAGGTAGGCTCGAGTGAACGTAGCCTTGGGATTGCGAATTACGCAACTCACGCTAATATGAAGTGATTAAGGATGTTTAAGCAGGTAACGCGTCCTCAAAATCCCCTAGGATAATTTGGTCTCGCATCACAAAAATTCATGGGGTTCAGCTTTCTCCGACTTCTGACACTTTTTGACGGCACCTGTCCTCGTAGTGGAATCATCGGTCCCTTTAATAATAAACATATTTTTAGGAGTTTGGGGATTCCGTACAGCCACACACGTCTGCGTTGGGATTTCCACAGCAGACGCGAGGTCGGTACAGAGGTCCATCGACGCCGCTGTGCGATCAACGCCCTTGTCGTGCCGGTCAAGGCAGCAGCTCATCTCTTTACCGATAACTCATGGTTTCACTAAGGCTTGAGCCCAATCCATTGGATCGGTAGTTTTTAAGTCTTGGAAGCAGTCGCACACTGCTCATGTTGTCTAACTCACGTTGTCTTTTGGATATATTGCTAGTCACGCGTAGTCCTAGTGGTGCGTCCAGCAGCTAATGTCTTAGGTGGAAACAGCTGCTGTGATAGAATCGTATATCTGAATTTATTTTTGCTATGAAAAGCAATAATCAACCGGTATTACAATAGATATCATTTAGCTACATCTCCAATGAAGCAGTATTAAAATCATGGCGTTAGGTAGCTCCTAAATATAGACATGGGATCTGTGAACGGTGGTAGAAATTGGACAGAACAGAACGTCATGTAGTTCTGTGATACGATACGTAACGAAGTTAGAGGCAGATGGAAATGGCCATGAAACCATCACCGCCAGTTATCTAACATAGAAAATAACATTCATCTTAAAAGAGATAAAATATTTTTCATCACAAGTCACCACAAAAGTAGTAACATTGTATAGCATCTCTAGGTATGGTTCCTGCCAGAAATTGTTGAGGTCATAGTATGTCAACCTTCGTTCCCCATCTATGCGTTTATATACCTTTTTCCCTGCCAGGATACCTTCGCCTGCCTTTTTAACAGTATTCACTACCACATATTGCCACCCATGTTTTACATGATCGAACACTTCTACATGGGTCACGATTACATCATCGGTCATGTGGTATATTTCGCATCTCTCCGAATTGATGACCTTGACAAATGCGAAGCGCAAATCGATTATGGGAGCGATACAGTACTGCCGGTACAACCAATCACCCCTTCTAAGGTTAGCTAGAATTAAAACGACTTGGAGATCCTTTTGGTAAGGGTACTAAACAGAAGAAAAATACGACAGAGCGCCCGGAGTGACCTACGATGAACACCGTCGTTATGCAAATTTCGTTTAATTTTGTAACAGGTTATGATGATGACGTAATGCGCTCCGTTAGCAATGCGATGAAACGCCATCAGTGGTCGTATAAATTGAGGCGTATTACGCCGAAAGTTCTGTGCTATTGCTTACGCTTCCACAGTTTATGGTTTGAAATGTCATATATCGCTTGGTGTCATCTTTTTAAAGATTCGTCTCTTTGGCGACGCCTATCAGGAGTGCGGTAGCTTCCATTCTGATCGAATGTCCAGGATGACTAATGTAAAGACCAAACCGCATATGGGTTTGACAATATTAGCAAACACATACCAATGTATGAGTTTGATGATGATGTAACGCCATTTTAAAATTGTTAACAGCCGTGAGTTCCATGTCGGACGGTTAGCCGTCGGCGAAGTCGTTGAGTGGTTCTCCTTGATTTCTGCTTTAAGGCTCGTATGCACCATCAAAAGCAGTAATATTCCAACGCATCAACTTCTATATAATCTTTAATTGGTCATGTAATGTACACTTTTTTGCTCACCAAGAGAATAAAACATGATTAATCACCAGTCGGCTGTGTTCATAGTCGAAGTGCAAATGAGCCCTTTACAAAAGGGTTCGTACGAGTTAATGTTCAGCAATTTTGGTTATTATCTTGGTGAACAAGTTAATCGCCATGCTCAGAAGACTGCTCCTCAGTCTGTTCAGACGGTTCCTCTAAGGGCTGCTCAGAAGACGGCGCCTCAGCCTGTTCAGACGGTTGCTCCACAGTTGATTCCGTCACAGATACTTGGTCATGTTCATCGTCACATTCCTTAGCTAACTCAGAAGTACGATGAAAGATTGGAGCTGCGGCAGATCCCCAATGGCTCTTAACCTGTTTGTTTATACCATCAGAAATCTTCTTCAACCAGTTTCCCATTTTAGCTGTTTCATCGCCATTGAGAGATACGTTGTCATCAACTAACTTCGAGTCCTCAGTGTCATGAGTGGCAGAAGACGAGCCATCAGTAGCGTCACTTGGTCCAGCAGATTCCCAATGGCTCTTAACCTGTTTGTTTATACCATCAGAAATCTTCTTCAACCAGCCCTGTTTTTTGGCTGGCTTATCACCGTTTACTGATAAGTTACCACTGCCTGGCCTAGGACTTTGACGTTCAACTTCCTGAGGAACTTCTTCTCCCACAACGTTACAACCTCTTAGGCTGGTAACGGCCAACAGGGCAAAGATCAATTTGTAAAACTTGTATCCCGTCATACTCGAGATTCTGTCTACTGTAAAATTTGTATCCCGTCATATTCGAGATTCTGTCTACTGTAAAATTACAAAAACAAACTATATTCAGTACAAGTGTGAAGTCTTTGTTGATCTACCAGCGCCACCGAATCTTGTTTTGGGTGCACTTGTCGATAGATTCCAGCGGCAATTACGTGCTTCTATGCACACAGGATACAGATGTATGTGAGAGTCTGCGTCTGTATCGCCTTAAAAAATATATTTCGCAGAAAAAAAACAGATGGTAGAACCAGTTAAATGCAATGAATCCCAGTGGAAATCTGCTCTCCACACAAGATGCTATGCGTGTCTGGAGTTCGGGATCAAAAGTTAATTACATGCACGGCACGCGTAACCATCAGCACACAACATTAGACGCTATATCATCGCTATTTAAGCTAAAAGCAGCTATTTAAGCTAAAAGCAGCTATTTAAGCTAAAAGCAGCTATTTGTAATTCAAATAGTATGCTGAGCCACCGTTCAGAGCTTGCCCATCTTCCTATACCGTGGAGAGTGTGGTTTCAGCCACCAATTGCCAAAATATAGCAGAAATCAATATTACACAAACTATCTGGGGTCGTGCCACGTATTAAGTGGCACAAGCGATGCCCAGCAGTGGTAGGAACAGCTTTAGCGGTTGTGATATGCAGAATGTCACGCGACAGGACGCGTGTCACACGGCTTATACTGTCATTCCCTTTTGTCTACATCTGGCGGTACTATGCCATGTTTGTTGAGAACCTTGCTAAAGTCGTCTAAAGTGAAACCGTCTCCTGCCAATCGTGAGTCTTTATGCTAGTGTACCCACCTCCGAACTCATCAAATCCCACCACGCTGTGGTTTGTTTTCCCGTCGATGATAATCATGAGCTGCGTTAGATGTTTAACGACGCCAATAGAGAAACTAACCGTTGGGATGCACCATATGTTGAACCGTTCGCAAAGGAACGGGGTTCGCTCTACGTTAACCCTGATGAACTTTGTGTTGAAGTAGACTTGGCAGAGTTCGTGCATCTTTTCATCGAGGTATTTCGACCTAACAGTGGTTGGCCTATAGAAGTGCGCTACCTGCGTGAAACATTCATTCCTTGCTTTGATCGGTATCTCGAATGCAGAGCAACACGTCAAGGGACAGAACCGCCTTGATGCCAATTACCGCACATACATACAGATAGACACAATGACTAACCACGTACTGTGTGTTTCTACAGACATCGAAGAACTGTGAATCCGAGTCTACATCCACGAGCCTGCAGTATCCATTATTCATGTACTCGAGTCGTTTGGCGTTTGTTTCCTTAAGCTTGCGGAGCCTCGCCTCACGAAACCTTTCCATGGCCTCATCATCACGCAGCTGCGATATCTTAGTCTCTATATGTCTTATGTTGTCCAGTTCTTCTTCCACCTCGCGTTCCTTCTCCAGCAGGGCCACCAGCACGTTGTCGCGTACTCGCCTGGCGAGGTCAGCCTGGTTTTTATTCACCGCCATGTCACTCAGAGGTGTTACAAAGCTTTTCAGTGAGTGTGTATGGGTTATCTGCGGGGTGCGAGCGGCGAAGGCTGTTCTTGCCGTTGCTAGAGTTGGTCTCTAGACATGGATTGGTTCGCCGTCACTAACTCAGCATAAAGAGCCTAGTTATCCCGTTCTCCTTATATGTATGAGTACCTACTCGTTATTGTTAATGTTGTTTTGCTGCATTGAGTAAGTGTGTGGCCCGGTCCCAGTGCGCACTGTGGCCACTAGCTGTACGTCTTCGCCCCTCGTACGTTATCCTTGCTCTAAAAGCGTAGTATCGATAGGCAAAATAATCACTGGAGTTGGGACTTAAGCCAGACCTCGAGCGTTGTAGTGTGTAGAAGGTTCGGTGAAAGCCTTATGGAGTGCGTGTTGCGGTCTTCCCGATTCTGTAAAAACCTCTCTGATAATACATTATCCTTATTTGGCGTGTCTTATCATCGCGATTACCCTGCCGTCGCTGTGTGTCTTATCACTTTCCTTATCGATGGATGAGTCTCGCTGTTCACCCGAGGCTTCCAGCAAGCCCACTACGGAAGCTATGGCTCAATTGCTCCTATCCGGTTGGGCAATGATGGCTGAGAATTGCTCCGAGGTAATACCTTCTCTATTCTGTACTATTATTTACAGTGTCATGACGTGCCGTTGATGCGTAGCTCTCAGGGCGTTTTGAAATGTTGCCGTTGCAATAAAGAGAGTCGTCCAGGTGTGTTGTGCTATCTGTTGTTCCTTAGCTCACTCTCTTGTAAAGCCTGTGATGAGGAAGTGCGCTCGAGCAATGTAGCGGATCGACACAAGTACCGCATTGTTAACGAGTGTGGTCTCGATTCGAGTGTTATGACTGGCATTCACGGAGCTGATGGGGATCGTGTGCTACCTAAGACACTAGTTGTTGGTCGTACAGTAAGTATATTTTATACTACGTATCATTGCTACTAGCCGTCGTCCACCAAGGCTGATGGTCGCCGCCTCCAGCAGCTCTGTCTGTTACGTCTCGAGCTAAACAAGGCCCTAGATCGGTATGTGTCTACAACTACCGTGATGTACCTCTTGCAGCTACACGGCGGTGCTCCACCAAAGCAACGAGGATGCTTCACTCCACGTACACAGGTAGAGTTGCCTATTTCGACAGTTAATGTTTCACCAGTGAGGTAAATGTGCTGGACCAACTTGAACGCACGTTACGTCTGTTGGACATTGTGGAATCGAAGCTATGAAACCTGTTGGCAAGTAGAATGCTCTATGTTAACTAGGTTGTCGTCATCCAAACGGACGTAAGATCAACTGCGGTTTTCCCCGCCACCAAATACATCGAAATTGGGACACACCGACTGTCAATCTTGTAGTATATCATTGTAACTCCCGCCAGACTTCAGTATACTGTGAGCTCGACGGAACTCCTTTATGACTCGGTTACGCTGGTGAAAGGATATCGTAGCCACATCAATACCAATCTCAAATGGGTTGTCGACGTGCATGGTCACACTATCATAACTGTGAAGTGTCCGTTATTTTTGCTGCGGTGTAGTTACACATATGCATCGATTGATACTATCTGTTACTTATACCGCATTGCATGATTAGTGCTATGTTCGTGAGGAATGAATGATGTCAGCTCTAGTATGAATAGCAGATATCTATGATTGTTAGTCTTTTGTCTGGTTTTTGGGGGCGTATTTTTGCTTATGGTCGTGCAAGCCTACCTGATGGTCCACCACAATCGCTCAAAGGCGCTTTGCACGGAAGGTCACGTTTCCGAAGTTGTTACTGTAAATTGATATATTGAAAATGAGCAGAACGGGGCTGTGTTGTGGCTGCGGTCTAGATACAGCGAGCAGCTTAGCTTGTCCTGTCTGCAAATCTAAGGGAGAAATCCAAATTTTTTGCTCTCAGGATTGCTTTCACGCCAATTGGAAGACTCACAGTCGCCAGCATACGGTATGTGTCACTATACAATCGTGCTTTGCGTGATGCGTCGGTATCCAGGGATTCACACCCTTGTTACACATACGTAATATGTGCCTTCCACACGGCGTTCTGCCCTCAAATCCATGAAACACATCGGCTAAAGTCTTCATGAATGTGCAGAAAGAATCTCCGGCGTCTTCCAAAGCAAGCGATACGGTGGACTTCGGGGGTGACCCTCACCTAAGGTTGGTTTCTTCACTTATCATTACATGTGACTCCCCAGACGTTTCCGCAACTTCAGATTTACAGGTGAGTTGCGGCCATGGCCCATCACCCCTCAAAAACGTGTACCATCTCACATTGCATGCCCTGACTATGCAACGGACGGCGAACCCAAATCTGAGGCTGACATAAAGAGCGCCGGTACGATAAGAACTAATACTCCGGAGCAGATTAAGGTGCGTGTTTAATAGCCTATCTAAGGCATTTCAGCTGCTTCATCCCTTGGTTACCCTAGGCTTCATGTAACTTACTATTCTGCAGCTGATTCGGAAGGCATCGGTTTTGGGAAGGAAAGCCCTGGATTATGCAGCGAGTCTAATTGCGCCAGGTGTTACTACCGATGATATTGATTCGCAAGTTCACGATTTTATTATAAAACACCGAGCTTACCCGTCGCCTTTGAACTACTACGGTTTTCCCAAATCTGTCTGCACGTAGGTTAAAAATGTACTCTGGTCTTTCGTTCATTCCGTTTGGTGCCATTGATAGCTCACGCTCCACTTACAATGTATGTGTTTTAACGTGGGTGCAGTTCCGTAAACGAAGTTGTGTGTCACGGCATACCGGACAAGAGGTAAGAAACTGATTTCTCTGCGATGCTCGCGGGCAGGCTACTAAATCGCTTCGTCTGCAGCTAAGTGCTCAATAGGTGGCGTAAAGTCGCATTAGGGGTTGTTTGCCTTAAATAGGAGTGGCAGCTTCTGATCTGCGTTCTTGCCTCGGTTTACTCCTCACTCTTCTGCAGGCCTTTGAAGGACGGTGACATAATTAACATCGATATTTCGGTTTATTTGAATGGAGTTCATAGCGATTTGAATGCCACCTATTTCGTCGGTGAAGTGGATGACGACTCCCGGCGCCTTGTTAAAGGCACTTACATGGCATTAATGGAGACTATCAAACAGTGTAAGCCTGGAATGTATTATCGCGAGATCGGTAATTTGATAAACAAGATTGCTGATGACTACAAGTAAGTGAACCGTCTCATGTTTATGCCAAATTGCCGTCTATAACTGAACTGTCATGGTCTTCGTGATGGCACTGGTTCATTGTTGCTCAAATAGGTCAGTGACGCATTCTCAGGCTTTCAGTGGTACGTACATACTGCGGTCACGGGGTTGGACTAGATTTTCATTCCCTCCCTAACGTCCCACATTATCGCAACAACAAGGCGATCGGTATTTTGAGACCTGGTCACGTCTTCACAATAGAACCAATGCTAAACCTAGGTTTGTACCATCTTTTTAACTGTCAACCTGCTCAGGCAGTTGGAGGGACGTAAAGTGGCCGGACGATTGGACCGCTGTGACGGTAGACGGGAAGCGCTCTGCCCAGTTCGAGCACACGCTCTTGGTAACTGATACAGGTGCGTCTCAGGAGCGCTTATGTGACATTCTATGTCAGGTGTGGAGGTTTTGACACGCCGGCTGCCCACTTCGCCACCCTTACAGTTCGATGTGTAACAGTCGGTGGGTGCAAGTCACCCGCGACGTCGCTGGCCCATATCGCTGTCATATAAATGAAACCACGTGATGCTATTGTGTTAATGTCATGGTTTGTGTTCATGTGTGAATAGGAAATGGACTACTACCGTTACACGCGAGGCGTGTGTTGTCTACTGTGCGGCTGGCTGAGATTCTGGGATAGGATCACACAGTTTTTTGCCGCTAAAATTTTGCGGTAAAATGGCCAGTTTGTGAGACTTATGGTCTTCCATACTTGCTTCTACTTTTTACCCATCCAAAGTGATGGGTCACAGGGTATCATGGTGACCATGGACTCGATTTTCCTAACCTTCCACACTTAATCGGAAACTATTTCACTTACATCTGTCAATCCCAATGAGCGGTGTTTGCCTTATGGTTGATGATACGCGAATCGAATACGACGCATGGATACGCCGTGACTGGACCGTTGGCACTGATGCCACGCAATTCAAATCATTATTGCGCCATGCTGTCTCCCTATATCAGGTGGTATCATGTAGGGATGTGAGGATTTCGCAGTATCGTCAGCTCGGGAATGAGGACGGAGATGATGATGCGGAGGGTGATGATGGAGATTCTGCAAAATTACACGGTAACTCATCGGCGACACGTATGTTACGACTACTGCTTTTCGACGGAAATTCACATCGTATAGCGTATGAATATGAGCCCATAGCTTGTCTGGATGTCTTCCATGCTAATCGTTTGACGGGCAAGCCTGTACGATGTTGCGGCAAGATTGCGTTGTTTAACGGACCTGTCGAACGCCGAGGCGCCATGTGGTTAACTCGTGGCAATGTAAAACTGGTATTTGAGGGGTTTGTATGTAAGAAACAAGATCTATCGCAATCGTGCAGGCTTGTGTATGAGCCCTCCCAGGAGATATCTGGCCTTTGTACGCAAAATCAATATGGCAGCTTGGTTATTAGCAGCAACTCCGTGGACATGACACAGCAGGATGAAAGCGATCACATGGCATGTGATGTAAATGAGGCCAATGGATTTAAATATGGATCCTTTAAGCGTGATGCGCATGATGTTCTAGATTTTGCCTTACCAATCAAGCGTTTCAACGCTCACACAAAGGACATTCGTAATCTCTCTCCTCTCGAAACCTACTTTCCTAATGGGTCTACCTACTTGGATTTTTCATACATTTCTTACCTCGTGCGCTCAAACTGCGATGCCAGTGAAGCATCTTTCGAGGATTATGCGAAGACGTTTTTGCTGGCCCATGGTTTTAAAGGATCTGTGTCTATTGCGCAAGCACTATCTCATGTGAATAAGTCACCATGCATTTCTGAGCCTTCGTCGACGTGGCTTGGCGATAATGCTCATTTCGGATTCCTAGATCACGCGGTACCGCTAAGCATGGTTGATCAATCTGACATTTCTGATGTTGCCAGCAAGGAGCTTCGAGATGCTTCATTCGACGATAACGATAGGTTGTGGTTGGTGAACTTGAACGATTGTGTTGCCTGTTTTTTCTGTTTGGTCTCCCTGGAAACTTTGGGACTTGTAGAGCGTACTCCGCTTGCCACGTCAAGACAGATAAACTCGATAGAGGGTTTTTTTGGGGTGAAACGTTTATGTAGTGAAAATAGTTCTCTTTACTGGATATCGCAATATCGAAGACGCTTAGATGACGAAGAGTTAGCCAAGAGGATCCAACTTATTCAGTCTGAGTATGAAGGCATAGAGACACTTCTGGAGTTTTGATTTATATAATAGGAACGGACTCTCTAGACAAAACACTATGATGGAAGAGACAACCGCATGTTTAATATATATTTATATGTAACTTTCTATAGACAAAACAAACATCTCGAACGGTGAAGAATAAACACTATAAAATACGCTGTTAAGCATCGGACCGCATTGCAATTATTACCAAAACCATACCTATTTTGTCATGTTGTCATCTACCCGTTTAAATCATTAGCTCTCACCGCGATATTTTGACTAACATTTAACCTTTATGTGATAATTTATTATTTTCACGTTAACTCCGTGACACAACTGTGTTTGCTGCGAGGGTAAGATGTCTAGGGTTCAACGATAACTGTTATGTCTGCACTATTACCATGCGGTAAAAGTCCAGTCACAGATGCATCAGGTGACACTGTTGCCTGGTCGTCATTCACATTTAGAGTCTTATTGTTGTTATGACATCTAATGTTAAGTTGGTATGTATGGCAGATGATCTCACTCCCTTGCGATATGTTGCTGCGCCGGAATGGTCCCGGTCAAACCTGCTCTGGACATCTCATGTGTTCGTGAGCATGACTTAGCCTTACAAAATTTAGTCTGCATTGTGTAAACCAAAAATCTGATTTAGCTGCGTATGCTCTATCATCTCTAAAAAAATCAAAGGATAATTCGTGGCATATAAACTAATACACAATCTTAATAAAATGACTGTGGCACATGATAACGCATTTATCTTTTTATTGGTATGAACAGCAACACGTCGTATTATTATGAACGATTGCTATTTTGTGGATGTTAGCCCAGGCTATTCTAACATTCCGATCCCACCTTTACCACCCGCCCCCTCCCATCTCCCATCCAGGGGGGAGTACATAAACCAAATATGATAGCACAAAATTTCAATATAGTATCACTAACATGATAACTAATCAGATTCCACAATAATATAGTCTACAGCACCTCTATTTATGTCTATTCATTCCGAGGTGGGAATACCATCTAGCCGCCATCGCCCCGATTATTCACAAACTTGCTGAAATTGCACCTGATAAAATGCCTAGTACGGTTGCTGATTTGCTATGTGAGAACCTTGCCACCTGCTTACTGGATGGACCTCAGGGCTGTGCTAAAACTGAACGAGACTATTCCTACCATCGTGACATGATATGGCTTTACATTAAGGAAGCTCTCAGAACACCCGAACACATCAAGCTCAAATAAGTGTGTCCCATTTATTCTTCTAATAATTCTTAACCATTTCAATACAACTCAGAGTTTCTAAAGCACGCATGTGCTCAATTACTCATCGATTTTAATTTTTTAGTCACGCATATGTATGAATGTCCGTTCATTCGGTAGTACCACATTGAAAGATGGTAGAAGTGTCTACATTGTGCTCTGTGTACTAATGGGATTCCACAATAATATAGTCTGCAGCACATATATTTGGGTCTATGGGTAACTACGTGGTCAAGAAGGGTGCCTGACCCAGTGACAAAAGATGAGTTTTCCAATATAATATTACTATTTCACTAAGATTTGACGCATTACATACAATAGATGTTGTTTGATAACTGTGAGGTGGGTTTATGTCACAAAAAATCAAGATAACTAGAAGATGGTATCCCATATGGTTCTGCTAGATTCCATCCAGGGGGGAGTACATAAACCAAATATGATAGCACAACATTTCAATATAGTATCACTAACATGATAAACAATCAGATTCCACAATAATATAGTCTATATCGTCCATTTTTGTGATAATGGATAATTTGACACTCCTCTCTGACCTAATACCAGTACATAAAATATTGCCAAAATTAGAAATTAAACAAGTTTTAGAGTCTACATACCCCGGCAGCAAAACTTCGTGCAGGTTCCTTGGTTTTTACCACAATTATCACGGCAAAAGCACGGCACGCCTCCGCTGCAACACCTCTCGTTCTTGCAGCTACACGGCGGTGCTCCACCAAAGCAACGAGGATGCTTCACTCCACGTACACAGGTAGAGTTGCCTATTTCGACAGTTAATGTTTCACCAGTGAGGTAAATGTGCTGGACCAACTTGAACGCACGTTACGTCTGTTGGACATTGTGGAATCGAAGCTATGAAACCTGTTGGCAAGTAGAATGCTCTATGTTAACTAGGTTGTCGTCATCCAAACGGACGTAAGATCAACTGCGGTTTTCCCCGCCACCAAATACATCGAAATTGGGACACACCGACTGTCAATCTTGTAGTATATCATTGTAACTCCCGCCAGACTTCAGTATACTGTGAGCTCGACGGAACTCCTTTATGACTCGGTTACGCTGGTGAAAGGATATCGTAGCCACATCAATACCAATCTCAAATGGGTTGTCGACGTGCATGAATTTTTCATCCATATCAAAACCTGTGGATTTGTGTCGGAATGTGAATTGGTTGTCCATGTATTGAAAATCTACGCTGCGGATGCATATGGGCATTTGCGTGTTCTTTGTGTAAATCCAGCCAAAATAGTAGAAGAATTCCTGCAGCAATTCTGTAACGTTCATTCTGTTTTCCACTCCCTTCGTCGCCCATGTGTGTTCTTCATTTATGCGTCGCATGTCGGTTGTGAATCGTACATCAATACCGCTTACGTATTTTGGCGGTTCGTTGTCCGAGATGGCAAGGTCCTGCAGGGACACTAGTATGGGAGGCGTGCAACGCTGAAGGAAGTGTATCACCATGATGGATAGCGCAAATGATCCCAATGTTCCTTTCGACCTGTCATTAAGATCCCTGGACCTGGCCCATAATTTGAGTGCCAGCACTAAGCTTCTAACTCGTGGGTCGCAAGCCACATATGTTCCCAGGAGTGCCGAGTTGGAGATAGCAAGAACATTGTTCACCGATATATCTATAGAACATCCCAGAGACTGTATGACAGGATTTCCTGATTTTTTGTTCGACTTTTCATTTTTCCAGTGTAGTATGGGTATTTTGGCGGTGAATCTGTTTTCGAATCCGCGCCCAGGCGCGAGTGGTTCCAGAAGGAACGCTATGCGCCGGAGATTGCGTATGGTAGCACTCCGCGACGTTACGTTTGGTATTTGAACACAAATGTCCAGATCGCTTGCATCTGTCCAAAGTCCGTTTATGGCGCTTCCGAACACAGCTACCGAACATTTCGAATTTAATCGTTCTCGCAGTTGTGTCTCTATGCAACTCACAACACTCTCATTAAGCTTCTTTAGCTGTTCGGGGTTTAGAGTAGGTGCCGTCATATGGTCCAATTGCGATGTAGCATCTGCGTTACTCTCTTGCGTCGCACATTTGCCCTTGCCAGCTACCGTTGAGCCCTTCGCATATTCATCATTCCCCGGTGATAATACCTTCTCTGAACGTTCCCCATGTGTTTTTAGTCCGTAATCAAAATTCAAGGGCTTTGTTCCGTTATTATTCCTTTGTCGTTTTAAATCTGTGAAGTAATTTCCCCAGTTTTTTTTGTGATTGATATCAACGAGATGCATAGGATAATTCGATTCATCATCATACTCGTTTACAGCTTCATCTCCGAGATGTGGCAGTAGGCTTCGGTCGTCATGTTGCTCAGCGTTCGGCCGGCTTGGTCCCGTTGTGGTCACAACCCTACTGCATTTCGTGTAAGCAAACTTTCTGTTCCCTACAGACGTAATTTCGTTTAGTAATCCAAGAGCAGATCTATCGAAGCATGTGTAGAGGACTTTTGACCACTCGAGTCTTACACATTTCCTACAAAGACCTGTGTACATTTCAACAAGTCCGCTAGCATGATTGCTATGCTTCCGTAAGACCCAGATATGACCTAACTATGACTTGTTGTGCACTAGTGAGCGAAGGTGTGGTATTTCCTGGGAGGTGAGGCACGTCAACTGCCTTTTGTCTTTCGGCTCAAGACACTAGAGCCGGGTATTTACAAGGTGAAGCGTGTTAAGACATTTCATTGAACAGATTTTGATTAGACTGTGAACGTGCTAGTTCTTTTTACGACCCATTTGGGTCAGTTCATGTGTTAAATTCTTAGCATGTCCCCATAGGTGGAATCTGACGTTGCCGCCACGGGTTTATGTCCTTTGCGGTCTATATGGATGTTACACCATTAGTAAACTTCACAAGTTTTCTCTTCTTTTCACATTTTTGTGACGTGCGTAGCTGGATTGTGAGATTTTCGTTCCTCGGCAAGTCAGGATGAACAGGTACCAATTAGCGCGCGGCGTCTTCCGGACGCAGCGGCGTTTTTTTGCCAAAGAAGTGAAACATTCGGTACAATGTCGTCAGGGTCTCCTCAGTGGAGTGAATCGTTTGGTGGATGCTGTGTCTGTCACTCTCGGACCGAAGGGCCGCAACGTTGTGATTGCTCAGGCATATGGAGCCCCCAAAATCACCAAAGACGGTGTGACAGTGGCAAAGGCTATTGAATTCTCTGACAAACTGGAGAATTTGGGAGCACAACTTGTGCGTCAGGTTTCATCGAACACTAACGACAAGGCGGGTGATGGAACAACAACAGCAGCGGTACTTGCTCGGGCCATATTCCAGCGTGGTTGTCGTGCTGTAGATGCTGGTTTGAACCCAATGGACTTGCTACGCGGGATAAACATGGCCGTCGAGTGCGTGGTGAAGTATTTGGACTCTATCAAGAAGGAGGTTACCACCAGCGAGGAGATATTAAATGTGGCTACAATTTCTGCCAATGGTGACCGTTTAATTGGCCAATTGATCACTGACGCCATGGACAAGGTGGGAAAGGAGGGTACTATCACCGTCGTCGAGGGTAAGACTTTGCAGCATGAGTTGGAGGTTGTAGAGGGTATGAAGTGGGACAAGGGTTATATTTCTCCTCACTTCGTGACCAGCGTTAAGGATATGAAGGTTGAATTCGAGAACCCTTATATTTTCTTGTGCAACGAGAAGATATCGAGTGTGAAGCAGATCTTACCTGTGCTCGAGCACGTGCTTCAGCAGCAGGCTCCCTTGCTGATCGTATCCGAGGATGTTGACGGAGAAGCGTTGGCTGTGTTGATAGTCAACAAGCTGCGTCTCGGCTTGAAGGTTTGCGCTGTTAAGCCACCGGGTTTCGGCGAGCACCGCAAGGCCACGATGGAGGATTTGGCTGCGATGACCGGCGCCTCTTTGGCTGGCGAAAACAACTTCTCCGTCGATGGCGATCTTGTGTCTACGTTAGGTCGTGCGAAGAGTGCCACTGTGACCCGTGACCACACTATATTAGTTGAGGGTCTGGGTGACAAGAAGGGAGTTGAGGAGCGTTGTGAAGGAATTCGCGCTATGCTAAAGGTGTGCGACTCAAGCTACGAATCTGACAAGCTAAAGGAACGTCTGGCACGTTTGACTGGTGGCGTTGCTATAATCCGTGTGGGCGGGGCAAGTGAGGTTGAGGTTGGTGAAACCCGCGATCGTGTTGATGATGCCCTTTGCGCAACCAAGGCAGCGGTCGAGGGCGGCATTGTGCCTGGTGGAGGCAGTGCATTGTTGCATGGTTCTAAGAAGCTGGCAGACCTACCAACAAAGAATTACGACCAAAAGGTTGGTGTTGACATTGTGCGAGAGGCTGTCCAGGCTCCAGTGAGACAGATAGCTCAGAACGCCGGTTTCGAAGGGTCAGTTATTGCGGAACGCTTGCTTCAAGGAAACGATGTTACTCAAGGTTTCAATGCTCAGATCGGTGAGTACTGCGACCTTGTAGCGGCAGGCATCATCGACCCGACTAAGGTCGTGAAGACTGCACTCACTGATGCGGCCTCCGTGGCGTCTCTAATGACGACGTCAGAAGTGGCAATATATGACTGCACTAAGGACAAGGAAGCAAATGACGATGCTATGCAGCAGCCCATGTACTAGGCTTGCGCTGCGGACGCTGGACCCGACCTTTGCGGGCAAACATAGCACATGCTCTGGTCAATCCCTTTGGTTCAGCGTAAAAATGTTTATACGACGAAGACGAGTACCTGATTTTGAATCGGCCAATAAGTTTAGCCGTATGTTACCTATCGTGAATCTATAGTTTATTGCCGTACACCGGCTCTGTGTTACTACGACTGCTAGAGGCGTGTCACCCTCGAGGGCGATACTACTCATATGACCGCAGTTGGAACAGCAGATAGCTAGGATCTCACATCTTTAAGGAAGTCAGACGCAGCGATATCCGCCGCCTTTTCATCGTCGGGGTTCCACAATTGATGCATCGGCGCCGTGCTAGTCGTCCAGTGCGTACTTAACTAATTATGGTAAAGTGAGATCTCATGTTGAGCGATGTTATAGCCGTTGTGCGATCCTCTAAGGTGAGCCTATGTATTTTCGGGGTGAGCTGCGAAAATACCCCTTGTTTCAAAATGTTGAATTAGGTCTACACTCCGCCCGTTAGCTAAACTCTATCTACTATCCCCGTTTCGCCGCAAATACTGGCGATATCGCACTGTGCATCTCCTCGATTTGCCCTCGGTCGGACGCGCGAGCGATTTTGGGCACACATACGAATCTATGAATCTGGTATCCACCACAGACAACTGGCAGATCGATTATGGATTTAATAGCCATATTAACTATTTAAGTCGTTACTTCGTGTAAAACTGCCGGATGTGTAAGTTATCACGTTGCTACGGCGCACTTGCATTTTCCGTCTTTGGCTCAATGGGTTCAACAAGGTGAGAGGTTCACAACCACAATTATTATCGATGTGTCGATTTGTATCTCGGCTTTACGATGCGTGAGGACATACTCTACGTCCTATCGCGCTTGGTGCCCCGCAGAACTGCGACGGTATACTTCCTTCTCTTTGGCAGCACTTTGCTTGTATCTATTGGGATTCTGAACGGCTCTGAGAAACGTAAGTCATTAGTTGAATAGCTTGGTTTGAAGTACGTGTTTTATACTCAGTTCCCGGAGTAATTTGTACGGTTGTGTTCGCACGGATGCATAATTTCTTCTAGTGATTAGTCTACCATTCACTAATTACACTTATTCGATGGCGGTACATGTACACTTCCATGATTATGCGGTCGTTTTCTGGCTCTACGTCGTCGTGCCGCCGCTTTGGTAGCAGACCGTATGATTTTTGCGATGTCATTTGAACGTAGTATGCATTGTGGGTTGTAACGTTGACCGAATCTCTATGTTTGTTTTCATTTGACACCTGGAAGTCGTCGAGTTAACACATTTCGATTCATTTATCTGGCTTGATTCCCTGGGTAACAACATCGTTTCATGATTTCTCAGTTTTCCGGACGTTTACGTCGTGCCAAGGAAGTTCCGAGTATAGTATCAGCGCGTTCACTGCGCTGGTGGTGTTGCAGTGTCTCTTGTTGTTGCCTAAATTCGGTGACCCTTACGCGGAGAATGACGACTCCTGCGATACGACCGGTTCTTCAACAACGCGTCAATTGGACAACGATCAGGATATGATCCCTGCCAAGAAATTCAGCAGCAACTTTGGTATCACTGAGAGAGGTTATTCGCACAGTTATGGTTTCGTGGGCATCACTTGCGAAAAACCATCGTCTAATGGATCCTCGCGTGACGTGTCTTCGCACTATTCTAGAGGTTCGAGTTACCGTTACCGGATGCCGAATCGCCACGCGCGTAGCGAGGGATATATACGTGACCTTAATACTCTGGGTACGAACTGTGGAGGTAGCGTGAGGTCGAATGAGAACCAATCCGTCCCTCACGGTAATCCGGCAGCACCAAACGAAGCGGATGATCAAAAGTCTGAGGAGTGTCAGCCTAAAACTTCAACATGTTCGGTGTGGCTGGGATCCTTACCCATCTGCTGGAATTCACTCTGGATGCTGCTGTATCACTTGGTAATATTTATGGGCATTCACGCAACATTGCTTGCATCTCGGATACATGGATCAATCGCATTGAATAAGCATGCTCTGGAGACGTGCACTCATCTTCGTGACAAATTTCCGCTGGGAATGTGGTCTCCTCGGCTAGGGTACCCTTTGATAAGCGAGAGCACATTTTTCCTTACCTATATGTCCTGCACGACTTTCGAGCTGATCACACGCAAGTCTTCTGATGCGTCTTATCTGAGCAATTTTTTTTCTCGACATTTTTTCAAAGAGCGGCTGTGGATCGGTATCGTTAGAAGTTTGTTACAGTTTGTGATATTTTTTTATGCTTTTTTTCTAGAGATTTCAAGTATTCTTAACGGTTATGGTTCTCCGATGCAGATTGTGTGTGGTTTTTCTATGGGCATGCTAATGTTATGGATAAACGCCCTGCTGACGCAATTGCTACAGCTAAGCGATATGTCAACATCGACGATGAACCTTAACTGGTTCTGGTCCCTGCTGAGTCTGCTGAATTTCTGGATTTGTAGTGTGTTGTTTTACATTTCCGTATACGGGCTACCGCTAACAGCTCCGTATATGTACCTCCAGGTTGCTTCCTGGATACCATTGCTTCTTCTGACTACCCAGAAGGGGAAACAAATATTCATGTGGCAGGACATTTCCTACGCCCTCTATGCATTCAACTGAGAGTGTTGTACACTACTACTACCGGAATCGGTCTGGGCATATCCAAATTTCGGCGTGTTTTTTGGCGGAAGGTTGGGGCGCTCTTCTTGCTGGCTCTGAAAAGCTACGGAGGTTAGCGGGGGAGTGGGATTGTAATATCATGTGTTAAGGCATCATGACAAGTAAAGCACGGTGATGTCGTTTCCACGGTAATAGGGGCGACCTTGAGTTGTTACGCGGCGTCCGTAGGGGAACCGGTTGCTCTGGCACCCACAATAACTGCATACTTTTCACTAGGCTTCATTTGCGATCCAAATCATCTATACTAACGTACACTATTTATTATCACCTTTTCAATCTTATTTGTTTTTCCGTCACGCGGTCACTCGTGCGGTTGCTTTGTGTCGCCTGTTTACTTTGTGCGCCTTTAGGTAGCAAAAAGCCGTCTAGGCAGCAAAAACTGAACATTGGTACATATTAATTGTTATTAAGCGGCTGTGTGTTGATAAATTAAGGCCATACACCGTGCTGTGTAATCGCTCGAGTTCGGGATGCTGCAAATCATGTCTTCTGCGGGTTATCCCCCGCTGTTTGGTATGCTTGTATGATACGTTCAAGTCTTCTGCTTCTTGCGGCACGTGGGCACGTACAACGCGTGCTCCGGCGCCAGCGAGCTCCCTTTCATCAGCGCTACGATCGACTGCTGGGAGACCAGCGTGAGCGTGTGGCATCGGCATTACGTAACGTGCGTTACGAAAAGTGTGCAGTCGCCAAGGAGCTCAGCGAGGCTCACCGCGAGCTTGCCTCGCTGTGCAACCCTGAAAGGGCGCCAAGAAGTTCAGAGGAGGAAGCATCGCTTAACCGAGAGAGCACTAATTCTCCATCGTGAGTGTTTGCTATTTCATTCTTAAATTTGGTTTCAGTGATTCGCGCACCGATGTTAATGAGGGATACCGGCTTTACCGGCTTCTGCGCCCAGAGGCGCCTAATTTTTTTGAGGAGCAGTCTTTCATCAGCCTCAAGCAGCGCATGGACACTGCGATAAAGGAACATCAGACGGAGAATTTCAAGGAGTTGGTACCGCTCAATATATCTCTGGATGGGTTGTCAGACGGGGAAGCTGCGTTCTCCGATGAGACCTATGCGTCGGCGATGTATGCCCGTAGGTTTCACGCCTGCATTTCCGAATCACACCTCTTCAGTAATGGATTCAATCACCGCCGATATCGCACTTTTTTGCGAGAGTGTTGGTGTTGATCGAGAGCCAGAGGATCATACTGACCCTTTCGACCGCCTGGGACGCTTTTTGGCTCTTAAACGCGACGGCAGCAATGTTGGCCATTGGGCGGACTGCGTCTGGCCTAGGGTGAAGCCATTCCTTGCCCCGGAATTCGGATGTATAGATTCTAAGGTGGGATGTTACAAACCTTATCTTATTCTTGACAGGACGTTGCGCGTTGGTTGGCAGGTCACCTTGAGCGAGTACAGCACAACCGAGCGGTAACGGGTCGCCCGGAGAGTTCCGAATGGTATTTTAAATTTCAATGTATTTAAGGTTTGTTAGGTACGATATCAAGCGCGATTTGGCATATGACGGTATTTTATGTTCGCAGAAAAGCTGACACCGATTAGGCATGCCATACCCCGAGGGCCTGTTAGACGAGCGGCGTGTGGGATACCCACTTGACCGAGCGGGTGAATACCTGTACATGATGCTGCAGCTTTTCAACGTGAGTTTTCGCACTTGATAGATAATGACGTATTCAGCCTTCATTGGTTGATGGCGTGTCTAAAGCCAGCCTTGACAAGCTTATTGAGGCCCTGCGCAGGATTGGCCTTAAGGATTGGTTTGGTTTGCGTGGTAGAGATATTACCGCCACGTTCTTTGGTGCCACATCCTCAGGGGAGTCTGGTCGTGCCATTAATGTGTCAGAGGCGGAAAGTCATCCCGACATTAGTTTCACCAAGTCTGCTTCTAGTGCTTGCGTAAGCCTGCTTAGCCTATTTGCAAGCGGTAATGATCACGTGTTGGAAGAAGAGTATTGGTCACCGTCATCTGCGTTTTTTCGTGGTGGTATTCCAGGACCTCCTGGCGTTTCCGCTGTTGACTCACCAGTGCTCATCTTGGCATCTGAATCGCCGTTATCACGATGCGATCTGGAGTCGATTGTGAATACGTACGCCTCTCGATTGAGCACTGTAAGTGGCGAGCAGGCGGTACGGGATTGCAACCGTGTGTTCGACCGTATGATAAAGGAGGAGCTAGAGTTCCATGCTAGTGTGGGTGCCGGTACTGTGGGTGACGACGGCATCAACTACAAGGTCCCCGCTGGTGCTCAATTTGATGCTAAGCGAAACTATTATGTGCGGACGCGAGAGGGAGTTGACCCTACTCTTAAGCTGGAGAACCTCAGGTCTTGTGTTTTGGAGCGCCGCCGTATGCGTACGATGACTAAAGAGGGCCGCGTATACTTTTTACGTGTGGTAGTAGCTGTGGGTGATGGTCGTGGTTATTTCGGCATAGGTGTTGGCTTCGGCAACGACGTGGGCACAGCACGGGCGAGCGCTGTGCAGCAGGCACTGCGCAATATGTATTTCATTGACTTTGACCCCAAGGAGCCCCTCACAACTCCAGTATTGGGACAGGAATACGGTTGCCGTGTTTACATAACTCCTCGTAAGATGGGTTCTGGCATTAAGACAAATCGCAAGTATCTGCCTCTGGTGTATCTAATCGGTCTTGACAACTGCAAGGTGACGTTCCACGGTCGTAAATCGTGGATAACTCGTGCGAAGGCGTTGCGCAAAGCACTGGAACAGATATATTCTCGACGGACAATGTGTAATGCCACGGGCATGCGCTACGTGTATGTTGGCAGCCCTGGCGATCACACTGTTCACTGGCCTGACAATTGGTTCATTCCGATAGCAAAGGAGTACAAGTCTAAGCTTCAGCAGCTCAAGAACCTGAAGCGCATCCACTTCCGCCGTCATACCCGCCGGGTGGTGTTGCCCGAGGAGGTGTCACCGGAGGTTCCCAGTTATGCGTCTCACAAGTTCCGGTCACCACTGGAAGTATTGGAGCAGGAGCGCAAGCGGACCCAATGGATATCGACGACTGTTCCCAAGGTTTCACCACCTCCTACTACGGAGTCTCTCTCGCAGCATGTGGAGTAGGAATACAAAAAGTGACTAAAACCAACCCTCTCTAATGCACAACGACTTACATTATATATTGGCGTTAATGTCCGCGTTAAATGACGCACAACGCGCTCAGTACATCAAATCGGTATAAAACAATGTGACCAATGCCACCCAGCAAGTTGCGTCTCCTCACACTCTGATGGTGCCATAAGGAGAGATACATACACTAACCGCAATACCCTCAGTAGTATACGGGTTGAAACATAACTAAGATTGTTACGTAGTATCATGATTCTACAGGTAGCATGAACAATGTAAGAGACGTGACGTTTACAAATTAACAGATTTGGCTCTGCTGTCCATCATATCGCGTAGGCATCCCTCTAGAGGCGCCTTCATCACGATACCGCCGACCGTGATCGCTATTGGTCACTTCTACGAAGGAAGAACCAGCATATCGATTCTGTTGACACTTGTTCGTTGCGCTCGTTTGATCTTCAACCGTCGATGTGTGTGCGCTTCCAGGTCCCATAGGATCACGGTTATCCTTAACTTTTGGGCGGCATACCTATTACGCCTTAGGTATTGGCGTGCCCACTGCATAATCATAGATCCTTTTTGTATGCTGTTTGTGTCGAGGGATTCTCGAGGCATGTTGGCGTTTTAATGCCGAACATCCAAACCAAACCTACTACAAGTAGCAGAACGAATCCACCAACTACTACCAGCTGTTGCATGATTAAGGGCGTAATCCTTATCGCATCCGCGGCCTCCTTTTGCGGTTGAATCGCCATCGTGATATTGCTGGATTCCAGTGAGCTATGAGGGTTTAATTTGCGACGAAGATCATAGACTTGTACTATGCACACATTTATGTAATTTAAATTATCGTATACAATGATACATTTTACGCAAAGTGTTTTATATGTCGATAAGGTCGGCTAACGATACCCCAGGAACAAATGACACGTCCACAACTCCGGTCACCGTATCGAAGCAGATTAATGTACCTTAAATTTCCTCACACATTTACGTCACGCCTCTAAACATTTGATATAATGGTGAAACCTCTAAAACACAGATAGCTGTTTCTTTATGGACATATATGAATTAGTTTCCTCGTATATGTGGTTCATTTATATACGTGTCCAGTGTACTCGTTCCTTTATGGCTATATTCTGTATTTATGGGTGGATTCCATGAATCGATGCATCGACATTCCAATTCCGCGGTCACTTTCCTCAACCTGAAATCCGTACGCACCTCTTTGTAACTCACAGAAACGCCTTTCGGTGCCGGGAAGGTTATTACGTTTTAGCTCTTTACTCAATAGAACGTTCTAAGGTCGTCAACTTTTAGTCGTTCGTTCTAGACCCTAGTATTTGCTGACGCGCCCAGCAGAGTGGGCACAGCGCTTTCATAGGTCCTCCACCGACAGCTAAAGTTCATAAAAATTTCATTATAGACTGCATCGAAACATCATTGATTGTAGGCGAGTTGCATAATGTAAATCTACGCACTGGACATAGACATAAGAGGAATACGAAACGTTCGATGTTTCCGAAACATTAGCGTCTAAGTTCCACTTCTCAGCAATTGACACTAGGAAGCTTCAATGCATTTCTCGACTGGCTCCAGTGATGGAGCGTCGCTCCTACTATTCAAGTCATGGAGGAAATGAGACGGGTGTTTAAGCCAAGACGGTGGCAGCCACCAATGAAAGGACAGCCAAAGGAACGCATTGCTCAATCATAGACGAACTCGCTGCCTGTAAAACATAACTTGATCGACGTATAATACTTACATTTTCGTCATCCGCACTTTTAGTCTCTTCTTCCTGTAGAGGCTCCTCTTCTTTTTCTTCTTCTTCTTCTTCAGCTCCTTCACCGGCAGTTAAGACAGTGCTTTGGATAATTTCATTGTCAAGATTTTCTTCGGTGGTGAATTGACGGTCTACGAAGGCGGGGGTTTTTCCGGCGAAGTTCACCTCTTCAATGAGTCCTGTCAATACGTTTGAAAACTTATCTATGTCAGCTTACCGGCATAGGTGTCGAGAGCTGGCTGAGATGCGTGTGCAGGTACCTCGGCGGCGACGTTTTCGCTGCGGAGTTCGTTGCAGAATACTCCGGTAAGGAGTGATGCGGCAAAGTAGATGAATAACTTCATTTTGAACAACAAAAATTAGCGTACAAAATGAATGTCAGAATATTAGTCGTTATTGCTGTAGATATCGATGATTAGGATGGCATGCCTTGCGATAGAGCCGCTTAATAGCATACCATCGGATTCCCCATCGGCATCCGCACCTCATCGCAGTTGCTGCGCCGTTGCTCTGTGTAAGATAGCGTCGCCCAGAAGATCGAAGTTCATCTGGGGATAGTACTGGGTGTATTCGTCGTCGTTAGTTCTTCCCACGGCGGACTGCTGCGCCGTCTCGAAATTCTTAACATCGCACATGTGAACGGCATCCAAACCTTCCTTAGCGTAGTAATTCGTTTCCGGATCTGTGGCGTAAATTAATATGCTTATCAACGTACGGTAGTATTGTAAGTGATCGCTTACCCTTATGTTCGTCCAGGAAAGTGATAATTCTGAACGCAGTTTCTGTGTCGATGAGGCGTAGGTCGATCATTCCGTTAAGTATATATGGTTTCTACGCCGTTTGACTACACATATGAGAACAAACACTGCTACTTCACCAATACACCGTATCTCAATAGAATTAAAGGCAAGACATAAAGGAAGGCGGCGAAAATCAGTGTCCGATCCTTCCGGACTACGTAACGGTTCTTGGCTCTCGAAATATATATATACGACAGCGTGCAGCTAGCCATATGCGGTTTAATCACCAAACGACAGACAAATGACATCCGATATAGATATGTATGCCTACCACTAATTGTCCCATTTTCCGCACCCATTCATTTGCGTCAGTTTCGGCATAATTTAGCACCTTGAGTAGTTTTGAACTTGCTTCAATCCTCTGTACGTCATTAGGTTGTGTCTAAAAGGAGTGGAAAATAGATGTTTGTTGTAATTGTTTCTCTTTCCAACTTTACTTACCAATGTGTCCTTGAGGTAGAAGAACGAAGTTAGTATTCGGACCCTCAGCGGCGCTGATAGCTGCCTAAACCGCGGTACGATATACCGTACGAGTTCCAGTGTAAGCACCTTTGAAGCGTGACATGATGACCAGTTGTCCTTGATTAGCTTAAGGTACTCCACGTACTGATCGCTAAGCCTCTTCAGGAGGTCCTCATCAGCTGTGTCGACAAATTCGCAGTCACTGTCGACTTGATTCTCGATTGGCTCATCTTTACTTGACGTTTCCACGTCCATGTTACTGGGTGTGTTTATAAAACGGTGTCGAAATGTTTCCCCTTAATTTATACGCGTTACCCTTGGCCGGTAACAGCATGCTAGACTGCGTCGTTTCATTGATATTTCCATACGCACTATAGAGATGTTTTCATTTTATAGCAAATTTGCAATTGTTCAAACACGGTTGATCAGTGTTTGTCGCGTGTTGCTGTGGAATCGCAATCCCGGATGCCGTTATCCGTCCAAGGTAGGATACCCGGTTTTTGCCACTTTCGTTTCTTTCTAACATTTACAGGCGAATCACGGAGCACGTCCTGACTGTCGATCTGTGCGAAAGATTAGGAAACGCCTTCGAACAGGGAAGTAGGCTTTGCCGGGGTGAACTATAGCATCGCTTACGAACATTTTCCCGAGTTATCACGTTCAAAGCACCGTGAATTACACATCTTTTCTCATAATAATACTTTATGGTGTGTACGTTTAGCTGATTATTATACGCAATGTAAAATATCCCTCATGTGCATCGTAGTACTATAAGAAAAGGTTCAATACAGCTATTCACCTAGGTGAAAGCCATTTCAATGGCATTATAGCTTTCTGTCGTGATATCAGCAGCTATTTCACCCGGATGGGAACGCCCTTGATCTTTGAGCGGCAGGACTCACTGGTTTCATGACCAATTGCACAAGGCAACTCTACTGTTAGACCATGTTCGGCCTGCTGTACACAACTCATAGATTGCCGCTGATAAAGGTTTCGCCACACTACACTTTTTCATGGCGATATATTTATTTTATGAAAATGATCGCTGCCACCGATGCACAAAGTGAATTCAATATTAGGTTTTTTTGTTAATCGCTGACGAAAAATGTCTCACTCCACAGCCCTGTGATGGCGCAAAGTAGGTCTCGAACGAATTACAAGTATCTCCTTATGGGCCGTAGCGCTGCAACACAGTCATCAGCGGAAACGCCTCGCGGTTGCTTTTTTATTTCCATCGCCAGGAGAATGGATTTACAAAAGGTGATACATTAGTAAGAAGTAACGTCTTATGCTCCAGAGGTGGTGTACTTGGTGACGGCCTTGGTCCCTTCAGACACGGCGTGCTTGGAGAGCTCACCAGGTAATAGGAGACGTACGGCGGTTTGAATTTCACGTGAGCTGAGTGTGCTCTTCTTGTTGTACCTGATAAGTCTGGTAGCCTCGAGAGCCATGCGGTCGAAAATGTCGTTGATGAATGAGTTCATGATAGACATGGATTTCTTCGACACACCAGTTTCGGGGTGCACCTGCTTCAACACTTTGTAGATGTATAGAGAGAAACTTTCAATACGCTTCTTGCGGCGGTAACGGATACCTAGAGATTTGCCGGCGGTTTTCTTGGCCGCTTGGCTTTTCGAGGATGGAACCTTTCCGGACATTTTGCTTACGGTGCGGTACGCTTGTAACAACAAATTGTGTGCCACTGATTTTATATATAAAAAAACAGTGAAATATTCTTTATGCTCAATGGTTTATCTGGATTCGCTCACGCTTTAGATGGGGTGGCCACCTACCAGCACACCGTGTGTGGAAGCCGCCTTTTTCTACGGTCAGTCGAGGCGCCCGTTTTGGATTCCCACACGCATCGGTACGGCAACTCTTCGTTTCGTAATCACGTTCCTAAAGGAGTGGCGACGTGTGTGTGGTACTGGGTCACTGCAGCGCCACGCTGTATCGCCACGCTGTATCGCCACGCCAACTGGTGCTGCGCGTGCTTGTGATAGGCCAAGGATACACACACCACTTGCGAGAAGTAAGCTGCCAAATTAAGTATTGTGAACGAATCTTTTACAAGGTTGTTTGGCGGGGCGTCCGTATTCACCCGTCTCGGTTGCCGCTTGAATTATCGATCTCTTCTGGCCCCCTACATTGTTGTTCAGGGTCCATTAGTATTCTGTAACACTTGATATTAGACCTTGGCGATCAAATCTGCAGGATGTTAGCGTGTGCTTCCATTCTTTTTTACATACCGGGGCTCCTTCGCTGATTTTTACATCGTAATGTGTTCCCTTTTGTTTGTTCTTCGTTAGGTCTACAGCATTTGTGAATTGAGCAGCTTATTATCTTATTAGGTTACAGGTATTTTCTGCTGTCTAAATGTTGCTTCATCGCTGCTGTCGTCCTAACTACTTTCTACGCCGATCGTTTAGACCAATGTCTCATTTGCCTAGTATCAGGTGGCAGGTTCGAATAAGTTATGTGTTATGACTGCTATTCTCTCTTTTTTTGGACCATCTGCGTTAGCAGGCGCTACGATGTAACTGGTTTTGTCATTGGTCTTACAGGCATCAGTGCCCACTACACCGCCACTGGCGGTTCTGCGGCGCTGCCCAGCCATAGGCTATTGTGAAGCAAGCGATGAGTTCAGTATTAGCTTAGAGTTACTCTATGTACAAACGTGACACTGCCGTGCCGCCCCTCTGACGTTACTGCAACTCCCACCGTATGTCGCCGTCTGTGCCATCAACACTTTCTGTCACAATAATCACTGACTGGCATAGCCGCAGAAGGGGATAAGTGAGTGATAACACCTGAAGGCGCACTGAGGGGCATTCGCATTTCGGTGACTTATTTGGCGAAATAGGCTTTGACTAGCACTCATAATCTACGGAATGGCTCAGCTAGCATGCCGCCATACGGGCAGTGCGATAGAATACTGCGCGACCTGAGATAGGATCGGTTGAACTCAGGCGGGATACCGCATCTGCGGTCGCTGTGTACGGTGGCCGTAGCAATTTAGTTCCGGGGAGATCCTGTCTATACGGATCGATTCCCTGAGAGGTAGCACCTTAAAGAGCACTATTCAACTCGCCAGAGCCAGGTGTACGGAATCTCTGCCACTGCGATACTTTGCCGATCGTAGCATCGGTGATATAGCCCATAGTCGCACATTGCTCGGTGAATCTTACGTGACACAGCGTTCTAGATCCTTCGTCGAACTCTACGCTGGCAAACTAAACCGTGAATTCCGATCTACATGTTATACGAGTAAGACATAGGATAGTTGGCCATATCGTTGACGCTAGAGGCAGCTACAAGGATAGAGCGACACGGCATCTGTGGGGATTCTACATTTAACGAATGGCTCCACAAACTTTCCACGCATCGTCCGTATTTTCTTCACTATACTCTAGTACTATTTGAAAAACTAAAATGGGAAGCCGTTATGACTCCAGCGATGGGAAGAAGGTTTACATAGGTAAGACTCGCGCGTCCTTTTTGACATTCTGCTCAGGTAACCTCAATCCCGAAGCTACCGTTGACGATGTGGAAACTTTGTTTTCAAAATTCGGCACCATTACCAATGTATGGGTGGCCAGACGTCCCCCAGGGTTCGCGTTTGTGGTGAGTGACTCAGGTCGTATACATTCATTCCTTCCAGACCTTCGAGGACTCTCGGGACGCAACAGACGCCATAGACGAGCTAGATGGAACGGATTACAAAGGTCAAAAGTACGTGGCGGTGTCACGGTGGTGAATTCCACCGGCTAATTTGGTCGTTCCCGTTAACATCGGCGCAGCCTCAAGGTGGAGCTTTCCAAGGGCCCGCGACCCAGGCATCGCAGAGACCGTAGCAGGGGACGTGACCCCTACTCATCAAGGCGCAGCCCAAGGTGAGCACATTTGACGCAAAAACTATATTGACATGATTAGTCCTCGCAAGTACAGCAGGAGTAGATCTCGATCAAGGTCTCGTAGCGGCGGCCGTCGCGTGAGATCGCGCAGCCCAAGTTACGGCCGAGCGGGTTCGAGAGACCGTCGTTAAATTACTTCACAGCTCTTCGCACCACTTGTTCTCCTGCCTAATCTGCATGACCCATGAGTCACATTACAGTAGCGTTCATTCTACGCCTTTGCTTCGGTGAGGCAGTAAGGGCCTCCCCTGGCAGCGTCACATCAGCATTCTTTGACGGTCGACATTTAAGCAACTGACAAATACAAGTGACTCACCATTGCCTCCTCATCCGGAGTGAAGTCGTTAACAATGTTAAATTCGTCTCGGATTTCGTCCGGTGTCTTGCCCTTGATCATCGATGCCACTTTGGCACAGGTGAGCTCTAAGAGCGGCTTGATATCCAGGAAGTTTTCCGCCTGTATCGCATTGCCATCGTGTTTCTGTTGGAGCAGCCTACTCACCAGCATGAGCTCGAATAGTAGTTCTTTGTCCACGTTAACGAACTCCAGGTCCCATGGGCACACCACCTATACAAAAATTCACATCTGCTGTGCAGATCGTAACACTTACGTCAGCCAAAATTGTCGACCTCAGCGGCTTCGGTATGGGTCTTGCCGGGTTGTTGCAATGGTAACGGCAGTAATCCACAACCTTCCCGAGTGCCCTGGTGCTGATATTTGGGAATTCTATTGGTTCTAATTCGGTCTCGTCATCGTGGTCTGCACATGTTCACAGTACTAGAGTGGTACTTACCTCGCAAGATATTACTTAGCAGCACACTCGGGGCGAGTATCTCGCCATCGACGGTAAACACGTCCCCTTCTTCGGACACTAATCGCACAAGCATCGTATAAAATTAGTACACATAAATTCTGATTATGTGCTACGTGGTTCAAGCTGCGGCGGGTTTGTCGCGTTTCGTGTGCTGCTCCAAGTAACCCTCCGGACTGTAAGCGGCGTGAAACGTGGAATATATTGCCTTCGTGGCCACCTTAGAGACCATAAAAGCCAAGAATCGATTAAAAGATGTCAACGCGTTGAAATCTTCCGTTTTTTTTGCCGCGTCTAGTGCAACCTGCGCAACATTAATTACACATAATCGAACCCACATCGGCTAGCTCATCCGGTTGAGTTGGGATGGGGTCGAAATCGACAATCATGAACGGCGTGAACGAGTGTTGCTGTCGGTAGTACGACGCGTTCGTCATCTTGGTGAATTTGTTCATCAGGAAGTACGGCAGTATGAGGTTGGCCAATACCCCGAAACAGCTAATGCCCATGCGCAACAGCTTGAATATGCTGAATCGCGATAAGGCTAGCCTTGCGATCATGTCCATAGCACTTGGCATTTCCCCGTCCACGTTGAACATTGGCTGGTGCCTTTGTTCATTTGCCTTTTCCATTTTTTCGAGTAAGGCTGTGATGCGACGTAGCATCAATGCGAAAAGGTCACATATGCACGTGATAACGCACACAACTAGCAGAATGTGCAACATCTTGAGCACTTAGTCCAGGATACGTTCATAACAATGGCTGATTGTAGCGGATTTCGCGGTGGCAGAAGTGTTAGCCGCTGGCTTACGAGGTCTTTAGGAGCTCTGCTGGAACAAGTTCCGTCGCAGTTGTGCGTTAATATCCACAAATTGTGCGTTTAACCCTCCTAATTTTGCCACTAGCTGGGCTCTCACCGTGATTAACTTGGGCAGGTTCTCTGCAGCCACGTCCCGTTCCTTCTCGATTTCGGTTCGCAGGTCAGATTGATCCCGCAATATTAGCCTGCACGAATTTTAGTTATCAGTCGCTCGGACCTACACGCGTGAGACTTGCTTATAAACCCTCTGGCCCGATCGGGTGTTGTCGAGCTGCGCACGTTGAAGTCAGATAGAGGTGTGTGCGACATACCGCTTCCAGTGCCGCTTCGGAGCGTTTTTGAATTAGCTGGAGACTTGCGATACGCTGATTGATTTTACCAATCTGCGTGTTTAGAATCTCAATTTGTGTTTGCGTCTCCTGGAGCAACTGGAATTGCTGCGTCAGGGTTAAATTTAGCATTAATGTTTCAACCTGTAACGTTGCGTCGGAAGCTGAAGTCTGTGCCATTAGCTTTAGTTAGAAAGTGTTATAAACCGGGGAGTGTTCTACACCCCACCCTATGTTAGTCAAGGTCCATGGCGTCGCCGCCGCGTCGTGACTTTTTGATCGTCTTCTTGACGCGCACGAGCTCTTTAGGTTGCGATACCTTCATGTGTCGTGTCTCTCTTATTGCCTATGGAACAGTCAGCGATATATGTGTATGAAACCTACGCTGCGCTCCATAGAGACATCTTCTCCTTCTGCCTCTCTGCGCTCCAACATGTCGTTCGGTACCTCGAGTATATGACTGTGGCGCTCCAACTCTTTCTCTGCGAGTGATCGTTTCCTTTCGATAATAGAACGGCGGCGTTGGCGTCTGAGTAGTATCTTGCGTAGTTCTTCTACGCGTTCGGCCTTCTGTATAGTCTTGATAGCGGTAATGTACAGGTTGCGATCATAGCGCACAGGGGCATTTCTGCGGCGCTCCATCTCTACAGAATCGTCCGTAACCATTTCTTTGCCTGTGCAGTCATTACCACCAGCAATTATAAAGGTTCAATCCATTAGATCGCACATACACAGGAGAGAGTTAGCACCGTGACAAACAACCGATATTAATCGCGATCATGGTAAAATCCTGTACACACGTTCGATAAATACGTAACAACTTACCAGCGAGTCGCCGCGCAGCCTTCGTCCACCTCAGTTTGCGTGGATTATGCTTCGCCTTGAAGTGTTTATGACATTTGCTGCGGCAAAAGCGAAAAATCTTCGAGTCATTCCGGACAAAGACGATTCCATGGCCTGGAAGGTGATGATCCGCCTAGTCGCCGTCGGCACTGCCACCTACCTGGATATATATTGCTGGAACATAGCCAGCATTTGTCGATCCTCATTTCTATTAATGCGATAATAGCCGCGCAATAGCGTCAGGCTGTATAAAATGTAGCAATCTGTTCCCCCTGTAGGGGCGCCTCGAGTCCTAGGTGCAGGCGGTTCAGGGCAAATTTTTTCGCCCCTTTTAACTTTATAATCATGGGAAGCATACGTGGATTTCTGGACATCGGTATAGGTGCCAATTTGAGTGGTCGTGTCGTTTTCGAGTTCTTTGAGGAAGCCGGCGAGGCGGTTCTGGAGAACTTTCGCTCGTTATGCCTCGGCAAGGTCACAGGATTAGTTCGAGGCAAGCGCCGTGCTCTATCTTACACAGGTTGTCGTGTCTATCGTGTCATTGCTGGTAGTTATCTTGAATGTGGTGATTTCGAGCTGAACAATGGCGATGGCGGCTCTAGTGTGTTTGGGGGTTACTTCAAAGAAGCCCCTAACACACGTAGACATTCCTATGCAGGTTTGTTATCAATGAAACGGATGGGAGCTGAGGGATTCGGTTCTCAATTCTTTATAACGTTTGGCCGCAATCCTCAACTGGATAATCAGCACCTTATATTTGGTCGCGTGGTCGAGGGTATGGAATTCGTACGTGCAATCGAGCACGTCGCAGTAGACGCACGCAACGTTCCCCGTGTTGAAGTGGGAGTGCTCCGATGCGGTTTATTGCTTTACAATCCCAAACAGGCTGATCGTATGTCTAAGCAGCGGGACCTAGTGAACAACCTTATGGAGTCTTTGCGTCCGCAAGAGAGCGAGTCGGATGATGACGCTACTGAAGAGATACGCTGCCTTTATACTGGCAAGGTAATAAAAAAGCGTTCGTTGAGAGCTGATACTGCTGCTGCAATTGGTAAGCAGTATCTCAATGATGCTCTCGGTGGCAAGAGCATACATCTGGTACCACACTACGATGCGGAAAGCGAGTACCAGTATTATGTGGAATCTGAAGAGAGTACTGATGTTCAACCTCCGACAACAGCTCCATCAAGTCCATCGGATGAGGTGAGTGAGTCTGATGACTCCGTTTCAAGCGACGATGACGACGGCGATGAGACTGACCCCGTCGCTCTGAAACTAAAGGCGCTGAGCAACCGGCTTGACGAATGTTCACGTCTGAATCATGAGGCCGTTGCCGTTGAGAATGAGCTAGGAGGTGATGCCAAGAAGCTCAATGAGCATTATAGGGATGTTCTTGGTCTGCGTGAGGACAACTCAACGGTGAACTTTAATCGCAACCCTGGCCTGAATAAGGCCGCTATCGCAGTAGAAAAGCAGCATGATCGTGAATTAAAGAAGGAAAAGGGCAAGAGCTTCGGTTGGAATGTGTTCAACCAAGATGCCCTTTACAGGGCTCACAAAAAGAGGTGAGTTTTTCGTATGAATGCGGTATTACTAGTGGCTGTAATATTGAGAGCTTGTGTATTTCATTGGCAATTTAACATTTGTGTGAATTGAGAAGATATGGAAGAGTTGCTGGTGTTCTACACTGTGCTGTGGTCGCACTGTCGTGAAGTAATCTAACATTTTGACGATCGTGTGATCCACATCAACACGAAGTTCATTAGATCTTTACTGTAGCCCATTAGTCTATATTGTTTTAATAAGAATTCAGGTTGAAGGAAACTACATTTAACCGTGATGAGTATGAGCTGCAGAAGGCGCAGATGGGTGATAAGTTCTATCAGCCGGGCATAACTACGGTTGAACCTACGGAGGCTGCCAAGTTAAGTGTTGTACGCAATTTAGAGAAGCAATATAAGCAAAGGTTGGTTTTGATGATCATCGTGTGTATATTTTCGTAGGGAAAAGTTCAGCCGTCGGCGTGCATTAGACGACGATGCAAAGGATGTTTCATATATCAACCAGCGCAACCGTGTGTTCAACCAGAAGCTTGATCGTGCATTCAAGAGTCACACAGCCGAGATTAAGCAGAATCTGGAGCGGGGTACTGCTCTATAACCCGCTCATTGGTGGGCGCGAATTCACTCGCTAAACTTTATCGTTTTATGTGACGTGGCAACTAATAAGTACAAAATGGCTGACGGGTCCAGCGCTGCGGAAATTTTTGACACGACGACAGTCGGTTACACATATGACGACCTTATCCTTCTACCAGGTAAGTGCAGACACGCGACCGTTCATAGCGTCACAACGGTGTGTATGCCTTGAATTCCGTGTTATTGCCTTTTGCGTATTTAAGAAGAGTTGTTTTTGCTATTTATTCAAGCTTTTATTCCCGTTCAGGCTTTATCTCTGGCCCTATCAGCGATGTCAACCTCGCCTCCAATCTTACGAGGAAGATACGCATCAATACACCTATTGTATCTTCTCCTATGGATACAGTCACAGAGTCTAAGATGGCCATTGAGTTAGCGCTTCAAGGGTAAGTACTGCGTACCTGGTTGATGACATGTTTCCGTTATAAAGGGGTGATGTTTGCGGTGTCCATAGGCACTTCGTGAGCATTATATTGCTAATTGTTGGCTGCTGAGTCTATCTGAGCTTTGCTGTACCTTTGTCTTTAGTGCTTTGTGCGATCGTCTGTAACGGCGCCAGTCTCTTCCCAGCTCTAATGATATACAGTGGTATTGGTGTCATTCACAACAACCTTACGCTTGAAGAGTCGGTGGAAGAAGTGAGGAAAGTGAAGCGTTTCGAAAATGGTTTTATTGTTGATCCTTACACGCTCACGCCACAGCACACCGTTGAGGACTGGATGACCATCCGTGACAAATATGGTTACCGCTCAATCCCGATTACTACTAATGGTAGACGTGGTTCTAAGTTGGAGGGTATTGTGACCAGTGGTGACGTCTGCTTTGTCAGCGACAAATCTACAAAGATTGAAGAGGTTATGACCCGCGAACCCATAGTCGGCAAGCACCCCCTTACGCTCCAGGAGGCCAAGAAGATTCTTTTTGAAATAAAGAAGGGTGTACTTCCAATAGTGAACGATAATGGTGAGCTGGTTTCGATTGTGAGCCGAAGTGATATCAAGAAAAACCGAAAATTCCCCAATGCTTCTCTGAATGAAAATTCGCAGTTGCTTGTGGGCGTAGCTATTTCAACACAGTAAGTAATAGTTAATCGTGTTAAATAGGATTTTAGGTCTGGTTCATTGGAGAAGGCAGCAAGGCTCCTCGAAGCTGGAGCTGATGTTCTCGTGATTGATTCTAGCCAGGGTAACAGCGTTTATCAGATTGACTTAATCAAGCAATTGAAACAGACATACCCCAACGTTCAAGTCATTGGAGGTAACGTGGTAACTGCTCGTCAGGCCAAGAACCTTATTGACGCTGGCGCTGACGGTTTACGTGTTGGTATGGGTAGTGGTTCAATTTGTTCGACTCAAGGTGTCTGTGGTGTTGGTAGACCTCAGGCCACTTCTGTATACTACGTTTCACGTTTCGCGAGGGAGTACGGCAACGGGTGCCCTGTTATAGCTGATGGTGGTATTCGCAACTCTGGTGACATTATGAAGGCTTTGGCTCTTGGCGCCAGCTGTTGTATGCTTGGTGGCGCTATAGCTGGTACTATCGAGAGTCCCGGTGATTTCTTTTACCACAATGGCATTCGTGTGAAGCAATACCGTGGTATGGGTAGCAAGGCCGCCTTCATGACAGCTCGCCACAAGACCCAGAACAGCGGTAGTATCCGTCGTTACCACATGGAGGAGGATCAGCCCATGGTTTCACAAGGTGTCGCTGGTTACACTACTGACAAAGGCAGTGTCAACACCCTTATTCCCACCATGATGCAGGCTGTAAAGCATGGTATGCAAAACATTGGTTTCTTTGATATTCCTTCTCTCCACGAAGGGTTGCACAGTGGTTCCGTACGTTTTGAGGTTAGATCTCACAATGCTATCCTTGAGGGTAACGTATCAACGAACCTTATGATGCAGAATCAGTCCTGAGGTAGTCGCTTAAATACACTATTATATTTTTTCATATCGGACTATACTTCGTAATGTTATTGTTGGCACATGTGCCATTTGTTTTTTCATGGGTGTTACATATAGGCCAGGGCAGCTGGTATGCGGCATATGTGATATAACGACGTGCGCTCGGTCGGTTTAAAAGCTAGTGGTAACACTTCATATGAGGAAGGCATTTCGACATCTATGCTTTATAAGCAGATATACGCTTGGTCAGTTCGCGCCTTAGATCAAGTCAAACGTTGCTAATCCTCCTCAGCATCGCTTTTCGTTCTCTCACGTTTCGCGCCTTCTTTTGCCGCTTACCTTGTGAGTTCCCAACACCCGTAGTCTGTCGTTTCGGCGGTCTCCTTACGTCTGCTCTCTTCTTTTCACATCGGAGTAGATATTCTGGTACGGGTTGTTTGCATCTCTGCATAGTGTCCAGTACATGACGCATGATCTTGACATCGTCAAGTGTGAAGAATGTGATGGCACTGCCACTATTTTCTCCACGACCGGAGCGCCCTATTCTGTTAATATAATCTTGTTCTGTTAGTGGCATATCGAAGTTGACTACAGTTCCGATTCCTCGGAAGTCGACCCCCCTTGCCAATATATTGGTACAAAGTAGTACCCATATTTTAGACAGTCTAAATCGATTTATAAGTTCTTCTCGTTCTGAAGGTGCGAGCTTCCCTGTGAGTCGTTCTACCAGGAGGTTATCGTCCTTCATTTGGCGGTAGACCTGTTTCACCCGGTCTACACTTTGTAGGAATACAAGGCACGGCAACCGCACACGTCCCTCTCTAATGATCTGTCTCAGTGCTGGCACCTTTCCGTTTTCGTTGGTGACGCACATGAGTTCTTGCCGTATATTTTTACATGCCCTTGTACTCTGACCGACTTCCACGCGCAGTGCGCTAGGCATGAAGCTTTTCGCCAGTTCAACGACCTGTGGTTGCATAGTGGAGCTGAATAGCATTTTCTTAAGGCCCTTGATGGTCACTAGTTGGGATAGTATCTTATCGAAGTGTTGCGCATATCCCCCTTCTAGCAGGACATCAGCTTCATCTACTACTAGAATCTCCAGGTGATCCAATACTTTCGGATGTTTCTTTAGAACTGAAATCATTGTACCTGGTGTCGATATGCATATTTCTGTATCGAATTTCTTGTATCCGCGTTCTAGCGGCATTGCAGCAACATCATTTTCACCTAGATCGTCATAAGGCATCGTTAATATAGAGTTACCTATGAGGTATACTAGCTCCCGTTTTACTTGGTTGACAAGCTCAACGGTCGGAACCAGTATAAGGCTTTGTATAGTGCCTAGTTTCTGAGAAATAATAAGTCGCGTTGCTGATTCACTTACCTTGTGAAGAGACAAGAGTGGAATTAGGTATGCCAAGGTTTTACCAGATCCTGTTGGAGCTACGGCCAGAATATCTTTGTTCTCTAGTGCAAGCGGTATTACCTGCAAATGTGTAGATAGATTCGTAAATAACCAACGCTGCGCTGCACAGGTGATGGCGTCGTGAGTTCCAATCGGTCTCGAATTGCGTCTATAAGCCAATTTAAATTAGAACTGTTTGGATATCTTGCTCTTATATCTTCAAAAGTGTCTAGAAGTGTGACATCTTCTAGGACATCGCCACGGCTATCTGTGACGGTAGTTTCCTGGTCGAAAGTGACCTTCTCCCTTTGTTTTTGCGATATTTGCGTCTTTTTTACGCCTGAGAAAGACGCCAGTTTGGCGAAAAGGTCACCCATTATATAAACTAAGGTAGCCTGTGCATACCCAAGGGAACATGGATTGACCCCTCAGCCCATGATGTGCAAAGTTAAAGACAACTGCCAGGAGTATTACCACTAATGAATGACATCTTAGGTTCTATATTGATTGTATGACACAAGTCATTATGAGAATAATCTGAGACTCTTGTCTCTGCAGGTTGTCAGTAGGAACTTTGAGTTCGGTCCGAACTCGAGGTCAGTGATGTATCCGCTATGTCCTTCAAATGTTCCTACAACGTTTACTGTAGTCTTGTCTACAAGTGCATATAGTTCGACCTTGGTTGATCCCACTGCTAGCGTGGTACCTGATTTGTCGAACTTGACCACAGCGGGCGATACGTTACAATCTGTGGATGCGAATACCTTGCTCTTGCGCAAATCCCATAGGCGTAGCTGTCCGTCTTCGGAGACTGTTGCGAGATGATATCCATTTTCACTGAAGCTTAGTGATGCTAGACGTGAGGGTGTTTCGTGTGCTAGGGAGCTGGTGAGTGTTTGGGTACGTAGGTCCCAAATGTGTATACTTCCATCTGCTCCACTTCCAGCAGCTAGTAATCCGTCTGGGTGGAACTCTAAATTTGCGCATGGAGAGGGTATATCTCGGCAAACCTTAATTACCCGTCCGGATTCAAGTTCCACTAGGTGCCATAGCCCATCTGCGGCTCCACCTAAGAAATACTCACCACTAGCGTGTAATGATAGGCTCATAATCCCTGCTTTGCTGCTCTTGATTACATGTGCGCATGTGAATTCACTGTCAGTTTCGGGTATATCAGGTGCACGCCATACTCTCATTGTTTTATCGTCGGATCCTGATACTACTATATTGGTAAACTGGTGTGCTACCACCGAGTTCACGGCCTTCATGTGGTTTGTCATCCGTGTTAATGTCTTTCCAGTCCCCAAATCGAAATGTATAACGGCACCGTCTGCTCCACCGGTAAAGCAGGCTGTTCTTCCGTATCGTTCCCCGAATTGGTCCATGGTTACCGTAAGTATTCCTGGTGTCGTTGAGCTGTGTGTTCTATAGTCACCAGTTTGGCTGAATTTTGCGATTTCATTTGCTGGTGTAAATTTGGTAACATCGCGTTTCTTTCGCTCTGCCATTAACGCCTTCGCCAATTGTTCTATACGGCTTACGCTTGCATCGTCAAGACCCACTTCGATAGCTCCGGCATCATAATTAGTTCTAAACTCCAGAAGTTGTTTTTCCAATGCTTCTACTTGTTGTAATGCACGATCACGTTCTTTAATAAGTCTGGCGATTACCCTGGTAGCTGCGTCATGTTCATATAAGCTTTGGCAGAGCTGTTTTCGCACTGTGTTTGCGTGCGTTCGCAGATTATATGTCTCCAGTGCCAAGGCATCCCATTCACTCTGTAACAGTGACAGAATACCAGGTATGCTCATAGATGTTGCCGGCCTTGGTTTAACAGTCTTGTCACCTGTATATATATATTTAGTTTGAATTGTGAGTAGATTGTATGTAACACGTCATTAGGTAGCGAATCTTACATTTTATCGGTATTAGATCGTCAACTGTAAGCGGTTCTCCGGTAGCTGGGCACGTAGCGGTCTCCTGTAGGTGTTTTTCAATAAGACGTCGTTCGAATACGTATCCAGTACGGCTCAAGCACGGTTCTTCTGGCTGGACGCCGCTAATCGAACATATGAACGCCATCACTGCTCAAGGAGCTCGAGACACGTGTCCACAAACAACGGCTGTGATTTTAGGGACCACCGGAATCCACCTGTAGGTCCCCACAGTACCAATGTTAAAAAGTCATACAATTGGCCGTAATTTGAGAGGTATTATACCCTTTTATATGTTCAAAATTACAGTACACGTTATAAAAATTTTTAAGCCTTTTTGGTTACTATTACTTGATGTGTTAAATGGGCCGTGCGGGGTAGCGTATCGCGTCTTACTGTGCCGCAGTTGTTTGTTTGACGCAGATACTTATGGTTACGCCGATTTGTAACTCAATGTGTGTCATGGTAGACAACTGTAAAAGTCACACCAATGCTTCGGTTCCTCCGCTAGGCAACAGTTGTGGCGCTGTGGAACTGTGTGCGTTATCGCTGTAATTCTATTATTGAAATCGATGTTCGGTGCAAATGTCAACACATTTAACTTCGTTATACAGCGCACTCATTGCCGCCGGGGTGCACCTCTTAAACCGTGAAACCGCGTCACGCGACATCATTCTATAAAGCAAAGAAGGCTGTAGTTACCTAAACTGTATTATAAAGTATTAATGAAGTTGTTAATAATCCGTTGAGAAACTTTCGGGGGTGTATTTGAATCATACCTTCCTGGACGCCAGTGATATACGCTGCTGCCTAGGTACGCACATCGTTGGCAGCCATACACATCGACGAATCGCATTGATATTGAGAAGCAGCGTTATACAATGGCAACTGTGGCTTCCTCACAAGGTTCTGGGCGCGCCGTACCCAGTGACATGGGCGACAAGGTGGTACTCGACCCAGATGTGTACTGCTCTCTCGTCAAGTGCGCTTTCAACCAAGCGTTTCAGCGCAAAACTGAGATGAATGAGCATTCTATACTCTTCAAGCAGCTTGTAAATTCTCTCGTAGAAGCACCTGCTGGCGCCGCTGAAAAAACACCGCCACAGCCGAAAACCGGCGTGTTATCTGGGGGCTTAAAAGCATCAATAGATGCCATCAAGAGTGACTTCCTCGACCACTACTCTCTTCTCTACAACTTAGAAGAATATAGTATCCGCGAGCGTCTCGAGATCCTCGGTAAACATGGTCCGGTTGAAAACGCAGTGACAGCTGAGTCGGTTGGTGCCGACAGGATCCCTCTAGGTGAGTCTTCACACATAAAAAATGCATACGCTGAAAGTCAACGCAACATTCGAACTTGCAGGTCCGAGTACCTATGAGGAGCGTGCGGCTGCTCCAGAAGAGTCCTCTGATGCTGAACCTACTGTATCTCAGGGTGTTTTCGCCATGATCGACACACTGAGGCACAAGTTCGAGACATTGAACCGTCGGTTGGAAGCGCTTGACAATGAGATAGACGCACAAGTCGGTGACCCCAACCTACGGGAATGGGAGGGATCTACTGAATCGATGCATCTTCGTGGCGAGTACGACATCGAGGGTGACAAGGAGCTCTGCAACCATATTCGTAGCTTGTACTCCCACCTTCACCACCAAGCAAAGATAAATGAGCAAAAGATAGAAGCCATGAGAAACAGATTGACCACTCTGCAGGCACATGCTAAGGTGCTCCGCAGGCGTGATCCCAAGGATACTAGGGTTGCATTCTGAATCGCGTATAGACACTATACCTTAATATTTTGTACAATGTAATATCCATTCTATATCGTGTATAACAACTCGGTCGCTTGGTGTTTGTTCTCAACCCCCTCGCGTATCAACGGGAACAGCGGCACTAGTGCATCTTGGTTCCCAACGTACAGGTTGTTGTACAGACGCCAGTACACCTCGCGGACCTTTGTTGCTGGGTGGAATAGCCCCTGGAGTAGATAATGGAATATCACACTAGGACCTAGGGCTACTCGGAACCCGTCTATTGCGTCGAAACAGCTCTGCGTGAGATGTGGGCTCGTCTCGAATATATTGGGCCATACATAGTTTAGTAGGTGTAATAGTGCATCTTCACAGTTTAGTCCAGTTACCCCCAGGGCTAGGTGTTTGCAGGTCCATGCGGCAGTTTGCCGGTGCACTATGTTACGATCCATTAACGCGTTTTCTAGTAACGGTGTAATGGCGTAGATGTAGTCCTTTGCCATCTCACCGATATATTCAAAGAGGAAACAAAGCGCTTTCAGAACACCTGTCTGTACATTAATCTCTGGCACACGGTATTCCGTCATCAGGGCAGGAAGCACTGAGTACGGCAGACAGGTCTCCGCAACGATGGCAATTGCGATCGTTGTACACAACCGCAGTTGTCTCTCTTGTACACGAAGGTGGTTTAGCAGAGTAGAAATAACATCATTTGGTCCGATAGTCCGCGCAATATACCCGAAGGTGTTCACCGTTGCACGTCTGATACTCTTCTTATTTGCTTTCAGCAATTCTAGTAGGTCGAAACAAATACGATCCCATTCTTTCGGTGAAACAAGATCGCCTCCGCGGTCTGCAATCCGTCCTACCAGTTCAATTACATTTTCTTGAACTTTTTCGTGCCTATTCTTCAGAATGGGCGTTAGCCTCGGCAGCAGGTCCTTGATTGGAGGGGACATGGATGCCGGGCCTATAGCCGATACGATAGCCTTGAGGGCACCTAAAATGCTACCTAGCACTTCTGGGTACTCTTCACCCAAATACTCATAGAGGTGCTGCCCCAAACTGGCCAGCATATCCTGTCGACCACATTGTCTCATAATAGGAGCTATTTTGCAGATCATATCTGCTGCTTGCTGCCTGGTCCGCGGACTCTGTGTGCCCAAACGCCAGCGAATGACTCCGACAATTTGGGTTAAATACGGGAGGCTACGTTCTCCAAGGTAGTGCAACAATGTCCCGAATGCATCCAACAAGACTGTGCAGTCATCTGACGCCTGCTGTTGAAAAGCATATATCATACCATCTATCAACAGTTCTTCAAGACGTTGGTCAAGTTCCACCTTTTGGTCAGCATCGTGCCCTAGTGAACTTATCAAAACAGCCTCTATGCACTGAGCTACCATCACTCTGAAACTTTCAGAAGGGTCCTTTAAGTCATCTACTAAACGGTTGATGACCTCTAGCCCTACTTTGTTTGATATTTCTACTGTTGTTTCGATGATAAGATCCAAGTTCTTCTTGTCCATACTGTTGCGAACGATCCAAAATGATTTGAAGAAAGGATCTAGGAGTTCCTGTCGGATGTAATCCGCTTGTATACCTTCAGTGGAAATGCACTGACGTACTACTTTCAGCACAATGTGTTTCATCTCTTCGTCTGGTGTTGCGAACTCCTTCACCAGAATGTTCATCACCTCTTTTGTGTAATAGGATGCGTAATACGGGTCCATGAGTGGCACTATCATACCAATGGCTTTCAAGAAAGCAGCAAGTCCCTTGCCTCGGTGTTCAGTGATACCTTTCCACAATGGTCGCAGAACAATGTCGAACGCTTCAATTCCGAATGGCGCACTAGCTTCGGCTAATGATGCTAAGGCTAATGCTGTCATGGTCCTCACTTTCAAAACTTCATCTTCCAGACCCAGTGCAATGATGGACACCAGTTGTTTCAGGTGTGGCAACACACCGCAACCAACCAATATAGCTATTTGTTGCACTATTTTGATACCAGTATGCCTCGCTTGCCAGCTCTTCTTCGACTGACATACCGCCTTTAGGAACAGTATCAGTGACTGTATTCCAGTTGCGTGCGCCACGACGGCGAAGGCTCTCGCTGTGGTGTTGCGGACGTATTCATCTGGGTGGTCAATATCTGGACGCATGGTACCAATCATGGTTGCCAACCCGGCTGCTTTACTTAGATTGCTGATGATTTCACGTCCCTCAACACGTGCATAGTAATCTTCATCGATAAGCAGTGGCTCAATCACTACCAATATCTTGTGTACGTATGGCCTAACCTGATCTTCCAACTTGAAGAGAATACGATCTATAACTTTAACCATTAGGTGTCTTTCCTGATCTTCCAGTGTTGTTTGCATCATTAATGGTAAAATTTGGTTGAACAGTGGTCCCGGTCCGAATTCGCGTGCCTTTTGTGTAAGCAGCCTTAGCGCTTGCCTCCTCAACGGCGGTGTGCCATTCTTGATTTTCAACAATAGCGCGAGGATACGTCGTTCTGTGATTTCATCAGCCGTTAGATCCTCTTCCGTTTTGTCGTCGAAGAGTTTGCCGAAAAAATGCTGATCCTCTGCCTTCACTTCTACATCCAGTAGTAGCGACGGCGTTCCAGGTATATCGTAAGGTTTCCGTAGTGTTTCATCTTTGATTATGAAACTTGGCGACTCACTCACATGATGTGAATGGTAGGTTACATGTCTGCTAGCTACATAGCCTTCCGGAGGTTCTATAATTTCATAACCTTCACATGGTAGCATTTCATCAAGTTCCTCGTCAGTCAGGTACCTATTGCGATCTGTTGAAAAAGCATACTGTTCTGGTTGTAACCCAGCTGGTGTGAAGGGCGTCGCTGCACCAAACTCCCCTAATCCTAATGGTGTGGCTGATGGCGTTTGTGCTTCCATTTGTGGCGTTTTATCCCATCTTGACATTCTTTTTCGTGCCTCAGCGCCTGGTGTTGCGGCAGCAAACTGTGGCGTTTCTGCATATGCTCCTGGTACGATCTGTGGAGTCTCCACGTATGCTCCGCTCTCCACCATGGGTGTTTCTGCAAATGCTTCCGAATGTTCATCATCTTCATCGAATCCTGATCTTCTCGATCTTTTTACATCAAGATTACGTACATCGTCCAGTGACATACGTTCTCTTTCCATGAATTTTTCTATATCTTTGCGTGTTCGCATAATTTCAGTTTCTTTCATAATATCTGAGTATGTTCGTTCCTCTGGGTTGGTTGTTTTTGCAAACGGATCGAACCTTTCTGGCGACAGTTTGCGACCCAATCTCTGGCGTCTATATGAATCTTCTCTTGCCAGTACTGATTTTTTATTTTGTAACATTTCATCTTCTCCATCCGACCCATCGACATATTCCTCGGCGCCGAGTGGCGGCCCATGTCTATTAGATATTCCATTTCGGATATCATCATGCCCGTTATCTTCGTCCAGTAGTTCCTTTACTTCTGCATATGATTTAGCGTAAATATCATCTGTATCCTCCGAAGATACCCGGGCCTTCTTATATCTTGATTCCGAACCCATTGCTGTAGCCGATGTTGAACTTTTATACCGATACTGCACAACCACTATCAATTATCTATGGCAGTGGTTGTCACGGTACGCGGTAACTATCCATTTCCAAGTTGTATGTATCACCATGCGTCGCCCTCGCGATATCAGGCTCAAAGTGTAATGTCCCAAGTCGTCCACAATTAACAGTGTTACTGTGTAATAATTTTTAGTATGCCAATATTATTTGGGTTTGCGCTTAGTGTTAAATTGTAAGGTCGTCTTGTCCCGATGTTACCAACAGCGTCGCGCTGTGTCACTATGATCCCTGTTCTTAAAAAGTGACCGAAGGTACTCGTAACTCACTCACCTCGTCTAATAACAACACATTCAGTGGTATATTCATGAATGTCGATGCTTATGGTGACCCAGAGCGGCTCAACTATGTGTTATTGGTGTGCGTGAACTCGCGGGCACATAAGCTTGCAAACGTTGATCTAACAACACTAAGACAACTATACAAAGTTATAATTTCACTTTGTAACATCTAGTTTTCTTGGGCCGTCGTAAGGTGACTAATTTTAGTTCACCTTCTCTGGAGGTGTGCCACAACACACCTTCCTATACTATGCGCCGTTACTGCGGTTCAGCACGTGTTGCCCAGGCATTAAAACCCATATTTAGTCGTAGAAGGACACTTTCTTCGATTGTAAGTTTTCGAACCGTCCTCTGTATTGTTTGCGACGGTACTGTTCATTCGGTAGAAGGCAGTGTCGTGGCGGATCGTATCCCTCGCACAGCAAAGGTGGAATTTTTACCTGTAGCTCGGTGTATCATTGCCGTCAAATTCCATATAATATAAGCTAAGGCAGTACAATCTAGTACAGAGTGTATACGTACCTGTCCCCTGTCCCATAGAAGAGTTCCGCGTTTGATTGCCCTTATGAACTTCTTGCGTATTGGAAGGCGGTTATAGTGCTGCTGTAGTATCGAGACGGAATTTTTGTGGGTTGCGAAGCTGCGCGAGAATACCAGCGCAAACATTGACGCCATCAGTTAGCGCGGTCTCAACTCCGCTTCCGTGGAATGTGATAGGCAGCGGCCACAAATTCTATTCCTTGAATCTTGTTATTCACTATCCATCAGCATTTAATAATGTCTATATATTCCTTAACTGCCATACGCGCAGCGCGCGCGTACGCGTGCAAGGCGGGCGCTGCCAACGTCTCCCTCCAACCCTCTCACTCCACGCCTGGATCCCCCAGCTGTAACTAACATCTACACGCATATACCAACGCACAATACCGTTACGTGACCTGGCTACGAGGGATATATGCCCAGGTAATCGTCGCCACCGCGTAAGGTAGACGTATATACACACCGACAAGATGAGTCACCTTCTTAATCTGCCCGTGCTACTCCTTAAAGAGGGGACAGATACCTCTCAGGGGCGTGCCCAGATAATTAGCAATATCAACGCTTGCCAGGTCGTCGTGGAATGCATTAAAACCACTCTCGGTAAGTCTTTATTTTGGTTTTTAAGGTCATGTTGTGTGTATCTATGGTGTTATTAAGGGTTAACTGTTCTATGTTTAATCCCGTTTCTTGTTTAACTCTACCTTTTTAATGGATCCTAATTGACTATAGGTCCTCGTGGCATGGACAAGCTCATTCACAGTGGTAACGACGTGACGATTACAAATGACGGTGCCACTGTTCTCAAGCTTTTGGAAGTGGCACATCCAGCTGCCGCGGTACTGGTTGATATTGCAAAGTCCCAGGACGACGAGGTTGGTGATGGGACAACGTCAGTTACCATCCTTGCTGGAGAGTTGCTAACTGAAGCGAAGCAATTTATCATTGACGGTATTAGCCCACAGGTGATAATAAAGTACTTCCGTCTGGCTTGTGAACGTGCTCTTAAGCAGATTGAGAGTATGGCTGTCAACATTATCAGCAAGGACGATGCGGAGAAGCGTTCTTTATTGGCAAAATGTGCTGAAACTACTCTAAACTCCAAGTTGTTATCAGGTCATAAGACATTTTTTGCCAAGATGGTTGTAGATGCTGTTATGTTGTTGGACAGCGACTTGGACCAGGAGATGATCGGTATTAAGAAAGTGACCGGTGGTAGTTGCATTGACTCAATGCTTGTGAAGGGTGTGGCGTTTAAAAAGACGTTTACCTATGCTGGAGCTGAGCAGCAGCCTAAAAAGTTCCTGAACCCCAAGATATTGTTGATTAACATTGAGCTTGAGTTGAAGGCTGAGAAGGAAAACGCTGAGATACTTATTAAGGACCCCAAGCAATATCAGAGCATCATCGACGCAGAGTGGACTATCCTCCACGATAAGCTCGAGAAAATCGCGAAAATGGGCACCAACATAGTGCTTTCTAAACTCCCAATAGGTGATATCGCCACACAGTTTTTCGCTGATCGCAACATCTTCGCCGCTGGACGTGTCGAGCAGGCTGACATGATAAGAACTAGCAAGGCTACTGGCGCATCCATTCAGAACACTGTCAACGGTATCAGCACTGATGTTTTGGGTACTTGTGGTCGTTTTGAGGAGAAGCAGATCGGTAATGACCGTTTCAACATTTTTGAGGACTGTCCTAAGACTACAACTGCCACTATTATTTTGAGGGGTGGTGCGCAGCAATTCATTGAAGAGAGTGAGCGTTCTCTGAATGATGCCATTTGTGTTGTTCGTCGTACAACAAAGACCCACACTATTGTTGGTGGTGGCGGTGCTGTTGAGATGGAGCTCTCTAAAGCATTGCGTGAGTATTCATTATCTGTCGTTGGTAAGCAGCAGCTCATAATTAACGCTTTTGCACGCGCTCTTGAGGTGATCCCGAAGACATTAGCTCAGAACGCTGGATTCAACGCCACTGACGTCATTTCCAAGTTGCGACGTGACCACGCTCTTTCTAAAGAGGGTGTGAACTGGTTTGGTGTTAACTGTATGAACGGCGACATTGTGGACACATTTGAGGAGTGTATTTGGGAGCCTGCTATGGTGAAGAAGAACGCTCTTTATGCGGCTACTGAGGCTGCGTGCCAGGTACTATCAATCGATGAAACTGTCAAGCATGCCGCTCAAGCGGCACCTTTGGACTAGAGCAAATGTCTATTTCCCATTTAGGTGACATTTAGCTTTAATAGTTTTATCATTAATATTTATCATGTCGATTATATTTCTCGTTGCAGATTTTCGTATGCCTCCTTCAGCAGGTACTTGGCCTCTCTGGTGGGTTTTCCTGCAGCGTGCCAGCGTATATAGCCGAACCTGTCCAGCAGCACTATGCTGCTGAACTGGCGTCGGTATTGGTGCAGTATCACTGTCTCTTGTTCACTCATATTACGTGCTATGCAGCTGAATGCGCAATGTTCCACTAGCGATGTCGCGAGTGCTTTTACATATCGTTTATGAAAGTAGGTCATACCGACTGGACATGGATAGTTTAGTAGCATATGTATTGGTACTTCGAAGTCGACAGCCTTCTTCCACTCCAGTGCTGCTTTAGCGTCTGCGTATGGTGGGTCTCCAGAGAATATGACTAGCAGTGAGGTCTTTCCGTATATTTTCTGTAACAATACTTCACAAGGGTGTATTTTTAATGTTGGTAGTGCACTAAGCATTATTCGTCTTCCCCCTTCCATGCGGTAGTCCTTTTCGTGCACGGCATAGGTGGTTACCAAAATGTCTCCTCCTAGTTTTTCGGAATGCTTCCTTGGCAGCAGGGTCAATGGGTAGTTGTGCGCATTCGGGCTGCCTTCTACGTATTGTTTGAATGGTATAATCCCATTTGAGCATATACGTATGTTCCTGAATACTGATTAATTTCTGGAGATATGTATACGTCGAAGATTAATGCGATGTTATAACTCAATAAAAATGTAGCTGTGACTTACTTTGTTGATATTAGCCCCTTTTTAGGTATCTCTATATAATCCTTAAAGCTATTTTTGTCAATTTGAGGTGGCGAGTTCAGCACATCGCTCTGTAACTCTCTTTCTACCGGTTCATTTGAAAGATCTCCCACTATTTCCACACCTCGATCACCTATTCTCATAACCGGCTTACGATACGGCGTGGTATCTACATCGTGGCTCTGTACTGGCGTCACCAACTCTTGCTTGACTGTGCTGTAACCGGCAACAGATCGATTAAAAGTTCTGCGATAAACATTGTTCCATCTACAATGCTGTACGAACGACGCCCCAAAGTGTTTTATGTATAAGTTAACCGTCATTTTAAATTATGTGTATCATTTGAGGGCGGCCCTCGTTGAGCACGGGAGGTGGCTGTTTGTCAGCACATCATGTTTCTATGGTTTTATTATATGTTTTACTAATTTAATTGGTCAATTTTAATGTTATTTGTGTGTGAGGAAACCGAGCGGTAGTGCCGCCAGGCGGCACCTGTTTGGTCTATCACAACTTATTAGCGTCGAGGTTGTCCTTAGATAACCAATATTTGATCAATAGGTTCAAAATGTCAACTCTAAAAGCTGCGCGAGCGGATAACTTCTACTATGCGCCTGATGGCGCAGATTGGTCGGAGCAGCGTCGTCGTATGCGCAAGACTCCTAAGAAGGCCCGTAACTATTTCAAATCGTCTTCGTTAAAGTACGCTGATAGTGATCCCAACGTTGTGTTAAGCGATGATAAGGCTGCTTTGGGCGGTTTAGCGCCATTTTATAGCGGTTCCGGGCGCGGTACTGTCATCCGATTTGAGATGCCCTTTAAGGTCATTTGTCTGAAGTGCGGTGCTTATATTGCCAAGGGTGTCCGTTTTGACGCTGAAAGGAAGGCTATTGGGAAATACTTTTCTACAACTATATATGCATTTCTTATGAGCTGCCATCACTGTCATAACCCTATCGTGATACAAACCGACCCTGAGAACACCGATTACATTTGCAAGGTAGGAGTACGTACTAAGGTGGAAACGTTTGACACTTCTGATGCAAATACCATTGAACTTGGTCACGATCATGCTACTAAGCAGCAGTTGTTATCAAATCCACTTTTTAAGTTGGAGTGCATGGCCCTGGAGGAGGATGCTGTTGCCAAAAGCGGAGCTGCCACCACCGATACACCACAAAGTGGGTCTACATTGGAATCTAGCCGCATTCCAAGAGCGTCATCATCGATTGGACCACCGGTAGCTGTGAATCGTGGCGAGTCGAAGCCTGCAGCACTGGGTGCTGACAGCGCCTCAGCTGCACGTGTGATTGACGACAAGCTTGATGAGTTGCTTGCTATAAACGAGGTGAATAGTGGTGACTGGTATCTTTCCAATTCGGCTTTGCGCAAACGTTTCAGGGATGAGAAGAAGAACTTAAAAAGAAACCCTAACTTGGGCTTGGAGTTGGTCGCTGAAGATAAGAGAGATATCGAGGAAGCTAAGGGGATAACCTTTTTATCGCAATCTAAACGTATCCAATCGCATTTCAAGCGCATTTTAAAAAAGGATTCTGGTATATTTTCTCGTACTTGCGCTTCGTCTACGAGCGGAGATTCTACTATCGAGGACAAGAGGAAAAGACTGCAGTTCATCAAACATATTGATTCTCGCCTGAGAAGGCATAACAGACGTAAATGTTAGCATCTGGTGTATTGTATTCATGTTGTATCTCTACATACGTCAGTGTCGGAATCACAATATAAAAAAATCTTTTTTTTACACGATGATGTAGATATGTTTTGTGATTCATAACTGTGTAACAATTAGTCAATGGTGTGTAAGCCGTTGATTTGAATTATTGCCGAGTCTCACGTAGTTCCATGTGTTTTTGCGCTTCGACGTTTTAACGGCAATTATATTGCCATACATCGCAACTGTGATCCTAATCAATCTCCATTCTAAGTACTACGTTTGTATTTTTTGTTATGAAAAATGGAGTTTAGTATTGTGTCGAGTTCGCAACTTCAGCCGAATATGCTGATTTGTGGCAGTGCCAGCGGCGATATTTACGTCTTAGACGCTTTCAATCCAGGTTGCAATCTCATAGGAAAGGATAAATTGGTTCGTTTTGCTTCATCAATGGCGAATGGTGCTTCAGACGCATCCACGGTCTACACGCCATCAAGTGATTTGGGATATCACACTGTCGATGACCTGTTAGTAAAGCACCACAGTAAACTTTTCAAAGCTGGAGTTGTCTGTATTGAGTATCATCCGCGTCTTCCATCGCTTGTTGCCATTGGCCTAGCTGATGGTTCGGTGCGTTTGCTTTTCCTTGAACCTGAGAACCCTGAAATGAGGAAAACTAAATTTGCATTAAAGTTTCAGAAAGCAGTAGACCAGTTACAATGGCTATTGGTACACTATGACAAGGATACAGATCGTTTGACAACCCACGCCGTCTCCTTTGCGGACCGGATATGGAGCCGTATCGTCAAAGCACCTTATATCTCTCTGCTAATTGGTAGGGCAGGTGATGAGGTTCTGTTCGCCGTAATAGACAGGAAGATCGAGATTTTCAATCTTTTCACTAGTTTGGTGGAGGAACAGGACACCAGTAACCAGGTACTCATGGCCAACCCAGGAGCCCCTGGAGTTGATCATATGGATGCGTCTGCGTCTGTTAAAGGCTGTGGTAAAATAGGGTTAATAGCTACTGTAAAGTGGCCTCTCGCTGCCTATTTCGAAAAGGATATTGAATATTCAACATTGACCAATTTCTGCATATTTCATGAGGCGCTTTGCATTGTCAAGTACGATCAAGACTATATGTACTTACATGTCTATACCCCTGTTGTGACAGATTACACTGTTAAATTCACCAAGTTCGTAAAACAATTTCGTGCACAGGTTACGGGCATACCGGTTGCGATCCAGATTAGTCCGAAACAGTACAACCAGATGTGGCGTTACCTTGCAACTAACAATCAACATCTGTTTAATGAAAGAGGGGAGAAGTGTCTCACCGCGTTAGCGGAGTTTATCGCAATTGGCTCTGACCAGGGTTACGTCTATACTACAACAATGCTTCACATCTACAACCGGGCACACGTTTCCATAAGAGGGCCCCAAGGGTCGGTGGCTGTGGCCGATGACAACTCAGCAGATTACAGTTCAACCTGGCCACACACAGGGTATCAATCTTTCAACCATCGAATGTGTGATGGTGCGAATGGTTCTCTTGATCATAGCTGCGTCGATATAGATATGGCACCATGTTTTGTAGGTGGTCCTGTACTTGGTTTAGAGTGGGCATTACTATGGAACGACTACACTCGGGAGCCCAAACTCGTGGATCCAGATGAGTGTTGCTGTACGGACGATATAACATTCTTGCTCGCGGCGCGCAGCAATCATCACGTTGAGATTGTGCGTCTCGTTAAAGAGAATGCAATACTTAGGGCGGAACTCTACCAAAGGATACCTCTACAATGTAGTGCCATACGTTGGGTCGAGGATACATTGCCTAATGACATGAACCTCTTAATGCCCACTCGTGACGGTATCCACCGTCAAACGTTGGAGCGCAATGTGCTTGAAGGGAACGGACCCTCAGTGCAATGTGAACATGAACCACGCTAGCATTGTGATAATATTATTTTTGTTGTTTATGTGCGAAGATTCTTCGCCGGTTTCAAGTTACTATCATTGGTTGTGATTAAATATACGAGTTCGGTGAATCACTCGTATGCGTCCTCGATGGACCCATTTTCAGCCTTTTTCTTTTCAGTCTCCTTTTCCACCATCATACCTTCGGTGGTAAGTATGAGCCCCGCTACTGATGATGCGTTTTCAACGGCATTCATTACCACCTTGGTTGGATCGATAACTCCCTGTTTGATCATATCTCCATAGTTGTTAGTCTTTGCGTTCCATCCATATCCGAATGGTTTCCCGCTATTTTTGATACGTTCAACAACCTTGTCTCCACTAGCACCGGCGTTATCGGCGATTTGTCTTGTGATAATTGACATTGCATCAAGTACTATCTTTGCTCCTGCTTGTTCTAAGGCGATCTCACTTTCTACATCTTCATCCTTTTCTCCTTCTAGTTCCGGATCACTTGGTCTCATTTCATTTTTGACAGTTTCTGTGATGTGTTTTTCGGCTTTAGCTGTGAACTCGGGTGACTGCATGGCCAGGTATGCCACACCACCACCGGGAACAAATCCGGTTTCCATGGCTGCCCTAACGGCATTAATGGCATCTTCATAACGTAACCGTTTCTCTTTCAGTTCTGTTTCCGTAGCTGCTCCTATACGTATACGTGCGATACCACCAGATAATGCTGCTATGCGTTCACCCAATTTTTGTTTGTCGAAACTTGATGTTGATTTTTCCTTTTCATTTAACAACGTTTTAATGCGCCGTTTGATTGCTTCATTGAACTGTGGCAGTGTAAGTATTGAAGTACGGTCTTTTTTGATCACTACACTTTTGGCCATACCTAGCATATCCACAGTTAGATCATTGAAGCCTATACCAACATCTTGTGATACGAAAGTCGATCCTGTTGCTACGGCTATATCCTGTAAGTATTCTTTTCTGCGCTCACCGAATGATGGTGCTTTAACAGCTACTACCTTGAGCATACCTCTCATCTTGTTAATAATGAATGTTTGCATGGCATCTGGTCCAAAGTCCTCCGCAACAATAACTAACGGTGTCTTGCTTTTTGCTGCATGTTCCAAAATTGGTAACACTGATTGTGCGCTTTCTATCTTTCCATCTGATACTAGTATTTGAGGTACACTCCATTCGATGCTATCCTTTTCTTCCCCCAGTAAGAAGTATGGGTTAGCGAACCCCCTATCGAATGTGTATCCTTCGGTGAAATCCAGTTCATCCTCTAGTGCTGGATTTTCCTCCAATACTGTTGCGGCGTTAGCACCTAGTTTGTCAAATGCCTTTGCGATGACTTCACCCATTACAGTGTTTCCACTTGTAGCTACTGTAGCGATATTTAGCAGGTCCTTGTACCCGTCTACTGGTTTGCTTAGGCTCTTGAGTTCTTCAATGATGAGTTTTGATGTTTTTTGTATACCTTTTTGTATCGGTATAGGGTTATGTCCCTGGTTAACATATTCTACCCCTTTTTTCGCAATTTCAGCTGCTAGAATGGATGTTGATGTTGTACCATCACCAGCTCTGTCATCTGATGCTGTAGCAATTTCTTGTATCAACTTGGCTCCTGCATTCATCTTTCGGTCTTCCAGTTCGATATTTCGTGCAATAGTAACACCATCGTTAACAATGATCGGTGAGCCATATTCCTTTTCCAGTAGCACATTTCTACCTCTGGGTCCCAATGTCACACGTACGGTATCAGCTACCGTGCTAACACCTTTAAGTAGATTGTTTCGGCATTCATCGGCCAAAATGATCTCTTTTGGTTTGGCTCCCAGGGCGCGAGAGTGATCTCTAGTGTGCTGGGAGGCATATGAGTTGAATTGACTCCTACCACTGGCAACGAATGCCGATGATGCTGGTGTATGAACGGTTGCGTGTCCTATGTCACGGAAGGTGTGGCCAAGAGAGCCTGAACCACGCTGTCTTCCGAGCGCCAGACAACTGGCTGCTAGGAAAGAGGAGACTAGACAAGCCTTGACGAGACTAAATATTACCATTGCTACGTCGCGCAATTATACAACGAAGAAATAGAATATAATTCGTGGAATTGAGCGTCAACCTACTAACGGCTTTCGGCGCTTCTACAAAGGCCCCCATGAGCTCTGGTACATTGCCTTATAGGAGATAGACAGAGCCAAAGAAGAACAGTGTTACCAATTTCGTTATACTCTAGTTGAAATTGAGCTCATTCACACCGGTAACCTTTGCTAAATTAGCCTTCTTCTCCAATATGTCTAGTTGTATAGCGCTACTATCGATATTCTTGTACCAACCAACAAGATTCTAGACATCATCCTAGCCCACTTGTGGTATATATTTGGCAATGGCCTTTGATTGTAATGAATTCTGGAAATTTCCCATAGTAGACACGGTGACCTTAGGGTCATTGCGGTGAAGTGTGTCACACATATACGGTTATATTTGGCAAAAGTAGCTTTTATAAAATATAATTAAGATACACCTAATATGAGTATTCTTAGTTAAGTTTTGGATGTAGATTTCATAATCTTCCGGCTAGGCTGTCTTGTAGCCTGCTTCGGTGAGGATATAGCAACTTGATTGAGAGTATATGGTTGTATTTTGTAAAATGAGTATATAAAATATTTATCGCAATTCATGTACGCGCTCGGTGTGCGTAAGTGGAGGCTTAGACCAAGCCGCCTCCATTCCGGTGCTCCTGGAGTAGGGACTACGGCAGAAGTGTCCTATCTACCATGTCATCAGCCGGAGGAATCGCCATGTAGACGGTTTATAGCCACACGAGTGGGCTCAAAACCTTGCTGCTACGCCTCAGGGCGATCATCTAAAGCTCTCATCATCGAGACCGGGTCGTACCAAAGTGAAAATGAAGCACGAGGCAGCTTTTCAAGATGTGAAACTGCTACCACGTCGATTACAAGCCTGCTGAGCTTTCCAGGGCGACGACTTACGTCACGATCCTTTTCAAGTGTCAGCTGTGTCAATAGCGAAAGCGGCACAATTTTAGGTGGCAGTGAATTTTCGCGTATTCTGCTCGAATTACATGCTGCATTCCCTACTGATTTCAGTGTTATCGAGAAGTTGGATCTGCTGGAACTGTGCTATGATAATAAGGTTTTGCATCACAAGGAGATCGCAGTGCTAACCTTGGAGCTTTGGAAGAATATAGGTGAGCCTGTACATTATGTGTTGAGATAGCGTCCAACAGGTCATTTGAAGCAGTGTGATATTTCGCGTTGTCACAAACTTTTTAAGGACATCGGTGACGAGCTGTGCGCGGTAAAAGAGGGTAGAAGGGAGCCGTTAAAGTTGTACGAGGATCAATTTCACTGGGATCTGACTATGCTCCACAACCACGTCCTAAGTCCAACATTGGAACAGTATCGTAAGAAGCAGGACTTGATCCAAAGGTATGTTTAATTTAGCTTTATTACATTTATGTTCCAGCCTAAAGGTGACACTGGAACGTGCTGCGAATGGCACCCTTCACACTTTTGGTTCGTGTGAGAACGGCTTGTGGTAGGTTTCATTAAACCAATAGTTGTATGAAGGGTAGGGTACGGGGTAGCGACGTTGACATGTGTCTTGAGATCCCCAACTGTAACCACAAGCGTCAATGGCTTTCTAAGCTTAACTTGGTATGTTCCTTATGGGCTGTAACGTTACACCTCACCCAACAGATACGTTCCACATTGTCTAACAGCGACATTATATCGCACATCAGCATCATTTCTGCGAAAGTGCCAATCGCCAAGGTAGAGTGTTTTGTGCCGGGGACTATATTGTGCAGCTTTACAACCGTGATAACCACAATTTTTGTGACATATCTATCAACAACACGGTTGCACTGAACAACACCCGTTTTGTTAAGGCGATGACTAGGCTGGACTTCCGTGTGGTTAAACTTGCAAGGTTCATCAAATACTGGGCTACTTGCAGGTGTATAAATAACCGTTCACAGGGCACCCTAAGTTCGTATACACTTATCTTGCAGCTATTCTACTTTATGCAAAACAGATCACCTCCCATCCTACCTCTTTTCAAAGACATCGAGACCTCTATCGAGGGTAGCGATGATGAAGAGCGTACTTCATTTATGACTGACTCGAGTGATATTTTTGCCAAGTGCGACTACCTCCAGCAGAACACGGAGTCTATCACTGAGCTTCTTTTCGATTTTTTCAGGTTCTATAGTGACAAGAGGTTCCAAGGTGGTCGTCGGGGGGCAACTGTGGATCTGTATACAAACGAGATAGCTGAGAACAACTTAGGTGTCTTAGTGATGAAGTGTCCTATTACTGGCAAAAATGTGAACCCGTTCACTATCCGTATGTGGCAGAGCATTTATCGTGAATTCAAGAGGGTCGATGACTGCATAAATGATCAGCGTCCCGTCAGTCAGATATGCATCAAGGCCACGAAGCCTCCTTTAGAGAAGGAGGCAGAGTTACAGCGTAGTCATTCGCTAATGATACGACATATTGTGTTGGCTGCGTGTGGTCAGAAACAGAAAAACAGATCCAAAAGTGTATTGAAAAGGACCTAATTGTGTTTAATCTCTTGATCATTCTATGTTGCTATATTGTATGATTATTTTAAAATTTATGTTGTGTTTCCATTTTAATGGACTACCTAGTGTTTGTTCTTTGGGTTTACCTTCTTTTCATCTTTGATAATCTCACTGACCATTATCTGTGCCACTGCGATGCAATCCTGTTCCGCAAATACAATTTCTTTCTCCAAGAGTTCTAGGTTCGTCTCCAAGTCATCAGTTCTTGTCATGTCCAATGCTATAAGTGCGTTGAGTACTCGTGAATTAACATCATCGTCTTTAACTTTTGCCTTAGTTAAGAGTGTTTCTTGTATAGCTTGAGATTTGGAGATCCACTTTGCCAGCCGTCCGAATAGCATGAACCTTCTAGCAACATCTTCTGTAAGTTTTTCCATATATTCTTTACTCTTTTCATCTAATTTTGCTACTTCTGTTAGTTTTTTTACGAAGTCGCGTGGCTTAAACTCGGACCATCTGGTTCCCTTTGTATGCCCGTCGTACATGACGAATGTTGGTGTTGCACGTGTTACTGGACATCCTTTCGGGAAATCGTTACTTTCTATGTTTAATCTTTTGATTCGTATGGGACTCTTGATTTCTTTTAAATGACGGTTAACGCTGTTAATGAAAGGTCGCATCAAGAAGCAGAGGAAACAGCTTTCTTCATATAGCTGTAGTAGTATAGGCGCCTTAGAAGTTGCCTGTGATACTACTTTTTCTTGGAATGTGTCATATGTAACATATTCCGGTATATTTTCATCATGTGTTATAGTGTCATAGTCTTGCGATAGGGGTTTGAAAAATTCGGCCATCTCGGATTTAAGAGCATCGTATTGTGATTGATCTAGCATATTTGTTGATCCATAAAATTGTTTGCGCATCCCCTTGTAGAGCATAACTGGTGGGTTATTGCTATCAACACCTTGCTTGATTGTGTAGCACAATTTGACTCCTTTCGGCAAAATTGACTTTAATTTATCAATTTGTGTTTTTGGATACTCTGCACGACGGCGTGACGCCAATAACACAACCACAACATCGTCTGTGCTATCAAATTTATTCTCGTCTATCTGTTGATTACATTAACTCAGTGTCATAAAATATCGAAATGATATATTCACTTATAAGTCATAGAACCAGTTCCACAGTTGATATTACATCGTGTTATACCCGTATGTTAGCACACATCGTTCGTCTAACTTACATGTTCTAATGGTATAGATGAAACGTAAGGTAGTATCCCTTCTCTGTATCCGTAGTATATCCCAGCGCCAAATATGGCGATAGAAGAGAGTTTTATGACATTAGCAACGCCATGATAGTCTCTAGAAGCTTCTGCTTGGGTTGTAAATGGCCGAGCTTGAGCGTTACATTTGTGCCGACACGCGGTGGTCCGGGCGACAGCGCGACCTATTGGCGCGATACCCCGGCGCCACATAGCTGTTATAGACCCTATTACAGTTATTTAGTGGAATCTGCTTCGTTTACGGTGCATTTATGCTAAATCTGATGCCGTAAGGTGGTATCGCGCCATGAAGGTATCCACCTGACCCCAGTCATTTGGTCTATGCCTTCAAATCGATCCTGTTGAGTTGAAAATAAAGGTATCGCAGCCGGCGGTATCTTAAATTATCGCATAAGATGCCGCTGGTTTTTCTGCCTCAAATTTTGTGGCACAGCAAAGACAACAAGCATTGTGATCGTGTTTATTCTTTGGACTTCCAGCCACAAGTTGTAGACTATAGCAATGGTGTAAAGTCTGTATTTAAGTTAGCAACAGGAGGTGCTGATGAGTTCGTGCATATTTGGCAGGTCTCTATTCACAACAACGCACCGCAGTATGCTACACACAGCGATAAAAGCATCCTCGCTCCTGAGAATCTTCGTGCTAATGCTACAGCAGGTCAATCAAAGAGTGACTGTGATGTTCAGCCGTTCACAGTGAAGATATTGGCCCGTTTAGTTGGTCATATCGGAGAGATTAATGCCGTAAGATGGAATCCTAACGGTGTTGTTCTAGCTTCGGGTGGTGAAGGTGGGTTTTGGTGTGTGCCATATGTTGAATGTCATGCTGTATACACTGGCTTTGCTAGCGGTGTTGTTGCCGGCTGCTAACATAAGTTGTGATAAAGCATGTTTATAACTGTTACAGATCGTTGTGTTTTCCTTTGGGCGAAATCTGAAGGTTCTAACAACACCCTAGATGGCACTAGTCAGGACTACGAAGAGCATTACTCCAGGTTCCAGTACTATAGGTATGTTGTATGAACCATGTGTGACTGTGGGTTTGTTTGAGACTCTTGCCTCGCCCCGTAGCATATGTGTTTTATCACTGTATTAAATGTGAATTCACAATTTTCTAGGTTATCGCATGTCATCAATAGTATCAGTTGGTGTCCTGATGGTCGGCTATTGGCGGTATCTACGGAGGATGGTCACGTCACTCTGATAGACACCTTTGTAGAGGGTAGTGGTAAAATCCGGCATTTTGAAGGTCACACCAGCTTCGCACAGGGTGTATCAATCTGTCCTAAAAACATAATGATCGCTTCGATGGGTCAAGATCAGACTTTGAGGATCTGGAAGCGTCGAAATGAAAAGCAATGGAAGAACATTCTGGTACTTCGGTCTGCTAAAGATCGGTCGGAATTTAAAGAATCTATTGGTATGGAGAGTGATGATGTGCGGTATAGTCGTTCGGTATTTATGAATGAAGAGCTTTCTACATTTTTTCGACGTTTGGATTGGTCCCCTGACGGTCGTTTTTTGGTGACTCCCGCGGGTATTCGTCACAATTCTTTATTTAGGAAGGAAGATGAGCCTGAGATTAAAGGTGACTCTGTGTATACGTTATATGTTTTCCATAGAAAGTTGATACATTTGGGTATCCCTATGGTTACCCACCAATCACCGACGGGTCCTTTTGTTGTCGTTAAATTTTGTCCCCTGGACATCGGTAAGATTGAGAAGGAGAAGATCAACTTTTTCAACAAGATGTTTAAACCTATGGGTAAGGTTGCTAAGAAAAAGGTGAGTAAACCTAAGAAGAGTAAGGCAGCGTCTGGTGTCAATGGGCAGCTTGGTGTTGCGAATACAGCAACGATTGCGGAATCTTTCGGCCGTATTAGTACCAGCAGTGATCCTGGGTGTGATGTTTCTGTTAAGGAAGCGGAACCCACCGAGGCTGCTGCCTCTCCAGCAGATGCTACAAGTACATCTACGAATTTAGAGAATGATATAAGTATTAAAGAGGAAGTAGAAGATCATTCTACCGCCTTATCAGGTTCCGAACCTGTTTGCAGCCAGGTCGATAGCGGCGAAAGTATACCGGTCCTGCATTTAATAAAAAACGAAGATAACATAGACCTGACTCAGGAGATGGTTTCGGAAGCAATAGAATGCGATATGCCAAGTGAGCGTGCTGAAGCTGAGGATAGCGATTCACGTGCATTGCGTACAAGTAAGCGTGAAATTAAGAAGCCTGAATTTTACGATGCGACATTTGAGCCGCGTAAAAGTTCACGCGGTGGTTGTAAATCTAAGAAATCTAAGAAGGATGAAGATAAAGAGTATGATACTGATGTAGAAGACGAGGTGGTGGTACCACGGTTAATGTTCGCTGCTGGTACATTGGATGGTTCGCTTTGTTTTTATGATACATTGGAGAACCGTGGTCCGATTGCAGTTCTAAAGAACTTACACTATTGTACAATCACCGATATTGCATGGTCACCTGATGGTTTAGTTTGTGCTACGGCATCTAGTGACGGATACATCACCTTTGTAGTATTCCGTAGGAAGGAATTCTACTAGCCATGTGTACACATGGCGTTTTTATAATTGTTATGAGCCAGATACAGTATTGATTTTAATTTATAATCGCTAAATTGAAAAGTGATGTTGTATATGTTGCACGACATCGCGTAGTACCTATTTAGGTCCCACGATCAATCGCACACATTGTCATCTATCTAGCACATCTTCTTTAAGGTGTTGTTTGTATATTTTGCTGCCTTGAAAAGGGCTTTTAACGACCGTATTACGATGGATAAGTCACGGTCCAGCGCTGTATCCAGCGCGTTGTCTAAGATTCGTAAACACCGTGAGGGAGTTGCGAATGCTTTAGAAGAGTATGAAATAGAGGATGAGAATGAGAAGATATATGAAGTTGTTACTGCTGAGGAGTATAAGGACCGGACATCGAAGAGGCGTCTTGACGAATTTATTGAAGGTGGAGAGATTTTTTCAGATGACGACTATGATTATGAGAGTGAAAGTGGCGAAGATGACCATGAACGACCTGCTACAAAACGGCAACTTCCTGATGGATATGGTAAATCTATTGAGCAGCATTTTACCGAAATTGCCCGTAAAGAAAGCATGGCATACAGACCGCCCAAAGATGCTCAAAGTGACAAGAAGTTGATGGAAAAGTTGAGTCGATTTGAAGATGACTTAGATAATGAAGATATCGCAACAAGTACATCTTATGCTACAATGCCAGGTTAGTTACAACTACCTTAGTTTATATAAGTTATAGGTAAAATGCCAATGTCCATGGGAATGGGCATGCCACCTGTTATGGGTATGCCTTATGGCCCGATGGGTCACTTTCAACGGTTTCCACAATACCAAATGTACAGTCAACTAGACAGGCAACATCCAGAAGAACAACTGGCTGCCCCTGTGGAACATAAAGCAGCACCTCTATCGCAAAGACCGGCCGAAGAACCTAAATTAGATGTTAACGTTATGACATCTGGTATGGATATTGACGAAATAGTTCAAGAAGCAGAGAAAATGCCATTTGTCCCTCCACTCGAGCTGGATGCTTCGATCGTCGCTGATTTTGGTGAAGTGGACACTACGGAGCTGGAGGTGATAACCACCAGCAGTGCCCGGGATGTGATCGTCCCCGAGTTTGAGAAGGCTATAGATACCGAATCTGAGGGTTTTGCATTTTATCTTCTAGATGTCCATGAGGATGCGGGCGGCCTTCTACGTTTGTTTGGTAAACTTCACCGGGGGAATACCACAGAGAGTTGCGTGGTAACTGTTCGACAGTTCATGCGTTGTTTATTTTTTAAAGCTCGTATGGATTTGGATCTCGGTAACATGCCGGAGGTGGAGAGTAGCTATGAGCGGGCATTCATGAAGCAATTTTTTACTGAATTCGAAGCTATACGTAAAAGCTACGGTATCAAGAAGACCAAGTATAAGATTGTTAAACGAAAACTTTTAAGATATGGGCCATCAGAAGAAGGTTTATATGTTAAAGTATGCTACCCATTTAGTCACCCACAGCTTAGGGCAGAACACTACCACGGTCAGACTTATGAAGATGTTTATGGCGCTACTACTACACCAGCTGAACTTTTTTTGATCAAACGTAAAATTAAAGGGCCGTCATGGTTGCGTATTATCGATGCGCATCCATCAACTGAAAAGGTCACTACTTGTAAGCATGAATTGGACGTGGAATCACACAAAAATGTGGAACTGTGGAACGCACGTAATTCGGAAGAGTTGCCAATGCCAACATTATGTGTTGCTTCAGTATCTGTGAAGACTTTCTTCGCATCACCTACCCATCAGGAGGTATTGCAGGTGGCCATGATCTACGACAAGAACTTCAGGCTGGATACCACCGAGATTAAACAATTAAACAAATGTACACAACATATCGGTATCCGTAAGATCGAAAAATTAACCTGGCCCTCAGAATTGAATACGTTTTTGAAGAAGAGGCCTTATTTCCGTATATTTGAGCATGAAAGAGGGTTATTAGCTAATTTCATGAAGACTCTAGAGGTGATAGACCCTGATGTCGTAGTTGGTCACGATGTAACACAGAACGTATCGGAGTTTTTGTTGAAGCGCTGCAATATGTTGAATATCCCTTTACGTGTATCATTTTCTCGAATGAAAGCTACAAAGAAATACAATCACCCGTTTTGCGCTGGTAGGATATTTTGTGATACTCGTCTCGTTACCAAGGAGCTGTACCATAACCGAAGCAACTATGACCTTAGCAGCTGTGTTTCAGACCTCGTGTATTCCATGCAGGTAAAAGAGCATCCGCTGTATACGAAGCAGTCGTTTAACCTCAAGGAGCTGATTCCTTGTTTCGCTGAGGAGTCTATGAAAGAGCTCATGACACTTGTACAGGCGAATTCTAAATGTGCTTTAGACGCTTTCAACTTGCTTATAAAGTTACAGGCCTTACCTCTTACTAAGGAGCTTACAAATATCGCAGGTAATCTCTGGAGTCGTAGTGTACAGTGTGCGCGATCAGAACGTAACGATTTCCTGTTACTTCACGAGTTCCATAAGGCTAAGTATATCATCGACCACAATTTTGAACGGTATCACAAGCATACAGTGGCTACAGCTGATAATGAAAAGGAGGAGGGTGATAGTAAGAAGAAGAACTATGAGGGTGGTTTAGTTCTTGAGCCTATAACAGGTCTCTATGATAATTTTATTTTACTTTTGGATTTCAATTCCTTGTATCCTTCTATTATCCAAGAATTCAATGTATGTTTCACCACTATGCAGTTAGTGGACGATGATACTGCGGAGATGGTTACGGATTCACCTGGCATGTTACCACAAATTTTAAGGAGATTGGTCGAGCTTCGGGCTTCTGTGAAGGCGGCTATTGCTGTAGAACGTAACGAAGTACGTAAAGCCCAGCTGGGTGTACGTCAGTTGGCTCTGAAATTAGTAGCAAACTCACTTTATGGTTGTCTTGGAAGTGTCTACTCTCGTTTTCATGCAAGACACATGGCTGCGTATATCACGCAACAGGGTAGGATGGTGCTTCAATCGACGCGAGAGCGTGTTGAGAAGCAATATTCGCTTCGTGTTATATATGGTGATACTGATTCATTAATGATTGACACGAACATCCGTGACGAGGGTTCCGAATCTGCATACGAAGCTGCACAACAAGTTGCCAACACCTTGATGACAAGCATTAACAAGTCTCACAAGAAATTGGAGATTGGTATGGATGCTATGTTTAATCGCTTGCTATTATTGAAAAAGAAGAAGTATGCTGCTCTGAAAGTTGTTGACTACAAGACGAGGACCTTTGCACGAGAGATCAAGGGTCTTGATTTTATCCGACGTGATTGGTCGATATTGACGAAGGAGGTCGGGAATGCTCTATTGGCTATAATTTTAAGTGACAAGACATCGGAAAGCGAATCTCATGGCGTGGAAAACACGGTAGAGCGCATCCACGATACACTCCGTGAGGTGAATGCACGTATCGAGGAAGGCAAGATCCCAGCAAAAGCCTGGATTATAACACGTCAATTGGCTAAGAACCCTAATGAATATGGTTCAAATGCGAATTTACCTCATGTGACTGTAGCGCTACGTATGAACGAATCCGGTGCTACCTACAGTGCTGGTCATGAGGTGCCATTTATTATCTGTTCGAAAGAATCTATAGCTAAGCATATGTTAAGTGAGGCATGTGATAATGTTGAATCCAAGGAGAGTTTGGAAAGCAAGCTGCGGAGTTTGTGTAACCGTGCATATAGCCTTGTGGAATTTCAACAAAAGGGTTTGGAGCCAGATATACATTATTACAAGGCACAGCAGTTATTACCGCCTATATTACGGTTATGCGGTGTTATTGATGGTACCGATCCTCAGAAACTTGCGAGTTGTTTACAGATCCAAGATGAAGTTAACAAGACTATATTGAATACCTACTACGGTTCTTTTGATTATGCGGAGCATGAATCCAAGGCATTATCACTGATTAACCGGACCGATGAGCGTTACAGGGAAGTTGAGGTTACTACATCTGTGCCATGTCAGTTTTGCAATAGTGCTGTTCCTGCGAATTACTTTTTGAAGCATATGACCTGCAGCAATTGCACTAACTGGCTGCCACTTCACTCGATGCGTAACTGGATATCACGTACTATTTATGAGATATCGTTACAGTCCTCATTTTGTATAAGGATATGCAATATCTGTAACACTACAACGCCGAATGTGTGTATTGGCGACAATGACGTATGCCCGCAGCCGACCTGCCAGAGCCGTGATGCGATGGAAGTGGTGCTTCCTGCATCGAAAATATACCTATACTATGAGTACCTGATATACATGTTGGAAGGTGCTCTGGTGCACGAGGGAGGTATTGAGAAAGAAGATACACTGGTCAACGTGACCGTAGACATCAACGGCAAGATGAACGTGTTACCAAGCCACAGTCCCTTCCGTAAAGTGCGTTTGTTTCGCGATATACTTGATGGCACTATACGTCGATCTAACTTGCCTGCAACATCTGGTTTTCGAGTATGCGGTCAATACATTTTGGGTATACTAGAGGCGCTTCCGTTCATGCAGTATCATACTGTGGATTATAAGGTCGAGCGCGAGGAATTATGTCAATTTGTGAAGGATTTGCAACAGCGCAACGCTTACAGTGTCGTAAGTTTGTCAGATATTTTTGATACACTCACTGTATCATGACGAGTGTGTGTCCTGTTATAAATGATGTCGTCCTACCCCCATAGGAGGCCGTGCTGAACTAACTGAATAATTATTAAGCTTGTAAAACACAGCATAATGCCCTCTCGCAGTAGAAGCCACAGTAGGCGCCGGCATCGACGCCATAGAAGCTCGCGCGACCGTTCATCAAGCCGTAACGGTCGTTCTAGAAGGTATTCCAAAAGTGATCGAGATTCTAAGTCAAGACACCAGTATAGAGATCGAGAAAGATCACGATCTCATCATTCTCACCGTTCCCATGAACAAGATAAACAAGATGATGTATCTAATCGAAGGGGCTTCAGATATGACTCACCACCGAAATCTGCTACTAGAACTAAACGTTATAGTATGAACGAGATGATTGGTAGTCACCCTTTAGGTCAAGGAGTGGGTTCTATTGGCTTAGATCCTATCGCTACAAAACCATATAGAGAGATATATATTGGAAACATCCCTCCCCATGCTGATGTCAACCATTTACTCGAATTTCTCAACGAGGCTCTCACTGCGGTTAATGGTACTAGCATACCGGGTAATCCGTGTCAGAAAGGTTGGATTAGTGCTGACAGTCATTATGCGTTTGTTGAGATGCGAACTATGGAGGAAGCTAGCAATTGTATACAGTTGAGCGGTATTAATTATTTAAATTATGCTCTTAGGATTAATAGGCCTAAAACATACAATCCTGATGTATTAACTGAGGCACCTTCACCAACTATTCCTACATTGGATCCGTCTCTTCTAGCGCTTGGTATCGCAGGACTGAAATGTGCCTCTGAACAAATCGCAGCCGCTGCAGACATGCTAGCAACAGAACGAGCCAAGACGATGACAGATCGTCTGTGCGTCGAGAATGTAAAAGATGAAGCGGCACTTAAACGTGAAATTGAGGCAATGGGTAAACTTAAATATTACCAGTATATTACGCAGAAAAACAAACCGCCACTATGCTTGTTCGAATATGAGCACATAGAACTCCAGAAAACGGCACTTGCAGGTTTGACCAGACGTAACATCAAGGTAGTTATGGCAGTTGATGCACTTGAGCGTGGTGCTATGACTGAGGAGTTTATGAAATCGCAGATACAAAATTGTGAAATTATGAAAGCGCAAATACCAACAAGGGCACTCTTGTTAGGTAACCTCGTATCCAAGGAAGAGCTTGAAGATGACGAGGAATATTATGATATAATTGATGACGTAAGATGTGAATGTGAAAATTACGGACGTGTCATCCGTGTGGAGATGCCCCGGGTACCTAAAGGGTTGACTCTAGATGAGATTCGTAATATGGACTTTTCTGCGGTAGGTTGTGCATTTGTTCTCTTCAGTGATGTGGAGGGTGCTTCCAAGGCTCGGAAGGTGCTAGACGGGAGAAAGTTCGGACACCGAATTGTTGAGTGTCACTTTTTCAGTGAACTGCTTTTTCATGTTGGCGAATTTTCAAACCCTAAACCCAACTATTTCAAGGAACACTCCTCAATGTACAATCCAATCATCGCCGAGGATCCAAATCAGGCTGGCGATATACTGAATGAGTTGCGTGAGGCTGCTTACGCCTGATAGTATTGGATACTTGGTTAACCAACTAACATGGACATATTTATAGTGATCAATATATGTAGTTCAGTGATGATAAACATTAGTTACACAAGTTATTAGCGATTTCCCAAAAAGCATCACGACCGCAGTGATGGTGCCTTCATCCCTTGTTTGCGTGTACAATGTTGCGAAGACGACTGTTGAAAGAGAAGATATCTACTGGTACAGGTTCATCCGGAGCTATGGGTTCCGTGCGACGTGAACCATCAACGTTTACCCAGTCTTGTAACATCAGTGTGTTGAAGACATCTCGATCTAACTCAGTAGTGACATGTAATTGGTTCATGCGCAGTCTCCGTTTATTGACAACAGCATCAGATAGTTTGACACCATACTTTGATCTTGATGAAGCGCGATTTTTTACAGGAAGCAAGTCGTATTTACCACGTATCACCTTGTAATGACAACCGCTAACATCTTGGCAACGCCCACCACGAACCAGTACCACTGAATGAGTATGAAGATTATGTCCTTCACCAGGTACATGGCAAGTTACCGTTCTACCTGTGCTTAGTCGTACCCTTGCGACCTTACGTAGTCCTGAATTTGGTTTCCTGGGTGTAACTACCCTGATAGTTACGCATACCCCTTTCTTTTGTGGGCACCCTTCCAGCCAACATGATCTACGATTTTTAGGTTTGTAGCGTGGTATCATCTTCGGTCGTCTCCGATAGAAAAGACGGCCACTAATGTTACGGGTACTAAACTGGCGGCTGAATGTGTTTAGTCCAAATTGCCCTGCAATTTTAACAATATTCGCTGGTTGGGAGTTATAGAAGGCTGGCCAGTGAGATGCAAGCGTTATTCCGCTGTTACTACCCAACCTATAAGCAATCGGACTTGTATCGCTCCTTTCAGGTGTCACGTGGCCTTCCGATGGTTGACGTCTTCCTGCTGATCGCTGCAAACGACACGAAACCCCCTGGCACCATCGCATTGTCTTTGCCGATCCTAACAATGGAGCAATGCGACCCACACCGTACCGAGCCCCCAACCTGGCAGGCTGAACTGCGATATGACTAAGCAACACCGTACACCCCTGTAAAACCATGTTGCAGATGGTTGACTAGATTAGAGACAGCAAGGGCTCCCATTCATTTCTGCTACCATATTTTCACTTAATTAGTGAGTTATGATAGGCACAACATGTCTTACGTTGACGAGGCTCCTTGCTACAGTAATAGATGGGTATGATAAACTGGTATTATAACAGCAGTTATGGACCTCAATATACGAGCGGCATGAGACCGTTATTGCATTTATATTTATAATTTCGGAGGTTTTATTGCGATATTTTAGTTTAAGATATGAATAAAGCGGGTGTCGCGAATTCGTTGGATGTGTAACAACACTACTAAACGGGCGTGAGTTCAAAAGGAGTTGGGTGGGACACGGTTATTAGGCGCAATTTTGGCGTAAAATTTTCGCAAAAAATGAAAGTTGCGCTATGTTTTCAAACCATTATCGCGGCATATGCCGTAGGAGCCGCTGGATTCTATTTTAATATCGATTACAATGATCAGCGGTGTTTCTACGAAACACTGCCGCAAATGGCCTTGCTCAGTATTAACTACGAACTTCTGAATCAAGAAGGTAATTAATGATTATATATAAACAAAATTACGCAGCACGATCATGTGTCGTAAGGATATCCGATGATCAGAGGAAGGTATTACAAAATACAAACCTTAAGGATGTACCGACCAGAGGTAAGTGAGCTCATGGACAGCTATAAAGACATACAGGTCGTGTGACATACGTAGCCAAAGAAGAGGGACCTTACAATGTGTGTATCGACTGCCCGGGGCAGTTGTGGTACACGGCCCAAATGGCCAAAATTTCGTTATCTATCGAAATAGCTGATGGTAACGACAAATACGGACGACACGCGCAATACGACGTGGATAAAGACACTACCGCTAAAAAGGAGGAAATGAAGAACCTTTCTGAGGAGGTCAGCAAGTTTGCAGCCAATATCATGAACATCAAGAACCACCAGAGACTCGAAAACACCACTGTAAGAGAACTTCATGATACTTACAAGAGTATGTACAACTACGTACTATACTTCTACCTCGTGCAATTTTTCATCATCGCAGCAACGGCTATCTTCTCGGTATACCACATAACTAAGTTCTTCAAGGCATATAGGATTGTCTAAACAACATATAATATTGTGTTAAAACTGTGGTGTTAGTAGCATACAGCGGTGTGAACGCTGTTTATCGCGTGCAAGTCACAGAGCGACCAAATTTTAAAAGAGGACACCGCAAGGGGCTAATATTCATCTGAATAAGTCACACCTATATGTGAACTGTTTGTGGTACCTATTCAGCAACTGAAAACCATAAAGGATTCCTCAGAATATACAATAGGAGATGGTTCCTGGTTGTGCAACTCCTGCAAAAATACCTTGAAATCATCCATAGAAATGCGAACATGTCGACAAAACTCAATGTAAAGATCGGAAAGGTCAACACCGTCACCAGCGTCCAGCTTCTTCAAACATGAGAGAAGTGTGACTGTGTTATCGCTCTGCGATTCCGTGCCATCTGCCATTGGAGTATCAACCATCACAGTGGTTCTACTAGTAGCTCGGGGCTCCCGATCACCTGAAATTGCGCCTACAGGGGAGGATTCACCTCCTGCAGCACGACGACCGCGAGTACGCTTAGGAGAATCCTCCTCCATAGGTTCGTCTTCATCAAAATCAGACTCTGAATTAATATCGACCTCGCTTATATCATAAGCATCACCAAATAATGTGTAGTTTAGTAGCTTCCCAACAGCAGCGACACAGTCGGCGGTTACCCAACGTTTCATTTGTAGCTTCGAGTGAGCGACGCACAAACGGATAATAGCTTCCAGTGTACGTGGTGTTACCGGTTGTGGTAGCTTCAGACGTTGGTTTTCAGACTGTTGGGCCCGTGCACGTAGCTGAGAATACAGAGCTACGATAGCGCGGCGAGCCACTTCACTAATCTCAGGGCATGGACGCCAACCCTCCATAGCTTCCATCTCACGATAGTACAAATGCTTGCAGTAATGTATGTACTTGCGTAGGAACGCTGCGTCTACAATATCGTGCTCGACACCATCACAATCGATGTATGTCAACTCTGAACGGCTCTTCAAAAACCCGTCAGCACCCTTGCCAATGGATTTAGCCTTCTTTGACCGTGCAGAGGCGGTAGCGCTCGGCGTCCACTGTTCTTCCCAGTGGAAACCGTCGAAAGTAGCGTTTGCAAACGCTACCTGATTCATATCACCCTCCATGGGTTGTATAACACAACTAGGGGTACCTGTGGGACGACCTGACTGACCGGCATTTTTTTTAGCGGTCACGACCTTTGACTTCTGCGTGATATTGCGAAGCACTGCTTCAGCTATACGCTCGTCTTCCATGTCTGTAGCGGCATCACGTACAACGAAAATCAAATCGAAACGTGATATCAAAGAACGCTCGAAACATAACTGCTGAGAGACGTCCATGTCTTCACTCCAACATCCATACAAAGGATTAGCAGCAGCCAAGACTGTGCATCTAGCGTTAAGAGTAGTGTGGATACCAGCCTTAGCAACGGTTACCGTCTGTTGTTCCATAACTTCGTGGATAGCCACACGGTCACCAGGTTGCATCTTATCAAACTCGTCAATACACACCACCCTACGGTCACCCATAACCATAGCACCGCCCTCAACACGTCTCTCACCAGTATCAGGGTCTACAACGAGAGCAGCAGTGAGACCCACACCTGTCGATCCTCTACCTGTTGTAGAGACGGTGCCAGGAAGCAGGTTCATCACGAAACGTAGCATCTGTGACTTACCACAACCAGGATCACCTACTAGTAGTACATGAATGTCGCCCCTGATACGGTGGTCACTAGCTTCATCGCTTTCGGGGCCTCCGACGAGTGATAACAAGATACCACGTTTCACAATCTCATGACCGCAAATAGAAGGGGCAATTGAGCGTGTTAATATACCCAAGCAATCATCAGACTGTGCCAATTGCTTAAATTTAGCACGGTCCTCATCAGTAATCTCGTTTGACAACCTGGTTGACAACTTGTTACGTATAGCGACATAATTGGCCACAAGATAACCACGTCCTATACCATTGTTGGATTCATCTGCACGGCCACACCCGGCGCGATAGACACCCCAAACACGAACTCTATCACCACACTGTACGACGTTACAGAGATCGTCTTGTACAATCACCGATACATATCGCGGCATCTGTCCAGTAAAGGAGTCCTCTGGCGTCTCCTGTATGACAAAAGTTTGGTAATTGCGATAACTGCAAAGGCCGATTTCCTGACGATACACAACCTTACCATCAGGGTCAGCACTTGGCGGCAATCCATTGTCTTTCAGGGTTTTAGTAAAATCTGTAAGATCATAGTGCTGCCTCAGATGTACAGTTTTCTCGGACTCGTGCATCATGTCGTAGACGGGTTCACCTACATACACGGACTGCGATAATTTAGGGTATACCGAGGAGCATTTGTTGACTACGCCCTCAACAGCAGTCAAAGTGTTGATCATGCTGCTACACAAACCTCTCGGTGTTACATGATGGCGTCCCAACCAACCGCAAATTCCCAATTTAGGAGGTTCAACTGATAATTTAGAGCTCTGCGCGCGCCATACTTCCTGAATGGCATCTTGGAATGCCTGGTATGTCATATATGGTGATTTGATGAGCATCTGTGCCAGAGAGGAGTTGGATCCTTCACTACGTAGGTAGAGCATACTAACGTTAACAATGACCCTCAGATGCACAGCAAGTTGTGCAGATGTACTCTCTTGACTCTTCTCAAAAGCTTTTTCAACTTGTTGATGAAGATCTAGTACCTTGCTGTAAATCTGTTTGTTTTCACTTGCAAATAAGAGAAATCGCTCGACAGCAGCACGATAGCTCCTTTGGTATACCATAAGAGTCTCACGTGCACCCTCATATTCGGCAAGAATTTGTTGATGCATATGATCTAGACGACGTTGTCTATCTGTCTCAGAACCTGAGCTGCGAATAGTACCGCTCACATTCGGCGTATATCCTGCAGCAGGACTTGCGAAACCTTCACTCACACTTCCCATCGATTTTGATGTCCCTAACTCCGATACCGTAACTAGACGATCTGTAGCAAGCGACGAGCGCTGCGACGGAGAAGAGTCTATAGAGTCTCTTGCGACGTAGCCTCTCATTCCTGCCATTGTGTTCTTTATTTATTCTAAAATTTTGATAGTCTAATTGACTCAAAAGTGGAGTAACATGAGGTAGACGCTGTGTGTCTAACCTACACTTGGGAAGCGTGTGTCGAGCCAGATGAGACAGTCTAACCCCCCAAGACTCCGACCTTCCGGGAACTACATCAAGTTAACGTTCCGTACACAGTCTCACGTGATCCGACAAGTGCGACAACGGCTAGAATTATAACCTATCGGGCAAACCCCTATGGGGAAGTGTATAAAGTTAACAAGTTCTATCACATAAAAAACAATGACGCCAAAGCGCATATTGAAGGAGACGGAGAATTTGGCCAATGATTCGCGTAAGTTACCGTGCCGCAACATCGGCATCTAGACCAGCTCATGTGCGTGCAGCTCCTGGCATCAAGGCCGAGCTGAATCCGGGTAATAACCGTCACTTCAACATAAGGATGCTTGGTCCGGATAGTACCCCTTATGAAGGTGGAGTTTACAAACTCGAGCTCTTTTTACCGGAACAGTACCCTATGGAGCCGCCAAAAGTGCGCTTCTTAACCAGCATATACCACCCAAATATAGATAAACTTGGTAGGATATGTCTTGATATACTAAAGGACAAGTGGAGCCCGGCACTGCAAATCAGGACAGTATTACTTAGCGTACAATCGTTGCTCAGTGCCCCTGAACCAGATGATCCATTAGATACCGCAGTAGCTGATCATTTTAAATCGGACAGGGCTGGTGCAGAACGACTAGCTCGTGAGTGGAACGAAATGTACGCTAAATGTAATTCAATGTAAGCATTTAAGGCATGTCTAGGCACTGCCAGGCAGTTGTTGCGATATGAGCAACAAACTCGTCCGTGTAATGTATGGTTATCCTGGCGATATTGTTTCGCGAGACGTCTATATTAGTGGTGATATGGTCATGTTATTTGTATCCACCTGTGAACAATGTAGTGCGAAATGCTACGAAGTTACAACAGCGATTAAGAACCCTTGTTCTTCGACTGGTGCCGTTCACTTGATTTGTGGTCGCTATTGTCTCGCGTATTACGTGCCTTTGTCATATGTACCGCGCGTGTGACATCACGCCATGCTGCAAACGGTGATTCACGAATCATTGACCACATTACAAAAATGTAGAGCCCCGATGCAAGCAGGATGCAGACATGATACAGTGTGCTGCAGCTCCTGTAGAACAACAGTTTCACTGGTGCGTTAGAATAAACCTCAAAACCGGCTATCATACGGGAGACCTTTTGCGTCTCGATGTCGTTCACTAACGGGCGCAAGAATTTTACGATCTTCCGGACACTAACAAGTTGACTAAGGTCGCTAGTCAACCCGCAACGTGGGTTTGCAAGCATAGAATCCCACTCACGTATATGGGATTCTATTGCTGACTTGTCCACTTTGATCCTGCCACAATGCAATGTTGCAGTTAAAGCCCTGAATATAGCAACAATGTGGTCTGCAAGTACTGAGGGATTGCAACCGTATTCAAACGATTTCTGGCGGAGTGGAAACGGTATCAAGTCCTTTACTGAGGTTAAGGTTATGGAATGTACCTTTTGTCGAGTGAATTGTTCATGTTGGAAGAACAACACCTTGGCTTCAGCCTTCACACCGTTTTTGAATATCTCCTTTACACTGCGATAAATATTGTTCTGGAACAAGTGTGAAACGTCAGTTGGTTTGCTAGAAGTATGGACGTAAAGGTCTGTTCCTGTCAAGTCGTCGAGACATATAACTAGATCCACATTGTCGATTTTCTTATATGTGTTTGCGAATGCAACTGCACCTTGGAAATTAATAATGGCACCACTGGTCATCAGTATGACAATATCATATTCGTTGTGCTCCACACCTTCGAGTAACCGTGCCAACTCCAAAAGTGCTATTAAACCGCTGTTGTTTGTTCCGGATGTTCGGTAGCCCTGCAAGAGTGAGAAAGTATCAAAATGGGAGCACAGAACTATTGTACGTTTAGACTGGGGATTGCTATCAGTATCTTTTGATAGTTCATCATCACCATCTGTGGTTTCCTCGGGATCGGCTTCGTCCTTGGCACTCTTCAGTGTACCAAACACGTTAATTGACTTGTAACCACCAATCATCTTATTCGAAATAGACGATATACGATACCTATCCGTTGATCCGAATAATGGTGAATCCGATCCATAGGTTCGCATAACTTTCAAAGATTGTTCATTTTCCTCGACAACAACTACCACGGCTTTTGAACGCCATCCTAACAAATAGGTATGAAATGCGTTAAGAGTGGACTGGTGAAAGCCGTTTTTGTCATTTTTACATACCGCCTTCACATTATCTTTATCAAGCATCGGTGACTCTGTACAGCCATCTGGTGACCCAGGCAAAATATCGGATTGGTCAGGTATAAGAATGATTGCCACTCCGGCCTTTGATTTGAGCACATTACGGAACGTGAAAAAATCAAAGCGATCTTTCAAGATGTCACATAGACGTAAGATTACCGTGTACGCATTCTTGCTCATATACTTTCCCAATGCATCGTCTAGCTGCGAATCACTCATCATCGAGCTTTTAGCGGACAATTCAGGATAGAGGGTACGTATGTTCACCACGCGGCCATTATACATGTTGTTTGAAAACCCATATTCCTTTTCGCCAAGTTTGAAGCCACTAAGGGTATAAACTGTAAGCTCCGTCGCTGCCTGCACAAACGTCTATATCCAACATGTACGAGTTTCGATAGAGACATCAATAAAGAAACACAATAAATCTTGGTCAATAACCACTGGCTAACGTTAAATGAAAATTCAATGTACCCAAGGCATTAGCCTAAGGGTGAACTATCATAGAATATAGACACCATACGATGAAAATTGGTGTTTTGGCACACCTACCTCTATGCATAGCGGAGCTAGGGCTAAAAGGAGTGTTAACTCTCGTGTAACCCCTTTCATCATGTTAGTGTCATACGCCAAGTGCGTAGATGCGATGAATGTATAGATTCGACGAAAGACAAAGCAGTCATATGCTGTTAATACAATGTGTAACAATAATATATTTGGTTATTCAGAAAGGAAACCCATGGTATTCCCGTATAATAAACGCAGCGAGTCGTGACACTATAATCCCATCAAAGACCTCGGATTCAGTATTCTAGCAAAGGTGTCACGTCTTACACATTCAACAGTAATAACTAGAATATCTCAAATCTTATAACCGTATTTCGATTATATTTGCAGCTAGATTCCTAAGAAACATATCTACCAAGTGTCCTTCACGTTGCACAGCATATATCAAGTGTTAATCGACTACAGCAACCGATTAAAACGAGATAGTTCTTTGTTATTTATGGGATTCTTCCATTATCTCAGCTAGTGGCACAGTGGAATTTTCCTCGCAAGGTTCCCATAAGCAACATGGAAGTAAGAATGTTTACACATCTAACACATTTTGTGAAACAGGGCATTAAAGCATTACCACCGCCACGGCCATACAAGGGTTTGCCTGTGCTATGTGGAATTATGATGATAGTCGGCTCCTGTATTGAAATAAGTTTGATTAACGCCGGCTTCTACGAAAAACGCAAGGTTGTTCAGAAGAGCTCTGAGCAATAGGATAAGACGGATAATATCGTGTTATACATGCTCAAAAGTTCCATATGGATTCTGTAAATCGCAAATGGAGCTCCAGCTGCCTGGAGGTAAATACAGTTAGCGGAATAATCGCAAAACCTTGCAGTTGATATCAGTCAGACTAGATCACCTCGACAAAAGATACAGCGCTATACTGGAACGATATGATGCTAATCATAAGGTAAGATCGGTGAAATATCAAAACTATTGCCATTGAGTACACGAATGGCATCATTCAAAGTGGTGTTACATGTAATTTAATAGCTCTGTATATACCCTAGAAACTGTGTTTATATATGTCTGCTGTTAAATTGGAATATTCTGATTGTGTTGTTTAATTTTTTAACAGAACATAGCTGTGAAAGTGGAACAAATCAAAACTGAGGTTATGAAGATGGAGGCGGACATGGGTATGAACACCAAACTAACGGAAGTCTATGACGATTTGAACGCTCAGTTTGAAGCGAAACTTGCAGAATTGAGGACGGAAGCACAAAATGTATGGTTTTGTGTGCATAATATACATGCATTTTATCTAGAGAGATTTATAACTTGCAGTGGATCAATAGCATGATAATGGCATTGGAACTCCGGGCAAGACAACAATTGGATAGTATATCGTTTGATTCCAACATCTTGCAAGAGCAAAGAGGTATCGTGAAGTTGGATGAGATGGTGAAGAGGTTGCGCAATCTCCACGCAACAGTTCTTGAAGAGTTAACTGGTATTATCCGAAAACGTCAAATGGCCGAACATCAAATAATACAAGATATATCGGAAGGTAAGTTATTCTTGTCACTATGTGACACCCAATATGCAGAAACAAAAAGGCTCACTTTAGAAAAATCAAACTATGAAACTGTATGTTTCCTCATTAGAGGCTTAAAAGAGTTCAGAACAAACAAGCTATGAGAGCTGAAATGGCCAATGCTATCGCTGATTTTAAAAAGGAAATTATGGGTGAGCTGCGAGACATGAGCCACTCTCGTGAAGAATTTGAAGAGTTTGTATTAGACACATTAGAAAAACAAAGTAAGACTGTTTATCTCTCAACAAATGATTCTTTAGTGAACGAATTCACTTCTTCTAAATTTGCTTCAAGCAAAACTTAGACCAAGAACGTGATTGTCTAACATGTGGTGTTGCCGTGAACAAAGTAATTAAAAAATAGCTAAAAAAACTCTATTGCTTATGTATGGTGGGATAGCACTATCATCTATATTAGTTATCCGTTTCGACGACTTCTATAGATGGGTCATTGACGCTGCCAACTAGATTGTTCGACTCGGTTATAGCGGTGAGACCCCGTTTGAAGATGGCGCTTTAAGGGTCAATACGACGCCAGCGGTAGAGGCGGCAGACGAAAGGTGCTACAATGAGCAATATGCGGGCGCAAATTACATGTATGTAATTGTCATTTCTAAGTGCCTGGCGTGTATACAATGGAAATAAGACGAATGTAATAAAGAAGATATGACCATTGTACCGCAGGGTGTCGTTAAATGTCACATTCCAGAATGACTGCCTATAAAAATGTCCTTTTAACATGCTGAAATGTTCGTACACAGTATTTCACCTTCCATGCCGCTGGTCCACTCTGTTAAAATTCTTCTAGTTTGACGGCGTCCACAGTTTTCTCCTTTAGCGATTGTATTGTCTCATCGACTAAAGTCCCACACGAGACTCCAGTTACATGTTATTGTTCACCTACATCTTGATACAATCTTTTTTATCAGATTGTTTAACATAGCGGTTATACGCTAAAACATATGGTCACAGCATGTATGTCTGCAGTACCGTGGCTGGTCTTTTCCAGGGAATTCAAGAACCAGTTGTCTATTTCCATGATCTTAGCGTATCGTGATTCAGTCTATATCCCATTTGCTATTTTAGATGCTACTGCGAGCATCGGACGATACCCATCTGTCTTGCATCATCCTCCTGATGCAACGATACCTCTCCAGAGATGAGCTGAGCTTGGTGGAGAACCAAAGTGCCACTTGTAGATCCCTGAGGGGAAAGACCCATTTTTCAATGCAGACCCTGCATGACGCCTTACCCTTGTGCTTGGTTAAGTCTCTTTGTCGGTCCCATAGTCACTAGTGCTTGCTTCAAACGAATATCCAAAGCACACTGGATAGAGAGCCGCCCTTTTGAACCTGGTATTCACAGAATTTCTTGGCGAGGTATCTCAAAGCTTGGAGTAAGGCGAGTATTAATCTGCCAGACAACCAAAAAACGGCATATGTGACATTGCCCAAAACTATGATAACCTTTTGTTTCATCTTCTTGAGTGTTTGTAGAAACTAGAATGTGGTTTATTTCGAACAACTCGAGTTGTTCTTATGTTGGTTGAGAGGTGAAGTTAATAGCAGTATACTGCTAGTATGGTCAATGAGGGAAGGATTATAGTTGTACACATTGGTGTTTAAAGGGCATTCCTTTCTACAAGTGTGCGGTTAAACTCATTGGTGCACGTATGTGAAGGGTTTGTCTACACCCCTCGCGCCGTGGGCACCCAATGTGCAAGGTGTAAACACCTAGCATAGTTACATATAAGTTCGCAATTCTATGCAACACGGTACAACAGTGCTATGTTTACATGATGAAGATAGGTTGTCTTTTTGGATGCATCATTCGTGATGTACCCAGGTTTACACATCCTTCATATGTAACCAGAATAAATCAGCACCTACCTGAATAGTCACGCTTCACAACCTCAGCTGCAAATTATACTTGAAAATGACGGGCTATATGTAAAAATAAAAAAAGGTTTAAGCATTTGCTCGCAATTGGACGCGTCGTCACGTCGCGCAGGCCCTAACAACCTCGCTAGCAGCATATATTTACACGCTGAGCGGCGACCCGGATACCAGTAAGACCACTGGTATCACAGGTGTCCGGTTCTGTGCTTAGCGATGGCTCTCATCTATTAGAGTTTTTGTACTCGTAGAAACGGGGGCGAGCTGTGGAAAAATTCACGCTTAAATAAAGAAATAGAAAAGCTATGTGCATGTGCTAAAAAAAACATAAATATTCATGGAGCCGCATTCCCAACAAAAGGCTATCGAATATGTGGGTATGTGTACGCAATTCACAAGGATTATATTCGCCAGAAGGCACGAAATATTGGATTCTATTGCCTGTTTAGTTTCTTATATATAAAGGCAACATTTGTAATGTTGTGTAATCATTTCGTGGGCGCCTGGATGTTGTCAAAAAGAACACATGTCTGACGACGTTCTAGATGGCACCCTCGGCCCACTACTTGGCGTCGAAGGCTGGTTACAGTCTTTGCGGGGCAAAGACCAGCCCAACTATTATGCACAGACGGGGCAATATGCTGAAGAGGATTCTCACCTATTAAAATGCATACGCGATACTTCCTTCACGGCATACTGTGGCGCATTTAAAACATCGCAAAATAGTCCACTGAAACAACCGTCGATCGGCCCACCAACAACAGAAGATATGGGTCTCATTGCCAGTAATGCTTGCAAGGAAACAGAAAACGATGAATCTGATGATCCTGAAACCTCGGCCGTCACCGCTGTTAGCGAGACCTCAACGACATCACGATGCAGCGATACTATATCACCAAAACCCGTGCAGAAAGAAAATGGTGTCTGCACTGGTCACCCAAGACGTAGAGGGCGACCGCCATCGTCATCTCGGGTCGAACCACCTGAACCTGCTAAAAAACGTCGTATCCCCAAAGCAAGTTCCCCTGGACCGCCAAATGTTCTAGATGCCACAACATTCGCAAAAAAGTTCTTTGGTCTTGCCGATGAAATGCACATAAATTATCATTGGAACAAGTTGGACCTTGATGTGTTAGAATCTGCTCGACACCGTGGACTAGAACCAACAACACTAGGACATGTGCTACGTAAACGCAAAAAACTTTGGGCACAGATACAATGTATACACAAAAGTGCAAAAGCGCACTTTGAAAAACACATGCGTTTATACCAGCGACAGTTTGAAAGCTACAACAAATCTAGCGATGGTTGGGTTAACGTAAATGTAGAACACAAACCAGACCCTGTTTTTCTAAAAGCCAGAACATACTTAACCGGGGTGCAAAATGTAACCAAAATATTGACACCACCGAGTAGCGTCGCAACACAGGGTAGCGGTCAGAAGGAGCTATCTGATGGTCCTACAGCTGGTAGACGACCTGGGCATCCTAAAAAACCTGCAGTTAAAGGGGTATATAATTGGAATAACGTCATATATTACCCTAATCTAAGTGATTCGGGAGAAGTTATACATCGTCATGCTCGCAGGACACTTCGTCTATATAAGAACTTGTACGACTGCTTAGTACACGGCTGGGTGCATCCTGGTTTAGTGGTTTGCGAAGTCAGAGATGTAACACATCCCATACGTTTCGCGACACCAACGGACCAGGACTGCTTTACAGTGGTTTACGCTGGACCCCGAATACCAGAAACTGCTACCCAAAGGGTTGTATTCGGTGAATATACAGGGGTCGTCTACCGTGAAGATTCATTGGAGGATACGTTATTTGAGTATGCATTCGAACTTAATTTCTCGCCATCTGCTTGGATTAATGCCGATTTTGAGTATTATAAGGATTCAGCTGATATCGAGGAACATGACAATATGGTCATGCTCCCAAATACCTCAAAGTTCGTATTAGATAGTAGCCAAGCATGTAATGAGCTAAGTTTGGTTAACCACTATCAGTCGATAAAGGTATATGGCGGTGAGAAGTGGCCAGTTCCAAACTGCGAGTGGCAGCAAGTGTTTCTCGACGGTTGGCCGCACGTAGTGCTCACGTCGAAGGTGGGTGTCGCTGTCAACCCTGGTGACGAACTGGTTGCCGATTTCGGCGCTCTTTGGTTTTCAAAGGTGGAAGAAACTGCCCACAAATATATAAGAAATGAAGTTATAGGTTATAGACTTGGACGAGTGGCGGCCCGTGCAACGGCTCTGCAATTGGAAATGCCTCAACGTCCTCTTAACAAAATAGATGTAGGATTGAAACCCAATACTGTGTCTACAGCCGCAGCTATGTGTGCTATATGCTACAAAACGGTCGAGGATCAAAGTGAAAGTTCAACATCTGAGGAAACGGAACTGGAGTCTGAGTCAGTATCTTGCGATGGATGCGATCGTTTCTTTCATATCGATTGCATACGAAGTATGAACGCAGCGTCGGCTTTGCATTTGGTCAGAGATGGTTTGCGTCCTACATGGGCACCTTCCGATACCTATAAGGGTATTCCTCTAGGTTCCGGTAAATTTTACTGCAATTTTTGCAGACATCTGGCTAAGAAGATATTTATGCACGATGCAGGATGTGATTATATGCCACTTGCCCATGATTATAAAGATTCACTCGTGCCTCAGCAGTTTGTCTCTTCCTATACGAAGATGGATTTAACTAGCTGCTTTGACAATAAGCGTAGGAATGTAGATGGAGAAGAAAGACAAAGACGATTGGTTTTGAGCGGCAATGTTGATTTTACAATGTCTCGATCGTCGGCACCACATTTTTTGATGCGACCACTTAATAACCCTACGCTGTTTGATTTGGCCAAGGCTGGGCAAAACACACCACGTTCAGAGAACGACAGTGGGCAGGCATCACGTGGAAATGGTAAATTGGGACATTTGGGATTGTCTCCTGTGGCTACCACTGATTCGGCTGACCCTTTGTCCGCATTACTGAGTAATGGTACCACTATCGTTCCTTCATCAACGTCGTCATCAGATGATTCGTCCCAATGTAAGAGGTGCCAACTGAAATCAATGCAAGGTGCAGTCATAGATTCCATCGAAACCCCTAGAACAGTTGAAGTTGATGTTCTGGACACCCTGCCGCCTAATACTGACAATAGAAAGGTACCCCAATCGTGCTCATATGCTATGGATAATGACAAACAGCGTGCTTCTAGGCGTGGTAATGAACGCCAACTCCTACGTCCCAATAGTTGTGGGATCCCAACGGTTGCCTGCATGGTTCATTCAAGGCACGAAAAGGATTCAAGGTTGTGTAATGGTGTCATAGCACTGGATAACATGCTGGCCGTGGTGTCTCGGTCAGCTACTGCTGCGAAATCGAAGACTGCCATCATATCCGATGAGGGTGGCGGGAATATCAAGGGTTTACTTGAATGCGAAGTTAATATTGTGAAAACAACCTCCGAAACCAAGGACCGCAGCCCTAAATCATCAACGTTGCCAAAAGGTTCGAATATCCCAGACGGGGATAAAGAAAATAAAAATGAAGCGCATTCAGATTCTAACAGTCATGTTGAGCAATCTGTGAGGGTTGAGGCAAGAAGAAAGCGTACGTCACAATCAAAGTCAAATGATGTTCCCTTGGAAAAGGTAATTTCCACTGCGAATATTGGTCGTGCTGCAGACTTCTTTAAGGCCATTGAGAGACGACCTAATAGTGTACCTATTCGTAGGCTTCCAGATCGAACGGTTACTTTAAAGTTAAACGAGGATACTACTTTGGCGGATTATCTTGGTTGCAAGTACCTTGCTGGAATGTGGCAAGTTGAGCCTTTTGCGCTATTTGGAGACACTGTCCGGGTTTGTACGGAGTGCTACAAGAACAACGGTTCAAAGGCTAATGTATACGTCTGCCGTATTCTTAAGCGTCATTTATCTGGGAATTTTGACCATCCGATGAACACCACTCCGTCCCAGATCCGTGAGCTTGTACTCATGGCCTATGACCAACACGTGCATATGTTGTTGAGGCTATTGGTGCTGAAGAACATTGCGATAAAGTTTATGTGCAGGTTATGTTGTCATTTCGTCGGTCGGCAATTATTCCTTCGTAAGCAAGAGGGTCATCCTCCACTTCCATTCCCATCTAGTTTCATGGGCCAGGATTCAGGACCTCCTGAAGGATTATTGGCGACCCCTTTCGGTCTGGTGTCATCCAACAATGGTGATAATACTCGCGTGCTTCGGCCACAACAGAGGAAGATTTTGCAGTCACACCTATCTTCGTTCGTCACTTCTGTGAAGAATGCAGTGTTTAGTGTACCCGTAAGCTCTAAGTCCGAACCATCTCTGAGCTATGATCTTTTAAATGCAATGGGTGCGTTTAGCGACGAGTTTTCTCGCCTGGCTAAATGCGACGATATTGTGCAATACCTCAACGACCTGATGTCACACAAGGTATTAGATGCGGATAACATCCCAGGACAATTGCAGCAGATGTTGACTAAGGATGAGTTGAATCGTTTTATGGTGTTCCGTCACTTGTCAGAACGTTCTCCCAGTCCTTTTGGTACTACCCACACCCCGACCGTCCAAGTGAAGAAACGGTACCGTGGCGCCACGTTCATGCCAATACTTGGCGTAGTCCCTAATCGAACTTTTATCTATCGCCAATTTAAGGATGGATATTACAAGGGCACGGTGACTGAATACACAGAGGATTCATCTTCGGGTAAGGTATCGTTCCTGGTGTCCTACAGTGACGGTGATGATGAGATGCTAAGTCATGATGAGTTGGTAAAGGAGGTTCTGGACAACATACAAAACATCGAGAATGTGATTGAAAATCTTTCGCCAAACGACATGCACAATGAGGAATTACTAATAAAGATTCATGGCCGGGGTGATAAGTTGGCGTCCGTCAGTGAGACTGTTCGTCGGGAGTTAGTGCGGAATCTGAGTCTACATAGAGGTTCGGATTCTGGCAAAAAGGGTGATTCTCCCAGCAAAAATGCACACGTTTCTTCCAGTCGCCACGAAGATCGTGAAGGCACACCCAAGGGAGGTGACAAGCGCAGGCGTGTCAGTGACACTGGATCTTATGCTGAGATAAAGCGTAGAGGCACTAAGGCGGCCTCTAGTTCTCGTATGAAGTCTATAAATGATGGTGAAACTACCGATACAGATATGTCAAGTTAGAGCTAATATCAGTGGTAACACGTGCCACTTATTACAGTTACTTCTAGCGTAAACACGTTATGATTTAAGTTTTGTAAAGGTGTTATTCTATATATATTGATTTTACTGGCTCTTTTTGCCGCCGAACTCGGGCTATGGGCGATACTCGCTCGGCACTGTGTGTAAGGAAAGGGGATCAAAGTGGGATTTGAATAGTTATATACCCCATGAAATAGTGTTTTTATGGTACTTGAATCTAAACTGAGTCTCCTATTATGGTGTTGCGCGTGGCGCAACACTTTGAGTACCAAGGTTTATGTGCGTATTGAGGTAAACCCACTATGGCATGAAGCATTTTTAGACACCACACATTTGTTTATTTATCGTCGATCCAGTTTCAATTTGTCTATTTGTTTAGTTGTGTGTGTGTTTCAATTATTTTGGTGTACCCCTTGTTCTCGTTGCAGATGCTTCTGCACATGGACACCGGCGTTTATGCAAGCGTGCCCCCAGGATTTACATAAACACCTCAATTTTTTGACGTTTACAAGTAAGGGTTAATGGTTGAAAAGGAGGTTGCAATAGCGCGCCTGCAAAGCACGCTCCTGCGTCTATCAAAAGACGACCTTATCAAGCTACTGAAGAGCACGTACCAGGCTATGCGTATTAAACATGGCATACCCTTTGAGCGTGCAGAATCAAGGTCGTCAAGTTCTCCAGCTCAGCGTGAATTACGCGGGAAAGGTGCAAAGACACCGGCTGTAGCACGTGGTAAGCGCAAACACACTACTGTACGAAGAAAACAATCGGACTCTGCATCTGATACTGGAAGCTTCCGCAAAGTGGAACAACCAACATTCCGTCAGGTTGATCGATTAACAGATGATTTTGATGACCTCCATTTATCAAGTATGTCTTATGACTCCGACGAGGTCAATGTATCGGATCCTGCTGCTGATGAGCAACCTTCAGATATTTCACCGACACGTCTTGTTGCTGGGAATTCTGAAAACAAACCAGATAACACTATTAGTGACCACGAGTACGCTATTCAGACACTAAAGGATGACGTCAGGCAATTAGTACCTCCACTCGACTTTTCAGGTATAGGACCCAGTGCTAAGGAGGCATATAAGCTGAAAGATTTCCTGCCAACACCGGAAGAATGCCCAACTAGTAGGTAGCAAGTTGTATTACGACATATTTCGCAGATTGTTACACTAACGTGAAGGATAGTGATGAGACAACAGCAATGGCCGGTGCGGACAATAGAGATCAACATTTTCTAGGGTCCGTAGCGGGTTACGGGTACCAAGGTAACGCTAGCTATCCTATGCCACAACCCTGTGCGGTCGTACCGGGTAACTACGCAATGGCTCCACCTCCGGGCGTTTGGTTTCGGGGACCACCTAACACACAATTTGTACGGGCGGGGCCTAGAATGTACCCAGTACACCCTCTCAGGCCAGTTGGAAGTGGTAACCCCGCCTATCGCGATATACACCATTATGGGAATATCCTTCCGGTTCAAGTCCGCAGCCACTCGGTGCAGCGTCTGTAAACCCCGATACTTCACATAGCTAGACAGTGTGTGCGTTGTTACTAATAATAAAAGACAAATGTGTAATACTTGGGAGTTAGATAGTGAAACATTGGCCAAAATCAATGAATATCTGGAGTCTAACAAACCGATGCGCGCGCGTGCCATCAACAATGTCCAAGACTTAGATGAGGCCTTAGGCCACCATAAACGTGCCCGTATTTCAGGTTTTACCGATGGATGTGATTCAAGTCACTCTAGTGATGAGTCAGATGCTTCTGGTAGCGATCACGATGGCGTGTACCAACCTGAATGCGTAATTTGTAGCGAATCGTTCCAAGAACACACTGATATCGGGATACCTATGGGTTGTTTACATGTATTCTGTTACGTTTGTATCAAAAAATGGTCAAATCGTACAAATGTATGCCCAATTTGCAAGAGTGAATTCAACGAGCTTTGTAGATTCAGTTGGAAACAACTTGTTGATTTTCTTTCTTCCACTGGACGTAGGAAACTTCAAAGACTTCGTACATCCAGAATTTTTCGGATAAAGAACTTCAAAACTCTTAAAGAAAGGTTGATACGCTGCCTTTCCTCCATACCATCGCAGCGGGAGAAGATCCTCTCCAAACTTCCCACAGATGAAGCAGAAGACGGACTTGGAGGATGTGTAGTTTGCGGAAGAGATGATAACTGGGAACAACTGTTACTGTGTGATGGTTGCAACCTCGGGTTTCATCTATTATGCTTGGATCCACCCCTCATGTATGTCCCGCAGGGGGATTGGTACTGCAAGATATGTCTGGAATCGCAAGATAATCAACGCGAACAGACTTCAACAACATCTAGAGCAAGACGGCGTAATACACGTGGGCCAGTCAGACGATCGTCTAGGAGACGGTTGATTCGACCTCGTAGAGAGCGTGTTAATGCTGACACTGTCTATACACCATATACAGCAACACGGTCAAGATCTGCGGCTAATGTGGCTAACCAAGTGGTAGATGCTGCAAACGAAGATTTATTTGCAGAGGAAAATCTATTTACGGATGATGAGGCTACTGCCCAGCCCTCGGACGGAAACGAACATACAGTGGTATCGCACCAAACAAGCAATTCTAACGCTCCACGTAGCCTAGTAGGTCATTTGTTCAATTTGGGAGGGGCAACTAATCGGGGAAACAATGCACAAACAAGCCAAATGCACAACAGGAGGACAGTGCCAGATATAGGCAGCTTACGTTCTCGACCAACATCTTCGGTCGTGTCTACGGGTCTAATCACCACCAGAACACGCGTCGGTAACGAAACTACGCTTGAAACCTCGGATACTAACACCCCGCCGCCCAGAACGCCGGAAGAAGTTCCCAAATCAACAGGAGTGGACGTAATTGAGGCTTCGCTACACACAATTGGCGAGTTCTTGAACGATACATCGACGAATACGTCATCCTATTTCACTCCACTATCAAGCTTGGATGAATATGCCTTCGATGCAACTTCGTTGTCAGCACCAAAAAGTCAGAGCTCCAACACCGTTGACCATAAAACGGGATCAGGCGAAATGGGAATTGATAGTAAACCTGCTAGGTCTGTTTCATTCATATATCGTTACCGCAAAATCATGGAAAACAATCGAAACAGTGACGGAACACTATCGGCGCAAAGCCCGCCTACCCGTGGTAGCTCCCTGACGCATTTCTTCTGACTGCTAAGCTGATATGTGGATATCAATACCGATGTTCGGACTCTATGAGGGACTAAGTGAAAGGTGTAAAATGCCCCTGCACTCATATTATGTTCAACGTTTGTTCTAAAAGTAAATTTCGTGTTACCAGCATGGTTGGTAATAAGGCGAAAACCTCGAAGAGATTGGAAGAGTGACTGAATTACGAGATTGGGCCAATGTGCCTTACTCTCGATCATAAGAAATTCAAATTGCTTATAGAACAGACAACTTAACTTTTTGTGAATAACGTTAGCCGTGATAATCAGTATCTAGCAATGGATCCTATTCATTTTCTGGAACCGGTGTTTAACACATGCTATCGGTGAGGTTTCAGTATATGTGATTAAGAGCAGAGTTTGGACAAACGGGAGAACGAGTCACCATTCTTTTACACCGTCGCTGTCACAGACAGTTCAAAAATGAGTGGCTTTGTGATGTACCGCCATGCATGCCTCCTTTAGTGCTTCAGATACGGTAGGATGAGCGAAGCAAACCTTGGAGACATCGACAGTTGTCAGCCCGCAGGCCATCATTATGGTGATTTGGCCAATCAGCTCACTAGCATGTGGACCAACTATCCAGCCACCAAGAATCTTGTTATCCTTGTCAGCAAGTATCTTCACGAACCCATCAGTTTCACCCGCAATCCTCGCCCTGGAGTTGGCAGCGAACGGGAAATTTGCCTTTTTGTATTCTGTCCCGCTAGCCTTGAGCGCCTGCTCGGTCTTGCCTACACCGGCAACCTCGGGGTGAGTGTATATGACCATAGGAACGTGGTCCCAGTTGACGTGTCCTAAGTCCTTCCCTATGATGTTTCCCAAGGCGACAGAACCGTCCTCTTCAGCCTTGTGTGCCAACATGGGACCGGCAACTACGTCACCAATTGCGCTAATGTTTTCATAGTTTGGTACCCTAAGTTTTTCGTCCACGACGATGTAGCCTCTTTCTGTCTTAATGCCAAGATTTTCAAGACCAAGGTTCTTAGTGAACGGCCTACGGCCCATGGCCAACAGCACTACGTCACCCTTCAACTCGATCTTTTGGCCATCCTTCTCGGCTGTCACCATGGCAAAGTCGCCCTTAACTTCGCCTCCTAAAACCTTGGTACTAAGTAATATCTCAATACCCTGCTTCTCCACAAGTTTCTTGATGCCATTTGATACATCGTGGTCCTGAAAACGTTGTGTAAATATTGGTTATTCTTACCATGGTGTGACAGAGAGCGTTGGCATACTCGACAATGGTAACCTTCGCACCGAACCTGCTCCATACAGAGGCAAGTTCCAGGCCGATGGCACCACCGCCGATGACCACCATCTCCTTCGGTACTTCGTCAAGGACGAGTGCTTCGTCGGAAGTGATGATACGTTTTCCATCTACTTTTAGTGCGTCACCCGGGAATGTAGTGACTTCAGAGCCGGTGGCGATAATTATGTGCTTAGCCGTCACCTTATCACCTCCATCGACTTGTATCTCATTCGGTGCAACCAGTGTACCGTGGCCGCTAATAAAGTCCACACCGTTCTTCTTGAATAATCCTCTTATACCACCATCAAGAGTCTTGAGGATTTTGGCCTTGGAGTTCATAGTTTGTTCATGGTTAAATACCACAGACGAAACATTTATACCCGTGATCCCATCGCGTGATACCTGTATGATGGTTAGGTATGTCAAACTTTCCAATGGTCAAACATGCTATATATACTGCAGTCAAGCCACCAATGTGCCACTATAGGTCACATTCACATGTCTATGCTCTGCCAGCAATCGGCATCGTACCGCTGTATGGGTGATGTCAGAGTAGCTCGCATACGCCAAAAGTACATAGTTCTGACCGTTAGCATGGCTTTCCACAGTAATTACATATAATAACGTACACCTTTCCTTACCTGGAAGTTATGAGATGTGTTGAGTAAACACTTTGAGGGAATACAGCCGACGTTAAGGCATGTCCCTCCTAGGGTCTTCCTTCTGTCGATACAGGCTACCTTGAGACCATATTGTGCTGCTTTAATTGCGGTAGTATATCCGCCGGGACCGCCGCCAATCACGGCGAGGTCATACCTACTTATGATGTGTATGCTGTATGGATTCCTACTTTGGAGTTGCCGAGCTAAAGCCCCTAGTTACCTCGCGGAGACTCCTCAAGATTTTCCGATGCAACATTTTCGGAAAAGAAATATCGCTATTAGTCGTGAAACGACTTATGTAATTGTAACGGTCACACTACAGAAAGGTGTGCGCGCCCTAGTGTGGTAAGCTTCAACCAGCCTTCCGTCCACAAGATGTTTAGATGCGACTCCTGAGTATTACACTCTTCACACACCTCTTTGCCAATGTAGTCGTGTCTTTCCGATGGCGGGTTCCTTCATGCGTCTCCTTGGAGTCTCCGAGGTACGTACGAACAGGGTAAGTACCATAGTTCTTTAGCTCCTGGTCACCGTGACGCAGATTCTGCCTACAAGCACATAAAACCGGTACTGGAAGCACGAAAAATGGTCGAGATTCTAACCCGAAGTTCCTAGGCATCAAGAAGTGTCATAACAGCTTTGCTTTCGTTGGTAACATCATAGTACGCCAGCGAGGAGCTAAATTCAAGTGTGGTATTGGTAAGTAGATCGTTCAGAGAACTGGTTATTGCTTGTTATTGCCCTTTTTTATTGCTGTGCAGGCACCAAAATGGGACGTGACCACACGATATACGCTGTAAAAAATGGTAGAGTACAGATTCTTAACCATCGAGTATCGGTACTGGACCTAGCTGCTGAACGAGAGATGCTGCGTCAGCAACGCGCTAGCAACTATTTCATGGAACCCACGCTCCACACGTTGAGCAAGCTGTGGACCGGCAAGGCCGATAACCTGGGCGCGTGACAGCCGTGCACTAGCAGAAATGACATTTTACATACACTAAGGATTAGAATACTACACAATTAAACATAAAGTTGTATGGGTGACGCGCACCGGCGTTCAGAACATTAGAAGATGCTTGCGAAGCTTTTCTTCTGCAACATGCTTCCACAAGGCATATGGCCCACGTGGTCGACTCGTTACTAGCCCCACCCCCCAACAATCTTGGCATCTGGCGCTAACCCATCTGCAGTGCCAAAGAGTTTGCCAGGAGCGACAGTTCTGGGCGGTACTGTTTGCCCGCTTGTCGAGGCGATCGCTACGTTTCTACATTCGCGTAATTATCTTCACTGGACTTCCACCCAGACACCTCCACTACCCCGTAGTACCGATGTTTTCACTTTAACGATCCCCGGCTTCCCCAAAGACGAGAAGAAGCCCGAAACAGCCTTCCATGCATTTCGGGCATTGTCCTTTATCACCGATCCCACACGATGATAGCAATCCGTTATCCAAAGAAGGCATGCTGTATGGTAACCGTTTCTAATTGCACGTTGAGATATCGATAAAAGTATAAGGACAATTAACCCAAACACAAACACTATGGAAGCTATAGGGAGTAAAATCAGACACCAAGCATAATAGTCCGCATATTCCCAGATTTTTTCGAAGACATCCTCCGATCTTACACCACCTTTATTAAAAAGTTTTACGATATTTCCTGCTAAATCCTCCGTATTTTCTATGCCTAATAACGATAACAACCAAGCGTTCTTTGAGGTGTGTAGCGGATCGTCACACGAACCATTTTTTTTACAACCTTCCTTAGCGCACTTCTTAACCTCGCTCATGTTGAACAAAGTTGTAGATCAGCATGAAAAGGTTCGTGTTCCAGTAATACAGTGGCGCATGTGAGGAGACGGATGCCACAGCTTGTAAAATAAATGTCCTTGTACCTTACTACAAACTTCACGAATTTGAACGTAAAATGCAGTGATGTGCGATCAAATCACAGATTTGTCTTCGCTAGTACACACTGTAGCTCACAACTCCGTGATCCAGTAATGCAATCCTATTTACAGACGTGGCTTGGCAGGTGAAGACCTCCATTTGACATCTTTGGGGAACCACACTTCAGTAGCCCGTAGATGTTTCATAGATGAAACCTTATGGTCTCAATCTCGTGCCGCTCCAACCCTAATTCTCTCTAATGGAGAGCCGTCACAAGAAGGACGAAGAATCTAACGAGGCCTTCTACTCTCCACTCTATATCGACGGTACTACTGGTATCTCCGCGATAAACAAAGTAAATTTTCAATCACAATACATTAGATGTGTACCACAGTGGTACTAATGTAGCGTTTGCTGCAGAACAAAGCTGAAAATACCTCAAAAAACAGGTGGGCATACCTCCACCTCCGGCCTACGATTTAACGGCAGCATTGTAGGTATCGCAAGACATAGTGCGTCAATACAGCAATATCATTAACAAAACTGCAGTGTCTAGCTTCGATGTGTAGCTATTCTTAGTAGCATGCCTCGCTTCGCTCGCCACTCATGCCCCCCTGCCCTTCCAGTCCCGGGTCTCTGGTATCGGGATGGCAATTTCTTCCCCATACGGCAATAGCGGTCTAAATGTTTTCTGTGATTCTATATGCAAGTGTTTACTCAGTGTATCGTTCTAATTTTGGTCTTCGGAGCATTATGTGCAATTGAGCCACATAGAAACGTGCCCAACGCCGGGTCAGCATTACTCGCCCATAAAGGTGACCATACTGTATATAAATAAAAATAACTAACACGTTTAAAGCTGTAATTACGTCGAGTATTCTGTCTTTCTTACGGTGGAACGTTTGGAAGTAAGAAAACGCGATCAGCTTTCAGTAAGTCCTTTCGAAGGGGGGCACGGTCTCCATATCACTGCCTAGAGTGGTATCTATCACTGCACGGTATGCTAATTTTACGTCCTTCATATCCGAGCTTTCATAATAAGACAGCGTATGCTTGCGCCAGTTCTCGTCGTCCCTCTTGGGGTAGTCCTCACGCGAGTGTGCCCCTCTCGATTCCTTGCGAGCCTCGGCAGACGCAACTGTCTGCATGGCTAATGTAAGGAGATTCTCAAGTTCCAGAGTCTCATAAAGGTCAGTATTGAATGCCGGTGAACTGTCACTGAGCTTGACGTCCTTGAACTTGTCTAAACACTCTCGTATTAAAGCGACACCTTTCTTTAACCGTTCCCCGTCACGGAACACCGCAACATTATCTTGCATACTCTTTTGCATCTCTAGGCGGATGGTAGACGTGGGTATTCCGTCTCTGTTCGCTGCAAGGTCAATTAAGAGGGGGATACGTAAAACATACCGCTGCCTAGCAAATTTGATATCTTACTGATGCATGAATCCACAGCATCTTGCAGACAATTCTTAGTAATCTTTAAGCTCTCGCCATTTGCCGTGTTCTCCATAACAGATATTGCAGCCCTTTTACCGAATACAACGATGTCTAGCAAACTGTTAGCACCAAGCCTGTTAGCTCCATGTACTGACGCACAGGCCGTTTCACCAGCTGCATATAATCCAGGAACCTTGTTGTTGTTTTTATCGATGGCTTCCGCCTTCCAGTTGGTTGGTATGCCTCCCATGTTGTAGTGTACGGTAGGCAGAACAGGAATGTACTGCTTTCTTGCGTCTACACCGGCAAAAATTTTCGCTGTTTCTGTGATTCCTGGCAGTTTCTCACGGAACACTTCATCACTGAGGTGGGTAAGGTCAAGGTAAATGTGATCCTTGTTTGGACCGCAACCCCTTCCTTCAAGTATTTCGCAGGTCATAGCCCTAGATACCACGTCACGCGATGCTAGGTCCTTAGCCACAGGAGCATACCTGCTCATGAAAGGCTCACCTTCCCTGTTACGCAAAATGCCACCTTCACCCCTGCATCCTTCAGTAATTAAACAACCCGCCGGATAGATGCCAGTTGGGTGGAACTGTACGAATTCCATATCTTGAAGAGGTAGACCGGCACGTGAAACAGCGGCATTTCCATCTCCAGTACACATATGTGCCGAGGTACAGCTGAAGTAACATCTCCCGAAGCCACCTGTAGCCAGAATTACATGGTTGGTTTTGAATACGTGGATCTCGCCATTGGACATGCGCATACATATACACCCGACCACCTGTCCATTCTCGTGGATAAGGTCCAAAAGGAAGTACTCGATGAAGAATTGGCAACTTTTTGCAAGAGATTGGCCGTACAGGGTGTGCAACATAGCATGACCTGTTCTGTCAGCAGCTGCGGCACATCTGTATGCCTGCCCTCCCTTGCCAAACTTAAGTGACTGACCTCCAAAAGCTCTTTGGTATATTTTACCGCTTTCTGTACGGCTAAACGGCAAACCGTAGTTCTCAAGTTCTATGACGGCCTGAGGGGCCTCTTTACACATGAAGTGGATAGCGTCCTGGTCGCCCAGCCAGTCGGACCCCTTGACCGTGTCGTAAGCATGCCACCGCCAGTCATCCTCGGTCATATTACCTAGAGCAGCATTAATCCCACCTTGAGCGGCCACAGTGTGGCTTCTGGTTGGGAATAGCTTAGATATGCATGCTGTCTTGTAGCCGTTTGAGCTTAGTTCCAACGCGGCACGTAGCCCAGCACCTCCGGCACCAACGACCACGGCGTCATATGCATGCTCCACAACCGTGCGCCCTGCAATGACATTACAAACTCGGAAAACAAAGGTAGTCATCACAGCAACACAATAGCATCTCCACGCTCTATGAACAGAAAGCCAGTAACACTTAATGGTGCGAGTTCAAACCGGAATCAACCAAAATATAACAGCAACACTAGACATAGAACTATTTATTGTATAGAAATGGCACTAACAAAACCCAATTTTGAAAACTACGCAGTTGTTAGATAGGCCAGAGAAGGTGAACACCAACAACTGGCCTCAGTACTGCTGGCGTGTACCATCGCCAATTTTTCATTGTTTAGATGGAATCAACAATGGCAGTGCCATATTCGTTCCACTAATTGTCCAGAGTGGGACGAGGACTACCTCGATATATATATATATATATATATGTGCAATACAACACAACTGGGCAGTGTGATACACGGTTAAACGTACCTGAAACGTTGCGAGTAATCGCATCAGAGGAAAACTTGCGCCCGAATCGGGATAACTTATCAATAACCCCGAAACGGCTCAACATCTCGCTGCTTGGTGTGTACGAAGGTCACCCGGCTATGTTACGTTTCGTATCGACATAAAAATGCCAATATACTACATTCGAATTGTAAAATTCCTATTATGTGACATCGACGGGATGCAGCTTGTTATAATATGACAGGTTGCAGCTGAGTTCCCGATCACTCGCAGTAGCGTCGCCTGCACCCTCTGTGCTGTCATAAGTCTCTAATTTCAGCAATATTCTGCCTCAGTGACAAAGTAATGGTGAAACTATGAGATGCTCTGGTTTTCGGCCCCGTTATCCAAAACACTTTCGAAAAAGAAATCGCTGCCAGCTGAACTGCGATTCTACGCTATGCAGACGCTCTTATAACGTAGTAGTCGGCAGAAACATAGTCATTCCGAGTGTTAGTAGGACACAATTATGTGTCGATCAAATAATAACGTGAAAATAGTTTTTCATGTGTCTGCCGTTGGTTGAATTTTCCTCTGGAAAATGTAGCCATTCTTGTCTGCTGTACACACACCAATATCTTATTAGAGGTATTCACTGTAGCTTAGTTTGGGTTCCGCGGCTATCAGTGCAGTGCCGCTGATCAGCGCTTGCATGGCCATGACACCTTAGGTTCCGTTCATCCCTGCTGCCGCTGCTGGTTTATTAAGGACCAGCATGGCGCCAAATAGAAACGCTCGGCAGCATATGACAGTATGCAAGGTGTACGGCGTCCCCGCCGTTCCTCACCACAAGTAACTTTGTATTTTACTTATTGCAATGTCTTGCAGTCGCACTCTGGTAACGGCAGATTCCAGGCGGTTCGGTATAATGGCGCGGCCCAAATCCGTGTTGACAATGCACAAGACGTACTTTTGTCTCCAATATCTTCAGAATATCAAGCTTGCCATGTAATGTTTCTTTTGATGCATATCATTCCATGCAGTACGGTTGCCCTCGAACACCTGAAGCAGTATAATGATGCGGACCTCATTTTGGCCTTATTGATCCAATGCATATATAATTGCACATATAAAGATCGTGCGATGACATGGGAGCAAGTACGTCAGGTCTTCGTGGAGTTGAATAAGTCTAGGGTTTGTTTTGTTTTATTTGCCGATAATCTCGTAGAATATTTTTGGCCTCAATCGAGTCATTATGAAGTATCACTACTCTAAAATACTCAATAATCGGAAACAACAACCTGTTGGTGACCAATATTTTGCAAAAGAGCAGCCTGGAGCAATTTGCGATGTCTCACGGACACAAAAAGCGATTCTACACAAGTGCCCTCACAGGAAGCTTAACCTTAGCCTGAATAGATTCGCCTTCATTAGAAGATCACTGGAAAACATTGGTAAATTGAAGAGTAGCCTCAGTAAGGAACTTGTGGGTGGATCAGTCGTTCCGCCAATCAAAAGGAAATGCCGTAAAGTAGAGATGCTTGAACGATCGTTTCAGAAGAACCTTATTTACTGTTACAGGAACAACAATATGATGTATTACAACTTGGATGTTCGTTCAACCTCACTATGTTCTTTAGAATATATTGACATCTCAAGCGCTGCTAGTACTGTCGTATCCGAAAGCGATTCAACCCCTAGCCGTGAAGAAGGTTGTTCTGTTGTGGGATGTAACAGATGCGTTCAACCTCAGATGCAATCTGTAAACGATTTGAGCTACATAAACTCCCCTACGAGTCTTCGATCTGGGCATTTCTCTGTGACAAATGACCACACAGGTTCGATGGCGCCATGGCGTCATCATTATACCTCCCTGAAACGCAAAATTTTTCAAGTCTGCAACTTACTTTTTATCAACATCAACGTGCCTTTTATGGCGGTGGGATTGTTTTCGCGGTTTTTTCAGAGTGTAGCTGCCACCACAGGGGCTGGTATGAGGCGATGCCTTTCTTTTCTGTTCAACCGTAATGATACAGATGGCGCAAATTCGAGTCCATATAACGCAACTATTATTAAGGAGGATGATGCTACAATGCTGTTCATGCTGGCTGCAAATTGCTTGGAAATAGCACTGCATTACCACAACAGCTGTGCTAGATTTGACATTTTTTCTTTGTTTTACTTTCTAGTCTTTGTAGAATCGATACTGACCAAGGTTGACTTTCAGAGATGTTCGGGTGAAATGCTACCCTCGGTGTTGCGTTTGGTTGACCGTGATGTGGTACATCAACAGAAGTGTACCTTTGGGGACCACTACCTAAGACGGAGCCTCAAGTACCATCATGACCTTTTTAAACAGGAGCTTTCTCATCTGGCTCGTGAAATAAAAAAGAATCGTATTCTTGCAGCAGTTGATTTCCGTATTGTAAACTGTTTGGAAGAGCTCCTGTTGCTCTCCCACGGTATCTTTGGGTTTAGCCTGGCGCTAAAAATCGCGCCGGCGATCCTCGGCGTTACCCGGGGCTCAAGTCACAAACCTGCGGGCAATGTTGTACGTTATGATATGTTAGGATGCAGAAATACAGATAACGAAAAATATTGGCAGCAGCGTACATCATCTTCTGGGCGTGGTAATGATGCCATGGGTAATAGTATGGCACGTAACGACTGTCAATATGAAGAGAATGGTAACTTTTCCCGAAATTCCATAAAATGCCACCGAGATTCAAATACGGGAAACTCCTTTGAAGGTCATTCAGCGGCTGGGCGAACTTGGGATATTCGAGATCATATTAAAGGTACTATTTCGGGAGTACCACGCTCACCTTCAGAGGACAGGAATTCATTGATCACTGAGTCTACGGAGTTGTCGATTCTACTGCTTCAGATTCTAAGTTGCTCTAAGTATATAGAGTTTTTGTGCGGGAATGGCATGTTTGCCTCGGCTAGATGCGCCATGCCATCCGCATCGCTAATTGCAAGTCTAACCTTGCGATTTATTCTGGATGTCTACGTAAGAATCACCGACGATATGATCGAGGGGATGCTGGACAACAAACGGACACGAGGTATTTCCATAAACCCCGAACCAATGGAAACAGAATATCTCTCCGCATTTAAAATATACATGGGCGACAACTACCGCCTGGTATCTGACAATTATTGTATTCTTTACTTTTTACTTTTAGATTTGGACTGGATATTTTACAAAGAAGGTATTTACAGCGTATCGGACTACGCAAAACAACATCAGCTATTGGGAAGCGTGCTGGAACTGGATAGTGGATTCGACCGGAGTTCCTTGGGAGAGGCCTTCGAGGCACACCATCGGCTATACGAACAGATGGTTAGCCTTCTTATCAGCACAACAGCCCTTGACGCGTGTACATTGCAATGTGTCGAGGAATTCAGGAGACGGAACGTAAACTGGAGTACGTTTGATGAGGTAAAGGTGCGTTGTGTGAGTGCTGAACACGAGGTGGCGATAAGCCGGGAGATCATGGACATTTACTACCCAGATATCGGTAACATTCGACCCTGTTTCAATCCTTACAAGGCCATTTTTACCCAGAAGTACTTCGTGGTTGTCAAGGACCTCATCTACCGTGTGAAAGCGGCTTTGCTGCTCTCCTACATGGACCACCGGCGCAATATTGCGCGTTAGTTTACATTTTTATTGCAAAAGCAAACCGATAATTTCAATTTAATTTTTATAACCCACCGATGGTCGGGTACGGAAGTCAGTAGCCGGGGTACTAGGGAACGCACAGCCGGTAAGCCAGCCGTTGTGACTAAATTATAATGAGTTTTATCGTAACATCGTACTGATTTAGCTTGGTGTGTATTGTTATGCGATCGCTTTGTCAAGATGGGAGTCGTGCGTGGCGCGACCCTCGTTACGAAAGAGCGATTGCTGAAACACCTGGAACTGGATTCCTTAAGCTATTTACGTATAATCGCAGTGCTTGGGATCTTATCGCATACTTCTGTGACTCTTAGAGATGTAAGTGTCTGTATACGATATGAACGCTACTTGATATAGTTTATACTTTCTGTATAAGTTTTGTCGTACATCGGTAGCATAGATTATGTAGTTAGATGTTGAGCTAGTAACTCCCAACGTGAAATACATATTCTATGTATGTCCACTTGGTCACTGCCAGCTCTCTTCAGGCCTAGATCATCAATGTCTCGTCGTTTCACTAGCATTTATTCTGTATATTGTTATCATATATTCTGTAGGAACGAAGTCTTATGATACAAGAGTCGCAAATGTTGGAGTTGTTGGCCAAGGTTACTCAGGGTGGGAAGATTGAGGTTGATAAGGGTTTGGTGAAAATAGACCCTGGGCGCATTGTTGGAGGTACCATACGGTTCCAATGTTCAGCCGCTGTGCCTCTGTCGTATTACTTGGAGCCGTTGATCTACCTCTCTGTTTTCTCATCCGAACCTTTTAACGTGACCCTGACAAGCCAGGGCGAAGGTGTCGAAGAGGATATGGTCAATAATTTCAGCCTCCTTGAGAGTTTCTGCTCCAGCGCCACAGTAGTGCTCCGCAAAATCGGCTGTACTTCGGTTCAGTTTAAGTTTAAGGAGCCATACGAGGTGGTGTTTACCAACACACCGCTCGTGCAGATCGCACCAGTGGACTTCTCTTCCTGGAGCCGAGTAAAGAAAATACGCGGTAGCGTTGTAGTACGTTGCCTACAGCCTAGCCTCGGAACAAACGTTATTAACGGGTGTAAACAGGTGTTAAGCCAAGTATGTGATAACATATACATTGACCTTGTATCCCCCAAGGCTTCTAGTCAGCCGTATATATCAGTGGCGTTGATAGCAGAGGGACCAGGCGTAGTCTACACAGTAGATCGCACTATTCCGCCCAAATATACAACCACAGAGACCAAAAAGGTTGCCATTAGTGGTAACACAAGTCTCTCCAAGATTCTGGAGATCGCCAAGAGGAAGCCTGAGAATTCCGATGATACGGCTACCACCGCCGGAAGTGATCCGGTTGGTATACACGAGCGATATGAAGCTATAGGCAGCAGCGTGGCACGTCGGCTGCTCGGGGAGATAAGCCTGAAAGGTGTACTGGACACTACTCACCAGCACATGCCATTAATTTTCATGGCCATGTCTGGCGATTACCAGGTATCTACATTGCGCATGGGCCGTATGAACCGCTATTCTATTGAGTTTATTCGCAAAATCAAGCAGTTCCTGGGCGTCACGTTCGTATTCGAGCAAGAGGACGAATCCGTCTTACTGAAATGTGTGGGAAACAGCTTCCACAACAGCGGAATAACGACATTCTAATCTGCCTGTACTGTCTGGTGCTTGTATAAATGGGTAATTGTATTCATATCGTAGCGTGTACAGCATATATCTGGACGTGTTTTGCGCTAGTGTCATCCAAGATAATGCTGAACACAAAATGTCAAATTAATCAAATTTTAGTTCATTACTCTGCGATTTTACTTTCAACAAAGGGTATGAACTCAACACCACCCATGTAAGGGACCAGGACCTTGGGTACCATCAATCCTTTGGGTGTTTGATAATTTTCCAAAATACAACATAGGGTACGCTGTGATGCAACCAGAGTCCCATTTAACATGTGGCAGAGTTGCCTCTGTGAGGTATCTTTCTCGAAGTATTTGGTGTTAAGATCGCAGGCCTGATAATCCGTGCAGTTAGAACATGACACCAGTTCCCTATATGCAGACATTTCTGGGAAATACGCTTCCAGGTCATACTTCTTTGATGCTGCATTGTTGAGCGCACCAGCAACAATTGATACCACGCGGTAAGGAAGGTTTAGCGATTCGTAGAACTCCTTTGATATGTTGATCATTTCTTCATGGTGCTTGCAAGAATCATCCGCGCCACACACGACGAACTGTTCAACCTTCTGGAATTGGTGAATCCTGAATATTCCTCTCAGATCTCTTCCGTGGGCCCCGGCCTCCCTCCTAAAACAAGTTGATATACCCGCGTATTTCAGTGGCAGCTGCTTAATCGAGTAGGTTTCGTTCTTGTGGAGTGCAGCAATCGGCTGTTCGCTTGTAGCTATTAGGTACAATTTCTCGCGTTCGTAGTCTTCCTCTTTCACTTCGTTGGCATGTTGAATTGGTATGGCGTTTTCGCCAGTTGTAGTTTCCGTGTGCCTGAGTGGCGGAATACAATACAGCGTTTCTTCGAAATCTGCTAACTCTGCACAGTCGCGCATAATGTCCTTTTTCATGAAATATGGAGGCATTATTGCCTCGTATCCTCGGAGACTGAGGAAATCCAACCCATACTGAATGAGCGCCATATTGAGGAGGCAACATTGGCCCCGAAGGTAATACCCACGATGGCCTGCGACCTCGACACCTTTCTTAAGGTGGACTCCACCTAGATTAATGAGCACGTCACAATGACTAAGGACGGCCCAGGGGGGAAGCCGAATATTGTGTTCGCCAACGGTCTTGGTGGGTTGATCCCGGTACTCTTGCAAGTTGTTTAACTCAATATATTGTTCCCATCCGTATTTGCTGGGTTCCCAGTGTGATACCACTAGGTTCTCCTCCTCATCCTTGGAAGCCACTGTGTCCTCGGCGACGATATTGCCGACCGATCGGAGAAACGAGTCACGCGCTTTGCTAAGATCGTTAGCTTTGTTGAGTAGTTCTGCAAGTTCAGCCTTCTGATTCTCAGCCTCCTTCTTAAGTTGGTTAATAACGACAGATTTCTCCACGCTGTTACCATGTTCGTCAACTGCTGGTACTTTATTGGAGACTACAAGACCAATACGTTTTGAAATGTCATTGTATCGGCGTTTGGCCTGTTCATACGCATGATTAGCTTGCCTCCATTCCTCGTCAGCAGCGACCACCGAGTCAACCATAGAATTGGCGACACACCTCCGTACCTCCGAGGCCCGGAGGAACTGGAGAAGGTTGCTGTTGCGGAAATATTTAATATCTAACACCATCTTAATATTATTTGCACGAAGGAATGTAAATTTTATGTAAAAATGAAAGCGGTAGCCTTGTAGCCTCCCAAAAATCTGAACGCGCCGGGGGCGGTAGGTGGCCAGGCTAAAATTAACGGTTAAAGGCTTTCATTTCGCTGGCGTGTGGACACCAGTAAGATGTTGATTAAAGCCTGGTAACAGACCACAGTACCCCCGTATCACGAAATTTTTTATAACAGTGCTAGATTAACCGCGTTAACTAGTTTCAAAAGCGGCGGAGTTGCCGCTGACAACGTTTTTTACGTCACTAAATCTGGCATCCCATTTCGAAGTAATCGTCCTGTTCCGCCCGTTTGTACTCCTCTATCAGAAGTTGCGTAATATCGCGGGAGTGTTCCATCTCTTCAAAGTTACCTTGCCCATCTGAGCTGTTGAACATAGCCTCTCGCCTGCAATGAAATTGTATGAATCGATGCGGGAAACTCACTTGTAGTTATCGAGGAAAGCCCTTCGACTGTAGAGTTTGTCGAACTGCTGTATGCAACGTTGAAACAGCTGCACATAATGTTCACAATGCTTTTCGAACTTACACCAGCTATCGATGTGTGGTTAGCAAGCAATAGCCCTGATACTTTGTGCTGTTGCGGTACGAAGGGTGAATGCTTTGAAAGTGCGACCTGAACCGATGCGGGATTCCATTTGATAAACTCTGCGAGCTTGCGTTCTCGAAGTCTCAGAAGGCTCTTCTGTATATCAATAGGGTCAACATCTCCCATGATCACATTTAATGCCGAAATGTAGAGTCCGTCTTTCATGGGCGCCGACATCTGCACGAATTAATTTTTCGAAAATCTTAAAATACCATGACATTTTGGGTCTGAAACAACCGACGCATAACATCCAAAACAGTAGTCTTTTGCACGGCCGAAATGTGCTTTTGTAACGTTAGAGGCGTGTATGAAGTTACAAGGAAGTGGCAACGTGGTACTGCGATGAGCGAAGCAATCAGACCGAGGAGGTCATTGTTGACAGGTCCCGGATACCGAAGTGTAGCAGTAGAAGCGGCCATAACCTTTGACACCTGAATGTGTTTATAAAGTTTCATATAAAGGGCTTACCAGAGAGTTTGTTTCCTGTATCGACGGTGTTGCCACTTTGAGCTTTTCCACCAAAATGCGATTCAGCGCGGCGTTGTCGAGGACAACAACTGAATCAGCATTGAGAGTGAGACGTTTCAGCGTCAATATACTGTTGTAAGGTTGAACTACGACGTCACTGGTTTCAGTGGTAAGATGCGGGAAGACCGAGTATGTCTGTATCAGCCTCTTCGGGTACTTTTCATTCAGCATCTCCAGTAAATAACTACCCATTCCACTACCAGTACCACCCGATATGGAGTGGCACAGGACAAAACCTTCCAAAGAATCAGATCCGTCGGCTTCCCGATCAATTATGTCGAAAAGTTCCTCTTGGACCCGTTCGGCGGAGGCATACCCACGAGCCCAGTTGTTACCAGCACCTCCACCATCCTTAGAAAGAAAGACATTTTCAGGATTGTAGAGGCCTTGGTATTCCGAAGTCTGCGGTATAGGTACACAAGGGTAGAAGTAGACAAACCATGATGCCGTGGACCACACGCGGCTCGAGGTCGAATAGTACAGCGCGAGGGATGTAATGTTCGTCGTCGGCCTGATAAAAGAATACATCTTTACGGTCCTCGTGATCACTTTTATTTCCTATAAGACGCCCATCCTGAGAGGCATCAGACGTAACACCAAAAATGCCTACCTGATCAATGCCATGCTCGGCACACAGTTGCTTCCAGAATTCTATGCCAATCTGGTTGCCGCATTGGCCAACCTGCAACGTGATAATTTCTTTCGGCATCGTGAATAATAATCGCAAATTTTACGGGATTCCCAATTGACACGAAAGCCGCATCGACAATATTCTTAAAAATGGAGAGAATTAGAGAATGTGTATTAGCCACACGCAGAGATGTGCCAAATTTTGCGGAATGCTGTTTTTTTTTTATTCTGTAGGGGGCAAGAAAAACACTTGTGTGTCCGGCCGTTCACGACTCAGTAGTCCACATGGTGTGTAGGTTCACCAAGGATCGGTATATTAAAAAATATTAAAGTTTATAGTTTAAATATTAGTGATTGGTGCTGCCGCAACAAAATTTCCCAGGTATTTACCGAGGCGCTTCTTTATGGGCTCGTCACCCATGTTGTCTTCCATGTCGAAAACCTTTTCCTTCTGCAACAATCGCCCCAGGGGAGCATCACCTTGTGTTTTGCGATTTTTTGCGTCCGCTATTTCCTTCTTAATTTCCTGCTTAGCCACCTGGCGCACGAGCTCAGCGAGCTCATCATCGTGAGGTCGCGGCTCGACGATCTCTGTTTTTTTAGGCGCTTCTCCTCCTGACGATGAGTTCACTATAACCACTATAGGCTGCTGTGTTAGCTCCTGGCGCTGTTGTACGGTCGCATCTTTATCCTTAACCGTGCTCCCTTTTACTTTGGAGGCCTCAGGGCCAGTTTCGCTAGTTTTTTCGGCCTCCGGTGATGATGCCGCTGGGTTTGAATCATTGGTACTCGGCGAAGCAGTTGTGTCCTCCGAATGGGCGATTTCGGTACTAGTGCGCTTGTCAAGTGATTCAGCGGCTCCCTGAGGATCCTCCTTTGCTGCTTCGCTTGCCGTTGATTGATCGTTTGTAAGAGTTGAACGAAGATTTTCAGATATTTGTTCCATATCACTTGTAGCGATAGGTTTCGGGCTTTCTATCAATTCACTCTCTCCCTTTTTTGTTTCGCTATCCGCATGGATTGCCGGAACAGCAGTTATGTCTGGATACATAGCATCAGTCGTAGAAGCACCCGCATTATCCATTACAGAAGCTTTTGTTACATCGGCTACCGCATCTACAGGTGTTTCAGGGGTAATAAACGTGCCAAGTTCGCCCTTGGCATCATCTGACTCTTGGGGTACAATGGTTTCGGTGGGAACCTCCTTAAGGTAAGATTCTTGCCGTGTAGACGCGTCTGTAGCAGTAGTGCTAGGTTCTGTGGGTCCGTCATAGTAACCTTCATATGAAACTAATGGTGCGTAGTACAGTAAACTGTCTATATCCACCCTGTCACCGTCCAATAACCGTGCCAAGTCACCATCAACAATGTCATGAACAGAGTCGTTTATACCATCAACAATATCTATACTCTCCAATGTAGGGGCATAGGTCTGTTCATCAGGTAATTGGGTCGATTCGATTTTCAAACTTTCGACCTCCCCTTCGGGAGTAACTTTTCCACCCCCCATGCTTTCTTCATCATGACTTTCAGCATCACCCACAGCTCTCTTTTCATCACTAACCTTGGCATTATACGCAGAAACCGGTGTAGAAGCGGTATTGAAGAGATTCTCTATGGCGTTGACCATTTTATCAACGAATTTCAGAAATGCGTTACGGCGCTTCTTTTCCACATGGGTAGTCCCGGGTACATTACGTTCATCACACTTACATTTCTTATCCAACACACCTCCATCTCTCGAATTCTCATCCTTAGATGACAAATCCGATGTATCATGGCACCCATCACATGGTTTGGCACCTTCGTTTTCCGATGCAACTACCTCGCCTGTAGCGCTATCCTCGTTAGTGGGATGTACTGATTGGGGATCGGAAACCGCCTTTACGGGGGTTGATGATTCTTCTTCTGAAGTCAGTTCCTTAGTTTTATAATCGTTTTGCCCGTCATCCACGTGTCTATCATGACCATCAGACGTTGGAAGAGGAGCGGGGCTCATGCGACCCTCATTTTTGCTTCCGGTTCCTGTCTTCGTCACGGCCTCACCAGTGAAATCCTCTGACCCATTCACATATTCACCATCTCCAGTCAAGGTGCTCTCATGTCCCTCTGTTGAACTCGTAGCTTTTGCATCCTCATTTACCACAACATCACCAACATCTACATCGGCATTTTTATTGTTCAATCGATCCGAATACTGTTCTGCAAATGACGGCTTGGGTAGAGATATAACTTTTTTGTCATATCTTCGTATTCTCTTCAAATAACTTTTGGTGTTGAATTTTTTGACCTTTGGTGATTCTTCAGCATGAGGCTCCTGATCTACATTGTCGTCGCTCTTCTTAAAGAAAGTAGTTGCCCTCTTCCAAAACTTGACGAATACATTGTCGCGACCCTGATCAGGTGAGTCCTCTGCCGGAGACACGGCAGGCACATCCTCAGGGCGGTTTTCTTCTATGCGTAAAAGCTTCTGGGGTTTAACTGCCGAAGGTTCAGCAGGTTCAACAACCTCCTGTTTCGTTTCAGCAGGTTCCGTTGTGGTCTCCGAATCAGTTTTGGGGGTAAACCAACCTTTGATGGTGGAAAATATGTTTGAGAAGAACCTAGTAACAGCGTTGCCTTCGGATGGCTTGTCAACGGAGGTTTCGCGACTCTCGAGAAAAGAGGCCTCATTCAACCCTTCAGTCGTCTGAGTATGCTCCACTTCATTCTCCTTTGGTCCAACTTCGGTTGCCTCAGCTGACTTTTCCAACAACGTTACACCATAGGGAACAATAGGGGCAGATGCAGTCTCATGCCTCCTCGCTGCTATGCGCAAAAGATGGCGAGGTTTCCCTTCTGAAGACGTAACACTTCCACTCGCCTCTTGAGTTGTTTCTGCGGGTTGCGCTGTGGTTGTAGAATCAGTTTTGGGATGGAACCAACCCGCGATGGTGTTGGCAATTTTCGAGAAAAATCGGGTAACAACATTATCCTTAGGTGGGTCCTCAATCTCGTCAGATATATCGAGGAATGAGTTATACTTCGCACGGTCAGCAAGCAATTGCCTGCCTCCTATCCTACTTAGCTCATCTCCTGTGCCATGAAAATTTGGGACCATACCATACTCTTCGTTTCCTAACGCACCCCCGTCGACTACAGTGTTTTCGGTCGAAGATTCTAGTTCAGGCGACTTGTGAGCGTAGGTTTCAATTGGTTCTTTTGGCTCCACTGTAAGTTTTTCTTCTGTTGCGGGATGTTCCACTTGTGACTGAGTTTCAAGCAGTGATGTTTCGGTTTCACTGTTTTCTGCGTCACTATTCTCTTCTTCCTCTTTTTTCTCTGTTGGCTTCGACTTCTTGCCGCCAGGGATGATGCGGCGGATAATCTTTTTAATTAGGCCTTCACTTTTGCCACTGTGAGGTTTTTTCATCCCCCCAGAATTTTTCTCTTTCATTTCACTTACACCGCTGGCCCTTCCGGTCTGGCTTGACGACTCGTATTCAGCAGCCAACCCATGAACGCCGCTATTCTCCGCACTACCCGTCTCATCCGACCCAGTTTCTTCTACATATTTCTTTGGGTGGTGGCGCCTGTGGTTATGGCGGCGGTGATGATGATGGCGATGGTGACCGGCTACACCCGAAGCTTTACCACTGGCGTATTTTGTGTTGCCGCTTGCTTTCCCTTCTGCATCCAAGTCACAGTTATCACATTTTATAGTAAGGTGGAAGTGTGGCTCCTTCGATGCCTCGTTTACTGGTGCCCTGAACTTCAGACCCATTTCATTCCCTTGGCTCGCTGTTCCGATGTGTTCAGGGGTCGCCATTTCTCCAGTACCCTTGACATTCAAGCTGTCTTGGTATGTCAGAGATGCAGGCTCAGCTCTGCCAACAGAAATTGTAGAAGCTTGATTAGGGCCACTCTGCGATTGGAGGGTTCCTTGCAATCTTGGCGGTGTATCCCATGCCCGTATTGTGTCATTACCAGCAGATGTAGATACTACCGTTTTGGGGTCTATTGGAACCACAACCATCGGTTCCATCACCTTAGGGTTGCCAGCCGGATTAGTGCTGTACCCATGGGTTTCATGAGCTTGAGTCGCACTCGACTGTGGCCGCTGCAGAACTGTATCCGGCAAGTCCACGAGTACAGCTCCATCAGGAATCGTGTTCAACTTGTTATATGATGAAAAACCGTTAGGTTGGATTGAACTATGATTACCCCCATCACCGATTGACCCCTTATCACCAGTGCTGTACACGCTGAAAGGCGTTGCATTAGGGCTGCCTACAGTCGGCAAACTCGTTGCAGGCTCTCTAGCCTGCGTTTCATATTCATAATGAAGCCCATTAGAGGCATCTATATAGGGTTGTATACGTTTGCGTTTTGTAGACAGATTTTCCTTCTCTGTGTCGTTAATCTGCTTGATGGTGTCGTTGTAGTAGCTTACTGGCATTTCACTTTGGTCCTTTGCTGTAGAAGCAAACGTGTGTCCGTAATAACCGGCTCCATCATGCGACAGTGTTCCTCCAAAATATCCTGAACTAGCGCCAAAGCCTTGGATGTCGCTAATGAAAGCGGATGCAGGCGTAATCGCTCCATTTAAAAAATTAAAAATTATTGCACTACCGAAACATCCAATAAGTATCATATTGGACCACTGTAACGATCTTCCCGTGGTTTTTCAATGAACTTATAAGGCTAGTATGAAGCAGGGCTGAACAAAACTGATACAAATGACAGTTATATAAAAAATGTTGTAATTACTAGATTATTTGTTGTGTCTATATCTCGTTGAAATATAGCAATCTTCCTCGCTAAATTTTCGCAAGGACGATTTTCCAGTTTGGGCGCAAGGCATCATTCTACGTGGAAAAACAATTTCTCTTTGGCACTTCATCTTCTTCACCAGATAGCAAACTCAGATCTACAGGTTCACATATTAGCAACGAAGCTATACGACGGTCTGGAGGGTTTATCTGCTCTCAATAAGATGATCGAGGATGTATTCCTTGTAGACCCAGACGTTCCCCTTGGCACGGTCAAGTTTGGTGGTCCTATCCTTGGCTCTCTTGCGGCTTACGATCAGTTCCCTATACAAATATTAGAAACATACATACACATTTACCTTAGATCCTCTGCGATTTCCCTAAATAGGTGCCAATTCTCATGTCTTCTGTGACCTTTGACTTCGATCAACCACGTAACGTCGATACAATCCACGTCAAGCCACAACTTGCTAATGTCCCGAGATTCGCCAATATTACCATTGATCACGTCGTGTGCCAACGGTGGAAGCAAAATTGAATCCAGAGTAGGCTGTTCATCTCTGTCGGTTTGGTACATAATTGTGTCTTGAAGCACAGCATTCTGGCGTTTCAGTGAAAAACGGCTTATATTTGTTGACATCCCTTCTCTAGTTCCAAACAAATACCCGCATAACCCATCAGACGTTTTCAATCCGAAAATTGTAATTACATCGCAGTGTGATCTAAGTGGCATGTAGCGTAAGCTGATGAACCTTTCCAGGTCGTACTGCGGAAACATAAAGGTGACCGTCAATAGGTTAATCTGCGTTGCATTCTCATGAGTGCAATCTCCCACTTTACGGAATATACATGGCGGATCCGTCATTTGTGTGATTGACGCGAAAGTTTCCAAAAACATTACAACCCCAGTGGAATCAACTACCACGTGCACATCCGTGATTCCGTTGCTAACTATCGCCCTCAGAAAACCAAGTAGAGCGTCCCTACAGCCCACTAATGCTCGTTCATGCCCTGCAGAGGTCAGCTTGTTAATGTTGAACAGCGGCGGCCATCCGAATAAAATTGGTTTAACATACTGCGGGTAGTTCCACGTGGTGAATAACTGAGCGACATTTGCTAGCTGTCTCTCGTTTGAGCTATCCGGGCCGTGTATGAATAAAAATACTTCCGGAGCTTTATACGATCCGCGCTTCTTCCATCCATTGGGTACCAGTACCGGGTCAACTGTGGGTCTCAGCAATACAGGTTTCAATAAGTTTCTTCTCGAAATCATGTGAGTTTCCTCAACCTTCAAGGATAGGGTAGAATCTGTATTTGACGCTATAGGACTCATGTCGTTTTCGAAAGTCACATCAAAAGGGACGAAGCCATCTACGTAGAGATTGGCATTGGTGTCAACCGATACCTTAATTTCCGTAGCTTCATGTCCAACTAAAACAGGCATGTTACGTTCTAGTGACTTGAATATGAACTTAAACATACGATTTAGCTTCCTCGAACCTGATCTATTAACCGACATGTTGCTTAACATGCACTTCAGCCGTTCTGACGCCGTACTCCTTCGCTTTACATCTTGCACATACGCGTCAGATTTTTGGAGATCGTAATTAGCAACGCCTTTTGCAGTTTTGTACGCCCTAAGTACCACTTTGTCGTCTTGCGAAAGGTTTTGTTCATCCTCAAAAACGCTGCTCCCAGGAGTGCCAATATGCTTTAGAAGACCTTCATTGATGTTATCTTCATCGAATATCTCGGCCTTATACTTCATAACCCTAGGAAGTGAACCAAAGTTCAGGCCATTGATACATGTTTCGACGGCTGAGATACCCATTGTTATTCCCTCTGCATTAGGGCACTTGACCCAGCCCAGTAACATTTGGCTGAAGTTGGCATGTGTCATTGCCTCTCTACTTCTGAAAGTACCAAGGGGAATGCCGTATTCCCAATATCCTACCAACGTTTCACCGCATGGTGTAGTACTCTGCCAAGCTCCATACCCGTGTGGCTTAAGTTTCTTGTTTATTTGGCCCACATACTGATAAAATCTTCCAACGCTCTCTCTTTGCATCAAGCGATCTCCCATGGCTCTGCAAAGCAACCTCCACAGAAAAGGGAGCTCACCGTGATGCTCTATCTTGACAGCAAACCCTAAGGCCGTTGTTGTGCCATGTCTCTCAGATCTCACAGGATCATTTGGCAAGGCGATGAAGCAGTGCTTTATGGAAGTCACCCTTATCCTTTGCATATCCCTTCTAACCATGCTGGCTATCAATCTTGGTACCACGAACCGGTGATTCAGAGTCCATATGGTGACTCCTGCAATGAGAAGTTTGTAGAGCAGGAACGTTAAGTTATACGAGTAGAGTCCGCCGATAACTATATTTTGGTGTGGGTTGAGCAACCATCCCATATCCCATAATAGAATATCTCTTACGTTCTTGGAGGTGAATGAGGAGAGCGAATGCACAATCGAGGTGATTAAGAAAAATTTTAACAACATCCAAGTATAGCATGCCATCTTTGCGAAAATGTATCGTGTTCCAATACACTTAAGCATCATTAGCGTCAAAATTACAGGTAGACCCATGAATAATAAATCCAAATACCCAGTTGAATATGTTAAATTTCCCTTAATTCTCTGCCACTCGGCCAATTCCTTAACACCCGACCTACGCTCGAGTATGTGATCAAAGAAGACCTTATGGGATATTAAACAAACTAATAGAGCGCTGTATATAATACAATACCACATGGAGCACCTCGGGTAGTCAAAATTGTAATACCTGAATGCTTCGCGGTATTTCATATACTCCACGGTTCCCTTGAATGCCTCAGTTAACGATTCCAGTTGCTTCTCTGGCACGTCATTTTCCGGAATATCTATGACAGTGTAGTCAAGATCAGGGCAAGAAAATTCGTCATCGTCTACGGCGGTCTTGTAGTCACTGTTAGAATCCATCCGACTAATGCGTGCACCTCTGTCGGTCTTGTTGGATGAAAACGTGTCGTACCTGTTCTTCAGCTTTTCGTATATTACAAAGGAACCCTCTACACCCATATAGACCGATCCGATTCCTATTGTGCCAGTTCTACTACCTTCTTCTTCCTTAAGTAGCATACGGTCGCTTCCGTTACTATCGCTTTCCTGCTTATTAGGGACTGCTTCATGCTTTTCATGTGTATGAACAGTGGAAGGCAAAGTAACATGGCAGGTATCATCCTTCATTAATGTTCCTTCGGCATCCTTAGTGCGAGTTCCCAATGTTGCTGTCTCCGATACATCAACCGGTGGAGGGGGTTCGCTCCCAACTTGAGCATCAATTTTGTCGTACGGCCTCATCTTACACTCTTGCTCCTCCATTATTCCACCGACTTCACCACTCTTCCCATCGTTATTAACACTAACCTCCACATCTTTATCCTCGGAGAGAGGTGCCATGGCAGTCTGTACAGGCGCACTCAAAAGGCCAGTCTCACCGTTGGCGAGGTCCTCAGCGGTGTTTTCCGCCACCTCGTTCCTAACCGCTGGAACATCAATTATTTCTATTCGACTGCACTCAATCTCTTGTACATCACCTCCTTCTTCCAATAACTGGGACACTTCCCTCTCTTCTACTGTCCATTCGGACAAGCTTTCGTCCGTTTCTTTCACCAGTTCCTTATTATCCGCTACATAGCATTCTGCGCCCATGTCCTCGTGGACGGATTCCGCGAGATCGCTTGATTTGATAGAGCTCAAAGATTCTATAGGGGAGCGAAATGATACATGGTACTCCCTATCTGGGAACCCCTCGGATATATCACGTGAAACCATTTCGTCTGTCACTCTTTCCATCAAACACGGCTGGACCTGTGTTTCATCTACATCTGTACCTTCTGTTGAAGTTCCAAGATGCATCGTATCGCTTAAAAAAGGTGTGGTTTGCTGAGTTGCACTGACACTCAAGTCAGAATCGGCAGTTAGCCCTTCCGTTACGCGGAGAATTTTCTTCGCTTTGCGTTGCTTCCCCATTGTTACAGGAACGAATCAATGCCCATTGAATTGCACACTTAGTGCCCTTGAGTCAGGCCTGAGGTGTAGACTCACTAAAAGGACGAAAGTGTCACGTTGAGTCGCTTAATTTCTGGTAGTTGGCTGGAGTAATGGTAGCTACGCGTGTTGCTATATGTTATTATGACCGTATTTCGGTTCTTTTACTCCACAACGTGGTGTGTAGGGGCTGCCACTTGAGTTTGATGGACTACAGCTCCACTGTGCTACCCCATGCTGTCTAGTCTAAGCTTCATAGCGGCGAAGACACCTGCCAACGGAACTTGTAGAACAAACTCAGTGGAGCAGTCCTCTGTATGGACGCTCGTGTCGATGTCGTACCTAGAGTGTTGCCATCAACCGAGAGTACCAGAGGAGAACGCAGGCCCTCCGCCGATCCATCACCATATACCCATTTCACCCTGGCCTCCAGTTAGCCATCTCTAGCGACACCCCATTGGATAACGTCGCGAAGAAGGCGGAGACCTGATGCAGCAGGCGCAGGTAATAATTTTCCATCACAGTGCCTGCTGCATCACCCCGTTAAAACATCTACAAGCGGTGATCATTTGCCAGTTGGGGTCAATTCATTTATTTAACGGGATTCTATAGGGCTAGGGTCTTTTTTTGCTGGTCTACGCGACTTTTGACTCGACAAGGGCGAGATGTTAAATTGGCCTTAGGGTTTGGCAAATGTTACTTTAGCATTTAACCGTTGAGCTTTTAGGGTGTTAACGTGCATAGAGAATTGATTAGATATTTTTTGTCTCATCGGTATTGTGATCACACCGTGGAATCCTTCCCCATCACACATCATATAGCGCCCTAGACACTCCCTCAACGCTTAAGTATTCCACGCTCTGCTCTAGCGATAATTAACACTATGTGTGTATTCTTAGTTTGATGAAGATTTCACGCGGCTGCGGAATCTACGCTGCGTTAACACTCGAAGAATGGAGTTGTCGTCGGAAGAAGCGCAGCAACGCGTGTCCCTGATGGGATCGCACGTGAAAGCGCTCGCAAAATTCTTTGAAACGTTTTCCGCACCACCAATAGCTGCAGAAGATGAGTCAAAGCACCAAATTTGGGGTGATAGACGTTACATGAACCAGCTGGTATTTTGGCACACCTACTTATCCTAAAATATCTTCAGCAAGATATAAAGGATGGAAAAAATAGCGTTTTGAAGGTCTACATAGACGATATCCGTCAGGTGTGTCGTGTTTTTTGCTATGTGACTTGCTTGTAGCACTTCCTGAAGGACACGAATGAGCATGAGGTCTACGAGGGTGTTATGCTTAATGGATACCGTTACCTAGATCTCATGTTTGCGGCAGCCGATACGTGCCTGGAACATATGGAAAAGAAAACTGAAGATGCACAGACCTCGATGTTGAGCCCTACCAACAATGCTGTTGAGAGTCAGATGCTAGACACCGTGGATGAATTGAGGTCAGTGTCACTTATACATGATCATCATGCTTTTATAGGGAGCGCCGGATGAAACTAAGCAAGCTTCCTGTCTATTTGCATGCGAACTTTGAGATTTGGGTCTTGCCAGGAGAAGGAGATACTGTGATGAAAATGAAAACTGTGAACGCGGATTACATAGGCTGTCTAAGCCTGATAGAAGTTGACGTGACCCGTGTTGGTCTGTTGAAGCCACGTGTTCAGGTAGCTACGTACGAATGTGACAGCTGCCACGGGCACACTTACAAGGCTGTGAGTTATTGTTTACGTCTTTCTCATTTGGCGCAGATCCAAGGACCAAACTTTCTTCCAATCACAGATTGCGTGGAATGTAGCACACGAAACAACACAAGAGGGACACTAAAGTTCCACCCGAGGTGTGGTTATGTTATTATGCCTGCTTATGCATCGCAGACTTAGTAAATTCGAAAAATATCAGGAAATGCGCGTACAAGAGCCGTTGTACCACTTGGCTGAGGGTGAGCTCCCTAAATCTCTCAAATGTGAACTCTTTGGCGAGCTTACTCAAAAATTGCGCCCGGGTGATTCGGTGCTGTTGTACGGCATCCTATTACCAATGGTGCAGAGCTCGTATAATCCGCAGCGCTCTGCACTGTTAGCCGAAAAGGTGTTCCGTGTTTTATCATTAGAGCACCAAAAGAAGGTCTTGGACACTTCGAAGAGTTCAGATTCTGAACTTGCCAGGCGCATAGAAGCGTTGCGTAACGACCCTGACCTATACGATCGCCTAGCCTATTCCATCGCGCCTGAAATTTACGGCCATGACGACGTCAAGAAAGCACTTCTGCTCCAACTGGTAAGGCATCTTTAACCCGCATAACATGTACATCCAAGGTTGGAGGCGTAACTCGGGAGAAGAAAGACGGCGGTATTATTCGTGGTTCTATCCACATTCTGTTGCTTGGTGATCCTGGAGTGGCCAAGAGCCAACTTCTCAAGAAGGTATGCCTCATCTCATCTCGCGGTGTATACACTACCGGTAAAGGTAGCAGTAGCACCGGTATGACAGCAGCGGTTGTTAAGGATCCTCAAACGGGTGAGACCGCGCTAGAGGGTGGTGCTTTGGTACTAGCTGACATGGGTCTATGTTGTATTGACGAATTTGACAAGATGGACGATTACGACCGCTCTGCCATCTACGAGGTCATGGAACAACAGACTGTATCCATCGCTAAGGCTGGACACTGTACTACCATGCCAGCACGATCTGCAGTACTGGCCGCTGCTAACCCTGTAAATGGAGTTTACGATGTTCGGCGATCGGTGTTCCAAAACATGAATATGCCAGCGGCGCTGCTGACACGTTTCGATCTCCAATTTTTGATGTTGGATCGTGTCGATCGCAGCAGGGATTCGCAGTTAGCTGAGCATGTTGTTAATCTTGTGAAGGGAATTTCCCAGGAGCAGACTCCCAAGTACGCGGTAGTAGACAAAGAGCTGATGCGCACCTACATCACAATGGCAAAGCAATATGAGCCCACGATGCCACCGGAGATTGTAGAGAAGGTTTCGGAGTGGTACGTCCAGGCTCGTCAGCAGGAGCTGGATAGCGAAACGTACAATGACGAACGTTTCACCTACACTACGCCGCGTAGTATGCTCGCCATTTTGCGTTTATGCCAGGTAAGTTGAGATATAACATCCCCAGTTGACGTTTTATATAGGCCATGGCACGCCTACGTTTCAGAAACGTTGTTGAGATGTCAGATTTCGAGGAGGCAGTACGTCTGAGTGAGCAGATGAAGGCGAGCCTTATGGAAGCAAGGAGCGACCGCATGTCGCATAGGCGGCAAAGCGGTACTTCTCAGGTTATGCAGTTGTTGAGGTATGTTTTCCGTTTGTTTTAAGTTAAATGGCACAGGCGACGCCGCGATGAACTGCGACAGCAAGAAGGATGGGACGGATGGATGGCCATACGCGATATCGAACAACAGGTGCTGGCCAGTGGCCTCAAGCACAAGGATTTGAAAGATGCCATAGATAAATATTCGAGGATGGCTGTTATACTGATCGGCAAAGGCGACTCACATATCGCTTTCCCCGAGGACCTCGGGCAGTAACCACCGCGGTTTAGATATACCTCCTTACCGATATTTTAAGGCTGTGTTGCCCCTACTTCATCAATACAGCGCAACACAAAGCATATAAAATCAGTATATTAGACCATTGTTCTCTATTCTTAGATTGCAGTCGAGAAATATCTCGCGGATAGTGTTAATATCGACCCTGTCGACTGGTCGAGGCGCTATTGCGCCGCTAGGGCGCCATTCCGATACCAAATTGCGATCTCCCAGGGTCTCGCGAGTGTACAAAGCGTAGTCTTCAAGGTGTGTCGAAGCTGGTCGGCTTTCACCTATGTAGCATTGCAGCATTTCCTGCAATTTCTCGCCAGTCAAAGGGTAACCTAGCCTTGCAAGTGCTAATTCGAGTGTTTCTACATCTATGGTATCTCCAGGCTCACCCTCAGCACCGCCGACAGCCTGGAGCGTTCGGAAGGTAGCCTCCATCAATGCATCGATTTTCTTCTTCTGCGACCGGTTATCTCGGTACACATTTCGCAGCAATTTTTTGCTACGTGCGTTCACGGTCACCGGAGGTAGTAGCCTTCGGCGTACTATCGGTAACGGCGGCCGCTCTGCGTCCGAACCCTGAGGGTGTGAGAGCGATAACGCTATTCCGAGTTCAAGGTCGGAATCATCGCATCCCTCATCGATCATACTTACGCCAGATGCGCGCCGATGTTAAAGTGTGCATAATGAAAATTACAACTGGTTAACGTCAATTTCGACGTGCCCGAGAGAACTTGCTGTTATAGACCTCACGTTCATCATCAGCGTTAAGCACGACTATGAACTTAGATGGCCGTTGTTGAATATCGGTTGTAACCCGCTTGATGCAACGCATGAAATCAGCCAGGATGTGAAAAATTTCCTCCAGCGAATTACCTTGTTTACATTCTTCGCCTAGGTATCGCCAGGTATTCTTCATCGCATCAAATACCTTAGTCTTGCGCTCAGTAGCGACACCGATAGCTTCAGTGCTCTCTGTTATTATTTGCTTGGTCTTGCTATGCAAAACTGTTTCCGGTGGCACACGCTCCTCAAGCCTTAGAAGAGAGTTGAGCCCATCACGGATTTCGTCGAATATCTCCTCGATACCATTGGCACTAATTTTTTCAGCCTCGATAACATGACTGAGAGACTTGTCGAAAGTGGAGAAGTCTAGATCGGGAAACTTGACTATCAAGTTGACCACGAGATAATGCATAGAACTCAGCATGTTGTCGGCCGATTTTATATCGATGAGTTTGGAAGCCGACGAAAGGCTAAATCCCACAGTTTTAACCGTACTGTCGTCACCATGGTTAACGAAATTCCCGTATTGAAGAATACCTCCCATCACTATGGGTAAAAATTCGTTGCTGTCAACCTGTTTGTTCGCTCTTTCGAAGACGCCTAACTGGTTGTCTACCAGTTCCAGAAGAGATTTGTAATTGAGAGAGAAGTAAGCCACTTTAACTTTATGCTCCATATGCTCTTTTGCGATTATTTTGAATATCTTCTGTTCGACGTCTCGGTACTCCGCAAAGTTAGCGCCACTCTGCACTGCAGCGGTAAAGCTTTCTAACTCCGGGCCCTGAGGTAACGCAGACTGGATCTTAAATATATTGTCTACGTTTACTAACTGATTGTCGAGCGTTAGTGTGTCAAGACACTCTAAGAGCTCATCAAAGTCAGACTCCTTGGGGAACCTAAGAATAATACCAACGTTTTGTGCACGCTTGGGGTCCAAGATAGTCAGTACAAGCTTGCGCTTCACCTCAGGCGCCTTCAAAGTTTCCTGACGTTTCACTGGAGTCTTGCTAAATAACTTCTTGGCAACAGTAGAATCGAACATCTTGTTTTCCACGGATGGCCTAGGCAAGTGCTCGAAAATTGTACCTTTAACAGTGTTAGTGTTCAGCGGCTTCCAATGTAGCTTGACACCCAAAGGAGGCGGTTTTCTGGGAATATCTGACTTGGCCTTGAGTCCTACAGGTGGAGGTGGCGCTTTCATCTTACAGGGTGGCCCCTTTTTAACCGCGGGTGGACCTGTCTTAGACACGGGCGCCTTTGCTGTAGGAGGAGGCGGAGGTGTTTTAGGCGGTGTTGCTGTGGGTCCCGTAGGTGGTTTTTTCGCATCCACTGGCGCAGCGACGTCAGCAGACGCCGATTTTGGCGGTACCGCCGCTGGTGGAGCTGTCGTTGGTGCATCCGATGCCGGTGGCGAGGTCGTCGGAACTTTAGGACCCGGGGGAGCCGTTGATTTTGTAGCGGTAGCACTGCCTGGTACCGCTTCCGTAGATACGGACTTCGTGAGACCGTCCCCTGGTGGAGGAGCTACCAATGGAACACCATCTGCTGTCGTAAACACCTTGCCAAGAGTATCTCTCATGGCAGCACCTTGTAAGTGACCTTGGTACGCACCAAACATCTGGAACAGCGATGTTATACTATTTTGAGGAACAGGCTTCATGCTACCATCCATCATAAGCAATTGCATCGCACCGTCATTGTCAACCAAGAGCCGATCCACTTCATCGACACGCAGGCCTACACTCGCAGCTCCTGATGAACTCGAGGCACTGTCTTTGTCAGTACTGGATGTTAATACACCAATTGCTCCCTTAACACCTTCCTTTGGTGTTGCTCCGCTTCTGGCAACATAAACTTCATTGTCACCCTTTGGAGTGTCGACGGAATCGACAGTCAAGAGGTCACTTGGACCTAAGGCAGGTCCAGTGACAACCGCTGTAGCAGCTTCAGCCTTTGCACTTGTCGGTACAAACAACGCGTTAAGCATGGCCATGGCATCCATATACCGAGGGCATAGCTTGAGTGCAAACTCACAGGTGTCACTCGACAAGCCAGTGGCTTTGACCAACCCCTGTATCTCATTGGCGGATACCTTGGCTACGTGATGTCGCATAAAGACGCCAACATCGGACATGGGCGGTGTTATAACTATAGGGGTGTTTGGTGTGTTCCAGGCGTCTGTACTATGTCGCTGCCTACTTTCCATGGAAATCGTCATCTGTCCGTGCGGTTGAATTGCACACGAAGTGTCCCATATGTCGAACTCTGCCCTAGGAACTTCCAATGACTCGCTGCTAACGAATCCCGTGTTGAAACTGTAGGTAGCTATGACCTTTCTCTGTTTCATGGATACTGCAACCAATGCAATGGCAACATCTCCTGATATGACTACATTCTGCCTATTGCCATCAGCATCCAATTTGAAATCAAAAACTACTTCGCTAACGTAGCCATATTTACTTGATTTCGAGCTGGTTGATCTTGACAATACCTGGTAGTCGGCTGAACATGCTATCAACATGACTCCGTCACGATCTTTGCCTCCACAAACACATTTTGGATAGAATGCAGGAGAATATCTTGAACATTCTGCTCTCCGCTCTGGTGACTCCCATCGTCTGGTGGATGTAGCGTGCGAAGGTTCCGGCCCAATCTGATACACTTCTAGCATGACATCGGTTCCTGGTAACATGCAATTGACTAGCGTGATGCGTTTAAGCCTAAACTGCTGAGCCAGTACAAAATCGATGGGTGTAACATAAAGGCTGAGGAAGTAGCTCATGTATCGTTTGTATGATGGTGGCCAGCGTGCGATGGGTATCATTTGTGGTATATCGTTGGGACTGGTAGGGTCTGGTTTCTCCCGACTTGTTTTGGCGGTGACTGTTTTACACTTTCGCCTCCAATCGAATGAATTCATGATAAGCTGGTCGATTTCGTTGGCTGTCGCCAGTGGCTGCGAGGCTACAACGGAACAAGCGAAGGTAAGCAACATGTTGTAGTTAAGCGCAGCATAGTTGAAAACCACCACGTTATCCCTATTGTAGAAGTCTAGCCAAAAGAGCACAGCGGATGCCACCGAACATAGGTAGCGCATGGATGGCAAGCCGCGGCTGTTCATCGGGAAGTGGAGCACTTGCCTATGGAATATATCTCCATGTTCAGCGGCCAGGTTCGTGTTTTCTAGTGACAGGTCGAAAATGACAAACTTTTGATAGTAAATAGGTGCGCCTCTAGGGCGATGATCGCCCAGGTCGTACACCCCGTTTCCAACAACAGCAAGCCTCCTGGGTTCCTCCAGCTGTGACATGTTGTTGTCTGAGACCCTTTTGAACATTTGCCCAACCTTAACATAGAGCTCGTTGTAGACACGATCCAAACGTGGATGTAAAGCAGGGCCATATCTAAACACTTGGTCTTCGACATATCGTTCTAGAACTCTGAAGAAGCTGACCAACTGTTGTACGTTGTTGCGCAAGCTGCGTTCCTTCATCGGCAGCTGCCAAGGCGTACGTATGGCGAATATCTTGTTTGTAAATGAGTGTATCAATGGTGGACGTATTTCGTCGGAAAGATCGTGAGAAACAGCACGCTTGATCTTATAAAATATCTCCTCCACATTTGTTCTGCTTCTGTCACCTGGTGTTGCAGTATCGCTAGCCATATCCATTTTATCGCGACTATGCGTTATGCGTTCTTTTGACTGTTCTTCGGCCAGGGTTGTTTTGGACTTTGTCTTCTCTGGCAACCTGGGTGATTGTGTCGTCGAAACGGAGGTATGAACCCCGGTAGCCACCGATGGCATCTTAGTGATAGATTTTTGTGGCGTGAGAAATGCGTTGGAACCCTCTGACGCTTCCACTGCGGGACGTCTTAATTGTTCCTTAGCACGTTGCACGGACCTTCCACGATTTCGAAATAACATTCCAAGTGCATTTTTTCTACACAAAAGACCACCGTTCACCTCAATATCGCTAGACACTGCCGATTCCACATCTGATGGCGTGGATGCACCGGAATTCATGAAATGTCTAGTGCTTATACTTCTCTTAGACAATTGTGTGGTACCATTTGCCACAGCAGTTTTACCTCCGTATGTGCCACGCCTAACTAAATTGCCACGTGAAAAACCACCCCAATCATCAACAACACCCGATGAGGCCCGTCTCATGTTGGTTCCATCTGTGCTGATGTGCATGGAATCAATAGATTGAATGACAGAATCGCTGCGGAGGTAGTCATCGCGTTCCTGTGTCCTACGATTAAAATTGCGACTAGCTTCAATGTTTCTTTCATGATTCTTGAGCAGTGAAGATACCATTCTGGAGCTTGATATGGCATCGGTGAATGTGACGTCCTCAGCAACGGGTCCCCGCTTTTCGGGCACTCTAGCATCGTCGTTTCTCATTTTTGTTATATGTGCTCTATATCGGGGCCCATTTCCTTTTATCGAAGCACGCTTGCGCCGTAATTACACGGCACCGCGATGTTGCGAGATCGACAGAACAACGGTGTTCCGTCGGCAATCTCATTCGCCGTCATGCATTAGTTACTCTCTAATATTACAAGATTCGGTATACTGGCGCATATTATTATGTTAAATATCTCAATTTTACGCCAATGGAACTGCGTTTTTACAGATGCGGTGTCGCAAGTTATGTGTCTATTGGGTATTAGTTCACGTCAGAAGACGACGACGCCCACATTGGGATCGCAATAGCGCTTATAGTTGTTTAAAATAAGCGACAAAGTGACATATGTCGCTTTTACCACGAATATGTACTTGATCCGTGGTAACGGCGTGGTTTTATATTACACACCTTCCGATAGAACACACCACAGCTAACGGGATTGAATATTCCCGCGTGCGATAAACGGATTACTCCAATGCCGGGCAGTATCCACATCTTTTTGGGTGGCACGCCTATTTTAGCTTGCCCATGTAAAGACACGTAGCGCCCGGTAACCTTATTGCTTTCCTCTGTGAAACATCACTCAGGGTACGACAACTGGCAGGTTTATTGCAGCAACGGTGTCCGTTCTATGCGTTCTTTGTTCGTAACTTCGCAAAGGACGTTTCGAGAGACATCATTTCCTCGGAGTACGTGGAGCCGCGCATCACCATTGTATGGCAGCAGCCGCGTGCCTTCAATCACCTCTAAATGCAGCTTACCACGACTAACAACTATAGCCACATCAATAACTATGTATGTATTGCCCTCAAGGGTTTCAGGGGGACTGATGTTAGCCGGGAACTTGACACGAACACACCCAGATGGATCCCCTGCAAGGAATGTCTCGTATTCCGAATTGTGCAAATCAGTCACCTCTAGAGTATCCCTACTAATAAAGAATAACACTAGAGATGCAGTAATGTACGAGTATGTAGGAACGTGTGCCGGGCGCTCGCTAGTTTCCAGCAGGCAAGGCAGATCCGCTACGCTAGTGTACCCGCCACACACTGAGTCCTTCTTTTGCGCGTGTAAATTGGCCTTAGTAATAAGCAATTTGGCCCCAGTGATACGGCGCACCCCCGCCATATCGCCCTTTTGTTTCTGACGCTTGCTGGAGGGCGGCCTTGTCTACAGGCACAGCCACACATTTCATCAGTTGTGAAGAACCCCCGAAGTCGCCGGCACACACTACACCTAATAACACAAGCGGTGACAGGTTAAATTACCAGAACTTCGTACAGGTTGCTTTCCCGTGCGTTACACGCAAGTGTAGCTGCGGCGGGAACTCCGAAGGCATTAGGCACGCCAAACTCAATTATACCCTAAAAAACAGTATCGAAGCTGTAGATGAGTGGTTTATAAGCCATTCAGAACAGGTGTGATGTACATTGACGCCTGGCTGCATCACGCGCCACGTTGCGCCAGTCGCGCAGGATCGAGTTTTCCACGCCTTTCCTCGCAAAATCTGCAACGTCCATGCTATCACGTACGCAAGAGCTTTAGCAACCTGTCTCACGCCCCTTTTACTGGAGCTGCGGTAACGAGTCCGTAAGTTCAACCTGGTGACATTGGATCATGTCTGAACTACAGGTTTATATCGCAGTGCCATAAATTCCGGGCTGAATATGATCAGGCTGTATCACTTTCAACTCGCGTTTTGCAACTCGGTACATCTGAGTTGGAGTACGAGCGGATTCGCGTCTCACGCGAGTTTGAAAATTCCAATCCCAGTGTAGATCGAGAAAATTGGCTCGAGCATTCGATCAAGAACTTCCGCGAACGTATCACATCGCAAGTTTTCACAGACAATACGAAACTCAATGCTGCGGCCAAATATGTATTGAGCGCAAAGTCCAAGCTTTTTAGGCCCAGGCTCGGCCTTATGGTCGCACGGCTCCTATACGCACGCATTACAACCGAAGGGGCGTACCAGGCGACCGGAGCAGATTCCAATAACCTATCCTCACTAAGTGGGTCCGACGCTATCATGTCGGGAGATTTATTGGAACGAATCATGCGCTTACTGCAGTCTTATGAGATCGTGCATGTCGGAAGTTTAGTACATGATGACATCCTTGATAATGCCAAAACTCGGAGAGGGTTGCCGACAGTGCACGTTAAAATGGGAACAAAGATTGCCACACTAGTCGGCGATCTAATGTTGACACGGGCATGTTCAACCGTTGCCAAGTTGGGATCACAGCAGCTGACGTTGCGTATGGCAAAGGCCCTGGAGAACCTCATTAAGGTGCGTTGGACACTTCACAACTTTTGACGCTTTACCAGGGGGAACTCATGCAAGTAGAAGGCACCGACACCGCTGACGTGATGCTATGCGATTACTTGAAGAAGATATTCCTCAAGACTGCCTCCCCGATAGCAGAGTGCTGCGCGTCGATCGCTGACTTGCGTGAGTATTAGATGACAACCGTATCCACTACTCTGACAGTCCGTCAAGACGAAAGTGTGCGCCACAGGTGTTACCTTATAGGACTCCATGTTGGTATGGCATTCCAAATATATGACGACCTGCTCGACTACCGTTCATCTAGCACTGATCTGGGAAAGCCCACACTTAACGACCTCTCATCGGTACGTCTATATCGATCGCTGACATAATCTACTTAGGGGCTTATCACAATGCCACTTCTAATGGCTCTGCCAGAGAGCCCAGAACTTGAATCATTACTCACGGATGGGACTGTCAGCGCCGGAAAAGTAGACATTGTGTTGCCCTTTGTTAACTCCAGTCATGCATTTGCACGCAGCCAATGCGCTGTAATGATGCACTTGGCTGAGGTTTCTCGGCTACTACGCTGCCTGGATTCAAAAGAAGCAGCGCCCGAATCTCCATTGTCAGAATCAGCACAGACATTACTGCGTTTCATATACGACACATTAACACGCTCCACAGGATGACTACTTTCACGTGGAGTACAGATGAAAATTTACCACGACACCCTTATTTATCATTTTTCAGACCTGGTTCATTACTTCTGTTGTTTTGTTAATTCCACAGGGCTGACACTATTGGTTCCCTATTTTGGAGTTATTGCACCGCGATCTTACATGGTATATAGAAAATATAAGCTAATCGGCGAATAAAGAGGCTGGCATCAGTCAGCTCGGCTGTGAGCGCCCGGTTATACAGCAATCAGTGTTTCGGCATAACTGGTACCGAGAGGTCGGTACCTCCTAGTTTCCTTGAACGGTAGGGGCGCGGAGAACGTTCCAGTTGCCGGTGACAAAGCTGCCAGCCGGTGTAGTTGCTCGATCTCTGGCAGAATGGATTAGATTGTCTGCGATAGGGGACGATATTAGGTGTTGCGATGCGGAGGAACAGGCGTTCGGTACCCCGTGCCAGATTAGCACTCCTTGCGGCCCTAAAGTGCTTTACTATCCCTGTCACCCCTGTACGAGCTTGATGGAACGCGTGAAAGGACCTACCGTCCTGGTGTGTGAGAAGAGATGCCCTGGCGACACGTCGCATATAATGTTGATAGTGCCAGTTGGTTGCCTCCCAAATTAGGTCTTCCACAAAAGGTGTAAATCCATTGCGACGAAGACTTTGCCTCCTCGTGTAAAGCCCCTCTCGGAGGAACCGGTACGCCATGTCTTCATCGTAAGCGCTGCGGTGTGGCTTATTCCACAGCGCTTCAAGTTATCAAACACAAAAAATATCGCATTAAACCGCTGCTATTTCGAATGGAAAAGGCAGTGGCGGATTTTTCTATCCTCTGGGGGAAAGTCGGTCCGTTTTGTGACCTTTCCAAAGTACTGAGTGATGGCACCTCCGAACCAGCTGAACCTTACGGAGATGCCTGGTTGACCACTACCCGAAGGCAAAAGACCTCAGGGTCAATAGGTGGTCAAGACTTCGAGGTTATTTACGGGAGGGTGCGTGAGACCGAGTTACTCGCGAAGCTCGCACGTCTCCACGCACGCTGGAACAACCTACTCTTTGATATAGAACAGCAACTAGACGAATTGATTACGTTACATGAGCGTTGCATTCGAGGAATCGACGATCTGACACTTCGCCAGGCGACCTACCGCATCAACTTCAAACATGTGAATCAGAAGTTCAATGCCCTCTCCGAGCGAAAAGCGAGTCTTTCAGAGAAACTCGTTATGCTAGAGGAAATGCACAACCATTATGCACAATACAAATGTTTTGCGCGCAGTCTATATCAAATCGAGAATAATGAATTCATCAATACTGCCAGTGCGAAGCGTAACGGCAGCACGGACTCTTCAGAGGCAGTTGCCACAGACCCTGGAGACAAACCATCTGAGGACAATGAGCGTGCATTTGCACGTACTTTGGACTATGTTGACAAAATCGCAGAGAAACTTAATGCTATGCTACCCGCTATCGACGCATCGATTGACTTCTTCAGCATCCACACGAATTATTTCGATGCAGATGCAACACGGTATAAGTACGAGGCACTGCGCACAAGTGTATTCGGACTTATTAAGCTTGTTTTCAAGGAACTTTATAACTTCGCTAGCGACAGTTGCAAAGGGTTAACTCATTTTGATGTCGCCGAACATTACAACAAATATCGCCGAATTGGGAGCAGCGTCCGGAAATTGTGTCGATACTACACTATTCAGGCAACAGAATTAAGTAGTTCCGAGTTTCTACAGTTACAAATGTACTATATAACAAGTCGCATCAGGATCCTGAATCCTTTGATGTTGCTGAAGATGGAGTCATTCAAAGATTTTGGAACTATCACGTCATTTTTCCTGCTGATATGCAATTTAGAAATCCTTACGTTCAAAGAAACGTTTGTGAGTGAAGCATCCCACGAGTCTCTAGTTACTTTGGTGGAGAATGTAGTTTTCTACTTCACTGAGGCGTGCAACAAGCAAGTTGGTATGCTTCATACCTCGTCGGAGATGCGTGCAGCCATCTCTCGCCTCAAGCAAAACTTAATGGACCCTATATCAGCTTCAAGAAACGACGCTGTACTGAGGCCGCTGATGCTAAGGGCTCAACAGACCTACCAGACTATTGAGCTTACGTTGGTCAAGACCATCCAACGTGAGCTGGCGGAGCATGTACGTAATTACGACAAAAAACCGTTCTTGGATGTTTTATGCGATAACGTGTCGTTAGAACCGGATTGGGATCACGAGCTACTTGCCCAGGTAGGAGATACGGATATGCGCGGTGCGGGGCTCTGCCCTCCCGTCTGCTTTGCTGTCGGCATAGTGCTTACAAACGTAGACTACTTAAGTGTGCAAAACCTGAACGGTATCGCTACAGGCTCATTGAATGCCGTAAAGGCGGTTCTAATCGACGTTCAATATGCATTCGGAAAGAAATCCAATCTCTCTGCGAACCTTGTACGGATAAATCAGGACTTCTTTTTGATGCGACACCTACAACATGTGCTAGCCCATTTAGACCGTTTCAGAGAACTGGATGCATACCGTACTATAGCAAACCTCTACTCCAGCACTGAGCATCAGCTATGTTCAGGTGTGTCTGGTCTGCTCTTGGGTGATTTCCGCGAATTCGTGCGCAGACAGCGAGTGCACGATGAGGCTCTCTACAAGGAGCGTCTATCTGCAGCTATGAGCATCTTATCTAACAAGGTTCCGTTGCTGAAGTGTCAACTATTGCGTCATTTGTTACCTGCGCGCTTCGAACATACGTTCGAGCAGATCACCGCCGCTTTGCGAGAGATGTCTGGGGAGTACGCCAAGAAGTTCTCCTTGGAACAACCTGAGCCACCAAATTACGCTGAAACTAGCGACACTAGCGCATCACACGGTGTTCTTTTGCAGCTGTAAACTATATAAATTTTAATTTGTTGTGTCATTGGAGATCACAGATTGTGAGTCCTCGCCTACGGGCGTCTCGTCTTCCCGCCATGCGCTGGAAACCGACAGTACCTTCCTCGGCAGCTTAAGGCAGTAGACACCCTCATCTGAAGTAAACGATACAACGTTATCGTAGTTAACAAGTGTGTACGGCCATCCCAGTTCGAACGTTGCTGGGTACAATGGGATTTGTAGAAAGGTTTCCAAGGTCCTCCCGTGTAGAAGGTTAAGCATAGAGTCCTTTGTTAGCACAGCGAGAAAGTCTCTGAATCCGCCGCAGAGCGCTACAACGTCAACACGTAGTCGTCGTTTTGCAACCGGCACCGTCATCTTGCGGTAGTTGAACACACTGATTGTAAGCATGTCAGCCACCACAACCATTCGATTACGTCCCCAAAACTTTCCGTGGGTCACTAGGTACACACTTTTCGGCATCGCTATTGAGAATAGCACCTTTTTTGTTGTGTCGCTATCGAGTGTGACCACCTGTACGAAATACTTGTTGATGTTGCGGTAGTAGCACATCATCTCAGAGCCGTTGAAATCAAGAACGTTTGATGGGTATACTCGATGAGTGGAACTGATTTGCGTTTTCGATACCGGATCTAATATCGTCGATCCTCTCATGCAATCCACGAGAATCTTACTACCGGAAAACGTGATCTGTTTGTAGCCCGCATTCCGTGACAACGATAGGCGATACTCGTTTTTCAGCGCATATTTGTCGATATCGTAAACAGCGATTGCACTTGTGCCTATCAAACAATACAACAAACGGCTGTCGATGAATACAGCACGCACTGCCTCGTGAGAGAACGAAGCAAACACTGTGTAACGTCCCGGTAACACTTCACTGACGTTCGTCTTACTTGTTCCAGATCCACCACATCTTATGTAGCTCATGATAGCAACGCACATCGATGTGAATTGTCTAAACCTTCCTCCACCTCCGTCGCTATCATATTCGCTATCCGTATCAGAGCCACCGTCAGCTACGCCAATAATATAGGCACCATCTGGCGGGGCACTGCTCCTGTCATCAGATCCTGTTTTCTTGGGTGAATCGTTAGCCGATGACCTTGTCTGTGTGTTATCTCCATTGCTCGGCGTCGAATCTGCGTTCGCTGATTCTGAATTGTTAGGGGAGGACAGGTCCTGCCATGATTGATCGGCCGAAGCAGATGATGAGTTTGATTTGGGCGTTACCGGGTAGTCGAAAAGATAGGCGGACACACGACCTAACGCCGTTCCTGCTACTACTCCATCTGGCCCGATCCAATGCGATAAAACGGGGTCACCCATTTGTGATTCTAGAACGGCGAATACTGGGATGTGTAGCCCAGATAGGTGCCTAGAGGCACGTGCGACCTCTTCACTCATAATCCCGAACGTCATATCGTCACCATGTTCCTAATATCTCACAATGGTTCAAAAGGTGTACGCGGTGTCGCGTGTCTGAGTACTCGCGCGTCACCACTATCCCGTTGGATGTGTAGGATCGATAGTAAAGTATACGTGTTGCAAGATCTTTGCGATCGATTGGCTAGCCAAGCTCACCAATGGTCACAAAATAGCGGCCCCCTCCTCGCGAGGTCGTGTTGAGTGTGTGCTTCTGAAATGCCTTAAGATCGGAGATGGTCAGGGGTTCGTCTGCCTTACACTCACAATTTTTGTAAACCACCAAATTGAAAATATATCACTGTAATTTTCAACCGTTGTATTTAAAGCGCCAATATCATCCACTCTCTACAAATTTCAGACAGCCGTTTCAAACCCTCACAGTGGTCAATTTTCGCCTTAAGACGAATAAATATTGTTAAATAACGATTTACGATGTGAATTTCTGTTGTTGGGCACTCAGTAGTGTTTTTTTCGTAAGCAGCGCTGCTCCCCTTCCACGCTACAATCCCATCTCATTTGCGCTCTTAAAAAACACGGAAAAAATCATAATAACACACAATATGAACTTAACAATCCTTTTTATTAAGTGGTGATGGTTTTAGCTCTATGTGCAAGGTATATCTTACGTTATGCCCCTCCAGTCCACCGATGATTCGCCAAGCCATGGGTCCGAGCCCTGCGGATGGTACTAGGCGGCAGCGCACTAGATGTACATATGACACCCAAGGAAACGCACATTAGATAGGTCAGATGCCATTCAACTTTGTATTAAAAATTTTTTTTGCGACTTTATTAAAAATTGCGACATAACCGGATGCTTTGCGCAGACTTAACAATTGCGACGGTTTCCACCTTTGTAGCTAGGGAGGTATATCGACCTTTAGCGGCATTTATCGTTAAGCTTCCCCAATGCATATAACTAGCTGCTTTGACGTTCTAATCGCAGTGATCATATTAGATAAAATGCTAACGAAGGATTACATATCCTCAAACTTCTGTTTAAAGCAAGCATATTTGTCAGCATGGGAACCTAATTTCATGGTAATGCGCACTTTGTTTCTGTCTTATTGGCATTCTATCAATTTTCTAGAGGCATTACGCTGGCCCACATCTTAGATGGTCGTTACAGATCCTACACATGGATATCAACAGAAATATGTGCTGAAAACACACTATGTAACGGCTTTATGCCGCGTTTATACTCGAATAGTAAAAACAGCATGCTGCCAAAGAACTACATATGCACGGTTCCCCAGCATTATGCGATTATCAGTCTATTCTTATGCCAGCCAATGTGACTCCAGGTAAGATTAACTAAGACTGCTGGATTCCGCAGTAACCAGCTCCTCGCCTAATGATGCTGGATTGGGTAGTGTCACATCACTGGACAAGCCCTCACACGGCCCTTCAACGACCTGTGCCGGTGCCGTGCGACGTTCCGCCAGTTGATAGGTATCTAAATCTCGCTTGAGGACGATCTCTATCCGCGGAAACTGCGAAATCGTTAAGACTGGATAGGCAGGGCCAGATGATGTACCATAAACGAGAAACCCACCTCAAGTATCTTTGTTTTCTCAAGGTTCTGGCGCACAGTGCATTCTAAATCACACATAAAATGCCGAGGACTTGTATTGGGGCTGTCCATATCACGCAAAAGGGCCACTACATTTGACGGCACAAAATACTCCCGTAGTGCCTCCGAATGTTCGCTCTTATCCGATAGACGGGATAGCACACGTTCTAAAGCCCTAGAGAGTTTAACTCGTTCATTCACCCTGCGATATGCTTAGACTTATGAAAGGGATCCCACCTCCTCTCGAAGAGCACCATGTCCACTTGAGGGAAGTACCATTCAACGGTCCAGTAAACGTTGTTTTTGCGGACACTTGTATAGTTTTTTATACGTCGTGTTAGGATTGGCGGACATAAAAGCAGTTCCATGCCACGCTCGGCACAACACTTGCGGAGCACCGTTGTCTTCACCCTATGCATATCTGCCCAGCCTAGAATAAAACCTACCGTCTAGCTGCAGTAGTACTCGCCTCCAGCTGACGCTGTACAAAAGCTCGTGATGTTGATTCAATCACGCGAGAAACCTCGTCGAGCAGTGCCACATCTTTAGAGAGAGTCTCAGCTGTCATGTCTGATACGGGTATGTATGAGATATGCTTCCTCCCGCTGCAGCCATGCTGTTCCTTATGTTTAGCTACACAACGAACGCTACAGGTCTGCCTGAGACACGTAGGGCAGCGGTATTTAGCATCTTCCCCGCAGAGACAGCAGTTGCCCTGGGTTGCTGGCTCCATGGCGACTCCGCGAATGGCTCTGTCGACAATTCTAGCCCTTTAAACCGCCTCCTAAAGGTGTGTAACTTTCTTATAAGTCATTATAACAGAAGAAGATGATTTATAATCCGCTAAATTTGTCTAGTTGACAGCCGAGCTTTGGCTTGGTGAAGAAAACCACTCGGGGTATTTTCCTCGCAGAAGATTCTTTGTCTACCTGCACAATAGAACTCGTCTAGCTAAGGTGAAGACAGTGAAAAGACAATGGCACTGCGTACTGCTAATTATGATGCGATCAATCACTGGGAATATCGTCTGCGCTACTCGCGGGCATTCGCAACCGAGGGCGAACTTCATTCGACACGATACTGCGATGACAGATATGAATACAAGTAGGTTCCTGTGTTCCACACGAAACAGTTGTTCAGACACGTGACACTTACAAAAGAGGTTTGTGAACAGGAAGAAAAATTAATCCGCAGCAGCAGTACATAGTCTACCGGCAAGCTTTAGAACGGAGCAAGGGCAGGCTTCTACATGAGGATTTTATCGTCACCACACTACGGATTAGACAAACACCCGGATGGGAACACTATTACGTCTATCCGTGAGTTGACCAGCCACCTAGAGCTCTACTAATGCTCAGGCCCAATCCCCAGGTACTCTGCTTGAGACGACCAAAGAAACGCAATCCATTGGGGACTATAGATCTGTTTGACGGCGGTGCAAGCCTCAGAAACAGTTATATGCCACAGGGTCTCCCTGGATGGCCGTCATTAGTTGCCGAGGAAAACCACCGAAGAACTAATGAAGAGTTACACATCACAGAAGTGTTAGCACATTCATACAATAACCATACCAGATAAATATAATATTGGCATCTCTCAGCGACCACATAACACTGTCCATGCCCGCACAGCTAACCACATGGTATATACAGAACCATCAACATTAAGCAAGAGCAAAGTGATCAGCGAACCAGGCACGCTCCTCTTCCAAAACACGTTGCGAAAGGACATGTGCTATGGCGGTGCTAGCAAGACGAAGTTGCACGTTTGGTCCAGCAGCCTCGGCAATGGGCATATTTGATACCGACTCCAAGATCTCGTTTGCCAACAAACTACGCACAATAGCATCAAATTGTTCTGCATCAAACCCCTGTGGATTGCTTCCCAAAAGATCCTGACGCACAAAAGGTGGCCGTAACACGCAAGCAACTTTGGCCACAAATAGCTCGTCAGGCTGTAGACGGTCCACAATGCTCATCGCGAATGATAAAATCTCGTCAATCAAACCTTGTTTAGTCAAGTTTAATCCCGTTAAACGCTTGCGATTACGTACTGGTTCCTCGAAGCTAACACCAAGCTCACGCATTTGTTCCAGAGTACCAAAACCACTCCTGTGTCTACGGGGAATGCGGAAAAACTCTAGTATCTCCTTTCGGCGCATAGCACAGCTTTTGAATAAAGTATTTTGCTCCTCTTCATCTGAAGAAACCGAAGAGACAGATTCCTCAATCTCGTTTAACACGATGGCACCGGACTCCACAAGATTCTCAAGTGTCATATAAGCAAATCTGGCCATACCGGATGTATTCTGATATACATGGTCGACCAACTCGGCAGGTGCAGCATCAGTGTTCTCCAATTCGAGCGCGTGGGCGACGAAGTCAGCCAGCTGTGCTTGCGTAAGTTTTGAAAGCTTTACTAGCGCATTGCATTCATTCGCGAACTCCACAAGCTCGTCATGCCAACGTATGAAAACGTGTTGAGGAAGTGAGATCACGATGAAAAGTATAGGTTTGGAATTGGTTGTACCTGCCATATGCTCTCGCCTACGTTCCATGGCCAGACGCGCCAACTGGCACACCGTCTCCCATGAGTCGTCCTCCATGGTGGCATAAACAGAACTACCCATGCGGAGGTTCAAAACCACACAAATGCTTTCTCTCATCGAGAATCCATCAACCATTGATGACACGAACGGTGCAATTGGTTCCTGCATAATCCTTTGGTCCAGCAATGTGGTGTCGCATACATCATCGTCCTCACTCTCGGCACTGTCCACGTCAAGATCATGTTCAGAACCTGAATTGGACTCTACATCTGCATCTTTGGTTTCAACTGTCCAGCTCTGGAGCAGTCCCATGATACCCGGGTTTGTTTGTGGAGGTGGTATTACCCTCTGGCCCAAAAGTTTTTGTAGTGGCTCTACTTCCAGACCCAGTACTAACGGTTTTATTGACCCCAAACGCCAGTGAAGTGCGGGGTCCAACATCTCTTTGACAATGTCTGACACCGCCTTCTTTGAGACTCCATGTTCAGATTGCACGTATCGGTATTTGGAGTGATACGCTCCCATCATCGCTTTCCGTGAGGCGCTGGATGCCCATGTTGATACCAGCGAATTGCACAGATTCCTCCATGCAAAATGTAAATCAGAAGCAATAGAGATGGCGGATGAATCGTCTTTCATGGTGCTTAGGGAGAAACAATTTGCATATCCTTGTTTCTTAACCAAACGCGTGATGGAGGATTGCATCTCCACGGTACCGCAGCCGTTATGACCGTTTATCAGCATGACACCGCCATGCTCCAGCATGGAGCTGCCGAATAACCTGTCCTTCACATCGTTGTATGCATCCCATCGTCTCCAAGTCTCGAGTGGTGTCAAGCTCTGCAGAACTTGTGGGTCCAGTCTTCGCACCTTACCAGTGGGAGTAAACACTTTCACCCACTGCTCCTTTCCCTTCAGCTTCACCGATTCCAAATCGATGAATTCTAAAATGCTGCCGGCGGCACGCGCAGTTGCCTCATCGACGATGATGCGGTGTTGCTCCGATTTAGCTGCCATGGCCATGAGTCGAGCAGAGAGATTGACGTAGTCACCCAGACAGGTATACTCACGCCTAGTGTCGTTTCCCAGTGTACCACACCATACGGAACCTGTGGTTATTCCTATACCATGGTGCAATCCTAACTTAGCGCAATCATTGGCGACTTTTAAACCAACGAACACTGACCGAACTGGGTCGTCTGTGTGATACACTGGCGGGAAACCGATGAAAATTAAAAGCACCACGCCCTTGTCGTCTACCAAAAACTTATTGACACTTCCTTCAAGGGCATATGCAGCACGTTGGCATATTTTCATCAGTTGATGCGCTGTATCTCGCCCCGCTGTTGTCGCCACATCTAGACCCGGCACAGATATGAAAACGGTAGAGAGTCGCCTCATCTCGTTGTTGAAAACGCTGTAACCTGAAAGTAATCTCGAAAATATGTAGCTAGGCATATAGTGTTGGAATTCGGTGATCGCTTCCATTGGGAAATCGAATGTTTCATCTACTATGGCGCCAGGCAACACATCTACCTCTTCAGCGAAGTTACGGAAGACGAAATAATCTTCATGACCCTCAATTTTATCAACCTCAAGGTGATTACTCATTACTTCGTATACTGATCGTGACATCACGGTTTGCCCAGTAGACGCCAATGGCTCTGCCACAGCTATTTCCTCTAATGGCTTGCCTGCAATCACGAAATCCCAACGCTCCATCAATCCACCCACATGTATGACGCAAATCTTGCCGAAACCCATGCCTATATGCATCGACAACGTTTTCCCTTCAATGTTGGTTGGGAATTCGTGAAGTGTCTTGTGCAGCTCCTCGCAGCACTTAAGTGCCAACGCGCATTGTTTCCAGACAGCCTCAATACTCGGTTCCTGCAATTCTTTTGATCCACTGAAGCTACTGTTATCTGTGTTAGCATCGGAATCTGACGACTCTGTTGAGTCCGCAGCGCCGGCCGTATCTGTTACAATCCACGCTACCAGAACAGCGTCACCCGCGAACTTCATGATATCACCACCCCAGCGATTAATGATACAGATCAGAGGATCGAAGAAACTGTTCAGAGAGCGCCCGAGCGTAGCTGCGGCCTCCGGATCACCGGAACGTTCTATCGCCTCAGCCAGTGCCGTAAAACCACTGACATCGCAGAACACAGTAACCGCATAGCAGTCGTCTATGCTGCGAGTTGCCGATTTAGGTCCGCCCAAACGCTCATAAATGAAGCGCCTAATGAGTTTGGGAACATAGCTGGTATACTGTGAAGGTGCCGTAGCTGTGGATGCGTTGACCTTAATGGCGTCATAGCGTTCGGCAATTTCTTTTTTATAGAAGCACAACTGTTCGTTTAATCGCCGTTCACATCTTATGCTAAGCCATTGCCACTCCTCTCGCATCTGTTCTTCCTCACGGATCGCGTCAGCTATATCAATGAAGTCTGGGTCTTCCGCTGGGTCTGTCTCACCCTTCCCGCGAGTGGCGCAACAGATAACGGCGGATTGGAGAATGGACACCGTTTGATCAACCACAGACATGGTTAACCAGGTTGGATGGAAAGCAGTTTAATTCGCCATTCACAGGCAACACTGTGAGCTTACGTTGTTGAATCAAGCTTGGCAATAAGCCGCGTGCATAGTAAGGGCAAACGCCTGGTATAGAGGAATATAATCCATCCAACTAAACACCGGTATAACGCGCAATCGTCAACACCTACGAGAGCTCATAGGCCGGAATGAGAAGGCGCACTGCGCGATGGGAGTTACATTAGGATTTAATTTTAAATCCAGATTTAAAATAAAAATTGAAACCATAAAATTAAAATGGTGATTCTTTATTAAAACCGCTACGGACCTTCCCATTACGGTTCGTGGTGGCATACGCCAGCGATGCTACTCGTCTAAGAAACGGTTAAGTTGGGCCATTGCAGCCTTTAGAGGCTGTATATGCTTCACTTTTCCTTGAGATGTGTCCAGCACGTCCAAGAGATTTTGTAAAGAATCCTTTACCTTCTGTAGTTCTGTCTTGCACCTAGGCGCTAACGCACTAGGCCGAATTACAGAAGAAAGCAAACGTCCGATACTTTTTGCCAACGTGGGTGAGATGCCTTTAGCCTTTAATGGGCGCTTGCCAGCTTTGTTGGTCTCATTTGACGCTGTCGCTGTTTCCGACTTTGTTCGCGTGGCAGACAATAAATCAGGCAGCGACTTCAGCGTACTCGTCAACAGGTTGTCAGTCACAAAAGACAATGCTTTGCTTTTTTCGGGCATCATTTTCCCGAGTGGCCCTGCATCAGACGCAATAAGTTCCAAAAACTTACCGCATTTACGCCGGCACAACCTTGTTGGTTTCATCTCCTTTTCCTTAGCGATAGCCGTCACCGCACTAGCACACACAGAAAGCAACTCCGACTGAACGAACTCAACCTTAGACTCAAGTGCAAGCTTCACCAGGTTCATGCGTGCGAAAGCTGAAGGATAACGCTGCGACAACTGCACGAAAAAGTTCGTTCCCATACGTGAATTCTTGCACATAGAAACTGACAATAGCGACACTAAAAGAACCATCATAGTTTGGACTGCAGCTCTGCCTCGGTTGATCGTTAATTCGGTCTGCATTGCAAACACAAAAACGGCAACTGCCTGAGGTCGGCAATATTTGGCAGCCTTCTCCAGCCTCTGACCATGGAGAGCTTGCAGCGTCAAATCCAGTAATGAACGAAGCATGGCATCAGAATCAGTTATATCTGCATCAACTTTACACTCTGAAGGCAGCACCTTGGTGTCATCTGGAATGATACTGTTGCGAAGTGGTTGCCTGGTAACGTGCCGCAGGGCCTCGGTAAAGACCTTTCTTATCTTGGAAACGTACTCTCCTAGCACAGAATAAACTGCACCACCCACACGTTTCCCTATATGGATATCAACAGATTTCTGGTAAGACGAATGGAGCCGAACAAGCATCTGTAGGTACCACGGGTCTAAAATGCAATCGGAAATGCACGATTGTAGTAGGTCAAGATTCCTCATCATCAATTTTAATGAATCAGAGGTAAGTTCAAACAAAGAACGATGTTTAAGTCGTTCCATACGAAGCGCTTCCAAGTTACCTTCTTCGTCCTTCAACAATTCGTCTAGTGCTGCATTGCCAGACAACTCGACGTCAGATTCTTCATCAGATTGATCCGTCACCGTACTGTGCTTCGCACGTTTCGTAGAAGGGGTAGTACTTGATTCATCCGAATCCCCAGAGGAATCAATCTCTTCCTCATTCGAATATTCGCCCTCGCTATCGTCGTGGTTTTGCTCAGCATCGCTTTCCAGACCAGCAACTTCTTCGTCATCTTCCAACCCAGGTTCTGATGTGTCTGAAGCATCCGAGTTATGGTCAACTGAAATGTCATTATCTGATTCAGATGCAGAGCTGCTTTCATCGTCTTCTGGATCAGATTCTGACTCTTCGATGTCGAATTCAGAATTGTCATACGATTCATTATGGATCAAAGAGTTATTTAGTAATATTTCCCGCACATCTTCAGTGATCATTCGACGTGACATGTTCCAAAGCCCCTTGGTTATGGAGTGCACTACGCCGAATGCTGCTGAGTTATCATCGCTAAGGATAGTATCCAAAAGCGAATCTGATAGCATGGAACCCAAAACAGAATCCGAAGAAACATTACTTGAGGCAATAGCTTCCGTAAAAGATTCGGCAAACGAGGCAATGATCTCCAGCTTTTCCTCAGAAATCAACGATTTCGCCTCTGTAGATGAAACAGTGCCAAGAGAAAGCCTTGTAAGATGTTCAATGTGCCATTCTAGCAGTGATAGAAGGAGTGCAGTAGCGGAGCCATACAGCGATATCAGATGCATATTCTCGTCTTCAAAACCACTTTTTCGCAATTTCATAATGCAACGCATCAATTTCTGCGAAATAGCCGCCACTGACACTTTACTGTTCCCTTCGGTCGCTGTTGTTTCATGCGACTTAGAATCTTTCATCTCTACTAATGGCAGTGCACCGTTTAACCCCGGTTTAATGCGCACAGTGCGTTTGTTGGCGACTTCTTTCAATAAGTCATAAACCGATGTTACAACGCCGGTCAAAGTGGGCACTTCACTGTATCTCAAACTGTCAGGACGGTTATCTTCGTGCTTATCATGCGACAATGTTTGCAAAGTCTTCGATAAGGAAGCCAAAGAAGAGGTTAACATGTGCTTAGAAAGCCAAGGGAGGTTGCTTCCAGTTCCATCCTCAGGGTTAGTAGTAGCAGGGGCATCCGGTGAATGATGTTCCGAGGTTATCGATTTTATAGACCTGTTAGAGACTAGCAAAATTCTGAGTTCCTCTTTGTCGTGCTTTAAACGGCCCAAAGTAACCGTAATGTTTCCCTTATCGTCATTTGCATCCGATATACATAGTAAATTCATCGTAACAAACCTCTTCAACAGATCTATCCGTATATCTTTGGGTGCAACTGCTACAGAGAGCTGAAGCATGCTCAACAACCAACAGAACACTTTTTTGTTTGAAGAAATATCTATATCCACTACCATCGACTCCAACTGACTATAGGTTGCTGCCAGATTAGCGCTGTTGCGCAGCAATGCTCGGAATAAGTTCTGGAATACTGTGAGAGAGACAGCAGAATATCCAACCGCACTAGCGACGGAATGGAGACAATCTGCCACAATGTGTTCTGGTAGAGGGATTTTGCAAGACCCTTGTGAAGAGACACCCTTATCGTTTGCTCCTTCGTCCATCTTCACATGGGCCCGCGGGTCGTTCTCGCTGAACGCCCGGTGCATGTTGGCGTGAATTATGAAGTCATTTACTACGGGGTTTACCGGGTTCCCAATATCTTCCAAAGTTGCACTCGTCTCAGTACCCTGGCATATGTTCACCAAGAGCTGCATCACGCAATCAGCGATATGTTTCATGGGATCGCCCTTAGGGCCGTTGTGATAGCGGCACAGAAGTCTAAATAAGTTATCTCCCGACATAAATAGCAATTTTAACAACATAGGGGAATGTCTGACCTTCATAAGTAGCATCGCTGTGAGCCTAAGGCCGCTGAAGGCCCTTTGTGGACTGCTACCACCTTTAAGATCCAGCATGGTGAGGTTAATGGAACGCCAGAGCTGCTGCAACCTGTCCTTAACATAATCACTGCCCAAAATGCTGTCCACAAGAACATCAAAAAATGACCCGATAACTGGATGGTTGCTCGGTACGCACGAGACATAACGCAACACCAGAGAAAAGTATTCCTCGTCCAGCGGCGATCTCTCAAGCACCGTCCCAGTCAGCAGCTTCTTATCGACGTCTGCAATATCGTTGTGAAGTCTCAGGTAGAGTCCAAACAGAGCACATGGTAGTACTCCAGCAAGGTTTTTCCCAATTTGTGTATTTTTAGGATCATGACCCTGCCGATTACCGGTGGAATTTTTATCCTTTGCGCCGATGAACGTCGCCTCAACAAAACTTCGATCAAGTACAACAGAAAGCCTGTTTCTAATGTGCAGTAATGTCAAACCGACATCTTTAGTGAGTCTGCTCAGCATGAGATGATGTGCGCTCTTAACATACCTAAACAGATCCCGGGATATCAGCCACGAGAGTACACATGCGGCATCCTGAAAGTATATCTTGCTGTCATATGCTTCCCATATACTTTTGAAGACTTTTTCTAACGTTTCCGTTGCTATCGGTCTGCGGAAAACCCCGCTTTTGTGAAGGATGAAGAGAGCATACAGTCGTCCACAAAGTATATCTGTTATATTATGCCGATAGGTAACCGAGACTAACCTTTGGCTTCCGAGGGAGCACTATCTTTGAGTGTTGTGTATGCTAGCGCTGCCTGTAGCAAAACATCCTTCTTGACGTTCTCACCGTAGAGTGACAAAACAGAAAGCAGCGCAATTGTAAAACCGGTACGGGAGCACTTACGATCTGCTTTGAGCCCTCTCAGCAGTCGATCTATAGTGTATTGCAAAAGGTTATGGCCATCTGCAGTAAACCTGAATTGGTAGCTGCGTTGTGCCGAAAGCGGATTCTTATACTTATCGTTCGAAGCACCCTTTGCAACTCCGCTGTTCTTAGATGTATCTACTTTATCTTCGGACACGCTTGAAGGCAGCGCTAGAGTTGTGAGAAGCCGGTCTACGGCCTGCTTCCGACGCAGAGCGTCAGAGTCCGCCAGTTGGTCAAAACATTGAAGGAAGTCTTTACTGTTAAAGGATTCCATGGTGTGCGATAATACAAATTTTTTGTGTGTAGCTGTATAGTGTAATATGGGCACAAATTGCCATGCCACATTTGTGGATTCCACGCAGCCACTGCCGACCCCGGGAGAATGACGTAAAAAGACCAGGACAAGTCTATTCGTCACACATCCACTTAAACATGAGTTAATTCATTTAAAGGTTTCATCACTTTGGGGAAATACGAGGAAGGATGGATGCACATAATAGTAGCTTCTTGAAACCTCGTTGCCTGTCTAAGGCACTTGCCCTAGCTTGCTTCATCAAAGGTACATTCTGCATATATATGACGTTGGTATCATGGCACTCGAAGATGGAGCGACCTTGGGTACAGCAGAGTTTAACACGCTTCGCCCCCGACGTGTACCCAGTAGGAACATCAACAACGGCGCAAGACGAAAAGACATACACAGTAACTGAGAGGCTTGCGTACAAAGTGAACTCAGAACTGCCTTATTCAGATCTTATGGCCCTACTGGATGACCAAAATCCTGACGGGAGTCTTAACGAACATTTCTACGGGGGCATGCAATTCAAGCTCTGGAAACAGCTACTACCTTTTCTCAGCTGGGACGGAGAGCGTATGCTAAAGATAGCTATTGATGAATTAGTATATGGTAGTGAAGACTCAGCAGCGTTCATGCCCTTGCTCCCATATTTGGTAAACGTCGGTGGCAAGACTCTCAGATTCCTACATCTCAAACTTGCCTCGCGATGGGGAATCGATCCTGAATCAGTTAAAGCGCCAAAAACTCTATACATGGCGTTAGCAGGCGTGATAATAGCAAACCTGGCTGGAATAGTGGCCGCGGGTGTGTTGTACCTGCTAGTGTGGGAGGTAATGTATAGGCGAATGCTCCTGGCCACGAATGGAAGCAACATACCGTCGTCTATGACCGATGAGAAGACACCTACGTCTCTGACTCCACAATATACCGAGAAAATAGCATACTTTGCGGTATTGTTCTTTTGTCTAGGGCCTGCCACGGTCCATTGTACCAGCATATATACGGAGAACATATTCTGTATGTGCACCTTCGGCGGTCTGCTGCTGCTTTTCTTCGCTGAAGACAACCGGAAAATCGCAAGGCATTGCGATTCATATGATAACAAGGCCCTTGTGAAGGCATATATATGCGAGGTCGCTGCTGTCGCACTATTTTTCCTTGGCGCAACGTCGCGTTCTAATGGAGTGCTATTGTTGATACCGCTGTTTTTCTACACACTGAGGACCTGCAGTCTTTTCAGCAAATGGAACCTGCACTATGCTTACGATTTGAAGCGCCTATGCCCCAAAGGAAAGGTGGTTTGTTATCGCTTCTCATATATGGCTATCGCCAGATTCCTTTTTCATTGGTTACGGTCCTTAGTGTATGCTGTAACGCTCCTGGCTCCTATGGTTATATTTCAGTTATATCTTTACTGCCTTTACTGTCTGAAGCTCACGTCAGAGCAATTGCAGTTAATAGCGAGATTTCCGGCGTTCGTTCGCGTGATCACCACACCCAGTGGTGTCAAGGAATTGGTATCCATCCTAAAGGCAGTAAAGCTAAACTCGAGACCATGGTGTGCCGCCATCCCACCTCAGCCATATGCCTTCGTACAGAAACAGTACTGGGATGTTGGGTTTCTCTGGGTCTTAAGGCAACCCCTTCGTCTTCATGTATTTCTATACTGTTGGACATCATATCTGGTGACGTACTACGCCATTAAATGGTACGCCACCTTTATTAACAAAATGTACAAGAACCTTACACAATCAGTCAGAAAAGAGGGAGTGGGAATTGGTAAGTTATTTAGTTAGTGACTGTTTTAGTGCAACTAGTTCATTGTAAGCGTATTACTTGTTTGGCATATTCACAATACAACAGAGCTGCGGTTATTAAAACCAATAATCACCGTATTATCACATCCAGAACTGGGATTACACCTTCATATGGCAGTGACCACGCTTACCTTTCTATTATTCGCCCATACTCACGTTTACATGAGACAAGCCCTCCCTTTAGTCCCATATACGCTGAACTTCGCTGTTCTCGCAGAACCTTTGTGCAAAGTTGAAGGCTTTTCCTGGAGGTCACAACGCGTGATAAGTTCGAGACACAAAATAGTACTGGCCACGATACTGGGAAACGTGGCACTTTGTTACTTCGGTGGTGCGTTGTTCGCCAATTTTATTGGCTTCACGTGATGGCTGATGCACAAAGAGCCAATAACTTTACTATTGTGGAGCAGGGGTTTCTATGGAAATCACATAGGAATGCTGCAAAATAATTGTATGATATCGTGGTTTGTTTTGTGCTTATATTAGATTTCAGTCTCATTAAACACCATTTATTGAAGTGCATATCCCATTTGCCAGTGTAACATACATAAATATGTGGCAATAGACCTGTGGGCAGTGTCTGCTCCTGTTTTTAAGTTATTTTGTTTAGTTTTTTGCCAATCTCACTTACCAGTGGACGGTATACCCATTGATTTAAATTCCTTACGTTACGAGTCCAGGGTAGTAGCGGTACCGGTCTAAGCAAACTTTTTTCTGAACCCAGGAGAAATATAAATGCTTGCAGTGTTTTTTCCCTCTGTGTTGTAACAACTGCATAGAACCAGAGATAATGGTTTTCTGCCTTCCCTTATGAACTGACCTCGCGAAAAAATCCATAGAGACCGAAGCTCGCCAACGCTAGCAAGTTTTTCGAAAAAATTGATGTCGACCTTCGGTTTAAAAATCTTTTGGAATCGTTTAGAGCGATCATAACACCGTATCATAATGTGATAGGGGTTGCTGTTCACATTGCTCTTAGCTTTGGACGGTGCCCACTGACTCTGGTTCCCGCTGAGGAAGTGCTCCGGAACAGGGGATGGGCAGAAAAATCCCACTGTTCGCTTCCCATCGAGTGTAAAACTGCAGCGAGTTTCAGTGTTCCTCTTTCCTTCATTATTGAGAAATATTTCAGGTTTAGTGCCACAACCATATAAACGGCGGTGCTGAAAGAATGGATCTACGGCGACTACAGCATAAGAATGCTTTTTTAAATCGTAATCCTTTCTTGCGCATATGAAATAGATAGGTCTCTTGTATGTAGCCCATATGGCGTTGTCTGTGTCGAATACGAACTCGAGGTCGATGCCATCCTTGGCCTCAGGTGACTTGTATATGCTGACGCCATAAGTGGCAAATTCTTCTTGAAATTGGGAAATAGGAATGTCGTGTGGATCTTTTACTGTGTCTTCAACATTCGCGAAGAACGTGTTTTTTCCTTCCGGATATAAAACAAATTCTGTCTTACCGGGATCCTTGAATAGCTTGTTGCACCTTATATAGAGCACGTTTGTACCTCTACGCACAAATGAAATGAACTTGCCCTTCTCTGGTACATTTCCGTCTATTAAATGTTCGGAACGGATGTCTTGCGAACCATCAGTTTTCCCATGAAGCGAAACGTCAGCCATATAAACTCTGATTATTTTATCATACTGCATTCCGTCCACAAAATCACCTTTAAGCCAAACATAGTATCTGGGATTGTGGCTTATGGAAGTGAAACTAAATAAAAATCCTCCATCTCCCGTGTGACTAGGCGCTGTGGCAACTTTAACGAGCTGCGCTTTGGGAGGTTTCGTCATCTTGAATATATTACTATCCCATTTATTTTCTGGTTCTGTAATCTTTTCAAGTATCATTGTAGGATCGTTCCATGGTAACACATCTATGTGAGGATCGTCTTTTCGAGCACCCCTCACGGTAACAGACTCATCCGAGGAGACAAACACCGTACACGTTTTACCGTCCGCATCAAGGTAATCTATATTAGTGAAGTCACAAACAGCAACAAATTTTATATTGTATTTCATACTATATGTACCTGCAGATTGCTTAACGATAAATGAAGCAGCATGAGATCGATATGTATAATATAGGCTGACGTCTATTGCAGAGTATTTCTCGGCCTTCCGTGTTGCATTTACATTGAAAGCAAAATCCTTTACACGAGTTGGAGTGTTTGAATTTAGTATCAACGCTTCTGGGAAGTCTGGAGGCTCTATGTCTTTCGCATTTTCAGGATGATAGAAATGTATCATATGGTTTTCGGGGTTTATCGACTGCTCACTAGTCTCGTCCATATTTTTAGCAAGAGACCCCGCATCAACCATTGTATTTGAATGTAGTATCTCGCATATGAGATACAAAAGATATTTGCCTCTGTTTCTACAAACTTCCGACCCCTCATGAGACGAAGCCGAGCATTCGAAATCTTGGGCGAAATCCATAACTATTGTGACACCTACCTCAGATACGCCCTCCATTGTGATGCTGCTTTGACGATGATCCATACCATAATTCCCACTAAGGGCAAAATCGTGGCATGTGACGGACAAGCTTGTACCCGGTCTAGGATACTTTACATATACTGCATAAATTCCATCGGGTGAATATTTTGTCGTGGTAAAATCAAGGTTTTCTTCTGCTTTTATAGTATGATATGTAGGCATCACATTTATCTGCACTGAGGCCGTGTGGACTCTTTTCCCACCTGAATTGTCAATGCAATCGAAATAAAGTCTCTCTATGCCGTAGTTATATGGTTCTCCGACGAACGAGAATTGCCATTCCGGGGTACCATCAATTTTGGTTACATCGAGCATCTCCACAACATCACTTATCTTTCTTTTCAACCTGTGCTTGGGGTAAGATCCGTCATCATCGGTGCTTGCCGCACTTTGGAATGCATTGGTATGGTAAAACATCATTTCATCCAGAGGATCCAAGTATGAATCTTCTGTTAGATATGGGCAGCCCACCGATACAGTTTCATTTTCATATAAATCAATATCGAAGTAGATGTGCTTTTCGTGAACCTCCAGAGGAACACTATCCAACCAGTACCCGAGAGAGATACTCCCGGTTCGCTTTGAGACTTTGGCACCTTTTTCAGCATGTGAATGACATCTTGTTACCTTGTTAACGTATAAAAGAAGGGATAGTAGTACCACAGATATTAACATGTTGGTAGTGATTCCCTGTCCTGTTGCCATTAAATTCACCGTGGTGAACGAGTGGTTCATCTATGTAATAAAAGTTTCGCTTACATGGCAGTTATATGCGGAACAAATGCTCTTGTGACTAACATTACGACTAGAGTAAGCAGCTATCTCGTAAGTCTAAAGTTTGGTGTTACACATTAGTTTTAATAAGGCGTGATCACAAGTGCTTAAAAGGTCCAATATCCAAAACCTTGTGTATCGCAGCTGTTGGACGTATGCGTTCAGTTGAACGAATTTGTTGTCGCATTATTGGTAGATACTGCGTGACCGTACCCGTATGTCCGCGGATCTGAAGTGTATTTCACTATCAAACCATCTCGAATGACGTTACACATTACTTGGAACGTGGAATAAATAGCGATATATACCTAATGCTCGACCCTTGCGATACAGAAGCTTGATTCGCTGCACATTATTTTATAAGCGCCTTCCAGAATAACTGTTAACTCACGTCCACTATAACACACATTTACAAAACTGCGAATAATTTTGAGGAAACGATTAGTTTTTATCGGCGAAACCCAATGTGTGGGCTACATTGTTCTTCCTGCTGTTCCAGCAACTGTTATTCGGATGCTGTGGTCCGGTAGCTAAAGAATCGCGATTACACACATAATATGGCGTGATACATATGCCTCTATCGTAGCCTAAATGGTATAAAATATTTACTTCTTTATGAAAAAAACTCTCCATTGGGTGTCTTTGATACGATGTTGTAGGGCCTACGAACGCACGCTATGTAATTGATACAGATGAATTGATGGATCCATCGGCAGAAAAGTTGACGTATTAAACATCCTACTACAACAGAGAATCCTTCGACCCTTTAAGCTCTCTCCATTCTGACTTAGGTCAACACCTGACGGCATTGGAGATCGGCACGGGCATTCAATAAAACCCACACATTCCTAACCTAGGCATAGGAAACCTTTAGAATGCTTTTTATAATGTTTTCTTTAAATGCACTTCGAATGTGTATGTCCGTAAAATGCGCAGCACGCTCAAACAGGCTGCAAGAAAATTCTGCCGCCATTCGAACTTTACACGCAACTTCTATATAATTCGCGACCACTAATGAACTATGGAAGGAGTGTGTGATAGGTGTGTGTCACTTCTGAAACTACAGGGCACGGTAGCCGCAGCGTCGTTCGCTGTCTGTCTATATACGTGCTGCAAAGCCAAACGTCTTCTTGATGATGCAGAACTACTGCTGGACGTTTCTAAACGTATAAGACATAAAAGGAATTCGATTAGAGATTGCGTGAGGAAACACGATCTGGCGTTAAATAAAGTTAAGCTTCCCAGCCCTAATCTAGAAGATGCGGTGGGCATAATTCTAGCATGTTTATATATACCTCAGGATGGCGGCAACGAAGCCTATACTTCCGCACTAATCGAGAAGCTCCTGGTAATATGTGACGGTGTGACTAGCTCGGAGCTTGGGGATGAGATTGCGAAGCAGGCGGACACAGAAGCTATTAACAGCGAACAGTGTACATCCGCATTGGCGTACGAATTAGGCAAGTCCTCATATATTTATCATTAATTTCAACAGCGGGTATTTGGGGATCTGATAAGGTGCAACAGGGTGATGCTACCACGCTCATATCGGCGCTAGGAAAGATTGCAAGTTTACGGTTTGTTTTCATATACGCTACTTCCACGGTGCAGGTATATAGAGACACTTGTGCTTCTTTGTTCCATTGATCCTGTTGTCCTCAAGGCGTTCGACCCTATGATCGTGTTATCCGTGGTGTGTCTAATGCTCGCCGACAGAGAAGGAACCTCCACCGTGGATTTGCGCACTCTATTCGAGGTAAGCCAAATCAATTCATATAAATGTGTCGTGCAAATGAAGCATACAAACGTTGTGTAAGCAAATGTAAGAACTCATCGACAGCTATACGCGTGACAACGCAATGCTGTCCGAATCATGTGTACAACCAATGACTCATCGCACATATGATGTATACTATGATTCGCATCAGGATTACAAGATCAACGTTCCAACTGCGCTGGGAGTAGCAATCGCTTTGAAATGTTCTGTTGATCACACCCGTATGGGTAGGGACGAGGTAACTCAAGCATTAAACGCCATTAAAGCGGCCGTAAAAAGGCGCTCATCTAGAATAAGGAAGACAGCAAAGTAATGAGAAGTCGTGGAACCACCTGGATGAAACCTTCCGCTACACACAGTTCCTGGAAAGAGTTACACAATAGACATCTGTATCAGTAGATAGCTCTTTCTACTTGAACTGACAAATCAGATTTTAAAATTAGTCAAATGTGTGATCTTTTCATGACGTCCTTTACACATCTTAAGTGTCGTTTAGAGCGTGAAGTGGGGTGTGCCTGGCTAGCAATATTGCGGCACCCCTAGCCCGGCCGCAGTAAAAATGCTAAGATAGTAGTGAAATACAGCCAAAACAATCCTATCTAATGGACAAGATCGAGCCTCTGTCTACCGGCAATGTAACTCTGAACGCCAAGGGCACTTTCGGGGAAGGTAACCCTCTCACAAGAACTTCTTCAATAGCGTGAGTGTTCTAGTTTACAGTTTAAACTCATTTAATATAGCTCGGATGGCAGAGACAATGGTGAAGAGGGATTCGGACGGGCTGGTAGCTTCAGCGCATTATCCGGTGATGCGCCGCTGGCAACCTGGCGTTCCTTCTCAAGGCAAAACACAGGAGATAGTGTTGAGGCCATGAGCAGACAGCTGAAGAGTAATCTCAACAAATTAACTATCGAGAAGTTCGAGACGTTGGCCGAAAAAATCGCAATCCAGTGCGAATCACTGGAGCAATATGACCACCTGCGCATCGCGGTCGATTTGATATTGACCAAAGCCGTTCAAGAGCCTGACTGGTCCGAGATGTACTCCGATCTATGCCAAATCCTCTCGTGGAGATCAAGAGACTACGATGTGTCAGGGAAGCGACTTACATTTGCTTCTGCTCTACTCACAAAGATACAACAGGAGTATGAAGCCACTCCACGAGATCTGGATGCGGTGCGTGCTACATTAGGAGAAGATCAAGAGGCGCGTATGAAACGAATTAAAACACGCATCCTAGGTACTGTAAAAATGATCGGAGAACTGTTTCAGCGCCGCATATTGGGATTCAAAATCGTCAATAAGGTAGTCATGGATTTAGTTATCTCCGCAGACGAGCCACATGAACACCTGATAGAGTGCTTTCTCCAGCTGATTTACAGCACAGGGTACTACATTGACCAGAATCCTAACCTCCGTCCAGTGCTTGATATGTGGTTTGGCCGTCTAAAAGAGCTCATGCTTAAAACCTGCTATTCCAAACGTATTAAATGTGTGATGCAAGATGTCTTAGATTTACCGAAAGCCCAGTGGCGTAAAAAAATACATCGAGACACAGCCAAGGCGTTAAACGATTTGCGTGATCAGGTGCAAACAGAAGACATTTTAGGTGGATCTGCAGTTGCGGCGCAGTTCGGTAATATTGTAGTGGTTGGTGAGCGTCGGAATCTTGGAGCTAAATGCACATATGGTGATTACATGCTACGCCAAGAGGAGATACACAAGTCTAAGAAGGCTGCGAGTACCAGACCTTAATGGCTGCAGTCCTCATCTGATTTTACCCTCGCGGATTGGGTCATGATTTCTCAGCCATCTATTGCAATGCTGGATCTAACCTTGTATGTATGTATGTATATATAATCGAACCCTATGTAGTCCAATCTGCTGAGCAACAACGTATTAATAGATTCTGTGTCTTAGTGTGGAACCTCGGGGTGCGTAAGGTCGCTCCCTTGTGCCGTTGCCTCGGCAAACATAAGGTACCATTCGGGGACACGGCACGCACGGAAGCGATACACACAATATTTTCCATACCATTTGGCTCATGCTAAGTGAAGAGCTATTGTCCCTTAGTTACGCTAAACATCACGTGCCGTAAGCTAATCAACTGCTTTAGAGGAACCGCCTGGGTTACCTACGATCAACTAACGAGCCGAGATTATCAAAAATAATTCTAATCACACAAATTTATATCTGCTGTTGACATTTATAGAATAAAAAGATGAAACATCAATAAGTTGCCGGTTAGCACATTTCATAAGGTGTGTGTCAGCAGAAACCACCATATAGATTTATGACTGGATACAAGAACTCCACGAACTCAAATTATGCTTGTAAAGTGTGTGTGACTATATGCTGAGCCCATTAGTCACACATGTTCTGTCTTCCATACGACGTTGCATCCGCGATGTCGTTCGCACTGGCGACGAAGCACGTTGCATACACAGAAATCGTGTAGATATCGATCGCATACCATCACACATCGCAATATGAGGTGCTATTGGATCTTATTGGCCCTTTTATCGCCAAAATATTCACTCGCAACTCTTCTTCAGTCGGTCTCCTCCACTATCGATACCATATGTAACAATGTGGTATTCTCTATCACATTGTTGAACAAGCAAGAGCTGCTGAAACTGATTAACAAGTCGAGGTGTAATGATTATTGGCTTCTTGGGGAAAATGTGCTTGCTTCATCTCAACGAGGAGAACGTTACTGCTACACGCAGGTGGCTCCAGTCTTGTGTGAGAGCAAATACACACCCATCAAACCACAGCCAAACTGCGAACACATCAAGTCAAAGTTTATGACGATTGTCAATGCTTGCACGCAGGAGGGACCTCTGGAAAGGCGAGACTGCAACTGTGCCGGGCTCAACATGGAGACGCTTACCATCACAGATCCGCTTGTATTCTGCAAACTAGGTTTCGTGTCATCCGATGGTATGTGTCACTGCTGACTCATTAACTCGCTGCAGGTGACGTCCGCGTTTCGTTCAAACACAACGAAGTAGACGATTGCCAAGCTTTGGCGGAAAGCTATAACCACTGCCAAAATATGGGAAATGCCTTCAACCACCCACGGTTCTGTGTGGACGGTGGATTCCAAGGATACTGCAACAGCCGTATACAAAGTATGTTCGTTACGTCAGAACTTAAAGATGCGCAGGAATACATGATGAGACGTACAACGAAATCTGCAGGAACGTAGTGTTGCCATTTGTCTTTTCCGTGATCGATGGTGGATACCAGAACGTCTCTTCCAGTGTTTGTAAGAACTCCAATGAAACGATTGAGACGGACCTTCTAAAGCAGCGTGTATGTTGTTGTATAGCAGTCGTCAACGTAATTTGTAGGATGCCTTGATGAGTAGGAGTCAGGCGCTATTGGACACGTTGGATTCAGAGAGTGGTTATCTGTCATGGGAGCGTGATATGGAGGGGAAATTGCACAGCATAACTTCCAACCTCGAAGAGCTAGTGAACATGTTCAACCTATCGAGCAGATATACCTACAACTTTTTAGGTTTGCCCTACAACTTTGACAACCTAGTGGTATGTTTTGCGATGTTTGGTATCAAGGTTGTTTCAGCGCTCGGATGCCGCGAAAGCGCTAAAGCTCTGTGATGATCTAGTGGCACGTGCCAATGGTTTGCCCACAGCAGTAGAAGACATGACTTCTTTGATTACCAAAATCGATCCGTTGCTGGTGTTGGATAAGAAGATACAAGAAGCTTATATTCACCTGAAGCACTTTTACTCTTTGGTATGTTATTGTCTCGCATCTGTCAATCGTGTTCCAGATTACCTCTGGTGCCCACAGTACAATTCTGGGTAGTCAATACTATCGTCCGTTAAATCGTAATATCTTCTTGAGTGCTCGAAAATCGTTGTCTGAGGTACGTGAGGTGGTATCAAGTCGGCTATCGTCTATTGGTAACTTCCTGGCCTCCCATGTGGGCACTCTCACTGACCCTAATAGGGAACGCCGTGTTCGGGAGTCCGCAAGCGAGTTGAAGTTTTTGGCTAGTTTGCACGAATCACAATTGCAGTGGTTTATGCGTCGTCGGGGCAAGAGATCGGATCGCGCTGTTTCTCGATCCCTCGATTTAGAAAATCTTGCTAAGATCGGTGGCTAGTGCCCAGGCACTGTTTCACGCGTTTTAGTGTGACAAAGTACAGTCGCGATCGTAATGTAACTATATGCAGTCATGTGGCATGCTATACGTATATATAAGGAGGATTACAGAACAATACGGTTTACGTAAAAGTCTAGTGTTAAAAAGAAACTATCTTGAAAATACTGTAGGAAGTGATGGTGCAAGTATCTGAAATGAGCCAGCTGTTATGCGTTTCCAAGGCAGAAATGGGTGAGTTAAAATCTCTACATTACCTGGATTAAAACGTGCCGTACCTGCGATGTACTTGCCAGGGGATACGTCACAAGTGTAAACAACGATTGGTTCGAATACAAATAGCTTTTTACCTTCGCTATTAACAGGTATTTTGTAGTGAAGCTCTAACGTTAGGTTGCCTCCCTTGTATAATATATTTGGTCTGTACTGCCAGGCGGAGTAAGTGACGAATTCTTCTTCCCTCACCAGCCAATTCCATAAATCACCCATGAATCCGCGGTGTTTGATGTGTTTTATATCATAATACTTGCCTAAGAATATCTCAAAGTTATCTGGCAGAATAATTTTGAGGATTCTTTCGGCCTCAGCCTGTACGAACTTGGTATCGTCGATCAGCGATTTTCGAGTGTTGGGGATATTCTTGGCAATTTTCAGAAGCTCTTGCCTCAGCTCAGCAGCTGTATCGCTGCGAAGCTTGCTGTGGATCCTCCAACGCCTCTGAAAGGTCCTTTCTCTTATACCGCTACCTCCCAGCGCCGCCAGTGAATGTGTCTGAATTGGCCCGGGCTTTCGCGATGAAATGTTCAAGCATAGAGCATTACCTAACCAATATAACAGGAATAACGCAAGAAATGGCGTTGTCTTATCCATGGCGCACCGGATAACGCGCCCGTATTGATGCGTGGGACTTACACCGTCAGGAATAATTGTATTATTCTACAAATGGACAGTTTTGGTTTCGGTGTGCTTGGCGGCATTTTTGCCTCTGGCACGGCGAAAGACGAGGAGGCTGAAAGCCGGCAAAAAATCTCGACGAGTTCTGAGGCCTTCGCTGACTACACCCCTCCGGAGATTGGAGGTTTTCAGCCCACTTCGCTTCAGAAAAAGACAAAAAAGGATAATGGATTGGCTGATGTCCTGCTGCCAGTCAAAATATCACAGATACTGCGGAACGTAGGTGACGGCAGCCAGAAGTTCGTGCTCTACAACCAGTCAGTAGGCGCAATTTGTCTAATAGGTCAGGCACGCAGTTTGGAGAAGCTAACATCGGCAGCTCAGTTTCAGCTAGTTGATGAGACGGGGGAAATTGCCGTACATTATGCTGACGAAGGCTTCGAGGCACAGCAGGGTGATAGCGTTCAGGTAGTTGGAACGGTTGTTTTGCTGACCTCCGACAACTTTTACGTTGAAGCTCAGCATGTTTTGTTGTTAGATGATAAAAGTTACAATTATGAGGAGGTGATGTCTCACCACAACGTATCGGTGGCCTACGCTGCGTACTGCCTCGACATCGGAGCGAAACTAAAGCTGCTTAACAAGCACAGCGGCAAGCTTTCTGATCTACCAGGACAGGCGCATGCCTTGACTACCATAGGAGAGATCGAAGAAGTTGAGCTTGGAAAGCTATATGACCACATTACGGATCCTGTAGAGCGTCTTGTGATACAGTATCTTAAGTCACGCCCGGAGAACTTGGCCAAGCGCAGTGATGTCATTGCCTGCCTCTCAACGCAATATGTGGGTGAGTTTTTAGAGATTCGCTATGTGAATAATATACAACGGTAGATTCTGTTATTGATGCTGCAATTGTACGACTAGACAGCGAGGCTGAAATCGCCAGCACAAAAGACCTCCTGTGTCTACCCATCTAGTTGCCGATATCACTGAAATTCACTGCTTTACCCGTAGCGTAAAGCACATCATCTCGCACTACGGTACCCAGATCACGACCACTGCGGCGCGATACCCACTTGCCGTCTTCCCAGGCGAAATAATCGACGCCACGAAACGAACTGTACCATATCTGTTGCGATGCTTCGTGCTTGTTCATTACAATATACTGATTGGGGTCTATCTCGGCCGTCAAAACGGTGCCATCGAACGACACGGAGCTAATGTCGTCGACGTTGTCGAGGGTATCGTGCATTATCTAGAAGTGCGTGAACAGCTGTTGAGAAACCGCATGCAAAGGTTACAACGAATACTACCAACGGCACAGATATATAAGGGAATGAATCCCGACGTGTCGCAGCAATCTGCGTATTACACATCTGGAGGTGACACTTTAGACGCTTTGCGGGAGTGACTTGTGCTGTTGAACTGCAGCGTCCACGATTACAAACATGAATGAGCTCACTTATAGAACACAAATTACCTGTAGCTGTTCCAGAGCTGCCTCGTTGAACTTGTGCAGCTTCATAGACCCGAATAACCGGCGATACAGCCGCAACATTATATCGGAGGAGTGCGGCTCAAGTAGGCTTCGTGGACTCCTTGCGCAATTCTTCCTGCTCTACCATGGCATCGCGCAGCACCTTACGGTATCGCTCCCGCGATCGTTCTCGCCTTTGTCGCAATTCGAGGCTACGCAGGTTCGCCTCAGCCGCTGCCGTATGAATGAACTCCCTCTTAAGGGATCTGTATAGCGCCTTTTCGCGCTTCACAGCAGAATCTTTAGCGAACCGACGGCTGGAAACGGACTCAAAATTCGGGACCTGAAGCTCGACTTTCTGAATATGTGTCAACGTGCGCGTTGATGGTTAATAACTAACCGGTCTTTTGTACACATCAAGCACATTCGGTAGCAATTCAACGCTTGAATATTCTTCAACCAGTGCCTTCAAGCGATCAAGCTTCGGGGATTCAAAGGAGAGATTGGCGATGTTGGGCGATATGATGTGTAGACAGATGGGATAGACATGGCAGCCCCTGCTGGATAGCAATTTTAGGGATGCTATTACCATGTCCAACACTGTATCTACGATTTGGGGTCTCTCTTCTCGCCACGCATTGAGCAGTCGCATGGCCAGCTTGAAGAAGAATGGCATATATAGACCGCTGTCTAATGTCGACGCATAGGCAGTTGCTATCAGTAGACGCACTCGCGCGTGGTCATCCTTCTTCGGATCACAGGCGCACATCAAGTGTTCTAACACTATAAGGCTGCCTCTGTATAGAGCTGTTCCCACTTTGGTCACCTTAATTAAAAGGTACAACACAATCACAGCCTCAAGGGAGAGCACGTCATCCGTCTCGAACGAAACATAAACTCCTTTAAGAAAATTGGAGAAATAGGCGTGGTACTCCTTGGGGCTGCGCTGACAGAGGTAATGAACAAATTCCGTCATGGGCTCGATATATGAGCCAAACTGCTGGTGCCCATTAGGCGTGCCCAGCAGTTCACTTAACGGCCGTGCCACCTCAAGAATACACCTATTTGCGGTGTCCGATGATATATGGCCATGACGCACGAACTGCTTGGCGATCTCGCATCTGGTTTTTATGTCGGATGCAGCGAACATCCGGCGCAGGAGGTCTCCGCCATCGCGAGATTGATGAGGGGCAACCATCAACCTGTGCAGGTTCTCAGAGTACTTGTCCGGTACATTTGGTGTCACTGGAGAACCATGCTCCGATGAAAAGTTCGGTGACCTAGGCAGTGTCAATTAAAAATACAAGTGTAACTGACCCTCGACGAGGGCGAATGAACTGTTGCACATCAATGTGCTCAAACTCCGAATCAAGCTTAGACAACAGGTCACGTTGTGCCGTCTTTTCCTGTCGTTCAAGCGCGCGGCGATTTTTGTGTTCTTCCAGCGCCTGTGCCAACCCTCCGAGGTCACCATTATATCTGAAGTCGTCCTCCGAATTATCTGAAACGCTATCCTCATAGTGTTCCTCTATAGGAGCATCTTTGTGTGTCAGTGTCAATGGTTTGTTGAGGTCGTACAACTCAAGTTTCTGCGATCTTCGGGGTAACGTATTCGAAAAGGAGGCTTCGCCAACGCTCTTGCGTACTACTTTGGTACGGCGTGGAGTTTTCCGACGTACAGATATCTATTCGATGAATGTTGACGTTGCTAAGCGTTTACCTTGGCATCTGAACGCCTGATGGCGTCGAAGGGGTTGGCTATTCCATCCGAGGAGTGCGCCTTCTTGTCTACTGAAAGTTTTGACGACCGAAATTTTCCCATGGTCATATTAATTACTATAATCCGTAAATTTTTATATATCTTTTTGTGGAGTCACCATACTACGCCGAGCTCGCTGGCGCGGCAAGGGTGTAAAGCCGCGCAGCTCACAGCCATGTAAGCGTAAAACAGAATATCGCAAATGGCATCGTGGAGGTCACACACTGGCCACTTCTGCAGGCGACTATTTTCTAGTAAGACTGATTCGCACACTGATAATCTACTCAGGCGTGTATGGAAATGTAAAGCGCAATATACCGCTGACGATCGACATAGACGCCGGGCGTCCAAAGCCTGCCATCAATAAACCGTTGCTTCCAACGCCACTAACACAGGTAAGTGTTGCCGAATCGCCAAAAGCCTATACCAGTCGTAGGAAGCGAACAATCGAATACTCAGGGAAATAGGGATTCAGGAGCCCCTAGCCAAATGCCGTGTTGTAGAGCAACTTTCCGTACGGCGCGTGAAATTTGGCGGCAGGAATAACACGGGTCGCATAACAACGCGACACCGTGGCGGGGGCCATGCACAACGTCTGAGACTAATCGACTTCAAAAGGCAACGTAAAGACGTACCTGCTACGGTGCTTAGAATAGAATATGATCCTACGCGTAGCGCTCATGTTGCACTGGTACAGTATGTGGATGGTGTGCTTAGCTACATTCTCTGCCCGGCTGGAGTGCGGCCAGGCCACGTTCTTGTTGCAAGCGCAGCTGCTCCCATAGAACCTGGGAATTGTTTACCATTGCGCCACATACCAGTGAGTTCCAAGCATGTGTCACACTAGAAACTCAGGTGAATTCAATAGTACATAACGTGGAATTGCGTCCTGGAGCAGGTGGCCAGATAGCAAGGGCAGGTGGAACCTATGTCACACTTGTAGAGTGAGTTTGAACAAAACGCTAATGCCTAATAGATGGTCTCTCATAATGTCATTTCATGCCTTCTTTTAAGAAAAATAATTCTTGTGCCAATACTTCACACTACTGTAGAAAGGACGATATGTTCGCAACGTTGCGTATGGCCTCTACCGAACTCAGGAGATTTCCACTTGACTGCTGGGCGACGCTGGGACAGGTATCGAATATAGAACACGCAAAACGTATACTGAAAAAGGCCGGCACCAAGAGGTTAGTGCACCATGGTAGAGCTTTCACCAACATGCAGGAACCTGGGATGGCGTCCGTCCGTCCGTGGCATAGCTATGAACCCTAATTCTCATCCACACGGAGGGGGTACCAGCAAAAGGGGGACAAAGCGACCTCGATGCTCTATTTGGGGGGTCTGCAGGTCGGGGTTCCAAACGCGCAGCCAGCAGAAACCACTTGGATTTATCGTAAAGCGTAAACTCTGCGGACGTCTCATGAAGAAGTACGGTATATCCAAAAACACATGAAATGTTAACGAACAATAAACTCTATTTACTCTACACTGAGTTGAAATATCATGAGCTCTTGAATAATATTTTTCGGACTTCTCCGACGTACGTACGTCCTTAGGTGGATGATCTTCTAGATGATGTTTAGCAGCAGGCATTTTAGGTGGATCTGCAGTTGCGGCGCAGTTCGGTAATATTGTAGTGGTTGGTGAGCGTCGGAATCTTGGAGCTAAATGCACATATGGTGATTACATGCTACGCCAAGAGGAGATACACAAGTCTAAGAAGGCTGCGAGTACCAGACCTTAATGGCTGCAGTCCTCATCTGATTTTACCCTCGCGGATTGGGTCATGATTTCTCAGCCATCTATTGCAATGCTGGATCTAACCTTGTATGTATGTATGTATATATAATCGAACCCTATGTAGTCCAATCTGCTGAGCAACAACGTATTAATAGATTCTGTGTCTTAGTGTGGAACCTCGGGGTGCGTAAGGTCGCTCCCTTGTGCCGTTGCCTCGGCAAACATAAGGTACCATTCGGGGACACGGCACGCACGGAAGCGATACACACAATATTTTCCATACCATTTGGCTCATGCTAAGTGAAGAGCTATTGTCCCTTAGTTACGCTAAACATCACGTGCCGTAAGCTAATCAACTGCTTTAGAGGAACCGCCTGGGTTACCTACGATCAACTAACGAGCCGAGATTATCAAAAATAATTCTAATCACACAAATTTATATCTGCTGTTGACATTTATAGAATAAAAAGATGAAACATCAATAAGTTGCCGGTTAGCACATTTCATAAGGTGTGTGTCAGCAGAAACCACCATATAGATTTATGACTGGATACAAGAACTCCACGAACTCAAATTATGCTTGTAAAGTGTGTGTGACTATATGCTGAGCCCATTAGTCACACATGTTCTGTCTTCCATACGACGTTGCATCCGCGATGTCGTTCGCACTGGCGACGAAGCACGTTGCATACACAGAAATCGTGTAGATATCGATCGCATACCATCACACATCGCAATATGAGGTGCTATTGGATCTTATTGGCCCTTTTATCGCCAAAATATTCACTCGCAACTCTTCTTCAGTCGGTCTCCTCCACTATCGATACCATATGTAACAATGTGGTATTCTCTATCACATTGTTGAACAAGCAAGAGCTGCTGAAACTGATTAACAAGTCGAGGTGTAATGATTATTGGCTTCTTGGGGAAAATGTGCTTGCTTCATCTCAACGAGGAGAACGTTACTGCTACACGCAGGTGGCTCCAGTCTTGTGTGAGAGCAAATACACACCCATCAAACCACAGCCAAACTGCGAACACATCAAGTCAAAGTTTATGACGATTGTCAATGCTTGCACGCAGGAGGGACCTCTGGAAAGGCGAGACTGCAACTGTGCCGGGCTCAACATGGAGACGCTTACCATCACAGATCCGCTTGTATTCTGCAAACTAGGTTTCGTGTCATCCGATGGTATGTGTCACTGCTGACTCATTAACTCGCTGCAGGTGACGTCCGCGTTTCGTTCAAACACAACGAAGTAGACGATTGCCAAGCTTTGGCGGAAAGCTATAACCACTGCCAAAATATGGGAAATGCCTTCAACCACCCACGGTTCTGTGTGGACGGTGGATTCCAAGGATACTGCAACAGCCGTATACAAAGTATGTTCGTTACGTCAGAACTTAAAGATGCGCAGGAATACATGATGAGACGTACAACGAAATCTGCAGGAACGTAGTGTTGCCATTTGTCTTTTCCGTGATCGATGGTGGATACCAGAACGTCTCTTCCAGTGTTTGTAAGAACTCCAATGAAACGATTGAGACGGACCTTCTAAAGCAGCGTGTATGTTGTTGTATAGCAGTCGTCAACGTAATTTGTAGGATGCCTTGATGAGTAGGAGTCAGGCGCTATTGGACACGTTGGATTCAGAGAGTGGTTATCTGTCATGGGAGCGTGATATGGAGGGGAAATTGCACAGCATAACTTCCAACCTCGAAGAGCTAGTGAACATGTTCAACCTATCGAGCAGATATACCTACAACTTTTTAGGTTTGCCCTACAACTTTGACAACCTAGTGGTATGTTTTGCGATGTTTGGTATCAAGGTTGTTTCAGCGCTCGGATGCCGCGAAAGCGCTAAAGCTCTGTGATGATCTAGTGGCACGTGCCAATGGTTTGCCCACAGCAGTAGAAGACATGACTTCTTTGATTACCAAAATCGATCCGTTGCTGGTGTTGGATAAGAAGATACAAGAAGCTTATATTCACCTGAAGCACTTTTACTCTTTGGTATGTTATTGTCTCGCATCTGTCAATCGTGTTCCAGATTACCTCTGGTGCCCACAGTACAATTCTGGGTAGTCAATACTATCGTCCGTTAAATCGTAATATCTTCTTGAGTGCTCGAAAATCGTTGTCTGAGGTACGTGAGGTGGTATCAAGTCGGCTATCGTCTATTGGTAACTTCCTGGCCTCCCATGTGGGCACTCTCACTGACCCTAATAGGGAACGCCGTGTTCGGGAGTCCGCAAGCGAGTTGAAGTTTTTGGCTAGTTTGCACGAATCACAATTGCAGTGGTTTATGCGTCGTCGGGGCAAGAGATCGGATCGCGCTGTTTCTCGATCCCTCGATTTAGAAAATCTTGCTAAGATCGGTGGCTAGTGCCCAGGCACTGTTTCACGCGTTTTAGTGTGACAAAGTACAGTCGCGATCGTAATGTAACTATATGCAGTCATGTGGCATGCTATACGTATATATAAGGAGGATTACAGAACAATACGGTTTACGTAAAAGTCTAGTGTTAAAAAGAAACTATCTTGAAAATACTGTAGTAAACACAGTCACTTCATTTTAAAATGTGCTACCATGAATGTGCTCATGGGCTATACGGTTGTAATATGTAAATAAATTCCCTTTCTGCGTGATGTGCCACAGTTGTATAGATGACTCGTGCAACGAGTCATCGAGTTGATCGACCTGAGACCGGAAAACCCTCGTACCGCTGGAGGTGAGGAGTAAGGGCAATGTGGGATGCAAGTTGGCGCTAGATACCACTGTTTTGGCTATCTTGGTTTCTATTTTGAGTTCCCCAGTAGAGATATCATAGGCAACAACGTCTCCATCCGATGTACCTGCCGATATGTATCCCTATTACATAAATACAAACCTGATACAACAGCACAGTCACTTGTATCGAATGAAATTTTCTGATTAGTTTTAGCAGCTCTTTTGTAACGCATTAGGGGGATTCGGGTGTTCCCTCGAATGTCATATGCCCGTAAATAGATGTCGGCCCGGCATCCAACCAAGAGGAGAGTCTCACTCAACCATTTCAACTGCATACAGATGTCGCATATAAAAACTTCCCCACCTGAGTTATAGGACCCATTTGGTGCTCATCATCAACAAAAGAGTCGAATATGCTTCTTTGTCTCGATTCGTTGTGATCGAAAACTCCGACTAGACAGTTGTAGTCTCCACAAGCGTAAACAGTGTCAGTATGTGGATTGTGATTAATTGTCGACACGATCCCGAATTTTTTTCCACGATTTGTATACAACGTACGCATCTGCGGTTGTATTGGTGTAGTTGTTGAGGCACGTAAACAAAGGAAAGCCACAATCCCCGTTATACGTTGGGGGCACCATAGATTGCACAGTCACATTGGTGTTGCTTAACCGACCAAATCCGCATTCAACTATTGGACATACCTCAATGTTATTACCAGGAGTTTCAATGTCAAAGATGTGGATTGAACCCCTGCTGCCTCCTATAAAGTATTTACCTAGTGGGTGGAAGTCCAAGGAATAGGTTTCCACCATTTCTTCACGCAAGTTACTAGGTTTATAAGTAAAATGGCGCTGGCCTCTTTGCGTGTCGTAAAGTTGAATCTGGAATGTGTTGAGCTACTCTGGCTCCGACGTACCGGGCTCCCTCGTGAGACGCCTAGGAAACAGCACGAATCCGGTTCTCTCTGGTTGTAATTTGGAAAGAAACACACATCTCTCACATCGTCATGGCAGCATATATTTAATATGGGTGACAATGTGGTATGTTGGTTAGTGGTAGGTTCCACTTCTTTGCAACCAATAAATTCTGTAAGTAAGTGGCAACTCTGTTAGTATGTTCACGAACCATCTTCCGTATGTCCTAGCGGATAAACCTCTATACGTGCATCACTAAAAATTGTGGCGAAAACCGTGCCGTCAGGGCTGAATACAGCAGCATTAACATAGACATCGCACCCATTGGTATTTCGACGGTGACCGGTATTCGAAGGCCCAGTAGAACTTGACAGCAGCCGCATCTGTGATAAGAAGAGCTTTAGATAGCGGTGTTTCAGGTTTAGGTTCGGTGAGCCAAAACATAATGCGACGTTAGGTCGTGTGTTAGAACATAGAGGACAGGAGTCCCTAGGGCATCATCTTTTCTTTAAATATTAATCGCTTAACGTATTCGTGTGTCCATCAATCAATCTAGTTCCGATATATCAAATGGAACTCGCCAACCGCGGCGCATTGCCAGCTTACACATCGGCGATTGAATTAACTAGATGTATTCCACGTTAATATCATTTTGTCCCGGTGGTAAGGTTCTGTATTTATCACTTTAATTTTATATGTGCCAGCGTAAGTGTGCATTTGCACAGCTTCTTCTCCATTTTAACCGACAACAGTCAGCCAAATGACCATTACAGCCTGACGCTAGGATTGCTGGGCAGTTATATGTAACCTTACGACAAATTCCAACTGGTAATCTGTGGCAAGAAAATTTCGCCTGGCCAGACTCGCGAAGTACCGTGTCACAGCACTCTGTTGAGCCATCCAGCAGTTTGAATGCTACAGCGGCGGTCCATGGGTCTGTGCCGCTAGTAACTTATATTTGTAAGAGAACTACTTGGTTGGATGGTCTCACCGTTGTCACTTCAATGTGAACATCTGCGGTCTACCCGAGGTGTAGCACTACTGAGGCAACCTCAACGCCATATGGGTGTGCGTGTAACATCGAAAAGATAGAGGTTGCTTTCTCAACATTACAACACACAGAATTTAGACGCCTGCGTCAGCTTGGTTTTTGGTAATATCTAGCGATTGCAACTAATTTAATCTTATAAAAATACCATGCGACACCTATTATTGTGCCAATGCAGCAGCGTGGAATTTTAAGTGACATGGGCCAAATGAATAGCCAATGATCGCCATTCATATGTCTCGCGTTGTGGAATGCATATAGATGTTTTATCGTTATTAGACTGATGTGCTGATAAAATATTCTAATTTAACTTATCGTACAAACAATATTTGTGCTGTCGTTAAAAGGCCGCATCCTAGTCGTGAATGTCGTTACGTTGAAACTCTAGTTTCCTTTCTGCTCATACCCCTTTAGTCCAGCGGTAGTATTTATTTCTAATACGGGTTATATCAATGGGTCCATATTTGTGGGTGATGATATTATGTGCGGCCTTAGAGACGCAGGCGGGGATTCTTGATTTCAAGACGCATGAAGTGTATGACTTCCAAAAACTTGATTTCCCCAATGACTTTAATTCCGTAACCGTACATCTATCAGTGTTAAAAAAAGGAAAAACGATTGAAATATTATGTCCGAGAAGGCGTAATGGAATTACGTTTAACTTACTCCCAAACACCGTCGAAACCATTACCGATGGAGATATATTTGCATACGCCACATTAGACGGGGTGTACCAGAAAATAAATATGAATCAGATCATTGTAACTGACAATCCACCAAATTATGACCACCCAGAATATCGATTAGGTGTTAGTCGGTTGGTAATAAATCACCATGGTATAGCCTTGTATAGAAGGCGTAATTTCGACAGTTTCGATTTACATTGTAGTTCCGCTGTATACGTCAAAACAGTGGCTGAATCGTTAACTCCATGTTTGGGCGATCCAAATTCGGCAGGGAATCCATCAATTAAGTGCCCTTGTATAGGTTGTGTCAAACCTGGAGCGCCACTATTGGGTATCATTCGCATCATGATAACTGACTTACCAGTATTAATTAGAGGTTGTGGGACCATGAGAATACCCCTACTTATTGACGAAATCAATAATGACACCGATATCCCGCGATCATGTTCGGTGGATGTAATGGAGGCTCGTACTGTGGGATTTTACTGTAGAGGACGGGTAGAGCCTCCGGACTGTCCTACCCGTATGTTTGACAGTGTAAATCACCGTAGTATGAGAATTCCCTTCAACTTTGATGTCACATCAGAAAGCTATGAAGGCGGTACCTTGTTGGTCATGACTTACAACGTCTCCACTGTAACTCTACCATTTTCTGGATATTGTAAATGTGTCGATTTAGTCAGTACGTTAACTAATGCTGTCATAACCATGAAAAATAATGAGGAGTATATCTGCAATATTGGTGAATTACTTTTCAGACATTTGTCCAACCCGATAGTAGGCGATTGGTGTGACGTAACACTGTATCCGGGTGGAAGGCTGAATATTATTTTCCCTGTAAACGAGGAATCTGCGTTGCATAAAACTACGGGGATGGGGAAACCCAACGTTATCATCTTATCTTCGACCCTAATTCCTGATGAACCATCCAAAAATGGACTAACTCGTAACGTCTCCAACAATGTGCATCAATATATGCCCATATCACTAGAACCTCTATATAAAAATGGTTTCCTCGAACTAGAGGAGTCACTAAATGATTTAGGAATAGTTATATTAAAACATTTACATAACCTTAATTCGTCTTCAAGGTTGGACGTCGGGCACTTCTATTATAGATGTTTATTTACTATTTTGACTGATAATATGACCATAGTTAGAGTGAGGGCTACAATCAAAATTACTTTAACACCGCAAAAAAATTATAAAATAGTATATGAGGAAGAATCCCCAACGTTCTGCAACGCGGGTGATATTCATGGGTCCGAAAAAAATCAATTGAAGACAAGGGAACATCTTACGCCACAAATACACGAGTATTATGCAGAAGGAAAACGACATAAAGCCCTTTACTGCCACAACGGTGAGCAATTGGTCCCATCTGAATGTACTAAGGTGGCCTTCAATGCTGAAAAGGCCTCGGTTGTACCTCTACCCGCCAGTGTTATTGTTCGTTATCACCCTTTAGTTGATAGTATGCGCGAGATAGTTGTAAATGGCACTGGATCGGCCGTATTTAGTATATCTTGTAGCTGCGTGAACACCGACGGCATCGAAACTTCGAGGTTTGAAATTCATGGATTACGTCAAAATACCTTTGTTAATGGGTTTCCTAACCGTACTATGACGTCAGTAATCATGATACCTCATGTTGAGATGTTTCATATAGGAAGACAGGAGGTGAGATTTTCCGTAAAAAAAATCCCCATACCAGAAATCATTGAAATGGAAGATGAAATAAGGTTAAACATAGGTGACAAAATTAGTCTCAAGTGTAACCCACCTATGGACTATAAAAATAGGTTGCGCGTATCAGTCCGATTCGACAATAAGCCTTTTCGTGAAAAAGCAGAATCCACAATATTGGACCTTAATGAGACTACAGAGAAAATTATCACCTCGCCATACGAAGACCCATCCTTTTCTCGATCAGTTTGGTTCCCTTTAAGCGCTGACGAATTTTTTACGCCAGTCAGGAGCAATTCGAATTCTGAGCTACATTCTACAGGGGTGGATGATGTGATGGTTGGCCTTCTTGGGTTCAAAATAGAAACTCATTATGATTTGGGGCTGGGTTCCATCGACCGTTCGAGACTTACCATAAAATACCCTCAAAGCGCTATTGTGCTTTCTAAGATGGGTGAAAGTGAGGTAGTACTTCACTACGTTTGTGGATCCATATCACCTGGCAGGAATCTACGTTCGCAAGATATCGACAGCCTGGAAACCCCGGAACGACGACGTTTCATTTTTAAAGATGATCGTTCTTTGGAGATATGGGAAATGGTAAAAATCATCTTTCCCACTACCGACCCATATGTCCGAGGGTGCGGGTTACCTGGTGACATGGCGCAGTTATTCAGGCCGGACACAGTTCTTCTACGGGATGAAGCAGGGAGTGTTGTCGGTTGTGACGTCGACCTTAAAAGAACACACGTGGCGGGCTTCTACTGCCCACTTCCTTATAGAACTGATCCCCCCGATTGCAGACCCATACCTGGAACACTTCGCAAATCATTTATGGGAGGCAACTTATTGAATTTACGGGTAAAACGAAGCAAACACTTTTACCTTTTTACCAAAACAAAAGGGTGTGATATAACTGCGAAATTTCTGAGGAAGTCTGATGCTACTACATTCGAATGCCACTGTTTAACAATCACAGGTAAGCGGATAACTACCATCAAACTTCGCAATTTTTGATCTCCCGATGCTCTAGTGTGAGAACGTTCAAGGACATTTAATGCCGCGCACACTTCGTGGAGACATTTCATCTAAGAAAGGTCTATCGCAGGTGTTGTTTGGTGTCTGACAGGTGCGCATGACAAATAAGACACGCAAATCCACCTAGTCATCTTATGAAACGAACATCTTGAGTTCTAATTGCTAGTAATGCACAGCAGAATTTAGCACTGTGGTCATATTTAACATGGCGTGATGTTAGCTATGAATAACCTTACAGACCACATGTCACTGAGCGGGTGAATAAGAACCTATATGTTATCGGCCACTTGAGTAAAATTCTAACATCGCACAATATACAGCTCATTACAAATGTGATAGGTACAAAGAAATTACAAGGGGTCCATTCATGCTAACGACACCACTTCTACATAAGCCATTTCAGTACTAGGCGCCATTTACATTTTACAATTACGAATTTTCCGTATATTTGCAAATATTGCATTGTGTTTGGGGTTAGAGACTTAATTTTGTTGTATGGGAGTTACGAAGACTCGATTTAATTGATTATCGATTGCATTGGCAACTCAACACATAGGTCACACGGTTCTAGAGCCGCCTTTGTTTGTTTTTAATTGAAAAAGGGTTATTTAAAATTGATTTTTGTGGTATACAGATCGTATAGAGCGGCTTTGTTCTCTTAGGGCCTTCATATCTTTGAGGCCGGCTGCGCGACAGCTGTGTTTACATCTGTTTTGTGACACATGATTCTGTTAGTTTATCCTAAAGCTGTTAGATGCATTCGTATTGGCGTATTTAGTCTTGTTTTCTCTTAAACTGTGCTTCAATGGCGAATCGCACGGATCCTACGGCGCACTTGGTACACGGGACCAACCCCCAATTCCTATTCAGCAAGATTATGCGGGACAAGGTTTACAATTGTATGTACTGGAAGGAAAGTTGCTTCGGTTTAACCGCAGAGTCTATCATCGACAAGGCGGTAGAGCTAGAGTACGTCGGTGGTACCGTAGGCGGCAATAGACAACCCACTCCATTTATCTGTCTCGTTCTTAAGTTGCTGCAAATACAACCTGATATTGATATAATCGAGGAATACATACGGAACGAAGACTTCAAATATCTCCGGGCTCTAGGGATCTATTACATGTAGGTGTGCCCCTTCACTACTCACATCTTTCAGGCGCCTAGTTGGCAGCGCGGCAAAGGTTTATGAAACGCTCGAACCTATATATGCTGATTATCGAAAATTACGTTTCAGGAAGAACGACGGGAGTGAGCGAATAATGAAATGATGCAGAATTATGCAGGTTACGAACTTAAGTACATGGACGAATTTGTCGATGACTGTCTTCGATTAACGAGCTACCTGGATGTCGATCTACCACCACTAACTAAGCGTGCAGTATTAGAAGATACTCACGTACTGCAGCCACGGGCATCGTTGCTAGAGGACGACACCACTTTGGTTGCGGAGCCCCGCGACACCGTTTCGTAATAATTAGACCAATGAAGTCTGATCACAATCCACCATTCTATATTCAAACTATATATCGTTGTTTAGCGTGTGTTTTCACAATTATGAGCCCGTAATACCAACAGTGGCACGTCCAGAGATGTAGCCAGATTGGCACATAAGCACTTTGGCGGGGGGGAGTGAATGAACACTATCACGAGGTATCACTTGTTATAGGCGTTTCCTTAGCACGAGCTCCTTATGCGAATTCTTGAAATACATGAAGTGTTCCCATCCTGGTGACATCTGGATACCAAGCTGGCGAACGATCTCAAATTCGCTGAGGTAGCGTCTAGGCCCTGAAGAGGGCGCATATGTGCCTTGCAAACGCCCAGAATTGGGCAAAGTCCGACTCAATGCATCTACTGCTTCTTGAGCTTCCTTGGTAAGCACAACAAAGCGGTACATGTATTGTTCGTCTTTAAATTTGGGCGAGTATATGATGCGCCCAAAGCGTGTCTGTAGAACGGCGTAATCATCAGCGTCTGTTACCATGAAGTCATCGTTCATGTCAAATTTGACCGGTCGCTGTACAATCCCAGAACGTCGCATGGTTGCACGGGCCAAATCGGTAGATGCGTTCCATATGAGCATTTCCTCCTCAGAAGAGACCTTAAACTCCTGAGCATCCACTTTTAATGCGTCTGCTGTCGAGTTTATGTTCTTGTGCACTTTATTTCGTACACCAAAACCTCCCAAACGCATCTCCCAAGTCCCTAAGGAGGAATCATAGGATTGCCACGCAGATCGGACATAGGCTTCTCCCGAGTTGCGATACCTCGGAGGCGCTGATACGATCGCCTCTAGGTCGTGAAATAGAAGTAACCCTGGGTTTGAATCACCCTTCCGAGCCAGGGACACTGCTATAAAGTCAGCATCAACCTGATGTTTACTCTTCCATGGATGTTCTGGAAGCGCTCCGGATAGAAACCCATTGCGTGTCATAACATAAAGGTTGTTTAATAGCGTCTTGGCTCGCACTGAAGAAGATGATGAACCGGATCCACCTGCAACCAGTTCGTTGAATGACTCCGAATAGCGGAAGCTATCCACAGTGCTGCGTCCCGTTGAGACTGTGATACTTGATCTATCGCTTTTCGGCTCAGAGAGTATTGTGTTGATGCGTTGTACCTCGGACATCACTGGCATCCGTGCACAAGCACCAACTAAATCCACGCATATATTCCCCACCCCGTGGTCAGCAGATGTTTCGGCTGCATTGCTAGTCCCTACAGGCCGTGGCATGATAGTTGACACCTTGAGATCAGTTGATATATCGATAAGAGGCGGTACTGAGTACGTTTTACGCTTGTCGCGCGATTTCATGCGCGAAGGAAGAGTACCATACATATTGAACGGATTGCGAAGTGGTCCTTTCCAAAGTCCTAACCACTCACTTTTGATGCTGTCAGCCTTTATGACAACACGTTTATTACCGTTCTTGAGGAGCGGGTTGCAACGTAAACCTACTCCATCTCCGTCCCTATCCAACCTGTGTTTTCTCATGCCAGTCAATATGCTGCCCACATCGGCGTTCGACCCTTCATTGTTGAGCTTGTCGCGCTCTCTGTATGTCGAGGAGAGGAGCGTTTGAGCTGGATTCGTCGCAGCCATGTCAGATCCCGCACAGTTGTAGCCACTACCAACCGGGAATTAAACGCCTAAGACGTCACATATATGCTTCCACTACGCTACACATCGAAATTTCCCGCAAAATAATACAGATTTCAGGGGAAGAGGACGAACGTCTGATGTGGAGTACAATCTTCGCTACTAGCTGCGGGAGCGTTGACGAAGAGCCCGTTGCAGACAGATGACACAAACCTTAGACACACAAAAAAACAGAATAGTTCACGGACAATAGTTATGCTGTGCGGTGTGCAGCAAAGGTTATTATCATGCAATGCTAGTTCACCGTAGCGAGTGAAACACGATATTGTGGGAACGCGTTTGAAGTATAAGTGAACGAGCAGCGAGAAAAACTTCATCTACAGTGCCAACAATTCTTCACGTACATCTGAGATGTTGAAGTCCGACGTGTGCTGCGGCATTGGCACAAGTGTTTAAATACGTTCACGTTGGCGTCATGCTGTATAAATGGTAATACGGTTTGATGTGTAAATTGCAACAAGTGTGTGATTGAAAAACAAATTTGGCCGACGTCGAAAGTGTCATCTACTAGCCATATATATACCCTCAAATTGCCGAAACATGTCTTAACAACACTTTGTCTATGGCCTCATCTGCACCAGCAGCGCGCAACGCCACGGGCAAGCACCGTACCCTAAAGTCCATCAGATTGCGTCTATGACTCCTTCATACCTGTCTAGATAGTGACGCAGTAACGCACCGAGAGGCACTATAGCGGCGCGACTCCCCGCGACATTCGCCCCTCCAGCAATTCATAGCTAATATTAGACACTTTACAAAGTATTTTTTGTTAAGAGGTGTGAGTGGGGATACATACGATTCCTGTGGTTCGCAGTGTGTACGGCTGTTACCACGGGGTACGTGTAGCCGGTGTATCCATAATTTTGGCTAACCATTGATTTTACATTATAGTTCCAATGGCTCGACTCACCTCTACAATAGAGAAGAAAGCAGACAAGCTGCTTGTTTACTTGGCTCGCGTATGTGTGATTGTTTTGAGAATGTAACTAATGTGCAGAAAATTGGAGAACACAAGCCGAAAAATGTCGTATTCTTCATTGTCGATATTTTGTGTACATACTACCCACGTCATATCCCTGGGTTGTCGAAAATATGGCTAATGGGTTCGTGGTTTTCGCAACGAGCTAATGCTTTACAGACAAAAACTTAGAAGAGCAAAAACAACACGTCCGTGAGCTATTCAAAAGGAACAATTCGACCTCCGGCATTGCACAACACTTCATAAACGCCGGTTTCGACAGTGTAGGTTCACTATTTTCTTACAAATCACCATCACAGTTGGATTCTCTAACGTATTTGACAACGGACGTCTTGGACGAGATTCAAGCATACAACAACACAACATGGCTTCCAGGTCACAAAGTGCGAGTATATCAGATTTTCCAGGACATCAATAAGATAGTCAAGGCTTACAAGGATGAGGTTAAGGCGAATCGTATGGCCTGGCAGCACAGCGACAGTGGCATATACGCACAGCTAGATGGTACATTCGTCACACCGAAAAGGAGCGGAGCCGTTTGGATCGATAGCAACAACAACATATATCACCCATCTCCAGCGTACTATTACCCTAAGGTACGGCCTGCTTCGTTGATGAGTGATGCTGTCGATTCTGCCTCGACTGTGCACAAACCGGGCACCGTTATTTTCCAAAACAGGCAGGGCGTGCCAATAACAGAGCCCGCTTTGACAAGAGGTAACGTGAATATGTCTCAAATCGCCAACATATCGGCGCGAATCACCACCAACAAAGTGATGGATGCAATCATGGCCAGGTCGAATGAGGAAGCCACGACACCGGATTTGCAAGAGAGTGCTTGCTGCCGTATTCCTACAACGTACTAAAACCTTTACGCTAATAAAAAATTTTCATTATGTGCGTAGCACACACCTACGCATCTTGGCATCGTCATCGGGTGTGCAGCACCTGCATCCCTCAGCGCCCGGACCTACCGGAAGGAAATCCACATTAGCTGCAAATTACGTATGTGTTAATCCTGTTGTATAATAACGGCAACAGCCGGCAGTCGTTTTAGTCGAGTGACAGCTAAACTGTTACCAACATAGCTCACGGTCATTACGAAACGTGCCGCGCTGCCTTTGGAAAATATGATGGTGGCATATTTTCTATCTTTTTGCTGCCTGTTTTTAATAGGCGGGCAGCGTGCCCTAGCCTGGGATGATTTGTGCAGGGAAGCTATCGGTGGGTGTATGTTACTACTGTTTTACAATATACAGAGTCCACTGCCATGAGCGCAATTACAATGGACCGTCTGAGACGTCTGAAAGTAATTTTGCGCGGATATGACCTTGTGGACTACACCTGGTGGGCTGGAGAGGTGAAAAAACGCATTCCAGAGTCCGCACCGATGCATACGCAGCCTCAGACGGACGCAAGTTGTGTAACGTTCGACTCATCTTGTCGTAATGGATTGTGTTTGATAGATGCAACAAAGTTCTTCTTTGCTAAATTGATGAACAGTGGCTACAAGATATCTGCACAGCCAACGAAGTTTGAGGTGCCCTCATTCCGATATCCCCGGGACGTCAAGTTTACACCTGCAGACAGTGTCAAATATCTTGTAGTGTTACTGGCAGACATGCACTACCCGTTCAATTTTGACTTTGAAGGCCCCCTTAGCATTGCGTCGCGCAAAGGTATGTTGAAATTTTAAATATTATGGCTGCCTGAGCATAGCTGGTTCGTGCATACACACTACAAGTGTACATTGAATGTCCTAATAAGTACCGCAGTTGATGCTTCTGAGCACCCAATTTGGGCATCCTTATGTAAGGAGAAGCTGGGAACTGTTCAACCGACATTGGAGGATTTCGTCACCAAGGTCTTTATGCCTCATTACATACATATGAACGAGGAATCTTGGTACGGGGCTTGGACCAACGTGGAGGTACTAGGAACTCGCTACAAGGTGGAACAAGAGTCCTTTAACCGCAACACGTGGGACAACTTTGAGATTTGGGCCACCGAAACAGCGAATCTGAACTGTGCCATGTTAGTCACCAAAGATGATTACGCAGAAGGCACGAATAACGTTAAAGTGACGGATGCGCTTCTGGAAAGACTAGGGATGTTGATAAGGTTCCAGATAGTGCTCGCCGGAGCCAGAATCGCAATTGTGTTAAACTACATTCTCTCTCACAGGGAGATTGCATACAGCGAGAAAACTGGTTTGCCGATAGGTTAGTCAATCTTACCATTGCCTCATGTGATACAGTGAAAAACCCGAATGACGCCTGGAAGGCTGATGATTACTATTTCGTCATATTGTCGTCCTTAGTTATCGGCATAATATTGGTAGGTGTATATGAAACAACAGATATAGGGCACTTGCAGGTCGGTCTCTATTTCATCTCAATAGGAATGATCTGCTTGTTCAAGGACAGTGTAACGAAGAGTGTCGACAACGCTCTCCGGGGATGGAGGGATCGCCGCAAAAGTAAATACGCGCCACACCTCGACATACACGAGGACTAGAACGCACACATACGTATATCTAATATTTGTGTTTTAAACTTAGGTTATTTCGATGGGTAATACGCGTAACAGCGTTCTCGAAATCGAGGCTACACTCGGCGCCATAGAGCGCGTTATGAATAAGGCAGAAGTGGAGACATTGGCTTCTGTCAACAGCGCCTACGCGAACTGTACCTCTGAGTGTGGACCACTTATGCAATACATAGGCGCCGGCTACTATGTGAAACGCGCGCCCTTGGTAATAAAGCGTGTCCTGGAGCGCGGGCTGGCTATGGCCAATGAGGAGGAGACACGGCAGAAATACGATGCTGCTAAGACGAACAAAGCCCCCAAGGTAAGCTTTAATGTAGACAGTGCATGAATGACAGCAATTTAGGAAGATGACACTATCGAAATAATTGAACGTTATGACTCCAGTGATGAATGACCACTCTGCTCGTTAGTTTTATTTCACGTGCCATGGGTAAGAGGGATCCGTGTCGTCATTCGGCGAATCCATCAATCCCAGCTGAGAAACAACCGCTGCCAAGGGGTTAACACGGGATCGCCTAGCGCCAGAATTCACAGTTGCTACAGGTTCTTCTCGCGACACAATTCTCCCTAACGATGCTCTTCGAGGCGTCGACAAAGCTTCCTGTTGCAAAATTAATTCGTCCAAACTTCCGCGTGAATGTGTGATGCGGTAAGCCTGGTTGACTATGATACGTCCCACTCGTATGTCATCTTTGCTATCCGTATCCTTAATGTTTTTTGAAAACGTCATAATTGCTTCGAAATTGAGCTGCTTCATTTGTGGAGCAAGTAGGTATTGTAGACCCAGGGATACGGCCAAGACGCTTGAGAGGCCGTTGAACAAAATATAATCCCACAAGGTAACCACCGTTCGTAACGGAAGAATGATCACGAACATTGTTAAAAACCTGTAAAGTGTAGACAAGAGGCGGTTCTAGCTCACCATTGATTTAGAAAAACTGCTACTGAAATTTCCTCTCTCTGGAAGTGCTGGTGTAGGTCAGGCCACATTTCAGCCGCCAGTGCCTCAAATGCTGTGGACATGGTGTCAAAACTATCACACTTTAACCTTACCACGTATATACTTTTGTATTAGAGGAAACGAAGGCTTGTAGAACTCGGCAAGACCGAATTCCTTCATTAGTCCGACGAATCCAACCCACGACTCTGTCTCGTTGAACCCGCTCACCAAAAGCAGCATACCTGTGATAATTTACTTACGAAACAACATCATTCTACTTATACACCAGCAAAGACGCCATAGTTTACACAATTTAGTTCGTAACAATGACAGCCTAAGCACAATCACCATGACTTACCAGCAACGAAGTTCATACCCTGGCAATATCCAACCTCTGGGTGGTAGTTTGCGTATGCCAGCTGAGAAATTACGTGAAACATTATTAGGGAATCACGTACCAGGATGCGCGAAAGCTGTTGCTGCGCCTCAACATCGAATATTTTCAGCTCGGGGAATGTCCTGCATGACCGAGTGATGCTTACACGAAGGTGGGTAGTTACCTCGGCACATCGATTTGAATTATTGAAGTATACTCGTTATTTTGTGAGGCAAAAGTCTCGTATTGAGGCGCTAAGGTCGCAAAGCATTGGTTGAACTTCACTGCCACCTTCCAGCTTGCCCACCTGTATTTTTGCGGGATACCCCTGAAAAAGTTTTAAACTCATGAAGTTCATAAATGAGATTAGGATTATTCCATTGGCAAACTACAGAGATAGACAACCACAAAATAGCTCTAGGAGTAAGTGACGGTACATACGAAAGACAGCAGGAAACAATCATGATCCTCGAGGTGGACACATAGGGGCCAAGGCTTAACGAACGGAAACGTATACTTTCTATTACCAACAAAAACCTTAAACGGAACCATTTTAACATTGCCTACCTGTTAGTACGTCGTAAAAACGTGTTCCAGTGCGCTTTGGCGAAGGCCGCAAGGCCACGATTCACCATGGAGATCCATTTCTCCTCACGCAACGGGCTATACAGCTCCCCGATGGTCTGTATCATTTAATCACACACTATAATAAGCTCACCAATAGTTCATTGACGAAGTCGCTCTTTGCTGAGGACGTGCTCTGCGACCCGTGTTGCACATGACCAATCATGGCCGAGGATTGCACATCAAACAGCGTAAACAAAACACATATTTTACATTTGATCTATCCTATGGAGATTTGCCGTAGTGGAATAGCACAAACCATCGCTAAGTGAATGCTCTTTGCTGATAGATCATTTCACTTCCGCATCGTAGAGGGAAAGCATCATTTTTATACCTAGATCACTGTAACATGAAACCTAAAACTTTGTTGATTCGAATTAGGTAACAATTTATACCCTAACCTTGGAGGGTAACCGTCGTACACTCTTGAGTGCACTGGACGGCGGCACAACAAGATCGATTTACTTTCACAAATTTGCTAATAACGCGGGAATGACACCATACAGGGATATATTTATCAGAACTGTGTAAGGTGATACTGTCAAACGCGACCCTAACCGACAACTAAAGACGTCTTTCTTGTTATTGAGTTTCTCATACATATTATGAACTGAAAATGGTCGCATATAAATTAACAAAGCCATTAATAGGTAGCTATGCAGAGAGCGCATGATATACTAACCGGTACAGCCGGTAAATTGCTTCCTACCACCGGCTTTTACTTCGAAGCCAAGGGAGCACTAACCCCTTTGGAATTTATGACCGCTGGGGATGCCATAATCGCAAACGATCAGAGGTGGGAATGGTAAGTCTTACCTGTTAACTATAAAAATCGATCAGGGTCTTAGACTACACGGGAGCAGCTATGGATTGCCTCCCCGCAGACAAGCAGTTTTTGCGTGCTTATGATATACCATGTCTAGGACTCCCTAAATTTGTACGCCATATTATTTACACGAACAATGCGCATAGGTAACACGAGAACTCGGCGACTGGACGTTATGCGATGCTGATGAACAGATCCCATCACCGTCCGATGTAGCGGTGCAGTTCGGCGACTCGGATGATCCGAAGGTTGGTTTTAATCATAGCCTTCATCATTAATCACAGACATGTATGGAAAATCTATACGATAACGGCGTATCTAGCCGTACACAGCATCGTTATGACGTTAGCATTACTTATGACCGATATTACGAGACCCCAAGAATATGGCTCATTGGTTTCAATGCTGTGAGTTTTGGCGCAATTTAAGTATAGCATTACAGTTTGGACTCGCCTTGTCGCATCACGAAATGCTGCAAGATGTGCCGTGTGAATACGCAGGCAAAACGATTACCATAGGAAGGCACCCATACACAGGAGAACTAAATATGACTGTCCATCCCTGCTACCAAATGGAGGCCATGCACAGACAAAATCACGATAAGTCATCTTTCAGGTTTGTCCTTTTCAATCGTTAGAAATGATCAGCAGGGCCGAAAATGCCATCACATTCGCACTGGAAATCTGGGCTTCAGTGCTGCCCAGGTTCTGCCTCAAAAGCGAAATTGCTTTGCAGAATGCACATTAAAAAGCCTTAAGGATGACTCACAACAATAAAGTGATACGTTAGTATAATGTCTGTTAAAATAGTGCGACAGCTGCAGGATTCGAACCTGCGCGGGCGAACCCAACAGATTTCTAGTCTGTCGCCTTAACCACTCGGCCAAGCTGCCCTGCTGAGTGGTCCTTTTTTTCCTTTCAAATTCTTATTGACATGATTTCGGCAAAAAATTGCCACTAATGTAAAAAATATTCAAAGGTAGGATAGACAGAAATAGCATCGGATGTTTGGTTTTGGACGATAGGGTTATGTCTACATAATAAAAGATGCCAGTTATATTTTTCGCGTAATCACAGAGCGCGAACGTGCGTTAATATCGTAAAAGTCAATAATATGTGCGGAAGACATTAGCACACGCCCACGTGGCCTCAATAGATCCGACAGCTGCAGGATTCGAACCTGCGCGGGCGAACCCAACAGATTTCGAGTCTGTCGCCTTAACCACTCGGCCAAGCTGCCTCGGCGGAGAAGGCCATTTTAATGGTTTATGAGTTCATTTATCATCACTTGAAAGTCTGAGAATGTAATCCTTACATTCCCAGGAAACCGCAGCTTCCTTGCTGAACGAGACAGTGACGTGCTGAGGTACCGACACATAGTAAGGAGGCAATATGTTTAACCCGTAAAAGCAAACAACATGGTTGCTATCTCGTAACGCCACAACAGGCAATTCGTCCCGTAAAATTTGTGGAAACTTCATTTTTGCTAGAACAGAAGATGCTGTGCGATTCCATAGAGAGTCACACGGCACCACATCGTCATCACGAATTTGACGAATATCGAATGCAGGCGCATTGCTTCCTACGCCTGCTATAGGCACAGATAACTTAAGGTGAAAGCCAGCGGGTGATTCAATATCATGAACTCTGCAATCATGTTAAATACTGAATATTGGCTTACGGTTTTATAAGCATGTTGAAATTGTCGAAAACACGAAAGCTGCAATAACCGTCGTCGTATAATCTACCTTCTGTGGCAGACTTTTCGAACGTAGTAGCTGTGAGCATGGTGATCTGACATTAACGTAAAACTAACGCCTTGATATTTTGACAACGCTGCCCTGGTGGTACATAGCCTTGTCACCGCGTAAAACATGTATCTTTAGATTGTCCGATACCGGTTCATTCTCCCAAAAAGTAGTCAAACGCTCCAAAACGTTGTGATCTACCGAATCACCGTCTCCGGTAGCCCTCAGGCAAAACTTATAGAGAATATCTTTGCGAACTATTTCGCTCTGTACCGACAGCCACTCATTGACTAGCAAGACATCCTTAATGGGAAAACCTATGCCGCGCAAAAACTGAAGCATCTGTATGTATTTGCGTGTTTGCTTGCCCCCTCGACCATTGTTAGCAGCTCTGTATAGTTGATCATAAAATCCGCTATACAATCTTTCCAGCTGCGACAACTGCGTAGGGCCCCTCTTGCCAACAACGCGGCTAGCATCTTTAGGCTTCGCAAAAAAATTTGGGAGTTTGTACTTCGAAGAAATATAGCAGCCGAACATATACGTTTCGAAATCTAGAAGACCTTTAAGGGTGCGACTTTGAGCTTCCATCGTGCGGAACCGCTTATCTAATGCTCCCAAAGCACCATCTGGTCTGTCATCAGTCGACGTAGCCTTGAGCAATTCGGGCAATACAGAGTGTCTGATGCGATTACGAAGGTATTTGGGCCTGCTATTGGAGGAATCTTCGTGATACGTTCCACCGATATTCTATAAAAGATGTCCTTCAGAATTATCTGTACTTACCTGCAAAAAGCTACCTAGGGTATTCTTGGTTAAGTGCAAAAATGGACGGGCCAATACAACATCCTCGTCACCGTCCAGGTAACACATCGGTTCCATTCCACTGATAGAATAAGTTAGCGATGGGAACTAGAGTAACATACCTTATATTACTTATGTGTACACCCCGAAGCAATTTAAAGAGAAATGTCTCGACGTTATCGTTTGCATGATGGGCTAACAGAACTACACCACGGGTAGATCGGTTGATATACTGCCGTAGCGCGTTTGTATCCGCGACGGATTCCGATTTTATCGTCAGCGTTTGTCTGTCGAAAATCTGTGCACTCTCAGCATTTTCCCGGTAATTGACTCCAGAGTAACCACCGGTCACCGCTACCGAAAACTCTTTTGTGAGCCGCTTATATGCCGCGCGACGCCAGTCTCTCGCAACTTTCTGAAAATTACCGCTACCCTCATCATGCGCCAAGTCAACTATCTTTCCCTCGGCGACTTCCACATTGAAGTCAAATCCGTATTGTTCACAAGCAGCCCGTATCACGGCAATATCTTGGTCTATATCTGGCCGCGTGCGGTGGTCAAAGTATACCACGTGCACCTTGGAAAGCAACCTGAGCAGGGTGTCATGCAACGATGCGTGGTCTACATTTCCCTTTATGCCTTGCAGCTTACGCCAGACGGCGAACTTAACAAATACAGCTGAATACTTCTTAATAAAGCCCAAAGCATGTAGCATTGCCATCGAATCCTGCCCTCCACTGCAACTTAGCAGTACGGATGGGAGAGTGTGTTTTCCATCTACAGAAGATGAGTGGAAAGGCGGTACCAGGTACTCGCTCAAAAAGTGCCACACCGCCGTAACAGGAGGCTGCACAACGAGGTAAGGTGCCGAATAGTCATCTTCAACATGGGTGTTTTCCGCACTAGACATGCGCCGTGGTCCACAGCCACCAAGGTGATCAGTGAACCGGAAGTTCCCATATACCCTGAACGAATAAGAATTCGAGCAAAATCCTAGCACCAAATGAAGAATCACGCTCCAAAACGTTATCCATGGAAACATAGCGTTTCATTACTGTTGCGTCTGCGACACTGAACTGTAATTGCCGTGAAGGGTGTGGGTGCCGCGACTGCTTTTATGAGTTTACGATAATTATATAGGTTACATATGGCTACATATAAAGTACCTTGTAGCACATATCGAAACTACCTGACTAAGGGACGTTGGATATTTTTTAAGTGTGTAAAGACGAAAGACGTAAAGGAATAAGAAAAGACAGAATGTATTTCAAATTCCCTGTATAATGCCATAGAATTAAATAGTAATTAAAATGGCCTATGGAAGATTCTCGAAAACATTTTTATATATGAGGGAAGGAGTGCGACATGTATGCCCCAACGGCAGTTGTACCGTTTCCGAATAACTTCTTTGCCCTGAATATTTTTGTTCTAACTAGTAAATGCATTAAATAGCTTATTATATTATTGTTAAAATTTACGTTACATACTTACGACATTGTGCTTTAAAGCAGGTCACGGAATCGCATTTGGGCCTTTAGTCATATATCCTGGTGACTTCACAGCAACGAAATTCGTGAATGTTGACTAGAGCTGATAGCTTGGATTCATGTAGGGTTCAAAAAAAGTCTGAGAAAGAAGCTACCCTGTAAAAAGGTACACTGGGTGTTATTTTTTGCGTGTATCACTTATCATCTTTCACATACGCTAATTACGTGATGCTGACGTGCGTAATGAGCGTATGTTCCCGTAAAAACGCAGGAATTGGACCATATCGTTGGCTTAGACCTACTGTGCCCGTACGTGAACAACGGGACAAAAACGTCAGACACAGCATCGCGCGTTGGCGCGACTGTGTCATTATCATGTAGAGCACTAGCTCATGTCTGTAAGAAGCGGCGAGGCATTTATGGACCTGGGTGCAGCTACTGAACTGACGGTGCCAGGGGCGCCACGAAAGGCAGATGAAAGCGCTACCTGCTACACGAGAGCTGACATTAAAAATATCGTCGTGCTTCTTGCGTTATACATAGTACAGGGATTACCTCTGGGGCTTCCCATTGCTCTTCCTGTTATCATTTATGACAAGGTAACATACTCTCAGTTAGCATATCTTTCTTTCACGGGGTTTCCTTTTTGCTTAAAGTTGCTTTGGGCCCCAATAGTCGATGCACTGTACTGGCGGCGTATAGGAAAACGAAAGTCATGGATAATACCGGTACAGCTCATTACCACACTGCTACTTTTTTACGGTGGTGCCAACTACCGATTTGATAAATGGGCTGGGCAAAATGGCGACGCCGTTGATCTGGTAGCGCTTACAACGTACTGCACAGCACTGTACATTTTGATGGCCACGCAAGATATTGCTGTAGATGGCTGGGCACTCAGCATGCTGCGTACGGAAGTGCGGATACACGCATCAACGTGCAATACTGCAGGTCAGTATATAGGTATTAATTTAGCGTACGTATGTATCGCTATTCTATGTAGCAAGGAGGTGCCACTTAAACTCTATCGTGCCCGGGTTTGGCTTTCTACGTTCTTCGGCGGACAAAGCCTAACGCTGAGCATAGAAGACGAAAGGGCTTTTCAACCCTTGGCCTCCATGTCATATTTTATCAATATGTTTGGCCTAGCTATGCTAGTTATGACCATACTGATATGTTTTAAACATGAGGACACGGATCCCCCTCTGCTCGAGGAGCTTCCAGGAATAACGGAACTCGGTCCTAAGGATGAGGATCTGAAATGGCGAATACTGAAGAAGGTAAAGCGTGCCTATGCGTTATTGATAGAGGTATGATAAATGAGGAAATATCCCGAATTGTATACAGATTATTGCGCGTGAACCGACTAAGATACTCGGTCTGACGCTTCTGACATTTGACATTATCTACGCAGCCGAAAACCCGGCTGAACTTCAGCTGCTTGAAAAAGGAATACCTCGAGACGTGTTTGCAGCCATAACACCATTTATGATACCTATAGAGATCTTAGCTCCGCCTTTCGTATGTTTTCGCGGAATGGCAATAATCACAAGCTGTGCAGGTAACCATGGCCATGCGCGATTCAAGCGTTGCTGACTACATTTATAAAGGGTTGAAACTCCGTCTAGTAGCGGTGATCTGTTACGTTGGTAAGTCGATTGAAAATGTTAATTATTTCCCGCCAGGAATGGTACCTGTGGCGGAGGCTTACTATTACCGAACTACGCACAGCTCCCTAGAAAGCGTATTATTCTATACTCTATTCTTCTTGCTATCTGCATTCAGAAACATATGTGAGCTGGTAGTAAGTGTTGCATTCGTTGCTTTTTTCGCCAAGGTGTCCGATCCGTCTGTGGGTGCGACTTATATGACACTGCTCAACGCTCTATCAAATGTTGGACAACTTATCACACGGATGATCGGTTTCTGGTTGATAGATTTGTCATCACGTGGTGAGTTCGGTTTTACTTAAATCACAGAATAAGCAGTTTTTCGCGGTAGTACGGATGGTTTACACTTTGAGGGAATACTATGCCTTATTGCGGGCGTCATATTGCTGCCAAGATACAGAACTACGCTCGAATACCTCGAGTCCTTCGAAACTAGCGAGTGGTACGTCAACAAGGCCGCCGACGTTTGACAACGTGGTTTTGTGGCCATAGGAACTTACATAACTGTAAACCCTGCGCGTGCAAAACGTCAAATACCACCTCAGGAATTATGCTTAAATGTATGATGGTTTGATTGTAGTGTTTTTTGGAGATGGATTCTACGGGCATTATGTTCCGTGTAGGAACATTATAACGCCCTGCGTCTCAGGCAGCAATAGTTTAAATCTCAGTGTTACAGTTGTATCGACATTTGGGGCACAGACTACCCTTTTATTCCAATCATTAGTCCCAACGGTGGTTGTCTCTTCCTTCCGCTGACAGAGCGGCGCTATTACTGTTATGACTCTTCCAGACTACACACCTAGTAATTAGTACCATGAGTCTGCATACTGGAGCCAAATGAAGTTAGAAATGTAGGCCAAAACCGTTGTAACAAGGCTTGTGTAATCCTTTGGGGTGGGGTGGCAACGCCTAGACGCATGATTCATACCTCCCCTTTGCGGGATACCACGGCAAATTGCGACGGAAGAACCTTGCTGATAAGACATGTCGACAGTGCACGCGATCGTGCATCATATATGTTGACGGAGTCAAAGAACGTTACTTTAACGAGAGCGTCGCGATAGCCTCCGTCGACATAACGAGAATGGCTGCACAGAGGTCATACGGCGGACATGAAAAGGGAGTAAACTGGCATGCCAGAAGCTACAAGCACTTCGACAATCGTCCTGATTTAGGTAATCCACTTTATTTGGGAGAGTATGGAGAGCACACAGGGAACGCGGGTTGGTCGGACGATACACACTTGCATTTGGAGGATCCCTATCGCTTTCCATCAAGTACATACAATCGCTTTGGTGGAAGTACTGCCGGGTATGCGCATAGTTCATACGACAATAGTGTTCCCAGCTCACATCTAGCAACTGCACAGCCCGGCACGCCAGGAGCACATTCTGCCTCAAGCAACACGATGTACCATTCGGTGACGCAAAGCACATCAGTTGCGCAACCCAACGGGACACATAACCTGGGGAGCTCAAGGGACTCAAACGCTGACATAGAAGATATTGCCCATCATTTCGTATACAGATACTATTCCCTTTTACACAGCAATCCAGCTGGCTTGTTCAGTATATATGCACGTACAGCTCAACTTTGCAAACGAGATGTTGATGGCAACCGAGTAGTGGCTTCTGGACACGCAGAGATCAAGAACTTCTATGACAAGTTTGCGCCTAAACAAACGACCGTAAGAATCAGGCAGATTGAAGCCCAGAACATTGGTAACCTAGGCGCAATTGCAGTGTTAATAGTTGGTGATGTCAACACACGAATTGGTAACGCCACGGTTACCAAGCGCACATCCCAGTTCGTGGTTCTCTCTGGAGACCAGACTAGATCACGTTTCCAAATTGTAAACGACATCACCTTCTCGGATCCACAGGTCTCAGGTGAGGGTACAATACATTGCATGTTATCTCATTGATAGAGAAGGTTCAGGCCGAGGCGACCCCAGCGTTAACTAAGGAGGCCAAGACGGATACGCCGGCAAAGAGCAAATCTAGCTCGGAAACTACTTACGCTGAACCCCAAACTGTGGAAACCAATCCTTCTGTGGTCCAAGACACACGTGAGAAGGCCAGGATCGTACTCTTTGGACTACCTCACAACTTTACTGTGGGCGAGTTAAAAGATACGTTGACGCAGCGTCTCAATGAAAACGATATGCAAGAGGCACGGGTCCTCCGCGTTGATGTGAAAAGGTCCCATCAGAATGGTGAAAAGGGGTCCTTGTTCGCATTCGTTCAGTTGGATTCACGCCAATCGGCGGAGCTGGTCGTTGGAAAGGGAGTTACGCTACGTGGGAAACCGTTGACGGTTGAAGCGTACAAGCGGAACCACAGTTCTCGTGATTCAGCTGTAAGCGCCCATAACACCCGTGCCCAAAGCAAACCTAATGCTTGGTAGACAACCAGTCGCGTGCTTGCTGCGTCTAGGTGCCAGGGCTGATAATTTCTTGTACAAATATGCATTTATGAACGATATGCCTAGGTCGCAATGCTCATACACACACGCCTGTGCTAGCAGGTTTTACGATGAGTGCGAGAGTGCCTCGGAAAACTTCTTGCTTCGTGGGCGGCCGCGCGATTCAAGGGATCGAGGTACAGGGCTGAATACCGAGCACGGACACACACTTCTCACCGAAATAAGACGCTATTTGGGTTGTTGCTTTGGCGATAGATCAGGAAACATTCCTGCGTTGTCCGATTTCGGTAGGTGTGTAACGCTAGCATTATACAACCGAGCCGTGGTGCAGCTTAACACTTGCCATAGGTATCGACGTCCCAGATATATTGGAAACCTCCAACAGCCAGCACTCTAGTGCGCGTTGGCTCGAACAAGAAGGGGATGGAGAGAAGGTGTGGCTGACCAACAAACACTATTATCCTGATATCTCGCAGACGCTTTGGACGATAGAAGCGAGTAAAAACTATGCCGGCAATCTGTTAAAACTATGCGATGCGCGATGGATGGTGCTTGCGTGGGCTTCCAAAGTGGCAAACGGCGAAACGATGACATGCAGCGTTATCAACTCACTTGTGATGGACGCTCAAAAAACGAAAAACAGCATTGAAGGAATCTCAAAAGAGATAATTAAAACATTCCCAGGGTTGGAACTTGCGGTGAGTGAGGGCGAAATGTATAGATGAAAAGGGTTTAGGATGGCATCACATCGTTTGAAACACTTGACCACATCATGGCAGTAGACGCCGTGGTGGACGCCATTAGCGAACACACCACGCTCGATAAGGCGGCGTTTGCTATAATAGTAAAGAAAGGGGTCTGCTGTTACGCTGTCTATTTCAACAACAGAGGTGAGTGTCGGCGCCGCGAATATCATTATGTAGGCGAATCCTGCGACTTGGTTCTCCTTGAGGTTCGACTTTCCGTAAAGCGCGGCGGAACAAATACTACACGCGTGGTAGCTTTTAGCAGGTGAGCAAGGTTATGTGTTACAAGTCAACATTAGCTCAGACTCAAACACCTGCGCGAATACTTGATGGATATCGACTCACTCAAGGTAACAGTCCTGCGTGAGTTCGTCTTAACAATACTCAGGCTTGTTCAACAACATACTGCTACACTTTCCGTCTCAGCACCCTCCACTATGTCCGGGGAATCTCTACAACGAAATACCAGGGTGGAGTAACACGATCGAAAGGCTATGAAATTGGTAGGTGGTGACTGTTCGTGTGGAAAATTGGCACAGCGCAAAACATCGCAGAAAATGAAGGTATGTTGATGCAGCCTCAATAAAAAAGATCAACCATATATATCCCGTTTCAGACCCACGTAAAGACGCGAAAATGGTTTTTTCCTACGCCAAATATATAGCCAAAATGTAACATCGCTAATGAAGTTCAAATTTACAATTTGATTTATGCAAAAGCACAGTACATCAGGTCACTTTGGGCTTTCCTTAGGAATGAAGCCTTCGATTTTCAGTCGTTTTTTGTTGTACGTCGTAGGAACGAATTCATCCTTGGCTTTCTCGCAGGATGCCAACAACGATCCAGAAGGTTTATAGCAGTAAATAGCCACCACAGTTCTGCCGTATTTGCGATTACGATATCCGAGCAGTTTACCTTCCTCAATGCTCTGAAAAAAGCGTTGAAATGCAACTCTGGAAGAGGCGCTTACCCAAGGTAGATAATCAATCTCCCGTGGATACTCAACTACGACCATAGCGTTAGGATTCAGGATGCTCGTATTTGCAAGGTGCTGACACATAATTAGCAATAAGACATAATGACCAACCTTCATCAGATCCATGTATACTACCTCCTCATAAGGTGGACAAGCAAACAACAGGTCAAATTTATCAGTGATAGCGTGTAACCATGGGGATGATAGCGATTCCTGATAACAATGACAGCGGCATAACACATTACCGTACCATTGCGTCAGCACGTATTATGCGCACCTTGTCCTCAAAATTGCAATGTGCCGCATTAATGGATGTTGCCTTCATGACATGCCAACTATGTTGATGTCAACTTACTTTGCAACACTGAATAGAAAGGTCCACGAATGTACAATGTGTCGCACCGTACGACAGGGCTTCGAGGCCCACTGAACCGCTTCCACAGAACAAATCAATCACCCTGTACCCTGTCACCATCCATTAAGAAGGCAAGCTCACTTGCAATCATGCCCATAAGCAAATACCCCTGTATGCTGCAGTGCTGCAAAGAGAGCATTCTTCACCCTATTCATCATGGGACGTAGGTATACCGGTGGGACGCATAGACGCCTCCCGCGAATTGCACCTCCACCTATATGTAGATGCGAAGAAAATGTATATTGTTCAAGTTTCGTATCATCGTTTGGAAGCCCTTGTGACTCTTCAGTATTGTGAGGTCAGACGAATAGATGCTTACTTGCTATGGGACTGTATTTGTAGCGAGTACGAACATTTCGATTGATTGGCCTCGGAGCGCTCACTGGTACAGTGGCAGATTCTACAAACCTAACAAAATATGCATTCTTTCCCGTGCCGTGGTGTACCTATTCCGTCGATCATCTTTCGATTTGTTTCCTTTGAGATCACCGATCTTTGCGGTGTCTAGAGCGCCTACATCTTCTTCATCTCGCCCGTTCTTTGCATCTGAATTCGAATCGTCCACTGGCGAGAGGCGAGGTGGCCTCAGATGTCCTCTCCATGCAGCTTGTCCACCGTGCGCAAAGGCATAATATGTAAGTTGATTCGCAGACTCGACAATTTTACAACCATTCAGATGTGGTCTGGTTCTTGGAAAATGTGACCAATTGTGCGGATTTATGGTGAAAATTGTGATCGAAGTACTTCTGTTTCCAGAACCTGTAGGGATTAGACCATAAACAACGAGTACAACTTGCAGCGAAAGTAACAGGTTAATTAGATTCAAACTAAAGAATCTATTACGTACAACAAAGAAGCGTTCCACCGTTATGTTTCTATACATCGGTGGAATATACCCCGTGGCGCTGGCAGTGTGTATGTATAATAAACCACCAAAAGCTTTAGACATGAACTAATATAGACCTATATTATGATTACACCATTATTATCGATAGATGTGTGTTTGTTTTATATACTTGCATCGTCTGGAAAAAAGTTTACAGCTTAGAATCTCGGGGGAGACACCATAGATATGTTATGTGTTGGGGTTTATGGTCGCTTTGTTTACACCCTGTCATATTACTCCTCATTTTCATCGTAGGACTGATCGTCATATTCATCTTCGTCATCATCACCAATTTCCTCATCACCAGGCTCTTCTTCGTCTTCAACTTTTTTCTCCTCTGAATCTTTTGCTGGGTGATGTATAACGCTAGATGTACTTTCTGTTTCCGTACTTTTAGCGCCATTGTTTTCGTCGATCTCATACTTGAAAACTTCTGTTGGTCCTGATTCAATAACCTTGTCCGCTGTTTTCACATTCTCAACAACAGCTGCTTCAGTGCTACTTATATGCGGGACACTCTCTTTGACTACTTCATCGACTTTTGTAGATTCTGTGGTTTCAGAATCTTTTGATGGGACTTCAACTTCAGTTGGTGGAGATGTAATGCTGCTTTGGCCAGCTGTATCTTCGTCTTTTTTGGGACTTTCTATTGCATAGTCAGATTTAGGTTCACTGGCGTAAGAACTATAAGTAGAAGTAGTAGATTCTTTTTTCTCCTCATGCTCACTTGCGCCTTCCGTTTTGGGGAATTCCGATTTCCCATCTTCTTGTTCCGCCTTATCCAATGCATAGTCAGATTTCGGCTCAATGACATAAGAGCTATAAGTAGTAGTAGTTGATTCTTTTTTGTTCGCATGATCAGTTGCACCTTCAGTTTTAGGTAATTCCGATTTCACATCTTCTTGTTCCGCCTTATGTTTTTTTGCTTCTTCTTTCTCTTTCTTCTTCTCCGATTTTGATTTACGTTTCCGATCTTTCTTTCGTTCCGCTTTAGACTTTTTAGACTTTTTAGACTTTTTGTTCTGTTTCTTGGCTTTCGTTTTTTGAGCCTTTTCAGATTTCTTAGTCTTAGCCACCTTGTGATTTTTTTTCGACTTCTTGCCTTTAGACCGCAGGCCTCTCAAGGAAGCTCCGGTAGACAGTTCATCCGATTCTTCCTCAACAGGTTCTAGCGAATCGCTTGTTTCTTCGGGATCCAGTGCAGTTTTTTCCTCATCCACCTCTCCTTTCATTTCTTCGCCATTTCCGCTTTCTGCTGTAGCCGTATCTTCGTCGTTGTCATCCGCTTCGTCAATAATTGCCTCGTTCTCTAAGAACTGTGGATGTGTCCACGTATGCGAATTTTCTTCCAGCGTCTTATGACCCGAACTGTTGTCGACTACGGACTCATCCAATTGAAGGTAATTTGCGTCTGTCTCATCTGTATTATTCATGCGACCGTCCTCCTCCGAGCTGATAACACCACCCTTATATGGCTCATGTGGCATGAGGTTATCGTATGTATCATCACTTTGACTGTCCCATTGTGAGTTGGGGCCCATCGGGAATTCTTCGGGTTGCTGATCATCTACGTGAACACCGCTTTTATTATCACGCTCATGGTGATGCATATTCAGCCCGTTCACTTTTTCCAGGTTCCCATTCTGGTCAAGCATATCATGGCCATAGACATGATTATCATATTCATCAGCATACTGATAATCAGCCTCTTTGGGGCCAATGAAAGCATGAGATGTTGGGTGATGTAGAGTGTGTTCAACAGTGTGAAGTTCCTCATCATTAATTTCATCTTCTGCATTCTCATCTCCTGCGTATGCCTGGTGAAACGTAGTCTCATCGTACATATCCGCATCAGAATGATCTACAAATCTCCAGTTTTCATCTGAACCTATCGACGGCGTTGAAGGATAGCCTTCAACATGTTGGATATCTTTATAGTTTGCTTCTGTCTGAGTCTCAGTATCTGGATCGGTGGTGGTGGCTTCACCGTTGACATGATCATGTTTTACACTATGTTGAAAAGGATGTGTCTCCGTCTCTCCAAATGGATAATCAAAATGATCACCCACAGTGCCAACGCCATATTCATCTGGCACTTGACTATGTGACGCTAAGTTTGGGTTTTCCTTATGCTTCTCATCCATGTGACCTGGGTGGTGAAGGTACATGGAACTTTCTTTCGGGTTGACTTCATGGCTCTGCATATCTACTCCTATAGATTCGTTATGAAGGTCTGCCACTCTGTGGTCGTGATCTAACGTTGAGGGTAATTCATGGTCCGTTGTCACGGATTCTTCGCTATCCGCAACTTCGCTATTCATACGGGACTCCGCAGATGACGCTTCCTTCAAATCGTCGGACTTTGTAAATGCATTTTCACTGTGCGTCACATGGGTAATGCTTTTTGACGTTGAGTTCGCCGATTTTGGGGGTGCGTCAATCAAAATCTCTACAGTTTTCTTTACTCTGAACACCTTATCATCGCTGCCTTTGTTTTTCTTGATATCTGAATCCTCAGCATGTTGTTTGTAGCCATTTTTATATAACCTATGCCAGCTATGCCGTTTATGTGGCATTACTCTCTTATGATGTTTGTGTCCTTTTTTTGATGGTCTAGTCATTTTGAAATGTGGATGCGCATTATGATGCGGGTGATTTTCCTGTGTGTCTTCATGTGCGACAGAGTCACTATTTATTATATTGTCCTGGTAATGCGATCCTTCAACCGGCCTGTGTTCTTCCGATGATTGCATATAGGCTTCTTCGGCCTGGGTGAAGCATTGAAGTATTTCGAAATGCAGTCCAATGGCCGCCAATACGGCCAAAGCCACAACTCCCTTCATTGCATCCAATAAGATATGTATAAACAATTAAATTACGTAATAATGTTGGCACGATGAACAGCATATAGTTCTATACTGTTTGTTACATCGAGGGCGATAAGTCCGAAGTACCCGAACGTTCCAATGGTAAACTTTTGCTAAATTCCAGAGTTGTGAGATATGTATCCGACGATACGATTGTTCGCGGGCAACTCGCAAATAATTTGCGAAATGATAATATTAGAAAGACTAACTCTAAATATTAAGGTTTGGTATGTGAGACCGACTCACAACTGTTATATACTTGATAATAATCTAAACGATGGAAATACCTAATATTCGACACAAGAAAGATTGACGTTCTCGTAAGGTTTAGAGATCCGTGGAAAATTCGGTGAGTCGATCTTTCTCAGACCCACCTAAAGTGTCCTTGCTATTATGTGTAGTATTTCTACGCTGTGTATTGTGTTTCTTCCGTGGCATTTAGAGGTTTAGTGACAAAAAAAGAGTGTTATAAGGCGAACACTTCCATTTCCCATGGTTTCGACATATTGTCGCAGGCAAGCAAATCAAATGCTCTGGTTCCTTACTTCATTCAGCAGCGGTTCTATTGAGGCGTTTTTGCCTAAGAATTGTTCGCTAGAGAAATTTATCAACCTACCTCAAAATTTCTGCCGCCCTCTTACGCGCCTCCTCAAGTAACTTGAGTTGTGCCTCGTCGCTGTCCCTTTCAAGTTTCTCGTCAATTTGCAATTTCTTGCTGTCTTCTGAACTTGTGGAAGGTATCAAGTGCGGTTCGTCCGGCTTTCCAAAGAAGGAATCTTCGTAAGCCATATTCTCTGATGCCTCGTATTCGCCGGGCGACATTATCATATCATCGGGCGGAGTGGCGTTCATAAAGTCCATCATGTGATCACGCATCTCCGATTCACCAATTTCACTGCGGGTAGAACTACCCACATTAGGTTCATAATTAGTTTTGTCAGGACCGGGGTTAGGTTCCCATTCACTATAGTCTGTATCGTCATGAGACGATGAGCAATGCTGACTTACCTGGTGTGAATTGGTTGGTAAAATCTTCAAAATGTAGTGCATCGTCGGATGGAGAACCGAATGTTGCGTTGTGTTGAATGAAACTTTCCAATTCTTCCCTATTTTTTACAAAAGTCTTAAGCAAATCGAATCTGTATTCGCCTGCGAAATCCGCACGACTTGATATTTTATCCATCTGGCGCAGAAAGCGCGTGATGGTCATTCGTTTGCATCCGCGTGAGTTGGGTTCAAAGATTTCGGAGACCACTTTGTTGCGTAGCCCATTTACTGAGCTCAGAAGCCGGGCCAATGAAGCAGAAATAAGACGGTTTTTTGCCACCCTGAATCCAGCAAGTTTGGCTTTTAACTTTAGAAATTCGTCATTAGATTTGAGATAGGCTTCTATGGCCACCTTTCGGTTTTTATCGTCGAATCCATCCGCGGGCTTAGAGAAGAGCGGTGACCCATTCATATCGTTTACACGAAAGCGACGAACAAGACTACCAACCTGGTAATCAAATACAGCTACAACATCTTTCACAAATAGCTGTGCATCTGCAGCCTCTGTCACGTCGCTAAGGATAGCTACTTTTGCCTTCTTAATCGCCAGCACTACCTCTGACTCAAGCTGCTTTACACATGAAACATAGCGACCCTCCCGCTCCTCTCGTAAATTATGAAAGACAGTGAAGTCCCACAGTACGTTTCTGCGTGAGCGCGGCGCTTCAAGCACAGAATTCGAGGTGTTGTGCCAAAAGTTGTCTAAAGTTAAAAGAGTACCCTTTTTGTTCGTTTTCTGGATACCAGATATCAAATCTGGAGGCAAATCATCTGTTATATGATTAGATCTAATGTAAGAATAAATTTACCACCGGTAGTATGATTCTCCTTATACACACCATCTTCGTAATCCGAGTCCTCCGCAAAGAGGTCGAGCTCTGGAATCCCTTGGTCCCCGGCATAGTCTGTTCCTCGGTTGTCCATCATGGGCTTTTCGGTTTTAGGTGGAACTAGACGGTGTGTACCATCGCGTAACGAGCATAGAAGACGCGTTACTCTGTTACAACGTCGGAATCGATTAAGTTCCGGATATGATGACAAAAAAGTCAATTAAAAATTAAGAAAAGGCAAAATGTCGACTGTTGATGGTTAGGAGTCCATTTCACCAGGCCAACGACGACGGTGTGGTGCCAACACGATGTACATCTCGCCGTAATACTTCAGGCACTCAACAGAGGGCCGAAATAATTGCAGTTTTAGCATCCATTTTATCAATACGGGTGTTCTGCGCACGTCACAACAAGCTATGCGAATATACACCAAAGTGAGCATAACTCGTCGCGAAGCACACACCTAATTTTAACAATAAACGTTGCAGTGATCGGAAATGGGTGGCAATGCTTCTACAATTATGCCTACTGGGGGACTGCGAGTACATCGCGTATACCCCAACGGCCCTGCCGAGGAAGCTGGCTTCGAGATATTTTTTGACTATATAATGGAAGCCGACCACAATGCATATTGCGACGACTCTGATGAGACCCTGATGAGCTTCACGTCATATATCAGCAGCAAGGAGAACCAAGAAGTCACGCTCAACGTATATAATGCCCGTCAGAAATCTCTCCGACTATTAAAAATTACTCCTCGCAAATGGGATGGCGTTGGTCTATTAGGGCTTTCTGTGCGATTTGCCGAATTTACGGCGATGGACGAGGGGGCCCATGTCATTAACGTGCAGGATGGATCTCCGGCCATGAAGGCTGGTCTGACGCCTATCACGGACTATTTACTTGGCACGAATTTACAGTTGTTCGTGGACAGTGACTGCGTGAGGGTCCATGTCGGTGAGCATGTGGACGAGGATGTCACATTGTATGTATACAACACGATTACTGAGAGTATAAGAAAGACCATCATTACGCCACGTCGAGGTTGGGGCGGCAAGGGTACTCTAGGGTGCGATTTGGCAAATGGTTACATTCACCGAATCCCTCTTGTCAAGGGCATTTTCAGTGTACCGTCAGATTTACCCCCATCGGAGAAGGGTGGTGATTCGCAAGAGATGACTCTGGACCTGGCGGCCGCAGCAGCTGCGACCACTCCTGCAGAACCCCAAATGGGCACCGCAGATCAATCAACGAGCGAGCAAAACTGCAACGTCTTTGCTATACCTTCTGATACCAATGTTACTGAGGACGAGGATGGACCGGAGGAACCCTACTTACCACCGTCTTTGGCGACTCTCCAGCATACCGCCAGCATGGACCATGATACGCAATCTCCGGACGACACCGCACGCCGTGATGATTCGGACATGGAGGACTAAAACAGGCGATAACAAATCATTATATTATGGAGGTTCATCGATCTCTTCATGTAAGCCTATGCGTCTACAAGTCGAGGTAACAAAATCTGCAGCGTCACTGACAGGACCTCACATCATACGCTTAGTAAACACACGCGACTTACATTGACTGGTGACATCGCTATATGTTATTTGTGTCGCAATAGCGGGTATTCACCATATTGGTGACTGCACTGTGGACTTTTTTGATGAACATCTTAAATTAGAATGCGTTTCATAAGTAGCATTTCGCGCTGCAGGAAATCGTCAGACCAGCGTTCACATGATCTCTTCATCCGCACTGTGTCATGATCATTATCAGTTAACGCATCGTAATCCGGATGTAATTTTCGCAGTGCGGGTAGGGATGATAGGGAAACGCCTGAGCGATAACACGGTGTGAAGGGATGAATCGAGAATTTCGATTCTGACCACATCTCACCAGTTGGCAATCCCAAGCTACTGCTTAGGCCACAAAAAAATGAGACAATTTCCAGCTGCAACGCTTCCAAAAGCACTTCACGTTGAACAGAATGAAGTACGGCGCAGTCAGTATGGTCTATTTTTGACACTGGGGGTTTGTGAATAAAGTGTTGGAGCTCATTCCATCGCTTGGGTGTGATTTCCAACGTCTTAAGTACCTCCAACTTATACGCCTTGACATCGCGAATCAACTTCAATGCCGCTTCGGCGCTATCTAATCCCGCCTCAGTACGACTCATTAACAAGCTCAAGGTCTTCATTTCCCATTTTCTTACTGCATCATGGTTTAAATAACTTTGCGATCTCAGTTTACTTGTTGGAACACCGCGTTCCAGACTGCGAACTATAGATGCCACTGACGGTCGGCTGAAGTGCTCGTGTATGAGCCATTCCAACTTCTCCAACGAATATATGGACTCCAATGTCAAAAAATGTTCTTGTAACTGGAGCTCAGTCTCCTTTTCTGGCATTTCTACAAGCCGCTGTATAGTATAATAGGAAACGTTATCCCGCTAACAAACCTCGGCTGTCAATTGGATAACGTTAATGGCATCTGGGGAAATGTAACGTTTCACCAGCCCCGACCAGACAAGATCAGAACCCTCCACCTCGCTGCCAGTCAGCGCTAAGTATTCCCCCAGCGACCCTCGCAACATTGCAAGAACATACGACTGGCCGCCCAAGAGTGGCACGCCCTTATCTCCGGCACCATTAGATCAGTGAACGCGAAACCTACCCAAATTATTGATCCTGATGCATGAGTGTTTGTGACAAGCGCTTGTGTTCGCCAGCGATACTAAGCTTGAACCAAAACCACCTGGATTACATTCAACGTAAGAGTTATGACGTAAGGGGCTCACCTGTCATACCGTTGGCATAAACAACCAAAGGTTTCTTGTAACTTTGAATAAGGTACGCCAAATCGGAGATGTTGCTGAGGTAGTCGTCCACTGATCGCAGTATTATCTTATAAAGGCCGGCGCCATTTTTATGAGAAATCAGCCGTTGCAAAGATTCCACGAAAAGCTTATGTTCAACCGGGTGAATTCCGTTGGTGAAAACATCTCGGGACATGCTCGTAACTAAGGCAAAACGTTTGTATATATTCGTCTCTAGGTCTACCAGCCTACGGTAGAGAACATTTATCTGCGATATTCCGGTGTACATGCTGCCACTGGGTCATATACATGGTTTATGCCACCATACCTATTCAAAACCAAGAATCCCATTCCAACATTGTTGCGTGAGATGAGAGGAGCGTCTGCGCGCGTTCTTGTGTGAAAGTCCATAGGAGCACTCAGATAGTCTCCATCGGTCCATTCGAAATATCTCGCATTGAACTGCAGAGAGTGAACCTGTTACTTAGCAAGCTTACTGCTTGGTTCAGCAGAGAATCCTCGTTGAAATCTCGAATCTGACCTTCGTCAGACGGTCGTTCAGCGCGGTGGCTTACGTATCTCGCGTGCGTCCATCGCGCGATATTCTCGATCTTGCAGGCACGCAAACCGCATAAAGGGGCCCTAGACATTGGTTTCAATGTTTGTTCTCTGGCTTAATCTACAAATTGATGGTGTCTAGTCCTTATGTGTGACCGCCGTGTTGTAGGCAATCAGTGGCGTAATATTCGCCACAGAAACGCTGTAAGATCACAATAGTATATTTCGTCATGTCATTTTACGCATTAATTATTTTGTAGTGCCGCAATTAAGTAGGATGTTGTGACTATGGGCATCTCTAGATAAATTATTGCGTCGACAATGGCGCGAGCCGTACGGCTTAGACGCTTAGCAGCTGCCGCTCAGCCTACTCCAGATCATGTTGGAGCCAGTCTGGCACGTTGTATTGCTCCTTTGACTGCCAATGTTCGAGTTTGGGGCTCGTCACTAGTTGAGCTCAACCCACATCTCTCACCTATCCTGATGCACAAAAAAGCACTGGCCTTCATCAGACGGTTTAAGAGAGTCAGATTGTGTGTTAATGGTCGTATGGTGGTGCCCAATGGTATACAACTGAGCTCATTGAGGCCTCAGCTTGCTGGAGGAGATCTGTTTATCGCAGCGCCGCAGCACAGTGGTAAAACATTTTTGTACTTGCTCCCCCAAGCCATTCACCATGCGTACACGAGAGTGAATGGAGCTGATAGCATTCATTATAAAACCTTGGTACTTGTACCAACATTAGATCTCGTTTTGCTTGGCAGCAGGAGCGCGGCTGGAGTCTTGAGACAGACGTCTAACGTATTGGCATTATACTACAGAGATGTAACCAACGGTCATTACAAAACCCTTATACCAAAGGCAGATATAATCTATACAACACCACAATGTGCTCTGAAAGCCATTTTGGGAGCCCCCAATGTATTCAAGGATCTAAGGGCGCTGGTCCTTGACGAGGCACAAAGGCTACTCAAGGTGCAGTCGGCTCCAACCGTTCTGCGTGTGAAATCTTTGTTGCAACCAGACATTCAGACGATTGTTTTGGCCCCTCGAAATGACCACATGCTACGAGAGATTGTGAGCCGAGCACTTAGGGTTGATATGAAGCTAATTTCGTTCTGCACGGAGTATGACGGCTACCCAGTGGCTCGCCATTTTTGGGGTCCTCAACGCAGTACCAAGTTTCATGTGTTGCGTGATGTAAACCTGCATGAGACATGCCCTGCGGAACCAACAAATGGTATAGAACTAAACGTCCAACAAAGCAGGACACGGGTTATCGAAAATTCCCAGACCAAGGATATCTTTGTCGATAGACATCACCAATCTGAATACATTCTCTACAACCCTTCAAATATAAGTCAACTGATATACTGGACGGCTACGCGTGGTACGAAGACAGTAATTTTCTTCCCCACTGTAAGGATGACGCAGTTCTGCTACATTTATTTCAAACATTTGGTGGGAATAGATAGACAGTTGCACGCACTTCACGGAGGATTATCGCCAGAGAAACGGAGATACACAATTGATTTGTTTTCGTCAATTGATGATGGTGTGTTATTTTGTACAGACATTGCATCCTTGGGACTCAATCTCGGCAAGGTCGATCTAGTGGTTCACGTTGGAGCCCCGGAGTCAGTGGATGTGCTGGCAGATCGTGCGAACATAGTTCAACGTGGAGATAATGATGGCAATAACCTACTTCTGTTACATGACCTGGATGCTCACGTGCTCTACGAGGCAGCACAACTCAACTGTAACATAACGCCGCGTCAAGACACTTGTCATGAAGGGGTCCATTTTGAGGTTCTACACTCTTGGGTTAACAATCCTTGTTACCTAGCATCATGCGAGCTTATGTATAGATCTTTGATTGGATACTACTGTAATCATGCATACCGACTCAAGTTTCAGCGCTGGCAGGTACCTAGTCTGATATACGAATTAATTCGTTCCTTCGGTTTCGAAAACACATTTAGTGTGACAAAACAGTTTGCTTCAAGGCTACAACTGTGGGACGCACCAGGACTCGTGGTAGAGAATAAATCGGCAAAAAAAACAGAACTTCAGGCCGCTGCAGCCGCCTACCCCGGCTTCCGGTCAAGGTTTTTGCAAACAAATACAGCTACATTCGACTATATGGCAAAAACATGTGCGTTGATTGGAACCTAAATTATATGAACTCTGCTGTAATCCACGTCGTTTGAAGCGCATCACATTATGCGCCTAAGGCATTCCACACTTAAGGTGATGCTGATTGTTTCAACCAATTTGGTTTTTTCAGTAGGTGATAAAAGTTAATAGAGAGCGCTTATTATGTAGGACATTTTAGCAAAGGCTCCACGTGCGACATTAGAAGAACTATTTTACAGTAATTTTGCCACGACACCGAAAGCGAACCTAATTTCTTCACGACTGCAACAACCCAAAATGGCCAATTTACCACTTTTGTAGATGATGCAAGTAGCGAAACGATTCTTACGTGTTGCGATACGGGTCAGTTCTAACTCAAGCTCACGTTCTAGCTCAACTCCGGCGTCCCATACAGGTGCCGGATCGAGCTCTTCCTTAGGTAAAGACTCTCCTTGAGGCTGCGGCAGGTCTATTTGTAACCGAAGACAGCTGCCGGATATCTTAGTAATATGATGTTTCGTGTCTATCCCCTTCTGGTGCAGTAACCTCAGATCAAGAGGTACATCGAAAACAACTTTGCAATATATTTGGTCAATCTTAATTTCCTGTACCGCAGCCTTCACTGGCAATACATCTTTATTGACTAGATAACACCATTGCAGGCCGTTTCCGTGTGATACTTCTCCAGGTTGCGTCATAACTTTCCATTTGGTGCGATACCGCAACTTGCATAGAACGCGTTTCAATTGCTCACGCGCTTGCAGCTCTGTCAAATTGCCCATCACAATCACACGGCCATTAGAGTAGATGCGACAGAGTGAAAAGGGAGAAAGTAGCACAATTTGAACTGCCAAACGTGAGTACTCACTCCGCGCGAAACTCCTCGCGATGTGAAGCAATTCATCTTGTTGGAATCCTCGTTTACTTACAACAGTTGACGCCCATATGACACACACTTCCGAGGAGACCACGTTACAACCTGCGTTTATTGCTTAAAGTGGCAGAAGGCATACCTGTTGGCTGACGACAAGCCCTCAACGACAGATCCTTCGAGTCATCAAGCATCGGCGACGTCAGACTAACAGTAATACATGATGCAATAGATGCAAAAAATTAAATATATGTGTTGAGACTTTGAATATGATCAATTCCTCCACATCGACGACGTCATGGAATCAGAGTGACCGTGCGGGTTACCTTGCGCTGCCGAATTCGGGAATCCGTAAAACGGCTGTTGAGCGGTGTAGAATCCAACCAAACCCGGAGGACTTTGTATACGTTCGTGTTGGTATCCGTAGTTCACGTACACCCCGTTCACATGATGGCGGTTGTCCTTCGGTCCGTAGTGGTCATGACCACCTTGTCTATATGTTTTGTGCTTGTCATTCTCATATCCATAGGTGAATGCCTGGTGCTTTGGGTTTGAGTAACGGTTACCGTAGTATCCCATCTGCCAGTGTCCATGGAAATTCCCATCATGGGCACTATCCTGTTGCATGTGCGAGCCGTAGCCTGGCCATGAATCCAACTGTTCATGCTGCTGCATATTACCCGGATCATGCGCAACTAGTGCGCTTCCATCGTGATGTAACATGTTGAGGCGACTAGCGTGATCCGCACGTCCCAAATGTGAACCCCTAAAATACTTGTGGTCGCGCCGTCCCACTGAAGATTGCTGATAGGAAGCAACGGGAGATGTCGGTGTCCACACATTTGTTTTCGGAGGTTCCTCGTCAAAGTATGTGAACATGGCAGATGCATCAATGCCGGCAGGCAAGGGCCTGGGCATGATAACGGGGGATACCTCATCAACTTCCACCGTCGCTGGGCGCGATCGCTGTTGTTGAGGCTTGTGATCTGGGTGGTGCTGTTTGGGTGGTGGTAACAACTTATTTTGAGAGGGTTGTTCAACCTTTGTCCGTTCGCTAACCTCCAGTTTCTTTAGGGCTTCCTCTGCCTGTGCGAGGGCCACAGCCTCCACATCACGTTTGGACTCTGGGGCCACAGCTTTCACCAGTGGTTCTGTCACCGCTTTCTCAATGGGTTTTTTCTTGGCCTTGGCTTGAGTATTCTCTGGTGGCGCAGCCGGTGGAGGTGGTGGTGCCGTCGCTGGCACGCTTGTATCATCTTCGCTTGGCTTCTTCAGTAATGATGCCCATTGCACAGGTAAGGCTTTCTTGATACCAGGCTGGTGATTCAACTTTTGTGGTTCCTTTCGTATCTCTTTAGGGGCTGCGTCTTTGCGTGCTTCTCGGCCCTCCTTCTTTTCACGTGAGGTCCTCGTTCGCTCCTTTTCAGACGAGTGTTGCTGCGCCGCAGCAACAACAGATAGCACGGGGGCCGCAGTAGTCACAATTTCCACGGTTTCTTTAAATATAGCAGTTTGTGCAACCTCACGAACATTGCGTTGCCGGCGCGGCGGTTTCACATCCGTGGACCGAGCGTTTTTCCCAGCGTCTCGTCGCATGCCATTACCCACAGTCCTCTCTCCCTTAGTTGACGGAAATGACTTCACCCTTTGTTGCGGTTTAACCACGGTCCACTCTCCCTGCTCATGACCTATGTTAATCTCCATGATGCGATCAACCTCTTGCTGGATCTTTTCCCCATTGTAATCGCAAGCCTTTACCAATTGTACGATCTCGGCATAGTTGTAGTTGTAGCGCTCCAGCACTGGCAACAGATTTCCGATCCACTTTTGGCTGCGCGGCGACCCAGGGTAAGAGAGCTCTTCGCGGTCATCCTTGTCGCGATTACTGTTTGACTTAACCTTAACCATCCTAAATATGAGTGAGTTCACGAATATCAAAATATATGTCAACAAATGGTGGCGGAATCGCAGACCATGGTTCACCAGAAGTGTCGTCGAGGTCCCACACACCTCAACAGGCGCCACACGAGCAAGATGGGAGATATTACAGCTTGATGATGCAGTTGGTTAGGGTAACAAAACATACCTTTCGTGCGGAAAATGCATGTGGGCCGTTAAATTCTGGTGATAATTGAAAGTGGCCTTCGTCACTTAAAACAGAACTAATAAAATAGTATAATAAAACCTCAGTTTTAATGAAAACGAGGTTGGTTACGCTGGTTTTTGCACAACAGGGCGTAGACTGGAGGGCCAGTGTAGTTGTGAGGGAGCGCGCGATCGATGACTGCGAAATAACTTTTTTGGTACTGTCTGTAGGTAACAACTGTCAAAGTATAGTTCCTCTTACGATAATGCGTCGTTGGTGTAATCACGGCTCTCATAATACGTCGGCTCCACTCGCCGCGTAGGCCGAAGGCGGTTTGGCTATTCTCTGCCGCCTCTTCTATCATACCATAAGCCATTGAAAATAAAGGTGGTGACTTGCTGGCTAGTGCCCCAATAGACGGTTTAACGGAAGCTTTAATAAAGACAAAAAACCCCGGTGTAGCTGCAGTCACCGTCAACTACTACAATTTATCCACCAGATCAATGCGTAAATGCGATACGCACAAATAGTTGTGGGACCAGCCGGTAGCGGCAAGACCACATATTGCAAGGCTCTTCAAGATTACCTGACAGCGTGCAGACGACGCTGTCACATCATTAACCTTGACCCTGCCACTGAGGAGGACGTACATTTCGAAGGTGACAAGGGTAAGCAGAAGTCAAGCCACAAAGAAGGTTAGGTGTAAGGGTCCTATGTACGTGATGTTGCAGAATACAGCGCATTCGACACCGACATTCGTGACTTCGTCGATATAGGCACAGTAATAGAAGAAGATGAGCTCGGACCGAACGCTGCACTTGTGAGAAGTGCGGAGATACTCACAGACAATATAGAATGGCTCGCTGATCAAATCGAGGAGACGTATAGTGACGAGTCTTATTTGCTTTTTGATACGCCTGGTCAGGTCGAGCTGTTTGTTCACCTTTCCTATGTCAAAAGCATATCGCAACTCTTGAACAGGCTCAACATTAACGCGGTGGCGGTATTTTTGTTAGATGTCAGCTTCATGACGGATCCCACCAAACTTATAGCAGGCTCCATGGCTGGCCTCGCGGCAATGGCAAACCTCCAAATGCCGCACATAAATGTGCTAACGAAATGTGACCTGCTTTACGAAACAAGTGCCGATGGTAACTTCAGGTTGAGACCCTTTGTCGACATCACAAGCAGCACGTTTGGATTGTCTGCGGAGGACCTAGCATTCCAGAAAAAAATTTTTGCCAAAAATGTCCATCACAACGTGTTAGATGAAGGCAATGATGAATCTCAATACGAATACTTGGGTGAAGAATGCGACGGAGGAACCACGGTGGACTACGATACCCTTTGCGGAATGATAAACCGCGGTCCTGATGAACTCCTTGGCTCTCTGGACTCTCACCTGCCACCCAAATACAAGGGTTTGAATTCGGCATTTGTTTCTCTGCTCGAGGACTTCAATTTGGTCACATTCATCCCGCTCAATATCAATGACGAGGCTTCTCTTGAGCAGATAGTCGTGGCAACGGACATGTCGCTGCAATACGGAGAGGACGCCGAGCCGAGGACAAACTTTGACATGTTTGCCGACTAAAATATCTATTAAATGTCGATGCGAACAAATTTTAGTGTTTATTAGGCAAAACGCCTTATTTGGCAATTTAACAATTCGTTGATTCATGTTACTTAGAATGTATCATCCCTCTGGTCTTCCAGCGGCAGCACATGGTACTTTGTCGGGACATCAGCAGCATCTGCAAAAAATCATGCGATTGAAGCGGTAGCTCACCAGGCTGTTTCACGCCAGAGGGATCTGGATGATAGAGTGCGTTAATTTTTTGGAGGAACTCCGACAGGAGTGCCCGCGAGTCTTCAGTGACGTCAGACGCCACCGGAGAGTTGATACACCGCATTTGGCAGCTCACTGGGTATTGTGAATCCTGCGATCCCGCGTTGAAAGTTGTTGACATGCTTAATACACAGCACGTTTCACAAATGTTTTTATTACAGTCGTAACCATCATAGGATGGATCATTAGCACATTTTAGCTCAATAGCGCCTGCATAAGTTGGTAATTATAGAAAATAAGAAACATACGAAGACGCGCGAAGGAGCAGCCGCACTGCTGCGGAATGTCCTGTTTCTCGGAAAAGACATTATTAAGGATACAAACTTGGCCTGCGTATAGTCAATCGTCACAGCGAAAGCCAACGCACTGTCATATCGATCGTTCAAAGAGAAAATCTTAGCAATCGGCAGCGGAACAATATTGCGTTCCATAAGCTGCTTGAAAGACGTAAGTGACGCACCGCCCAGAATGCCAACAGATACGGCAAACATAGTCGACATACATCCACCAAAAATCATGAATAGGTGGAGATTCGGCGATATTCGCATCTTGTCATTCAAAACAGACTTCACAGAAGGCGATATTCAAAGTTACAACGGTGACGGAGCAAACAACTTGTCGTATGACTCTAACACTAGGTACCTCTAATCCACTAGTTCATTGAGTTTGTCCCTTGGAATCGAAGGCGTCGGTAAAGTTGCTCCGAAATTCTGCGGCATGTTTATGAGGGTTTGAGGAGAGTGTCAGAGCATGGAAAAAACTTACGTGGAGATTGGGCTAGGCCATTTATGTAGTCAGTTTGTTTAACGTTGAGCTTGTACCTGGCGAGCGCGTTCTCACGGTATGGACTTTTGAGGCACCTGTTTGTTGTTGAGCGCGTTACTAGCCAGCGTGAAAAACAGATCAATATACCAGATTATTCGTATATCGACAAAAAATCGCACATTTTGGCCACGGCTCAGCAACTTATGGAATACGCTTTAAACCTACTTGCACAGAACTTCAGCCATCTCCAGGGTATATCTCGAGAACGATGACTTAGCAGAACGCCACATTTCGAAAAATATTAAAATGTTTTTTGTCCATGGAAAAAAGACAGTGATAGGCAGCGCACTAGAAGGGCGCTGCCACCACATGTGTATCTGGAATCCTGATTCACAATCAAAGGAAACAGATACAGAAAATGATACTTCACACTCGCAAACTGTTTTCACAACTGGCAAAAACTGCCTTACCATCAAATTATTGTTTTCAACGCCAATTTTCTTATATACGGAACGTTGCCGTCGTAGCACATGTTGACCACGGTAAAACAACGCTTGTGGATGGGTTGCTTCGTTGCAGTGGAGAAAACATCACACATAGACGTGCTTTGGACAGCCACGCACTGGAGAAGGAAAGGGGAATCACCATATGCTCAAAAGTTACACGAGTGCTGTGGTCAGGTCACACATTCAACATTGTAGACACGCCTGGCCACGCGGATTTCGGCGGCGAGGTGGAACGCATACTCAACATTGTGGATTGCGTATGTCTGCTGATAGATGTCGTAGAAGGACCGAAACCGCAGACCACGTTCGTACTACGAAAGGCTCTTGAGAATCCAGCTCTAAGGGCTGTTGTAGTGATGAATAAATGCGACCGAGAATGCAATAAAACACAAGAGGATATCGAAAATGAATTGTTTGAATTGTTTGTTAACTGCGGTGCGTCGGATGAACAACTTGAATTCCCGATTCTCTTTGCATCGGCAAAAGAAGACTGGGTATCGCTCTCGTACCCAATCGACCGGACGAAAGTATCTGGCGCTTCATTAATCCTCGAGTCACTAGCTATGGTGGCACCGCCTCCAGTGGTAGCACCTCACGCGTATTTTACGTTGCAAGTATCACTCCTCGACTTTGACGAAGGTTGTACACTTGTCACGGGCAAGGTAAACAGTGGAAGTCTTCAGAGAGATGACACGTTACAGTTGAAGGATTGCACTGGTAAACTGAAAGGACACACGGTGGTTAAGGATATATTTGTTGCAAAACGTGATGGAAGGGTTAAATTGGATGGTATCGCCCGTGTCGGTGACATAATAACAATCCAATGTCACAAGGGCACAGCTCCAGACATCAACGATACGCTAGGATCACAATCTATGTTTGAACCTTTACCACCAGTTAAAATATCTGGGCCCGTTATTTCTGTTGTTATTTCGGCAAACACCAGTCCACTGGCTGGTTCCGATGGTAAACTGCAGACCACTGCTGAGATCGGAAAGCGTCTAATATACGAAGCAAAACGTAACCTCACCATTCAGGTGGTACCAACTGCTGATAAGGATGCATATCATGTAAATGGTCGCGGAGAACTCCAGATTGGGGTGTTGCTAGAGAACATGCGCCGCGAAGGTTTTGAAATGACCGTATCTCCGCTCTCAGCCATCACCACTACTGGTGAAGATGGTATTGAGATGGAGGCACTGCAAGAGTTACTTGTGCTGTGTCCCAGCGAAATGGCACCAAACGTGGTAGACTTGTTGGCATCACGGGGAGTAGAGGTGGTCTCATATTCAGGTAAGGGGTTGTTGTATACAATGCAACATTGCGCAGACTGTCAGGGGGGAGCCGAGAAATTCACGCAGATGGAATTTATGGGTACTACAACCCAATTCCTAGGACTGATGATTTCGCTGCGTGATATCATGAGAGGGCGTGGTGAGATCGCTGTGTCGACCGTTGGCTATCGGCCTCTTCAGAAAAACATTCAAACGTCCCGAAAAAATGGCTCACTCATATCAAGTTGCGCCGGTATCGCAACTCCTTATGGTCTCGAACCTGCTATGTCTAAGGGTACTCTTTTCATATGCGAGGGTACTCGTGTCTATGAGGGGATGGTTATTGGCGAATCAAGTACTGATAATGACCTACATCTAAACGTGGTGCGCGTAAAACCTGTCACTGGGATGCGAAACAAAGGGAGCGAACAAACCATAAAAATAGTCTCTAAGCAACTCACTGTGGAACAGGCACTGGCGTTCATCACCCACGACGAACAGCTAGAGTTGACTCCCAAACGCATTGCGATCAGAAAAAAACAACTAAGTAGGCGGTAGAAAACCCTGTTTCAGTTTTTTCATCGATAAATTAGGATGCGTACGATAATCGCATGGAGCCGAGGTTGCGAAGATTTTCTGACGCCTTTTGCGAGTGGTACAAGACCTATAGACGCGTGCTTTATCACGATGCCAAAGCTGCATTTGGAGTTCAAATGGCCACATTTGCCGTGCCATATGGATATTATACAGTAATTGATAAGTGGTGATACGCTCGAACATACCGTATACCGGATTACTCACATACCGGGGCACATTTCTGTTACTTCGAGATAGTCCGCATTTGGAACACTTTAAAACACGTGAAACCACTATGATGATCACTACGTGAGGGCTTTGATGTTGCATATTCAGTGTAATCGGTGGTGATTATGATCTACTTAGGCGAGGTGGCGGACCGCCTTTCGTGGTGTACGTCTCCTGTACGGAAACGGCCTTTAGCGTCGTACTTGAGCATTATCAATATTTATAAGTTTAATATCTCGTAAATTCAGGATATGTATTGTACGGTTTTTTAATAATATTTGGCTTTTGTCACTTTAACTTTGGCTTACAATGGCAATACCAACTGCCGATTCGGATCTTTCGAACCCCGACGACCACTATGTCAGGAGTGAAGAAATGGAAAGAGATACGGCGCTAATAACGAGGCCGCCTCAACATTGCAGATTCCACAGGAAAATAGTATATATCTTCGTGATTTCGGCACTTATTGGAGCAGCTCTGTCCACCGGGATCTTCGCGCTCATAAAATGGGCAGGACGCAAACCAACCCACGATGGAGAAATGAGAAAAGGAGTAAAAGGTGATATCGTTGGCTCTCGAACTCCGTCCGACATTGTCAGTGAGCTTTCTGAAATGCATCACCTTGGCGGTATCAGCGTAACCAGTCCTTGTGAAGTTGCCAAGTTCATGGAGTTCAAACGTCTAGCCCAATTATACAAAAAAGAGTACGACGACATAACTGCGAAGCATGCGGGTTTCTTAAAGTTCCGGCGTAACCTGGAGGCAATAGAGGAACACAAAAAAAACCGTCAAGCCACCTACACAAAAGGATTGAATCACTTATTCGACATGGATATCGAGGAAATAACTGCTAAACTGTTTCCGCGAACCTACGTGGACGATGGGTTAGCAAACATTAATGTTGTCCATCCTCACGTCGTGGTGGGCGAAGATAATAAATCCAAGTACACTGCCCTTAAGGGTCATGGAGAGTACACTAACATTATAAAACTTGGTGAAAACGTCACATTTGAAAATGTCGACTGGCGCAATGTTGGAGGCGTGTCCGAGGTAAAGGATCAGGGACTGTGCGGTTCGTGCTGGGCATTCGCCGCTGTAGGTGCTGTCGAAAGTGCTTTCAAGATTGAAAGGAAAATCCACGTAAGTCTGAGCGAGCAGGAGCTCGTCAACTGTGAGACCGGAGGTGACGGGTGTTACGGAGGATACAGTGACCTCGCGTTGAGTTACATCAGAACAAACGGAATTGGTTTAACAAACGTATGGCCTTACGAGGGGAAAGACGGCGAATGTGTTCCCCATGACGGTGCAAGATATTATATAACTGGCTACGTGGGCGCCAGAGGCATAGAAATTGCATCTAAACTCCTGGTGCGTGCTCCTACGGTGGTGTACATAGCAGCCACTGACGACCTAATGTTCTACAGCGGAGGCATATTCAATGGTGATTGTGAGGGAACTCACTTGAACCACGCCGTGCTTTTGGTAGGAGAAGGCTATGATCCTGAATTGAAGAAACGCTTCTGGCTTCTCAAGAACTCCTGGGGAACCAGCTGGGGAGAAAATGGCTTTTTCAGGCTCGAACGTACTGGCACGGACACCGACAAATGCGGAGTGCTTTCCTTCGGTTATATGCCATATGGCACGTATTAAGTTTTCTAGCTAAATTAATATTCTATAGGGGATCGAAAGACAATTATTTTAGTGTTTTGATCACTCGATGTATAAGTTTCGTAACGATACGGCACGTTGCTAGTGAAAACATCTGGAAATGTTTGTCGTCATGTAGCATATCCCCGTTTTCTCAACATTTTTTCGCGTTGCGAAAACGTAGATGGTTTACTCTACGGTGCTGCATAACGTAAAGTATCAAATGCTACATTACAGAAACATCATACACCTTCATAAAACAGAACCTGTCTTTTCTAATAAAATCCGTTTGCGATGTTTTAAAAGTAACTATGCTTCGCCTTGGGTGTACACATCTCCGAGATGCAGCCATCACTTGTTGGTTATGTGGAGAGTAGCTGGCCTGAAGTAGTAACGCTAATAGATAGATATCACACTAATAGTTAATCTTCCACCAAATTACCGCTACTACACGCTGTAAAATGGGTCCCATCTGTCACCATTGTGGCCTGTGCCCACACCCTTGGTAGCGCAGCGCGTCTGTACACTTGTCAATGGCGCGCGTTTGCATGGCATTGCTGCATCATAAATATGCATCCCCTAGTACGCCGCAACTGGATGCTATAAGATCGGCTATTAGCGCAAAGTTGCAACCTATATGTTTCCACATTAAAAATGATCCTAACTACGCTACTTATGTCTACGATGAACACTTTTACGTAGGTCATGTGTCAATATGTTTCACAGTGCGAAGGGTGTCATCTGTTCACCTCTTTTTGAAGGAAAGACATATGCCGAAATGAACGCTATGGTGGACCAAATACTGGAACCTCTGGGTACGTTTATATTGTAGCTGTCATTGATACGGTATATTCCATAGGTTTAAAGGGGTCTATAAGGCTTAATTGTCAGCCACCGTCGCGTTTCTTCGTAAGTTAACTGATGACCCAGAATCGATTTTCTGTTAGAAATTACGCAATCATCTTCGCTGGCGCTGGAATCTTGATAAGTGATCTAATCCTTAGAATGATATACACTGCATACTATAGGGTTGAAATGATAAAACATACCACTTAATATGAAAGATGTCAAATAAATACATGACTCTGAAACTATGGCAATTATCCAAAACGTTGCCGCAGCTCCTGTAGCTGAATTACAAAACGAAAAATTAGGTTGCTCACCTTTGGATTCTGGAATTTCGCCACCGATGTGAAGAAATTTTGCAAACCCGTTGATTGGCCCTTCTCCCAGAATTGCAAGCGTTATATAGAGAGCGCACTGTGTATAAGAATTAGTTGAACTCGGAATTGACTCTTACCAGCATTGACTGAGATGCCGTATAAGATCTAAGGTAACGAGAGCTTTTTGTAGCAAGTATAACAAATGATAGATAGAAGGTGCCGCTGCGGAATCTTTTGCTTTGGGTTTTTAACGCACCATACAACGGGGGCAATGAGAATGATATTGAAAAGGCTGTAGAGTATCCGCATAGGAGATATCCCGAAGCTCTGCATAAATGTGAATCTAGTATGTTTCCAGCACTCACAGCGAGGATAATTACGTCTAATAGGTTGAGCGACAGAGCTCCGTATACAATGAACGTAGCATAATGGGCAATCCGAGATAGGTTAGAAGCTTTGGCATCCAATTCACGGGCGTTGTAGTGGACTAGATTTAAACCCTGCAGCTTTGTTGGAAGCTCGGTCACGCAAAAAACACTAACCCATGGGTAGTTTAGATGGTTCCATTCAATGTTGGAGGTGGTATCTTCATTAGCCCCAACGTTTTTGTCTGATGCTAAGAGGTCACTCTTGTTTTTAGCGAAATTGGTCTTGGTGTCTTTGAACACATTCTGGAGAGCCACTTTAGATATTTTCAGTGCTATCCCCATGGCGCTGTTACTAAACTGTTATATTTAACTCCCTTAAGGACGTAATGTTTCCATCCGATGAATTTTCGGTCTAACCTTTAAAACACGGATGAGGAATATTTCCAGATCTACGAATGGTGTAGGAAATGTATAATAGAGCAATTAAACATAATATCAAATCGCGGAATGTAAAATGACCAATTGGATCCTAACAAAATACTGGCATAGGTAAGGCCGTCAAAAAAATGAAAGTCTGGAAGTTTCCGATGACAACCTGTTGTTTATAGTCACTAAGGGCAGACATAAATGCATAATAACGACTTTCGCAAAGAATTATGTTTTTATTCATGAGCACGCTTATATGTGCTGGTTACCATCTTTTTCTTCGCTATGGTGAAAAGATACTAGAGATAATTTTTCTTTGACACATTGATGTCAGTGATCCCAGTACTCGACTAACGAGATCTATCAGAGTCAAGATACTGCCGGTTGTCCAACGAGATCTATAGTGATAATAAATACACATTGGAATTATTTTAACCACTAGTAATAAATGCGCTTTTAAGCTGCGATGCTCTACGACCGGTTGCGTTGGGAAACTTACACAACGGGATATATTTATTTTGATTTTTTCATACACACAAGATAATCTTTCGACCATTATACGTGGGTCTTTGAAGATTCAAATAGGATAACGTGTCAGCGGACTTGCCAATCACATTGAACACAAGTTTGTTAGCGGGTGCAATTGTCAACAGCACTCCTGTAAACAATATCAAGCAACATATGCGCAATTGGTACATTAAGCTACATAAAATGATGTATAGGTGTATATCTGTCATCTTGATAACATTACTTGGTTTTATCATCCCTAGTGACGCATTCGATATGCATGAATGGGCACAGGCTCCTGCAGACACATCGGGTATGAAAAGTGTGGATGTTGCCCATGAAACAAGCAAAGCCGATGAACTTTCAGTGGCTGAAGAGGGTGTAAAGGCAATGGATGGATCCACTGAGGCCGACGAGTTGGAGAAGGCGCTTAAGGAGTTACATGATCAGACATATTTCGGGGTGGTACACGATGAAAGGCCAGAGGATCATAAAACTGGCGTAAAATCGGAAGAACATAAAAATCTTCACGAAAATGATGAGGCGAGTAAGAAATCCGAACAACCTAAAATAGAAATTCCAAATGGTTCCAATGAGGGTACGAAGGTGATCCCCCAAATGGAACATGAAATTAAAGAACATAGTATTGCATTACCTGAACATCATGCCGAGGCTAGCGTGCCTGTATCAGTGAACGACGTTACGTCACTAATCCCTAAAACGCCCTCAGACGAGCACAATACCACATCAGGTAATGAAGATACCTTTGTCAACGACACTACACCAATCGCCCGAAATATGCGATTAAATACGATGGCGAAAATAGACGAAACTATCGAGAAGCTTGACAGTCGTTTGCAGACATTCTTAGAAGCAGTATCTGAATCTTCACATGACTTAAGCTACTATCAAAGCTTACTGGAGAACGCTTATGAAACATTTTGCAGAGAGATAAATGGCGATCTTACACCTTTAGGTGCTAGATACCCACGTAATGAGGGTGATGTAACACCGGTAACCGTTATGATTAGCGCCGACATGTCTAGCGCCATTCGCCGCAGTTTTGACACTAAGGTGGAAGTTTTAGAACTTGCGGCCTCTGAAGTGGCCACACAAAAATCAAAGGAAACGGGTGCAAGAACTATTCATGATGCCCTAACAAACGGTTTGATAATGGTGAGGAGTACCATTGCTTCGCCTGGACTAACGATACACAGCACTAGCAACGAGATGAAAAACATGAATGCAATCATAGCAGATATGTCAAAGTCTCTTTTGGCTGACATAATTAAGTGGACATTGCAAGAAGATGTTTTGAAAAAGCAACTATTCGCCAAGATTGTAGAACGAGATGAATTCATTAAGGCACATAAATCCGACATCAACGTCGATAAGTTTACACAAGAAATACGTAAAATCGCTGGAGATTTCCATATAGCACAAAACGAAAAGGCAGGTGCCATTCAGAAACAAAACGGGTTTAAGGAATACCTGGATGAAATGCGCGAGGATATAAACACCATCCAACGGCTGATAGACACTTACTTTGCCACAGTCCACAACGGACATGCAAAGGCAATAATAGCAGAGGCTAACAACGAACTCAACAAGGACGGTCAAGCTGAAAGCGAGTTGAGACTGCGATTAGCTCAAGAAAAGGTACATAACGATGCTATCCTTAAATCGGAAGACACAGGAGAACACTTCCAGTGTCCCCCAAACTACCGTCCACTTGATCCTAGCAAACCAGCAGGAGACGGTAATCCATGTGGACGATTCATTAGACGCCAAGCAGACCAGTCAACTCATGTCTAGCAATCCGTCGTCGCGATTACATAATATGGGAAACGACAAAATCGGAATATAAATTAAACCAGATCTAAATTAACATGTATTTTTATGTGGTTTAAATGTGTAGAAATTCTATAAGGTTTTACGTGCCGTTTATGTCACACATTGGACGTAAGCAAGGTAAATTTTACCTCTTAACATCGCTGCCTACTGACGGCTTACAATGTGCCGCTAGTGTGTTTATGGAACCGTATAAAATGCACGGTGTCGTATGCGTAACGAACGGTTTTGCTCTGAACAGCATTTATCCAACGAGTCATGTTAGTCACTTTGCTCGGTCGTTCTAATGTCGGCAAGTCGTCCCTGTTTAATGCGTTGGCAGCAAGGAACACCTTGGTTCCGAGTTTCATGAAGTCCATTGTGTCCGACAAGCCCGGGACCACGCGAAATGCGAAACATGGGCAAATATACATAAAAGGTAGACGGATAACCCTGGTTGACACGGGTGGCATCGACTCTCTCTTTTCACGGCCAACCGCCGGTTCTAGTGCATACAACAGAGATCATAAAACTGTGGACATTGAAGAAAACGCCTTAAGAACAGCTGAAAAGTCAGATGTCGTGCTATTTGTTGTCGATGGCCAAGAAGGAGTAACGCCTCTAGATATGAAAATCGCTCGGAAACTACAGACTTTGTCCGAGAAGACGCCTAAAAGCTTCATTTTGAAGTTAATACTCAACAAGCTAGATTGTGAAGGTACTGAAGAGTATTACGAGACCCTGAGTAAATGCTTGTCGGATTGTTACTCCCTTGGGTTGGGAGACCCAGTCTTAGTGAGCGCAGACAACCGAAATAACGCCCAAAACGTACGAGACACTCTCGCCAGAATATTGGATTTATCGTGCGACAGTAGAATTCGTGATATGGAACAGTTGGCGCTACTCAACGCCGTCCCTGGCTTTTACTCTGACTATCAGAGTCAAGATACTGCCGGTTGTCCGTATGATGTTGAAATTAATAAATCTATACGTGTTTGCTCTACTGTTAACAACGCATTAAATCTGAATGAACGATGGATCAGACATCTAGGTAATGTCTGCGATTCGTTACCCTTCTCCGTTGCAGCTGATGGGGGATATGTCATACCCTCTGCCTTATCGCCAGGGGAAATGTTGGCCAGAATGTACATTCCTAAAGCAAGGAAAGATTTTGAAGATCTGGAGAATGAACAGCAAAGTAAGTCAGTGGCATTTTGTGCCCCTGAAACGGAAGAAATAAAGTCGAAGGGTAACAAAACTTACGTAACGCCAAACAAGATTCGACCGATACGCATAGTATTGTTAGGAAGTGTTGGAGGTTGTCAAGCAAAGCTGGCTGACTTCCTGTCAGATTGTAGAAGCGATACTGGCGTAAGCTCCAGCTTTCTTAATGAACCTTTATCTCCAAATTGGCACCAGTTCAATGGTGAATGGACTCGTCAAGATACGGAACACGATATAGTTCAACCCGTGGAAATCTACATGACGGCGGCACTGAACTTGGGAGGTAGTATAGGGAAAATTGCATCTATCCAAACGCTGAATTTGATGCGCAGGGCAGACGTTGCAATAATGTGCTGCGGAAACACAGACGAACGTAAGCCATGGGAAGTAACACTAACCAAACAGGAAACTTCATGGATGGCCCGCCTCTTCCGCCTACACAAACCAGCAGTTATTGTGGCCCCAGTTACGCAGTCACTGAAAAGGAAAATGGTACTTGATATGTTCCCAAGAAGTCATGAATTTGCATCTATACCCATACATTCCCTTCTTCTTTCAGACTCAGATCTGGACGCCACTCACGGAAATATGCCCTTGGAGATTCAAAATAGAGCGCTCAGAAACCTCAAAAGGGGTATCATATCTCTAATAGATAGAGCCGGTAAGGTGATCGAAACAAACGTATTGAACAAATGGTTGCGAAGCTTCCTGGAAAAGTGGCCGCCACCTTGGCACGATGGTGCGAAGGTGAACGTGAAGTTCGCAGCTCAAGAAAACGCAAACCCTCCTACATTCGTTATTTGGTCGAATGTTTGCGGTGTATTACCTGACCATTACATGAGACAGCTGAAACGAGCTATTTCAGAGGAGTTTGGATACCAAGGAGTACCATTAAAGTTTATTTTACGTACGACCGCCAAACAAAAATCGACTAACCGCGTGCACAATCTTTCGTGGAAACGAAAACTGCACGATGTATAAAAATTCGTTTCATGTAGAGGATATTTGAAGGACGTGCAAGAGTAATGGGCAATCGACCATCAACCACTCACGCTTACGAACCAAAAGAATTCGATACTGGTCGCACAAACCCTTTAATAGATTACGTTGGTTTTTACTTATACTGTCAGACTTGGTATATATATATATATATATATATATATATATATGTTGGTTATTCGTGTTAAGTGACAAGTGAAGGCGGTATTTTTCGCCGAGCATTTGTCGAATGTGATCCATTCACAATGGCAAAGTAATCGTTCTGTTCAATCTACCGGGTCTTATGAGTGCTTCAGAAAGTTGGTACGGGTGTTTGTCGCTTGTTGCAACGATGAGCAACGGGCCATTTGCTCCTACATCAGTAGTAGCATGGGACAGAGGTAGTATTGGATCAGACTTAGAAACACTGTCAAGTAACAAAAGAAGAGTTGCAAGCAACCTACGGTCCAAGCTGCTAAGGTCATCTTTTTCGCTTTGAAAGTGGTGTATGCCCTCGATACATACGCAAGTTAAACCCTCTCCAACGTTTGACACCGCTGATTCGAACATCGCCACCAAACGCCGTTCACTTTCACCATAGTATGGTGACAAAATGTCTTCTATACGTATAATGTGCAGATGGAGTTTGTCATAGATGCCTGAACTAAAACGGTTAGTGAGGTTGGTTTGAAGAGCACGAAACCACCGAATAAAGCGTTTGCCACTGTCCACACCGCACAGCAGCAGATGTTCCACACATCGCAAATTATATGAACGGTAGTACTCATCGTAATATAACAAAGGGATAAAGGCGTCCATCAAAGTGTTCTCGAACGTCGAGCAAACTTCCGAGTCTACAGCCTTAGGGGGACCTCTACAATCGAGGATTCTTAGCGTAGATGGTACATTGTATTCATAATCTGTGATATGATGTAAGCAGAATTGAATTTGTTGATCGTACCTGTCGATACCTTTATGGAAGAAAGGGGTACACCAAACAGGCTGCATACTTCCTCAAGTGCGTTTAATATGAGTTGCATATGCCGATTCGTTACGTACCCGCACCTAAAAAGGGTGAAATTTAATTCTTTCACATCGCCTCCAGATGTGTAGCGATTTACGAACCAGTTTACTAATTTCAATAGTAACGACTCCCTAGGGTCAGCCAACAGTGGATAGGTAAAGAGGCATACTAGATCAACACAGAAGTGATTCGTGCGTTTTTGCATTATTTAATTTATTCACATTATTTACCGGGCTGAATTGCAAGTAATTATTGGGGCAAATGTGAAGTCGCCGGCTGTCTAGTCCCTGAGATACTTACCATCCTTCGCTAATTTGGCCGTGTGCGATAAGGCCTCCAGTTTCTGATGTGGATTTGCCCTGTAACCCAAATCTACTTCGTCTTGCCATAGATAATCCAGGCCCATCCCCTTCAGGAACTCGTACCGCTCAGGATAATATCTCCGCAGAACCTGGATCTGGTCTATGGCGGTGTAAAAGATGTAACCAAGCTTCAATCCTTGAATTTCTTCCGGTTTACCCCATTTGGCTACGAGTTCAGCGTTAGAAATAACCATTTGAGGTGGCATGTCCATGATGGGATGTCCCCGTATATTTATATACCACAGAAGCCCAAGTGCCAATTTGTCCCAAGTGAAGGTTAAATACCTCAAACCGTCTCCCCAATCGAATTGCAGATAATCCAGCACGTCGCGACGGAGCCAATGTTGTTTGGCATCTATATCACCCTTTCTGAACTTGTCTAACCAAGAACCCAGTGGAAGCCCCCAAAATTCGGGGGGCCATTCCTCTTCACTAGGCACACTCCATGCGGGTGTAAGAATGTTGAAAGTGATTGGAACGAATGGCGTTCCGTGTTTTTCGCTCTCAATAAGCATTTCACGGTTATAGTCCATGTACATGTCCTGCAGCAATATGAACCAAAACGAAGTTCACCTACATTGAAAAGAACCATACATTTTATTATATCCTCAAAGGTCCAATGGTAAAATGAATAGTGGTGTCCACCTTCTATCTCGTCCCTGGTGGGTTTTCTCATTAGCACAGACGATGTTCTGGCTTGCTTCAACTCGAGCAAGTTGGTGAGGATGCCTTTCAATAGTGCTGGGCGTACACGAGCGCGATTTGACGGATCTGGTAGCACTTGTTTTTTGTTGAAATCCATTTTATCGCACTCATGTTTGTAGGTGGCATTGAAGCCATCAATCAATACCTTCTTCACATGCTCTATACGTGCTAGATCGCATTCCGTGTCCTCGTTGCTATCAATTAGTGGGAAACCAAAGTCTTTTATCTTCCCCATCTGACGTATTCTGGATCCCACACCCTTTAAGGTTGCTACAGCCCGGCTCCATTCCTGCTGTGTCTTCAGATAGGTGGTTGTGGGAAAGCCGATAAGCCACAGCAAACGTGGTGCCTCAGTGACGTCGCAGATCGTAAATTTATCTTGGAGCAGTTCTGTGGAAGAGGTCGCTTTATTATAAAGGTCGACATCTGTATCGTGCAACTTTATGTTCTCCAGTAAGGACCTCAATTCGTCACCAAGCCTATATCCTTTTAGTTCAGGTGCGTCCGCTTCACCAAACGCAAATGTGGGATCCACTAGATAGTCTCCGTACTTTTCCTGAATCATCTTTTGTTAAGAGCAGTAAATACACTTACACGATATAGCAGAAGTGCAATTAATATCTTCCACAGCCTACGAGATATCTTAGTGTTACCAGATTTAGCACCTGTGACATAAGCGGAATTTCCAGCATATTTCTTTAGGCGATCTGTATCGTTTTGTGACGGTCCTTCAACTGCAATTGCTCCACTTAGCTCGTCCTTCTCAGTGCCAAATAATCGGAGAGTGGAATCATTCGCACATTGGCCATCAAAGTTTTGGGGGATAGACGCATCGGTAGCTGTGATGCCTTCCAAAGGCTCGTTGTTCGTTCCAGCCCGCTCATAGGTTGTGAAGAGTGGTAATAGGCTTCCGCGGCGAGTTATATTCACGGCGTGTCCGTGACGAAGTGTGTATATGTGATAACGCCAATAGCCACTGACTCCGTGTACCAAGGGAACCAACGAACCTTGGTAAACAAAGGAGTTAGCAACATTTAAAAACTGAAACAAAATAAATTTCAGATCTAAATACATAAGTCGTCAACGCTGCAACATTCCACTGTGGGCCGTTACAGAGTTACTCTACGCAGGACAAACGATTGCTTATGCTTTTACATATTTGGTGTATTAAACAGCAAGTTACATTTTTTACACATTACAATGGATGGTCATATTGCGATAGTTCGTCAATGTGGTGACCATGAATGGCCGTCTTCATTAGCTCTGAATAACAATGTGTAGGCTTACTTCACTCAGCAAAGCACACAAATGGCACCGAAGAACAGTGAAAGGCGTGCTTATATTTATAAATTAAAATTTTACAAGCAAATATCCGTGCAATTAAGTTCATGATGCCGGTACAAGATATTAACGTGGAAGACGATAAAGATATTGGCTTTAACTCACATAAAACACAAATACATCACTCCTTTGCGATATCGCTGCACACGGTATTCAACAGATTGAGTCACGATTTATCGGTGAAACCCAGAGCAACCGCGCCTCTGAGCATTTAAAGCTGCGACATATTGGCTCTGTCTTGGAGCACGGAATTTTCCCCATCCAACAGGTACTAATATGTGCAGCTCGCGAATCTGGTACAAAAATGTGTGGCATAATCGGGAGAGTACCCTAGACGTACGTTTTGATAGTGCTAAAATTAAGTGTGAGTTCACTTGTGTAATGGCTGCTGGCTATAGGGGGGCCTCCAGCTCACTGTCCCTCACTTCGTTAGCCTGAGCGAATTGGATGAAATGTAAAGGCCGATGTACTGGGTCGTAAAATGGTCGTGGAACCTCGACCTGTAGTTGATACTGCATATGCAGGGAATGCTTTGCTCCCATAAAGTTGTAATTCCATGCGTCATCCGCCGGAACAAGGAAAAATCCTTTGTACTTGTCAGATACCAAAACCTGAACCGGAATAAGAATATCTGCTGTGTTAGATACATCCTTGCTTATTAACGCATCAGCGGTAAGACGGTGAGCTGAAAACGCACAACTACCCCTTACGAAAGTGCAAGCAGTTAAAACTGCCGCAACATCCCAACTAAAGTCGTTCTGTAGACGCTTGTGTGTCTCCAGAGCTTCTGGAGATAAAGGTCCGTCAGTTGGTCGTGTAATCAACCAACCCAAAGGTTCCAGGCCATCCAGAGCCTCATGCTGAGGTGCTTGCTTTGGCAACTCCGCTGTGAACGAGTTGCCTGTCTGAGGTACAAATACCATACATGCCACCTCCCTCACAATCGAATGACCGCCAGCCAGATTGCTACTACGGTTATCGTCTGCTTCTCCATCCACATTTGTAATCTTTCCATAGATATATACCGCAACAGTCGTGCGCAAGTCAGAAACTACCACCAACTTTCGGATAAGATTTAGTGGAATTACAACTGTGTCGTCCGAGTCAACGCTTTCAACTGACAAACCCTCAAGGCGGCGGTGCAGCAAACCAGCAGCCAGGCAACGATTGCGCCAGTCAGTTTTGCTGGCAAAAACCTTCTGTTCGTGAGGACTTTGGGTTGTCACAATGATTTCGTCGCCATGAACATTCACCGAACGAGTAGTTACTGTCTTGGCAGCTGTATCATTACGGTTTTCTTCAAGTTCCTGACGTTGCAAATCCGGAGGGGCAATCTCCATCCCCAAGATAATGTCACGGATTTCGCTTTGTGTTAAACTAGTAGCATTCACGCCATTTCGTTTCGCATAATCAGCGAGAATTAGATCTTTGAGGGCGACTTCGCAATTTATCCACTCGCTATCGGTCAGACTTGGCCATACATGGTGTGGTAGCGTCACCGTAGTCTTCGTGGGCTTCAACAAAACCTTTGTACGGTCACAGTTGACGTGCATCGCCCTTAGTATGAGTATTAAACGACTGAATGCCGTGTAACTGCTGATGCTTTTAAGCCAGTCATCGTACAAGTTAAAGAGTACCATCTCCGGCTGAGTGGCACGCAAAATCATGTCTCCAAACTTTTCAAGCTTCATTATCGATTGGTAAGGAAGCTGTAATTCACTGCCTTTGATTACTATATTAGGGAAATCGAGTAAATGCACCTCTAGAGGATCAAGCATACCTTTCCTCGTTACTATGATTTGTTTGGGTTGTTCTTCGACAGGTAAGGAACGGATCAGCGCCGCAACCTCCTCTGCCGTTTTCCACTTCGCCAGCTGGCTCAAACGCTTCTGACCTGCCCAAACCGATGTGTGAATAATCTTCAAAAACAGTTGACCTGTTTTAGGATTGAAAACGAAAATGGCACCATTAACCGGTTTAGTAGTCAAATTTCCCTCAAACGTTTTGTGTATGGTTACTCTGTATACGTTGGTATCATCAACAAACCAAATTGTTTGTGAACCGAATAGTTCACCGAAATTCTGAGACGATAAATATGGTTCCGCCGGTTCACTTGAATAGAGCTGTAAACCCTTGCGTATGCGCTCGCGCAAAACGAACATTGCAGGGTTCGCCTTCATTATCTTGTTCATCGCACGGCAACATAGGGTCTTCATTCCTGGGAACCAATATCCAAATCCACTGTGCATATTGTACGCCAGATCCACTCCAATTAGACAACCTGTAGGGCACGGATATATCGACATGCTGTCCGTTGTGTAATCCAAGAATTTTGCACGGCAATATCTCTCAATATCATGGCTGTCATAGTCACCCCATCGAAGTTGTACGTCTATCCAAAATTTGCTGGTTGACGTAGTTGCATCCCCGCTATCTGCATCTGTCAATAGACTTGGCTTACCCACGTGCCATTTGTAAGCAGCAAACAGTAATATGTCTGCGCAACTGCTGTTCATCTTGTATGATTTACGTGGATGTATGGTCTCCTTCTGCACTGTCTCTATTTCTAAATTGTCGAGCTCCAGATCCATCACCTGACATAGGTCCATCACCAAGGATTCATGAATTTTTTGCCACAAGTGGGCTCGGAAAATTTGAATCAACGAAATCTTCAGAGTAGGTATCTTACCATGCATGAAGATGCCAGTGAGGTCTAGTTGTACCTGGAAGCCCACATAGACATTTGCACGATTGATGGTGGGTGACCACCAAAGCGTAAACCTACGATTTGGAATTTGGTTCAAACCGCTCCTTTGCGCATTGGTCAACCGTTTGTATTTCATTGATTCCTCGAAACCAGACGCTTTCTCCCAAAAAAGACCTTCCCATGTTGCGAAATATGTGCCCTTGAAAAGTGTGTGTTCCAAGATACCTTCTACACCTCCCAACGCCTGAATCATGTCAGTCCGATAATTGTTCAAATTCCACAATTTTCCGTCGTGTTTTTGGTGAGTCCACCAAAATGGGTTCGCCTTTAATATCTGATATTGTTTAAAATCTTGTTGTACTCTCCAGCCTTTGTCGTACGCCAGCGTATGCCTGTCTTTCTGGAATAGTGTATTAATGCGAGGTACGCCACGGTCAAAAGAATCTTCAAGGTCCTCAATAGTTAAACGGCGATTTTGTGCCTGGGCCTCCTGACGTTTTAAAGCATACTCAGCCCAGACCCTTTGACTTTCAATGAACTCGCTTTCCCATGTTTGTATGTAGCGATACAGATTAGGAATCAATTGGTCTTCTTCGTGTGACATACCACTGCGGAAATGAGTTATGCCTGTTTCTGTCTGTTTACTATATTTCAAATCTGACTGAGGTATCAAAATGTGTCCCATCGAAAGCATACCCAAACCCCCTAGTTCCTTTGGGGTATAGAAAACCACCGGAGGAAAACGGGAAGGCATTTTAGAATTCAAACCTATTTTAATACGGGTCTGTATCTTGTTCTCACATTTCACCAAAAGATCCAGAAGTTCATTAGTGTGGATCACTGCTTCCCTATAATATGTCATCATACCAATCAAAGCTGTATTCCACTTGTTGGCTATTTTGGTAAACGTGGTACTACCACTTGCCATAAGAATCTGCCGAATACGGTTTTCAAAGGCGCTCATTCCATCTGCGTCAACTCGTAAATAAGCGGTAGCTGACAATTCCTTGGTTCGCTCATTCTGCAATTTCCAACAGGCCTCAGCATGTGAAACACCACCTTTCAACCACCGTACTTTGGGAAGTATGCGAACCTCAAACCCACACATATTGAATAAGAGGTTTGGATTGTCTTTTCCATATACGGACACAAATGAATCATTCCATTCCAGCGTGGTAACAGATCTGGGTAACCGTGCCTGCATCTCCCAAAACGTAGCCCTGCCAAGATTGACATCGTGCTTCATTAGGCGCATTCGACTGTCTTTAGGCCAGCACGATTTGTTGTTGTAGCCCACCACGTTTTCGTTGTTTGGATCGGGGTTCTCAGTCAGGTACCGCTGTACGAGGTCACGTGTCTCATTGCTAGTGAACTTGAACAAAACAAATATTTTGTCAATATAACGGCAATATAGTCTAATGGGGTGCAGTGTCTCTGTTTCTGTGTCTGTAAAGCAAAGAAAGTCATTTGGCATAGAAGTAGGACCAGCCAGTTCCGTGGCACGAGTCAGCCCCAAAAGCAGAAGGTCTAGAATCAACCCGTAGTATTGAAAGACGAAACTTCCAAATTGTAAACCCCTAATAAATCCAAAACTATTGATGTGGCTCATGTCCTTGAAGCATATGCTCACGTTGTTTTTCGCAGTGATATAGTCGGCAACGTTATGATCTACAATAAGCCGCAGTAACCGATTTAGTAGGGTAAGATCCATCTTCTCATAAACACGGTCAAATTTACTCTGCAAAAGTACCAAATGCTGCTCATGATAATTCCAAACATCAGTAAGATTGTTTATTCCGTGGCAAAACTTGTAAACCAACAGCGGTGGAGGCTCGCTGTCAGCCGGTTTGATCCAATTGGGAAACAATCCGCGTGCATTGCCCTCGTACCATAAATACTGACTCAAATAAGCGTCAGTTATCTTTTCCAATGGATCTATGTCATATACCGGAATTAACTGACTATACAGATCCATGAACTCTATGGAGACCTCCTTAAAAGCACGCTGTGTGAGCAAGTGCCTTTTTATACGACTCAATGCTTCATGAGGATTGTCATACGCTTGCTCTATAAGACCCAATTCCTCACGTTGGTTTTGATTCAGTCTGCCCTTTGTAGAATACGGCTCCTTTAGGCGCTCTAGTGCTAAAATTAGCAATTTCGTGTCGTGTTTGTAGTTTAAAGGTGGGAATGGGATGTGCGAAAACTTGCGTGATTCCAACCAATGAACAGCTGTGGTGTAAATCGCCACTGCTTCTTCACCTGTAATGTACGGACCATCCTTTAGGTATCCATGCTGACGCTCCTGCTCAGACTTCAACCACAGACGAGTTAAACGTCCAAGATTCTTCTTGCAAACTGTTTTATCAACGGTTGCTCCCCTCTTGATGCGTTCACGATTGTAGTACGACGCATTGGTCCACCAGTCTGCCTTCATTTTAACATATCGCAAAATCATATTCTCTATGGCAGCGGGCATATCTGGAACCTTCCACGGTATGTTGGCCTTCCAACACCTCCACGCTTCACTCAAATGTTGCAGTATTGTTCGTGCCTTGTTAGCCCGGATACCCTCCGGCATCATATCGAGGATATCGTGCATCACAGCAGCACGCAACTCAAGGTCGAAATGCGATTCTACACGTTGCTTGGTAACTGTTTTAGCTACTCCTTTAGATACTCTGCCCTCAAACTGGCGCGCCAGTAGGTTGCCGAGCCAACGCTCGAGCAGCGGCATGATTCCACGTAAAAAAAAACACCAAACACGCCAGCCACAGACCCAGAATCCACAACCCGGTCCCTTTCCAACTGAGCCAGTGTTAAACCTGTAATAAATCAGGTGTTTTAGGTCTTTGCACATGCGGACCTGACGCATCAGGCGATATTTGTAGCGATACATACCCGTAAGCTGACCTACGTGGGCAAATATGTACTGTAAACCGTCAGCAAGTTGGTAAGCATCCACATTTCCCAGACGATATTGTACATGTGAATCAACTACAAGCTTAGTCAACCTCAAAATTTCTCGGCATAGATGGAAAGCGTTACCAAAACGCGACTTCTTGCGCTCCTTTGTGGTTAGGGTTTTAACAGGTTTCAAGTTGAAGTTATAGTCAAGGTGCAAATACGTCAAATTTTTCCGATGTATCAACAAGTTTAGCATATTATAACCCTGACGGCATACCTGTAGCCCGGCCTCTACCCAATCAAGCTCCGTCGTCTGAAAGAACTTAGTAGCTCTGAACACTTTGAACAACTTCCTTTTCTTCATGCTCTTGGGTCTGTTGGAGTGCAAATTGCTAAGTACCCAGCCCTTAAGCAACTTTTGATACGACACGCGAACCTTCACTGGGTGCGACGCCGGTACATGCTCGCGGAACCACGATTGCACAATAGGCAGGTCTATGGCCCTCCGACATCGTCCGGAGCGTTTGTTAAATGGGTGTGGTGCCCAGCAAAGCGCAATACCATTAGAAGTGTTATCCGTCTCCAATGGAACCGTAGCCAGTAGTGGTACACGACCCTTTTGAAAACCACTCTTGCACACCTGTAGCCCATGATCTAATCCTGTACACTGATTAGGTGTCATTCCATCACGTAAGGTTCCCATATCGTTGGCATTCGCAAATGAGGTAGGTACGTGGCAATAATTGGTAGTAAAATCACCGCCGCAGTCCTCACTGTAATCCTCTATTCGCGTAACTTCCTTTATGGAATAAGCGGGAATCGGGTTTATGATAGGATCATAGTAAAACACGGGTAAATCCGGGTCTTCTTGCTTGACGTATGAGCATAATTTAGTATGGTACGGTATGAGTGCAACCTTTCGTGGCCGACTGCAGTACAGATAGGGAAATGCGATCTTGTATTCGGTACGAATTTGCTGACGAATGATAATTTTAGAAACGTCGTTAAATTCGTTCCAGTCCTCGTCCTCGTGCGTGTCACGGAAAAGCGGCTCGAACTTTGGTCCACCAGGTATCGCCGTGCTCAGTGCCTTAGCAGTGTAAAATGCCTTCAAATTAAATAGGTAAAAGTAGTTTTCATCTTGTATGTCGGAAAACAGCTGGCTTGCCAACCGATACAGCACTCCCATTTGTTCTAAAGTCAGAAACCACCGGCGGTAACTTGGCCCATTGATCCGTTTTGACTCGTAGAGTAGCGGCTTGGAATCGTAGAACCAGTCCATAACTGCAGAATCCTCTTCAGCATCGAGCTGCATCTGAATGGCCTCTAATGGTTCCACATCGAGGATGTTTTCACTGTAATCGATGGGAGGTTCCTCATCGTCGAAAGGAGGAAATCTCATGCGCTTGAAATGACGCCTGTCCCGCTTTTCACGACGCATCATTATCCACATAGTTCCCCATTGCGCCAGGAATATTGGATCCACAACCCACGGGATTTCATCTACGAATGTTATCGCACCCGTAATGTGGTACAGCGTACGAACATGACGGACCTGCTCCCACGGCATCGGCATATTCTCCAACAATTTGTATACAGCGTGCGGGACGTACTTCAGTGCACCCAAATAAACACGCTTATCGTAGCGATACTTCCGACTGCTCATGTCACCGTGCTCACGAAAGACCTTGCGCAGGTGTTCAGGTGGCATTGGGGCCGTATGCGTAGCCAACGTAGCGTGTGACATCTTCATGAACCTTCTGGTGTTCAACTTCTGCCATTTTCTTGCCTTATCTTGTAGTGCCTCGAATTCCGTCTTATGAACGTAGCCCAGGGGTGGGTTGTATCCCGGCGGCGGAGCACCAGGGTCAATTGTCATCTTTGAAATTCGCCGAGGACGATCCATCAAACTGAATCCATCAGATGTATCTCTATATTCGGAACTCATCACAAGTGTTGAGCCCGAAAGACGCGCCTGCGCATCTGAGCCTTAAGACTTAACGACGTAACACATTTAGACGAAGCTAGCACGAAACGTTGATACGATGCGGCTTAACGCAACTATATAAGTGAGTATTATATCGATGTATTATCTTGAATCACAGTTTTGAATTGCATCCCCTCAGCCAAAGCCCGAGGCGTGGGGATCGGATTCTCGATAGAAAGGCGCTACACAATGCAGTACCGTATCGCTTCTATACAAAATGAGCATTTATAATTGTGAGATGTGTGCTTGCTTATCGTAACTTTGTGATATACCAATTAAAAACGTAACCAGGTGCACACGACACGTCTCAGCTCGGTGGCAAGAGTTTTATTCAGTGGCCGTGTATAGTCGCGTGACGTCTCGACGCATCGCACTTGGTCTCCTTAACCACCTCATCTGGTACCATCTGAAAGACACCATTGCTTTCAAGGCATATCCACGCCATCTGTATGTCGTTTGTTTTGCCGGAGTCCTCATCACGGCCAATCATTATCGCCAGAGACAACTCTCTCAGAGCATCACGGCAGTTTATGCCCGATAAATTCAACTTCTCCATCTCTGTCTTCACAAGGTGTTTGCATTTTCCTATGGCCATCCCAGTGTACTTGTAACACGCTCCGCTGGGTTCGATGCAGTATAGAGATTCTGCAGAAATATGTGTCTAACCGCCCTAAAATTGCGTACGAGAACCAATACAGCAATTCAGCCAACATACACGGGCTATGTGCAACCGGTCACGACAGGGCCCTAGCAACAACGCATGAAAAAGAATTTCAGTACCTCGAACATCAAGGCATCGTCTGCGGATTGAGCGTTCCTAAGGCCCCCCGCCGCATATCCCAGGTGGAACATAACTTTTTAGCACAACTTACTTTCACCATTACTGTCTACACCAGACAATATCGTCGACGCCCCAAAAGGGCGTACGTGCCAATATAGCGTGTAAGCATGGACAAACAGAGCAACGCGTTCGGCCAGCAGTGATATAGGAATCTTTACCCCGTACTCCTCAAAAAAAGACTTGCATTCGGCCTTTGCGCGTCGTACAATGCACTGGGCGTCAGGAATCATACCTGTGATCGCACAGCCCACACCCTCGTCCAAAGCATACAAACGAAGCACCGGGCGGGCCTGTAATACATTACGACTTACATTTTCATCATTTGTATATCCGCATAGCACTGAATCCGCCAAGAAAACTATCCCGTCGCTGCAAACGGCTCCCACAACTGTTGGTGCCGTGTCGACGGCCTTGGTCGCGTATTCCACTTGGAAAACGTGACCATCGGGGGACAGCGTAGACACAGATAAATCATATCCAGCCGCTGTGCCAGACATTTTCAAGGAGATATGCCAAACTCAAAGTGATGAATGCCAGGGCAGGAATGGCAAGCCCAGAAATGGGGAACTGCAAAAGCTGAACGGTTACTATAAAGCATCTTTAGAAATCACAGACGTCCTTGAAAGGTGACATTAGAGCGTCTTAGCTGGCGTCCAGTGCGTTCAATCCCAAAATCTGCGACCTACCGCGAAACACACTATTACACACCTCAGCAAGATCACGTCAAGCTTTGCTTCCGTCACACAACACCATGCGTTTTATGGGATGACAGTTAGCTTGCACTTGTCATGAGCGGCGTCTACGTGGGATGCGCCCTCCCTGTCGGACGCTTAGCTCGATGAGTATGTGATCTAATGTGATATTTCCGTGCCAACAAAAAATCACCCAATGAATAAGACAATGATTCACACATTTTGTGCACAATGTAAGGAATGAAGGTAGAGCGCAGTGGCCCCAAACACACTATATTTAGATTAAAATGTACAAGAATCAATCGACATTGTCTCTAGATTCGCGTTCTCGGTTCCACATCTCTATCATGTTGCGACGTTCCTCACTAGTCTGACGTTTGGGTCTTTCGTAGCTGAATTCCTTTGATAACCTTTATAAGTAAAGTGTACGTACCTGCCGCTTCTATCTGACCCGCGCATTGGCCGCCTCTTGTATTCGGGAAATTCGGCGTACATTCGTTCGTTTAACTTGCGGCGCACCGACCGAGGGACATGTTTGATATGCATAAAATTGCAGTAACCTCCACGGCGACATTGACCCTCCACAAACTGGCGACAACGAGCCTCTCGGAAATCAGTCACTGGTGTATATTCACATTGGATGGGTTTACCTGTAATATTTGTACACTATGTAGAATAAATACTTAAATGAAAGATCAACACCCTTATGACGAAATATAAATCCATGAAGATAACATACCTCCGTAAAACCTGCCGGATAGCATGGAAATGGCGTGTGCGGCACTGTTTTCATCACGATATTTAACATATACATTGCCAATAATATGATCGCCGATATTGTCGCACACAACCATGTCCTCTATCTCTCCATATTTCATGAGCTCCAAAAAAACCTCTTCGAAGAACTCCTCGAAGTGATCCGCCGCCTTGTCCAATAGATCGTCAGAAACTGAAAACATGCCGTATAAGATGACAAATATAATAAAAAACGAATATTGGGGTATATGAAGGCAGAAATGATTTGACACATTGTGGCATTGCCGCAATGCAAGAACTCGACCACAATTCTGAATGACGAGTGGCCGTTAAGCACATTCATAAAACGAAACTACCGTATATCACATACTATGTATACTAATATTATGCAGCGGGTTCACAAATCAATATTTTTCTTGCATGAGCCACAGGAACATTATACAACAGGAGATAGAGTTCAGAGCTAAAACAATCTCCACCAGCTTATTAATTCCATTAATGACGCAACATAAGAACTGCTTTTGTTTTGATTGTTGCCTGTTAAGCTTCACATGTCGCAGAGTGAAAGAACGGAAACGCATATCATCTTTTGCTAAACAGACAGCAAAGAGCGGCAGCCATTAGCAGTGTCACGCATCAAACCTACTCATTTGACCCTCAGCTATTGCGATAGCAACAGGCGGATTCTGGTACATATGTCGAATCACCAGTGTCTGTGCCGCGGAAGGCTTGTAATGTGCGCGACTGCACTGGTCTCCATGGCGACACGCGCCAATCTTCCAGTAGAAGGGACAATTGACGCGATCTTCCTCAGTGCCTATAATTCGTGCCAAATTCTCCGCCATGATGCAGCGGTAGTTAATGACCTGCCGTTGTAAAATAGGAGTAGAGTGGCTATGGGGAACCACTACTTGAAAATCTTGAGAATCAGATATAATTAACCGGGTCCATGATTTTTTACTAATGTGTATGACACCAAACAAGGGTTTTCTAATCAAAAGGACGGCATAACTTGCCAAGTGAAGTAGACGTACTAGACTAGAGTTGTTTTTCCGATGGTCATCGTCTGCGATTCTTCCTACCTAACATACACAGAATCATATAAAATGCGCATTTTGTGCAGGGCTCATTGCGAACGATAGAATCGCCAAAATTCTGCTGTACTGTAAATGGTTTTTAACAAACATTTTGCAAAAAAACCTTCCCTTGAATTGGTAGACATTGATAGCCGTGAAAATGTTACGAAAACTGAAAGCCATATTGTCAAAGGATTGTATTTTGGGTTGTGCTGTCGTTGGCGGGTTTATCTATGTGAACCGAACTGAGTTCCATCACCTGTGGCAACATTATGCTGGGCCAATCTTCGGTGGAAAAGGTAGATGTGTACGTGTCTCTGTTCAATTTTGAGTCAGATTTGAGAGGTCGCAACAAAAGTATCGACTACAGACAACAGAGAAATGGTGCATCAGACGGAGCTTCTCTTAAACAATCTGGGATATATTCACCAATTATCAGTGAAGCATTTGGCTCATTACGCACTGGCGATCTTGTTTTCGTACGATACAATATAGAAAAGTTGAAGTGGATGGACAGATACAAGATCGTCGCTGCACGATGCCTATCGAAAAACAGATTTTACGAAGATGTGGGAATAGTCTACAATTATCGAGGAAAAACTCAGGTGATAATGCTGCCCAGCCTCAAACTGGATCTAAATGATGGCATAGCGAATGATACGTTAACATTGGGTGCAAATACACGAAAACGATATGCCATTTTCGAGCCTCAACGACTGATTGAAGATTTGGTACCGGACATGGTGACCGTGAGGCGTCTTATTTGCGATGACGCTAGGCGAGGCGATTTAGAAAAGGTCATCGAAAGACTTGGTGGAGCGTCAATTTTCACCAAAAGCAGCAACATAATGGAAGTTGTCGGCAGTTTGTGGGAACCCAAACCTTTCACTGGGAAGGCATATTCTGAGTACAGACAGTGTCTACAACTGACTAAAGGATATGAACTAATGATGCAATTGGAATTTGACGCCGTAGATCTGAATGAGGGGACCCAAAACTACAACAATGCGAGGGGAGCCAATCATGCCGGAAAAGTACGTACCAACACCATGCGACATCCCCGTTCCGAACGAAAATCATCTGACATAATATCTACTGCAGATGGTATCGAGCAAGCTCATAGGAGTTGTAAAGGTTTCATGGAAGGATTTGAACGGTCTAAGAGGCAAGGACCGATGTATAAACGCATTTTTAATGGTACACATTTCGTAACGCATATTTACTCTCTATCGGGGTTTATACCGGAATCTGAAGCATTTAGTACATTGGATATTGGTCAGCTGTTTGATTTTGACTTCCTTCCATCTAATGCCAGTCAAGGAAGAACAACCCCGCGACTTTCGGAGCCCTTCCACATTTTCAACGGGAAACTTCACACAAACATGTTTGAAAATTTGAAGGAGTGTACCAATGTGGACGTTTTGGGGAACAGGTTGTAATTGTTTGGCGTGCGTGAAAAAACAAAGCGGGTTGTGTGTGGGTGTGTGTGTAGATATAGCGCAGCGTGACCCCCGATTGCCCCTGGCACAGCGACTCAGCTCGTAGGCACTTCTGCAAATGAAAATGTGGAACAGCATTTAAATTATAGTGACGACGTACTGTAATGTGTGACTACATTTCATGTAGATTAATATCGTAACCACGGATAACATCCACACGCCCCCTTCCCTGTGCAATGGATAAACAGAACACTTGCGCAAAAGGTGTATATAGGCACATGGTTTCAAAAGCACAGGCTACATGTGATGATGTGCAAGTTGGACCGATGATTCTGCACGATGGATCAAGGGTAGGCCATGGTATAACTTCGGCAGAAACTGTGTCAACGTATCGCAGCGATCTGTGCGATGAAAAACTTGCAGACGTTAAAGATAGTCGAGCGAAAGTTGTAGAAGCGTCGGGTACTACCAACCGAAGGCTAATATGGCATCACGAAAACGACATTCCTTCACATGCAACCGTAAACTCCAACGTGAATCCAACAGGTTGTAGGTATTCTGGATCCGTGGTGACTCCGGAGCAGTCTCTCGGTTTACCGATTGACGATGTCGCAGCCACGGGAAGAGAGGTGGCTGGTAACAAAGGTGATCGGACGGCTGTTGACCAATCTAAAACCACAGAGGAATATGATCTTATTTCGAACACAAGGGAAGCTTTCGCCGCTGTAACTCTAAAAGGCAAGGATGACCGATCACTCGGAGCCATGAACATCAATCGGTACAACGATCTGGATAGAGGCTTTTTCAAACAAACGCATTACACGAAGAATGGTGTAGTGTCATCCCACCAACGTCAAACATGTGATGGAGTGTTCAAAAGAAATAAATGTGAAAGGGGATCCCTGATACGGGGGCAGAGCGATGTTGATGTCACGCCTACGAGGTTTTTTCAATTGAAAGATGTTGGCTCCCTGCGTAACAGACCAACGAGGGTTAGCGCTCGACGTCCGTCAGGGTTTTTCTGGCACAAACCATTCGGCACAACGCATAGAGAAAGGGTTGCTTTTTTCAGGGGGTTGCCCTATGTAGAGACGCTAAATCCGGGAGTACAAAAATCATGGCATCTAGAGGCCATATCTGCTCTAACTAGGGAACAATATGCTTCTTTGAAAATGACTATGCTAAGGCTGACCAAAGGGGGTACAAACGTGGATCCAAAGTTATTGATCATGCTTTCTAGGGGTAGCTGGGAAGTGCTTCAGGAAGGTACATTTGGTACAGTTTATATCGGGTTTCTTGAAGGGTTGGGAAACTGTGCAGTAAAAGTTCCCGTATCCCTCATGGTCCAACAAGATCCTGTTGGTGTAATGCGCCGGTATATTAACGAATGGGATATTTTATCTCGTTGTGACCACCCTAATATAGTCAAATTGCGTGGTGGGTTAATTTTTGGAGTATTTGACATCTGGCTTTGCACAGAACTGATAAAGGGGGCCGACCTTCATAGCATCAAATATGGACAACATTCCAAACGTCTCATTACCACAAAAGCCGGTCTTAAAATGTGTCGACAACTTGCGAATGCCATATTGTATCTTCATACACCCACGGCTGAACGAGGCAAAATTGTTCATCGAGATATTAAACCGGAAAATGTTATAGTCATGCCAAATTGGACCATCAAACTCTGCGATTTTGGCGACGCGTGGGAAAATACAAGTGGTTTTGTTGATAATATTTCCGGTGCAACGTGGCTTTATGCTCCACCTGAACTATTGAAGCATAAATCCATTATGGTTGACATTGTGGGACTGAGTGGAGGTGAAGAAACTGATCTAGTTGAACTTTCCGAAAAATGGGATATCTGGTCAATGGGATGTGTTTTTCAAGAAATGTTCGGTTACGCTGGCCCTTTCCACTATTTGGTTGATGTTCAGGATGAACCTGCACAAATATGCGAGAAAATGGTGCTCAATGCCATCAAGGGACTTGTTCCCCGTATACCTCATACGTTGGCAGTGACCAAAATGGGACAACTTATTTCACAGTGTCTACATAATGATGCACGATTGAGACCTACAGCGGCACAGATTTGTGCTGTTCTACAAGCCCCTGATGCAACTTTACTCTCGTGATTATGTATACAGCGCTCTTCATAATAACCGGGGTTTTGTGGAACAGGTATGGCGTCTGTTGTACCAAATGGAAGTCTACGGGCTAATCCCAATGGGTGGTAGCGCTTTCGATTGACTATTATATGGTGTATATGTGTCACGCGTACTTAAGTATCGGACCGCGTTGGCTGTGGCGACATAAACGATATACCTAACCGCTGAGTAATAAGTATAATACGCTGAACCACTACTGTGCATTCCAATGTCGTATGCGTTGTCTATCGTTGCGCTACGTAGAATTCGTCTCGTAGGCCACGTCCGCTGACCCTTCCCCTGAGAAGAGCAATCCGATCGCCCTCCATAAAATGTATTCGCCGCATTGCCGCTGCGTGACCATCGGTATACTCCATACTGAGTAATATACTGTGTTTAGGAGGCGAACCACAAAGCGGGCTGCCTTTATGTGTGCCTCCAGCGTATTGAAACTAACTGCGTTATATTGAGTTTTTGTAGACTTATACTGTTTTACGAGCTATAATCTCACAAAATAAGGTAGTGTGTAGATTTACAAGTGGATTTTTGTCGAATTAACGTGCACGGTAGTGTTGCTTTTCACGATCGTTTCATCCAGGTACTCAAGCGACGAGTTTGCGCTTAGGTTAACTGTTTGTCGTTAACGACTTTTTGAACTTGTTATCCACATTAATTCTTCTATCAGCTATTCACGATGGCCTCAATAAGCGGGAAGTCGCTTCTTGTGAAATGTGGAGTCGCCGCGGCCATTTACTATGTACCTCAAGACATAGGTGTACTATCGTTGCTGGCATTGAACAAACGCTCGGTAAGTACAGGATGCGTCAAAAACAATGCTCGCAGTGCTCTGCCAAGATCGCAGGTCCTGCGCCTCCTGGGCCATCCGAAAAGCAGATAGATCGGTTGATAGTTAACTACATGAAGGATCGAGGCTTGGATCCTTCAAGTTACTCAGTTTATAAGGGTAACAGGAACACTACGGTACATCTATCTTGAATCCTGCAAATGCGATAACTTCTTCTAATTCAAAATTGAGGTCCCTGCTCGCGCACAACTATCTAAGTCTATGAATATTAATGTTTGTAACTGGTTCATATGCACTCTGAACGTCACATAATAACTTACCTTACCGTAGTTCTGTGCACGTCAAATCTGTCACTGAACACGTAAATACCGCCTCACCGGGATCGTGCCCTAGTGTATATAACGGGGCATTCGTATAGAGTCATCGCCCCTCTGCTGACCACTGTTTAACGAATAAGACGTGCGAGCCTGCGTATAGATTCGGTGTGATACTTTCCGTGAGACATTGATTAGGATACAAGCCATCATTCTAAAAATATTCCGAACTTACAGTGCGGTAAAAAGGAGGCGATGTGCAGTAACCAACTCAGTCACCCGAGAATACGGATGAATCCAGACGTGCCCACTGTTTCCATTTGTGGCGAGAACACTGAACATTTGGTATTCATAGATGTTGATCGATATCATCTAACACCACTGATGCATTCCTAGGGTGAGTATGATCCAAGAATTCTGAAGCAACAACAATCATGTATTGATGGCACTCGCCTTTGTGACACTAACAAGCTGGAACTGCATCGCCGCGCTTGGATTACACGACTGTTATTGGCAAATATTATACATGCGTAATCAGGATGAGAAAGTTTGAATCGATCCTGTTAATAGTAGAGAGGGATTTGTTCAAATCAAGACAAATAACATAATAAATGACTGTGCAAGCACTTATAAATAAGTATGTTTCTGTCGTTTCATTTTTAGTTGATATGAATCAGCCCGTCAAGTGCTGGAAAACGGCGCAACCCAATAGGTCGTTGTCGTTCAGAGTCTCAGAATCCTTTCCGTTCACCTCTCTAGGGGGAAACCCATACATGACACGAAATGAAGAAGGCAATAATCCACTTGTGTCGGCCATTATGGAACGAAGCTCCCCTATCGTAATATTTCTTGATACCGTCAAATTAATCTGGCGATTATCGTATAACTTCACACGGAGCGTAGTAGTGTCTCCAGAATTACTATCAATTGAGATGTTTTCCACGCCAGAAGTTGCTCCAGACCTAGTGGAGTTGGACTTTACCGTTGGTTCCGTGAGTGGGTGATCATACTGGCGATGTGAATCGTCAATAAAATAAACCCGTACCTCTTTGCCCTGATCCTGCAACTCCGGAGGCGCCACGCCATTCTTTACAGCCGATAAAAACAAAGCATTTTCTGGTTTATCAAGAGATCTGAATGGTCCATCGTCCACTGTAAAACCCCCGGCGTATAAGTGAACAGTATGGCCCTCCTCTATACCAATTGCACTATTATGACCTCCGGCGAAGCTATAAGGTTGATCACCATTATCGGTAAGATCGCCAAAAGATCTTATGTTCGACATCATGTATCTCTATTATCCCTCGTTAGTCCAAACGTTTCTTTTGGCCTGTTGATTAATCGTGACTTTAGCGGTCTGAAGATTTCCGTATGGAAAAATGGATGACGCACATGTAAATTGTGGTCACGCTGCAGTCGGCGATCCTTGTCTCTCTGTTTATCTCTGAGAACTAGAACCCGCAACACGTGTTCTTCTTGTGCTAGTTTTGTGTGGATGTGTTTTATGAGACTCGGATAAACAGCAAGCTCGAAAGAAATAAAGCAGGCTTCGTTTTTTTTGTTCAGAGGTTGGGCCAATTTCTTGAGCCCGTGGTAGTAGACGTTAGTATGTTCTGCGCCTATCTTGATCAGATTCTGCGCGATTAACCTGAAACGCTGTTTGATTTCATCCGCAGGCCGATTGTCTAGCACTACGTAAATGTTATAACTGGTTTTGGGGTTTAGAATTAGCCCATCACGCTTGCTTCTTTCGGCGCGTTCTAGCCTTTCCTTGCGTTTCTCCGGCGTCTCGTTGTTTTGGATTATGCGCCTACGTATTGTTTTGTAGAGCTCATGTGTCAGTCTACCATGGATCCCGAATTTCTAATATATGATAATAAAAATGTACGCATAAAACATACCAAATGGTGTTTTTTATTACCGCTGTCAATGTGTATTGGAATAAAAGAAAATGACGCCACTCCTTGAGTAAAGGTAGGAGCGTACGCAACGCAGGAGTGGACAAGAATTAGGTATATTGAGAAGAGGTAATTCACGAACAGTAACATGTAATTAAACTGTTGTAATTTATACGGTATGTCTTGCAACCTTCGGGGGTAATGAAATGGGTGTGGGTAGGTCGCGTCGCAACGTTAACACATTCCACATTTAAAGATAGAGTGACGACGTGCCATGGATATGTTTTAAGTAGTGAGGTTGCTTGGTCACTTATGAATCGATAAAAAAGAGTCCTTTGCGAATCTTTGCGGCGGGTGACTACAATGGGGGGTCAAAGAAATAAAATTAAGAAAGAATTGGCCAAAATATGATCAATATTGCCATCGATTTGGTCTGTTTAGTTGTAAAAATGAGATCAGATTTCATGGGGTCTGAGTGTTCGCTAGTTCCGTGGTTTTACGGGTAACGTGAGCTCGGAGAATGGGCACATCTTTCGTGAAATAGTAAGATTCCTAATGGTACAGAACCTAGTATTACTTTTCTCACTCACTCTATGTTCTCTGTAGTGATATGTTGATGGAATCGTAGGTACCATTAGGTAAAGTGTTCCGACTAAAAATTTGTCCGAGTGGGACACGGTTTCGAGCGCTCAAACCATATGAATGTGCAGTTTAAATCATTCGCATCTAGCGGGAGGCTTTTAATCATTGTTTTTGAAGGTTAAATCGGCTAGCTTCCTAAGCAGCTTCCACAACATTAGTATCGTGAACGCTGAATACGTTGGCAGCGACGTGAGCAACGGATCTTGGCTGGCAAATTCATAGGTCTTTACATTGGTATTAGGATTAGTGTGTGCGTTTATTCGTTATTCTACAGTTATTTTTTATAGCGAGAGTTGCCAGTGTGGATTTGTTGAATAAGTCACGCAAACAATAGACATTTTTACTATGGTGCACGTAAACTGCTATTGAGCTAGCTTTCTATTAAACAATGCTAGTTTGCGTGCACTGTGGCTCCGCCGTCCCTACTTTGTACCACGAAAGCAGTAAGGAAAGTATATGTCTGGAGACCTGTGGTTCTTGTGGAGAAATAGCAGATAAATATGTTGAATGGGACATATATATAACAGCCATTGATTTGTTTTTGTTGAAGGTTGCTGTGTTCAGACATTTGATTTACAATCAGAATGCAACGCCTTCGGACGGCGACAGTCGACAATCAAAACGCCGACGCATATCACGCATCTTACTTTTATTCGCCTCAGCTGTGGTGTTGGATGGCTATCGAGTAATGGTCACTTGTCGTTTCCTCACCAGATCGCAAGAATGGTGCGATAAAGATGTCCTGCTGCGTCAGCAGCACGCTTTAGAAAAAAGTGGAAACTTCTTTCAGAATTATCCGATTCCGGAGTTCATTACAGTAGCGCGTGAAGTGTCTGGAACTCATATCACGCCGTTTTCGGAAGTTGATTCAACGACAAATCTTCTGTATAATATGGTCCAGTCTATCTTGGCGTCGTCACAAATCAAAATTATGGCAGCACGCGAAGAAATGGGAATGTGTCATAATTTTAAAGTGCGAAGCGTTGTCGACAGGTTTTTCATACTGGCGCTCGACGAGCCCTCGTTGCTAGTGCTGGGTAACCTCACGTGTGTAAAATTCGGAGAATGGAGCACTCTCTTACTATGCTTAGCAAAATTAGCAGGTTATTGTACAACCCTTCTATTGATACACAAGACACTCCGAAAAGGGAGATGCATGAACACCCGAACGGGTGCATCTGTTGAGATGCCAGCCACAGAGAAAATGAATGCTTCGTCTTCTGGTACAGATGTGATACTTGCAGTATTATTGTGTATTCATATTAAGGCCCTGGTACTAATGATGATTATATGGTACCCGAGACTCCCACTTTTGGGAGCAGTTGAAATTTACGCATACTTCAGCAATGTACTGGCCCTAAACGCCGCTTGCAATATGACCATGCGGGAGTCCGCGGCGTCGATTGTATCTGCGATAGGTGTCAAGATGATAATACACTATATGTGGCTGAAGGGCCGGTACTCGCTCTCGGTATGAACTTGTGTTGTTATAATGTCATTTATGAATAGAGAAGGCAATAACGTTGTACTGCTTTAACAGCGCGGCGATAAGAGATTAAAAACCAAATGTTAGAAATTAGTCCAGCCCAGTTCCCTAAGTTCCAAATATGGGAACCGTAGCAGGACCTTGAGTATGAAATTGCTTTGATTCATGGACGTTGCGTCTGCTTGCGGCAAGTTGTCTTTCGACGATTCCACAGGCGATGATAGTTTTTGCCTGTAAACTTTGAACAAATCGTCCGCACAATTCATTGTTCGACAGTCTAAAACCGCGTGCCTCACACCTATTGAAGGGCAATAGGTGAAACCATCTATGTCGTTTACTTCATGTGAATGCATTACGGTCGACTCTCCAAACTCCACAGGCACGTTTTGAAGGAATTGGGGTTCCGTAGCATAGTCAACGATCCGATAAGTTGATGGTGTCGTTGCGATGCTGGTGGGCGTGCTCGGTCTGATATCGCACGTTTTTTCAGCTGAAATCAAATCCACATAATAGTTTTCTTTGAAGTCCGCAGTGCCACGGTTGTCTTCCTTCGTGACGGCAGCGCCGGTCCCAAACGTTGCAGAGTGTAAATTTGAGTCACGGAATGGTTTTGACGTCGGAGCATCGAGTTCCCCTCTATACGGATATATGCGCCGCCCGAAGTACTTGCAGTTTAGCTTCAGAAGCCTGCGAAATGACATATTGTGGTTCTTGATTTGGGTGGCGGTTAGGCCTGCTTGGTATAGCCACTCATCTAACTCTTGTAAATCAACGTGTTCGCCACGTTCATTAAACAAATCTAGCTCAGCTTTGTATAGACGTTCATAACTTTCTACATCCTCGTCCGAATCCATATCAGCAGTTACTGTGAAAAAACCTTCTAGAGGGAGTGACGGATCCATTTTTCTAATCGATTCAGAGTTCAAACCATCCCCGTAGATAGGACCCCCAGCCTTATGGGCTTTAGGGACGTCACCGCGGCATGCCTTAAAAGGACTACACATTTTAATATCCCTTGGTGACCAATCACCTCTTAAAGGTGTGGATGGTATATGAGATTCCTTTATTGTTTTACTGAGTGTTTCGTCACTACAATGTGCAAAAGAATGGTCGTAATCTTGAAATTCGGTCTCCGTTACTAGATAGTTGGTAAATTTGGATACAATTGCTTTGTCAGTAAGTGAGTTAAGCGGAGATGCTCTCCATGATTCTGCTGTTCGGTTTGGAATCAGCAATTCAACGTTTGTACGCTTCGAAATTTGGGAGAAACAGCGGCCGCTGTTGCTTTCGTTCTTCCTATTGTGCCGCAGCTCGTGGGATGCCCTATGCGAACTATGTAAACCGTTGGATGTTGGAAGGTACATAACGTCGTCATCTAATCCTTTGTCGTGAGAAAAGTGATCCTTTGTGAAAGAACTGTGCGATGAATGTTTAGCTCCTGTATCGTTAAGTCTCAATGTGCCTCGTAGAGTATTGTTCACCTCAAAAGAGTCGCACGATAGTTCGATGCGACAATCCACTACGGCATCCTCCCAGGTTACGTTACCGCAGCCCACTCTGACAGCACATCTAGGTGACCTCAAATATATACTTGATTTAAGATCATTACGATTTCGGTGTATTTGTTCGACCTCGTTCATGTTGCGCTCCACAAATATATTAAATTGCTCAGTAGTTAAACCTAGACGACGTACAGCCAATTTTCCCCTAAAACAATCAAATTTCAAAAATTCTGTGGTATAACTGCGTGTATGTGTGTCCAGGAAAGCATTAGACTTTAAGAAGTTCGAAGGAATAAATGTACCCTACTCCTTAGGCCCCTTCCCTTCCGCATTCCATGTGAATATAAGGCCTTAGTTTTCAAATCTAGGTTAGAAACATATATGTGCCAGTTGGTTATCACAGTTCAATATATGTTGCACTACACACAGGCGACAAAAACGTCTCTCAATGCGGTCAACCCAGTTCTCCTGTTCAGAGGCTTTTCCTTTACGCCAATAACAACGGCATAAACAACATATAGTATGTCCTTTGTTCTTTATGTATTACCGTATTTGTATGGAATGCTTCTATACGAACCTGACTCTCGTGATTCCACGATGCAGATGATCTATAACTCCGGCGGATGAAATGTTCCATAGCGCAATTTAAAGGCTTTATATATGTATATGTGATAGACAAAACGTAACGATGCAGCTGATACGGCATCAGGCCAAAAGTTGTGGCAAATCATCCGAGATGATCGTGCGTCCCCTCCGAGCCCTGGCTAGTAACATCCTTATCACAGAGAACTGGGTTCACATTTATAGTTGATAATACTACCTGCGGTATCACTGCATACCAACGGTTTCTTTTGTTTAACCACGGAACCTGGCTGTTAGGGGGTACCAAATCATGAATACGCCGATCAATACATCGTCAAGTGTTACAATATGCAGCCACAGGACGTCATCAGCGCCCGTATGTCATTGGTACAGACTGTGAAATAAACATCATAATCATATTAATATGAGTAGCGTAGAGTAGTGGTTAACAGTAATGCCCATTGACGGCATCTGCGTTTCGAAGACATCGCATTGGCGGCCACAATTAGGAAATTATTTACATGAATATAGGTGTGTGTGTGTGTGACATAATGTAATTTATATCCGCAATACTTAGACAAGATGTGTACCTGCGTTGAACGCTGCACTGGGGTATACCAACGTAGTTCCATAATTCATATAACTGTAAAAATTTATCGGACTCACTATTAAGTCTAATCGAGATGAGACACATTCCCCGAACTACGCCTTTATTTGTAAATCGGGCATGTCTTCCAAAGCATAATGGGATATACCCGGATTCCTTAAATATCCTACAGTAAGGATTGTTTCTCTGTAAATAACATGCTTTTAGTGGTTCAGATTCAGTGATTGCTGTAGTGAGCGCCTGGAAATGTGTACTGAGAATCTTCACCGTCGGCGGCAAGCTACACCGTGATCAGGTACGTCGCTTTTGGGTTGATTCCGTTAGTTGGCTATATAATGTTTCCACAGACTACAAATAAGGACTTATTTGACATTGTAGATGCCAACGACACATTAGAAACCCTTAAAGAAGATTACGAGAGATTCAAGTAAGTTGACGTAATACATCGCAAATTGACTGACAGATCAAAGCACGACGATTTTTCCAAGCGTAAAACAGTTTACGTATCCAATTTGCTTTCACGTATCAAGTCATCTGGGTCGTTGAAACTGCATAAATTAATTTTTCTTAGGGAACTCTTACAAGACTTTGAAAAGGGTGTTCTGAAAGAAGCTATATATGATTCTTTGAGCGGTTGCAAGGATGTAAATGAGGCTAATGTGCTACTTCTAATACATGAAGTGATCATAGGTCAGGGCAATCGTATTGCCATACCTCCTGTAGCTTCATTGCACGATATATATAGGGAAGCGAAGGTAGATCCCGCTGCAAGCCTTACACAGTATAAACGTATGTTACTGTTATAAATTGTTCAGTAATCTGTAGGGGCCATCTACAAAGCGGAGATTGATCGGCGGCTCGATATTCAGATGGAACAACGCTCCAAAACGGATCCGCCAGAGCCGCCGCCCATAACTGGGTCAACAAGTGCACTAAAAAATCGCAAAACAGAACTGTTACAGTGCTTGGGTGAGGATATGGGTTCTATCGCTCGACGGTCTGATGCAAATGTTGAAGTGGTGTCTAAAACCATGCTAAAGCCAGCCTGGCTAGTTGAATTTCTCAAGGATGCCAAAAACAAAGATCCGCCTAGTTGTGGGTGGTCTTTACTCATGATAGACAGGGATGAGTGTCAGCAATTGTATACTGATGTTATAAATGGCAGATTAGAAGTAATAAAGGAACAGATTTTGTTTTCCAAGGAAAGCACAGTCGATGAAAAGTCGCAAGAGATGCCAAAGTTAGCTATGTTACAGTATTGTCGCAAGCAGCAATTGCAGCATATCTCAACAAACGTCACAGATTGGGAACGAACCGAGATTGACCGGATATCGCGGTTAAAAAAATTGTATAACGTTGACTTAAAGTGTGAACCCGGACCTTATGTCCCATTGCACAAGCCTAACGTAGGTGGTGGAAAAGCTCTTCCCCAAAGTTTTTATGTGAATCCAGAAGATGATCCGAATTATGACCCGCCGGGCAGTACTGCAGCTAGTAGACTGATGAGGAAAATGATGCAGGGAAACAACGATGACGGAGATACGTTCGTACCCACCGATCTGGAAACTCGAAGAAAGGGATTAGCTGAGATTGCCAAAGAAATGGAACCATTCGAACACCTCACACCGGAACAACTGTCTGATGTGTTTCTTCGCAACTGTAAAAAAGAGTACGAATTTGCAGAAGCTACCTATAGGCGGCGTACCAGGGGTAGGGTCGTAGAGGATGATGATGAATGCTTGGAACTGCTACGAAACGACGAAAACCCAACTAGGTCCGTACCAAGAGTCGGGGAACTCTCTGACGGTAAATTGGCCATAAATGAGGAAAATAATAATAATTTGCCCTTATACAGTCCCAGATTGAAATACATAATATCAAGGAACAAATTTTTAACAGATACTGTGGTTTTTTTAACAATGATCGAACATTTGCAATGGCAATTCGCATCATCTCTATATCTCCCCTTGGAAAGTTTGGTAATTTTAAAGGTTGCGGGAGAGTCTACAACAAACCCGAAGCCTCCAATGTTAACCTTTGTTGACACGAGGTGTAGGGAGGCACACGTCTATGCAAGTGTTTACGTTAAGCATGAAAACAAAGCTAACGCATACAGAAGATATTTACGTGAATTGGTGAAGTGGAATAACGCCAATCCAACAGAAAAAAATGCGAGCAATTTGTTTTTATTTGGCGACGATCCACTGTTTTATCTGAAGGATCAAGAAATGTTGCAACACATGACCCAAAGCGGCGTAGGGGTGGAAATACATTCCAAGGTGCCGGGATTTGTTATACCACCTGATGCAACGGAACATCAGAAGACCACCGTTCATCATCGCATGAATTCTTCGCAACCGCAGCCCCAACTCATTTGTACAGCTTGTGGTTACCACATTTTTTCCCACTCACTTACGGCCCACGATGGAGAACAACTAACAGCTGTAGAGTATGACCGTATGCAAGAGGGTGTGAACTCCTGTTGTCCGATTTGTAATACTGATGTATCAAATTTGGCGCTGCATTGGGTAACCGGGTCAAGAGGCTATACTGCGGAGCCGTACCCAAAACCTATTGAGGATGAATTTGGCGACTAAGAGGCATATACATAAAACATCAAACAATATTACAGTGTATTTCTGTTAAACTATTCGTTGGTTTATGGTTTCGACGCTCCAATGCATGACAAGACGTTACGTAGCACTATGGTTGGCTGGAGCTATGCCGACCTAAAGCGTTGTATTAAACACTTGGGGAAACAAACCATTGAGCTATGTCCACTCGTGCCTCTATGGTAAACTGTAACATAATGCCTCATAAATGCGTTGGATCCAACGATGAAGGCGTTACCGAATTCTGACGGCACATCAAGCTGCATATAAGCAGGTATGCAGCGTCCGCCTTGGTTTAACATGTACTGATGTGGTTCCAATGTGATCCGCTCGCCGTTCTACTTTCTTTAGTTCCACATAAAATGCCGACTCACCAGCACATATGTAATCGTAGGGCGTCCTTCGTTAGCCTCGTTACACGTCTGTAAACAATATTAGTGCAATACAAATGCCTACCGTATTTGTAAAATACGACATAAAGCGTTCGAAATAGGTACTCGGGATGGTATTAAGCGATGTGCCCGAATCAAAAATGAGGTAGGATGTTTTCCCCTCACAGCAGATTTGATCGTCACCCACAAAAATGGCATCCAGCTTGACTTCCCAGTAATGCTCACGAACAACCGGAAACATCTTGATCTCACCAATATAATATCGAGGATCAACACCACCGAACATCAACTTGGACCCCTGCATTTTTGTGTACAAAATGCTTGTAACACACCTCATCGTTTTCGCCTATGTAAAAGGCAAATTCTTTGTGCTTCATATTCTTTAATAAAGCCATGTGGTCGAATATTGGCATTCCCGGCACGCTACTCATTTCGGGAAATGCGAGACCGACAATACCCTCAAAATTTATCTTCTATAGACCCATGATTATTACTTAAGCATTTCATTGCTATGCAAAAGCCATACGAAAATGTTGAGTGCTAGCCTCACGATGGCAGTGTCTTAATGTAAAAGAATAATCAATATTTAACTTACGTCGAAGATGTTATCCCCTCCGCCTCCCGATGCCTCAGACTCCACAACAGCCAAAGCTTGATTCGGGACAACAGTTCCTCCCAGTGTTACCGTATCTTTCGCTGGGTACCCTTCAATCTCGCCCGTACCAAACTGAGTTGAAATTTAATAAGTTTCAATATTAATTAGTATTTTTTACATAAACAAGAAGTATTACCTTTACATGGATCTTAATGGGCGATTTTATGTTTTCAAACGTGGCCGAACGTGAAGGGTCGTAACGCGCCACCTTCAAACAAGAGGAGTCCTTACAAGTCGAGCCAACAATCCACAAGTTTCTGCTTGTTTGTCTGACGTGGGTTCAATAAACCTACGTGCTTCCCGTGTCGAAAATAGGATGAAATGTTTGTGGAGGTGTTCCAATTTGTATCTCGCCGATATAAAGACTCTGCAATTCAATTATTACCATCAATGGGTGTTTAAACGTATATATATATATATATATATATATATATGTGTGTGTGTGTGTGTGTTCCTTTAAAAACTCTGTGCAAATGATTTTCCATTACAAAGGACAGGGGGAGAAAACGAACTTACATCTTTGGTCTCCCTTAGAGGAATGTATTTTCCGTAATCCGACCTTTTAAAGAGTCGCAAGTTTTTGCTGCTGCTTTTCGCGAAATTCGACCCGCACTTGTCACTAGAATGTCCATTGTAGCCTATGGATCCGAAAAGGCCTTCATTTCTTTTTGCGAAGGATATTTTACCTCTTCTGAAAAGTTCTTGGTTAATAGCAGCAAGTTGGATTGCAGATGTATTATCAGAGACATTGCGTCGCTTCAAGCTGATGGAATGCTGCGTTGTTATACGTACACAACATGATAACACACCTCTGGCATATGTCCATTGTGGAGATACACATTGCAGCCGTCGTCATCAAAGCGGAAGCACCGGGCACAGTTAGACGTAAGTTGCCCAACTCGGCTCTGCTTCCCATCAGCTACATGTGTAGTGATTGAAAAAATCACTATCGTGGTGGCGAGAAGCTGCGACTTCCATATATCCATCTTGCCCTACATCAAAATCGGGGATGCGTTCTTTACGGCTAATTATCCAAGCCCCGAAATTATTACGCCCTGTAGTTTCTGCCGTGATGGCTATAAGGCTGAAATAAATTGGAACGATCGTGCGTTCCAACGATCTGGGCGAATGCTGAAAGTCTGATTTATCACAATCAGAACTACGTTCCTATGACACCTACCCCTTAATAATCATGGATGCATTGGGTTGAAATGTGTCAATGTGTGCCAAACTTCATACGCCACAATGGCGCTTTCTCCAACTTTTTTAGACTCATCAGTGGCCCACATACCTAGTACCACGTCCTACACTGCGCCAGGGATACAGATGATTTTTGATATCTCAAGCTTAGCAATAACGCCGTTTTTGGCTGGGATCTTGCGTCAAAGAGTTACGTTGGAGGAGCTTTGTTTCCACCGAACTAACATCCCACCGCGATGTCGTTTACTAAAGAAGGTGAGGGTAACGTATTTTGGGGAAGTTTGAAATTAAAAGGTGTTTCCTAAATTTTGTTTCGCTTTCAATTATATAATCACCGTTGTACCAGTGACACGTATGAGATCATCCGCCAGCGTGTCGAAGGTGCTAGTACGGCATCTCGGGTGCACGCATACGCAGTCTCAAGAGCTTGCACTATCGCCACGACTCCACGTATTATACCATTTGACATATGCTATATTTAAGGGGTAAAGATACTTGACCTATCCGATGGGTGATTCCACGGCACAATCGTTCTTGTAGAAAGAGAGCTGGCACAGGCTTTTCTAGAATTGTACCGTTTTGTTTGTTAACCACCCTGCTGGAGATTCAGTGTGTGTTGTGTTTTTGCGATTTCTTCTATACCAGGTCACATGGAATCCCGGCTTTTGCAAGCGGTCAATGCGGCGGCGCAACACCTCGTTGTCATCAAATTGCAGAGTAAAAGGTCATACGGCGTATGCCGCCGCTCTGTATTTAGTTTATTTCTGACTGCCGCTATTATAGCAGAATCAGAGTCCACATGTACCACCGGTTTAAGGGTCATGTAGGTTTCTGCCTTAGACGCAGTGTCGGCACCCACACGTACGGGCCTCGTGCGAACCGCTTTATGGCGAATTTCATCTACGGAAAGGTTGTCTGAATACGCGGGCATCAACCACTCACCAATATTCTATTGTGCGTCAAACCGTTTTTATCGGCGCTTGTATGGGCAAGGTAACAAAAGTTCATTCACCTCGCCTTTTCTGCCGACATAGAAGTTGCTGCCTTTATTGCACAATCGAAACTGCAACGAAGTAAAATAACTTGTTTCCTGCATGAGTTAAAAGGCCACATGACATCAAACTCACGTTGGGCGCTTCGTCGCTTTCATTCTGGTATCCCAGTGACATGATAAATTTTTGAAATAGTTGGACACTCTTGAAACGACTGGTCACCTCTATGATTTTTAGAATACCACTGCGAGGTTGTTACTCATTGCCAAACAACATACCCTTGCTTGAGACAGCGAGTGGCCTCTAAAATGAATAGTGGCCAGTCTTGTCCCATTAAACTGAGACAGAACACGCTTATGTCCAGTGAATCGTTAACCAGGGGCACCTAGAGTGCAATGCTGTGGGTAACAACGTAAATCACCTTGGCCATATTGCAAGCCGTGATGAAAGAATTTTGGGCTACCAAATCGAAAGAATGAACTTTTCTGTATAATGATGACAGCTTCTCCTATGAAATTAACCTGTCGCTAAATGTCCGTGCTATTAACGCGTCTCCGCAACCGAAATCTCCAATGCTATTCGTCATTAAAAGGCGTCTTGACACCTACATTTTTCCTTTGTCGATTCCCTCCAACCACGATATTACTCCATCCAAGGGGTTAGTTGGCCATTTGGAAATCTGTTCTCTGTAACCCTCATGGTACTAAAGTGATGTGTGTTAAGACAAGCGCGAATGACAAACTCACTACATCAAACAAATTCGGATTTTTTTGCAAATAAAGAAAGTTGTCGTGGCTTGTAGATGTGTATAACCTTTCGTTCAAACTACGAAATCTTGAACCCCTCAAGCGTTGCTTCGCATTTGATAGGCTGAAATGATTTCTCTGCTTTGAAAATGAAGAAGCATTGTGGTCAGAAAATTTTTGCGAAATGCCGTGACACTTTTTTTTACTTCTCATTGTTTGAAGCCCCAAAGTCGAAGTAATTTCCTCTGGTTCAAGACCTTTAAGTATAACACACTTGTAAATTAGCGGTTTGATGGATGCCACTACCGAGATGTTTCAGTGGCGAATTCTATTTGACGGTGCTATTGCACTCAAAGAGTCTTATAATGAATTATTTTTATCGTGTTTGTGTGTTATTAAAACTTTTGTGATGCCCCTCCTTAATTTTTGATGCCCAACGTACCCAAATTTGATGGATTCCTTTTCTCTTTATCAATATCCAAAACACAAATAAATATTTCTTCGCTTTTCATGTAAAAATAGTTAATTTCAAATGAACGCGACGGTACCAAAGATTCGCAGAGCGTCCACGTTGGTGATGAAACAGATGTACAAGACCACGTTGTTCCGCTTATGGTTTACCAATATTACCGCAGTGTCAATTCATCACCTTTCACGACTTCATGTTACTGTGTTGTAAATGTAATACGCATTATGTGTGTCGCGCAAAACGATCGGCAGGATATATCGTCCGTTTATGCGCTTTACTCATCGAACCCCTACTAAACTCATAGCCATCAACGTCAACTAATCCTCATCCCATATATGCGGAGTTTTAATCACTTTATATTATTCGAAGGAAAGTCGGATTGTCAGATCCGGCCCTCAATCCCAGATCCCATGCCAATATTTAGGAGCTATCTAACGCCTTAACAGTAATATCGTTCCATTGTATATGTATCTAAATGATGTCTATTGTATAACAGTTGATTATTGCTTTTCATGCCAAAACTAATTCAATTATTCGATATTACCGCTGCAACGTTATCCTCCTAAGTCATCAGCAGCTCGACTTTAGATATGAATGGTGATATTTATTAGCTGCACTAGACTTATTCAGCGATAACATACCTTCGTGAACCTTATCAGCCCATATTAATCTAAATTGTTTCATATGATCAGCAAAGGAGACTGCCGTTGGCGGTGGTTGTATAGTGAACTTTGTTTGGAAACAGAAACCAAAAAAAGAATGTATGGCCCTGAGCCGTTGCATATAACATTACCAGTAGTTTCAGTCTTGATAAGTGATCTTTTCAGCCAAATAAGGCCATTCAAAGAATGTTATTGTTTAACACTAATATACCTCATTTACATACATTATACTTTAAATTAGTTAAATACGTTTTCATGTGGAGGAACTTTATAGTCAAGCGTTTTATATAGGCAGTTTTTTCTCCCAACGTGATGCCGAAGTTAAATGCTCAAAAAATATGGGTTACAGAACTTTGCCAAGATAATTAGGGTACTTTTCATCCCAGCAACATAACGTTGAGATGGTACATACGTTATTGTGAACCTTGGTGTAAAGGTGGTATTTGCGTCTTGACGTAAACATACATTTCCATGTACTTTATCCTGGCATACTGAACTTCGTGACCGCAGCCAAAGTTCAACAATTATCTTTGCCAAAGATATAACAGTCTGCGTTAGCCCATCATATGGATTTAATGCTTTCTTAAGGTGGCAAATTAGACATACGTTCGCCGTTAGAACGGATTGGTGGGACAGTTAAACAAGACTGTATCTTTTCGATCCATTGATTTGAACAGCATGTGTACTATTGAGGGAATAGTATAGAGATGTGATTTCATCTTGATTTTTAAGGCTTACCGATTAACATGTAATTACCTAGTCACTAAATAAGTATCCGCTCATGGAATCTTGGGGTCAATAAGGAATTATGTGAGGTTTAATTGGGTCATGGAATATTGTCACAATAATTTACTCTATATCATGCTTTGAGTATTGTAGCATAATAACACTTGGTATAGCATTCATTCATGTGCCACCAAGTGAATATTTAGCGCCACCTTTTATTTCAAGAACCACAGCAAGATTTTACTGAGCCTCCTTTGATCTTCAAAGAGTACAACTAAGCTTTTTTTCAAGATGGCAGGATCCAAAATCTCTAAATTGGCGGTAACATTTGTGAGCCTTGTAGATGTCTTCGCCGGTAATGTTGCAGAAGCTGAAGTCGTCCTCGCTCAGTAGCTTGCATCTCAAGAGTGTCCCGAAGCAATGATCAGTGCCACTCAGAAAGTCGAAAGCATTATCGGTTCGGGTGGTAGGCATGCTATGATTTCAGCATGAAACAGTATTCGTTTGAAGATATCCGAGGACTAATACATATGGCATATCTTGCTTTTTTAGAGGATTGCAGAAAACCGGAGACGCAGAGAGAAGAACAAATTGAGAAAAGGCATGACAGATGAACAGCATAAAATAGAAAACTATTCTAACTTGCAATCAACTACTGCGACAGCTACCTGGCTTACTGAGTAAGCATGCACAAAACGAACCCCGAAGCATGTACCGCAAGAAGTTGCCAAAAAACTCTCTTTTTCGTTTTTATATGGTTTCTACAGAGCAGTCAATTAGCTACCCTAAAGCGTTTATAATGATGGTAAAGAGAATTCGTAAATAGAAAAAATCTAATCAAGTAGGGGCAGCATAACCAACAGCTAAAAAGCCTAAATTATGAAGCCTTCAGCCAGTCAGTAAACCCGTCAAGTGACCTTGATAAGCGAACTAAAACATCATACAGACGTCAGGATTCCCAGTGATTAAGAAAAGGTCAAACACAATAAGCACAACCTTCGAGTGATACACCTCCCTCTGCGAATGGCACTCTATACCGTACTAAAAAAGTGACGTTTAACAGGATGTTGCAGCTAAAGGCAAATTATCGCCTAAACGAGCAAAGCATTGCGATAAATCGCTTGCCGAAGCTGATAACCGAAATAGATAAAACAGCCCTGAGCCGAACCTATTTCACAAAAATTTTTCAAAGACATTTATTTATTGATTCACATCGAGTTATTATCTTTTGTTACATTATAGTGACGCACTTCAAACTACACCATTAGATGTCCATCAAATACAAATTAATGTTTTTCCAAATGCTATTTTTGTATTACAAATATAAATCACCATGCAGCAGTACTTGAAATGCTTAAATAACGACGTTATAACAATCAATAATTTACACATGCGCCCCTTATGCTAAAAATTCATATTTCCACTATTTAACACCGAATTTCCGAATTAACCGGTTATGTAATATGACATTTGTCAAATTGCAATAAAAACATATGCATATATATATATATATACATATGCTAAAATTATAGTTGCGTTTAAATCTTGGCAATTGATTATTATATTACGTAAACAAATTATATTATGTATTGTGATGTTGACGTCAATAATTTTATTGTACAACTGACAACATGATATTATAAATTATGATATTTTATTATGAATGCGCAGTTGATATTATAATTGTTAAAATTTATTATATAATAACGAAATATTTTACTATATGATTAATCAACATAATATTTATATCATGAACATTATTTATAAATATTTACGTAATTTGAATGTATAGATACTTATTACGCATAATGAATAAAATGCGTATATTCAAATCGAAATATGTTAACATGTAATTATTACAGAGAATCGACATATTAATTTACGTAATTTCGTTGATATAACAAAATACTATATATGTATTAATTATGTCTATAATTTTATGCACAATATTGTGATTATGCAATAACAAATGTGAAAATCACAAAAAAATCATAAATACACGTACAATATAGTTTCTACGTAAAATGTATACGTAAAAAATTACATATACATAATCACATCAAGATATGTACACAAGTTATGAAACAATTTGCAAAATACAAATTATTGATATGAATTATCACATCATTAGTAATAAGTTTCAGACTGCAAATTTGTATGTCACGTTTTGAAAAGCTTGACAAGTGCACGCAGTATGCAAATCATAATATATATATATAATGTCACAATAATAAATCTGAATGATGTATGAAAAAAAATAATCAGTAATCATTAATGACATGTGTATGCATAAATGACATATATAAAAGCAAAATATGATTATGTCATGAAATCAACATTATATATTTATATATATATATTTATGTATATAAATATATATAGTTACAATATAATAGTAACTTACATTGCGTGTATGTCAAATGATATGGGATAATTGAGCAATGAGTAGAGGTCCAATAATAACATCACTTTTATAAAATGGAGATATGTTAAATGTTAGCAACGTATACGAATGCGCAGGATGACGTGACAATAATGTCAGAAATTATAATGTAATGATATTCGTCATATTTGAATTTTTATATATTACGTTGTGATTCATGACACAATATTCTACGAAATACTGGCGGTACTAAGGTGACAATAAATCATAATCAGCGAAATGTATTGATTTGCAATTTTTAGCGTGATTTCACGCATCACTAGTTACGTAATACACGCCAATAGTGGTAGGACATGCAACGTAATTGGTTACGATCGGTTGTTATTATGTCACATCAGGTTTCACATTTAATTTAGTTGTGTGGAACATCGTGTTTATTGTTAGGTATAATATATATATATATATATATATATACATGCGTGTTATCAACCAAAACGCAATTTTTGAAGTGTCTTTCATCGTAATTAGCCGACCTTAGAAGTTCTTCATCTGTGACATTTGGGGTGAGGAACACAGACGTGCATGACTATCTTAGCCATGTAATCGGGTCAAATACCTGATCAGATAATTTTTATATAACAGATGAAATGCATTTATATGAAGAAAAGTCAAAATGATTATCACAGCGTCCATTTGACTACCCGTTGGTCACATTTCTTACAAAGGAGCGCTAAAATAGTTCCTTTAAATATTTTCTAATATGGCAAATGAATAATCCGAGGCTCAGGCCATTGTTAAGTTCATCGACATGCTTATAAAAATTTTCAACCATAGGAAGACATGAGATGCCTGCACCATTCGTTAGACTGACAATACCAAGACTCACCTTCAATTCTATGGTTAATCGTCCGCAGTGTTATAAAAGCACCTTGGCAACAATTTGGTTGTGGCGAATAGCGAAAGGTTAGCAATAGATCGCCCTCTACAAAATCATTATTTCTAGAACATATAAATACCTTTTGTCGAGGTTTCCATCGCGAGCAGGTTGTGTACAATACGTAAATTTGAGGCCCAGTAATTCCTCTTGAGCTGTTGCATTCCTGCATTCACTCCTGTATATTGAATGAAATATTTTCCCACTCGATATACCTGTATGATGTTTTTTTAGGGCAATCCCTAGCCTGTCCTTTTCTAATAATATACATTGGATACCATTCTCCACCCTTTCTGTGTCCTCACGTAAGTCAGGGATCGTGACATCCATTTCCGAAGTTAAGACCCTCAAAGCCGATATTTCTGCAAAATTTGGATGTTATGTGTATTTTTTACCTATTTTCAGAGATTCTACCGAATTTTTCAAAATAAGATACTGTTGTCTGGTTCTGGTTTCAAGCCCTGCTAGATATATCGTGCAATGCCAATACCTACCAGCTCTCTTTTCCATATAGTATTGATGTTTTTCCTTCAATGATTCCAAAAAAGTGCAAATTTGTGGCAAGCGCGACGCTTTCATCGTCATATTGTTCTCCAAACTATTGCACATCGGCGAGTACCGAACTAAAAGAGCAAGCTCATTATCTGAAGTATTGCCGACATTAATAGCCACATCTACTTTCGTTATTCCATTGTTACGGGACATATTATCTGTCTCACCATCATAATCGTCCATCGTGTGAATTTGACAATGCTCGAGTGCCCACTGTCTTCATCTCAAATAGTAACTTCATCGATATCATATCCAGCGATTCGTATTAAAATTTAGAATAAATTTATAGCACGGAAATATTAATGTGAGATATACGTGAGGACTTTCACTAGCGGGTCAATACTGTCGACGCTCTCTCGCCGTATATTACGTATTGTGCATCGTGATGATTGGACCCTTAAGAAATTTATACGGAGGGGCTTTAGTGTGTCGGATTCCTCAAGAATTTGATGATCTAAGGTTTGTTTAACACATACGCTACGATAAATTCAGTGACCTACTCCCAATTCCAGACCACCAAGAAGTTTTTGTACACCATAGTAATAATGTGACACGGGACAAGTCTACCAACGATGGCGAGACATCGGATTACGTCTTGTCTTTCGAAATATTAGAACAAGTGGGAAAGGAAAACGAAGCTCTAGCAAGGTACACCTTAATCGCCATAGTACAGAAGCGTGCACATGTAATTAATTCCGTCAATGAATCCATTTGTAACATATCCTTTGCATATGTTATCTTCAATGCGCATTTCACCTTCATGCGTTGCAGGTACCTATTTGACGATTTGGCATATTCTAACGAAGCCACTCACAAAAGATTCATGACATACCAACACTTGAAAACGTCAAGTGAAACAGGGTACGAACAGGTAGACAAACCTATATATTTCACAGTGCTGAGAATTCGGAAGCTATTTTGGCCACCGGCATTATGGACGTGGCCAAAGGGCTGGGGACGCACCGAGGGCCAGCGAGACGCACGTCTGTTTTTTTATATATATGGCGTTTGCCAGGTGAGAAGCAACATTGAAGTGGTCCACAGTTACGGCAGAGCGCAAGAGCGACATTTTAGTATCATATCATTTCCCTTTTGATGAGACAGGTGTCGATGGGGACCAACAATTGTCTCTTTTCAAGGCAATGGTCAACACACTTACGATAAGAGATATCACATTGTTTGAGCCTCGCCCTGAATAAAAGATATATAGACAACTTAAAATTGCATTTCACAAACGCATGAACCGTATCTATTAGAAATTACGCTTTCAACTGTATATAAGTGATCCGCTTCTTTCTTGTTCCTTGATCATCATTTCATGATATTGATAGATGATAGTAACAGCCAGCAGAATACCAGTGCCACTTCCCAGTGCACCTAAAAAGTCCGCCAAAATGGTAAGGGCACCGATACACATACCACCAAAGGCGGCTGCCGTTGGGATGTACCTTCCAAAAACCTTCGTAAGGGAAGGAGGAGAATCCCTGTGACCGACCATTCCGATTCTTTGGTCTCTAAGTTGACGAGCTACATCTCTAGCTGAAGAACCCGAAATTTCAATCCACGTTTTGGAGAATACGGCACAAGATACCAGGACGAAGGTGATATACACCAGGGTGTGAATGGGATCATTTATGATTTCTTTGAAGTTTATAGGGGGAGAAATATAGTATGCGATACCTCCAACAGGCACTGACGATCCGTGTTCCGTTTCTTGCCATTGCCCTAAAAGGTTGGCAAACAAATTATTCTTGAATCTCCTGTAGATTAATTGGGAAAAGAAGTAGAGATTTGAGACGAGTGCTGTTTGTAGAATGATGGGAATGTTTGACGTGTAGAACAACTTGATTGGGTATGTACTTCTTTGCCCTCGCATATTTTGATATTTGATGGGTAAGTCCACCCTGAAGCCTTGCAAATAAATCACTATGGTGAAGATGAGAGCGGTTGCTAGAAGATTAGTCACATTTGGAGCGTGTGAACGATAGAAAGCGTCTCTGAATGCCGACAACTTGTTACCTTTGGCAAAAAAGCAGTAGAAAAGGGATATTAATGCCCCTTCAAATTCCGTACCTTTGTCTGTGCTAATGGTTGTTGGGCTGAAGGCCTTCCATAGAATCGTCTCACATATATTCGTGGCAATGAAGAGTGAGATTCCGGAACCAAGACCATAGCCCTTCTGCAACATCTCGTCAAACAATATGACGATTACACCCGCCATGAACAATTGCAAAATGATGACCGTGCTCTTGAAAACCCCGATTTCGGATACAGGACCATACATGCCACTCACCACGTAAGCAACAGCTTCACCAAGTGTTACTAACAACCCAAACACTGCGCATTATTAGGAACAATCGAGAAAATGTTCTTTACAAATCAAAAAAAAACTAACACTTTTCGGCGGCCTGGTAGAGGTCTCGGTCCTCCTTCAGTGATTGGTCAACGTCTATTATTTTAGATCCAGCCAACAATTGCATAACCATAGAAGAAGTCACAATGGGCGAAATACCCAATTCCATCAGCGTTCCCCTGTTAGATGCCAGGATAACCCTCATCCAGTAAAAAGGGTCTGAAGACTTGTTGGTGACAGCGCCATAAATAGGAATTTGGCAGCAAACCAAAAAGACGAACAACGATACCCCAGTCCACATCAACATCTCCTTGAACGGCACCTGGGTTTCACATGAATATTATGAAACAGAGACGTAGCCCACACTTGGGCTATGGATGAAAAATGTGTTGTAACAACCACTTCACTGACAAATTAATGACGATACCATCGAATTCACACAGGTAACACGCCTTCTTCGACGCTGCGCTAGAAGGCGCTGACCCGTTACGAATTGGTACAGCACACATTCAAGCACAAGGTAAAAAGGGTGTTCTCATTTTACAAGAGAACAGCGGAAACTATACCACGAACAACACCATCCATTTGAAGATGCATTATACATAGGAGCCCGTGAGACGCAGAGTCATTTGACCCCCGCCGCGCCAGACATAAGTCATAACGGGTCACACACCTTCCTTGTAGGCGTCCGTACCTCGGGGAGGATGGGCATAATCGGCTTGATTAAGTTTAAAAACCGAACTGAAAACAATAATTAGGAAAATGGTTATGTCGGAGCTCAAACAGGTTATGGCCACCACGGTACATCAAAGGAACCAACGATAATGTAACTCATCTTTCATTGATATAAAGAAACCTACACCCTTTCGCCATTTTCTTGCATAACCGATCGAAAAAGTAACGAATTGAAACAAAAAACGTACTGAGTTTATACTGTGCCCATCATTCCCCACCTATCCGGTGACATACACGTTTCCGGTACGTCCCTTGACACCGACATCCACAGCATATTACTGTCTACAATGCAAAACTAGAAAAAATTTAGTCAAATTTACGTCGTAACATTGGAACGTATCGAAGATGGTAAGTTGGAATAAAAAAAGTGCCTCGTACCCTGTATTTTTGACGTTGCCGATCAATAGAACAGTATTTGATCGGAAATTGCGTAGGCAAAGATTGAAAATATCACACCAATTCGGCAACATACCCTGTTACCGGTGTGTCGCATACATGTATTATAATGTGCCATTCCCTTCGTCAGTTGCGCAAAGCGCTTTGCCCTGTATAATGCAGTGATATTAAACATATATAAGACGATGCAATCTATCACATCAGCAGTATTGCCTTTGAACGCCTTGATTTATACATTACTCTGCAGGATGACGTAGAGGCGCAGCGCCAAATCAAGCAAATGGTGAACTTCATTCTTAACGAAGCAAAGGACAAGGCTGAAGAGATCGAATCAAGTGCCGTTGAGGACTTTAATGTGCAGAAGATGACTTTGTTTCAACAGAAAAAGGATGAAATAAGGGCCAAATTGACGAGAAAGATCAACACGCTGAAACTTGAAAAAATAAGGGCTCATAACACTGCTTCCAGGGATATTCAAGACCAAGTACTCAGACACCAATGTGGAATGATAGATTCGATTACAAACGAGGCGTTGGAAAAAATACAAGCGCAAATGAGCGTCACGAGTGAATACGAGCGGATTTTGGTTCTTTTAATTCTTAAGGGGCTAATGTCTTTGGCCTGTAATGAGGTGCTAGTTAGATGCCGCAAGGAAGACACAGCCCTAGTCAAAAACAGCATAAGTGAAGCGAAGTTACGGTTCGCTTCCCTAACGCAAGAAACCTTAGGCAATAAATGGGATCTTACAGCAACAATCGACCCCAAGGTTTTTTTACCGAGTGATAATCTCGGTGTAATAGTAACGACAAGTGACGGCAAGGTGGAGTGCAATTGCACTTTCACATCCAGGCTAGAAATATACTGTGAAAAACTTATTCCCGAGTTTAAAGCAGAATTATTCAAGCAGTGAACGTTTCAACAACTCTTAATCGCATTGATTAGCTGGTCTACATTTACCCATTGCGTCGCTTGATGTTGGCACGTCAACCACGAACTAATGCGCCTTTACACCCTAAAAGGAGTGCCGGTTGGGACATAATAGTAATGGCGCAGACCCCGGCCATAAAACTAATCATATGCGGAAAACTGTCCGTATACAGCACACGTATAACAAAGAACTGCAATACAAAATCGACCATCATTAAGAGTTCACATTTTTTTGCTAGCATTTATTTCGAAGCGCTTGCTCCGCAAAGCACGTAGAGACCGAGCCCTCTGCAGGTCCAACCGTCTTTGCTCCTGCGTTTTCAAATTATCTACCCGTCCAGACAAAATAAGAGATCTTCGAAATGCTTCAGCAACTCTCTTGGCACGGTAAAATCCATATGCGCATTTGAACCATCTTGATCTATGTATTCCGTTTTCGAACCAGTGTGCCGACCAAACTTGTAATCTGCAGAAAAATGCAAACGAAGCCGCAACTGGTAGTAAATGGCAGCATAGGTAATATGCGCAATTCAGCTATCGTTGTTCACCTAGGGTTAATTGCATATCACCCCGCTGTAGTACACCGAATGTTACGAAAAGCCCAAACTTCGTGAGGTCCAAAGCTTACCTGTGATAATAAGTCACGCACTTTTCTTTGGAAACGGTGATAGGCACAGGGTTAACCAGCACGTTATATTTTCTCGTTCTCCAAATTCTTTCTTTCCCGGAGAAGCTGAAAGGAAAATCAGAGCCTAGGTAGGAACCGCTACGAGTAGCCTCCGTCTCCTAAGACAACTATCCAATACTTTTAAAAAGAATCATGACACATGGGGGTGAAAAGCGACATACCAAATCGTTATAATAATTCTTCGGGAGGTAGAGCTGACACTCATTGCTAACGGCGGCTGCGTAACGGGGAGTGAAACTGAGATGCTCAGGGTCTAAAATGTTTCATGCGTAGGTGCAGTGAGGGAACTAACTGTTGACGTATGGGTGGATGATAGCTTTCGTAGGCTGCTTGTAACTGCGTGTTGAAAAGTGTCGCCCGCAACGCGCCACCCACTCGACCGAAATCTTAACAGCCAACATATGGCGCCAGGTTTTTCGGGAAAAAACACTGATATTGGCGACAATAAACCATTTAGTTTGTTGTTTTTTCCCCACGTGTATTCCACTGCCACGGGTTTTCACGTTACCAAATTTTACACACTTGCGGTCATAGCAAGTTAAATGTGACTAGTGCCGTCGCCCTCACGTCCTTTTTCCATATACTTACAAATACGCCACTTACGACTACGATCAACAAATGGAAGCAAAGGACCGTGGCAGCAGCGCCACGTCTGCGAAAGTAAATTTATTTGCCTTCACTTTGCGTCGAGTATTTCCTCTGTTGACATATTTGTGGCTTGCGTTTACTAATCACATTAAACAACTGGCAATGCCTTACTCCGTAGACGAGTACCTTCTGCGAAGGGGCGCTTTACACAAGTAGAATTGTAGCAGGGTGGAAGGCAAGTTTTATAAGTTGACTTCACGTGCTGTGTTTGACATTTCAACAACTATGAGTTATTCGAAAGTATATAACGTGAGTAATGCGGAGTACTTGCTCCTTTTACAATTCCTGTTAGTTTGGACTATTGAAACAAATCATAGAAACCGTTTACAGATGAGCAAGCGTCCCAATTGACGGGTATTCTAGTGTGACGATGTTAGATGCTTTTAATTGGGTCCGGCACTAAATACAATTTTTACACATGTAGCAAATGCGCTGTGCCAATCAAGGCACCCACCTCAACAATTTCTAACTTGAGGGTACAAATAGGGAGGCACACATGAGGTCCTGTAGCTCAGTTGGTCAGAGCGTACGGCTAATAACCGTAAGGTCGGCGGTTCGAGCCCGTCCGGGACCACTTTATTTAATGCCATAATCACATTTATTACATGTCATATCACATTATATTTTAGCTCTAAAATTGAATGATGGTAGACAATAGCAAGCATTTGCCATCGTCCGATGTGTTTACGTATTGCAATGCGCGTCTTACTCGCTTTCTGCCAACCTTCCTCGACATCGCAATTTCTGAGATAAAGGCATACGATGTTTCTGAAGACGATGTCGCATACTATTCACACGCCATACAGTATAACCTACAAGGTGGGTATGGGCGATGAACGCGGTATTTCAACGGGACCCATATACACCTACACACTCCCTGCCCTTCATGCCACCGTTTAACGGTATTTATAGGCGGCAAGCTCATCCGAGGCACCTTGGTTGTATCGACAACAAGGTCGATATTGGGGGATGAAATGACAGAACATCACTGGCACCAAGCATTGGTACTAGGTAAGGGTGTTCACACCTTTGGGCATCGTACACAGGTTGGTGCGTAGAACTACTGCAAACCGCATTTCTTGTGGCCGACGACATAATGGACAAGAGTGTAATGCGACGATCTAGTGTCTGTTGGTTAGTTTTGAATTATATCTCCAATGAATTGGCGGTTGAAGAACCGCCTACTACATGTCCCTTTAAAATACGTCGACAAAAGTGCGGCAAAACGCATGAAACACAATATCCATACATATCTTAGGTATATGGTACCTACAATTGGTATCTCGAACGCTGTGAATGACACCATGCTTTTGAACACTTTGGTGCATAGGTTAGTTGTACTTACCCGCACACCCGATTTACCACGCACCAATGAATATTCGCCTTCAGCATAATTCACAAACAGTTCAAGGACAGCACTCACTTGGTGAGTTTGATGAACATGTTTACTCAAGTCTCAATGATCACTATACTGGGACAACACATGGATACCTACGACGCACTGCATGCTTCACTTTTCGACACTCCTACGGTAGCAACATCGCTTTATTATCGTATTTGTAAGAATAAAACATCTTACTACACCTTTTTCTTACCAATCAAGCTCGGTGAGTTTCAAGTGTCGTATTCGCCTGGCAACGTTAATCGCAGTCCCGTCGTAACATCTTACATGTAGAATGCTTTGACAATGAATTTATACGGAATGATATTCATTTCTATTCGATTATTAAATATTTGATGAATAATATTCCCTACCTCTTACTCGTCTACCATTTTTTATAGGCATGATTATCTCTGACATCGATCAAGCCAACATTAACTTCAGCAAACTCGAATCAGTTTCGTCATTACTAGGACACTTATTCCAGGTTCACACGATTGTTACATAAACACAACTGTGAAGGCACAAGATGATTACTTGGATTGCTACAGCGATCCGTCTTGCAGTGGCAAGGAGGGTACTGACATACAGACAAGGAAGTGTACTTGGCTCCTCGCAACGGTAATTCTTCAATCATCTATGCACTATGATATAGGCAATCCACGTGGGCAGCAAACTGCAACTACAACAAATCAAAGAAAACATTGGTAGGGACGATCCCACCAAAGTCGATGCCGTAAAACGAATTTACAACGACCTCAAACTGCCGCGTTTGTTCAAGGTATACACACAAGATCTGAAGTGCAACATACAAAGGTAGACGATTACAATCGATTTTCATGGAATTTACAGCCAAATCAACGATATAAAACACAAGGGTATGTCCAAAAAACAGAGCGTAGATTTAATTAATAGAACTGGCCTCTGTATTGCAATGGTCACTGGAAACGATTATAAACAGGAAGAAATAATGTGTATTGACAATCATTAGCTATATTATTCGTCGTTAGCTTTCTTTGTTTTGGGCGCCTTGGCTGATGGTAGCTGCGTGCCAAGTGCTCTCGAAAGCTTTTGAATGATGTTGCCATTTGGGATGGCCTAAACAAGTATATAGTCATATCATAGCTGGAATACTTACCGAACCATTCTCATACTCCTTTACCGTGGTTTCGGGTTCATTGATGAGACGGGCCAGGGCTTGCTGAGTTAGGCCCTTTGCTAACCTTGCCTTTTGCAGGGCTTGTCTAAAATGGAACTCCACACGTTCAATCCTAAAGTCCTCAGTTTCGTTATCAATCTTAGCGGCACTGCAACATATGGTTGATAAAATTACCAACTCACTTGGTCGGGAGGTATGCCTTGGTAGATTTGTTCTGCCCGCCCAAAACTGGAAATAAATTGTGTCATGCTAATTATAGAACCTTACATTTTTTTTCCGTAGATATTGTTTCCCCCGTACGTCTGGCATTATCTAGAGCAGCTTTCTTTTGAGCACCTTTGTAATTCTCCTTCTTTGACCACACTACGGGAGTCCAATCCTGATGTGAAGCCATTTTTAATAATAAATTTAGATTTCAATTGGTTGACGACCCGTGCCATACAGTGTGTGACTTATGGGTCGGTACTAAGCAGCGACTCCTCCAGTTATAGCAATTTAAAGCAAAACGAACTTATTTCAAAGTTAAATTATGGTGATAAAACTAAAAAAATTGTTCTAGCTGAGATGGTCGTTCAGGATGGATGTTTTCTCCTCTGGCAAAATATTGATTCACAGCATAGCACGAACCTGGATCAAAATGATTCCTGAGAAAGTAGGCCATTTTATGGTCCGTAGTCCTCTTTCTTTGCTCGGTAATCTCATCGATTGCCATTTTCACATTGGCTGGAGGCTGGTTGATTAGTTGGCATATACGCTTAAACTGCAAGCCTTCCCTTCCCTCTTCGCTTTCAAATATTTTACACAAACTCATCTTCAATTCGTCCACATCCATGACATCTCGTTTTTGCACTGACGCATGGTAAGTCATTCATTGCGTGACACTGATACACGACACGGAGGGAAGATGGTATTATCGTTTTCGAGGGTCAGCGCTTAGACACGTGAAGTTATTCACAAATGTAAGTTGTTTCGGTGATTCATTAATGACTCCACCAATATCTATACATGGACAATTGCAAAGATGAACATAGTTTTGAATGCTAAAATACCTTTGGTCTTCGATCTAGAGTACGGTGTCTGTGGCTTCACGGTGGTTGTGCCATCGTTTAATACACTTGTGACCACTGCTGGATTAGGGTTATAGTATTTGAACAACTGCAATGACAATAAATACACAATGAATAAACAAACTGTCGTTGCCCTATCATGAATTGGATCAATCCTCGCCTCACGTGTCGTCCCTCTGTCTGAGATGCATCAATGACAAGATCGCATATGCTTGAATACCTTTATGGACGTTTGAGATGATATGTCGTTCCTTGATTTTCTGATCATAAATATGGCGCAAAAAATGCAACGAACGTTTTTGTAGAGTGAGTCCAAGGTTGGGTATATTGTAAGACACCTTTTGAATTTCCCCATCGATTCGACGGTCCCATTGCCATCTCTGATTTGCACAGCCGTGGGACAGCTCAGCTGGTTAACTCGCGTCATCAAAAGTCTCTGCTTGCCATCGCACTTTATCAATAGCTCGCTAAGCACACCCTGCACAACGATTAAAACTCATCATACAGAACATGTCCATTGACTAAAATGTACCGGTCGGTTGGGTCAGATCGTTTGGAGGATGAACCAAGGTCAATCTTTCAACAGTACAGCAACAAAAACTATACAAAACCTGTTGGGGGTTTATATGATATAGTCAAACCATCTGCTGAGAGGCAAACGGTTGACGGGCACTCATCCACGTAACTTGTGAGTTAATGAACAAGCAAACGAAAACCTACAGCGTTGTCCTTCTTGCAATATCCCAAGAAACATTGGTTCTCACATTCCCTCCAATGCTCTGCTAAAAACTTCGGTACCTTTGCAACATTTTTGGCGGTCGTTTACAGCTACGAATACCTTAATCAACGTAATTTCACTGTTTGGGTCACAATGATCGAACATTTTAAAATCTATATGGGCATCGCGGTAGCTATTATATTATCGCCAGACAAGAGATAATAACTCCAAAGGGATTCCTACACTTTATCTATAGTGCCCACGGTGTACAGGATCCTTCCTACAAGAAAACAGAAAAAATTACAAATTTGGACGATATATTATCTATAAATGATTATACACACAAGAACAAACCATAAACGTAACCTTTGGTTGCGTGGTTGACTCATCTACGCACTCGACGAAAGCTGCGCCCCGGCCGGAAGGTGCTTTATTGCCCCAAACCACAGCGTCTATGCGTTGTCGCTCCTATTCTTCAATTTCTACCACTCATCTGCGCGTTCCATGAGAATAGCATGCGTATTTTACGTGAACGACCTTCCGTCCATAATTGATGAAGCGATAACCTTCCTAACAAAATAACAATTGATAGTAGCAACGGTCGAAATATTCCGTGTTATATGTAATCTACGTTAGAATGCAAGGCTACCATGGTTTTCTTATCTTTTGCGTAGTGCTGTCGGAGCTCTCAGTACGTGTAGGCTACAAGGGCCGGACAGCGGACCTCTTATCTTCCTTTTGTTTTGCAACTTGGTACCTCAACTTCTAATTTGTGAAAGGTGTACCGGAATTTGTGTTCGGTCTAACAAAAAAATTAACGTCTTTGATGCACGGCTACCACACGTGAAGTACACTTGCCGTCTCTCTTATACCAAACGTTTATAATCAATTGCGACCGCACATTCGGCAGTGCTATATGATACGGTTTTTATCTTCTACTAGTGAAAATTAAACCGCGACAGACTTAGGCATATCAAAGCACCAATCGTACGGACACCCTTTAGAGCAAACACTGGCTTCACCAGCTTTCGAACAAACAAACTAATTATATTTGGACTTATACAACATTGTACGACCCCTTTTATCATCACCATACTGCATATATTTAGGGAGGTTAGTCCGGGCGCTGCAAATGTTGGAGTTAATTACGTGGCAGCTTCAACATTGTGTTAGCGTCTAACTTATTAATTCTCCGATAGCACACTCTTTCGTTCTATCCCAAATCGCATAGATTGTCTCGCTCATTTTAAAGCGCGCAGAAATGTCTAGCAGGGAGTATGCGCAAGGCGAACAGGTTTCATCGGCCGACACGCGGCGCCCGGGGTATGCTGTAATTGCAATATGTGATGTTGCGAAATAGACACCATATTCGTTAAAAAACATTACGTATGAGGACACGTGTGGCACGACATGCAACACTCGGTTGTTAGGTTTCAACGCATCTGCACCGGCAAAACTTCGAGCCACGGAACTCGGTAGATCATAATACATCATACACGAGAAAATCTTCCATGGCTGTTAAAAATAAACGTTTACATTGCAGAAAAACCTTGACAAGGTCTGCTGCACGCGCAATAGCCCCTCACTGATCGTGCCATTCCACCGTATCAACAGCGCAGCAAAAAATTTAACTAGACCCATGGACCGTCGTACACATTAACGTTATTGTTTACGTTTGGAGTTCGAACATGGAGCGACGCCCCCTCTTCTAAAAATTCAGAAAAGTCAATCGCGTTTTTCGACTCCACATAGCGTACGATGACCACTGGAAGCGACATCGATGAAACCGTAGCTTATCTGGATCTTTGCCTCATCTTTCTTCTCTTACGTTGCAAACGACGTGTCCTCTTCTTCTTCCACTGAACATTGTTAGTTGCCAGGTCAGCGAACACAAACCTTCCAGCGCATCTTGGCATGCGCCTTCTTATAACGACTCGCTCCGTGCGACATTTTCACCTGTATACGACGTGAAGCGTCCCACTTTCGAGGGGATCAAGAAGCGGCAGCAACGATTACACCGCTGGTGGAACAAACCACAAAATAAATACAATCGAATACCCATTTAAACACCATGCATATAATTGTTAATGGCCACCTTAATCAGACGGAACAATACATCACGTCCCCTGCCAGTTTCCACCCTGGCCCAGTAACACAAAAACAACCCTGAGCTAATACACCGTACGAACAACTTGAACACATGCGTCTTTTGTTACAAACATGAACCTACCTGATAATTGGTCGATAAAACCAACTGCGCGGCTTTGGTTAAGGAAAGAATCAAAAGGCCCCATCATTGGTCGGATCATTGTGTGGGAGGCAATGGCCCAGACTCGTCGAGGCAGTAGACATCACGTGACCATTCCACGATTTATCAAAATTAACGGGCCATCATAAAAAATTACTAAGCACTGCATCGTAGTATATGCCAATGGAGGATGACACTTTTACCGATATCCAATATTAGACTTCCCATTTTATTACGTTCAAATGCCTTTCAGGGGCCTTTGCGACATATTCGAGCGTGTACATCTGGCAAGAGATGAAAAGTGTGTAACATGTGTTGGTAGCTCTCGTGTGTGTGTTTAATTCTTGGACACTGTGACTCTTTAGTTGCGTCGCTGTGTCAGACGGCCTCAGCTTACGCCTATATAAACACCTATACGGATATGCTACACGTTGGTAAATTCAGTTATCGCGCTATTATATATGCATAAGTGAATAGGGATGGGAGCTTCTAATACCAACTCATGTTTCGTGTATATCCCAGCTTCCTAATCTCACACCATATTTAAAACCGTAAATGACGGGTCTGTCCACTTAAAGTTCATTAATACCATTTATATTCGGATTGCCCGTGCCTTTCGGCAGTGTCCATGGGTGACCTGTTATCGTGATCGCTTGGGTTAAGTCCACGTTGCATACCTGGCTAATTGGCGCAAAAACATTTTACATACTAAATATTACAATTAGGAGGGGAGTTCTAATAATGTGTAAATGACACATTTTCAAGTGGCGGGTTGGAGATGGCTCCACAAGCTGATACTTTTTGCCATTCCTCTGCAAATTGGACACACTGAAGCCTAAATTTATAGTATATGGACCACAACACGTGGCAGCTGCATAGTTGCTCATAAAGAAGGATGGTTCCAAATGCGCCATCTACGGGTGGCGTTACCTTATCCACTAAAGATGTTTCTTGCTTACTCCATCCGTCCGTTACGGAGGCAGGGCATAATGTCGATTTTGTCCAAGAACGTGGGAAATGTGATTTAGAGGCACACAGCAATCTAGATTTCAAGCATACTTCTACACTTTCTAATCATGAAGCCTTGTTGTATGATCGGCAAATTAGACTTTGGGGAATAGAAGCACAACGAAAAATGATGGATGCAAGTATAATGTTTTTAGGCAAAAATGGAATCCAAGAGGAGGCGATAAAAAATTTGCTACTCGCAGGCATGAATGTAACTCTCGCCAACGATCTGCTGGTAACTGAACAAGATGTGAAACACAGTTTTTTCTTAATGGAGTCCGATGTGGGCAGCAACCATGCCGAAGCTTTGGTGCATAGGTTGCGTGAAATGATTTTAGATAAAAACAAGGTCGAATCAATTAACAACGGAATGGTAAAAGACATTTATGTGGAAGGTACACAAACATATGAAATGGACGATGTACTATTGGCACGTTACGACGCCGTAGTGTTTGCTGTGGAAACCTATCCTCTGACAAAAATGGTGAGTGCAAAACCGATGTACCTGTTTGAATTGATAAACGTATACAACAATTCTACGCAACAGTCAAAGCGTATTGTTATGGTATGTATTACATGTCTATTCTGCCTCTAATGTTTATTATGTTGCAGACAAAAATAAACGAACAGTGCAGAAGAAATGGCGTTGCGTTTTTTGCCTCAATGGAAAGTGCTGGACGAGGTTTTCTATTCCAGGATCTCAATAATCACTCAGTGTAAGGCACACTCCATACCTTTATGTTTCTCTGGCCTTTGAAAAGGGGCGTTGCACATGGTTTGGTCGAGATTCATCTAAAATATTTTGCATGTATGCAAGTTTTTTATTTTTAAGATTTGTCAATGGGCGCAATTCACATTGCCATGTTTTCACGAGAACCTTCATATAAGGTGTCCTATAGTAGTATGTAGGTTAGAAGTGGCATCTAAAACGCAAGGAAATATCACTATTCAATATCGTAGCCTTGAGAACATCTTGAGAGAAGTATGCACATCATACTTACATAAAATTTCATGCAGCCCCGATTTCCAAGGAACTGTGACACGTCGATTAAAACCATTGTGGCATATCTGCTGATACAAAGCTGGTGCCCAGCAGTCATCACTGATACATACACAATTACACGTATTATGCATCAGGTGGAAGACATTTGTCATGTTGTTGAGGCTAACGTCGATGAAGTGTTGTAAGTTGAATATGTGTTGTTGAATTTATCCATTAAGTCTAAACCACCGAATTGTGCTCTACACGTAGTACATTATGTGTTTGTCGCACAGTCTTTATACGGTGTGTAATTTGATTTGGTCTTGCGCGCTAATTGCGCGAGTGACCACACTTCGCGTGAAATGACGTGGAGTAGAGGCTAATGTTTAGTGTTCGGCTTGTTTATATTGTTTTGTTAAACGGTTACATTTAATTTACCTCAACCACAGAACCTTCTTTGAAACGCAGGGAAAGCACTGCGCCATCACGAGCGGCGTTCTAGGTGGATATCTAGGTACGCTTTCTGTCTTCCTATCTGATATTTGATTGCTGTAGCACTGGAGATAAGGAAGTTTGTCACCAAGCAACACGAAACAATCCCTAGCTTGTGTGTATTTGATATGTCAAGATCCGCGGTTAATACAGCTATGCTGTAAAAATAGCACATTAGAATTGTTCAATTTAAATAAAAAAAATAAACGTTTGTGTATCTGATGAGAACAACCCTCTGTCCATGTAAGGGCATGATTCTGCGAGGCAGGTAGACCGAACGCTTTCGCACTTCATTTGCGGCGACACGCCTCACTAAGACGGCAATGTTACTTATTTTCGATTATCTGTTAGCGCGATGGAAACAGTTGGTGGGCCAAAATGAAATCAACATCGTTTTTGCAACTCGTTTTGACGATTACCTTCTCAACCACGCCTATCCCAGCTCTGAGGCTTCTAAAAAGGTCTAATACTGTTTGTTGTGGTAGCTATTTGTGTACGAATCCTGCAAGTACCGTGTCTGATGGCAATTTCGGTACAAGCTCGACCCATGATGGCAAAATTTATGGCGACCAAAATGTTCAAAATTACCGTAGTTGCTTTCTTTATAACACCAAACACGGTGCTCATTCTGACAGGGCTGCACGAATAACTGGGCTTTCATCACGCGATAAAGGAAAAGAAGTTGACGAAGTATTTCGAACGTTATGCAGCTCTCTCAAATCCAAGAAGACCACCTTCATTGATCTTCAACATCGTCTACAGGCTGCAGGTATTACCCTTGAAGGTTGCAAGACTCCTGAAGATGTCGTCCTAAGAGTGGCGAAGCTTGAGGTGCTCGGGAAAGAACGTGTGGCGGATGAAATATGTAAATCCAATCCCACGTTCCAAACCCTCTTGAATGATGTACTAACCGGCAACATAACCGCTTATAGTAGAAAAAATGATAGAGACAGGGTACAGTATATACAAAAGATGAAGGACACCCTCAATGCGAAGAACATAGCCTTCGATCCGAACGGTACTGACGACGAGATCATAAAACTTGTCTCTGAAGTTGAATCTCGGGATATGATTGCATTTCAAGTGCCTTCCACAAAGTAAGCGTTACGTGTTGTATATGTTGCTTGCAAGGCTTACATGTTGCCAGAGTGCACGTCAAAGTGGACAACCTTTATTTATGTCTCTTCGAGCATGTCATATTTACATGAAAGATCTAAATGATTATAATAACATTTTCATGTTGTTACGTATTCACTCGTGATTGGTTCTTCTTGTGTTACAAGAAGCAACAGCGCTAAAAGGTTACACGATTGGCCCAGTGCATATCCTTTTCGTTCTTAACGTGTACATACATGGCTCTATGTAAATTCATACTACTTTAGGCCATGCAACGAAATGAGTCAACGTATAGACTCGTACAAAGATGAAGCCGATTCCATTTTTGCCGTTTATAAGCGCATCAAGGATGATAGAATACGTAACTATTTCATATCTCAAGTGAAGGATGAACTGCAATCGCTTTCGGTAGACTACAACGATTGCAAAAAGGATGAGGATTATATCAATAGACTTGCTTATGGCAGAGTATTTCCAAGCGAAGTAAAACTTAGTACTGGGCCACACAATGCGGCATCGAACCACTCCGCATACGTACCGTCTGATGATGTGGGTATTGATGATTTTGATCCATTCAGTGCTATGTTTGGCCTAGGTGGTGCGCAGGGACTTTTCGATATAAATGATGGTATCTTCGATAATACTTCTGGGATGTCTAGCATATTCGAGGAGGATGGATCGATGGGCGGAGGTTTTTCTATACTTAAAGACATCGCAAAAATGTTTGGTGTGAATCTAGGAAACGATAAAAAAAATAAAATCGTCTTCGAACATCAAGATTTGCCCGGTGCCAGTCAAGCACGTGAATCTACGGATGATATTATGCCCACTGAACAGGAACCAGATCACGAATTGCAAGACGCATTTGTTAAAGTAAAGGATAGCAAAGATCAAGTTCTTTTACAATTGCTCACCAAATCTGCAAAGGTAAGACACAAAAGTAATGCCATAATGTTCTGCAGGACCCGACGCTGCGTAAGGCCCTGAAAATAGCATTTTCTGATGGTTATGAAACAGCGCGTGAACGTTATATAAACGATAAGTCGGCCTTGTACATTCTGGAAAAGTTCCATGAACGTGGGATGTTTTAGTGTGTGTACAGGTGCAGACTAGGAATATATGGTAATATCGCGAAGATTGCTTACCTGTAACGGTAGAATAATAGACAAGAATGCAAGTTCAGTCGAACCATAGGAAATCAACGATAGCATTTTATTTTTATACGTTCCATGGGCGCGTTTCATTGTGACGTGATCTATGGGTTTGTTACAGCAGAGCTGGTTACATCAATGGGTGGCTTCTGGCTTTCCTGAGTTATTACGATGGAGGAGGGGTTAGAGCATGACCTATGTTGTGGCAGGTTACCGGTGCAAAACTCAGTAACAGCGACTAGTTCCCTTGGCAAGGTGGAGAAGGAGAACAACATCGTAGAGATGGAACCCAACGGTGACGGAATCTACGAATCTACGTTACGTGTTGGTTTGCGGAAGAAGACAGATAAGAACAGGCGCCTGGGCCCAACCGCCACGTTTAACAAGGAATGTAATAACTCTACGGTGAAAGAACTCATAGTTTACTCGCACGTGCGCAGGTAATCTGCTTTATCATTCGTCAAAAGTAAAACATGTCTGAGTCAACACGCCAAATGAGACGCAACTATTATGTTCTTCATCAAGTGGATGCGACACTTCACCCACGACCTTTCCTCGTTTCTCGGTCGCTACGAAGTCCTGCTACGTCACAGAAAACCAATGGGCAACAACTTCGCTTTCTGGATGTCTGAATTTGTGGCATGTATGCTAAATACACCATGTATTTATATTTAAGTAGTAGTGCCTGTGGGCAACCGCAAAGCGGCTTAGCAGTCCAGAGCTGGTCGACTTCTGATTATTCTCGCATGTAACGGTTTGCCTCATCAATTTCCGCCCTTAATTGGGCCTGAACGCGATGGTAATTGAATTTAATAGTATAGACTATTGACGGCAAGTTGTGTTTTTCTATCCAGTTGATGATTTCCTTAATTTTACCATGATCATCATTAGTGGCATCCTCTCGTTTGATAGTTAGATCGAATATTGCCTCTTGCGCTGTGCAACATGCGCGACGCAGTTTCGCATCCAAGGTGTCGAATCTTTTCATTTCATGGGTAATTCCTGGCAAGTCAATCATGCCAACAAAATACCTATGGCTTCTAACTTGCTCCAGGGTTATACGCTTGTGAGGATCGGCGGCTATCAGTTTTTCAATAAGATCCCTCGCATCGGTGTCGAATCCTTCTGGAAACTCAACTTTAGTGCTCTTGACATTTTTGTATATGAAATAATTTGACGAGCCAATAAAGCAGTTAATCCCAAGAAGCAATTGATATATGGTACACCCGAAAGACCAAAGGTCCCCGGCGTACCCTGATGATATGTTAGATATTGCCTCCGGGGGCATAAAATTGGGTGTTCCGACATAATTTTCAAAGTCGCGTTTCTTCCGCAATCCGCCTTGCGAAGTCTTTGGCCCCTCAGGAACCCGCTCATCGCACTTACATGTGTTTTTGATGCAGCAAGCGTGCCTCTGCTGAGTGGTATTCGCTATAAATTGATTCTCTTTTCTTCCTTTCCCCAGAAACTGTGAAGTACCGAAGTCAATAATTTTCAATACACCATTTTGTATTACAACATTTTCGCATTTTATATCGCGATGTACAATACCATGGCTATGGATATACTCTAGTCCATTCAAGAGCTGCCACACCAGGGAACGTGCAATATGTTTTTCGGGGACACCGACGTTCTTTATTTCCTCCCATAATTCCCCTCCGCTAGCATACTCATACAGCAGGTAAACATTTTTGTCGTCCCTGAAAGTGTCAAACATTCGAATGACATTCGGGTGCCCTGGAGTGTTAAGAGTAAGCATGGCGAGACGCTCTTGCTGCACAGATTGGGTAAAATGGTGGTTCTTCACCTTGTTCTGCAATAACAGTTAGTTGTATATTAGAGGATCCTTACCACATTAAAAATTTTGAGGGCGTAGGATTCTTCGGGGCGCGTTTTAAGTCTCACATGCCAAACTTCTGAAAAATTTCCGCTGCCGATGTTCCTCTCGAATTCAAAGTCTTCGACTCGGTATTTGCGCTTACCAAGAGTTTCATCGCTCACAACGTTTTTATCAGCAAGTTTAGAGACATTAGGGTCACTCGAAAATAGGAAACCAGGCTTCATTTTTGTCTCATGCAGTGCCTTTCAAACCATACCAGCAATGTGTAGCCTGCGCTTCGGCCTCCCTCATATGACTAATAAGTGCGCCTCCCTAACTAGACAAGGATAGTTAGGCTTCCAGCGCCTTTAATTTGTCAACTTGTCGTGCTTCGGTTTTTCATAATATAAACTTGACACGTCAGTATTTTCGGAGCCACAATAACAGTTATTTCTTATAATGAACCTTAATCTGAGGGAAGCTTGATGGATTCTTTTCATCAATATGTATGTTTATCCCTCTCCTATTTTCGTCCGTGTTTATTGACTCTATATCAGTCTGTAGCTCCTCTAGAGAGGCCTCTCCGTATATCTCATTACGGGTATGGCCTTGTTTGTTGCAAAGCACTTGTTTAGTGATGGCCATCCACCAGCTGTCGAGGCTGTAGCTATTAGGGAAACATAATATATCCTCCCCTCGATCGTCCTGTATAGACAAGCACTCAGCTGTCTTTATGAGTATGGGCGTTTTTATATCAATGAGAGAGAACCGTTTCAGATCGGAGTTGCCTCTGCAATCACATCAGTCGTGTCTAATACGTAAAAGTAAATTTGCACATGTTTAAATAACAACCAAACCAGGTGTTACAGAATTATGCAGTATAGTCGAACCTCCAATCCATAAACAAGAAATAGGTGAACATTACAGCCTTATTTTAAAAAAACACTTCTAGATGCAACGTTAGGGACACTATGCAAGTGTTACTATGGCCGTTACTTTACACCACATACACACAACCCAGCATTATTGCGTAATCTTTCCGGTAGACAGCCACAGGTGACAAAAGAGCGTTCCATATGTGCTCCACTGTTTCACACTGTCATCCGAAAAAACAACTTTTGTACAATGGTTATGCTTAACAATAGTTACAGAGATTCAAACTTGGAAATACACATCACATAAATAGCAAGCGTGTATTATCGAAAGCACAGAGACAGTCAAAAACGAGCGTGTACCCCGTATCCTTTGCTAAACCAAGTATTGCAGAAATTTAATAGTTACAAGCACTTTAAATTAGATGTAACTTACTTCAGTATTTGCATAGTATCGTGCTCGAGGAATAGTGTCACTTCACATCCTGCTGATGGATTCTGTAGCGTTGTAAATCGTTATTATATTAGTGTGGTACACCGTAATAGGAGCCGAAGGTAAATAATTATGGTAGATATAAAAATGTAATACATTATTTTACAATGGCGATAATTGCTTGTGTGTGAGGTGTGCTTGTGGTGTGTAGTACCCATGGTTCTACATGGAGATCGTATAGAAGACAAGTGATGACGCAAGAACCAAATTGGATATTATCGACACTATTGTACCATTTAACAAAAGTGTACTTAAATATTCCTGAATGATACACTACGACGTAACGTTATTCTTTTCATTGGCAAACATTCTGTGTAATTCCCGTATCATTATAAATATATATATATAGGTGGATAGATAGATCTGTGTGTGCGTACGAACACAACCCATCAGACGCAACGTGGTCCCTTTAGCCGTAAGTATGACGTTATTTGAGATTTGAATATCTACAGGATTTCGCAATTATGTGTCCCACTTCGGTGTAATGCGTAGCGGCTCAGCAGCATTTCTGATCTCATATTTTGCGGCCACGCGATGGCAGGCATCATAGTGAAACGTTATGCCTTATTCACATTGAGCTTTTGGGGTCACATCTAGATAAATGTGTGAATCACGTGTTTGTACTGAACATTGCATCTGATCTCCGCGTTCTGAATAACGTTATCCGCTGCGATACAGCGTACGTGAGATGGTCATGACGAAAGCATCAATCGCACTCCATCAGGCCTACATTTCTTACATTGGCGACCCAAGAACATATTGATTTTCCACAAACAATTAACGGTAGCAGCAAATTGTTTGCTATTAGTTTTGGTAATGGATTCGGAGCCGCTTTCAAGCCCCTCATCTGTCGAACAGGAAGGCGCGAACATGTAGGCCGGGCTCGCACATAGAATGACTAGCATACCTCTTTTACCTCACCCTTCTGTCTGTAGATACATGTATTCATCTTGATGTATCCCAGGGCGTGAACAGGCGACAATAGTTCCACGTTTAAGAGTTGATATGGTTCAGAGCTAGTGTTATGCTCTACGAATGCACATCGTTCCCCAAGGAGCCGAAGGTGTACAAAAAGCACCTAATTTCTAAGGTCTATTTAGTTGCAATAATATGCTTTGGGTGCCATTTATGGAGCTTTGCGAGATTACTGAACTCTCCATGTGAGACGCAGTCCGTAAATTTATCACTGAAGTATTTTTTTATTCTTACGCCTCAAATAATAATGGTGTATTTCGTGTTACCCTTCGCGGTGCTTTTGGTACCTACGTATGCGCAACCACCTCCCGCATTCTGGTGATGGCAGGCATCTCGAGTTCCCATTGTCCAATAAGGGCATCCAGTTAGTGCATTAATGCGAGTGTAACGCAGAAATTATTACACATTTTAAAATGAGATAGATAAGTTACGGGGTACAGTGTCGACCTGTGTACCGGGCCTGACGCTGGCTTTGTAGGATTGCGGGCATGCCGGGACCGTTGCGTTATTAGCCGCAGCAACGTGGCTCTGGTTGTATTTCCGGATACAATAACATCCTAATTTGAATGTTAGGGCGCGAATTGCGATGATTGAAGCCGATGCTTCTGTACGTCCACCCGTGAGCTTGGTCAATCAAGGAGACGATTCTTATTACAATGTCAACAGTTATTTCGGCTCTGTGGGTATGTTTTCGGTGACTTTTATTATTTGCATTTGACAAGGGAATTCCGTCCCCTTTCTAATATTTGCATTCTCCACAGGATGTTGCACATGTACAATCGTTAACCCTGTGGTCAAAGTCTTGGGATATGTGTACGTGCGTTTGGCACGTTGTACTATCGTATGAGTTTCGATTTCATATGGAGTTGTTCTTTGCTGGTGGTATCTTCATTTCTTCGACGTGGGTATCTAGCTAAGAATGCTATTCCTATGTTACGGCTATGGCGACAATCGAACCACTCGTTAAGGGTCGCGCCTGTTGAACATCTTGTTTCATGTGTTGTGGTCGGCAAATATTTCTCGTAACATCCTTGGTTTTATCATTTGCTAGTGATATTCTGTGGATGCATATCATTGGTACCTTTTGACTTTTTCGATCTACAATTAAAAAATCACCTTGCTTGGATACTGTTTGACATCTGCATGCTCGTCTAGAGGTTTTCTTTCTGTATATATACTTTTGCATTCATTCATTATAATATAGATGTCATGAAACACGTGCCGTACAAAAGAAAGGACGCCCGCAACGACCAAGGGAATGCCATTTACTATAAGTTGGTCGACGAAAAAAATGGTAATGAAATGACCGAGCTAGAGAATTGCACCGGTGACATTTACGCAACTGTCAGGGAAGTGGGTCCTCCCCCTGTTACGGGGTCTGGTGACGCCGATTCAGAAGAGAAAATTTTGGGTGTAGATTATTTGAGTTCCAATTTTAGTGGAAGCACATCTGGTAGATATGGCGCCGCCGATCCCATGTTAGCTGCTCGTAGTTACGAAGAATTATTAGTGTCCGCTTCCAAACCTGGTATTCTGTTTGACAGTGATGTCAAGCCAGAACAGCAGTTGAGGGCATTGGATTACCATTGCGAGCGATCGGATGTTACACTCGATTCGCACGTGAAAACCATGCAGATTGTGAATCCTCCCGAATTGATGGATTCCAACTCTGGCAAACATGGTATATCGCGACATACAGTGATGCCTTCCGCTGCTACTGATTCATCACCATACACTTTAGATGGGCGAATGCAATTCTACGAACAGGGTTTGGATATCAAATATCAAATAGAGCACGTAAAGGGTAATGGTTCCCAGGATGATGAAGCGTTGCGTGATTGTATGACATCTTCTCAACAATCTCTTCAACCTTCTACTGACACCGAACCACCATTTTCGTATGAACCTACGGCCTACGCTACGCAGACGGCGACAGAGTACGACACTTTGTCGCAGAGTAGTGTATCCTTTTCAGCTTTCGAACGAAGAGACGCAGAGAGTGATACTTCACTTCCCATCGCGAATATTGGCCGTGTCATGAAAAGCGTATTGCCTGGGTCAGCCAAGATTGCTAAACAAGCAAAAGACATCGTCAGAGAATGTGTCACAGAATTCATCCTTTTTGTGTCATCAGAGGTAGGTTATATCGTTCTTTGGGAAGCAATCTATTTTTTTCGAATCATGTAACGTACATTTTACGAATTTGAAGGATGTCGTTATAGAGTAACGTGAATTTTGCATGTTGAGTGACTAATTTTCGAGTCAAATGTCACCTCGCCATTGACGTGGGTGTAGTGTGCTCTATTGCAGAGCAAATCCATGTAAAAAAGCAACCTGTTTTCTGACTACAATGCACTATGTAACTTGGCAACCATTGCGCAGGCGAGCGATATATGTACGAATGAGCGTCGAAAAACTCTCAGTGCAGAGGACATCCTGTTGGCGATGAATGCATTGGGGTTTGAACACTACAATGAAGCCTTGCGTAGCTATCACACCAGATGGAGAGAGCGTGATCAGTCGTCTGTGATGGAGCACTAAATTGACATAATTAAAGTTTTTTACTATTACACGCGATGACGCGTCGACCTAGAACGGGGGTTGTCCTGTGGTCTCCGTTTCTCCCGTTTCAAAGGGGGTGTCTAGTACACCCCGGCAATTATTCATTAGAAATAGTAGTCAGTGCTTCCTCGCTGTAATATATGAGATAACGCAGTTACCGCAATGTTTGGAGGAGATGTTCAGGAGCCCGCAACAACTCGGCTGGTGAGTGGCTCCGTCAGACGGATATGCGGTCTCTACATTTCTTCAAATATTTAAAAGTGGTGTATGTCGGTTGTTTACTCGCACGCAGCTCAAGGAAGTGTCGACAGTATGTAGCAAGTTGCTGTACGTTCTAGGGAAGTCATGTTACGCGCACAAAGGGGAAGAACTGATAAAATGTGAGTTCATAAACATATAGTATCATCGTGTAAGTAGGGGACATTTTCGGTCCGTTTATCGTATCGATGATATTCCCCCTGTAAGTCTACACAATTCTACAGTGTAACATTTCGTCCCTTTCGGTTAGAGCGTTCTAATTTAAACGCCAATATCTGTTTTAAGTGCTCAGTACAATGCATATTTTGGTGCCCACAGTCGATGCATGAACAATTTTCGCAGCACGGTTTACTTTCCAAGATCAGGCGGAGATGTTGATTCACGGAATCTCGCATTTTCGCTTTTCTTTTCGTTTTTGTGGTTCATGAGTCTTTTGACAGCTTTAAACGGTTGCCTCTTAGGAATAAACCTGTAAGCGGAGGCGTTGAATCCTAATGTTTTACAGAGACTACCTATCTATAGTGTCTATAGTGCTCTGGGAGATGTTGCCAATATGCCTTTCAGCGCTGGCAGCCAAGTTTTTGTCGTTTTTCCCAAGGATCATAATTGTAAATCTGGCAGCAGTATATGGACTTATAAGTAAGTCTACCGTTGGATGTCCGATAAGCGGATATTGTATGTCGTATTATTTTTGCGTACGCCGGAATCCCTTTCAAACCAATTCTCATTTTCATTGAGACGGCTTGAAATTCGTAATGCTAAATGATTGTAATCGCAGGTTCAAAGGTGATACCCTGCATACTTTGTCTTTTCCTGTGCTCATACGTCTGTAGTTTCCAAAAGGACGCTCGAGAGTCACGTCCCCAAGGAAAACTGGATCATGGTGTATCATCCTATTGTTTTTACGTACATAATATCTGGCGTGCTGACTGTCTTCAATTATTGAAATATGCCTCAAAGGTGTCAAGGTATGTCATAGCGTTAGGCAATTTGGATGGTGAAAAGGCGCTGGCTTTTGTAGGTTTGACACGCGAGTGTGACAATACTACACTCTCATAACGTGTTTTGTTTGTATGTAGACATACATGAGGACGTTGACCTCTTAGTGTTGTAAAATTCAAGGCAACGGCCAGGGGAGGTGGAGCGCACGATTTTCGCGATGACATAGAGGGTAGTCATTAAAATATCATTTAAAATACTTGTTTTTTACCTGACAAAACGTGTGGAAATACTTTACCGTGTGAGGGTTGGTGATCATGATACTTATTTTTTCCTGCCCAAGTCACGATGATGAAGCATTGATCATTTTGTTTTATTGCGTTGCGCCTCCTCTTTAATGTTTTTTTCGTCTTTTCACTTGCGAACATATCTTTGAGTGCCCAGCGCTTCACGGGTTTGTCTTACACATCTGTTGGTTGAGCTACTGAATAAAGGCTACTTTGCAATATCCATACAGAAAATGGAATAGTGGTGTGTCGCGTATTAGTTTTATGGTTGTGTCAATTTATATTCCCTCACTGAACTCCATCGGGGTATCGGTGGATATCTTGTCGCGCCAGTTGTGCTCCAATATTTTGCCAAAAAACTTCAGGTATGGAATACATGGGAATCTCGCTCTACGTGAACTGTAAATAACATGAAACTTGGTTTAGTACTAAAAGGTGCGCTTCAGCGGTAAAGATGTTAGTACAATCACTTGTGATTTATATCATTAAATTAGCGATATGTAAGGAATATCGAGGCACTAGCATGGCCGCTATAGGCCCTGATACTTTGGGTTTTCTAACGCAATACCAAAATGTGCTATCTGACAGGGCGGTTGATTATCAGGGAACTTTCAAAATTCAGGAATACATTCTACGAAAAAACGCAATTAATGAACTGGAGGTGACCATACTATCACGCTACAAAGAGGTGAACGCAGTACTTGTATCCACGTCCAGATTCTACTATAATTATAGACATGTTGGAAACGTTGCCGCGATAAAGACAAACTTGCACAATCTGGGTCTCGTTCCAGGACGCCAAACTGTTTCCATGGTTCCGGAGACATGTTTGTGTCACCCATCTAATACGTATCCTGGCCGTATATATGTGACCAAAAGTGTGGATAGGACCAGTTATAGCGGCGAAATTGAGAATGATGATGCAAACGCTTTTCTTGAGCATATGTATATTGCCTATCGCTCAACGGCTGTTAGATTGCACAATTTTCGTTTCGTAATGACCCAACGTTTCCCCAAAAAGTATCCTCTAAGTTCACGCTTGGCTATTAAATACCGGATAGAGCTTGAGTACACGGAACCACAATTTGACCTTCCTACTCACATTGTCTACATGACTGGACACGGAGGCGATAGATATTTCCAATTTCAAGCGAAGGACGTGATAGCAGCTAGTGATATTGAGTTGTATGTGACGGAATTTTTTGTTAAACATCCCAATGTGCATACTCTTATGATATCGGACACTTGCCAAGCTTCGACGTTGTTTGAGGGGTTAAAGAAAGATGCTCCCATAATTTGGGTAGCATCGTCCAGTAGGGGCATCAGCAGCTATAGCTATAATGCCAATTCACAACTCACAGTTTCCACTGTTGGGAAATTCACGTACTACGTATCAGGTTTTATCGACGCCGTGATCAGAGGGATAAAGGGACGCAGCGACAGAGCCACCGTTTCTAGGTTCTCGTTAAGCCAGCTAAAGAGGCATGTGGAACGGCATTGTCCAGAGGAAATGCCAGTTTTCCATGCGAATACACGCATTTTAAAAGACTACGAGGGCACGCCGGAGCAGAGCGTCAGCAGTAGGCGTGGAGCATCACGCAGCGTTACGGGTATGTTAATGTGTGAATGATATATGCCAAACACTGTAACGTGTGAGAACTCACTTGATTTTTAGACACTCGGAAGGCCTATCTCGGAGAATTTCTTTTCAACTATCGTGTGGCCTACTTCAACACCTATAATTGGCCTTTGCCGCCGCAAGCAGGAAAAAGGGGCACCGAGGTTTTTAATGTAAAATCGTACGAAGTATTTAAAATCGATGGAGCCCAAATACCGGACGTTGAAGGTGCCCGCCTCCATGTCAAGATGGGCGGAAGCGGACTCGTCATATTAAACAGAAAAAAAGGACCAGAAAGGATTATTGAATGGATTTTACCCATGTGTGTGGCGGCGGTGGTTCTAGCCATTGTGTGCGACCCTGTCACCGTCGGAAACCCCTTTGTCTGGAAATGGAATGTGTAACGGAGGTGCACCTTGCTAGTGTCATCTACTAGAGTGATGCTTGCGCCATTTTTAATAAATAATGGAGCACGAAGAAAATTGCCCGTGGAATCAAAACCAGTCGCTCGTCAATACTTCCATACGGAGGCCATGCGAGGTACGTAAATGCGCTGTCTGGAAGGACCTTAAAAATTGGTTCGGTTATACGGGTAAAAGTCTTTCCAAATCGACATTCGAGGATGTATTTCGTGATGTGGCACACGGTGGTTCCGGGTATGTCTTCGCGTCGTATTATTTACATTTGTTGGATGCAGATTATACGAGCGTATGGCTGTGGAGGGTGGAAATTTACTCCGTGAGGCGTCTCGTGCGTTCGCCGCCAAGAACACCGAAGGGAGCCAATTCGTCCATTCTGTAACAACCTTGGTTTTTCACCGAGATTGTCAAAAAAGGTCTCTGCCTCTCGTCAAGCAGTTGTATATTCAGAAGGAGGTTACGATTATGAACGAGACCAGCCTTTTGGAATATTTTGCGAAGTCTTACCTTTCGGCAGCACAATGTCTAACCACACCTCGATCCATATCCAACTATGTTAGAGTATTGTTGTCTTATTCACTGAACCAGGTGGCTGGTCAAGACTTCCATCGAGAGTCCTGTGAATGGCTGCCTACGTTGCTGCAACACATCTATCACTCACAGGCATTTAGACATCTGCAATGCGATTCTGACAATCTGTTACTGAGAGATATGTATATTGTCTTCGATTATCAATACGATTATTTTCTGCCCAGAATTTTAGAATGCTTCAACAATGTAGACGACCCGCACCAGGTAACTGGCTATCTATTAGGTCATGAACCATTATTACAGTGCGGTCAAATCTCTGGTGAGGAATTGTTAGTCAATTTCGCGTCTAAGTACTTCTGTGAGCTATATAAGGTACGTGGACTGGTTCGTTCTACATCTAACGCAGGTTCATCATGGTAATGACAGAGAGTTGCTAGCAAGCGAATACGCCGCTGCACAAACGCGGGAATTCATGAGTAGCAAGGCTGTAGAACTGTTTGCATGTGTCTTTATGCGTCTGCATCTAGCATTTATCGGGGAGGAGGTTAACTTCATGAAACAGCGCTCGTTAAAAGAGTGCCGAATCATATTCATGTAAGTGTATTACCCTTTTATTTTTAATGATGCAGAAATCTCTTGGGGGCGTGTTGGTCCATATCGCAGAAGGATGCACGTAACACGTGGATGGCAAATCTGTTTCAAACTCTCCGTCAGGTATGAGCCTTCATACTGCAAGCACATTTTCGCAGGTCCAACTGGCAATAAAGATGAGTGGAGTCAATGATACTGGATCACGGGTGAATGGTGATCGACCTGCGTCATATGCATCTGGAGGTGATGCCACAGGACAACAACAATTGGATTTCAGCGTCATGCTCAACCGTCGATGTGCCGCAATGCAACAAGAGGCTCCCTTCCGGAGTGGTTTCATTGATGAGGTTTTACAGAAGGCGCTGAATTTCTTTACGGGCTCGTGCAAGTCCGATGAACCCTTGTCGGAGGCACCGGGTACGTTACACCCCGTTTCGTATGCATATTAACCTACAGACGTCGAGCTGCCTATACATGTGCAATATGATAAAAATACCCAGGACGCTAAGATACACATACCTCTTGCCAAAATGAGCAATATGGAGCCTGTAAACTACCGTACCGTGCTCCAAAGTCGGGGAGAGCGGATCATGGAAATCGTGGTGTCCAACAATGGAACACTACCGCGGCTCGACGTGAATCTATGATTCATGATGGACTATAATTTTTTCAAATGTATTGGAATGTTAGTCATATTATCGCAGTTCATGGGTGTAAGGGTGGTGTTGGCAAGTCGACGGTAGCCGCGGGTTTGGCTCTCGCGCTTAAAGCGTCTGAATGTTCTGTCGGTATTTGTGATCTTGATATACACGGTCCCAACATAGCGTGTATCCTTGGTGCTGAAGATTCGTATGTGAAATGGAAACAAGTTAAGTTAGAGGAAGACAGCATCAAGTACGATACACATGTAACCACAAGTTCCGAAGTTCTGTGCGACAGTTCTGCACTTGGTGAATATAATGCGTCGTCATTTTGTGGAGATGTGTGCCGTGATACGAGTTGCACTGCCGAAGAAGTTCACACTACTTGTCTTCTGGAACCCAAGGAGGTGCGCGGCATCAAATTGATGTCATTTTCGTTTGTCAAGTCTAAACAGGACCTGGTATGTTGTGTATTACGTCTCTCTGATACTAAGGTGTGATATGAGTGTCAATGGAATATTTCTGTTCGTGCAACCTTCGTTTGTTATTTCAACTCAGGGTTACGCAGCCTTTAGAGGGCCCGTGGTGGAGGAAATCGCCTCCGAGTTGCTCTTGAAGACCGATTGGGGGCAACTAGATTACCTCATTTTGGACTTGCCTCCAGGCACCGGCGATGTTGTCATGTCCATTGTGGAAGACGTAGCCCTGTCTGGGTTGGTTGCAGTAACTACACCTCACCAGCTGGGGTAGGTCCTATTGTACCATGACGCAATATTTGTTAGCAATAAAGACGTCTTAAAAGGTGTAAGGCTTTTCCAGGATAATGAAGTCCCGATCGTTTGTCTAGTTGAAAACATGTCTTACTTCGTCTGTGACGGCTGCGACAAAAGACATTATTTGTTCGGCTCATCGAACGCCGAGTCTTTAGCTCAGAACTTTGGTATACCACAGCACATCTGTCTCCCCATGATGGTCTGCGGTGCCGATTTCGTAAATGACTTCTCTTCCAACAAAGATGCACGCCAAAAGTTTCTAGATATTGCAAGGGTCGTCATAAAAAACCCAGCTACAGCCAAGCCACGCTCTAACCCGGTAAAAGGGTAGGTATCCAACCTAAATGTTAAACTATGCTCCACAGCACACATCTCCAGCGTGGAATTAAAAAACACACCGCCTCATGTATGAATGAAACATATTGGTAGAATTTTAAGATGATGTTTAACGGTTCGCCTTGGCGACACGTTCTATTTCGTCTTTCTTTTTGATGGCGTACGAGCTTGGCGACTCTTTCGCGCAATTCATGATTTCGTCGGCCAAACACTCAGCAATCGTCTTGATGTTTCTGAATGCAGCATTCCTTGCACCGGTACAGATCAGATAAATGGCTTGGTTCACCCTCCTCAGGGGGGAAACATCGACTGCCTGTCTCCGAACCACACCCGCTGATCCAATTCTGGTGGAGTCCTCCCTAGGGCCACCGTTCTTAACGGCGTCCACGAAGACCTGAATTGGGTTTTGATCAGTCATCAAATGTACGATCTCGAATGCGTGCATTACTATGCGAATCGCCTTCAGCTTCTTGCCATTGTTCCTACACAGTTGTTAGATTTGTTGCGGTACGACACATTACGTGAGGTACGGTGCAGACACGCAAAATACAACACGGATAGAAATCAGATAGGGGCGAAAATTTGATTGCATCGCTTCGACAGCTCATTTGAACTATTGATATCATCATCTTCCCACTCATGCACGTTGAAAACAGAGCATTGCCCGTGGCGATCGGCTCTTCTACGTGACACGAATAAACACCCAGATATCACTTTAACCACAACGTTCGTATAATTAAGGTATCGACTCACCTTCCGTGCATCATCAAAGAGTTTACCAGACGTTCAACTATGGGACACAGAGTCTTTCTGAAGCGCTTTTTCTGGTAACGTCCAGCCGTGTGCGGTGTAAAAACGCGAGCCTTGCCCTGGATGGCGATACAGTCGACCTGTAAAAGGTTTTATGAGATGTCGTAAACCACAGCATTCACAAAGAGATAAAGGACACCAAATGCTGCCTAACCAGGCCTATGACAAGAAACAAACAAATAAAAGGTGTATGAGAAGCTGTATTGAGCTCCAGTGTCGCAGATAGCCAGAACTTCACTTACCAAGGACAGATCGGACAGGCTCACGCCGTCGTAGGGCCACTTGCGGAACAAAGCTACCTCAGCCTTCATTTCAAAATATGCTGTACTGACCGGTGGAACAGAATCCTGTGGGTGTGGGCTACTAACTGGAATTTGACGACGCAAACCAGCTCAAAAGGCAAAGCCCCACGTGTACAGCAACAACACCCAATGACCTCAACATTGGCCCAGCTCAGTTGAGAGCGTGGAATAAATTTCTTCGGGGCAATTCATGTAACAGTTGAGCTGAATACCATGTTTTGAGATATCTTTCCGATGCAATTTAATCTTCCCAGGCCGGCCACAATTCCTTTAATCTCGAATAGCGGTCGCCAAAATCGCAGAAACTGAAAAACCCGAGAATATTCTGTGAATATTGTACACCTCATCGTAATTTGTTTACGATCATCTCGCACTCCGCGCTTTTATTGCCTAGCGGTTTTCGGCGGGTCGACCAGGTATCATTTATGTGTAAGTCGAACATGTTAGGTGCCCTTATTATAGAATGATCATTTATTGTCTGGCGGCTTTGGTGTACCTGTATTCGAAGGGTCGCGGTGTGCACGCGTCAAACGCAATATGGGTCTCCCGTTGAGGGTTGTACCAGTAAGATATTCCTATGGCGTTTGACTTTAGTTAAGTTGTCAATACTATTAGTCCACAGTTACACCTTTGAAAATTTCTGAACTGGCGGCGCACCTATATAATCACCTCGGCAATACGTTCCAGGCACCGGGAGGGGTGTAGCATGAAAAGCTATTTGTCGGTGTAATGCTGGTCTACCGTTAATGCGAAACGCCTATCTATAGATGGTGTCGCTACTGGAAAAGCTTGTGAACCTCAATAAGACGAGAAACATTCACGTGTTCCTTTGTGGCTTGCGAGGTTCTGGGAAGACAACCCTGCTTTACAAGTCTCTGATAAAGGGTGAGTTGGTTTCGTATGGCCTTTACACCTGCTTATTGAATGCCAAATTAAAGATAGATGTACACTGTTTAAGATTCGCCGCTAATGTGTAATACATTTGCGCTCTCGGTGAATCTTTGACCCAGTTATGTTCTACCAGTTAACCGTGTGGTAGATTGGAATAACATACACGACGAAATTGAACCCACTATTTTGTACCATTATGAGGAATTGCGCCTGAATGGGAGGTGTTATGGCATATGGGACTTCAGTGGTGACTCAAAGGTATTGTGTTGCGTGTTCTTGTCCACATTTTTGGTAGGTGAAAGACATACCGACGTACATTGCGAACCAGCTGCAGGTCACAGCAGTGGTCTTCGTTATAAATACAATGGAACAACCCGGTTCTGTGCACCAGGAAGTCGTCGATCGCTTGCAAAGGTTGAATAGTGATGATGCCTTCAAATTGTCGTTATTTGTTGTATTGTTCAACCAGATAACGTCTGATTCAGAAAACCGAAATTTGGAGGAAATGCTGAAAACCCACTTTTCAGACCCAGATCGCTTCACATTCGTCACGGTTAATGCCTTACAAGGGATGCAAGATCAGAGTTGGTTACATTCTTTAGATCTTATATATCGTCATCACAAGAAAACGATGAAATAGACAAATGTATTATAATTTCTGACTTAAAGTTTCTTCGAGGCTTACTAAGCTTAGTCGCTTAAATGCTCTCTGAGACTGCAGGACAATTCTATCCTCTAAGGCAATTTTTATGTATTCCTCGCGTATCCGGTGTTTTACTTTGTGCAACTCTTCGCAGGTGCAGAATCTGGCAGTTGTACCTTTATTTTTTGTTCTTGCGGGTCTGCGTAGTAATAGTAAATTACAGTATGGGAGCTGTTTCGTGTTCCAACATTTGAAAATCACAGATTCTGTTATAGCTATTTACATACCCTGTTCATTACGGTTCTAATACTTAATCTTTCATATTGTACTACTACGGAACCGATGATTAGAACAGTATAAGGTAGTATTACGTACTGGTCTAGGTCTCTTCAGTACATCATCACATGAGCGCTCTATATAACGCATATCTCCGACAGTAGCAGAACTACTTAGAGTATTGTAGAATTTGGTGCATTTACAGGTAGTATCACATATATGTAACGGAACTACATAAGACTGTCATCTCCAGAAAAATCAAAATATAATTCATGGCATATCAACTAATAGACAATCTTGATAAAATGACTGTGGCACATGATAACGCATTTATCTTTTTATTGGTATGAGCAGCAACACGTCGTATTATTATGAACGATTGGTATTTTGTGGATGTTAGCCCAGGCTATTCTAACATTCCGATCCCACCTTTACCACCCGCCCCCTCCCATCTCCCATCCAGGGGGAACTATTTCCCTTGTTGGCCAAATCATGAAATTTCAATATATTGTCACTAACATAATAGCTAATGGGATTCCACAATAATATAGTCTGCAGCACATATATTTGGGTCTATGGGTAACTACGTGGTCAAGAAGGGTGCCTGACCCAGTGACAAGAGATGAGTTTTCCAATGTGATATTACTGTTTCACTAAGATGTGACGCATTACATACAATAGATGTTGTTTGATAACTGTTAGGGGGTTCATAGCACAAAATATCAAGATAGCTAGAACATGGCATCTCATCTGGGTCTCCTAGCATCCATCCAGGGGGGAGTACATAAACCAAATATGATAGCACGAAATTTCAATATAGTATGACTAAGATGATAACTCATCAGATTCCACAATAATATAGTCTACAGCACCTCTATTGATGTCTGTTCATTCCGAGTTGGGAATACCATCTAGCCGCCACCACCACCAACCTACTTATGACAATACAATAGCCATAATACACTACTATAGAGCCTCCTCCAAGCTAACCAACACACAAACGATATAGTATTGAGTTGTGTAACACACGACGAAAAGGATGGTATATGGCATATGTTACAGTCGTTATGGAATTGTCTCCCACATAGCCGCGTATTATTCAATCTTCAGATTCTATAGGCTACTAATCTTATTATCATGGATTGGGCAGTTATACATCTTCCGAGACTAGTACGATGCTTCGATGAGAATGCAGAAAACTTAATAGCGACGACAGAGTAAATGTGACAGGAAGCGTTTGCTTCTATCGTTGAAAAAGTAGCGATATGTATGTCGTCGTTTGACAATATGTTGTCGGTGATTGTACACCAGAGCATATAGTCGGAATAGCTATGTGATGTAACCAGTAGCAGGAGTGGAGTGAAGAGGATGGCAAAAGATGACATGCTTCATTATTGAAAGAGGTTCTGACGATTTAGATCTTTACCTGCCAATGTTAATAAAGATTCTATACTAGCTGTCATATTTAGCCGTCGCCTATTAGACAAGGGTTGGTAGCCGTAGCAGAATTTAACCAGACGACGTCTGCTGTCTAACGCTATGGATGGCTGGGGGTCTAATGTCAAACCTAACGTTCGAATATAATGCAGATGGCATCCGAATACGACGGCAATTAGAGACAGCAACAAGCATATAGTTCTCTTGGGCTCTAAAGATCTTTGGGCCCATGGAATCTTGGGGTGAATAAAGGAATTATGTGAGGCTTCATTGGGTCATGGAATACTGTCGCAATAAGTTTCTCTGCGTCATAAGTTCAGTATTATAGCAGAATATCGCCTGGTATTGCAGTACCTCGCGTGCCACCGAGTCAATATTTAGCGACCTTTTATTTCAAGAACCTCAGCAAGATTTGATTGAGCCTCCTTTGATCTTCAAAGACTACAACCAAGCCTTTTTTCAACATGGCAGGATTCAAGATTCACAAGGTGATCTTTGCTTTTTTGGTTGTTGTCGGCCTCACGAATGTTACCGTATTAGGGGCGGATGTCCCTAAATACTCAGAACAGACAAATGGCAACCTATCAGGCAACACTATGCAAAACGAGTTGCCTGCCTGGTGGAACAAGATCTTTAGTGGTAAAGGAGAGCTCTCGAAAGAGGTTATTGAACGGGGCAAGCAACGTTTACAACAAGTTCTTCAGCGCATCAGCGATCATACCCCCAAGGAAAATCTGCAACCCTATAAATCATTAATCAAGGGACTTAAAAAGCAAGATGATCTAAGGATTCTGGGTTTTATTGTTGTATTACTCGGAGAATTGACACCTGGCAGGGCGCCTCAGATGGCTGTCGACTTAGTCGGTGGGTCCCTTTCCAAGTTCTTATTAACTAAAAATCTCGACAAGTTTGGAACAGGAATGAGGTACATTGACCACTGTGACAGAGTATGTGATTACGTAACGGATGCGCTGACAACACCCACTTGGATTGCGTTCCACTAAAAAGGCAACCATTTATTAGCTTTCCCAATGCAGTCCACAATTCCTCTAGCACTAGTGCGCTCTAGGACTTAACGATTTTAATTTTTTAGTCACGCATATGTATGAATGTCCGTTCATTCGGTAGTACCACATTGAAAGATGGTAGAAGTGTCTACATTGTGCTCTGTGTATCCATGGTTCATAACAAAACAACTTATGTGGGAAACAGTGTAGCTGAATAACTTATCGGTCACCGAATATAAACCAAAACCAGCAATGTAAAAATACTAACAGATCATACACGCATATTTATCGAATCTCGACATCACAAATGATCCACGTATAAGCTGTTTATGTTGTATCGGGTGATAATGTATATTTTACGTTCCACGATTCTAATCTAACGTCCAGATGGTGACGGTTTAGGCGGATAAAGTTGCAGTGATACAATCGTATATCTGAATTTAATATTGGTATGAAGAGCAATAATCAACCGGTATTATAATAGAGATTATCGACAAATTTACGATGCGCCGTCATTAGTATTATGGCATTAGATAACGCGCCAATTTTCACGGGTTCTGTTATATAGTTCGCCTGATGAAACCTTATGATATTTTGGAATGATTCGGATTCAATGCCATATCAATATATCAACATATTGGGGGCCTTCTGCCACCGAGAATCTGATAAAGAATTAAAGGCACCTTTTGCTCACGAAGGAGATAGTGGCATGTCAACTAGCAAAGAGGTGAGAGGCCAATAACAAAGAGAATACATAACCTGCTTTTAATCACAGGAAACGCGTTTAAACATATGTCTCAGCCTTATAAATAAGAATCATTCATTTGATTTCCATGGTTCAGAGATAACATTGGTAGCTATGCTACTTGACTGTTGTACACATCGAACAGTTGTATGTACAATGCAACATCTAGGACATATTATATGGTCGTCGCGATGTTGCACTCATAGAACATCCGAGATACAAACCAAGCGGCCACCCAATGGGATAGGGATTCGGGGCCACAGAGATTTTACTGATTATCAATACAAGAGTATAATTCTATCTATGCAAAATACAAATTCGTTAGATATGAGAGTTTAAAATAAATTGACAAATCATCATCACTCCACTAGGTGTTTTGAGATGTTTTGTGAGCACTTTGCAGCGAGATGGCCTAGGAGATCTTCATTGATATTCCTACGATCCAATGCCTGCTGAGTCAGACATGCGGCCACATAAAGCACGTGCAGAGCGGCAAGTAAGACGTTCGGCACTGCCGACTTCAGCAATTTGGAGGTAAAATAAGCGCCATGCACGTTCAGCGAGACAACTAATGACATTGCATATTTGAGTCATACACATTCCCCTTCCATATGCCTCTTTTGACTAAAACACAAGAGAATGAAGTGATATTATGGCAGGTACTAGCAATACCAGGATTTTAAGAATAGCGAAAGAGCTGCACGGATGCATATCGATAACATGGTCCTCGAGGAATTTCATCGCATCCGGGTAATTGCGGCCCTCCCTTTCCACTTCAAATACAACCTTGTATTCCATGTAATACCGTTGCGCCATGACAATAGCAAAGAAGACCCGCCGACCTATTTGCATTGCGTCTTTGTCCAAATTGAGCGAGGCGTCTGGTTCGTCCTTTTTGTACTGTGGCTCCGAAGACAGTCTTTTCATTTCACCACACGTGGTCTCTACCTTTTTAACGGCCACGGTGAAGTTCTTGTATGCTCCATCAATTAATGTCTTGGTTTTTGTTTTACCTGCTTGTGCGACTTCGATTTCAGCATTCTGACTGGTTGCCATTAGGCTAGTGACAGCTTTTCCGCACAATTCTACCCACATATTATAAGTTGGATATTTATTGTCCTTCGTTTCAGACTCTTTCCCTCGCAAAATATCTCCCCCGACCAATGGGCTCAAAAATAAAAATACTATAACTGTGACTTGCAGCATGGTGACAAATGAAATATGATTAACTTGTCAATTATATTGACGGAGACGATGCTAGGCGATTTTCCTTGCGTATGCGATGAGAGCGATTGTTCTATATGATGATTAGTGTTCTTACAGTTTGTGGCATATCACATACCGAGATCAAATATTACATGAGGGAGGATCAAATGGCGATCTTCATAATGGATCGTGCAGTGATTACGTCTCCGGATCAGAGATATACCTTAATTACGACGATGTCACCACACAACTTAAGGTGTTGGAATTTCTTGACAAAGCAAAGGGCAGAAGAATCCGTCACGATCAAGGGGAGCGTTCAGTTTCGTCTTGATTTCCTTCGTGGACGTGCGAAACATCGCATTATATACGTTGTATCACATCATATCGCACTTTATCGTGATGCGGGGACATTGGCCATTATGCATCGGCAACTTACAACACCTTTCAAAGCGGAAATTCGGCAATATAAAAAGCGAAGTAGTTTATTGAACACATGAGATCTCTCTGGGATCATCTTATGAGGGTAACAGTGGCGTCAAAGCTAAAATTTCACTTAGAGTTTCAATAAAAGGAGAAAATTGGTCCACTGGTTGAGGCAACGCCACGCGATGTAGCATTTGGGTACGACCCAGAGAAATACAAACGACAGTTATACAACATGTTCATGTTACAGTATCACCAAAACCCGATTATTCGTCATACAATAAGTGCATTCTTTCGACGAAATTCTCCTCCTCCAATTCTTCTGCGCAACATAGCAATCTAGAGCCCTCGATATCTAGTTCTGCACTTATATGTTCCAATAGAATGCACGCGAGCTCGTGTTTGCACTGTATTTTGGTTACATCCACTTTATAGACCTCTTACCGTGAATGCTGTCGATCGCGATAATACATATTCAGCAAAATGGTAGCCTGATACATCATGAAAACATCACGTAACTGTTTTACAACTTGTTACATACAGTCACAATATCCCTGCATTACCAAGTATTGCTTGGTTCCGTCCTTCGACGGTATTGCATAAAAGCATTGCGATGTCGGCGATTGGTCAGGCGCGAAAGTGACCTTACTGATCTTCCCAGTGTAAACCAGATCAAGCGCTTGCTGGAGCAATACCGGATCGGCCTCAATCAGTTCCCTAACTAGCATACGACCTGCACATTGACGTCAATCAGTATCTTTCACTCACTTGTCTCCAATGGGTTCCTGCCAGCTATAGAAGCGATAATTCTGCGATAATATTCATTAACCTCTTTTAAAGCGTTCATAATTTTAGAAGCGCTCCAAAGAGTTATTTCCCTCTTTGACCGCTACCAGAGTGTGTAACGGCGCTATGGGTGTACGGCAAACCAGTGGATATTCACCAAATGTTCACGTTTAAGCTTCGCTAAAGTTAGAAATGCCGCTCTCCGCACCAGCTAAGAGTCGCATAGCATTGTTCGTATTGTTTGCCTTCATCGGATACCTTTTGAATTACATGTTATTTCGCCCGGTTGCGCTTACGTCGGACGGCACCTCAACTTATTATCTGGATTCTATCAAGGTATCTGCCACGGTGACTGGAGTGATATTCCTATTAGTGAGCGCAATTGGTCTAACTTTGAGTTGGTGGCTTATCACGTGCTAGGGTGTCCTACGGAATCTGCACAAACAGCTAGTTAGTGATCGTTTCGTACCAAGTTTCACATTGACATTATTTTGTTAATACTGGGCACGTGACGTCGCATTTTTTTGCGTTTATGATGCACTTGCAGTTGGTGTTTGCGTATGTGTGATTTCCTGCGCGCGCCTTTTTCGGTTTTGTGAATGGACCAACCTTCCCTCAGCTACAACTTGTCGTTTGGTAGGAGGAACGGTAACTCTGAGTTATAATGAACGTGCTTTAGCGATGTCACCCACCCGGCTAGTTGAGGGTGTTTCTTGCTCCATCTTTCCCATTTTTGATACGCAGCTGACCACGTTAGCTTCTCTTGGTTAACGACGTCCCACTTCAGTTTTCTCTTTGCAATCGCACTTCTGTACATAGATAAGACCCTTTTGTAACTCCTGCCGATATTTGGCCTGGTGGCCCTCGGAAAAGGTTCCGTTTGCATTTCCATGCGTCTTTGGTAACTTGCAACCTTATCCCTTATAAGGTTTTCTCTCTTCACTTCGGTTTCCTCATTACGCTTTAGTGTTTCCTCCAGTGTTATATGCAGATCGCATGTCAGACCACCTTCCATTTCTACAAAAGTCGGAGAAGTGGTTATTGTCGAGGGGGTGTTATCGATATGGGAGGTTGACAGAGTCTCGACGCGCATACCTAAGTCTTCCACAAAGTCAGATGGTGGTGTAAATCTCTTGAATATTTCGGCTACGCACTGAAGCGCCACCTGATGTGGACGGTATGAGTGGTTTGCGTCCCTGATGTAGTTCCACAAATCATATCTAAGCATGTTTGCATGTTATTTGTTAAACCAACCTTTTAAATGGCCGATTGCTGTGTTGCATGGATGATTCATTTTGGCCGAGTGCAACGTTATCACAACTGGCCTTCACGGTAACTATTTCATTTGCCTTGGGTGTAGCAGGTTTTCTAGTGCCTAATGATTTTCGTGATTCATTGGTGTTTGTCCAGAAGTGCTGATTTCGAATGTCAATATGATCTTATAAACATACAGCTGTATGTTTGTCGACTTTGAATGCTTCCAGTACCGTCCTGAGTTCGTCCAGATTTTGATTTTTGGTAGAGCTAACTGCGATTACTTTCCCGTTTGACGATCTGAATGTGCTAGTCTCTATACGCACCTGCGTGTCATTTGTCTCCGAGAGACGCCATTGTTCCCACCTTGTGCATCATTTTCGCGAGTAACACGGGTTTCGTCTCGTCAGCCTTTGCAAGAACAATCTGCCATTTGACTTTGTATTTATCGCAAAAGTTGATGACTTCTAGGTCGGATTGCTTCAGTCCAATGCGGCTACAGTTGATTAAACTGTTTTCGTACGCGACTGTACCAATCGATAAGCACAACAACAAGTTTTAGTGTTTCTCTGTTTTTGATGTACGACAACGCGAATTCGTTCCATTGCATCGTAACATCTTCCTTTGCAGGGGAGTATCCGTACCCCGGCATATCAACAAATATTATGGTTGGCGGTGATCCGACCTGCGCGTGAGTTACGAGTGGAGTTGTAAGGTGTCACCTTGTAAAAATACACCTTTCTGGTGGTACCAGGGACTCCGTTCACGGGACATACGCCATACCTTCCACATACAGCATTGATTAGGCACGATTTCCCGGCGTTTGTTCGCCCGTAGAAAGCGACCTGCAATGCATATAACCAGTATTACAACGGCCATGCCTCTTTGTATCAGTATAACAACGAAGCTGCATAACAACCACATCTTAACCTCACCTCAGGTAGTGTGCCATGCGGAAGTTCAGAGCTGTCGATTGCCGTTTTAATGAGTTTTAGTCTCGGTCTGATCTCGCCAGCGAAACACGGCGCAACCGGTTTAGTTTTGCTGTTGCGTTTGAAGTATCTAATCTCATCGCTTGATGTAGGTTTGCCTGATTACACGTGTGAAAGGCATGTCCAGGGCGTTATCTTACCAATAGCCTTGAGAATCACCTCTTTAAGTGTGTTGTCTGGCAGTGGCGCTGAACGCTCCGCCCTCGGGTTCAGAGGTTGCAGGGCCTTTAGCAACCTCCCAGTATGGAGCATTCTACGTGTATTCCACAACACCTAAACGACCTAACGTTTTTCCGTAGTTTTTGTGTCAGTGTGTAGGCGATGGGGAGTCGCGTCGCTTTTGTCTGCGCTTATGGGCGGTTGGCATTCTAGTTGGACCATGATTGGCGCACATCCGTAGCTCATTGATTTAATGTCTCCTGATGCTCCATCAGCAGCGCCTGAGAGGCGCAGCTACACTTTCGCTGAGTCCCTCTCGGCTGTCGACCGGAACGCGGCAATCGACCCATGCAGCGCTCAATGGCTGCTGGTAAGCATTATCTGCTACTAGACGTTAATGTGCAGATATGGATGTACGGCGCTTATGTTGACGACATCCCTAACGAGTCACAGCGCCGCAACATCAGCGTCTTCTATAGGACGTTGACTGACATGTGTAAGAATGGGCAGCAATGCTTCCAACGCTTCGTATCCGACTTCCCCCCTCAGTGAGTAGTTATCACAGTGACTTTGATATAACTGTGTAGGACTGAAAGCCGTCGCGCGCTTATGGGCTGGGTACAGATGGCAGAGAATTCGTGTCGCATACAAAATGGACTTCCAGCTAAGCTCTTTAAGTGTGTAAGACTTGAAGTACATTTCATCATCTGCAGTTACCGCGAGTTAATGAAGCGATGGCGCTACCCTGATGGCTACCTTTAATGCCCACTCAGTCTTCTATTATCCATATATTGGTCATTTCTCAACACGTGAAAGAAAAACAGCAGATTTTCAATCTTAAATCGCAATAGATACGTGCTTGTGGTTTCTATGTGATCCTGTCTAGAGCCTTGCTGCGACCAACGCTCTGTTGCGTTTGGGCGAATAACCGTCGTTATAATGAGGTATGTTAGCATTCCTACGCCGCCTACGGTTATGTTGAACCTTTATCATATTTCAGGTTTTTTAGGAGATCGAATAAGGGGTCTTCCCTTCAGGAGACTTCGCGTTGGTTTTTTTGCGTTCTAATCTTTTAATATATCTTGCAGAACAGCTGGATGCCAAGATAGCGTCTGTAGATAAGAAGATCAAGAACTGCAATGCGGAGTTGGCAAGCATAAAGGCATTGTTGGATACGTGCAAGGGTCCTGGAGCGGTGGCTGCGGCCAAACGCAAAGCCTATCAGGTCCTACAGCGGCGCAAAGTCTATGAAACCCAACGGGAGCAGCTTTCTAACGTGCTACTGGCTGTGGATCAGTGTGAACACATATCTAGCCAGGTACAGACCGCCGTTGATATGGTATGTTGTGTCATCAAACATTAACATTACAACTAGAGGAATGCGCTTTCCTCATCGATTAAAACGACACAAAAGCAGCTGAAAGATGCAAAACTCGGTGATTTGGAGGTTAGCCAGATTTTGATTTTTGTGTAATGTGCAGCGTCTTCAAGATGAGATGGAGGACTTACAGGACTACACAAACGATATCCACGAGTCGTTCGATCACTCTTATTCGGTATGTGAGATACTAGTTATGTCTAGAAATATCACAGATCCCTGATTTTATGGATGAAGACGAGCTGGAATTAGAATTGTCGACACTCGATGACACCGATGCTTCCGCATCTTCGGGCATCGGGATGTACGGTGGAATTGTGGATCGACTGAATGGTCGGTTATCTCTATCACAGCATTGTCAATACCTTGCAGGAAATGTCGCATCTAATGTAGAAGGTATTTGTTCATCACATTGCTTGCCACATGTAGCTTTAGGCGTGGCGATACCATCACCTCCAAAGGTCGACGCTACAGCGCAACAAAATGACTCTAAGATTCAAAACTAGCGTTATACCCACACTTCCGTAGTTTTACGGGCTTATTGTGACAGGCACAATAAGGTCCCGCCAGGATTCGAACCTGGGTCAGTGGAGTCAGAGTCCACGGTGATAACCGCTACACCACGAGACCTCTTGGTCGAGTGAATTACTTAGATCTATATCAATGTTACACATAATTTTAGCTCATGCAAGCTAGCCACTGTGCAGCAGTTCGATCACATTCACGTTCGTTTGGCGGTGTCGGCCAATTCTACCATAATTTGAGTTACCTCATTAATATCATGCGATTTTGTCAGAAGTTAGTATGCCACTTGTCTCGGTGCACATGTTACACTGTGTATCATGGCACGGCAGCGTCACAAAGTTGTTATGAACAAAGCATACGGTTGCGATAACCTATCCATCACCTACAAGCGTTCTTAGATTCACTTTTCTACTACATGTGTAGCACTTCAATCGGTAGAATAGCTAGACAAGCGGTGACTCTGTGCCCCCTAGCTCAAGGTGGCGCCATATGGCAGTTGCGCGCGTTGATTCCCTGCACCGTCGGGTACATTGAGGTTCACATTTTTCACATATGCAGGACTCATAACACTGTGTTTTCAGTTCGCGCTTCCTGAGGGTTTCGTGCTACTATCATCCCCATGTGCAGTGGGGAATAAGACTATACCTCTTTTTTCTGAATACAGGCAGATCCTGCTGACTTGCGGAAATTACTAAGTTGTTTCGTGGTTCTCCACGTACCCTTCGTGTTTGGAAGCACGCAGGGTTTCTCACCGGCGGGGATGTGATGATGTCACACAGTAGCGTGTAGGATGGATCCCATGAATTCTGACTCCGATTCCTGCAATGCCCTCGGGTACGATGATCCGCTTTTGGACAGTATTTCCATTCCTGACTATGTGAAGAACTATGTACCGCGCGAAAACGAATTGAATACGGTGAGAGAGTCTTTATTTTTGCTGTATATCTTTCAGGTAACCAAAAGTGGACATCAGATCCGTTTCATCTTTTCGAATGTCCAGTTCACAAATTTTGAATTGGAGCATATTCGCGCCTTTAAAGTTTTCGCAATTCAGAAGCTCGAGGGCCCGCAGCTTGATACCAATCTGGCTCTTGAGAGTTTTAAAAGGCGCTTCGGAGGCACTGCTTTTGCGGACGATGGCTACTTGTTGCGCTGCCTGATCGGAAACAACTACAGGTACCAGGCAGCTTTGGATGACATGAAAGAGAACCTACAGTGGCGCAAATCTACACTACCGATTCGGCGTCATGAAGTTGAGGGTGTTTTGTCGCGTGGGATTATATATGTTCACGGTCGTGACCGCTGTATGCGCCCTGTAGTGGTTCTTCAGCTCTCCAATGTGGGCAAGTGCAGCCACGAGTTGGTTTTGCGCTGCATTTTTTTTATGCTGGAGCTGACTATACGCAAGCTGATGATCCCGGGTCGCATAGAACAGTGGAGAGTAATAGTTGACATGAATGGTACCAACTTGCTTGGTATGCAGGTAACTCTCATCAAGCAGATTGCACGCGCATTAACTGTCAATTACCGTGGACGTCTTTCGCAGATGTTTCTTATTAATGCGCCTTACATCATATCGGGTCTTTGGGGCCTTGTCAAGAACGTGTTACCGGAGGTCACGCAAGAGAAAATTCAGATAAGCTCCGGGAAGAATACAAAGAAGCTGCTGGAGAACATGGACGCATCCCAACTTGAAAAGAAGTTCGGGGGTACAGCCGCGAATGTGTCTGTGTATGACATTCCCGTCATGCCCGAAATGTAGAACACATATATCGTCTAAACTTTTTACTACATGACGTCGAATGCCTCTTGTTCCGGTGTCGTAATGTAATCACTTCAGCGGAAAAGTTCAATGTTTCTACGTATATTATAGCGACAGTGTACAACTGTACATTATCGCAAGTGTGTGTTACGCCGATATTATCATGTGTGCGGGCGTCTATTTGCTAAAACGTACGGTCTACATCACTGCCGTACTACGGTTCCTGAAGTACACCGTGTAGGCGATTGTCGCACAAATGGCCCCTGCTGCTAACCACAGGGCCTGTTGTCTACGAGATACGGTCTCGGTTTGATCGTCATGTGCCACGCCCGTTGCACAGGTTTCGCGCCATTGAGGGTGCATACGTTTTGGTGTCATTTTCTGTTCTCGTATGGCTTGTGATTTTGCGATATGTTCCGTAGCCACATAACTTAACTCCAAATCTTCTACTGCCTCGGAGTACTCAAGCTCCAGGTGTGTGCCCACTCTGTGTAGACGTATCAGTCTTTGCTGCCCCTGAATACCTGTGCGAAGCTTTCGCAGTGACACTTCCAACCTCGCGTTGTCGTTACCGTCATCCAGGAGTATCACGTTCGTATTATTTGTATTTATACGACCTACATTCGCATCTCTGTTCAGCCGATCTAGTCCGTGGCGCAACGGGCTCCCATCGTGATGTGATGCCTCATCGCCTCCGAAGCAATGATCAATATCAGAAGCGGTCGTCTCACTATTATCGTATGAGATGCTTCTAGTGCTATTCCTGCCTCTAAATCCGGAAAATTGTCTATTTGTTTTGCGGTAAATTCTTTCGACTCCGGGTGTCCGCCTTTCAACTCCCAAATAGGGTCCTTGCCAATTGATGTCCGCGAGGGTTCCAGATTTGTGCGCACCTACGAGGTTATGGCGCGGCGTTTCTACTTCACTACTGGCTGTGGACCTTGACCACGGCGTTGAGGGGTCGCCCACTGCGCCCGACAGGCAAGATTGTAGCACTCTAATATATTCCAGATTGTCATCATCTGCTCTGCGCACCTTGGACTGCAAATCTCGTTGCATCTCCATAAAGCTCTTGTGGAACGTAGGTGATACAGCCCCGGATGGTGTCACCGTGCCTATGGAACTTGTCTTGTAGCTTGCATCATCCGCGAGGTCCGCGTCTCCGCAGCTGCGCCTCCTTAAGCTAGAGACGTTTTTATAAGCCATCTTGAGCAATAAACAGCAATCCAATCGCCGTTTTCAAACGCTTCTGATGTCCTTATTCTTCTTTTATCTGTCACCCCGCAGATACGCCGGACCATTCCACGTCGCGTTGGCTAGTTAAAAAGTATGCAACCGCGCATGACCGTCGTCAATCACGTAGAAATGAGAATCACGTTCGATCTTGTGGCCAGGTTCGTGTTCTACGGCACTTTCGATGTTTTATTGACTTGGTTTAGATATTTTTTGCTGGTGTCCCCGCAAGGATCTGCGGGGAGACGCGGGGCCCTCCTTAGACATCGCCCAATGTTGCCGCGGAAAAACATTTCTCGATAGACGCAGATGCTAAGCCCCCAGGCCGACTTAATTAGATCTCGTGTCTCCGCGTTTGTTTGGAGTGTGGCGACCATTTTGTGGGACGCCCCAAAGGTTGGCACGTGTAACTGTTGAGTTAGAGTTAACAAAATCCTACATTTCCATACCACGGTGGTCATCTGCTTCACCTAGTGCGTCTAATAGACCATTATTCATGTTTCCTTCTCGTCTTGTTGCTTATTCTGTAAAATGTGCGACCTGGCCATGAGCAGCGTAACTCGTTTGTGTCCACATTTCAGCGGCACCTTGAACGGTTTCGCAACGTAAGCCGGAAGCGTCCCAAGACGTGTTTCTATTCTTTCCATAACTCGTTCAAGTGTGAATTGTGATCCGTCTGGGGGTGGTTGAAGGTGTGGCGACCCTTCGTTTTCCGATTCGATTTTTTGTTGTTTAAAAAGTGTTTTTTCATCACTGTCCTCGCCCCAAATGTTCATGTTAACTTCTTTACTCCATTCTTTTGTCTCCGTATCCGTTACCTCACCTGTTCTTGCGGCAGGCGAGATGCACGCCCTTTTAGTTTCCCTTGGGCCATTGGAGTCAGCGGTAGACTGTTCCCCCTTGTCCCCACTATCGCCTAGAGCACCCATTACGTGGTTTGTATCATGTTGATCCTGTGGCTCATCGTCGCTATCACTCTCGGACTGCGAGTCACTTGAGCTTTCGTTCCCGAATAGCGAGTTTACGTCCTGAGTTTCAGCACCGAACGAACTATCCAAATCTGTAGCATATTTGTGCGTAGATGCATCTGATCCCCAGTCTGCTTCGTTATCATCCGTTTTTGGTGTTTGCCGCGAGTCTGTTGCTGGGCTTGTAGTGCCATCGCCGCTGTCTGCCGGTAGTATCACGTTACGTAAGTAGTGTTTTTCTACTTCAATCTGTCGTTTCTGCTGCAGGTGATCCGGCGCGAGTTGTAATGTATCGGCGTGTACAAGATCGTGTACCGTCATCGCCTTTGTGATTATTTTCCTCCTGAGGTCATAGTTATTGTCCCGCTTAATGTTGATGTATATGTCAAAAATCCTTTGCTTGAACTCCCTCCTATCATATCCATAGTAGTCATGGCATACGTCACATATCTTGTTGGTTAGATCCTGTACATCTTCCTCGGTCATACCGAATTCCGGATCCTCCTTCATGACCTCATCTAGACCTCGCATTAATGCTGCGTTAAGTTTGCGTCCATAAGTGCTCCTTATGTGCGCCTTTTCCGGTTCCACGAACTCATTGGCTTCTTTTTTTTTTATTTTGGTGTTTTTAACGCGTTTGACACCCTTCTTTTTCAGCGCCATAACGGTCGATGTGTAGATTGGGACGGTGTATTATCTAAATATTTTTATAGACAGTCACTTTATTAGATGGTTATACACCTGTGTCGTCCTGATAATCTGCCTAGGGTTTCTTTCCCCCTTAAAGTGGTGTACATTCGTAAAGGAGAAAGAGTATTCCACTCCCGTGTAAAACTATTGAATGAAATCGATTCCGTCAATAATTAATCTTGGAAAATATTCAAAATGCTTAAGTTACTTTCAGCGCACTACGTGGCAACCGGTAGGAGATCGTTCTATGAGTTCCTTTCTGACTTAGTGGTTAAACTCGGTCCACATTTTCATTTCGGTACCATAAATCTATTGTAATAATTATATTAAAATTCTAACGTTGGATCAAGCAAATTGTTGGCGTTTGACTGCTAGAACACCGCCACAATTTCCAAGGTTTAATATAGCCACGAAACATACAACATATAACAGCGCACCGCGAATAACGCAAATCCCATTAGTTATTTGAACCTTTTGTAATTTATGGAGCGTTACAAAGCCTCATATATCGCTGCTGGCCGTAGCGAGCTGTTTTCTCAGTAGCAGCAAGAATCCGTTGTGTATTTTTGTTCAGTCGATCGCAGTGAAATCGTTAGCTACATTGTTTTGTAATTTATAAAAATGTGTATGTTAGTCAAGCGTTATTTTCAAGTACCATGGCACGCCCAAGATGCTCGCGCCTACAACGTCCTTACGTTAATATTCCACCCGCTTCTTTCATCGCTGTTTGCGATAGCCATATCGTTAAATGTGATGGTATTTATGCAGATGTACTCTCGCAGCCTGAGCCACTGGTGCATCAACGTGAGTTACGGCAGCTGCCTGTCTGCGACATTGAGCTTCATGCTGTTTGTTCTAACGATTGTTTACGGTAGAGCATTACTGGGCGTGGCTGCATATATATTCTACCAAGCATTCTTCATACAGCACGTGAGTTATGTGTTTGTTATTTTTCATGATTTTTAGGTTCCCCTCAGCATCGAGCTTCTGAAGCAGGCAGCTCTAGAATCGAAGATCGACTCCAACTCACTGAAAGTCGTGCGTGTAATAGTGGTCGTATCTGGATTGGTCGTTATACTCTTGACGGTCAGGTTAGGTTTGGTAACTGTCGCATTGGTGGAGGCAATGATGCATGGGGGGATGTTGTGGGATTTGGACGACGCAAAGGAACGTCACATTGGAGACCATCCTCGCGCCTTCTCTATTTCAGTGCCCGAAGAAGAATGATGGGTCGCGGGATTTTATGTGTACCTAACGAGACTGTTTCACTGTGTCCGTTATTTGCAAAACGAGCGTTACGGACTGCGTTGCAGTGTCCTTCTGTGACACAACAAATATAACTTTCTAAAAATTTGCATTTATGACTCTATGTGGCAACTTTTGACTCAGCTGGCGCTAGTGGTCGTCCGGTGTGTTGTGCCCCGCTGTGCCTGCACATACATCCCGTTGTGATGAATAGGTCACTCTCAATAATGAATGTCATGTTAACAAGGTTTAACCGTGGTCTCAAGGGCCGCGGATTGCGTGTCGCGTTAACTATTCGTGGGTTTGCCGCCTCTGTACAGCCAAGCTCGCTGCTATCGGTGAGAGCTTTTGGCACATCGTCTGAAAATAAGGTTTGTTTAACCGTAACAGCTTAAACAATACCATTTAGGAGGATGGAATCTTAGATGCAGCTGTGGCCACTGGGCGCGGAAGCCTGGTAGCTGATATAGCAGCTTCGGTCACGGATGGTTGGTTTACTCTAGTTAGGCTCCATTACTGACCTAATGTAGAAAATGATCGTTTGGTTCTAATACGATTGGCGGAGCTCGTACAAGCGTTCCGTAAAGAAGGTCACTGTTTGTCTACACTGGACCCTCTTGACCTGCCACGCATACCACCCTTTCACCGATTCATACCTAAGGATGTAAGCATCAGGGTGAGTACTTGACAATATATGTGTGTGACGCTTATGTAGTTATCACCTTCTACGTACGGCCTAAATGAAGGTGACTTGTCCCGCGTCATCCCCAAAGATTTGGTCCCCGGGCACATGGGAAGCTCAGCGACTGTTGAGGAGTGCATCGCCAATCTACGCCGCAGCTATTGCGGTGACTTCGCCGCGGAGTTCACTCACTTACCGGAAGCTGAACAACGCTTTTTCATTGATCGCATCGAGCGTCCTGATGCTATGGAGTTCAGCAAGGAAGAACGACTGCGATTTTTTAAATCACTAGCGCGTTCTGTTATGTTCGAACGATTCTGCACAAAGGCATTCCCAACGGTCAAGCGCTTTGGAGCTGATGGGTTGGAGTCTTCTATAGTATCTCTTGATATTATAAGCGATTTGGCTGAGTCGGACGGAGTAGATTCACTTATAATGGGAATGTCGCATCGAGGTCGCCTCAACATGCTGGTAAACGTGCTTAACCGTCCTCTTGAAGAGATGTTTGCGGAATTCCGTGGTAAGAATTGGTATGCGACAGAGAACGGCGAGTTTTCGGGAGATGTGAAATACCACTTTGGCTACACCACTAAGCGTGCTTCACTGCGTTTGGAGTTGCTGCACAATCCATCGCACCTCCAGTTCGTGCATCCCGTAGTCGTAGGCCAAGCTAGAGCACGTATGGTGACAGCCGGCTTAGAAGATCGTCGCGTTGTTCCTGTCGTTCTTCACGGAGATGCGGCCTTTTCTGGTGAAGGCGTAACTTACGAGACCGTGCAGATGTCACGCATTCCCGAATATGCTGTGGGTGGCACAATCAACATAGTGGTGAACAACCAGATCGGATTCACTACTTACCCTGCCGGTGGTGCGTCAACTCGATTCACCACTGACATCGCTAAGATGGTCGAATCACCTGCTATCCACGCTAATGCGCACAATGTGGAGGCTGTTGTATTTGCCTCGCGATTGGCATTTGAGTATCGTCAGCAGTTCGGCAAGGACGTGTTTGTGGACCTAGTAGGTTTCCGCAAATATGGCCACAACGAGCTAGACATGCCGAAGTTCACTAACGCCGAGATGTATGCACGTGTTGAGAAAAAGGAGGATGTTTTGGTTGCATATAGAGCTTTCCTGTTATCTAAGGGTGTGTTCACGGAGTCGGAATTGTCCGCTGTAGAAGGAGAGATACAGGGCGTGTTCGAGGCAGCGCTGAAAAAATCAATTGATTTGTCGGTTATGCCTCTACCTCCACAGGCGCAGGCATGGAAACTTCCAGAAGGTACATCTCCGTCACCTGTTACAGGTGTGGAAGTGTCTCGACTGGTTGAGTTAGGAAAGGCGCTGAACGCTGTTCCGGAGGATTATCAATTGCACCCTGCTATCCGCCGGATATTCAAAGAGCGCGTCAAGGCTATTGACACAGCTTCTAACATCGACACAGGCCTTGCAGAGGCGTTAGCATACGCATCCCTAGCAGAAGATGGATTCCGTGTTCGCCTGGTCGGACAGGACTCTAAGCGTGGTACTTTCTCGCATCGTCATTCGTTCGTACAATGTCAGAAGACGTTCCGTATATTCAACATTTTTTCGAAAGTGCCACAAGGTGATAACGTGGAAATTTTTAATTCACTGCTATCCGAGACCGCGGCAATGGCTTTCGAGTACGGGTACGGTCTTGAGAACCCGTCAATATTGAACATTTGGGAGGCTCAGTTCGGTGATTTTGCGAACGTCGCGCAGACCATAGTTGACGAATTTGTGGTAAGCGGCGAGACGAAGTGGGCACAGCGTTCTGCAATGTGTCTCTTTTTACCACACGGATTCGATGGCCAAGGTCCAGACCACAGCTCAGCCAGATTAGAGCGCTACTTACAACTGTCAGATGAGCCCGAGGACGTCTGGGACTTCCTGCCGCTTTCCAACGACGAGCATGCCAAGCGTGTAAACATTGGTGTTATCAACTGCACTAGATCTAGCAATCTATTCCACGCTCTTCGTCGTCAGATGCTTCGTGATTTCCGGAAACCGTTGGTGGTGATGACCGGCAAAAAACTTTTGAAGCTGCGTGGCACCTATTGCAACCTAGAGGAGTTCGGACCGGGGAATCATTTCAGGCCGGTGATCCCCGCCTCAGTATCGGATCTCAATGCCATAGACACATTGATATTGTGCAGTGGGCAGGTGTACTTCGACGCGGCAAACCGTGTAACGGAGCTCGGTGTTGGGAACGTTGCGGTTACCACTGTGGAGCAGCTATGTCCATTCCCGGCAGGTGCTCTAAAGGCTGAGTTAGAACGTTACCCCAACTTGCGTCGGTTAGTATGGCTGCAGGAGGAACACGCGAATGCTGGTGCTTGGTCCTACATCTCACCCCGTATCGGTAACTTGCTACGCCACTTAGGCTGCGGAATTCGACTTGAATACGTTGGTAGGAGACCATTGGCCGCTCCGAGTTGCGGCGATGGGCGCACTCACGGTTTGGAGATGCAGAGAGTACTTGCTACTGCGGTACCTGCGCCGTGAATTAACACATTTTTCGCGAAATGCATTCACTGAATTTTCACACAACATTCAATACCGGTCTACGTGGTTCGTCAGTGACTTGCGGCAATTTATGCCACTTTTGTTTCCACTCCATTAGCGACTTCACAGTCTCCTCGTCGGGGGATCTCAGCCGAAAACCGTGTGTCCATTCTCTGCCTTCCTGTGTTGCAAGAGTGGCCATGAATTTTGCAAGCCACTCCGTCGTCTTGACATATTTCACCCTGAGTCATAGATGTGAGAATATCGTGCTTTTCTTACCCGTCGGCATATAGCGCCCCTAACTTTTCGTTCCAGGTGGAGCGTCCCCAGTCCACGAAATACGTTCTTACATGATTTAGTTCCGGCATTTTATTGATTGCCTCAAGGCGTGTAAGCCTGTCGTCGAAGTAGTGAATCGGTACTCGTTTGTCGAGATTAAGCTTGCGCAGAAGTTCTCCGAGACATTCCACCGGCGACCCGCGGTCACGACCATATAAATGATCATTGTCCATCGGTTTGATGTCTAGAGCCTCTAGTTTCTGTAGTAGCATTTTCGAGGTTTCCATTTCCGATACTAGGTATACTGGCACTTGGAATACCTCAAGGTGGTGTTTGATGGCGCTGACTACTGCGCAATTGTAGGCCTCATGGTGTCGTCTCTGTGATACGTCCAACGCATCACATTTGGTACGATATAAGACTAAGTTTTTCCACATATCACGATCTTCATAGATACGATCCCAGGCACCCTGAAAAGAGTTGTCCAAATTGTTTTCATCGATACCGATCTGCTTCAGCATCTTATCATATGTGGATACGGAGTCGTTGTACCGTGCTCCATCGGTTTTCCATCCGTCTAATTCGAATGTTTCGATACCCAGCTCATCACGCTGCCGCTTTCCAAGGTCTACCACTTTAGTTGTATCGCCGCCGTCGGTCATGTGCCTAATCATGTCTATAGGTTTCGCCTGCGTCTTTGCAAGAGACTCCAAGGGATTCTCCAGAGTCATCAGATCCTGTTCGTTGCAGTTGCTGATAAAATATTGCAGTGCTGGGATCCAGTCAGTTGCAGAGTCTATGTACGGCTGCGCGTATCTTGCTCTAGTGGCAAGCCATGGCGGTATTTTATGCTGCTCCGCTAGCATTTTCAAAACCTCTAATACCTCTCGCGGTTGATCGTTTGTTATATCTAGGATAGCTCTTGCCGCCACCACGATTCCGTCTCGGTAGCTACTGTGGGCCACCCCGGACCAGTTAATAACAAAGACATCAGGCGGCCGTTCCACTTTCCACTTGAACAAATCTGCCTCCCCTGGTTCGGGTATGTTCTCATCGTGTATATGTCTGAATTCTGGGATTTGGCCTTGCTGCGCCATTTCATGTATGTTGAGAGGCCCCTCGACGTAGTCACTACGTTCCTCATTATCAGGTGGTTCGCCAAAAGCGTACTGTTCGTAAACCTCCGGTTTTGTAAGAGCTTTACGAATAGGAGGTCTGAAATTTGCGATTGGTGGTATGTGTAGCTGGAATTCTTTCCCTTCCATTAGTTTTTCGTGTGTGTTTGACGACATGTGGTTATAATCATATTCGTCCTGTTTATATGGATTAGGTTTCGGCATTCCATCGCCATTGTTCCCACCGTAATAAATTGGCAAAACGTCTTCAGAGTTTGTGGAGTTGTTTATTTGTTCCAGTTGCACAACGCTGTTAACCTGTCCATCCTTTTCGGTGATATTAGTCAGGTCTTGCCCCTCTGCGTTGACACTTTGGCTAGTTATACTGGTATTGCTATCATCACCCTTCCTCTCATTCCTTTTGCAGACCGCCTTTACGTTCAATTTAGAATGTGAAGGTCGGTTTTGAGTCGTATTCCACGTTATTGATCGAATAATGGAATTTTCCACCTGCCTATAGGATTGTACCAATGCCAGATGTTGTATCAACAGTATCACGCCAAGCAGTATAATGCGTGGTCGTTTTATCCGTTGCATCCTCCATGTACATGGTGTCTGGAATCCCGGGCGATCGGACGGTATGCGCACGTCGGGTTATTAATATAAATAAAGAGACAACATTTATTTTTTTTGTTACAATTCTTATTAATGGTTGCGAAACATCGATAACAATGCGATACTACCGCTAATTTTGCCGTTATGTGTGGATGGGAGTCACACACCATTCCCGAGTTTGTGTTTATTTATCGTCGTTTTGTTTCGACGTTGTCATGTAAGATATGTTATCTATGATCTATGAAGCTGTAAATGGTATTAGCCCGTGGTTATGGTGAGTTTTGGGCGGTTGTGGTCGAGGAGTATCGACCTATGGGTTAGGGCGGTTCTAAAGGATCTTCAGCGGCGTCGCATCAGGGCTCTACTAAGGATACTTACAACTCTTTCAGACCTGAAAGGCTTTAGAGCCCTTTGTCAGGCGATTATTCACTGTCGCGGCGACCTTAGCGACCCTGTGATTAGTCTGCTGTTACGCCTCTGCGAGTTTTCCCATTGTGAAGTGGACAGTGAGCCTTCGTACGTAACAGAGCACTCCACCTTGCAGAATACGACCGATCAGTGTGAAGAGGAGTGCCCTAGCCAACCTAGAGAGCAGGAACGCTTAGACCCATCTCGTATTTTGAGTCGGTGCATCCTTGCAACGTTGACACCAACTTTACTCCATGTGTTACTTAGTCGCCGGAAGGAGTCTATGCGTTCACAAGGTATTTGGCACTGTTATTCAGCTATAACAGATGATATTACGACCTTCCTTGAAAGCACTGGCGGTGGTTCCATGCCTAGCACCATTCGATGCTGGAGTGGTGTGACCCGTCTACGTTCCATTCGTGCTTTTCGACCGCGTCCGATTCTTTTAGGACTCAGCGCTTCAGATTCACTAGATTATGCCCTTTTAAAGTCGAAAGGCATATCGTCTCTACTTCGTCAGGTGGATTTGTCTGAGAGCCATCGTGAGACCGAGATCGTGCAACGAGTAAAAGATTCAGAAGTTGGGAATGCTAACCCAGTGGATAATACATCTGGTCTAAAGGCTGTGATAATATCCATTTCCAACTTATGTACCGTCAGGGAGCCACCTGTCGTTCCTTCTTCTTTATATGAGCTCTATGAGCATATGCAGAATGACGCAGGTCCGGTGAGCTCAAGAATAGAGAATGCAGTTGTCTATCTACAGCGCCTTCGTCTTCTCGACCTCGAACACAAGACCAACCGTAGTCAGGTATTACGCGAAGCTGCGAAAGATTACGCATCCCTAAGGCAGAGCTGCGATCGTCCTATCGACGTCCCTTTACATGAGACTGGGATATGGAGCAACCTGAAGAGAATGTTTCGGATAAAATCAGTTGAGTCGAACCAACGGTTACCTAGCTTTAAAACTAGGAAGCCGGGATCAATTTTGGTTCGTAGTCCATTATGCCAGCCAGTTGACGACAGGCAGACATCGCTTTTGTTTGGCCGTTGTTTGTTATTTTGCAGTGGTTACATAAATGTTTTTTCAAAGGTGTACAAAGCAGTTCAACACGCGTCATCAGCTGCTACTACGTCTCGCCACGACCGTTTGTTGCTACTGGCGGCTAGAGCAATGTTGCTCAACTTCCGAGATCAGGTCTCATTTGCTAATAAGCGTACGCTTAATCTCAATCCCCCTCTAATGGTCTACTACACGTTTTTGAGAGTAGTTGAAGCTGCGTGTCATGAAACATTTTTTGCAATCACACCTAAGTCGTTGTACCCGCCGACGAAGTTGGCGATTGAATGGGTGGCAAATGCCATGTTTGCTTATTGCAATAGTGGAAATTGCACTGCTTATAAAACATCTAAGTCAGCTGCTAGAAAATCTGATGCAAGCTCAAATGCGTCTGTTTCAACAAAAAGTACCGGAGATACGTCTGTTACTGAACCGCCTGCTGCTGCTGTGTTTCCTGCAGCATCTACCAAAATTAGCGTTAGTGGGAAAAGTCTCGGAGCGGTTTTAGCTAATAGACGTGAAATAGTGGAATCGTTATCGAAAATTAGTGGAAGGCGTATTCATTTGTCTGAAGGGAGTGCGTTATCTATATTGCGTGCGCACGCTGTTGTATTCAAGATAAATTTCGACCATCTCCGTGAAGCCTTTAGACAGATCGAAGAAGCATTCAGGATTCTATCGTTTCATAAGAAGCGTTCTCTTTCATCAAGGGTAACAAAGGAGTATATTGTTGACCGTGTTGGTGATGTATTTTCAGGTCGTCTGGCATTGCTTCCGGGAGACACTCACCGTTCATTTTACCGTTTGCTTGTGCCATTTGCCCTGTATACGTACGCTGAATGCGTTTTTACAACGTTATCGGAGCGTGTATGTCACGATATGTACCCAAGGGCTTTCTGGGTCGCGAGAAGTCACATGTCCCTGCTTAGTTGTCGTCTTCGTGGCAGGATTCCTGATTTGCATTTGTAGTTGTTATATAACCGGCATTAATTATGCATCTAATTGTTCATCGCGCCTAAATGGCTTCTTAGATCGGACTATATAGAGCTGCTTAAGTGTGTCGAACTGATAATTAGTTGAGTCGTGCATTTCCGCGGCTAAGGAAATGTCTATTGGCTCCTTAGATTTGTGTTTCCCTTAGCATAAAGTTAAACATTGCAAGCAAAAATCACGCGAAAAGATGTAGCACGCGTCGCATCTGTGTATCTGCCCGTGTTCTTGTGAAAATTTTGCGCTGGGCTTCTGGGAACCATTGACCCGAAATAGGATAGCCCGTTTAATATACACGTTAGCAACTTATATCCTGCTATAAAATGTTGAACTCTATTTTTCTCTAGCGATATCGCTTGGTAGTGTGTGGCTTTGCGCGCCGGTGGCACCCACGTTGGCCGTAACAGAACTGTACAGTATCGAAAAAACTTCAAAATGTTCACGACACGTAAGGAAGAAACCCATGAGGACCAGTCTAAGTCTTCTTTCAAAAAGAAGGCCAAAATGTTCCTCTACACGATAGTGCTCGCTAGGATCATCCACTTGGCGTTGGGGCTACTCCGCAAGAACGAGGATAAAGAATGATTTATCACTGGTTCATATGGCCTTTTTGTAAAAATGGCCTGTATCGAGTGCTCGGCTGCCGAGGCTATCTACCGGTACAAATGTTGTGGCCGTAATTTCTGCAGCGTACCGTGCTATAAACAGCACTGTTGCACGGGAGAAGTACCTAAAGCTCGCGTCCATGACACTATTGGTACCTCTTGTTCGGTACCCATGGGCAATAAGCAGGACGAAGTTAAACTGTCTGATGCCCAGCTCACTTCTCTGAAGAGTGACAGGAAGCTGCGTTCAATATTGGCAAACGAGGCTTTGAGAAAGATGCTACGTGAAGTTGCAGCATCTCAAGATCCGCCTGCTGACATGGCTCGATATATGCAAGACGATTTCTTCGCTGGTTTCGTGATGCAAGTCATGGACACTCTGGGCGAAGTAGATGAACCGAAAGTGACCAAAAGGTCACATTAATGGAGTACCTAGCTTTCATAGTGTACATGTAGTTTGTTAATGATGTGATGTGTTTGTGACTGTCGTTTGGTGGTATGTGAGCGAATATATCTGCTACGGACACGGTGGGCAATATGTATGCTTACGGTGCCACGCAGTCATGAAAAGTTCCAAACAGACTCATATAGTTGCTAGAAGGGTACACAAGCGCTGCGAGTTGTTGTTTCAAATATGGTACCGTCGCTGTACCTGATATTAACTTCCAGTGTTGCGCCGCGGCAGAGTCACTCCAAGACATACTCATCGTCGTACATATCTTCGTCAGAACCATCTGAAACATCGTCCTGATTTGCCTCTTTCTGGGACGATTTGGTGACCCTCGTGGTTCGCGTCGTCCTTCTATTGGCAATCGGCACCTTTTCTTCCATCGGGGGTTCCTCATCGAGCTCCACAAGCATTGCGGAGAGCTCCCTAGAGCCCAGGCTAGCTATGTACGCATCATATGCGTCTACTAGATCACTGAACGCAGCACTGTCCTCTGTGGCGAATACGATTTTGAGTGGGTTGCCGGCCTCGACATAGACAGTGCCCTTAGTGTTAGCAAGCGCTACTGCGTGCGTTCTGGCGATCTTTAGCATCTGAGCTGAAACCAGCTGAGTTAGGTTCTCTAGTAACTTGACGTTGGCCTTGGCTCTAACAAATCCACCTTGTGTCATAAAATTGAGCAGCACTCGCATGTCTCTCAAATCGAGCAACGCAAGTTGCGGGTTAGCCATAGCGCAAAGGTCACTCATAGATCTCGGCTCGTCATCCGTCATTCCGTAGGCCTCCGATTGCCCGAATTTATCAATCAATCCAGTAACATTGTGCTTGATGAACATAGTTATCACAGCAGTAATGAGAGACATGAACCCTCCGCGGTCGGCTAATGCTGCTCCCTTGTCGATAGTTATTAGTAGGAGCCACTTAAAGTATTTCGCAAAGCTTTCCATTGAGAAATACAGTGGCGACCTGTGTAGTATGGTTTGAACGACGAATGAGATTAGATGTGCGAATCCCGTCATACGAAGGTCTAGTTGCAGCGCGTGGTGTATTGAGCGCATAAGCACCTGTTCCAGAACCTTGTGAAAGTTACGTAAGTGGCGGAACGATAGCGTAGGATATATAGCACACGTGCTCACGATTGCGTTCTTGTCCTCGGCTGTTATGGGTATATGTCGATTAGACTTGAGAAATTTGAATTGTGCCAGCAAATGGCGTTCAGCTGCTGGAGGTACGAACACTAGTTCAAGCAATCCTCGCAGTCGCACAACCGCCAATTCATCGCAACGCCGTATTTCCTCCGGAGGTTGCATGTCCACGCCGTCCCGTTTGTTCATCATGAACTCAGTGAGCAATAGTTTGCAACCTAAACGCAGTGCGATTGACTGGACGTATTTGGAGCTCTTGACGGTGCAGAAAACTATTCCCCATAGGGTCTCCTTAAGTTCATCAATTAGTTCGTGGTTCCCAATCTCGTCTTCGGATACCATCTGCTGTAACTCTACATTGGTGACCAGTAGGTCCGTCAGTGTGGTCATATACATTTCGCAACGTAGAGTTTGCATCTCTATGCGCTTCCTCAAGGCGTCAGTTAGTCCAGCGGAAGCGTCGTTGGCTTGGTTAAGAAATCCCTCAAGAATCACTAGAGCACCCTTCAGGGCGACGTGGAAAGCATTCAGTTGTCTCCATAGCTCCATTTTACCATTATTGAGCATACACCATGTACCTAGACACTTACTGGTCAACACGTCACAGTACTGGTCGGTAACACTCTGGTCATGCCACCGCACTACCGTCGAGCAGAAGAATGCCATTTGTGGGAGTAAAATAGCTCTTGGGAACTCTGCAAGCCCCGCATCTTCGCTACATAGGCTTTGTGTCTGTCCTAGGAATGCCTCTACGATTGCCATTATGCGTGTCCAACGCTCCTTCAGGTGACGCCTGATGACTGATGCAAATGCTTCTTGTTTCTCCATTAACAGGGCCAATGCCTGTTCTTGGTTATGCAGTACCTCCTGCTCATGTTTACTGTCTTTGCTAGCGCTCTTTACATTTTCCAATTCTGCTTGTTGAGTCCAGGTCTGTTCCATCTGTTCGCTAAGTTTCGCGTTGATAAGGTTGAGGTGTTCTATAGAATAGCTTGTTGGATCAAACATCTTGATTTTGTTTAGTTCCATGCGTTCGAGTTCCTCTCTGCGTATGCTCACGTTGGATATACCTGAAGTTTGGAATGGGTCCTTGACGTCTGAGATGATAGCGAGTACCTTCCGTGTCATTGAAACTTCAAAGTGTCGTTTTTCCATCTGAGGATCATCTCCTATAAACTTTCCTTCTAGCCTAAACTTGCGAGCGTACACGTATCTTAACAAGCTTGCCGCTGCGAATATGAACCCTGCCTTGAGCCACCTGCTTGGTAGCGCGTGGTAATAAGCGTTATTTCCTAGCGAAGTTTGTGTGACTATATCTGTCATGAGACCTTTGACATTGTTTCTTACTGGTCCGTGCATCAAGATATTATCGCACATTGTCTCCACAAGTGCAACTTGATAATTGTCTTCGATGTTGTGACCGTGCATGATAACTAGGAGTGCCCTTAGCGCGTGTGAGACCAAACACATATTTTGGTAGTTGGCTTTCATTTTTGATTCCTCCTCTGGAGTGTATTTGTGGATCACTTCCGCTTCATTGGTTTCCATTGCATCTACGAATTGCATATCATCGTCTGCGGTGGCAGTTATGGCTCTTTGAGGTACCTGTTCCTGTTCAATGGGCATCTCACAAAACCTCGTGAGTAGGAAATGGGCATATGATATGACGTCTATAATGTTGATGAGTTTGACCTCATCTGGCAGGGCATGGTTCTGGTAGAAAATGCTGACAAGTACCAACTCTGCAGGCGTTAGTGTTAAAAATCGTTTCATATATGCCTTAATGTTGTTGGTAGTATCGGTTCCACTTTCGTCCTTTTCCTTCATATTACCATCAGTGCTACCAGGTTTGAGGGAGAACTTGCATAGAAAATCTGTATTTTTCATGTAAAACGAGATTGCCCCCTCTAAAACTGTGATATCATCCGTTTGCGATATCATATCTGCAATATACTTAAGTAGTCCTCCGGATTCATCCATCCAATTTTGTAGCATTTGTAGAAATGCGTTTTTTACATTTTGCGCTTCTTCTTCAAGACCATAACACATGATATGAGTGCAAATTTCTACCGGCATTGCGGAATACACGGTTCCCAGTTTCTTGTATACGCCTGCCCGCACCTCCCTAGATACATCTCCAAGTCTTGCTATGAGTTTGTTAAGCACCGGGACTAGGGCTTCAATATCATCCGGTACTTTTGTAGAGCTGACTGCTACGAGTCTCACTGCGGCTGCGTGATCACCAAGGTGTCGTTCGATCTCCTTTTTGACCCGTTCATCCTACAAAAAAGTTAATGGGTTCTACTGGTGTGTTACCGGCATTTTCTATTATTGTCATAGCTGTACATACCTGAAAGTGCTCTAAAAGTTGCATACAACGATATCGCAATTCCTTGTTTGGATCTGCAAGTAATGCGATGAAGGTGTCTGTGTGTTTGTCCCTTATAGTTTCGGGAATATGTATGTCATCCTTGAGAGCGTGCATCATGACAAGTTGTGTGATTGTGGTGAATGCGAGACGTAGCTTACGTTCCTTCGCAGGTGAGATGCCTAGCAAAGTTTCCCAGACCTTGAATAGTATCTGCGGTTTTTTGGGTACTACTCTTTTTGTTCCCATTAATTCTATTGCCTTGAAATTGCTACTATTCTCCATAAGATAGTCGGCTCTCATTGCATGGCAATATATGAACTCAGTCAAAGATTCCATACCTGCTTCTGTGGCATTTAGCGCTTTGGCTTTCCCCATGAAGCAGAGAGCCAGCATTGTGTCATTGTATATATATTCCGAGAAACATGCATTTTGTGTTGGTGCCGATACTTTTGTTGTCCCTCTATCGCGTATTAAGGCAGATGCAAGTTCTTTCAATGGCAGTGATAGTACTGTCATTGCTGCTGCAGGGTTGAGATCGCCGTCGTAGACTCTAGCCAGGCATTTGATAAATGCTGCCCTGTATTCCGCTAACTTTTTGATTAGATTATCACTTGCATTCACAAATAATTTTGAATCTGGTCTTGAACTGGTTGTTCCTTGGTCTGTGTTTTTTTTTGCATTATTTCTTGTTACTGCAGCTGTTTTCCTGGCCATCTTAGCCACCGTATCTGTTTGTTCTTGCGATATAGAGCTTTTGGCGATATCCGATGTTGCTGTTTTTTGACCATTTGTGTAACCTTCAGCAGTCACATCGTTAGCTGGCGGTGTTCTTGCTTTCGCAGCGCGTTTAGACACAACCTCATCATGTGAATACGATATGTTGTTAGGTTGTTTTTTGGTCAAACCATGCCGTACGGCCGGCTCATTGACTGGTCCCTTGGTCATGACTCCGATATCGGCTAGGTTGTCGCTTTATTGTTCATCTGCTGTATGGTCACATAATGGCACACATTGTGCATTTAAACACTATTTTGAATAGGTGCATATTTACTACGATGTAAGTTTCATTATCCGTGTTTATCGCCACCATTCTTTGATGTTACTGTGGGTTAGACACACCTGCCACCATTGTTCAGCAGATAATTATTCTCTTATCTAGCCGTTTGTTTTCGTATGTGCATTTTATACATATTTCGCTGTATTTAATATACTAATTACATACACATTTTGTCGGATATTATACTTATGGCGCTTGCACCTCGACGTGCTTGAATTTACTCACGACATTTCTGTCTTCTTTAGCACTCATCGTACGACGACGATGCCAGACCCTTTTCTTTCATTATTTTGTATTTATGTGCAATTATGTGTTCAATAATTCCGACGGCTAATTCGTTCATGCAGAAGTAACGAATCCTAATCTCCACAACTAGTCATCTGTGCGTCAGCAAAAGGCTCATAGAATGCAGCATACTTTTAACTAAGAATCGATGTGTTCAGATTACTCATTTATATACTCCGAAGGTACATTTGCTGAGCTTCATGCTTCACACGCACATAGGCAAGGAATAAGGCCGCCGCAGCCTTCCGAGACAAGCTGCGCTATCGGACTTATATAAACGTCGTCAAACTAAATTTATTTGTCGTAATAACCATATAATGTTTTCGTTAATAGTATAAAGCACTAAATATCACTACACAATTGGGCACATCCCTAATTCTTGTTGTCTTAAGGGAGGGTCTAATTTCATCACAAATGGGTAATGGAAGGAAAATGTCTGCAGGAAATAGATTCATCTCTTTGTCTCGTTTATAATGCGGTTACATTGGTTATGTTGTGCTGCGGGTAATCCTGTTGTGGCTCTGTCGCGCTGAGTCTCGACATACGTTAAAATGCCCGCTTATATATGCGAATATGGATATTAATAGGCCTTCGAGTGGCAACGCCAGCTCGACCGTCACGCCGGGTGGCTTCGTACGGTCGAGGAAGCGCTTCAAGGCTTACACATGGACATATAAGAAGACGATCACACCGATCGCTTCCTTTTTCCTGGTGGTCAACCAGATGATAGGTATAGGTAAGTATATATATTTACCCTCAACATTCTATAGGCATGAGTGATATTCCCTCAGTAATGCGCGAGAGTGGCTGGGTCCCTGCTCTGCTGGCGAATTTGATAATGTCAGTGCTGGCAGCGCTGTGTAGTCTCATGTTGTTACGTGCGATGACTCTTATTCCACACAATGAGAATTTTGACCATCGTATCGAGTACAACGCTTTGGTTAAGTACTATCTCTCCGACAATAACTTCAAAATGGTTACTTTTCTTCATCACACCGGCACCCTTTGCAGTGTCATCTGCGGTATTTTGGCGTTTTCCAAACTGGTGGACATGCTCCTTGTGCAAGTTCTTGGCTGGACCCTTGCACTTCAGGTTTATCCTCACGCATCCATTGGTCGTGCTGACCTCACCACGGTCACAGCAATCTATGAGTCCGACCTGATCCAGGGTAATGGCGAGCATTCGATTACATTGGCTATTACGCTGGGATATGTAGTATGTGCGTTGCTTTGTTTGAGGCTTAGTGCTTGCGCTCTTGAGGAGACAATGGGCTTTCACGTTTTTTCATTCCTTGCTTTTATTGGTTGTGGTCTGCAGCTTGCTGTGTTCGGCCTCTTGCGTTCCGCTCGCGGCGGCCCTGCGCTTAAACCTCCAGCGATCGGTAGGCAACGATTTGGGAAAGTGCTGCTGACGTTTGTGGAGAACTTTAGTGTCGCCAGTTCGACCCCGTCATGGGCAAATGAAATGACACGTGATGTGAAGGTTATGCGTACCATGTGGGCGAGTACTTTCTTTACAGCTGTATTGTACCATGTTCTAGGGTACGTGTTTTGTTTCGCATACCCGGAAGGCGGCGGTAGCATTGTGAGTGGCATTTTGCTCAGCAATAGTGGCATTGTAGCCCATGCTACCATATGTTTCTTTGTGGCTGTAAACGTGTTACCGGATGTTGTTTTTGGAACTATCAGTACAAGGTATAACTTGCTAAACTTGGGTTATTGTGGCCAGCGTGCTGCTTACTTTTGGGGTTGCATACTACCATTCACATTTACATGGTTGCTATCTAATGAGTCATATTTTTTCGACTACCTGGGTCAGATAAGTTTAGTTTCCTCGCTTTTCTGTGACTTTGTGGTGCCCGTGATTGTCTACAAGGTGGCACAACGGGGTTTGCTCGATCTCACCGTCTCGCCGCATTCTTCATTGGAGGGTTCTCTTTTTTCAGGCGAAGCCCCTGAAACTCCAGCTGCATTACTGAAGCGGAGTACAAGCATCCTTTTTAAGAAGATGACTACACTTGGCCGCGCATTTACGCTTGACTGCATAATAAAGCACAAGCAGGAGGAACCACCGATCCCTGAGGTCCCTGGATGCGTGAAACCCGGCCCATCTAGGCTAGACACAACCATTGATGACGATACTGGTCAGGTGAACTATGGTTTATTCAAGATTATAAGGGCCCCTTTGTTGCCTCGGGAAGATGACCACCAATACAACGTCATTGCTACCAAGAAGCGTAGTAATCGCGTGTTATTTGACTATTTGGATTTAGATACTTTAGATGACGACTCAAGTGATCATTCTTCTACAACACCATCGAAACGTGCTGAACCCGAAAAGCGTGTGGAATTGTTTCCAATAGCCTTTCTCGAGCGCCATAATGGTTTCGTGTCGCACGTGATCCTTTTAGCTTTGTGTGGTTTTGCAATCATTCCGACACTCTTCAACACTTGGAAATTGCTAAAGGCTTCTTGATGATTGAAGGTTTCGTCGTTATGATAAGTTTTCTTGTGGTAGGTCTGTTCGGATATGCTGTTCTAGCGCCCGGGCCGTGCCCACGTGCAATTAATGAGCTACCTGCTTTTTGCACGGCAATATTTATAAGTTTATATCATCCAGGCTACGGTTTATTTATTTCACGTAATCGACCGTGTGCCACTACAAACAACATGACGAAAAAAATATTTACAGACACATAAATTTTTGTGTTATTCATGTGCACTATCTATACTGTGTCACATATTTCGCCCTTATTTGTTTAAGAATTAATTGGGATCGTTGTCTCGTGTAGGTGTTATCTCTGTGTGTATCCCAGGGTACACATTTTCTTGGCTGTCTACATTCGCGAACCGTTCGGGATACCCTGTTCGAATACATTCGGACGAGTAATTATCGCTTTTTATTACATATTTTTATTTTATTTCGTCGCAGGTCTGTGCATTAAAGGGTTTTTCCTTGCATAAAGACGAACCGCAACAGGTGTGTATCGGTTTGGGAACTGTCGTCCTCGCGAAGTGCATTTGATCCAGTTTATTGAACTTGTACATCGCCGCGGATCGCTAAAGACCATTGATGTCACATATTTGTTAGGTTATATCCTGCCTGTGTTGTCTCACGAAGAAATATACTTTTATTTTCTACAAAATTGGCCAAGTGTTTTCTTGGATACTTTTCGAACCTTGGACAGCTTTACTGCGCCATCATCATAGGTATGATAGGTTCAAATAGTTATGAGTAGGCTGCCCATCCTTCTTTGTGTTACGCCAATGTGATTTATCGCCGCTACAATGCCAAAGACAGAGTACTTTTCGCTGGGGGAAGTTCTACCTATTGACAACCCAACCCATTCTCCTGGTGCACGTCTTATCGCTGATTGTACCACAAATGGTTACGATAACGCGAAAACGCCACGATTTAACTGGGAACTCTTGTTACCACAGTTGCCCTCGGCATCAAGGTCACCACGCAATACGAAGAACCCATGCATTGCAGGGTGCCCTTATTCCACATGGGTTGAGCGTCTAGGCGTATTAAGGGCAACTAGAAATGACATCGCACAACAATCTTCACTATCCCACCTAACACCTGGCTTAGACAGCTGCATAGACGCTATTGATCGGTTATTGCGTACAACATTGATCCGTGAGAGTACGCAGTTATCTTCCGTACGTGACGTATACCCAAATATTTCCGGTATAACGGATCGTATTTCGGAAAAGGGTGTTGCTACGGTAGACTACGTGGACAATGTTAGCAAGTCGCCAGCTGTTCGGGACCATGGTACCACAGCAGTATCACCCTTATCGTACGAAGAGCAGGCATTACCGGGCCGACAATGTTACAACATCGATAACCTGATTGATTCGATGGATCGCGTAGGCAAGTTTTTCTTTTTGAATTGATCATTTCTCACCAGATATATCACATGATGAAGATGACGAGATACCGCCATCGCTCCATCTCGAGGCCAATGTCGCTGAATCGCATTTCGATGCGTTGTTGGTGCGCAGATTATATTCGCGTCGTTGGATGTGTCGAATAGAAGCTGTAGATGAGATCATATCGCTTTTGGACAATGATGCTATTTTGCTTTTGAATGAGGGAAGCGTTCAGAGGGCAGTCACTGGTGTCTGCATGGCTCTTAATCGTTTATTCCAGGACCACGCTTTGAAGGTAAGACCTTTTGTTCCTTTGACATAGATTTTTAGGTACTTATTAAATCGCTTGAACTTTTGGATGCCTTTTTCACATTCATGGAGCGTAACAACTGTTGCATGGCCCAAAGTGCTCGCAGCTATACATCATCGGGTGATACTTCTCGAGGGGCTCCCGTGCAATGTAGTTTGGACTTTTTGGAAGCTATAGTGGCACGGCTTGGTGATCGTGTATCGGCTGTTGTTAACTGCGCTATTTGTGCTTTACTAAAGATCGCAGAATCGAATACGATTCCTACCTATGAAGACATTACAAAAACGCTACTTAAATCACTAGGAACGTACAATTCTCAACCAGGAAGGAGGTCGATTTGCAACCGTCTGCGTATGCTTTCAACTGTGTTGTTGAGGTCGCACTTGTACAATTCTCATGGCACAGCTCGCCGTTCAGTGCGACCTGGCACCTTTTTCGACACCGTCAGTGCTCTGTGTCATCATTCTCATGGTTCAGTGCGTTCTGCGGCCATGGAAGCCTTGGCAGTAGGTGCTAAAGCTCACTTCCACGTCGGGACCCCGCCCGTTGAATCCTCCATCCGTGAGGCAATGGACCGTATTCAGCTAAACCTTGTGTCTATATATGAAGGAGACGCTGCCTCACGTACTCGAGAATTATTATCCGAAGCACAGGCTATCTGGTCGACCGACATTCTCGGCGCGCGTACAGCACGCCAGTAGATAATCATGGGACTCCTTAAAGTGATACGCAAGGGCAAAGCCCTCGAGCATGAAATTCGCATCTTAATGCTGTTAGTTACTGTTTATTGCCTACACATTTTGCAGTGGCTTGGATAATGCCGGCAAGACGACGATCCTCAAGCGCCTCAATGGTGAGGATATCTCTCGCATTGAACCTACGCTGGGTTTCAACATCAAAACTTTGGAACACAATGGGTAATTAATGTTATGTCAACGTTTGACGAATGTGCAGTTACCAGGTGAACTTTTGGGACGTGGGTGGTCAGAAGACCATCCGTTCCTTTTGGCGGAACTACTTCGAGAACACGGATGCATTGGTTTGGGTGGTAGATTCTGCGGATACTTTACGTTTGGAAGACTCCAGGACCGAGATTGAGGAGCTATTACGTCAGGATGTAAGTTAATTTTGGTGGTGCGGTAACCTGGCACAGCAAATGGCACAATGCACGCTGTTGGTTTTCGCCAACAAGCAGGACGTTCCCGGCGCTATGAGCGTTAAAGCAATTCAAGAGGTTTGTTCATGTTATAGATTGACAATTTTGTTAGCAATTGGGTCTTCGTCAGGTCGCCAATGAACGCAGCTGGGCGATCCACGGTTGTAGTGGTGTCACCGGCGAAGGTGTAACTGAAGGTTTTGCGTGGTTAATATCGGACGTCTCCCGTCGCATATACTGCCTGGACTATATCAAACGCTAAGTTCAGGCGCCGTCTGTGGCAGCAGCCTTTGCTTCGGCGGGTGTGAGTCTCTCCGCGAATTCCAAGCGGCGAGTGACTTCCTCCTTCGCGGACTAAACAGTTTACCGCATTAACTTACCTTAAGAAATTCAAAGACCGTATCTTGACATAGTGCAACGCTTTCATCGATCTGTTCTATAATGAAGTGTCGTGTCTCGTTGATTTGTCGTACAATTTCCATAGTAGGAGGGTCACTGCGTGTTGTTAGACACACACATAAGATGCTTACCATTTTACCAATATACCTCTAATTGCTGAAACCATTGTTAAAATATGCCGGGATAGAAAGTAACTGTGCATGATGGGACTCGAACCCACAACCTTCGCCTCCGGAGAGCGACGCGCTATCCATTGCGCCACACGCACTGTGTTGCGGGAGCCAATTTTTAAAGTGAGCTTCGCCTTTCGTGACATATCTTATGTCATAATTATACACATCATGAGTCACAAATTATGGAAGGTCTGGAACACCTGATACATCAGATCAGACGTGATCCTGAGGCACACCGTGATGACTTTTTTTTAAAATGGGAGGAGTTTGTTGCGTCCTTTGCCGTTTTACGGCTGACGCCACACCTCTACAATGCCGACGCGATGTCGTTGCTGAACTTCGTCGCACAGGTAGGTTACTGTTGGTTTGTACATTCAACTTACATAGGTTATGGCGTTTTATAGCGGCCAGCGTAATGAAAACATTGATCTACGTTACGTGCCATCGGCAGCTGTGGATTCCAAGAGAGTCAGCAGCGCGTCTGAAAACATCAGGAATGCTAAAGCCGATCCTACTTCAACTCCAAGTGGCACTCAATCGCTACCAGGCGCTGGAGCTCTTAAAGGAGACACCTGTCACAATGACTTAGGAAGGGAGTTGTGTATGATGTTAATTGAGTTCATCAAGACGCATCGCAAGGGCATGAACGGGAAGACACTTCGGCAGGTATTGAGCACTACATTTCTACTGCGTAGCAAGCGTCTGATCGATATTTTCACGTAAGTGAATGATGGGTGTACGTTTCAGCGTGTAACAGAATCCTCCCGGAATGGCTCGCCCTCCTGGATCTTGACGAACGTGATTCCCGCCGACGCCTCTTTGTCTTTATAGTACGAGATTTAACTATAGTTTCTCAACAAATGAAGGACGTTAGGGTCAGTCTAGTCTTTGCATATTCTTTGGTCATAATTTACACAGGTTACAAAGGCTGTACAACGACTTTTCTTCGACTACCTGCGGGCTAAAAGTGTCCAGGTGCAGCTTCTAACATGTTGTATATGTGTTGAGATGCACAAACGTCGTCTATGGCGTGATGAGTATACTGTCAACAACATAGCACAGTGCGCCCTCGCTTCCAACCTTAAACTCGTTCTAGCTGGGGCCCATTTTCTTTTGGGTACTAGAAACCATTTTGATGTAGCCTTTGAGGCATTGGAAGACTTGGAGGAAGACATAGCTGCATTGGAAAATCTCAGCAAGCAGCAAAATAACCCAGCAGCTGGTGCTCACTCGAAGAAGAGTGAAGGTAGACAAAATCGTCTTAAGCGTACGAAGAAACAGGTTGAGAAGCAGTTGGAGCGCCGTAAGAAACGTCTTGAGCTTTGTGCCGTTCGAGAGTTTGCGGCTATAGACGAGTTGCATGACCCTCAGAAGTTTACAGAGCGTTTATTCGAGCGATGCAGGTGCAAAGACGTAACGTTCGGTGCGAAGCTGATCCTTCTCCAACTGGTCAGCATTTTGATAGCCAGACATCGGTTGCTAGTGCCTAGTTTCTACGGTTTTGTGCTGAAGTATATCAATCACAAGCAGAAGCTTGTGACCAAGATTTTAGCCATATCGGCACAGGCTGTCCACACAGATTTACCTCCAGACCTAGTGGATCCAGTGATTCGCCAAGTGATGGACCAGTTTGTGAGTGAAGATCGGTCGAATGAAGTAATAACTGCTGGAGTGAACACGTTGCGTGAGATAGCTGCCAGAGCACCTTTGTTGTTCCCTCAAGAACTGATTTCACAAATTGTCGAGTTCCGTAATATAAAAAACAAGGGTAAGCACTGTTTTACATCTACCCAACTGTCTACAGCTGTATCCATGGCGACAAAATCGTTTATAAACCTGTATCGTGAGCAAGCTCCAGAAATGCTACACCCTACTCTCCGTGGCAGGGAAGCGGGTACACAGCTGACCAAGGCCAAAAAAGGAAAGGCAGTAAATCCTGGGAGGGTGTTTAGCGACGCTTACATCTTATCGCAAGAGGACTTCAAACGTAAGAATTTCACTGGTCCCGAGGATATCCAAGCAGAGGACGATGCCTCTGCCGAAGAAGAAGACGAAGAGACGGCAACTGATTCACAAGAAGGTTCTGATGACGCATGTGAATCTGGCGACATGGATGAAGATGAAGGTATGGATGAGGACGAGTATGGAAGTGACAGCGAAGGTGAAGATGCCATTTCTGATATTGATTCGTCTAACAAAGTACGAAGATCAGGTATTCGTCGTGATGATACGGATGAGATTGATGATGATGATGACGATGATGAGGCACGCCTTAAGGTTAACCCTGAGGACCTCATGTATGGCTCCAAAAGAAAACGTGTTGCAGCAGAGACTCGTCGAGATGCAGCAGCTGCGCGAATCGAACGAAAGAAGCAGCGCCTCACCGCTGAAAGTCGTGCCGGTAACAGGCAGAGCACTACGAATCGTGTAAAAGCTCGGAGCAAACCGGTACTGATGACACTTCAGAGCAAACGTGTCAAGACTAAGCAGACACAGAACATCGCTGAGAAGATGGCGGCACTCAAGCGCCATCTGAAATCGCTCAAGAAAGGTAACGTTAAACACAAGAAACGTAGGCGTTGATGCTATGAGGTTGCCTTCACACAATATAGTTCTATTGTGTGCGTTGGACCTTGGCCATGGTCTGTTGTTTCTGAGATTGTTTATGGGCCGTTGTTGCTATTAAGCTATCTGGTTCCCATACGGTAAAACCCAGATCAGATAATGTAGCCTTTATTACTATCATGTGTATGCAAAACGAGTACGTCCTGTCTCACAGCAACATTAGTAGCAGTTGTTAACCATTTTGCGTAGGAATCCATTTTTAGTAACCGTGAGTGTATTTCCATCTAAGGAGACTGAAACTATCCCGCGTTTCGCAGCATTTCTAATGGCGTTCTGCTCCGTGGTTATTCCAAAAAGGATTGCAGACCCACCAGTTTGTTTAAGATGAATATGCGATAAAGAAACTGCTGCGGGCAGTCATCTCGCAGCGGCTCGCAGTCGCTAAATCTCACCGCATCGACTACACTGTGTAGAAACCTTGTGACACCGTCAAAAGGTGACCGACGCCGCGCACGCCAATAGACACCGTTTCCTGGGTCGTATACCCCGACAAACTACAAGATTATGTGTAATTCAAGTTCAAAATCAAACTACCTGGTAGTTTAATTTATCGCGAGTAGGCGGAGGCGTCTGCAGCGCGCCGAAGACAGCAGATCTCGGCCTGACGTTAGCATATGCCACTGCAAGTAGCAGTGGGATAATCGTGATAAAAAGCATCGCCCAATTAGCTTGATCTTGAACGTGAAAAGTTTCCCAGATGATGTTGCTTGGGCGCTCCTACACATATCTTGAAGTCTTCCAGAGCTGCCGTTTGCCGCAACAACAGATCATGCTCGTTGCATACATGTAGAAGACATACGAACATGATATGACTGTTAAGTGCTGCAACTTCGGAATCATTCAGCCTTTTCAGTGTCTCGGTGATGGCATGTTGGAACATACAGCTGCTTTCTTCTGTGTGTGATGGAGCCGACTTTACACCTTTAAGTTGTTTTTCATCTTCTATAGCCTCCTGGAAGTCAGGAGGTGGCAATATTACGCTACACAGTGTCTTCTTGATCTTAAATATATCCACATAAGCAGTCACCGGTGCCGGAGCTATCACGCCACCCGCAGTATCGGCTATGGGCTTTATCACAGATCCCGTATCTACAGTTTGACTCAATACCAACGGTGGATCAAACGTTTCCGGCTCATACATATCATCTATTGATGTACTCAATGAAATATCGTTTGATACCGAGACGTGCAAGGCATCAGAATCCAGCTCATCCAATGCAAATTCAAACGGTTTCCCATCCACTGCATCCTGATAGTTATATAACGGTTCGTCGTAGTGGCTAAATCCAACTTGGTCGTCTATTTTCCAAGAGAAATTCTGTTCGATATTCAGGGAGCTATACGGTGCCTCCGTGTCAGTGGTGTAGTAAATCTGAAGTAAAGGCGCTGGCTGATTATCCCCTGGATTTGTTCGCCAATCTTGATCACTTACCATCCTCAATATACGATTACCCAGTGTCCCTAAACGTGTCAAGAAATTGTCACTGAATTTAAAAACTGATCCCGTGTAATCTGGCGCCGTAAAGATTTCGGCAGAATGTCTTCCTAATGCCTTTGTCGGCTGTAAATTGGACACCTGACCTATACTTTCTAATTCCTCTTTGATCGAATGTATGCGCATATAACTAGAGATATCGCGATATACAGCATCCTTTATCTTAGAGGACCTTTCCCCCTTCCTGCTGCTAGTAACCACTTCGTTGCCCGTAAGGCTAGAAGCTCCATCATCATCACCACCACCACCACTTATTTTCTTGATATTGGTGGTGTAGTATGAGAACTGCGAACCTCCAACAAGGTCTATCTCACGTAAACGCTGCCTGAGTGCAACGCTTGACCTGCCTGTATTTTCCGTGGATCCCACAAACCTCCCAGACGCTGGCATTGCGATTCCAAGACTCGACGCTATACCAGATGATGCTCTAGAACTGGCAGTCTTAGGTGGCTCAGACCCTTCAAGATTAGATGCGATGGCCTCAAAAGTGAGGGGTTCAATGGCATTTCCATCGGGTTGTGAGAGAACAGAATCAGATAATAGATTGTCCAAAGCTAGTTCAGACATCCATGGCAACTCATTTGCCTGGGAAGACACGTCTTCATCCGTTTGCGATATAGTTGTGTCATCTACGTCAGCGGTCTCACCACCTTGCCTCCGACGCTTGAGATCTTGTAGTCGCTGAAGTTCAGTTCGAAAGTACGAGGCCTCCGGTAATATCTCAAGCTTCCTTGAATCCTTCAAACCTTTGAAAGCGACCTCTTCGATGGCTGAATGCGACATTTCGACTACGCAGTCCTCGTCTGACCGTGGCCTTGGCGGGGCAAATACCAAGCTATCTCCGTCCAGGTCCAGTGAAAGGTCATCAGTAACCTGTAAGTTCATCAGAAGAAGCCCTTGTGCACCACTATGATCAAACATAGATGATATTTTTAGAAAATATGGATCTAATACCACATTATCCATTGGTATTTCTGATAGCGTTACTTCAGCCTCAGGGGCAAGCGTCCTAGAACCAGAGGCAGAATCCAGTTTAATCCGTCCTTTATTGCGTGTCTTAGCTACTGGCACTGTCGTATTACCGCCCTCAGCCTGAGCAGCACTGTTCATGCTCATCAGAACGTTGAACGTCTGATCATATATAGCTTCAATACGGTAACCATAAATTTTGCTGGCACTTTCTACGACTTTCGAAGCGCGCGTGAAGTTTAACCGACGTGATGCGGCTCCTCCATCTGCGGGTAATTCTACCATATCATCCTCGTCATCTGATCCTCCGTCTAAGTGGACTAGATCTGTCATATGGTCAATGATACCGACATCAAAAGCATTGCGGCTACAAATCTTGTTAGTAGAGAGTGCGCTCATACAATCTGTGAAGAGTGACAGTAGTTCTTGAGTATTTCCAGTTCCTCCCGCAGCATTTTGGTTCGGAATTCGTTTAGCTGGTGGCAGTGACGACCCAGTTTCGGAGTCATCTGCCCCCGTTGCGACATCCCTGTCGCGTAATCGCTTCTTTGCGTCCATCTATTTATAATTATTGTACAATTATGTTAGACAGTAGTCTATAGACCATCTTGACGCGGGCAGCGTGTGTGACGATATACACGTCACAACCCGGCGCTACCCTGCGGGGCTAGTGGTCATTAAACTAGTTAGAAAGTACATATATTAAACGGAATAATTATAGTTCATCGCGGATGAGACCTTCTCAACCACAACGTCCACCACCGCATCCAGCGGACTGGACCCATGAATCGCCAGATGCCTTGGTCACCGTTAAGTTCATAAAGCTTTCTGCATCGGTGGGATGAATGCCAATAGTGTCGTCGAAGTCCTCCTTCTTCGCCCCCATGCGTACAGCAACGCACATACCCTGAACGATTTCTCCGGCGTTAGGGCCTACGAAATGAATACCAACGATAGTGCCGTCCTTCTTACATATCATCTTAGAAAGGCAGGTTGGTGGCAGGTCGACATCGAACTCATCAGCTTGAAGGCTTTCTACCTTTTCACGGTGAACTGCAGCAAGTTCCAGAGTGGTGAACTCCTTCAGGTATACATCAACATCACCGTAAAGTTTAGTGGCGTCCTCCTCCGACAGACCACAGTTGGCATATTCGAATGGTGTGAATACACACATAGGGATGTAATCCATGTTCATCTGCTTCGTGGAGTTGCCAAATATACGGCGGGCCAAGAGTTCACCATCCTTAATCGCTACGGGTGCCAATTGCGTGTTTCCCTCTGCTGCGTCACCCACTACGTACACGTTTGGTACAGAAGTGACGCCCTCACGAGCAGCAATGCGTCCCGATTCACCGAAGGCAACTCCCAAGTCGCTGAGGTCCTCTGTGATGCCTCTGGGCATACGTCCTGTTGCATACATAACAGTGTCGTATTGCTCGGTGCCACCATCAGTGAATGAAACTTCCAATTTTCCGTTTTCAAGCTTGGTGATGGAAGCAGGCGTACTACCACGACGGAACTTGGTTCCTGTTACTTCCATCAGTTGAGCGACCTTGTCCGCACACTGGCGATCGAAACCACGCAGTACCACTGACCTCACAGATACAGTCACGTCGAAACCCATAGCCGTCAAGAAACCAGCACATTCCAGCGCCACGAAGGATCCTCCCACAATAAGAGTTTTACCCACAGGATTCTTCAGGCTCATGAGATCATCTGATGTGATCGAATATTCGTATGCACCCTTAACATCGCGTGGAATGCTTGGACGTGCTCCAATGGCAATCAAAACGTGTTTAGCTTTCACACGCTGTGTTCCATTTTTGTCTGAGTATTTGACAACATTTCCAGCCTCCAATGTTGCGTATGCATTGACGTATTCGACGGAATTAGACATCAAGCTTGAACGGTAGGAAAAGTTGAGCATTTTCACGTAATTTTGTACGGTCTGCGATACTATAAATAGAAAACATTCAACCACTTTACCTGGACCAGCTTTCCCCAGTCATGCTTCTTAGGCGCGGGCGTCCATCCCAACATTTCACGGTCGTGTTCAGCGTGTCCTAGCATTCCGGCATAATGCATCAGTTTCTTAGGGATACATCCTACGTTGACACAGGTACCACCAAGACCCCATTGGGTACCACGGGGTGAGGGTTGTACATAATCGAACAATATAGTCTTAGCTCCTAGTCTAGCTGCCTCTTTGGCTGCTGACATACCACCGCATCCCCCACCAATTACAGCGAAATCGTAAATTTCGTCGTCCATGGCCTCTGCTGGTCGTGATTCTCTGGAGGCCGCAACGGTGCCCGAAAGCGAAAAGGATGGTGAGGTATCTTGACCTGCGTTTGCTACAATGGGAACTGTACCCGAATGTACGAATCCAGGTCTAAGTACCATATAAGACCAGGTCACAAACACACGTGGAGCTGTTGATGCTAGGAATGCTACGATACCATTCCTTCTCATCATACTGTATTATTTTTGTGTTGATTAGAATCGGAATGTAGCAAAGTGTAACGTCCTTATGACATGTAGTACCATGGGCGCCAGGGGTTTATTCCTAGAAATGCTTTATGGGGTCTCTCCGCTGTGTTGCAGGCACTTTCACGGTAATACCGAAGTCCTCAAGGGGTCACCAAACTGATGGTGACCCTCTTACAGGCAAAATGGAGGCCAAAGATGCCTCTTCTTTACTGGCTCCGGATTCCCAGACACCTGCTGGGGAGACGGATTGCACAGCGTTGCACGCAGCACACACTAAGGGTGTTCACAATGGCTGCTTCCAGTGCTTTTGGAAACCCTTAAGCGTTTCTAACAATCACCAAGACGTTTTATCAACCGATGCAGTTGTACTGCACGCAATACATCTTGTCTAGTCGCGCGTTATACGCGCCAAATTAAGGGACGCCTCTTTTTGCCGCTTATCTGGGTGAAGAAATGATGGTTGACGATCAAATAATACCGGTCGCCAACGATGCGGCTACACCCTTCAATGCTTGCCAGTACGAGTATCCTAACGAGGAGCTGGACGAAAAGCTGATGCCTAAAGAGGGTCCAGGAGGCGCTTCTGAGGATTCATACTTCATCAGTCGAGAGATATTCATACGTATATTGGGAATTATATACTTTATCTCGTTCCTGGGACATTATAACCAAGATATCGGACTGATTGGAGAAAATGGTGTGTGGCCGGCAAACGAGCATCTGAGCGAGTTGTCTAATTCCAGCGGATCCTGGAAAATGTTGGATGTTTCCGCTTTCTTACCCATATGTGACACATGTATCACAATTTTACCGATTGTTGGTATGATTCTGAGTGTGTTAATTGTTGTTACTCGTATGGCTAGTTCATGGTTATGTTTAGCAATTTGGCTCATCAAGCTGTCGCTGATTACTCTCAGATCATCACTTCCCAAGCACAATGCCGATCTGTTGCTCTTAGAAACAGGTTTCCTTGCAATATTTTTGTACTCGCCATTTGCTTTGTTTGGATATCGACACAAGGAATGGGGTGTCCCCATGACATGTAGATGGGCCTACTATTTCCTTTTGTATCGAGGGATGCTTTGTTCGGGTGTAGACAGGATTCTCGACGGACCACCTCAGCCTGATAACAACAATTACAAACATCTGTTGCAAGGCGTACCCCTACCTTCATCGCTAACAAATTTGGCTTATACCTTTGTCTCTGGTTCCAATATCATAGGTGCTATCATTGCGAACATACCCATATTTATCGAATGTATCGCTTCGACTTCACTCCTTGTACCCATTCGCTCATGTCGTATAACTGGTGGTTTCATAGCGTTGATACACTCCCTCATCTTAAATTTCTTCAGTGAGTTTGGCACTTTCTACATCTTGCTCGCATCTTGTGCGCTATTCTGTTTCGACGATGCGCTATGGGATCGTATGGGATGTGGTTGTGTCCAACGAATAATTAAACAAGACGCTGAGGAAGAACCTGAGGAGGAGCAAGCTATTGAAGAGGGGGAATCTAAAGACGATACGGCTAGCGCTACTGACGGTAAGCGTAAATTTGCCGACAAGGTCATCGATGTATTGACGTACCGTTCGAAGAAGAAATATATCAGAGATTCATTGTTCTCTCAGGAAGCATACGGTCTTAGTATATCGGAACAACACTACCGTTATTTGCAATTGGCAATCCAAGTCATACTGGTTTTCGGCCTATCGTTTTTAACATTCAACCTTATATTCACCAGATATCATATGGGTATCAAAGCGTTCCTCATATTCTGTCACGCCCTTCTGCTGCAGGTTCAGTGTGATGCCATCGGCACCCGTGAATCTCATATAACGGTCGCCGGTACGCTATTCGCGTTACATATCTGGTTAGTGCTGGAGATAATGATTTGTGGTATCGGTATGTGGAATTTCTGGCTGTGGATCGGTATTACGGAGCTACAACTAGGTCTTTGCAAAACCAAAAAGTCATTGTATAAGATTTCAAATCTTTTGTTGCAATCTGTGATTGCACTTATTGTTTTGTATTATGCTCTGCCGATTGTCATTTTGTCTTTGACCAACAGCCGTTCAACGGCTGCGATCAGGGCGCCTTTTGGTATTGTAAACAGTTATGAGAGGTTGGGCGTGATAGGTAAACCTAGACATGACGTCATCATCCAGGGTACCAATGATGCGGTAGTTACAACCGCCACTAAATGGAAGTCTTATAATCTGCACAGCTCTCCGGTAGAGGCAGCCAAGGGTAATGCTTCAGTTCCCGGATACAACTATGAGCTTGACAATCTTTTGCGTGATGTGGGTAACAGGCAACTTGGAGCACAATCTACAGTGTTGCCACGATTTTTGTTATCACTCTTAAGGGCTCTGCTCCTTAACAAGCCAACTGCTATAGCTCTGTTTGCTACCAACCCTTTTGAGGGTGTTCCTCCTAGGTACGTCAGAGTTGTGCAGTACAACTACGAGTTTGCCGAGCCCAACGATCGTTCTTGGTACGTCCGCCGCAAGCAGACACAAATAGTACCGCCTCTTACGTTAAAACACTCAAATGAGCAGAAGAAGGACCGTGTGACGACTCGTGAAAAGCCCGTAGAGCCGCAACAAAAAACCCCGGCTAAAGTGCTTCATGTTGTACATGACATGCCACCTGCGCGAAACATTCGCGGAGTTCCATTAGAGCTGGCAGACACTTTTACCGAGGGCGCACCGCCAACGGACTCACTCATGCTTACCAAAGTTTAATGTATATGTTATAAATGACACGTATATTTCTACGGCACTCCCCATCAGAGGTTGTGACGTCACCCTTGTGATGAGGTGAATTGATCTCGCCTATCACTGTCCGTTAATCATGTACCATAGTGGAATCATGTGCTTTAGCGGTAGGTCGTACTAGGCCGCAGCCAGTCCATCATTGCCGTGACCCCTAAACTGGTCGGCGTATCTTCGTCAACGGCACATCCAGCTTACAAGTCAGGATTATAATGGATTACTATGTTAAATTGTATGGAATCTGTGTTTAGTGGGCTTGTCTAAGCGCACACACGTGGCACGGCGCGCTCCGTATTGATCTCGCGCGTCGAAAAATATATGTCAATCTATTCTAAATGTAGTTGCAATGTCACTCAAGTTGAAGGCAAAGGAGCGTAAGTTTTGCTATTGTGTAAGCATATTATAACGTAGGCCTTTTTTGGGCGATCAGACAGGTCGTCCTCCCTTTTGGCCGTATTATACTTTTGGTTGATCACCGAACTATACGTATCGTTTCGGCATGTTGCTCTATCAGTGAGCTTATTGACGAAGGTGTTGACCTTGTGGAGCTGATATCCAAGAGACGACAGCCTATGAAAAACAAAGTTGCACTCTACCTGCTCAGCGATGACTTCGCCTCAATCAATTACTTAATCGAGGACTTCTCGGCTGGTCACGAGCTATATAAGTCAGCTTTTATCATGTTTAACTGCCATTTATCGGATGATCGAGCTCTACGGAAAATTGCAGAACATGTGGATGTGGAACGTATACTTGCGTGCGTGGAACTCCACCTCAACTTCGTAGCTTACGAGGATCGTGTATTTCACGGTAACATGGGGTTTACTTTACTTAGTCTATATCCAACCCACAGTGGTAAGATTGTTTACTCCATCGCTTCCAGCCTTGCCTCTCTATGTTCCACGCTTGGAGCATCACCTCAAATCAGGTACCACAACTGCCCAAGCGGATTACCACAGCTAGTTGCCAACAGTACTGAAGCATTGATCAAGGATACAGCGGTGGATGATACACGCAAAACGGACGATATATTATTAGTGGTAGACCGATCTTTTGATGCTGTTCCACTGCACATACACGAGTACACTTACCAGGCGTTCGTTTACGACGTGATGCGCATACCTTGCTGTACTGATCCACTAGCACAGCGTTCTGATGATGTGTGGGAATTTGAGTATGTTGCCAATTCGGGTAAGCGTGAGAAACGCGAGGCACTGCTTTCATGCGAGAAGGATGTATTATGGCAGCGATTCAGGCACATGCACATTCAGAAAGTCAACGAATTGGTGTCTGAGGAGGTTGAAAAGTTTGCGGGCCACGCTGCAGTGGGAGCGCATCATCAAGCAAACACTACTCGCGACATATTACACGCCGTGCGCGAGTTACCCAAAACACAGTATATGGTTGAAAAGTATTGGGCACATGTAGCCCTTACTGAACGCTCCTTCGAGCAGATAGAGAATATACATCTGGTAAAGATTGGTGAACTTGAACAGTCGTTAGCGACCAACGCCGACAGGAGTGGTAACAAATTGAGCCGCACCAAGGCTTTACAACAACTCAAAACGCTTCTCGGTGACGTGGAGATAACCTGTGAGGTGAAAATGAGGCTAATATTCTTGTATGTTGCTGTATACAGGAACGTCAACGAAACGCACATAAACGAACTGATTGACATCGCAAGCCTGTCTATGAACGACGTCAATATAGTACATCATTTCGTGGAATTGGGTCTGGGCCCAGCAGCAGTGGAACATGTAGGGTCTGCTTCGCCCCGGAGTGCTGCTTTATCTGGCAAGATCACCCACAAGAATAATGAGAAGGGCGACGCCTACGTATATTACAAGAAGCACGCCGAGGGTGGAGAATACGAGCTGTCTCGTTTTATGCCGGAAATTCGACACATTATAGGACGCATCCTTGCAGGAACACTCGATGAACAAAGGTTCCCAAGTTTGAGTACGGCAAGCTCGCAAACGCCGTTACGAGGACGAACGCCCATAAAGCCTAAAGGGCGGGTAATAATCTACGTACTAGGTGGTATAACGTTCTCTGAAATGCGAATAATGTACGACATGGCTTCAAGAACTGGTGCTGATGTATACTTGGGAGGCGACTCCATCATAGTGCCCAGCGGCCTCATTGAGGACATGAGACATGCGTTCTCTGCCGTAGAGAAGACCTAAATAGGGTCTAGGCCACCGAAAAAAACCATACCAGTAATTTTAAAGCGCTGTTACATTCTTGGTACCGAAAGTGACCACTATCCCCGTTCAGGGGGTCCAGAACTATAGGAGTGGTACCTGGCCATGGTAAGTGAATTTTGTCTACCACTATAGGTCTATTCAATTTATAAAACAAGATGAACATGGATGCCGAAATCTTATTATTATACATGTTCAATGTTTCGACGTTACGCCCGGTGTCATTGCACCGCTGCGCCATTAATAATCGGGATTTCTTGTTTATAAAGGATACGTATGGATAACAAACAAGCAAAAGAGTCTTGCTTACTTGTCGAAGTTGTAGGTTTGCCGACGCCCGCTATTTTCGTTCATTATCCATTTTCGGATGTTCGGGTTACGTATAATCGGCGGCGCATTGTCGGCTGTATAACGCTTAGGTCATTAGCAGAATGGTAGCTCCAAGAATAAGGGTGGTTTGGACGGAGAATGATGATGCAACGCCATTTCCTTTAGTTCCATTCTTTTGCATGCCTCCCCTACCCTGACCTGAATTTCCACCGAAAATGTCGCTAGCCATGGCATCCAGCATTTTACGCATATCAGTGATGACCTTCGAATGTCTAGCTGGATCATCAGGCTGAGTGTACCAGGTACGGATTGTGTTGTCGAATTCCATGAGCCCTGCCAGAGCTGCATCCACTACCTTTTCCAACGTAGCTACCGTCGCCATCAACTCTTCTTTGCCTTCTGGAGCAGCCATGTTTTGTAACTGACTTACAGCGTAGTTTACCAGTTTCTCCTGTTCGTCTACAACCCTCGCAACTTTGACATATGCATCGTTAGATGCTCCGTCAGCGGCTTCCGCAATTTGGGTTCCGTAAAACCTCAAGAAACGGGCTGCGTAAGTTACGGTGACTTGCAAAACTTTAGCATCAGTCTTCAGAGTGTTGATTTCTCCATTCATCTTATCGGCGGGGTTCATGTTTTCTACAATGTTTGTCATTGCAGCCTTGTATTCAATGATGAAACGTTCGACGGCCGCCATTAAGGCGACAATTGCAGCCTCGGCCGCCTGACGGTGCGGAGCGTTACCAGTATCGAACATATGCTGCGCTGCTGCGGTGTTGTAGCTCAAGGCATCCTTCACCAGAGTGTTGTAGCTGTTACTGAACGTTGCAGGGTTGAAACTTTGCACCTGGGGAGCCAGAGACATAACTTGGCTATGGCAATGGTGGGCCATCTTCATCATACCAACTGACGAGATGTAACGCAATATTGCGGCATGCTCCAGCCATTTCTCAGCGGTCAGGTTCTGTCCTTGCATACGGACTGGTAGCAATGACATATAGTTGGTCATCTTTAATACTGCCTTGACATCCGTTAGAGCGAGAGCGAGGGCGCGTTCAGCGGGTACGTGTCCTCCGAATGCGACGTTAAGCAAACCCACAATCGCATTTGCTGCATTAAGAGCGTCTTCGTTTTTGGTTAACATATCGGCGTACTTCAGATAAGCTGCTGCAACGTGATGCGGGCTTTCAAAAGATCCTTTGGTGAAAGTTACACCCGCTGCTGCGCTTTGAAAAGCTTCGAGAATTTTCGTCCTGTGCTCGTCACCATTACCAGGTACACCAAGATGCTTAACAACATCTGAAAGAGTGGTGTAGACCTTGCGGAGGTTTTCGGCATACATTTTGAAGGTGTAATGCAATGTAACCCTTATAACCTCGTATGCCGATTTGTTTCCCCATGAGTAACCCATTAGCAAGATGTGTTTTATCCATTTGTCGTAGGCTGCGTGGGCGGCAGGTAACGCGGCAACCAGTGCATCGCTTGCTGCGTAAAATGCTTGACCATTCCCGTTGTTAAGTGCGCCTGTATATGTAGCCAAAGCTCCATCAAAAGCAGCCTTTTCCGCAACTGTTATGGCATCAATCTGCCGGGTAAGCATATCGCTGGACGCTACGATGAATCCATCACCAATAACACTTCTCAAATGTTTTATTAAGTTTTTCTTGGAGTCCAAATGTGACATCAGTGCCTCGATTTTCAGGACATTCATAGCCTTCATATAAGCCCTGCCCTTTGCTGCGTCCGCGGCGTCTGTGCGAGGAGCCGGTATGGCGTCCAACCTCTCAACGACCAAAGCTTCGGGTACTTCAGGTTCTTTAGGTACATTTTGTACAGGCACCGGTGGCTGGGGAGGAAGACCTTGCTCTGGGGGTTGTTGATCAGCACCTTGAGGAGCTTGTTGACCAGGCTGTTGTGCATTAGGGACCATAGCAACACCCTGCAAATTTTGTTGTGGCGGCTGTGCTGCAGCGGGAGCCTGAGGTTGAGCTAGCACGTTTCGGAATTGGCAAAAGCCAAGCGTGACAATTGGGACGATCCAAATCATTTGCATTTTCCAAAAAAGTGTAAGAATAAATAACAACTGAACATGTAACTCCCGATCTCACGGCACGTGCACAAAGCATTGTCGCACCTATATGAGTCGAATTGGAGGCCCTGACTCATCACGGCAGCAATTTGAAGCCGTTTTGAGCAAGAAAACCGCATTCGGGTACCAAAGATGTGCACAGGACTTCAGATATATTTGAGTCGCATGCAAAACAGTTCCTTAAAAAAAAATTAAACACGTAGCATTCGACAGCATGGAAGTAACGCTTGTACTAGACACCCTGTTATGTGGGAGGAAAGAGGCCATTCGTCATCACTTAAGCCATTATGTCACGGAATCAACGGTGTCCTCCCTGACTCCATGGTGAACTTGTTGAACCAGTTCACTGCCGCGCCAGTTAACCTATCGAGTACATCTACGAGTCAACAATCCAATAATGTCATCTGTTAAGGTGCTGCTGTCAACTTGGCACCCGCCAGATATTAAATGGTGCTGTAGTTATCCTGCTCTATAGGCACTAATCATGTACAACATATATTAAATTCTGAAGGGTTCCACGGGAGTAGATTAAACGATTTATGGCTCTCATGCGCGGTTCGTGAGTGTATAAAAATTCATGCTCACAGAGAGATCGTCGAAACCTCGAGATTGGACCCATTGTGCGAATCCATGTGTTACTGCCCTTTTGTGCTCTGGAGTTCCAACTCCACATTCCACATTACCACCACACATCAGCACGCTATGAAAAATTTAGGGCCACATGCGAACAACTAACCTCTGCAACGGCGACTGTTCCTCAGAGTGATCTGGTACGACATCTATCGCCTCCCTGCCATTAATATTGGCTTTATGTTTAATTGCTTCCCACAGATCCTTATCATAAGGCCACATCGATGCGATATACGTCAGTGCGCGGCGTAACCAACGACTTAATATGAGCATTAACCGTGGCGGTCTAACCTTGTGCTCTTGCAGAGAATCGCAACTCGAAGTTGTTTTTCCACTCCTAAGTACGAATTCCCAGATACTAAACAACCAATGTTCATATTCACGACCCACGCGGTTTGCTAATGCACATTGCATTTCATAGGACAAGGTAACACCAGGAAATTTTGCCGCAGATAGCGGCATGAAGACGCATTCATAACCATCCACTAGTGGAATGTGGATAAGGTTCATAGGGTCGCGTCCCATGCTACGCGCTATTAGGCTTGCAAGCCAATGTTTAGGTGCGTGAAGCTTTGTGTAAGGCACCTGTCCAATGTCAACTTCCATGAGTTCCCTGAACTCGCCACGACGCACTGCACCATACACATCAGTGACTTCTTCATTGAGTATCGTAAGATACACAGAAGCACCGTCTGGTATGAGCACTAGAGTGTTGTTGACCCTTTTTGCAGGCTGCTTCGTAACAGAATCCGAATCCAAGTAATATCCATTAGGAGACTTAGGTACGACCGACATGACTCCTGTTTCGGACACATTCCATTGCCAAGCCATACATTGGTTGTATGACTGTGTTGTTGATGGAGATCCATACAGTTGAGCTACATTCGAGCATGAATCTGGTATATTGAAATCGTCTGCGCCATTATCCTGCGATAGATGTGAATATATTTTGTATATATCCCAGAAATTCGACTCTGTAGTCATGTCCTCGGTGACAGGAGCCTGACGATTTCGCATAGTGGCGTGTACTTGATATTTGCGTGGTCTATGTGGCTCGTCGTAGAAAAGAACCAGATACTTGGGGAACCATCGTTTGGCCTTCATACTGTGCATCCAGGTCCAGCCTGCCTTGACTACATTGACTGTACGTAAGCGTATATCGCGTCCAGACGCACATACTGTGAAAATTTGGGAATCCAAAGGATCAAAATGGCTACCAGGTTCCTGTGCCGCAGCGTAGGGATATTTATCGGAGTGTCCTGCATTTATATCAGAATCTCGTTTCACTAAATTTAAGGGAAGTTCAAATGAACCTATTGCAGCATCATTAAAGCTCCGACTTGTCCTGACTGACGGTGTCCATGCAGCTCGGTCATTGCGTGTCGCAGCAGTTTCATGCATACCGCCAGCACCAAATTGTGGAGAGTATGAACTGTAATCTCCAGGAATCCTAAAACGTGTAACTCCAAGTGACAAGTAGTCTTGTGGGATCGTCTTTTCATAGCGATGGCCTGTCTCGAAAGGATCTCGTGCCGAATCGCTGGATAAATCAGATACCCACCGGTTCAACGCATTTAACCCTTTCGGGGGTTGAGAAGAGCCGCATGGCACAACATCCGTCTGACTACGTCCACTTGGTTGTACCCAATCATGATATCCCGAATGTGGGCATGACAGTTTGGTTGTTCGATCCCCCAGCTTCAGCCCGTCCACATCACTGGAACTGCGACTGTGTCCATCTACATTGCCTCCTTGCGAGATACTGGTCTCTTTGGATGAAGCACTGGTGCCATATATCTCGCGTACAGACGTTGTTGCATTGAACCCTGAAGTGCGTTCCACGTTATTTGGGATAGCTTTGTATGCACCTGATGAGGACAGAGCACCGGTTTCACTGCAAAGAATCGTTGAATCTGCAGGCATAAGCCGCGCCCCGCTATCGGTCACCGAACCCCTCTTGTCAAAAATATTGATTCGAGATTTCACTGATACATTACACTCTTTTATCTCTCGATCGAATTCAGGTTCATAATCGTTAATTGGTGATGTAGAATGTACCTCCGCAGCGCCAACGGGCGAAAACCGTTGGCGCATTTGTTCATTCAAGGAATTGATAAAATTCCGAACAGCATTGGGCTTACGACACAACAAGGCATCCACTTCCGTGGCGCTCATTACTGGTCCTATTTGCACATTTTTGTATTTTGCTTTGTTTTCCCTGAAGACATTACCATCTACAGGTGTTGAAACCTCATTGCTCCAGCACTCATATCGATCATTAAAAATCTGCCGCGTTTCACTCGGGCGGGGTGTGCCCTGCCCTTGCGGTGGATTTGCAGAGTCCTTGACCCGCTCCATGTACCAATTTTCTGGTAACGGTTAGATACGCTCTTCTTATGCATACCTTTTCAAGGGTGCTACCATAATTCGGCAAATATCGGCAGTTTACGCCGCCACCGGGGTGCACATGGACACACTCCAGTGACTGTGCAATCTCCGTCCCTGGGCACCTGTTCGACATTTTTTTCACTGTTTAACGGTGGATAAAATTGAAATAATGCTGTAATATCCTGGATTGATCCGTCTAAATCTTGCTTGGTCGGATCGCTACCCATGAAGAGTCTCCTCGAGTAAGACACTGTCTACTCGTTTAAATGATCAATGTGTTTTAGAAATCTAGTCCGACCTTGCGTGCTCCAATGGCAAGTGCTTCTACCCTTCCATGATACCTATAATTGTCCCTATAATTAACTTCAAGAAATCTACCTATACCCAGCACGGTCGAATACAACCCTTGATATACCCTTAGCACGTGCTTGTCTTCCAATAAGTTTCCCCAATTCATATGCAGCGCGTACATTTCCACCTTTGTTTCGTGTAATCATAGCTGTTTAATGGTTTTATTCTACGTTGCTGCACTTACGATGATTCGTCGGTTCTTGTCCGAATATATGCGCCAAGTATTTGAAATTCGTAGAGATGAAACAATGCACTGTATGAGATACATCATCTACGATAGTTGCGGACATTTGTCTATTCGATCGTTTTAACGTTAGTCGCAGACGTCTTTCTCCTCTAACAACATCCTCCATTAGCTTCGGGCACGGTGGGCCTAATGGCTCGACTTCAACTTCTTCATCAAACATATCGGCCCAGAATGGCTGCAAAACATTATTTCTAATCCAAATGTATAGTTATACTATTCGTTTTCCAAACTTCACTAGGTAACATGAAACCAATCGTCACAATACCAGTTCCAGAGTGAATATAGTTCATGATAGTACATACCCGTTTGTGCAGCTTACGAGGTTTCGGGTGGCCCATCAATTCGCTGCGCTTGGTAAGTTGGAGCTCCCATTTTCGTGGAGAATAGGGTAGATGGGCATCAATATTCTTTGCGATAAAGGCACGACCTGAAGTAGCAAAGGCCCAGCAGCCTACCACTAAGTTTAGCGCGACTGATATCACTGTAAATGATAGTAACATTCGTGCTGAAACGCCGAAGAGTTGATTATATCCAGTCTTGCGGACGACATCCTAGTAGACGCTATAGCTACACATCATTAGTTGAGTTATTGTGTTATTTACAATGTTTTTATAAATGATTAATTAAGGTTGGTTCGTAAAAATCGTCAATGTGCATGGTCGTAGTGTGCCTTCCACAGTGTTATGCTACAGGGAGTAGTTAATCCCTATATTAGTGTAGCAAACTATGACGAACTAAAATGAACTTCGTGCGTACCCAAAATTATAGCGGAGACAAAGGGTCAGGTGGCCTCATTGACTTTACTAAAAGCTCCCTACTCAGTACAGATCGCGAAGCACCGGCACCAAAAGAACGCCGTCGTCCGCAAGGAGATAAGAATGAAATCCAGTTTAAACCAAAGGAACTTTTTAGTGACAGAGACCTTGAATACATAGCAGAGAATCTTACATCAGCAACTGCTATTGCATCAGCTTTCAGCGAGGAGGACATCGCACATTTAGACAATCTCGAGCGCAAACGTAATCAGCTTTGGAAGAAGCGTAAACTTGAGGAGGAAGAGTTTGCAAGGGAAGCGGAGCGTGTGCGAAAATCGTTGTCAGAAAAGGAGGACCTCGAACTTTTAACTAATAGCGACGAGACTGACCAGTCTACCGTTTCGGAGGTTAAGACATCACTCTTCACAGTAACACGGAAGGATACCGTACGGCCAAAAGTGAACGTGTCTCCTTCAATACGAATTTTGCAACGGAACTCCCAGATAAATAAGAATACTGGGGACCAAAGCGACAAAAAGGAATTACCGAACTATTCGGAATCGTTATCACTAGGCCAGCTTATGGGTGAAAAAGTAACTAACGAGCACGAAATTGAGACATCTAAAACATCTGCAGAAAGTGAATCTGCTTTGGTGGCAGGTTATTCTTCTGACGAAGACTAGTGTGACGTTCATTAGGGCTCTGGAAACACTGGTGCGATAATCGCAGTGACCTTTCACAAGATGCTTATTTTAAGCTTTAGCCTTATGGCTACCAAGCGATATGTACCAATGATACCTTACGGTGTTAAAATAAGCCGCAGCTACCGAGAAAGCAAGTTGCAACAGCGCCTCGCCATGGAAGCCGCCAGGAAACAACGTGAGATGAAGGGTATGCTGTTGGACACGCGTAAAACTTTATTAATGAGTTTACGTGATAATAGCGATATTAACTGGTACAGGGCTACACAAATTCTGAAACATCTTGAGGTACACCGCAGGCACCCCAGCGGTGCCACGCAGGCGTGGCGTGAACGGATCACCAAAATCGCAGACAAAGTCAAATTAGGAAGGTGACCGTATAGCGTCGAAAGGTAGATGCTTAGGTGTGGAACTCATAACATATACAATTAGTACTGTAATATTTAATTTTTAGTATAATGTCTAGCGTTTTTGTTATGCTATCCATCGCAAACGCATAAGGGTTAATGTGATGAACAGTGCCCGCTTATCCCAGACATGAACACGTTAGCTCAGTATATTGCTAAATTCTAAAACGTAGTTATTATATTTCAAAATTACAGTTCTTGCGAGTTGAACCACTGCAACAGCTCTGATGCCCCCGAGGAGCTGGCAGTATCAGCTGTTCCAAAGGGCCCGTCCGGCTCGGAGTATACAGTCTCTTCTGCGTCCGACAGTGTATGAAACTGGCCCGTATAACCAATATCAGATGACGACACAAGACGCGACTGTCCGTGACGGCAGTTTGGGCACGATTCCCCTCGCATATTCATCCACTCATTGGCACAATTAAGATGGAAAACATGACCGCATGGGAATTTGAAACGTCCTGACGGTTCAGTTTCTCCAATATTTTCATAACAAACTGTGCATATGTCGAACCCAAGCGACATAGGTGTACCCGTGGCAATTGAAGTGTCACTTATATTGTAGTGTTGGACTGTATCATCCACCCCTGATGGTGTCCTTTGTACAGACGGGGCATGATATGTGTCTACACGGTCCAACGGCAGTAAGTGACGAGAGCCATCTTCCGAGCTATAAAGTCTTTCTAAAGACTCTGAATCAAGTTGCGATGCCATCTTGAACAGCAACAATTCGCGCTGACTTGGCGCACAGCGCCTAAGACATCTAAGTTGGTCCGGTGATAGGAGATCGGTTAGCCGGAGCTCCACAGGGTCCTTTACATATATAACAGAAGTCGGTCCTACACGCCCACAACTGCCTCGAGTCCAAAATGGATTCAAGAGGTCGAAATCAAAAAGTTGTGGAGTGTCGTCACGATGTTCGAAAGCTACAATACGGAATTGTACACCTCCAAACCTGAATACGTCATTTACATGGTACGTACGCGATCGACGTCCTCTGAAGTACGGTTCTACACAGTCCTTTATTAGGTTGTACTCATATGTAGTAGGTAGCGTATCACGTAGTGGAGCCACGGTTACCGATAGACACTCTCCCACCGTATCGACACCCACGTAAATCTCCTGAACGGTATGATTTTATCTAGACAACTATTATACTTACAGTTGATGGTGTTATTATTCCTGGTCGACTAGCCGGTCGTGTCGCAGTGACGAACATTTTGAGGTCACGTATTGTGAGATTTTGGCCCGAGTAATATACTCTGAAGTCCGACGATAGTGTTTCTGCCAGCACATTGTTAAACATTGCCTTGAAAAGTGCCTCCACAGCTGCTTTCGTATCCATATTGTTTACTTTAGAGTGTGAATATGCTGTAGCATGTGATTGATCCTGGTGATTGATGAATATGGTCTTGCGTACTCGGCCTGAGGAGGGTGGAGAGTCCGAATTGTTATCGATATAATAGGGCCCAGACATACGTTCTTGACGTAACAGTATCGATTTTGTCAGTGTGTCTGAGGCCGCATGACCAAGAAGGTGGTCTATGCACCTTTTAACGTGTGACTCCGTCTCCACGTCCCACAAAAGATCGACCCTTTGTAATTCTGGTAAACGTTCATCGACATAAAACAGCGTATTTTCACTTATGTATCCACCCTGAGGTTCACACTTTACGATAATGTATTCTGTTCCGCAACCATTTCGTTCATGCGTTTCCATCCGACTTAACGATCGTGTGAAGTTAAATGCCGCACTACATACGCTAAAAAATGTAGATGACGGTTCAGGTGGTTCTGGTTCCAAAGACTGTGCTTGATTTTCACCCGAATGTCTATGAACCGTCCGGGGTGTTCCCTGTTGCGATGTATAGCTCTCTAAATTTGGAGGTCGTTTTCCTTTATCCTGCGATTTGATCTCATTTTTCAGACCCGATGGGTCCCTATTCCCCGATCTAGTGGCTTCATTATGGCCAAATGATCCGGAGGATGAATCTGTGTTGTTTAAAAATATGCTTGCTGAGTTGTCTATTGTCGGCACTGGGACCGAAACTGCTTCTCCATGATCAGTTTTCTTCTCGTAGTCAGGTTTAACGCAGACTGTATATCCTTCAGTTAGGTATCTACGGTTACGTCTGCATTTGTTGAGTGCTTTGGCGAGCGAGGGCCAGTCTCCAGCCCCTCGAGTCGCCAGGTGGATTCTCTTCAGCAGTGTGTCATCTGATGTTGCTTCTACTGTGGCTCCAAACAAAAAGCCAGAGTGTAAGGAGTCCATAATGTAGTAAACTGGTCGATATCATGTCAATGAGGTCATAAAGTTCACTAGTGTCATAGTGTCAGACCGCCCACGTAATGTGTAAGCCGTGGCCAAATTTTATATTGGCATGTCATGGCATCACGAATAATATCTATTTCATTATATTGTTCACAAATTGCTCATAATATATCATCATGAGGCTCCTTCAGGTGCCTACTTGCCTCGCCATTATCGCAGCACCTTACTGGATTCTGTGCAAGCAGACTTCTCTGTAAGTATCTGCGTGGTTAATTGTAAGTTAATGGTGTTTCAGATCGGAAAATGTGAACACTGGGTGGATAATGATGCGATCATTAGGTTACTACATTATGGCCAACGCTGTGAAGGTACGTCGAATACACCTTTGAGGTTCTCCGTCTACGACAATCGTGATATGTGGTACATTCCCTTTATGTTTAGCTAATATATTGTAATTTGGGGTTTTGTGATTAACGAAGTGTCCTTTTTGGAATGTACTTTGCGCTTATTACTATGGTCACAAAAAAAGTTTTTTGCACTGTTTTCACTTCCATCATATATCACTGATGATTTGCAGGTGTTTGTGTTGGCTACAGGTATCCCGGAACTGATCGGTAAATACATTTTAAATGAGGTACTAATATTTTGATGATTAACTGTATTTGGTGTCTAGGACATTGTCATGGCTGTGCTCAACTCTGCCCTGTATCTTGGATTACTGCTGCCTCTTAAGGGAAAGTAGGTCACAATATTTTATGTTTAAAGGTTGCAAACATTCTGCAGAGTAAATGCCAACACAAATGTCAGCGATATTATTTTGGCTATCGGACTAGGGTGGTCTCTTCCTAAGAATATTGGTCAGAGTCTGTTTCATGTTGTATCTACCCTGCGGCATCCTGACGATACAAACTTGTTGTTGTATGAAGCGCTACAAACAAACTTGCATGTCCTGGTATCAATCGAGTATACTGCATTACTGTTCCTCTGGCGGCGCGAGAGATCAATAAAGATGGTATATGCTGTGATGATCTTCATATTAATGTTAATCTGTCCGGTCATGTCAACGTAAGTTACTGTTTCGTTATATATTGACTACGTTTTCAGATTCAACACGATTGTCGAAAATGACGTCGAATTGAAGAACTTTGCCTTCTTGGCGATACAAGCTATTTTAGCTTTATTTTGGGGAATGTTGGTGAAGAGAGCCTACCGCAGTCTAGAAAAATCACATAAAAGCTCTTGATTGTAAATTTGATATCACCACACACTGCGAAGTCTCGATCTTGGTCCCGGCGTTGTGCCGTTGATCATAAAAAACGACATTGTGAATATTTTTGCGCTTATAACTGTTAAATCCTATTAAATCAAAATGTCAACTGGCGCCAAGAAGGCAATGGTCGTCGTGGTAGGTGCTTTTTTACTTGCAACCCATCGCGTGTAGGCCAACGGCTCTGAGGATATCGAATTCGTTACTGTAGTAGACGTATTACGTCGTGCAGGTGTGACTGTAACGGTGGCCTCAGTACACAGCCATAAGGATGTGGTAATGGCCCATGGAACAAAGATTGTCTCTGATGTTGTGATAGATGAAGTTTCTAGCGAGACTTTCGACTTGATCGTTGTTCCTGGCGGTCTTCCAGGATCCAACTCATGTGCAGAATGCGCTACCTTAATCAAAATGCTAAACGAGCAGAAGGATGGTAACCGTTACTATGCTGCCATCTGTGCAGCTCCTGCCGTGGTATTTGCTGCTGGTGGTATCCTTGATAAGGAAACTGCTGCTGTGGCTTACCCAGGTTTTGAAGATGCCCTTCCTAAGGTTGGATCAGGCCGCGTTTGTGTTTCTGGGAAGTGTGGTAAGTAATTGTGATCTGCTGCAGTGACAATATAGACATTGTAAAAATCTGTTGTTCTATAGATTTATGTACAAAAAATGTAGTTTTGTTATTTGTTACGATGATACTGACATTAATTATATGTCTATGCAGTCACATCCAAGGCACCCGGTACTGCCATGGAATTTGCTTTGAAATTGGTTGAGTTGCTCTGTGGTCCACAGAAGAAGGAGCAGCTCAAGGTAGGGATGTTAGTCCATGCTGAAATCTGAATTAAACTTTTATTCCTAACGCCCCTGGAAGCCTCTTCAACAAAAACAGAAACCGCCTGATTAAATATGACGTACACGCACTTGTTGCAGTAAAAAAAACATTTTATGAAAAAACACTCATAATGATGCATGCTGAATAGCGTAACATGGGTGGCTATACTGTGTCTGCTGTACGACTTACCCGTATATGCTCAGAAGTACCGTAATGAGTGGTACGTGGGCATAATGGGCATGCATTCGTGATATTTCCGCGCTTGTCGTCAGTACATCCTTTAAGCTGATGTAGAATTTGCGGTTGAATTCTTCATCCAGATGTAATATCGCCAATTCATCGGTCGAGCGTTTTTGTTTGAAGAACGATGTGAACCTTTTCAGAGATCGCACACTTCCGCATACAGCCGACATAAAGGCGCTTGAGCGATGTTGGTTCTTATTCTGAATCGTTATGACTAGAGGGCGTCGAAGATTTGCCGAATCCGTACGGCCAAAAGGCACGATATACCTACCCTGTAGACTAATCGTTGAAGCAGTCGTAATTCGAAGGTCAACCAACGTAGAATAATATCTCCATATTTATTTTTAGCCTCAGGGGTGGAGGACGTTAGCCCCTTTGTTAAAGTCTTCTTTACACATTTGTTTCTGCCTTTATCAGAGATACGGGATTTCTTTTTACCCATTTGTTAATATATTTGTGTTTATTATAATCGTTATAATCGCCTAATATTGACTCCTAAAGGCACCATCTCGAGCGAGCGCCTCACTCCTCAACTTCAGTGATTTCCTCTGATTCATCATCTTCAATAGCGTGTCGCGGCGGCGATTGCCGTACCGGTACCGGGGCATCTCCAGCAGTTTGTTGAGCTTCTTTGCGTTGCGCGATCCTTTGAAGCTCTTCCCTAGCTCGCATCGATGGTGATTTTGAGATATGTGGACTGGATGTCGAATGATGTGTTGTTCCAGTTCTTTTAACAGTCTTTGTTTTAGCATGTTCCTTTTCATGAGCTTCTTTAGGTTTTTTAAAGAATATATCAGGTTTTTCTATCATTGTCCCTAGTACCATCTCGCTCGATTGGATTGCCCTGAAACAATAGGGATCTGGCGTCAATGGTCGGAAGAATGAGCCGGCCATGATTTTGGATACTGCTCTGACAGTCATATTATTTTTAGATGCTCTCCGAGCGATAGCCCTTAGTGTTTTAATGACACATAGGATACAGTCCTTTTGAACGGGCTGGAATTCACCAGTGACCTTTGCAATCATCTGTATGATTTCTTCATTAGAATTTCCTTGTAGAATAGCATTTTTCAATGTAATATAGCCCTTGGGTCCTATAAATCCACCCACATGAGTGTCAATGATAAGTTTGAATAGCGACACAGCCGCTTCACCAGATTGGATTGTACAGCCTTCACCGAACTCTTCGAGATCACTTACTGCAGTATACAAAACATCAGCGGTGCATTGTAGGTTGAGTAAGTTTGGTGTATCGATAACATCATGTTCCTCCAACCTTGAGAGTACGTGGGAGACCACCGGCGGTATCAATGGGAATCCTTTGAAGGGCCTGCCAACCCGTTGTGCCAGTACCCACATTTCAGTACCGAATACTGACAGTGGTGTACTGATCCCAAGTGCGACTTCTTCTGCGCGTTGTACTGCATATGGGAAATTCCTCAACATGTTCTTGGTGTCCAGCTTGAGTCGTTTCAACAAATCTCCTAGTTTGTCAACGAACTCAAGTTTTTCCCACACCCTTGCTTTAGCAAAAGGTGTCATACATGCCAACATAGTCTTGGTCGTGTATGCTGAGTGTACAAGGTACACCTTGACTAGATTTTTTTTTGAAGCCTTTGGTAGCATGTCATACCCTGATGAAATATGTAATCATTTAGACGTAAATCGCTAGATTTCACAGAATCAGATACAGTCGGCAACCGTCCCAACACTGTGATATCCACAAACGGGGCTGTTTGAGGGTTCACATGTATCGCAGAATGGCTAATTATCGACAATAGAAGGTAACTAGAGTGGTCATTGCGTATTGTTGCTGCGATAGGGTACACTATCCAAAGTTTCATGTAGATCTGTTTCCAGGGTGTTCGAGCGTCAATGCAATACACCCTGATGATTGGGTACATGGAGGACTTACATTGATTAACGAAGTTGTAGGAGTTGTAATCTGACCATGTTGTACATGTTTGACATACTAGAAGGGCGTATTTCGAGTTGCAGAACTTGTTCATTTTTTTTACCATCAGGCGGAGCGCATCCTCGTGATTATTGTAAAGTCGCATAGATACCGAGGGTACTATCAAGAGTATAGCTTCTCCGTCTGGTCCTTGTCCGAGAGATGTGACCAAATTGGGTTCATCGAATCTGTATATATTCATGAATAGCCATTATCTACTGTATCGACACACAGTTGCTATATGTTACATAATTCGCCCAAATAATGGTTAATCAGCACACATCAAGATTAAAGCAGATAACATTTCGATAAATATTGTCAAACCGTACCCATTTATCTTGAAATCCTCCGATAACATCTGTGCGTAGGTCCTGCCATATTGTTCGACCGCCTCGGCGTCCGAATCATATGGAGATGAGTAAATCGTGAGCCCAGAGACTAGTGCCATGTTTAGGAAGTCTATGGGCGGCGTCCAGCGGTTGTAGAGGTAATGATTACGGGTGCGAGGCACCACTTTGACCGCACGCGCAATAGTGCCAATGTACCGGCACATATATCAATATTGGTTCATGTGCACACGTAATTATGTGAACTATTTTGATCAAACTGTGACGTGAAGATCGCTGTCCATGCTGTGATGTGTATCATGGAATCTGTCTATATTCTTGTCATATGTCTGTGATTGGTCACTAAAGTTGTCCTAGCTAACTCAACGTGTTATTCTGTTAGTTTTCTAGCGATACAATTAGGTTGTAAGATGCGATAGTGTTTGTTAAAGTGTCTGTTTTACATCAGTACTGAGTACTATTAAGACGTCCTTGGCGGTTTGAAGCGCCCTTCCATAATCCAGAAAGCTGGTGTATTAGGTTTATCTGGTAGAGTGGATATAAATCCAGTTGATACTTCGTTTGACATATACTGTCTTGATACTAGTTGTACCCGTTTTGCTGCATCCTCTACTTTGTCAACCCGTTTGTAATATGCCTCCAAAGTTTCATCCATTGAGTTTTGTTCTTCATACTTTTTGATAGCTTGTTTATCTCCTCGTTTAAGTCCATCGGCCAGTTGTTGGCGTGTTATATTATTTTGAACACAATTTTCTATTTCACGCTTAACAACCTTGTATGCGGCCACGGCATCCTTATGTATCTTTTTGGAGTTTTCATAACGGTTTGCCAGATCGTCTATTATTTCCTTTCCGACGGTTTCCATTGCACGCATTTTAGCTGACAATTCTTCTATTTCATTGCTCAACCTATTATGTCTTGCGATAATATCTTGGCGTTTTTCTGCCAGTGAAGTATCTGGGTCGTCTATTGTGAACTTGACAGGTAGTGTATGCACAATCTGCAGGCGTGTTGAGTGGTACGACTTGGCTGCTTCGCGTTGTTCCTTAACTAATGATGCCGACAGTCGTTCGTAAGTGTGACAGAGTCCACGTTGTCTGTCGAATAGTGACTTATAACGTGATAGAGCGATTGAGAATGCATCCTATATATTAATTGATGCGCTTTTGTTTATGCTTACCGAATTTTGGTTTTTTTTCGTTTTTGGTGCGGATAATGATAGTACGAAAGGTGAGTTCACTATATCTTTTCCCATCAATGTAACTACGAAATATATGTTAGATGGTAGATTAACATACCCCTTAGCTGGCTGAATGAGCCTGTGCGTTCTGTTTGGCATACAACTCTATGCTGCGAGCACTGTAATTGGTAGGTTTTGTTTGCATACCTGTCCATTATTGCAATCAAAAAGTGATACAAGTTTTCCTGCTCCAAGGCATGTAACTACGAATGGTGTTCGTCCTCTGCGAATGTGTTAAAAATAAGATAAGTTCGGTTCTAAATATATATGGTTTATTATAACCATTCATGCAAGTTGTAGATCGCATTATTATTGTATATTCTACTTACTTCATTAGTTTGTTTCCAAATCCATCTGTCGCCTCGATAATGAATACCTATATTGTTTTCAGTGGTATTTAAAAGGATAATTACCCTTTGTTCCGATTCGTATCCATTTTGTGGTAGGCCTGTTATGATTTAATAATGTTTGTAATTTGACCAACATATAAGGGTAGTAGTGTATGGAGATGCTTCTGCAGGTTGTATTTCAATGTTGAATGGTGATCCTGATGAGTTTATATGTTTCCTTATTGAACCTACCAGCTATGTGTTCTCCTGACGGCAGTAGTACGGATAATTTCCATGATCCGGCTATTTCTACCATATATCTCAGCTGCAAGTGTTGTTTATCTGTATACACACAAACTCACTTTGTATCTATAGGTATCTATTGGTGTTATATGTACCTCTCTGTCCAAAGCTAGTTCCCTTGGGTTGAAGGCATCCGCTTTGTATGATAGAAATGCCGTTACTGTAACGTCTTTTCCTGATATATGGCATCCATTTGTATCATGTAGCTCGAGTATCCCCTGTTATAGGTGTATTAGTGGTGTATACGTTAAATATACCTCAAGACATCTCCCTACGAGTCCGCCACGAAAGGCCGATCCTCTGTGTCGGCAAAGTGCAGCGCACACATCTCGTTTATGATTATTGTTTCTATATTGTAATGTTGTATTATTTAATCCTCGTTCGATATCAGTCTCCATTATTTGATATTTATTGTGGAATTTAGCTCAACAGTTGTGACGGGTGTACGGGCTCGGGGTGCAGGACATTTACATGTCCATTTTTTGCATTATTTATAATAATACGTTATTACCTATTTTGTTATATATGTTAATGTTGACTTGAGGTGTGTTAACGTGTTATCGCGTGTCTCGATGTGTCCATGACACACAGGTAGGCTTGTGTTGTGATTTTGGAGTAATTTTTGTATTTAATATTTTTTTCAAAATGTACAATTTTGTATTAACGACAAATATATCGAAAGGTGGTCCTGCAAGGTAAGACATCTAGCTTCGACCATGATATAGTCGGTCAATATGAAGCGACAATGTGCTTAAAGCATCACCTGATTGCGTAAGGTTAGAGAATACAATTAAAATTAAGTGTAAGGCATGATGTGACAGACATATTTACCATTGACACCATGTTGGTATAAAGGTGGTTATTGTCACACCCATCATCAGTGTAAATAATGGAAGACCGAATAATATATTTATAAAATGTAAGATAGAATGTGCTGACTTATTGCGTGACGTATATTTTGTTTAATGTATCGCACACACACATGACCTATGACGCGCAGTTGTCTTCGTGTGCCTGACAGAAGTGTGAGACTGACTGGCAGTGGCAATAGCGCACACACCACGTCGTGGCCTAAACGCGTAATAGCTATATTAAGAATATTGTACATTAGAAGAAGAAATAGGCCCTCAATAGGGGTGTTAATGCAAACTGCGTTATACGAGTTTTGCAACTATTCGCGTGAGTGAGATTCGGCATTGAAACCATAATAATTTATCAATAAGTTCGCAATTGGATCTATTTTGCCACTTTAAGAACGACTTGGATCTATGTATGATTATTATAAGCCCTAGACGCATGAGTGTTCATTGTACTAGAGTCTCAAGATTCTATGCTTCGTGCACGTAAAAGGAGTGTCACGAGCAGTTTATATTAATTTTTGGTTATGTAATTTTTTTCGCCTGCGGCCAGGCTTCGAGAAACAAGGAGTTTAGTACAAGTTTAAGTTACATGTGCACCCCGTCTTAACAAGGACGATTCCGACAAGGTCCCAGTTGAAAATAACTAAGGCCTTCGTCGACCTACGGTTAATTATAGATATATCAAAGGCAACAGTGAGAGGAATATAAGGCTATAAGTACGACGACAGGATGCTTGCCTTCAACACTTTGGCTCATACACAACCTGCTCTATCGGAGCAATTGGAAGTTAGTCAGGCTCAACAATGTCTTGCATTAGGTCATGAGCTTGCAGGTATACTAAAATCAACAACAAAAGATGACGAGAATGCATGCCGTCCTGCATATTTTTTTATGTATCAAATGAAACTTCTGAATACCCTTGGTCTTATAAAGTCAGTATGTAAGCCTTGGGGTACAATGCATAATGGAAATGATTTTGCATATCATTTTAACAAGATTGCGACTACAGATAGTGTGACATTATTGCGTTGTTATGAATCTGTATTTCGTACGATTTATGACAGGTTCGATGCGGAAGCAGCTGACCCCGCAAATGCTGCAGCATCACTGTGGGCCAAAGTGGAGGATATTGATTACTTTAAAGTTATTTACCGACTAGAATGTATGCGTAATAACAAGCCTTTTGATAACAGTAGTTATCACGATTTACTGGAGAAGACGGTAACTAACGTCGATTTACGTTTCGACGTTGATCATTCCCACGCTATGAGCAACTTTGATGAGATTCCATCTTATGAAAAGTACAACTGGGAATCTAACACTCGCCAGTATTCCTTAAGTGTGATAGATGATGAAACATCGGTATCATCCGATGTTGAGATGGACATAGCAGCAGCCTTCCAAGTAGCGGATCAATTTGAGGAGGATGCTGATACGTCTGAGTTCATCGACACGAATACCAATGCTATAGAGCTTGCAGAGTCATCGAACAAGTCTCATGTTGGCGCCTCTACATTTGTTGAGGAGACTCATCGTGTATACAATACGCGTAGCCAGAATGAGTTTGATAAACTGGTTATGCAAGTAATTAATAAGCAGCCTCGTACCTCGTCCCCTGTTTTACGTAGCTCTCGTCAACCTAAATCACAACGTCCTTCAGCGGCGGAAGCACGTGTCACTACCCGTCAGAAGTCGGGAACTAGAAGAACGTCTTCCATTACTAAGGATGACAGTGATTACGTGAGCGACTATAGTTCCAGATCAAGTTCCGCTCGTCGTACTAAAGATGACGATAAGAGACGTAAGGGTAAACGTGTTGAATCTCCACGTACAGGTGTTACGGTAAACAAGGCGCCTACATCGGCAAGATCCGACATGTCGCAAGACGATGGTCATACTACTCGCAACATTCATGTGGTATCTGCGAGTGTGTCTTATGACAAGCGGCAGCAACGATTTATGGCGCAGTGGAAGACCCGTGAGGGTACTAAGCACTCTAAATCTTTTTACGCGAAGCGTTATGCAACACCGTTGCTGGCGCGTAAACACGCGGAACTTTACAAAATGTATATTCTACAACATAAAGGAAAAGCAATACAGGAAATGGAAGAACCAACCTATGAACAACTAGCTGCCCAAAACTTCCAGGCACTAGACGAGATCAACATAACAGATGTTGGTTTCATTGAAGAAATAGCGTGACCCCTGTAGGGCGCGGTTAATAACTGTAACAAATAATTATAGTATGTCGCACGTATCTCGTGTGACTTTTGCGCTAGTTACATCAGTTGCTGCCGTATGTGTAACCTACTTCCTATGGTATCGAGGCTATGAAGAGCCATCAGAGCCCATAGACGATGCTACTGATGAATCTCTAACTGAACAACACATTCCGTCTAAAAGGCCGGATGTGGTTCTGCCAATTAATAGCGAAAGGGTAAAATTAACTACTGTCTACTATGCAAGTCAAACCGGTACTGCCGAGCGCCTTGCTAAAGCGCTTGCGTTGCTCCTTGTTGAATGGCATGATTCCTTTGGAAAAACTGCTGTGAATTTAGAGGTAATATGTAGCGCAAATTCAATCAATAGCTGTTTTAGGACTGGGATGAAGAGAAGTTCTCGCAACCTGGAACTATTGCCATATTTACGGTGTCTACACATGACGATGGTCTATTTCCAGATAACGCTGAGAAGTTCGTCAAATGGGTATGTACAAGATTCTGTCTATTGTGTTATATGTCTGTAACAGCTACATTTATTAGAGCAAGATGGAAGGACTCTGGATGGGCTGTCATTTAGTATCTTCGGATTGGGAAGTTCCGAGTATCCTTTATTCAATAAAGCGGCTAAAACCCTGCAACATACTTTGAAGAAGCTGGGTGCGAGGGAACTGCATGGTCTGGCTCTTGGTGATGATTCGTGTGATTTGAAAAGCGACTTCGAGCAATGGACAAGGGGTCTCTACGATGCTCTTGCCAATGAGCTTCATATAATACCGATGCCATTCAAATCTCAGCCCAAAGTTTATAATCGTAAGGTGACCGATACCTGGCGTGATATAGGTGGGTTTGTAAATACGGCAATATCAATACTGCTGCAGCGCCATTGGAATTAAGATACGTTAGAGCCAGTGACGTGGTCCGAAGCAATTCTCCGATGACTTCTAACGTAGTTTGCAAGCAACAATGGCAGTGTAGCGATTACGTGGTCTTGGGTAATTTCAATATGACTCCTAATGCTGACAGCGTAACACATTGTGTGAGCGTCAGATCGGATTCCACCTTTACCGCTGCCGAGACTGCAAATATTCTCTACGAGAATCCAGTTGATATTGTAAAATACTTCATGGGTAAACTTAATCTGAAGAATAATGATTTGGACAGGTGGATAACCTTTGTGCCCAGAGACGGGACAGTGGGCAGTTGTATGACATTTGATCCCCCATTCCCGGTCCCATGTACAATTCGAGATGCGCTTTTTTATTACCTAGATTTGACGGGGTTGCCAGATGACGATGTTCTTTGGGATATGGGTACCTTTTTGCAGACTAATAGTGATTGTCAATTGTACAATAAACTGTTTGAGCGTCAAGGTTTGCTAAAGACCATGAGGGATGAGCTGAACGTTGTTTTCCCTGAATTTGTAGCGATTTTTATGAGAGGAACCGTGTTCAACATTGGCGGTTTCTTCCAAATCGTTCCAAAAAAGATCCCTAAACCTTATACCATCTCGTCGCATCCAAAGGTATGTATTAAACCGCTATTAACCATATTTCATATAGATGAAAAGGATCGATTTGACTGTGAAACTTGTTACGTTTCGTAACCACACCTTTAAACGTCTAGCGTCTAGGCTCAAGAGGGAATTAGGCTATAAAATAAAGCCTGCCAATGAGCACTTTTTCTCTAGACCTCGCATGTACAAAGGGGCATGTACTCATTGTCTATGTTCTCTGGGTAAAGGCGACGTTGTAAAGTTGTATAGGAGGCCGTCAGCTTTTAGTCATATCGAGGGATTGCGTGAGAAGCCGCTTGTCATGGTGTCCAACGGTTCCGGCATCGCGCCATTACGAGCGCTATGGCAAGATGAGGATATCGTCATGGAGCGTTTGTTATTCCTAGGTTTTCGGAACGATGAGCACATGTTGTACAAGGGCGAGATTGAGCATCTGAAGACTCTTCCAAATTACACTGTATACGTTGCGTTTTCGCGAACTGGCGAGCAGTTACACGTGCAACATTTATTACGCAGCCATATAAAGAAGGTTGACCTTGTATTGAAGAAGGGTGGATCGATCTTCGTTTGTGGGTAGGTCGTTTATCTTCAATGTTACAAATCTGTACAGGAGTAAATCAATGGGAGCACAGCTCAAGGCTATAATTCAGCATTTCTTAAATGTCGGTATTGATGACCTAAAGTCTAGGCAGCAGTACGTTGAGGAGTTGTGGTAGATTGGTTCTTTTTTAGAGCTAAGACTCAACCTGTAATGTGGAATGTATTTTTTTCGATGACCGTATTTGGTCGTTCAAATAATTAGTTTACGGTTCATTTGGCGTTTTCCGCCTTTTTATGGTCATTGGTGCGACCACATCTTTCCAAGGACCAATCTTCGAGCATATACGCCGGCGCACATGTACCGTCTGCCCTTTTTAGGTGCGGATTTGCGATTGTGTTATCGGCACTGCCTATAGATGTGTATCCTAGATCATATAGTGGGCAGTAGTCTAAGGCATATAACCTCAGAAAGTTCCATACGTCTCCATAGGTCCAGTTCAATATAGGATGTATACGCTGGAACTCCAGCCCTCCTGCAGAACCTTCTTCGACATCGGATAGCGATACATTGTCGAAATCTGTGTTCCTGCACCCCAATACGAATCCTTTTTTACCTCCTGCTGGAAGTTTTGGGATACCCTGGTCCCAAGTGGCTTCTATAACCCTGTAATATATTGTTCAATATCTCAGTCAGATGGTTTATAAGCATATGCAAAATCCAAACCAAATTAACAGACAGAAAACGGTATTTCCATTGTGCATATGTAAAGCGTCTACTAACCTTAATGAGAAATTCCATTTAATAGCAGTACGTTCCATGAACTCAGTGATATCTGGGAACAATCGTTCTTTGGGGTCCTTAAAAAACACTACATTGAGTGGTCGACCTAGAATGTATATATTTGTATTCTTAATGAAAACATGTCATGAATATATGTCATTGCATTAGTGTCCGTGCTAAGTTTTATTGATGTAATAGACTTTGCCCAGACATTTAGAAATGGATTATATGAGCAATTGGGGCACGGTGCTGGTGTTCTAGATGTATACGTAAGCCTTACCCGTTGCTATTTCAAATATCTTGGGGTTTGACAATGCCGCTAACCTGTGTAGATGCAGTACGGCAACGGAATCTTTTCCTCCATTGAATGACACATATACGTTTTCGTAGCCTAGCTGGCTGCGAGTGTTATGAATTTGAGATTGATGGTTATTCTAACCTGTAAGAACGCCACAGTAATTGTCGAGCCTGTTCTATAAGTGTTAGCATCCTATCTGATTCGTCACTCCGTAATACATAACGATGGATCGGAGCCTTAAGAATACGAGCAAACTCCTCTATGCGATCCCATGTGCTGGCCATTGTGTCTAGTAGAGGCTGTATAATCATTTTATATAGCTCCGTCACACACTACAAGCGCAGTTACCACATCTAGAGTGCGGCGACAACCTCCTGGGTGTTTTATCTTACATTTTTGCGGTAGGGTTTAACGCATTTTAATACGAATGTTAATATTTTTACTAGAAGCGTGCCGACAATCGCAAAAATGGAACCCAGTGGCGGCGATATGGTCATCCTTGATGATGAGCTGAAGAAGCTGCAGGTAGTCTCTTGTTATCCCAAAAGGGTGTTTAGTATTGTTCAGGGAATGACCGAGTGTAAAATGGCAGATGATGGAGAAGATATGGAAGAAAACGATGAAGTGGACCGTCGTTCTGTATTCGTTGGTAACGTAAGTTTTTGTCCATATCGTCCTTCTTTAAAATGTGCATAGGTAGACTACTCTACTAAGCCTCATGACCTGCAAGAATTTTTTAAAGCGTCTGGTCAAATCAATAGGATAACCATTATGGTTGACAAGTGGAGTGGCAAGCCTAAAGGGTGGGTATTTTTTGTATAATTATTTTGGTCTATATATTGTTTCTAAACTATGTTTCAGATACGCTTACATAGAATTCGCTAACGAGGATGCTGTTAACAATGCACTGATACTTAATGACTGTCTTTTCAAGGAGCGTATAATAAAGGTGACAGCATGCTTGAATTGGACTGAATGTTGTACAGGTGACTCCCAAGAGGAAGAATGTTCCAGGATTTAGTAGGAAACGTGCAGGTCGTGGACGGGGCCGTGGATTTCGTTCTGGCAGGTAATTGTGTTTGGTGTGTAATGCAAAGTTATGTTTCAGGGGCGGACGTTACAATTCTCATTACAGAGGTTGTTATCGTGGTGGTTATGGTAAACCATATTAAGACTTATTATAAAATATGTCGAGTCTATGTGATAGTCTTACGGGACAAGCCATAGAAGCAGTGACTATTGGTCCCACAACCTACCATCCCCATTGATTGCGTCCCATGCGCCGCCAATGTCCGCAACTCAGGCGATCTTGACACACATAGTGTAGTAACTACAATTCGTCGTCGGCTAGCATCCGATTAATATTGTTCCGGACGCCATAACCGACGTGCGTTTTGTTTACACACCGGATAGCGGAAAAGTCGCCAGTGAATAGTTTACATCCAGGTGTTTTGGTCGTTTCACACTGTGTATTTATATGTCTTTGGTGGCTTACATTGGTTATTTTGGATTTTGAGTTCTTAAAATGTACTAACATTTGTGTGCGAATAGTCCATAAACGGGGTGAACGGAACGGGTTGAGTTGAGAGACAGCCGAGTCTGTCCGTTGGTAACTCGAGTCAATCGATACTTTGGGATACGTACGATTGATATATACCGTAAATATTTTGCACATCATAGGTCCAGCGTCCAAAGCAGACCGATACCTTGTAAGTGCGGCATTCCCATATTACAGAGCGAAAGGGTTGAATAACGATATACACATTTTGATAGGGATCTTTTGGGGTGTATACATCTGAAATTGTCGTTCTGGGTGATTTATATATTTAACGGCATCTATTATCAAGACCATGAGTGAAGGAGATACATGTCTTCAGGGTCCAGGCCTGGATATTAATGTACCTGTTCCATCTACTGTCGAAGGAGCGGGATACATCAAGAGAAAATGTTCAATCAGTCCTAGGGGTGTTAGTGATGGTATTTCGATTGAGCAGGGTAAAGCTTTATTCATTTTACCTAGACATATAAGGTTGGCCAGAGCTTGCTATGCCGTGGCAACTAATAGCTTCATAGAAGAGCATGTTACTAATAAATCTGATTCTTGTGCGGGTAACAAGAGGGCTCGTAGTTCACAATCTGATTTCTGGTCACGTGTTGATTCTGGTGAGATTAAGATCCAAACTACATTAGATGAGTGGCGTAATTCAGCAAAATCAACGCTTCAGAGGAAGGTGAATACAAATATTCCGAATTTCGCTATCAGTACTACTAATCTCTCAGATTATTCTTACAAGACTACGGCGTTTGGGGATGTTTACTATTCGCCTAGGTTCAATGACAACAAATATACATACAGGTTCGTAATTCTCACAAAGGGTGTGAGGAACGAGGCATATCGCATTCTCAAGAGTTGTGGCAGGCATTTTCTGACGGAGGTGCAAATTATTCACCAATTAGGTATAGATTTATCACCTGGATGGGAGCATTTCATGGTATTCCGCAACAAGTTGGAGGAGCTGATTTTACGCCGTCCTTTAGGAAGCTAGACATTATTTTTCGGCTCCATATATTTTAAGAGCCCTAAAACTATGTGATAATGATTCTGCGTGCGTTAATATGTTCTTTTTATGTAGAAGCTTCCACACACCATAGCACCTCATGCAATATGCAAAGGTCACTCATAATACGTAATTATGGCCAATATTGCACGATGGATTGAATTAATATCTAAACAGAAATATAGCTGCTCCTACACATTCCAATTGGATGGGATAGGGCTCCTGAGACAGCTGCAATTCGAGGAGTTCCTGTACAGGAAGGTCGCTCCGGTAGCGGAACGGTGTCTCTTCTTCATCGTGAACAACCACAGCCGAACAGGTAACAGATATTTGTAATTTATACGTGATCGTTTTGTAATTTGATCGAAATAAACCGTTAATATATCACTGTGCAATATTAGCTCGATTACACAAACAATTACATGGATATTCTCTATCGTGCATGATATATATGCTCTAATGTGTGTATATTTCTATTCGGGGTGGCTATATGGTACATTTAGGTTCCAAGGCGGTCGTTTTGGGTCTGGCGGGGAAACCCCAACACTTTGTGAAGGACGTCGAGGAAACCAAGGCAAGAGGAATATCACTTATACGCCGTTTCACCGGAGGAGGGACTGTTATTGTGGATGAATGCAGTGTCAACACGAGTGTTATCGCATCTACACGTTTTGCGGATAAGCTGTCTCCCACTTATATTTGTGGATGGAGCTTTGAAAATGTCTTCCGAAATAGTGGAATCTTTAACGATCGGTTTGTTCTTATTGAGGGTGATTTTGTCGTTAAAAATTCGAATAAATTGACCCCTGATGAACGTTCTCGGAGCCATGACAATGCGCAGGGGGATCTAGAATATCACAAGGTGGCAGGTAATTCACAAGCATATAACGCAAAGGCATTTGTTCATCACACAGTATTCCCTTGGGATATATCGCCCCTCATATCGGAAGTGCTGCTGCATCCCGAGAAGGCACCGGATTATAGAAAAGGTCGAAAACATACAGATTTTTTACGAAGTATACGTGAAGCTTTGGATCCCAAACAATGCATAAATACAATTAATGATTTCGAAAATAGTCTATGTAAAGGAATAGAATCGATTTCATCAAATAAGCTAGACCGACATGTACACGTGACTGTCTCTTTGGATTCAGCAGGAGCAGACGACATAACTAATTCACTACAAAGTGATTCGCTATCCCTATCAGGGGACTTCATTGAGCAAGCAATATCAATATTGGACTCCCCATCAACAATGGAATACTGAAATACCATCGTGCGTCCCAAATCGGTGAATTCACCTGCATGAAGCCTTTCCTGGCAAAAAACTAGGAATGTTGTAATACCGCCAGAAACTATGGCAACGACAAAAATGTCGCAGTTATTATGGGATACAAACACCGGTGTGTCTGCATATTCAGTAGCTCTTTTTCCACTCTTAGAAAACTTTGCATTAACTACGACCATCATATCTATCTTGATTAATCTCTAAATGACAACTACTGCTAAAGGACATGGCCACGGGGGTTACCGAGGCTCCGGAGTTCCTTAATGTGGTTTAGGGACTCCTCATCTGGGACCCCCGGGGTGGGTGAGGTCTCTACTTCATACGTCAAGTGGCTTTCTACTTTCTGCAAGGGCCAGCAGAAGCAGATATCGATTAGTTTTGCCAAAAGGATTCTTCGGAATGTTTCTGGCTATTTGCCACAAATGCTACTATTACGTGAGCCACGTGGATAATGGGTTATATAACCTATGACGGCTTTTCGCTCAATGATAACCCGGTTGAGGGTCACTCCAACGAATAGAGAATGGCCATAGGCATGTTCGACCTTGTTGTAAATTCAACAGGTTATTCTGGCATCGTCACATTGGCAGTTTAATCTATCAATTGCAAGAGAAAGCATTGTGCATGTGATTCTACTGGCACTACACATCTAGATGACCCTGGAATATTGGGGGTGCCACAGTGTTGTAAGCCATGCTTCGGCTACCGGCATAACGACATTTCTGAGTTTTCTACGTGGCATATTTTGGGGGGATATATTTGAATATCGCCAACTCTACATGTATCTCTAACGTGATCAGGTCGAATTGCGTGATTTCTACGTTGCAGCAATCTGTCGTTGTGCCATATCAACATTCAGTAACACTACTCAACAAGAACTTTATTATAAGAATTCTTGAGACTTTCAGAAATACAAACTATTTTGAAGATGGCAGGATTGAAGATTTATAAATTTGTATTGGTCTTTTTAACGGTTACCAGCCTTATTGGTGGTAACGTTTTAGGAACCGACGTTGCTCAAGAGGTTGAGCCTCAAGAAGTTGAGGTAGAAGAACCCCAAGTCTCTGAGGAAGTTGAGGTAAAAGAGCCTCAAGAAACCAAAGAAGATGTCAGCTCCAGTATTTATAGCTCCACAAACTGGAGGAATGGACAGTACTCGGAAGAAGACCTTGAAAAACTAATTGATCATAAGGTGTACATAACGTGGTGGACTAGAAATTTCAATAAGAAGGCGGTAGAAGGAATAAAACAGGGTGAATTAAAGCGTAGGCGAGTTGCGTTGGTAGCCGCCATCCAACATTTCGACGAATTACTCGAACAGCTGCCTGAGGGGTTAGCTAAGGAAGCTGGAGTATACCCTACCTTGCGCCACCTGCCTGAAAGTGTTGCCAAGAAAATTGATGCCTTCTTCGAAGAGCAACGTTTTGAAAAACTAAAAGAGTATATGCCGGAAGAACTAGCTAAAAGGGCCGCCAAATACAATTCCGATGGTGAAATGCCGCTTGCTCTTGTTAAGGAAATTTATGAAAACCGTAACAGGCAAATGTTTGATGATTTTGTCAGCAGGCTTCCAAGTCACCTTGCTTCTGAGGTTGAAGCCTATTCATCGATTGCTGAGATCCCTGAAGGGTTGATGAATAAAATCAGCGAATACAGCACAAAGAAGCAAATAGATGATTTATGCCAAAAGCTTCCTGCTGACCTTGCTGAGGAAGTTGGAAAGTACTCATCTCTTTCTGACATCCCAGAAGAGCTTGACGAGAAAATCGATTGGGAACTGTTCAATACAGAATGATTTTATGCTACACAAGGAGTTAAATTGCTACAACAGCTTACGAACTTAGGTGTTATTAACAATGCCCGATGGTATTATTTAGATACTGCAAAAATTATAATTAGTATGACATTTACCTATTGTGTGTGATCTTTTATGTCATGTTTTGCATCTTTTCAATGTATCTTCTGTGCTCTGGCGAATTCAGCACTGAGTGTTGTTGAATCTAGCCTCACCATAGTATTACGGATATATTCAAGCGTCGTAATGAGACTTATTATAAACGCAACATTATGACTGTAATGAGTTGTAGATAGATGTAGCACGTATGAGTAGTCTAACTGCTTTACTTTCAGCTCTTGGCGCGTGTCGCCCATGTGTCTTGGGGTCCTGTAGAACCAAAAGAGTACATAATCGTATTTTTTCATAGAGCATTTGCGATCATTCTTTCTCATGAGCATATATGCGTATCTACGACCTTTATATAGGATATTACTAAGTGGAATGACATAAATACGTCTGTTACACCTTAATTGCGGATACCGTCATCAGGTAGCATTACCCTATAGGTGTTCTGGAGCCTCAACCGTGCAAACAAGTTGAGAAAAAGACAGAGAAGTTTCATTATGATGCATTGACCAACATTCGGTAATGTGTATTCAGCAATCAAGTGAATTTGAAAATGATTGAACTCAATCCTTACGAGCTGCTCCTTCCCTATGTGGCTATAGCCAGTCTTATAATTGGTAAGATATTAGGCTCAGGAGTTAGCAAGGGAGAAAATGACCCTATTGGGCATCAACTTTGGGACACATACGTTGATGCTCTTCGAAAGGGCCCTGTTGAGAACGCTGGACAACCCTCGTCCAATGATGAAATTTCTGAAGAACTGGATCAAAGAATTCAGTCTTCTAAAGGAAAGGAAGGCCTAGAGAAAATCGGCAATGAAAATGTGACCACTAGTGATGACACATCTGAGGACCCCGCAGAAGGGGGAGCGGTGCTAACCAACGACCCGGATTCGAAGAAGCGTGCTAAGTGGCTTACCGTATCGCTCTTTGATGAGATACTAAGCATGCTTCCTGAATTCCTTGCCCATAATTTAGCTTCGCGCCTTTCAGCGAAACCATCGGAAGATTTTCCTGAAGATATGGCGCAAAAAGTCGGTCACAACCTTAGATTGCTTTTGAAAACCCGAGGTGGCGCGCTATGTGTTGTTCAATCGCTCGACAAATTGCCACTACACATGGCTCAACAAGTGGCTAGATATCTTAACTTGGCTGATCTGAGCCCACCATCTGCTGGTCCCGGTGATCATCAGGAGATGGCGCACTGTTGGGAGAAGTTATCAAATTACCAAGGTTCTTCAGCGCTGTCTGCAAACGAAGTTGCCCACGGGAGCTTAATTGAAAAGATTGATGATTGCAGCAAGAGGCGCCTCCAAAAAATAATTGGCCGTATTGCCGATTACAAACCTATGTTAGGTTTGGATGAAGAATACGTGGAGCTTGCTCAAGGGCTCAAGAACAGAGATGATATCGTGTTGCCTGCCAATCTCGCCAAGCAACTTGCTAAATTGAAATCTGGCAAACTCTCATATCGCTTGGATGTAAAAATCGGGCGCCACCTTGCTCAAGTGTTACTGGGCGGGCCTGTCAATATCCCGAATGAAACTTTAGAAGCCAGGTGGCTGCGCAATCACCGCCAAGAGGCCATGATGCAACACATTGTGAAGGCGTTAGAAACGCCCTCGATGATTAGCTTCGACGATGAGAATTAGCGGGCATGGCACTAAGGCAAACTTTTATTGTGGTTTATAATGCATTATACGGAGTAGGACTCAAGCACCTCCTTACTCATGGATGTGAATTCATCAAACACACATTTTAATTTCAAATGAAATTGTATAATCACCAAGTAAGCAATATCATATATATTTTGTACAGACGGGTTGTTTATGTGCTGTGTTATACCAATGGCAATGCTGTTGGTAGAATAAGTAAAATTACACTGTTAACTGACATCGAATGTTATCTAGAGTCAGGATTCAAAACAACCATGGAACGATTTTGTGTATAATAGAAATCGTTTATCATCGATATTAATCATCAGTTTCGACAATACTTAGATTTATTGACCACCGTCACCAAATAAATTGTTAGAATTCGTCTTGTCAGCTGTCGGACCACTTTTGAATCTGCCCTGAAAGAACGCGATTGCATGTTCATTAATACGTAAGCGGTATGCGCAGTAGAGGAAAGGTATGAGGGCAAGGATAAGGACGACACAAACGGCTATGCATGGGTTTATGTGTTCTTCTCCATAGATGTTGCTTGCAAACGATGTAATTATGACGAAGCATAAGAACATCACAATACCGAGGATCACAAGGGCGATGGCATCAGGGTTGCAATACTTTGAGAACGGCTGATAATAGTACAGTAGCGACAGTAGTATTATCGTAAGGACAAAATCTGCAGTTATGATTGTATATAGTTTTGTAGCATCTACGTAGCCATTGTTTTCGACTAACACGCTGAGTAAACATGAAATTACCATTGAAATGAGCAATAGACATATGATCTCGCATTCATTGTATGGCAATTCTAGAAGGGTGTGGTAATAGCCAGTAAGGAGGAAGCCAGTTAATAGAGGATAGCATACCTTGATTATTTGCTGAAGTGCAGCCGTTCCAGTTGATGTTTGTCCTACAACGGCATAACCACTTCCTCCTGAGTTATAAATGGGTACCAATACGCCAATTATGCCTCCCATACATAATAACGCCAAGATACCCGCGACAATACAGATAATCTGGCAAGTGCAGAAAGGTCTACTAAATAGAGAGACCCAATACCCGCAAATCATGGATGAGATGAGAAGGACCATGATAATAGCAGTAATTATAACAAACCTAAGCGCAGACTCAGCATTGCTGTCTCCGATTACACTATAAGTCGCCATAAGACCGAGAAAGGTAAACAACATCAATGCTGCAAGGACCATGAAAGTGATATGCCCGGCAGTAAGAGGGTGTTTCATATAGCCCAGTCTGAAGGCCTGGAAGAACGATGCAGCCATCAAAAAGCACGCGATTGATACCAACGCAATGATTGCATCGCTGCCCTGCCCCTGCGTTGTGTTTACAACGCAAGCACTAATGAAGCATACGAGAGCGAGTATAACAAGTATAAGGAATATGATCTCGTTCGTAGGCATTTTAACGGCATTCTGATCTACAGTAATACCCTCAGCCTTGCCAACCTCTGCTTTAACAGTTTTCATCAACGCTCCTAGCAGTAGGAAGGTCATCTGGGTAACGGGTGTCCCCAAAATACCATATCTCACTCCGCTGGCCTTTTTCATCTACTTAGTACAAACAAATGTTGATATTGTTGCGAGATTCGTTGGTATAGATGAAATTGTAGCTGTTGGAAGTGAGTTGAGGGGAAGCTTTAATATGTCAATGGAGCTCACTGCACCAACAAAATATAACGATAATAGAAATAATACTAATCACAACGTCGATTTTGACGATTATACAGCCCTTCTGCTAATACACAATGCCTATCAAGGCGACCGTGGATTTGCCATTGAAAATTGAACCACCTCCCTGATCCTACGTTGATAAGAGGCCATAAATCTCGGCTTGTATCATAGTCACCGCAGGGGTGGCATGACTACCTTGGCGTATTTGTAGATGTTGTCTAGCATCACCATCGCAAACAACATTGTAGTTGCGTAATAAGGCCAATTGAGGTTTCGATGCCTTGGCACGTCCTACGATAGGCAAGCGCATTGGTCGATCGTGGTTGTCTGTTGTGTCGACACCTCTGCTGAAAGGGCGATACAATAACCAGCATAAAGTGCTATTCCTGTGTACTTGTACTTCGATCGTTTCTATATGATGTCCAAATTACTTGGTTTGACGTCACCAAGTGTGCCGAGTACGGTGGAATGCATTTCGTGATGCTGCCGCACAGTCCTCTTCTCATCTTGAACTTTCATAGTATGACGACGTAATCATTCGGTTGGTCTCCAACTGGTGCATGTTACCATTCTCTGGAAATATGAAGTCACAGCAAGCGTTTCCTGAATTGATTTATGAGTAAGACTGTCACCAAATGCTGAGATGACCGTAATAAGTCCTGTAGGTTGCTTTAAAATCCCAGTAGATGGGAAACTAGTAGGATAACATGATTAAATAACGAAATGATCTATAGGGACTAGTTGTGTGATGTAATATGGTGACTGCCCATCTGCCACACTATTCTTGGGGTCATTCATTCATAGGGCAAGGCAACCGATAGGCCCCCCGAAGGGCATGAGGGACAACAGATGCAGTTAAACAAGAGAAAGTTGCACATCTCATCGATCTGTACATGTTAATCAACAAAGAAACAATAGATAATGATGTAATAACTGTGATTGGTTTTGAACACATCACGGAACCACGGTTGTCATTCCTCAAATCGATCACAGGGGCTAATTGTTCATTTTGCAGGAAATTAATAAAGTAAATCTGGCATTTCGCTTTAGTCAATCACGCAAAATAAATAGTAGTTGTCATTAAAATGACAACATAAATTTTTATTTTGTTAATGTGTAAGAGGCGTCAATGTAACATTACACATAACATCATATACTACAATAGACTCCGTAGAATATTTAAATTGAATTATTTGTTGGTTTATATACCACGTATATCGCGTTACAATGGCCCGTTGGATAGGAAAGTGAATGATAGTTCTCTTCGCAACACTGTGACTCACAGATTGGTAGAAGGAGGCCGTCTAAGCAATTAAGAATTAAGTGAATAAATACTAGAGATAGCAGATAATGCACAATTGACATCAGAGCATTCCGTGCCACGGTAATACGGATTGTACAAAATGTAGCTATAATATTCATGTGGTTTAATAAAACGTGTTACTTTGTCGTTTTAGTCGCTGTCGTATGCGCCTAGTGGATTATCTATGACTAGACATCGTTTTTTCACGCATATGAATGGGCTGTTTTTCACAGGTGCCGATGTTGTAACATTTTTTTCTAAAACGATGCTTGACACGTTTTCGTCATCCTCGACTACTGCAGTTTCCACGTCCTCAAGTTCTTCCTCTACATACACAGAACCGCTTTGATGATCTGGTTCCGTGTACCTTGGAGATGTGGTGTTGTAATCTTCTTCCGCTTCAGCGTATTTGCGATATATTTCTTCTTGCTCTTTGTGGAACTGAGCGATGTCCTCATCATTAGCGCTGGGTTCAAACTGTATCTCCTTTTCCTTTAGTATGCGTTGCAGGCTAAGTTCTGCTGCATTTTCTCGGTCTCGCATCCTACCAGCTCTACGTTTTAATGCTGTCAGACGTTCCAATTGCTCATATTCAGCATAGGCATGGTCAGCCTTTTCCATCATCTTTTCGGTTTTATCTTGTTTTTCAGCCTTTTCATCCTGCATGTTTATGAAAGATATTTACTACAGATATACGTAATAAAAGAATAATAGATGATGTAACAAGGATGTATTTCATATAACTTATACGATGCGAATCACCGATACAGCTTGCATCGGCCTTTGATAATGGCTAATAACATGTCATATTGAGTTCTACGGTATTCACAAATACTTGATGCGCAATAGCAGTATGACATATCACAAAGTGAATATTACTCACCTCCTCCTTAGATACCGCTTCCGCAGCTAGCTCAGCATCTCTGTTGGCGTCATATGTACGTGTACCTCCAGACTCTAGCAAGTAGTCTCCATGTTGCGGATCAGTTTTGAAGATGATCTGATGGCTACAGTGAGGGCATTTTGCAAAGAACCGATGTTTCTCTATACCCAAATAGGTATCTTCTTTCAGACGCATGACTTTAGAGTTCATCTTGGTACCAATATAGGTAAAACCTCTGCAGCTTTCACAACGGAATGTAAAGGGGAACATCATGCGGATATCGAGCATCCTAGAGCTCATACCACCCTTAATACGCCTTGCAAAGGTAGTTTTACCTCTACCGTAGCCATCATTGCGAAGGATATCACGATTCGCGTGTAACGCCGCCGGATCGAAATCAGGAGGTATATATTTGTTGAGTACCTTACGTTCCGCCATCGTCCTTAATTAACGGACCTCTTTCATGTACGCATATTCGACAGTTTTGGATGCTTCAGCTTCTAAAACAAACGTTGTAACTACGGATGGCAAAATATCAGTGGCGTAGCGCCCATCTAAGCAGTCACTACAAGATTTGCGATGTTAAATTTATATACACTTATTTTTTCATGAAACAAGTTGGTTTTGAATAAATGACAGAATAATTATTATGGTTGCCACATGGATCACAGCGCCTTTGGAGGCACAGTGTCTACGACGCATTATCCTGTCGCTTCACAAACTGCTTCGTGTGTTTGTCCAACAGCTACAAAAATAATGTGCAATATAAGTTATTTCCTAACCTTAGACAACGACTGCCGTTCAGACTTAGATACAGGTGTTCCGTCAGCCAGATGTGTAGGTAGATGTTGTTCGTCAAATTTCCCAAACTTCCCAGGATATTTGCGATTTATGAACTCAGATGGTGGTGTTTTCGCCAAACTCTGCTGCTCAGCCTGCCACGAAGGTTAATAAAAGATAGCACAAACTTGCCTCTAGTTGAAGTCGTTGTTGTTTCAGTTCTTCCTTCCGCTGTGCTTCCTTTAGCTGCTCGTCCCTGAGATACGTCATAAACAAACGATTTAAAACATACTTGGACTTGAACTTCACAATGAACTCTCCATCATCACGATCTTCAAGTAGAATACCTAGCTCAGGCAACTGCTCATCTCGAACCTTGTCACAGTGCTTGAGTAGTTCAATCGTCTTTTCGACGTCAACTTCCTTAGTTTTCATGCACTTCTGCGCGAATAGACGTGTCTGTTACTTATTGTTGGACATAGTAGCATGCCTACCTTAGCCCTGAGGTCTACCAGGTGCTCCAACAGTGGACCGGACACTGTTTTTTCATTAGACTGTTCTTGACCATACTCTGTTCCCGGGTCCATCAATTTCAGAACCTAGATTTGAAGTTTATATACATTTTCTAGAAACATACCTCGAGTATGTTGTACAAGTAGTTTTTGATACTAATCCCTTGGGCTTGTTTAAGATAGGCATGCGGCGCAGAGAGATACGAATTTAGCGTACTGATAAAACTGCAAATAGCTTGTAACACCTTTGGCGTATCGAAGTTGTCCAAGAATGCCTCGTGTACCTGTGTAAAGTGCAACGATCAATGGTACGATACTAACCGTTTCTTTTAGTTTGTCGAAATCGGCGGCTAGTTTGACGTCATGTTCCTCCAGCTTTTGTACATTCTCCCGTTTGTCCAACCTCGCATTCAGCAGTGAAAAGAAGTTGAAAAATGTTTCATCTATAGCAATAGCTTCGGCCATTCCTTGTGGTCCGGGGTTATAGTTTAGTGTACCATCATGCCTTGACGATAAAAAGAGTAGGCGGATCTGTCTCTTGTTATACCTTGTAAGAAGTTGTTTGATAGATATGAAATTTTTGAGACTCTTGCTCATTTTAAGGCCCTGGATATGCAAGTGACCGAAGTGTAAAAAGTAGTTAACCCATTGGTTACTATCACTGAATGCTTCCGATTGAGCGATTTCGTTATCATGATGCGGAAACTTCAGATCTACACCACCCGAATGTATGTCGATAATGGTATCCTTTCCAAATATATTTGAGCACATGGCACTGCACTCAATGTGCCACCCTGGACGGCCGTTACCCCAAGGGCTATCCCAGAACGGTTCACCCGGTTTCGCTTTTTTCCATAGTGCAAAATCTTGAGGTGACTTTTTATGTGACGATACTTCGCCAAGCGCACCTTCGCCATCAGCGATACGTCCGAGATCATTGTAGCTATTGGGTTCCAACTTTGCATAGACATGCTTCTCACTTGCGCGGAAGGCTTCGATATCGAAATAAACGCTACCATCTGCCTCATAAGCATAACCGTTTTTCATGATAGCCTCGATATAAGAAATGATTTCTGGTAGAAATTCACTGACTCTTGTAATGACATTTGGGGGTTCCACACCAAGTGCAGTCATGTCTTCCCAGAACTCATGTTCCCATCTACTCGCAAGTTCGTTGAACTTGCACCCCTATAATCGATGTCATACAAATAAATGGTACTAACCTCATCATTTGCCCTTTGTATGATCTTGTCATCGATATCGGTGACGTTGATAACTAGGTGTACGTCGTAGTTGAAGTAACGATCCAGGATGCTTCTTATGGTATCACAGGCAACATATGTCCTGGCATGACCAAGATGGGCAGTATCATATACTGTAGGTCCACAGCAATACCAATTGATGCGCCTTCCTTTCTGTAATAGATGAATTGGCCTAGTTCTGTATTCACCTCAGGTACGAATTCAACCTTCGCGTCAGCAGCTAGGGAATTGCGTAATACAAGGCCCGTTAAGAATTTACCCTTCTTTTCAGGCATTACCCATTCACGTAGCTTTGCTGTAGGTTCCATTTTTTCAGCCATTGTAACGATCCCTCGGCGTTGAAGCTGGGCTCTTCCCTTAATAACACTCTCTCTCGGGAATATGCGGAACGCACAGCATGTGCGGGTGAGTAGCATTAAAATTATAGTTATTGCATATGTTAATTGGGGAAACATATGATAACTTCCTATGTACAAACACTGGCACACCTCCCGCGCACTTGAGTCGCATATGTCTAGGTACGGTCAATGTTATCCCGTTGCACCAAAAGGGCATCTTTGGCGGCCTTCCGCATCATATCAGTGTCGTTTACGTCGTCATCTACACCAAGATGCAATGTGTCTGATATGGCATCGCTCCCCGCCAAGCACCTCGGTATGTTTTTCCGCCTATGTATTTTCTGCCTCGTTTGTTGCTATTATGACCTTATAACATCTATATACAGGCAAAATCGCAGTGGATGTATCCCGATCTGCGAGCAGCGACATAGAACTTTGGAAAACATTTGTCAATTCCTGTTCGAAGAATGTAGCATTCTTCGATGGTAAGGACACATTACGTCTCTGGAAGGGTATCACCGTATTCTATCGCAACTATGGATTCCGTCTTCGCTCAGAAGATTCCAGTTTCATAGAGCAGCTGATGGTACACAGCATAGATGTGGTAAGTGCCATAGTATATGTTCTCTAACGTCTATCAGAGTAACGGGTATACATGTGACGAATTAAGCCAGTTGGCTGAGTGTATCTGCGACTTTGCAGCATCAAACTCCAAATTATTGGATTATTCAACATCACTGTTTTCTAAGATGGGTATCCTGTTCAATATGCGTCTTGCCGAGGCACTGCCGTATAGTGTTGTCCGAATGTTAGTGTCATATTCACGTCTTGGGATTCGGGACGACGTCTTACTGGAGTGCGTTGCTAAATTCATATGCAATAGTGAAGGTTTCACCGCCTATGACCTGCGTAACATTCTAACTTCGTATGCAATGGTGCAGTACCGAAGTCCTGAACTGTTCAAGTATGCGACGGATCACTTTCTCTGTATTCCTAGCCTGAATCTTAACGAACTTGCAATATTGTCATTTGCATATGCTTCTGTAGACTATTCGACGCCAGAAGTACACATGTTGTTTGAACGACATCTTAACACTGATGGGATCGCCACCAAGGATGGCCTTCAACTGAAGAGTAACAATGTGGATATACCATTATTTTGTATAAATTTGGATCGTTTGGGTATAAAAATACCTGAGGAACTAATTGATTCCATAGAAATAGAAAGTTTGTCTGCAGAGAGTTTCTTCAATGTGGTACATCTCTTACCATCAACTGTCATAGCTCAACAAGAGGTTCTGAAGCGTTATAGTGAGAACGAAATGTATAGAACGTTATCAGAGCACCTAAAAGTATTGGAATACGTAACAAAGTGTAAATTCGAGGTATTACAGCTATTGCAGAAGGTATACAATAACTTGATGAGGTTATTGAATGATGGATGTAGTCAGGTAGAATTGGGATGTGAACCAGGGCAGGATTTGACCATGGCTAATGGTAGTCATGGTACTAATGAGGTCATATCGAATAATTGTTCTGCCGTATCATCTGAACAGCAAGAAATGGAACAAGGGGTCCATTCGGTTATCTCCGGTTCCTCCATAGATGGGTTACTACAGTTGTTACGTCGTGTACCTCTGGTGCTGATTCCACATGTAATGGATCTATTACACGTAGTGGAAAAGGCTAGATTTCCTATGGCATCGCTACGTGGTATTGCGCTATTAATGACCAAGGCTCTGGTTGATGGAGACAGTGATGTGGAAAAACGACTTGATAAGTTAGCTTGCGATAACGGTACGACACTTCTAGAAGTGTTCGGGTCTCATATTATTGAGAGTGGTATTAGTAGGTCTCCACGTATGCTAAGCGCTGACATTGAACATCATCTAGGTATAGAGGCTGAAGTTAGATACCGTATTGGCGAACTGGTTGTTGTGGCTGTTTTGAAGGGCCGGAATATTGCAATATTGCCATTATACATTGATGATTTCATATATTTGGGCGGGGATTCTGTATCAGCATCCGAGCCTTGGTCGCCACCAAATAGCGCTGCTCGCCCCGATGTGTACGCTTCTATATATTATTTGCGTAAGCATGGGTATCATGTATGCCCTCTGTCGTATTCCCGTTGGAGTGCGTGTGTTAACGGTTCCCCAGGTGTGTTGGACAGACTGTTGTCGGTTCTGCTATAGCTTTGTTGCACACATAACACCTAATTGTATTGGAGGTGTTCTGAAAGTTTAGAAACTCCAATGAATATATTATTTATATTTTTGTTTACCACCTTCGTTGCCGCGGCATCACCGGATGAGGATTCTCATTCTGGCGGTATCCATCTAAATATCGGTAAGATTGTTTCTTCTGGTTACCGCATTACCATTTAGAGTATCCTGAGGACAAAAGTAGTGGTCATCTGGACGTGGCAACAGGTACTTTTTTCTGTCTATTGTTGTCATTGTACACAGGTGGTAACGCTGAACCTTCCGATATCAAGACTCCCGTGGTCATAATCGCGCCTAAGGTATGTGTAAAGATCTGAGTTTCACAACGTCACAGCCACTACTCGATTATGAGCGGTTGTACAAGAAGATGATGCACAGTCCTCCACGTACCAATGGTCATGAGGGTGTAGGTACGTAACCGTGGTTATTTTCCCAATTTTATCATTCTGAAACAGAGAAAGATGTGATTTACAATAAGAAGGCTGCTTATTCCGACCCTGTGTCACGTCGCCAACTTTTGTTTGAGGTATTTGTATATGGATACTTAATGATTATGTGCAGCTTCTAAAGGAAGCTGAGGCCGATTTGGCATTTTATCGTGCCGACCATAGCGAGATGGAACTGGTTAGCTTAGGTTGACCCAAATATAGAAATTGCAGCTCCTATCACATCATCAGTCGTGAAGACCGTATCGGATACAACTCATTTCCCCTGCCGCGTACCTGCTATACAGGCTTACAGTATTCAAGCTATACGATTGAAAGGCTTTGGTTGTTGGTTTTGGAACTATAACTGTTCTGTTGTCATCATTACAATAGTGTAATATTTACTAGTATCGCAATAGTTGACACTCTTGTCTCAACGGAGCATATGGCGACATGATTATTCAATGGAATGATGTATTATGTCTATGTCAGACTTGTTGAGTGTAAAATTTCATCTTGCCGTGTATGTTTTGCGGCAGTGGCATCGGAGTGTCCTTTGACGTGAGTCAGGACATATAAGTTACCGTCGGATCCCCATGGGATAAGTTCAAACTGCCATATCGAACTCGTGTATGGATCCTAGTATTTTTGTCAGTGATAGACGTTGCGAGTGGTGATAGTGTGGCTCCGTGATGTTCTTGTGCCATGTGCAGTTACAGCGACAGTATTTGGTATAATACATTTCCATAGTTCTATTGATTGTAATTTATTAGTCTACGTTAAATCAATTATCGCGATGTCGGCTCTTGAGGTGTGTTTTCCTTCCATTGTCGCGAGTGACCAATCCATGTTTTTCCAACTTGGCTAATTTTTTGCAGAAAACTAACGTCATTCCAGTGTCGAAGATACCTCCAGTGCCTTCGCACCCGTTAGAAGTGATCCAATTTCACATCGCGATATGGTAGGTGTTACTGTGATATACGTGGCTGTGGTTGACCAAATTCGTCGAATGGAGTTATATATTTCGTCTTAGGTTGATAGTTACTATCGTCCTAACACTAGCTCTCATGCTATACTACTTCTCTGTGGACTTCAAGGTACGACCGAGACTTGCACATATGATCATTACTACACAGCGCGACGATCCGATATTGTACTCTCAGCTAAATGTGAACAGTCAACAGTGGGTTTTTAGTGTGTTTTATTTGACTGTGTATTTAGGAAAAATAAATGATTGTTATATTTCGAGTCGAGATTTTTGAGGGAATCCCGCTCGATCGGTTCAGGCAGATTCTGGCTGCCGGATGACTGTACTTTGTGCCTCATTAATGATTGAATCTATCGCAAAATTAATCTAGATACTTGAGAATGTACACCCTTGTTTCTGTATGTTGATACGGCGCAACATATTAGCGCCGGGGGACGCTGACTCTCCCCTTTTACATATCGACCCTTAGTACTGCTGCACCATCTCCATGTTAACGTATATTGAATATAGAAAAACAAAGGTGTAAGCATGCCATGTACTTTTCGCACGTTAGATTTCTCTAGTCATGTGCCATTAGGCTCCGTGCACATGGTAGGGTGCGATGTTATTTTCTCCATTGGTCATTTAGATTACATAAAAGTTAGATTTGGTATTTAAAATTTTAGACACTGAAGGTGTGTCACATTTTAAAGGTTCTTCAAAAAATCAAAAATGGGATTTTTCGATATATGCTGTAGCTGCTGTTCAGGCGACACTGTTCTACCTGACAGTGTTCCTCGTACTCACATAAAACGTGCTGTACCGGAAGAAAAACAAGAAGAACTCAAACCACTTGTGGAATCCATTGATGTTATATCTGTGGAACCAGCTGAGGAATTGGGAGATGTAAATGAAGAAACTTCGGAGGTTACTATTGGTGCTCCTATCTCTGCTGTGAAGAAACGCCCACTTAAGGAATGCAAACTCAAGCCAGCAAGGCATCGTATCACTTTGACAGGTGCAGCTGCTGCCGTACCTCCATGCTCCGTAGCGGAATGTGTCGGAGATGTCCCCAAAGTATCCTCCTCTAAAGTTACAGTTGGGGAAGGTGCATACTTGGTATACTCTTTGGAACAAAATGGTTCTCTCAGTATGAACTTTACCAAAAAGGCTATCGACAGTTTGGACGGTGTTCTTGCATACATCAAGCCAGCAACGGAGTTCTCAAGCTACCATTACTCAGGTGGCGGTTGCAAGGTGGTTGCTACCAACCTACAGACCTGTATGCAGAGCCAATATGCAAACGACCGTAAGCCGTTTTACAAGGCATGGTGCCAATTTTTGAAATTAACCATTGCCGGCAATGGTGTAGCTTACCTATTGGAAGCTTCAGGATTGTCACCACCACCTCTCGTTAGAATATTGATATTTAAGGATGGAAACATTCAAACTGCCGAAAAACTGACACCTATTGATCTCCGTGAATGTGGAGCTATTGGCGTTTTACCGCCAGCTTTCGACTACGAGTCAGTAGGCGATATATCGGATCGTACAAAGTTTGCTAGCATGTGTGATGAATATGGAGCTTCATTGCTTCTCTAACAAATCTGAATACCTATTACTTATCATTCAGAGACATATTTAATACCCACGCTATATTCAAGTCTCCGGTTGGAGCATTATGGGTATCATAACATATCAATTTAATGTTTTCTTCTTGTTTTATATGTGTGTATATAATTATCGGTGCGATTAATCGTGTTTCTACGGTAAAAGCGTTCCTTCTTCGGTGCCGTCAAGACAACATCCTCCACGGTGAGACACAGACCGTTCGTACCGTTATATTTCGAGTGTAAGTGGATTCTATACATATTCAAACTTCAAATCAGGTACAACGCGCCACCTAAAGGGTCTCGTATAGCAAGAGAGTTGGAAAAGTTTGCTACCGACCCTTTGAACACATCGCCGGTATGTATAGACTTGCGCGTCATATTAACAGCTTCATAGTGGGAATATGAACAGCCCTTAGTGCAGTCGTTTACAAAGGAACAAAATGCCAGTTATAGCTTTTTAAAAAACAATTGGGGATATCTAGACCATTCTACAGACCCTCACCAGCCAGCTGGTAACACATATTACTTCCATCTCATGGTTGGCAGGTGTGCTGGAAGGTGGTAGAGAAAACTACACTGGAAAAGGTCTTCGGTTAGTTGGTGGTCGCGACCGTCAACGCACGGAGCCTATGCCGTATTATCTGGACCATGGTGTAAAATGGCGGCAAAGGACACAAATGGGTGCAGTATCATTTGCTATAAGCCCTGATGCTAATCAGGATGTGCGCGTAGGTAGGTTTTCCATGCTGCTTCATAAGCAGAATGAAAATTCGCATCTATGTTTGTGGTCTTGTGTGTTAGGTTATATCAACACTTTATCTCCAATGGCGGAAATGTATGACGACGACACCGTTACAACGGAAACTAGACCGTGTTCAAGATGTCCATACGCCTTAGACACCTATGTGTTTACCGTGTTTATTGTGGTGGTGCTGTTCTCAACCGTCGTTGCTATAGTATACACGCTATTACCACTCATGTAAACACAGACGAAACCGACTTGGACCTTGAAGCGCGGCAATGGGGCTCATGGAGTCGTCCAATGTACACCGACTTACCAGCAATGGAGTCGGCAATAAGGTCGCATTCGCGTGCGGAGAACCCTACCGATCTCCCATACCACTGGATACTATCTGACGAGATCATTGAACATACGCCAGTGCACGTAGCAAGCGGAGCGAGTTTTATTCCTGACCCGGACCCGGATATGTATTTGGCAGCAACAGGTCACTTTGGTGGGTACATGCGGCGGCCGTTCGAATTTCCAAGAGAGAGTGAGTCCACTGTTGCTTGGGAATAATGCGCTCAGCCATTAAACGGCAAAATCTACTGCTCACCGAATGGGACCGGTTAGAAGCTCAGTACGCCAAGAACCCCGATGAAGATATTGCCGAACGCATCCATGCTGTAAAGGTGTGTTTTTTGTGATCTAGCGCGTCGTACAGATACTTCTTCGGGAAATGACTGTATTACTACTTGGTGTTGGTGTTTTTAGTGGGAAACTTAGTGGTATTTTCGCATTTTTTGCCCTGGATTAACTCCACACTGCGGCATGGATACAATCGTGATACATCGCTAGTGTTATGCTTGATATATTACTAAAAACCATGGGATGGGGTGATTATATTCTTGCAGAATGCACTATGTGGCTACGATAGGATGATAAACAATGATAACACGTCATTCAAAGTCGCCATTGATGCAGCTATCACATTAATGCGTGATTTAACTAAGGAGCAGAGGTTAGTTTATTCTCTCATTTTTTTGTCCCAGCAGTTTAATTATACCTTCAAAAGGTGGTATTTGTGCCTATGATTATTCCATATACAATAGATTATGAACGTTCAGGGACGATCCAGCACATAATCCAGATGTGATCGACTACTACCTTAGAAAGGTACCCGATCCCACCGCGGTTGGTGGCGGTTGCAGCCATTACAGCGGCCCTGGGCGTACCTCTCTATTGTGTTTGATTGGGTATTATCCAGATACAAAGGCATTCGCTCAATACACCTCGGTCGAGGAACTTGCAGAGGGCTACCACCGCCTGATGACCGAGATGCGTTTCGAGGGCAGGTCACACACGGTTTCTCAGATGGTGCTTGATGATGAAGTTCAAGACTACGTTTTAAGAGGCGATCGTCGCAAGTTTCCACGACTAATTGCCGAATATGCGCCCATATGGGCCTACCGAAAGTTTGGTGCCGAGTTCGGCGACGCGTTGAAGCGTGGGCATACGATACCGGAAAATGATCTGACTACTTTTGGACGTCGTCTACGTAAGCGGCCACGTGGGTACACCGAAGAAGTGAGTTCTTGTCCATGTTATTTACATATAGCAGGAGCGTGCCCGAAACTTTGTCGATGACTACTCAAATTTTTGCGAAGAATGTGGCTAGTTTTCCTCAAAAATTCCCCATAAGCATTCCTCGCTTGAGTCGGATGCAACCTTACACACAGAATTTAGAAAATGGCCATGACGATAGCTCGTGTATGTATTTCTGTAGCTGCAGTAGGCTTAATTGCTTCTGGTCTGGTGTTTTATCGCCGAACGACTGGTGACAACGGGTCTCTTTTCTCTATAAACGCACTAGACACTGAACCTAAATCTGAAAAGCTTGTGCCACAACAAGCCTATGCTAGCATTCCAGAATTGAGGTCTGATTTAGATGAAGAATTAATAGGGTATGAAGAAGCAGTATCGTCCTTACCCGCTCTAACTTCAAGTCTAAATAATTTCGAAGTTTTACATAACACCAATATGACACTTGAACAAGAACGAGGTGAACCAAATAATAATAATATCCCTCCGAACCACACGGTTGCAACGGATGACGATTGGGTAGCCATATCGAATGTTAGTGGAGCTGGCCCAAGTATGACGTATACATCTGAGCCGGTAAACGTGAATGATCCTGTATCTTCTACAGCGTCTGAATCTCAAACGCAGGATCATTCAGATGAAACAAATGCTAGTGCCCCCGCAAGGTTACGCCGTTGTGATAATACAATCCTAACACCCCTGTTTATGCTCGGTCGGGACGAAAATAGTTCCCAAGATGATGATGATGACGACGACGATTACGATGAAACATCAAGTTATTCTCTTCTTTCTCAGTGGTCCGATGACGATAATGGCGTTGTTGTGGAAGGACGCACCATCATCCACCAACTTCAAGAACCTCCAATGGATAGTGAAGATGATGAAGATATGGTCTTAACAAGGTCACATAGTACTTATGGTGGAGCGATGACAGGATCTGATGCTTCTCTAAGCACCTTAGGGGGAACTCACGTAGGCGGAGGGGGGGCTACGGAAACTAGGAGTTTAGCTACAGTATCACGTTTATCGTTCTCCTCAGATGATGGTTCTGATGTTGTACCAAACATAAGGGACGGAATATCAGAGGTTGAGACAACGGATACCCAGAGCAATGTCGGCCATCGCCAAAGTAGTACGGTGGAGGGCATGATGGATAATAACCTTTACTACTCGCTTATAGAAGATTGTCCTCCACCCTATGAGGCTGTCGCAAGGATGCCAGAAAATCGGGGTATAGCTGATCTCAGTATGACCTCTTTGGAAGGCCAGGTGCAAGCTCTTGTGTCCAACCTGTCTACACTTACCTCGGTTGCACGTTCGATTCTGACTCTACACGCAGAACAATTGGACGGCCGTCGCACATTAATGAAAAACACATTACGTCGTGCAGCGGTGGTATTAAGTGATCTCGCATCGGAACTTGATGTAGCATCTGCATTTGCCGATTTGGTTGGACTTCACGATACCATCAGCCCACAGGGAAATGAAAATACAGCATCACAAAGCCACATCGAACCTTGCAGGTGTCCTACCTGTACAAGTTTTGAGAATATGGCTGCACAGTTTTAAGCCTTTGGCTCATTTCCTTACTAATAAGGTGATAATCGTCGTGTCCTGAGAAATGTGGGATGGAACACCTGGAAATGTAAAAATCTGATAGATGGAATAAAATGACGTAAAAGGACCGCTATGAAGTTTTTACAATAAATGTAACTGTAGGATCGACCTGATGGTAGATCCAATGTGTTTTATATACAGTTTCATCACCCAGTGACTAAGTACTTAGTAGGTCATATATTCCCCATACATTTCCGAACAAGGAAAGTCATTTGATCGTGAACCAGTTGGACATAAACACGGATTATAACTATGTCTGGATAGCCAAGAAAGCGTACTGCGTTTATAATCTTATCCTTTTGGTTGGAGAAGGAATCTCACTTATTTGAAGATGGGTACGATGGAAGGACGGACGTCTACGGGAACCAATGGAATAGGATTCTACGTCGCTATTGGATGCTATTGAGTGGAATGCGCAAGCACAACCGTTCATTGGCCTCAAGATTTTCGTTTTCGGACCATGCCGCTGTTTAGGTTCACTACTTCTAGGCACTGCAATACAGGATTCCATACTACAGGTCATGAAAAATGGCTATGTTCAGCGACCTCAACTCCTTAGAATGACTGGGGTGGTTCTTACCTTTTCAATCAAGGGATTCTTGTTTGGATAAGCAAGACTGTTATCTACGCAACAAATTTTGTAACATTTTTTTCTACACGACAATTTCTACCACTGTTTTATAAACAAGGCTAAACGGTAGAATCATTAGATGCTGCGTTATAGAGCACATTGCAACAGTGCAACGTACACATTATTCTTGATAGCGAGTAATCGCTATCTTCGTAACTTTGCCCTGATAAGTTACTCGCTTGTAAAGGCCACCTTCGTATACACGATAGGTTTTCCAACTACCGCATTGGATATCAACTAGATCACTCGGATTGTTTTAATTTCTTCTGCCACCGATCCCATACATCTACTAGTTCAGATTCGCCTGTAGCTACAACAGTTCCATTTTGGTTGTACATTGTGCCTTTGGCGACAAACCTGTCCTTCTTTTCGCCTGTGAGTTGTTGTGGATCAAAGCTGACTACCAGTGCAACTGAGTCTCCAACCATTATTGGCGCCTTGAATTGTATATTGAGATACTTGGTCGCCGCCATTCTCAGTATAGAGCATCCTAGTATGCCGAATGCGTTGTCGAAAATGGCACTTGTGATTCCTCCATGCCATACACCCTTGTGTCCACAGCAGAGAGAGCCGACGTCCACTATGTGTACGAATTCCGTGATAAAATCACGTTTTGGTACCCAACATATAGCATCATCGAACTTGTCTGTTGGCACTCGGTTGATATCCGGTTTGGCATCAGTTGATGGAAGGGGTTCGTCTGTGGTATTTACGTAAATATGCATTCGGAAATCTTCATTTCTCATAAGATTATCTCCAAATACATTGCCATATTTGCCCGCAGTGGCATCTAGAATTTTGATTCTATCGATGCGATTGTATGCCGCAAATCTGAAATGCTGCTTAAAGTTACTGCTAAATTCCTCCGCCATAGCAGCATAACTGAAATAGCGCCTTGCATTGCCATACAGTCCCCTTGCTTGTCGTATAGTGGGTACGGCTGATGTGCATATGAACGATGTAGAGATATCCACGATGCGTCGAATCAGCACGGCAGCCATAACGTGACGTAAGAGACCCATTTGTATAAATAGCAAGGAAATAAATACTGAACTATACCCCATGGGACATAGTGTCATCGGGCACTGTTGTTTTTCGTAGGGTTAATCGCTCGTTCTAGCGTTACCGAGCGACTCGAACTTCCGTACACCGATGAGTCGGATAATGCAGCCCCCGGTGGATCACCCCTTACTCTAATTTTTTCGATCTTTGAACGTGTGTATGTGTGTAAATATTGTAAACAACTGCGCCACTATTCGACTACACATTTTTAAAAAATTTTACAGCGGCATCTGGCTTTCCAGTGCCGCGTTGTTTCCCATTAAATATGACGCCCAAGGGTACTACAGAAGCCAATTGTACATTCCCCATCGTATATTAGTCTCCCTATTAACTCGAATATATGAAATTCGAATTTTATACGCGGGGGTTGACGCACCAACCTTGAAATCGTTCTACCGCGATGTCGGAGGCCTGAAAAAATTTCCTACTTCAAGATTCCATGTATTTTCAACTGTAACTTTTCCAAAGATACGGTATAGATCACTGTACCTCACGTTTGTCTACAACAGAAAGCTATAGGCAATCACGTATTGACTAGAAACCGTTTTCTTGATCTAATTGCACTTATTTCACTACTATAGCATCGCAAAATTTAATCTATTGAGATGCTTCTAGATGACATTAAGCGGCAATTTCAAAAATATCTACTTCAGAGTTAAATAGGAGACAACATCGCTTGATTGTATTTTTTCAGTAGTCTGTATTGCCTTTTATACACTGTAGGACGCATTCTGCAGCTAAACTAGGGGATGATTATATACAGCCTAGGCTGATTACAACCATGCATATCAATCCCATTTGTATCGTGCTAATTTTGTGCACAATAACATCCTTGCCTACGTACGCAGACAAGAACGCCGGACAGAAACCTGCAGAAGGCAGTGTCAAGAAATCTCAGGATGAAGCAACTGGAAAGAATACTGGAAAGACCCTTTTGTCAAGGTTATACGGTCCAGTTAGTTTCAAGCGTATGAGACGCTCTTTTGATACCTACTCATGTACGGTGCCACCGCTGATAAAGTTAGACTCACCGTCGCCTGTCGTCACCATCAATGGCAGATTGAATTCTCTAACCGCAGTACTAGTAGGTTATGGCAGCAGGGAGGTGAGTGAGTTATTCCGTAGCAATAAAGGATATATTTACGGCGTGGGCAATGCATGGAAAAATAAAAACAAATATATTCACCAAGTTGGGCTCACAGTTGATTACGCTCCACCCGAAAATCCACGTTGGAAAGCAGAAGAGTTCTGTATGTTGATATTTTCACCGTCCCTGAAAGTTGGTAAATCATTGCGATCATTGATTGGCAAGCGCTACAACCACAAAAATCGCTATTTGGGTTCGACAGAAAACATCGTAAACACATTAATTGACGAAAGTGAAGGAACAAGCTCCAAAATGGTTACACAATGCTGCTTCATTATGCACAAATAAGATAGCTAATTATATTCCTAATATCATAATTTTTATGTATATAGCATATATTTTGTAACAAACGTTCCATATCGATTATTAATACTTCAAGGGGTTATGTTGCAATGTTTTTATGACGGTTTCTCACTTTTCACCATCAAAGTCTTGGCATAATCGGAATTAGCTGCTATCAGTTTCACCATCTGTTTCCTCCAAACCTCACGTATTTTATCGTCCCTGAAATAAATATATCTCAAGATACAAAAACTTACCATTTATGAACTTCCTTAACGATATCGTATGCATGATACCGCGAAAGTTTCGGACCATTCTTTGACATAACAGGCCACTTAAGATCATACAGTTTGGTTGGATCAGCTTTAGCATCGTAGTATGTTTCTCGTCCTTTATATTTTCGCGGACGAGGGAAACCTTTCCAACTGTCTAAGCCCTTATCTTCATTATTATTGTATTCTTTCTTTGGTTTTCGAGACTTAGATCTTCGACTTTCTCGACCGGAACTTTCAGAAGTACAGGATGATACTGATTTTGCGGAATCACTGTTTCTCCTGTTTGGGCGTCTACTTTTGCGATACGAGCCACCATCCCTTGCGGGGCTATGTTGGTCACTGAACCTTAGCCTTCTAGTCGTGACCCTCTCCTTGCTATGATTCGAAGGGCCCAATGAACGAGAGCCATCCCGTTTCATACGACGCTGGCTATCATTACTTCGGTGCCGCTCTCTTAGCTCGGGAGACCGTCCATGTGCCCCCCGAAAACTTTCTGACACCCTCATGTTGCGATCCCTCTCATATTCTAATCTTCTGTCCATCCCCCTAATGCAGCTGTTAGAATCCTGTCGTCGAGGATACATACTCCCCCCTCCTGGGCTGTGATTTCCATATCCGTTCATATCATCATCCCATCTGTAAACATCGCTTCTATCTTCACCTACAGATGATGATGCACTGCCTTTATAGCTCCTACTATCATATGAATAAGTGCTTGCACTTCTCTGGCGGTAACCGTAATGCATGGGACTTCTACCGTTGCTATTGGTGCTCGTGCTACCACGTATACTATCGCTGTCTCCTCGATCAACAGCTCTATCACGTTCTACAGAGGAATGCATGGAAGGCGAGCCAACATGTGGCCCATGATCATGGTCCCGATATTGACCATCCACATCAACTCTTCGTCTACTGCGTGGATATGGCACATTATTATCTGATCGCACATCAGGCGTGCCCAGGTGATTATTTCTGCCATGGTTCATGCCGAAATCATTGTGTGCCACCATTTTTTTGCGATCACCAACCTCCCTAGGTTGGACCTACGCAATATCATCAAACTCTCTCCATACAAATTTGTCCCCTTCCTACCATCACACACATATGACATGTTCTAGACAAATATTGATAACTGGTATTTTTCCAGTGGTCAAATAGTCTTATTACGGCCAACTGTCTATGTGCCTCCAGGCGACACTGAGGGCCCAGAGTGCCAGTTAGATGTCGTAACACATAGAACAACCGAATTCGAATAATATAGATCCAATTATATAACTACAGATGCGTGATCAATACACATATCCCGGTCTAATTTCAAATGGACTGTTGATGTAACATTTCATACGTTCCTAAAAAAGAAGTTTTGTTATTATTTGGATGATACTAATTAATTTTATATTATATTTCAATTACTCTATTGGTTTATGTGTGATGCGTTGCTACTGATTCTGTCGATGGTGTGACGTGTCGTGGGCTGGAGCTTCTCTCCATAAGGTCTATCCACTGCACCTAGAAATAGTCGTAATTACCTTCTACTTCATAATCAAAATGTCAAACGCCGATGCCATTCGGTCTGAAATCGCATCTATCGATTCTCGACTGAAACAATGGTTTCTATTCAGGAGAGTCCAAGCCGAGGTATTTACCCAAATGACATATTATCCATCATCTACAGCGTGCCATGTCCATTAAGAAGTTGCTAGATGATAATAATTTTCTGGGTCTGGCCTGCAACAATGATACTCCGGACGTTGTTGACCGAGTGATGTGGTCGGATATCGTAAAGGGAAGGGTAGGCAATTGACCTCTAAGAGTTTTGACAACAGTTCAGCCAGAGCTAGAAGATACACTATCAGTGAACGCCCGTGAAATGAAGGTAAGTAACTTCATCAAATTACTATGGGCCTATTTGCTGATTGAACTTACTTCTCGTTAGGCGGACATGTATATGGACATCTTTACTCGATCATGTGATCTAGACCATGTGTGCAGGCTGCCAGGTGAGCTAATACTACATATAACAACTCACTATACCCAGGTTCCAAGTACTTCCAGTGCTTGCAACAGAATTTCGCCGTCGATCGCAATACACGTTCTGGGCGCTGTGAGAGCGCTTTTGAAGCATTTGATACATGCCGCAAAGGGTTACAACTCCAACAGAACTCTCATTTACAGGAATCGTTGAAACGTCAGCAACTACAGGACGATGAAGCTCAGGTATGCCACTATTTATACATCTAAACAAATCTCTAGGCCTTGTTTTACAAACGCATGGAACTGATGAAAAAACTCGAAAGTTTGGGATTCACTGGCGCGAATGTTGCTGGTTAGAGATTTTAGAGTTCGTCATCAGGACATCGGTAAATCTAAGGTTTTGGCTAGAGGGTATCACAGGATCCACTGAGTGTTTACTATGTTAGAAAATTAGTATCCTTCAAACAGGATACCCACAATCTATATTGAAAGTATATTGACACTGTGCGTGGCACTTTAAATGTCTTTCATAAATGTACGCGGTTCTGGTACCATGCCGTTGAACTCGGCACCAGAGAAATCGAATCCGGGGTACTCGTTTCGAAATCGCTCCAACAAAATACGCTTTTTATCAGCTTCCTTATGGAAATCAGTGAGTTGCGTATCACCCTCGAAGACGTAGCTCCATACCTCACCCTTTAGGGCCTTGGTAAGGTGGACCTCTAACTTCCCCTCGTCAACTACCCAGATACACTCCGCAGTGTCTACGGCCTGACAGAGCACCCCCTGTAGTTCCACAGATCCTTCGATACTTATAGAAAGTTTTTTCGGCGAAAAATTCACAGAAATATCGCTCTTACTTGACCCCTCCGGCATATCGACGTATATGACCACACCCTCAAAATTTTGCTCCCAAGAGTATTTGTGTTGACCTAAAACAGTTAAAAATAAGATTAATCCATGAACTAACCGTTGGTTGCCGTGTTAGTGATGGAATCCATTGCGGAGGTAGATAGTGTGTAACTGCCGTTATCTACTTTCAAACACTCTCTTCAACACCCAAACAATCACACACATCTGAAAAGCAATGGCCATGCTTTAGACCCTGCCAATTATGATATATATTGTTTTCTTCGGTGTGGTATCCGTCGAATGGATCCGGTATACCGCAGAAAATTGTCACCAAAGAATCCATGGATGCTAATATCTGACACAATTAGAGCCGACAATGGCCCATTACAACATTCACATAACATTTAAGGTCGCTGCATTGCGCCGCGACTTTGTAACAATTATGATATCATGTCTGAGACATCTGATTTGAAAGCTCGATTAGTAGAGCTACGGGACCAACTTAAATCGGTAGTCGACACTTACAGCACATTATGTATCTATTTACGTGAAGTTGAATCTCTCTCCGACTATGTAGCCTCGGATTATTACGAGCTACAAAGCCCTTCAGAAGAAATGATCCAACGCCTGAATGAATGGCGTTCTTTAGAGCGGCGTATATTGAATGCAATGAATTATCACAGTCAACGCAACTTCACATCCTACAAAAATGCAGAGAAAACATTCATTAAGAAGCTACATAAATCCAGTGAGGGTATCGTACCAAAGCGGGATTGCGGCATCCATTTAAAGGTTCATCGCTTCAAAGAGGGGGTCATCGCCATGAAGTATGCCACTGAGGCACGCCGCAGAGTAACGAATATCGCTGATTTCATGGTACAGGTCAAACAAATATCAGGCCATGAACCAGATGATTATTGCGATAATTTAATAATACTACAAGCATTAACGGAGTGGACCAAGGAAGTTGTTAAGGACGCTGTCCGTTGCACGGCAAGTTCCGCGGAAAAGTTCAGGGACGAAGAATCTAATGGTCAAATAGTTTATTCAAACGAGGTGATATGTAAGATCATAGGGTTTTGTGCCGAAAACACAAAGGTCGACAGTACATCGGAATCCCGCATAGCTGAGCTAATAGAAAAAATGTTAATTCACTATAATTCATCCAAATCAAGGTCGTCAGACTCCTCTACAGCCATGAAGGAGTATACAAATACATCGCAAATTACATACTATCTTTTCAATCTACTCCGGGATTTGGCTACGGGCAAAGTTGTAGCGAATGAACGACTTGAGCGATTTCTTAATGTTTGTCAACAGCTCAACCTACAAGTGTATGTATCACCTCCAATTCATGTATATCGACATCAGGAGTATTTTTGCAACGTAACAAAATCATGTGAATTCGTCGAGCTAGTGCACTCAACACAGCAGAAGCTACTGAGAACGGTATCTGCAACTTTCGCCACCGAACTATTACGTCACATATTGAAAGTAATTCAATGTCCGGATTGGAAAACTATAGAGATACGAGGGATACTTACAGCTGTTCGCGCCGCCAAATATCTGTCAGACCCAAGCAAGAAGAAGCTATTGGGGATTTGGGACAAACCGCCATTCATTAAGTGATTATGCAGTTTAATAGTGACACTACTGGCTTTAAATTTGATGTACTATTACATCTTATTATGGTTCCATGAGTTCATAGTAGACCCTGCCTCCTCAAGTCTTCATATGCTCTGGCATTCATGACGTTACCCTCGGAGTCCTCGCACTCGACCTCTTGTGCAACCTTGAATGTGTTCTTTTCATTTTGGTTCCTCAATTTTTCGTATAAAGCGAATGCATCTTCTATTTTAGTGATTTCCTTAAAATGTGGAGTGTTTGGTATTTTGAGGCACCTCATTCCAAATGAATGCCGCCACTCCTGGAAGTGATTCTCAAACGCCTTCCTTCCCCAATAAGAGTAGTTACCACATATTTCACATTTAAACTCCTGGCCTAGGCCGTGGAGTTTGTATAACCAAAAAGGAATGGGTTTCCCATCCCATCCTAATGGCAGATTCAAAGGGTTATATATAGGCTGCTCTTCCTCTTCTCCACTGGATATGTCGTCGATATCGAGATGTTTGTCTGCACCAACTGAATCTAATATTTTTAGCGCGAGACTTTGCGATTCTTCCAGCTCCTTGCTATTGCGTGATTCGCGTTTCTCTATGAATTCGATGGTCTTCTCGATAGTGTTCGAAAGCAACTGCTTGTAGTGTTGTATCATATACTCCATCAGTGCTAGATGTTTATCATGATCTCTGCTAGCCTTTGAATGCTCCTCTAATTCTTGTGCTGTTTTCTTCGAGAATGTTTCTACAATTTTTTTATATTTCTTCCCATTCTGGAATGACTGCAACACCCCGCTTGAGGCAAAAAGTCTGTCTACCGGTTTTAAATAGAGCTCCATATTCTCTGTATGATCTTTCCAATGCGCAGGTCTGTTAGCGGTCCATTCCGTTTCGAATCCATCTTCTATTGATCTTTTGAGCGTATCTGTGGTAGCCAAGGGGTTTTGTCTTTGGAAGAATCCTACTAGGTACTCGAGAAGTTTTTCAAGGTACTCGAAATATTCCTTTACTCTATACTTGCAATGTCTAGGAATATCCGTGAATTGATCGAATCGATTTAGGTATGTAACGTAATCTATTTCGGTGAATGGTGTGATATTTGCCTCCAATTCTTCCTTGTCCTGAATACCCTTTCGATTGAATCGTAGTATTTCTTGCTGTTGGTGTAGTTTTGCCCTGAAGTTCCGCAGATCTTGCAGGTTTACAAACCTTCTATAGTGTTCTTGTAAATCTAAACATTTACCATAGTTTTCGTCTGGAGTGAATTCTAGGTCAACATTGACCTTGGACATAGCCTCCTTCAGCACTTCATCTACAGTACGCGATTCTACAGGCACATTTAACCCTTCATTGCGTTTATAGTAGTCCTTTATACTCTTGAGATTACTATAGAAGTTAGTCCACAGTTGACCGTCATCGTCCTTTGAGGCAGCAGTCCTCCCTCCCTCCTGTTGACCTGCGTGATATATAATAAATTTGTAATTGAATTGGAAATTAATATATAATAAGGAGAAGAAACAGAATCAGGAGCGTCAAAATGCCCATTTCAGATTTTGTATCGCTACTGGATCATATGGTTTCACGCATAGTGCGCTATTAGTGCGACACATAGATTATATCAGCTCATAAATCCACCACAACCCATACACAAAGCATATGATCTAGCACCAATTAACCTCTAATAGGTTTTAGACCACAGTTTCGCCACCATATAATATTGTACAAGCCACTTCGCACATATCCATGAGTGTATATAGACACTTGAGTTAACCTACCGGCGAGATACCTAATCTCTTCCTTCCTAAGTCCATCTTCATCTTTATAATATGTTATACATGTCTGGGCTATATTTTGCGATTGTTCAACAAGGTTTTTGATCGCCCGTTCGATAGTTGCGAGTCTCAAACCAGAAGCCTTCCTTCTGTCGTTCATTAATGTACTTATAGCCTTTTCTAAGTACTCGAGCTCCTCCTGAGAGGCCCGGATACGCTCGAGCAGGAACGTCATGGTTATTCAGACTGCGCGTCGCACTTACCCACTTAAGTAGTCTTATCTGGGGATTGATGCGGTAAAAATATATATAATTTTGTATTAACATTAGCTTATATTATTTGTTTAGCCACACCACTCCTTGTAGAAGTCATTCCCTTTAGCGTCTACTATAACGAACGCTGGAAAGTCCTTGACCGTGATTTTATGTACAGCCTCCATTCCCAGCTCAGGGAAGTCTATAACCTCGACGCTAGTGATACATTGCTTTGCGATTAGCGCGGCTGGGCCGCCCACAGATCCTAGGTATACACCTCCGTATTTTTTGCACGCGTTGGCAAAGGCGCGCGAACGATTACCCTTGGCAAGTGTAATGAGCGAGGCACCCTTTTCCATGAACTTAGCAGCGTAACTGTCCATCCTACCAGCGGTCGTAGGACCGAAAGATCCGCTTACAAAACCGTCTGGTTTCTTGGCAGGGCCTACAAACAGTTGTGACCACGATAGTATGAAAAAATATAACAACACACAGATTGATACTCAAAGGGACAGTTATACAACCATCCATTCTTGTCACTTTAGAGACATTTGCGACATAGAATATCATATGGTACCCGGTTACCAGGAGACAATATCGGGGTAACTTTAAAACCAAAAGACTTATACACGAATATTAATAACTAACCAGCATAATAGATGGGATATTCCTTGGCATATGATGGTAAATCGCCAGTTTCCTGAAGTATCTGGCTCATTCTAGCATGTGCAATATCCCTGGCAACTATCATAGTTCCACTAAGAAGTAGGCGTTGTTTAGTTGGATATTGCCTAATCTGATCCAATACTTTATCCATGCCTGCATCAAGATCTACGTGTATCTCCTTATCGTCGTGGTTCTCCTCAATATTCGGTAAGAATTGGGCTGGGTCATGTTCGAGCTTTTCCAGATAGACACCAGAGGAATCGATCCTAGCCATGATTTGCCGGTCCGCTGAGCAAGATACACCTATACCTACGAACGAATATAACTTCAATAGTAGATGCCAATTACCGATTGGACATGAAGCTCCATGTCTTGGCAAACGCACGACCCTAACATCGTGACAGAAATACTTGCCACCAAACTGCGCACCAATACCCAGAGTTCTTGTGATATTGAGGATTTCATTTTCTAGCTTCAAGTCACGAAATGCAGTACCAAAATTGTCACCAGTAGTGGGTAGCCCGTCAAGGTACTTGCAGCTTGCCATTTTAACAGTTTTCAAGGTCATTTCAGCTGATAATCCACCTATGACAACCGCCAGGTGATACGGCGGGCATGCTGAAGTGCCTATTGTTTTTATTTGATCCATAAGGAAGTTGACGAGTACGTCCGGGTTAAGCACTGCCTAACATATATATGAAGAAGTTAGAGATACTTGACACAACTTGTCACAAAACCAAACACGATTTATGATATCTAATAGATTATTTAATGTAACATGACTTACTTTTGTTTGTTGGTATAGAAAAGTTTTGTTCGCCGAGCCGCCTCCTTTAGCAATGAAAAGGAGCTCATAACAATCTCCGTCCTTAGAGTATAGTTCGATTTGTGCTGGTAAGTTACACTTGGTACTAACTTCTTCGAACATGGTCAGTGGTGACATTTGGCTGTATCTGCATAGTATTTGATTTCCCCTTTTGATTACAGGTCGCAGTAAATAATAACGATTCTACTTACCTGAATTTCCTCTTTACATATGCGTCATATACACCTTTGGCAATTGAGGTTTCGTCATTCTCGCTATAGATCCTGTTACCACGTTTGCCAACAACTATAGCTGTACCGGTATCCTGACATCCTGGTAACACTCTGCGTACATATGTCGTGAATTACTCTCCACGTACCCTCCAGAAGCAACACACGCGTTTTTCAATAGCTGCATAGCAACGAATTTATCGTTATTGCTGGCCTCAGCATCATCCAAGATAGCTCTCAGTTGGCTCAGATGTTCGGTTCTAAGGAAGTGCATGATCTCGATAAAAGCTCGTTCTGTAAGTTGCTGGATGACTTCTGGAGGTACGACAAGCATCTTTACAGGGGCTCCTCCTCCTCCTATAGATTGTATACCGGAATCCACGACATTGGTAAGGGCACTTAGATCGTCTAAACGTTCGAATTCATATTCTTGAGTACGTTTGCCTTTTTTGAAAGGGTCTACGAATCTCTCGTCGAATACTGGAGCATCTACTGGCTTGGACACACAGGCAGACGCCTGTGACGCAAAATATTTGCAACCATCACAGGGGTTACAGCGCATCCTCAGTAACCCTGTATGGCGTTTATATAGCGTAGAAGCATTTTTGGCGAAACTAAAAAGCCTCAATTGTCGCAGCATGGTAATATTGTGATCGTCACTTTTATGTCATGTCACAGCAGCAAGGACACAACAGAGTGGCGGTGTAATGTGTATCAGGCACACTTGAAGATATTTCAGGTATATATGTGTGTTAAAGATCGGGACTATCAACGCACATCGCTACTTTGCTTAATGTGTCATCAAGCGCGGGGCATTCCCGCGTCTTACACATTAAGCCAGAATGTATGATAGTGGCGAGTTTGTCTCGCTTTACGAACGTCTTAAGGCTTCTTCATATGGCTTCCGAAACGGTTGTATTCAGTCTTTCACGATCTTTTTGATTTTCTCTTTTCAACAATTCATCCTCTACTATATCATTTTTTATGTGCGCAATGAACCAAGGTTCCTCTATCTACTAATTTTCGACGCTATTATAGGTTGGTTTATGATGCTTGATGGTCAATTCTTGCCGTAGCGGTCTATTTACTTAACGGAGCAATATCAACGAAAGGTCATTCGTCAGCTCGTATATCGGTACAATGGCGACTTTGCTGTACAAGCACAGTGATAAAGATAGCAGGCATGTTGTTGCTACGCAACAACCCAGACCTCACCTTTGCTGGCGGATTCAATCCATTTGCTGCAGAGGACTATCTTTCCTTTATCGGGTTTTACCTAACTCCGATAGTGTACATACTTTTTAGCAGGATGTCCAATAGGTTCCTGTTCAGTCGAGAGAAACGTAATGTGAATGTCGATGAGTTGCTACACTCCGATCTGGCACTAGCAACAGCGGTCGACCTTTGGGATATTGTTATCATGGTGAACCATTTGTTGAGTGAGTTTTTACATATATAATACTTTGACATAGATCAGGGCGTTATAGAGTGCACGAAAAAAGATGTCTAGATTCGGCAGGCTCATTTACGAGAAACGGCAACTTTCTAGCGTATGCCCTTCTATGTATAATCAGTACCTTCCTATTGGGATTTGTATCTCCGACAGTCGATAGTGACCTGGCTCCCGGTAGCCGTTTATTGGAACGCCGTATCTCATTTTGGTTAAATATACAAAACTATTTTCGATTCTTACGACGGAAAAATCAAGATGACTCAAAATTGAGTGATGAGACTTGGCCTCATGATCGTGGATTCGAAGGTAGAGATGTACAAAATTCCGATACATCACAAATATTCAAGGCAAAATCCGCACCTAATGGCCAATATCTCGATATGTTTACTATCGCAAAATATACTTTTTTGATTGGATTCTGCCTTATAGATATACCATTTTTTGTATATCGCTTGGTACATCTATTGAAGGAAAATGTATTCTCACTCATGATATACAAGAATATACTCGGGATGGTATTGCGACCATATCGTCTAACACTTAGCCAATTGGCAGAGAGAGATAGTGCAAAGGGTTGGCAGAGTGCCTTTTTTGAAGCACAACCTATGTGCAACGACCCCTCGGCAAAAAAAGTCATACACGATGATTTGAAAGTTCTGGATGAAGAAAACGAATCGGATACCGAACTCCAACTTTCACGTAAACTAACTGATCGTGCTATGCTTAGAAGGGGCCTGAGCAGTACACTTTCGTCAAACACACGCAGCTATACTAGGTATTCCTTTAACAAACGTGGTAGCACTATGACCCAGGATAATTCCTTGATGCGATCAACAACTGAATTTAGAACTGCCACGCTTCTAAGTAGCGATCGTGGTACGGATGCTACTAACAACCAGGATACACGAAGCTTTACTGATGACCCTTTGTTACCCAGGCTACGCTTCAATCCTTCTAATACGTCAATTCCAGATACAAACTGGTCATCTAGTACATCCAACCATGAGTCGGACCCTACGGAGGCAGTTAAAGCCGAGTACAAGGTAGAAAGCGAACGTCGGCTACTATTGCTTCGTAAACTAAAGCGCCATCGTGACATCCCGGTGACCACTTTAGGTTATATTACACTATTTAGTAAACTCCGTGATGTATTTTGTAGTATATTCAAGGTTGAGCCTAATTTCGATATGGATGCGTCGGAATTTTTGGTGACTGAGCGCCCTTTTGAATTTATGAGGATGCTGACAGCATTATGTATAACTCTGGTTTCTAGGGTTGCTATTGTCATAGTATGTTATGTATATCGGGGTAAAGTGCGATCACCTCGTTTCATCTTTGGATATGACATCTTTACAGCTGGACCCTACGAGTTATTGGTATACGGAATTGTTATATTCGCACCACTAATATACTCTATGCTATTCATTCGTGTCCAAGGATGTGGTTTTATAGGATGTATCCTATTTTGGTTACAGGAGATCGTTAAAATGGGCAGCTATGTGACGTGTATCTGTTGTTTAAGGGACCTCATACAGACCCCGAGTTCAGTTCTATTCGCGATAGAGTTGGCTATTCTCTTGCAATGGCCAATATACATTGCGGTGTTAACCGTGTCCTGCGCTGGTGCTGGCAACCTGAACATTGTACGTCTGATGTATATTTTATGCAAGCACAGTTTTTGCCCTGTTAGTTTAAACTACAAGCTGTTTTGTTTGGATATTATGAAAAGCACGACTATTGCAGACAGCCTGTTGCATTCACAATGGAACTATCATTCATATAGAGCCCTGTTCAGTTCATTATGTTGTTCATTTTCGCCTACAAAGACAGAATTGATGGTCATATTGGTAGATCTGCTGATGCGATTCATTTATGTTATTTTCAGTCAGACTATGCGAGTTTTGATGTTACGTAAATTCGAAATACACTACTTAATCATGCGTCTGACAAATTCCATCAGCTTTGACTACTTGCCACCAACCGACACATTTTCTATGTCGTCTGAAAGTACAAGTCAATTCGTCACACCTGCAGATGTGGATGAATATATAAAAGATCAAGGTTTATTATCATCTCCAGGGGTACTAGTGCCCCCGTTTTTCTAATAGGACCAGAAATCGGTACCTACTTAATGCGAATTAGATCATTCTCGCAAACAATATTGCCAACAACCTACAGTAATTATTACATTAGCATCAAAATTCACATATAAGATGATAGTAACATTAATGCGCCCTTTTAGCAATTGTTTTTCTGAGATTCCGATACTACATCTCGATAAGTGACTTCGCTATCGCTGCTTGCAGCTCATTATCCTCGGCATCCGAGGCTATCATACACTCTTGGTAAGTGTCGTCGGGAGCGCGCACGTGATCGTCATGTGACATGTGAGCGTTCAGTTCCTCCTGTAAGCTGCGAGCTAAGGCTACTGATGACTCGTAGCGCGGATCACCTTCGTTGCAGAAAGCCTCATATGAACCATAATCCTGCACATCCACCTCCTTAAGGAAATCAGCAGCATTTACAGCAACGTCATCGTTATTCACAGGCTCCGGTGGCAACTCAGTGTTACGGATTGGTGTTGGTTGTACTTGGCTTGCAGTACTCTGGGTGTTTGACTGCGCTGCGGCATTTTTCCGCTGTAGATAAGCCTGGTGATGCTTGTTGCGATACAAATGGATTTCATCCATTATTACTTTCGTATACGTATATCTCTTGTTTTCGTTTTCTGTGATTGGGCGAATGTCGTGTGTACTTCAGCCTGAAGCCTGCAGCACTAAGCTCGTCGATCTGTCCGCTACGTGCTTTATCAGAGAGTCTGTGGGCTTCACAAATTTGTGGTGACTTAATTCGATATTCCTTCTGTAAACATGTGTATATGTCTAGGCCTATTGATCTTACCTTCGGTGGCACGACAATGTCCATGACGAACGGCACTATATTAATCTCCCTTTGATGAGCTACATCCAATGCTCGAAGACAGGCACATACTTCAAGGTGAAATGTCGAACTTTCCGGAACATAATCTTCGGGAACTTTCCCAGTTATCTGCGCGACATTATTCCACCGGCTTTCACGCTGCGTAGATCAAAACATTTAATCCATGCATAAAATTGTTAATCGCTCCATTACTATACATAACACCGATACTTGGCACTGTAGATCCGAAAAACGAAAGGCGTTCATCAATTCCAGAACCGGTCACTCACCACCAAGGAATGTCACTCAAAAAACACATACTAGCACCTGGATGGAACAAACTGACATGTTAATGCATGTGGTTTAACACAATTACAGCTTCTATGTAATTATAACATAACAAGCAATCTGGCACAATTCACCGGTACATCACTCTGAGACACACATCCATGTGTAATGCATAACCTACATATTCGCGATCGCATATGTCATCAAGCACCTTCTGAGCGTGTCTCGGTAGTAGTTGTGGTGGCAATATCCCGAGTTTAAACACATGCCTGACGAGATGATGCCTCCGTTGTATCGTCAAGACGAATGACTTGGACCTTAACTTTGGTATAGTGTGGGAAACATGCCTCAGCCATACTGGCATGAACGTTTGCAGAGTAGTCCTGCTGGCAAATGTCATTGCTGCAAGCGGTAACCAGTTAATGGCACATATGTCGAAAGAAGATTGTCTAATCCTAGCGGTAAGCAGCCTCCACATACCATCAAAATTACAATCACCAGAATAGTCAAGGTCCCCAGCTGCTACTATACAATTAGCAGTTATATAAGCAACTTCACGACCTGCAGAATTGTCGTGGGCGCTCCCATCGAGTGCGTTCAAATGTTTGGACAACCGCTCAAGTGTCTTTCCAAGCAGCCACTCATCCCTCACTCTTACACGTGCAAGCGCCCTCAATATAACAGTAAGGTGTGCTACGCTGTGATTATCAAAATTACGTGCTACCTGCTGGCACAGCACAGCATAAAATTCATGATCCTCTAAACACGCATTACTATACGCGTCCATAATGGCAGCGATTTCATCAGGTCCAAATTCATGTGGGTTGTCCTGTATACGTTTAGCCATCATGAACATCCAAAATTCATCAAGGTGCTTGGAATGTCCCAGTGAGAATGATATATTGGCAATACTCTTTGGTTCGATCCTATGCAAACGGTCACAAATAAAATCGCTAAACACCCGAATATGGTCACAATTAAGCTGCGAAAAGTTTCGCTTAAGAATCAGGAGGTTCACAGCTCGGGTAAGTATCGCTTCATCTAGAGACTTCAGTTCCTCACAAGGTGACTCTTCAGATTCCTTAACCTTAGCATCTAGCTTCTGCAGTTCGGACGCGATATGATCGTATATAAAACTCTCCTTTTCAAAGGTGTACTGTATTATCGCGGCACTAGCAAGTGCGTCCAATACTAGAGGCAAATCAAACCTCACCCCTTGATCCTCCGATGTATGGTTCATCCACGGCCATGCATGTTCCTCTACACGGTGTATCGCGCTTGGAGTTTCACGTCCTTTACAGTTTTCACGAAGGATATGACCCATAAGACGCAGTGCCCTGCTACTACCCGTAGCACCGCATACGTATACCAAGCTACGAACATCCAGTTCCTCCAAAACAGCACGATATTTATACAAAGTATCCACAACCGCTTGCGAATTTCTTCGTACGTATGGATAGACGAAGATGGTAGTGTCAGGTAACGAGGTATCTTCACCTTCTGGTTCACAGGATGAAGAATCTGCCTCCACATCGTTACGCATTACCTCAGAAACGCCATCTGTGGAGCCACCCAGTGACCTCCACCAGTCTACAGCTCCACAGCCACTAGGCCCATTAAGACTGATAGTGATGTAACCTCTGAACCTTGCGTGACCTAACCAGATGTCATTTTGGTTACCATCACGATCACCAGCAACTCCATCTTGATAGACAATACGGGTTTGACTGGCTACATTTGGCAGCTTTCCTGAGTTCCTCTGCGGTGAGAGCCTCCATAGATGTTCGGAATCTGATAATCCTAGGTGCCTAGCGGCTAGTAACATAAGGTCATTATCAAACCTTGGAACACCTGCAGTTACCCTGGGTTCTCTACGGGACCAAAGGCTACAAACACGCATCACTGTACTGTTAACACCCCGTGCAACATCGCTGTACCTACGCTTGGCCAGCGTAGAACCTCCACCATGGCTTGCGCCTCTACACACTGTATTTAATGCGATCATTTTAAATCAGTTACCGCGAATTTTGCGGCCATAAACCATTATTATATTCCAATGTTATAACATTTTCAGCTAATTTAGTGATATAAACCTTCTTCCATGTGGGTACTCCCACTCCCGCTATCTGAACTCGCATATGTCATCTAATGATACACTGAAGCTGTTACCGCGAAAAACTATCTTCGCATAAGTCTTGGTAACATTCAATACTTGTACTACAGTAGCAACAGGTATATAAAACTTCTCGTTATGCCTTGCGATTTGACGGACGACTTTACACTTGGTCGCATCGAGCGATACAACTGTCTCCACACCCTTTGGTGATACATTCACCAATTTGCCATCTATGTCAAGCGTCACCGCTTTATCCTCTACACGTATGACGACTCCCTTCTGCCCGAAATAGGGATGGCCACGTTCGACAACTCGTACATAAAGCCCTCGTAATACCCAAGTTGAGGATAGATTTCCAGGACTCGCAGCATCGTGAGACTGGTGGTACATCTGATCCTTCTTAAGTTTAGCCATCATGCTAGTGTTGGTCAGAGTCTCCATATTCTGCTTCATATGTGCATCCGCACCTAAACCAGCTCGATCATAAGCTCGCCTTTTATACTCCTTAGGCTTGTTGGTGTTGTTTTGGGGGTCGAATCCCATACCCAAAAGCATAGCAAGGCCGAATTGGTCCACAGCAACCTTTTCATATGATGGCGCATCATCGCTATCTGCTTCCTCTTGCCTATCGCGCTGATCCTTGTTTCTTAAAAGGATAGGAACGGTTTTAGTCGCTTGCTCAACGAGATCAGTGCCAAACAACTTTTCTCGTAGTTTCTGCTGTTCCAAATCGTGAAGTATCAGTTTAGCAACCTCAGCATCACTGGTCGGTTGTGCGGGCTCAGAGTCTCCATGACTCGACGTAGGTACGCTTGTAGTTGCCTCCTGCAACGAGGTTGCACAATCACTGTCAGCAGGGTTGTTAACTAGCAGAGTGTCGGCAACACCCTGTTTCCTTGCCGTCGTGGCATCCACATCTACGCTCGAACACGCAGGGCTACCTGCAACGTCCACTTTTGGACTCCTTGAGCTATCAGCAGGGACAGATTTCGTTCTAATTTTCGTATTAGGCAACAGATTTAGCCCATATTTTAACTCTACAGGCTCTTGCTTCTCTATATTCCGTTCATCTGTATCGTTGGCAGCTACGTCATCCAAACGGTTACTACAGGGTATAACACATTGACCGTCGGTAGTGATATTCACAAGCAATTTCTCTCCATTTGCTCCCTCAGATTCCACTCTCATACGCCCATTCGTGATTTCTGTGACCTTTGAACGCCTCACGAGTGGCACAGATGGAGCATCGGAGTCAAAAAATTGCGATGCGGCCGGAGCAGCCGTACGAGCGGCAGATTGCTGCCTGCTTCCAGCTTTCGGTAACCCGAAACTTATTTTCATAACGCTAATATACCTTTCGACTCAGCTCTACGAAGTACGCTGGGGAGGCGCGCAGGTGGGCCTTATTGGCTGAGAGGAACACAGAGACGACAGCAGGCGATTTATCTCGATACAAGCGCACTTTCCGATATAATTACAGCGTTCACGCAACACATAGTACAACACATACCACATTTGCGTTGACCTGAAGACGTACACCATGTGCAAGGGAACCACAGGGCAAAATTAGCGGCCTAAGCAATCGCTTCAACATCACCCTGCACATAATATCCATTAGATATTCTATGTGCTATCCCCAGAGATGGGATTCTTGACCATTGGAACGCCGCTTAGCTTCAAGGATACCGCAAAAAGAGCTGAACGAATAAGACTGCTTGGCACTTTAGAGCTTTTGCAGTCATATCTCCGCAACCATGGTCGAAAGGATGAAGTTAGACGATTTGGGCATGAGTGCGAGTATATGCTGATCCAATTGAACCCAATTACACGGGAAGCAAAACTGATGCCATGTGCGCCACAGTTGCTGAAGAGGATACCAGACAGTCCAGAACCCGATTCCAGAGGCTACAAGTTCATGCCAGAGTTTGGTGCCTTCATGATTGAAGGTATACCGCGTGAACCGTGGCGTTTGGATGAGGACTACGTCTTGGACCTGTCCAAATGGTTTGCAGATGCCCGGCGACACATCTGTGCTGTATTAGAGAGCATGGGAATGCAAAATGTATATCCCTTTACCCTAACATCTTTTCCACTACTTGGAGTCCCTAATACAGTTTGCGAATATCCAATGGATCCTTCAGTGAATCGGCCAGTGATGCTGAGCGAGTTCTGTAGCGACGTTTTGGTGAACCCGCATCCACGCTTCACAACACTTGCGCGTAACATTCGAACACGACGTGGAAAGAAAGTCCATATCACATCTCCGCCGTTCATACAAAGTGAAAGCAATGTATCGCAAAACGATGATCCGTGCAGTAGTCCCGCCACAGTAGCCCCGATCCCTGAAACCGATGCATATGACACTTCGTCAGATACAGTTACAAGTGACCGTGAGGGTTATAGTAGCGAAAAAGATGAAAATGCAGGCCACGGGCCCTCAAATTCCCATATAAATGGTAGTTATGACTACACCAAAGAAGCAAAAGATACTCTTTCGAACCTATTTTTAAAACCAGATGCTGGACCAAATGTTGCTCTCGACGAAGAAATAGACGCAGCAGTGATGTCTAACGATGTGAGAAACATTATTAAAAATATCCAACCATCGCTCAAACCACGTGATCCCATATATATGGATGCCATGGTATTCGGTATGGGCATGTGTTGTCTACAAACAACATTCAGCTGTGTCGATGAATACGAAGCCCGCTATTTGTACGACCAACTGGCTGTACTGTCACCGCTTTTCCTAGCGTTAACTGCTTCAACGGCGGCGTTCATAGGCACAATGTCATCCCACACAACTCGATGGCGCGTGCTGTCTCAATCGGTAGATGATAGGCGTGATGAAGAACTTGAGCTTGTACCTTTCTCAAGATTCTCAACTGTTACACTATACATTTCAAAGGAACCCTATTTATTGGAAAACTACAAACGCCTAAACGATGTTGCAGTACCCTCAAGGCCAGATGTGTACAAGGCCTGCTTGGACGCCGGTATCGATCGCGTGATGGCACGCCATTTTGCCTACATAATGGCACGTGATCCTTTAGTTGCGTTCCATGAAGATTTGGATGCGGTTGATACACATAACACAGACTCACATTTCGAGGCATTTCAAAGCACCAACTGGAACACGGTACGTTTCAAGCCACCACCCCTGCAAGCTGGCGGTTCATATCCCATCCCATGGCGTGTGGAATTCCGTTGTTGTGAAGCTCAGCTGCGAGATAGAGAGTCTGCTTGCATCGTGGCGGTCATAGCATTGACCGTACGTGTTTTGCTGAAAGAGCGTTGGAACCTATACATGCCAATGTCGCTGGTCCACCAAAATATGGACGCATCCGATGCCCAGGATGCTATAAAAGACCACAAATTCTATTTCGTTGACAATGTAGCTAATGGGTCAGAGCATATCGGGCAATTCACTATGCAAGAAATATTCTTCAGCCACGATTCCCTGGGACTGTTCAATCGCTGTGCTAGACACGTCGAAGAAGATTTCAAATCTGGCGCCATCTCAAAGGAATCTTATGACATCCATATGGAGAACTTGCAGATGGTGAAAGACCGTATATGTGGTTCACGTGCAACGAACTCGCAGGAGATCCGGGATTACATTCTGAACCATCGCGATTTTGCAGGTAATGGCAAAGTCACACAACAGATTGTGTTCGACATGTTGACGACATTAGCACAATCGATCTAATGATCTGTTGCATCTCGCTTGGCTCGTCGTATACTGATAGATAGCCTGAGATCGTCAGAAATGGCCTTGACGCTTTCGAGCATGTTGGCGCTGCATTGTAGCCCGGTTAGGGTCCCATCACTACATTGTGGTATAACTCTATCTAGCCTGGGGGATGCATATGACACTTTGCTCGTGTCTTCATTTTTCAAACAAGCATCATTTTGATAGCCTGGCTTGTTATATGTCAGTAACTTGACGATACCTGAATTTAGTATATCGATGTGTATATGTGGTTACCATGTAGACAGAACCTTGCATCCTGTGCCATTAGCACTATTGACCCTGAGTCTGCCACGAATGCTACGGGTATAGTACTGACAAATGTTACTGGTGTAGCGTGTGACCTCACCTATGTTCAACACCACCTAGTGTGAAAATTGCAGGCGCACCAAGGCTGATATTAACCACGGTGTCGGTAGTCTCTTCTGCATCGTCCTTGTGTAATCTAAGGAAATAACCCTTTGTGTAACAGTTTATTATAGCTGCCTATAGCAGGTGTACGACACGCGACCACAACCTACATCGGGAATGTATTCTTCATTAAAATGTGACAATAGGTTCCGAGTAAGGTTAATAAGCGGTTCAGGGAACTTGGTAAAACCTTTGTACGTCCGAGTTCCCCAACTAAAATATTTTAAGTGACACATGATTTGACTTACTCATACATGTGACCTATGGTTGCCCATCTGAACTTTTTAAATATTGGTGATGCTGTAACATATTGTGACAATCCACGCAGTTTACTAACGCCATATAGGTGTAGGCAGATTTGTATCGTTTTGATACAGATTACTGTTATTCGGAGGATTGATATATTCGGTGAGGGTCTGACACATGAGAGCCTCGCATTGACTCTCTGTGAGATAGTTTCGTACTAAATACAATCCTGATCAATAATTAATTCGAATGGATGAATATTTACCAGGGAATCCATCAAATGTGTAGACACAGGCCTCCCCGGGTGAACATTTTTCTGTACACCCTGGAAGGAAATGGACCCTATAAATGGAAGCGATACGCTCCAGTTCTTCCAACTTCTCTTCATCTTCACCAGCCGGCTTAGCCGCTTCGTGAATACTAGTTCTTAGTGCGGTTCTGAAGGCATGGGTGTTGAGTGAATCCAACGGTGTATTTCTAATCTCAGAGAACACTACATTGGCGTAGCTAGTAAAGTAATGCTCCTGGTACATCTCGGTGTGTACAATATCGTACACGGTAGAGGTGTGTGTGAAATCCTCTACCTTACTACGCCTAGCTATCTCTGTATAACTCGCGTTTTGATTGGCCAACCAATCCTTCCATTCTCAAAAAACAATATGACCACATATATATACCAGTATATTTATCTGAAAAATTATGCGATTGTATCTTAATGAAATGTGAATGGCGGCCTACAGAGAGTGTCCACTGCCTACAATTCCCACGAATCACACATCAATAGGCAGATTCCCATGAATGCAGTCGCGATGCCATTACATCTGTATGACTTTCCCCCATCGTAATAGCCAAAATGATACAACGCATCAATCCAAATCAATAACCGAAGTACTTGGATGCTGCGGACCTCCAGGTCTGGTGCCCGACTGTGACTTAGTGCCTAAACTACGTGCCTGAGCTTCCAAGAACTGTTGCTGCAATGCTGCAAGTTTGTCCTCCAAAGTGTCCAAACATATCTCCAAGATCTTCTCTGGAGGGATAGCTCCATTAGATTCCACAGTGAAATGGAATTTTGTTTCGTCAGGTTGTACCCTTATAAGATCACGAAGACCCATTTCCCGTACCTGGTTGAGACATTCATCACAATATATACAGTTGAGGTTATTGTCGACGGCGAGGTCAGATTTGCCTGCTGTCGAGAACATATTTTCAGCCGTAGTAAGTTTAAATACTTGACGCGGACAGCTCTGTACAATCTGCGTCTTCTCATTAACCGTCAGTTTATCAGCCTCCTGCTTGTTTATAGTGATCACAGGCTCCATTTTGTATGCGACATTAGCAACCATCCATTTAGCATGGAACTTTCCCATACCCTTAGTAGCTGTCATCTTCATACTGACAGATTGCCCACGTTTCAGCTTCACTATCGGTATGCCGCCAGCGGGCGCTTCAGTGTCATCAAAATCATTGTCGTAGCTTCGGCCATAGGTACTACTCTGATACTGTGTACTACCGGCTGGTGTCCCTAGACTTGTGGGTTGAGGGGAGGACGGGAATGTTGGCATCCAACTCTGTTCGTTAAGGGTACTGACTGTAGGACCGGTTGCATTATGCATTGGCAAGGTGCCATAACTGTGGCCAAACGTGTCTACACTTGGCCTTGGTACAGGCATTGGCGCTCCAGCAGCTCCTCTCGCTCCCTCCCAGCTATCGACTTTAATGTCATAATGGGTGACTATCCGATTCTCTCCGTGGCATTTTACGTCTAAAGCGTACTCCACGGTACATCTTGAACACTTGTCACTGCAGTTGCACTTGTCCCTGTATTCAAAACTTGATGCATTCCTAGAATCTATAGGTAATAGACCAAGTCTGTGTGCGATATATTCGTCGTGTAAAACTGATGTATTCTCCAATACAGTAACCACTTCTATAGCCAGGGCTGGGATCTCACTGAGCATGATACGTCGCAATGCGTTGGCCGTTGATACGTCAGCATTGAGAAGTATAAACGACATTTTGTTACTAGAGAGGCTGACGATATCAATAGACGGCCTTAGATGCCGCGTAGTCCACTCCATTTTAGAATATTAGAACTGAACGATATTAGCGTGAAGTTTTGAGATAAGGAGGAAGCAAAACTTCATTATCACGATGACCAGGATATAGCACAATTCATTGCGAGTTAGATATGTAAATATCACCGCGGTATTACGGTGATGCCTTTTGCTATACCATCAACGTACAACATACCTGATACATTAGCCTTCCGTAGGCGTCACCTTTTCCAAAATACCTACACTTCAAGCTACCAGCTTGAACTTTGGAGGTTACTCGTGTAACAATTAGCGTCGGTAATTACCACTTATTCTCGCGATGTGGTATCGCAAAAAGGGGCAAGGCAAATAAGAACAGCTGCGACTCGACCAGTTCAGTATGTTGCCATAACATCATTGTGTTAAAATTTTAGGCATGGAAGATAGCGTTTGCGGTGCATTCGCATACTCCTCATAAGCCACTACATTGGCGCAACCTCAACAGGGCCTTACACACCACCAAGGTAATGCTACTATTTAGCCTTCTAAATCATTATGTATCATTAAAGTACAAAACGGTGTGACAAAAGGCGCAGTATTGGCCAACAGCTTGAGCTGGAATCTCGCCACTTGTCAAATCACGGCACAGGGCTATCAGTGAAGTGGCCGATCTAAAGCATCGGGATTGATAGTCTCCATAAGTTGGATAGCACGATGTATGTACTGTGCACTCTTGGTCTTCCCTTTGTGGAAGTTAAGCTTCTCGTAAGCGTCCATGTCCGAGAGGGCCTGCCTGAACAATCTAGTTCCGGCCTCGCCATGGAAGGTCCCTAAAATAGGTTTCACAAGCACACATACGTTCATGCTTTCGGTGCGCTCACTGTTAGCGTCGATAAAGTCTGCGTAAGCCTCCAACAGGATGCGACGAGTTTTACAAGTAGAAGGGTTCTCAGCTTCTCCATATATGTCGGTGTCCACTCTTACGAGACCGCAAGGGTTCTCGTACGCCATACGACCAACCATGACGCCGTAGACGCCCTTATCAAGAGCATCCTTTATTTCACATAGCGATTTTATACCACCATTCAGAGTAAAATTGAGTTGTGGGAACTCCTTGCATAGCCGATATACACGGTCGTGGTCTAGTGGTGGTATCGATCTATTTTTCCTTGGATTGATACCATGGAGCCATGCTTTTCTAGCATGTACGATAAAATGCGTGCATCCACCCTCGGCTACTGTTCTTACAAAGTCACGGACAAACTCGTAGCTATCGTTGTGGTCCACGCCAAGCCTGTGCTTAACAGTCACTGGTACTGGGAATTCGTCCTTCAACTGCCGAACTATACCACTAACCAATGCTGCTTCGTTCATTAGAGCCGCACCGAAACACCCTTTACCAGATACCCTGGCTGAAGGACAACCCGCATTAAGGTTGACCTCATCATACCCATAGGACAGTGCGATTTTAGCAGCTTGCCGAAGTGTATCGATGTTATTTCCTCCAAGTTGTACAACGATAGGTCGTTCATTTGGAGAAAATTGTAATAATTGGTGTACTTTGTCCTTGTCGCCATAAATTAACGATCCGTCAGCCATCATCTCTGACCAAAGCTGAGCTCGCTTTGTTATAAGGCGCATAAATTGCCTGTTTGACTTTAATTACTTCTTATTTCAACCCACCTGAACTCGAAGTAAGTGACGTCTAACATCGGTGCGATCTGTACTAATGGGCGATCATGCCTCTGCCCTGATGTTGCTTCATCCTGCATAGCCATCCGTGTTTCGGAAGTTGAATAAATCTTGTCGCAGGTCTCAGAACGTAAGGACGACTTCATACCCCTCAGATAACCGATGCCATTCACAATTGATGGATGTTTGTGAGTAGAGAACGCCTCAACGGTTCCATGTGTGTCGAGCTCCATTGCTACACAGAAGAACGATAGCAACAAAGGCTTCACGAAGATTGGGGACATTGGCGCCGCCGCTAGCGCCCGAAGCAGTCTATTTTAATCGCATTGCGCGGCAATATTGTTATATACTCTCAAGTATCAATGTGCAATCAGCAATCCACCGGGCAAGTTAGGCGTGCACTCCGTAATCCCGATGTCTATGGAGTCTCTGACATGGGATTCATATAGCTGATTAATTTATATCCTTTTGATATTTCCTAATTCTCATGGATGACGCGCCACGGGCGCCGCCTTCGAAGAAGGCGCCAATAGTTGACAATTTCGTCTTACTATTCCACAATAACGATGAAAATACTGGAGAACAAGAATATCTAGACGCTGAAAGCGATGCGGATCTCTCCCCCGAGGAATCGTTTAGATGGAATGTCCGTAACTACCTCCAACGTATTGAAGAGCTGCGTGCAGAGATCACAGACAAATACCTCGCGAAACAATCTACTCAAGCAAAGCTTGACGCACAACTGTTTGAGCTACAATTACAATCGAAATATAACGCGCTGAATGTGCAGAAATGTAATGCCATCAAAGTGAATTATCAGCGTAAGCTGCTGTTGTGCCAAAAAATATATTCGCTCGCCGTACAGTTACAGACGATATATATCGAGTTGGCAGAAATGGTAGAGAATCGTATGATTCGTACTACCGAGCTACATCGCTCTTCACGATTATGCGCATCAACACTCTACGAATACAAAAAACGAATGGAATCATAGTATTCCCAAAATATTTAAAAAACTAATCGCATTAATCATCTATACAAAGCACAATGTAATTATATAGTATTCGTGTATATGGGTATATAGAAATGTCATGTAGTCAATACTGACGCGGTGCATAAGGTTGTTATGTCATGTGAAGGGCATCAACTGGATGGCGTTACCTACCTAAAAAAGGGCACTTGTCCAAGAGTTCTATTTTGTATGCTATTGTTGTTTCGAAAGGTTACAATTGACGATTGATACAATATTTGATGATTAGTTTTACGCTGTTTCTGCGTGACGTCTACGTCCTGCAATGGTACACGGCCCATACATATAAGGCCTATTATAGGCGTAGGTGTCTATTTAAATATGTTTATACGCTATAGATGCTGCATTGTATGCGAAATGTGCTATTTAATATTCCTATAGCTCCGATGCGCAATGCCGTGTTTTATGTGAGTAGGCTGTGAATGCGTTAACGACCCTCAGCCTTGTCCAATATTTCAAGGTTGGCTCTCCATGAGGCATTAGATTTAGCGCTTTCGCATATTTCGCGAAGCCCCTTTAGCCTTTCCGGATAGCCACGGACTATGTGAAGATATATGTAGAAGATGCCTTGGTAGCCATCATTGACGATCAGGAGGCCGGCATACAGCCTGATAAAGTATTGCTGTATTTTTTCAAGCACACGTTTTCTTGCAACTGGCGACACGCCCCTAAGAGCAACATCAACTACAACATTATATATATGCCAGAGAAACCACGATAAGCGTCCATTCATTCTCGTCTTTTCTGAGACTTGAAAGAGGAGGTCCTCAATAGCCATGCGGTCTTTGCCGAATAGCTTCTCTACACTATCTATCATATCAGGCCCTTTCTTACGCAACCTCCGAAGAAACTCTTTGGTAATGTATAGTTTGAGGCTCCATACATCGCTTTCCTTTGGAAAGTTGAGCAGCAGCCGGTCGACCATAGTGCAGGTTTCTATGAGAGACTGATGATCAGTTTTTCTTATCATTCTCCCGAGATGTTTGATGGCATAGTCATGCGGCATCAGTGTATACAGTAACATGATTGACGATGCAGCAACAATACGGCGGTATCTGTCTTTGGGTGTGAACTCTTGGATCATCCCAGCATTAAACATATTCTTGGTATCCCAAAGTATATCAATTCTTTGATTGAGCGATAATTCGGCGCTGCCTATGCTACCTATAGATGGGTTCTGTAGCAGAACCTTTTCTATAATTTTCGGTAGACGTGTCCGCCGTGCGATTTTGGTGTCTGGTTTTTGGCGGAACCTTGAATAATTCTCCAAGATATCCACAAGTACATCAGCAAAGTCATATGCACAACACGTACAGTGCACCAAATGGAATTTGTTATCAACTTGTCCAACGAATATGTGAAATTTCAACCACCCGGGAACCTTTGCGTCAGGGTCATTTTCTACGACTTCCCTTACTATTTTCTTTTGTGCCTCATTGAGAAGCTGATTTTCGTTTTCTAATAGGCAAGCTATTCCGGAATCCAAGCAAAATGGCGGCTTTTGTTCCATCTTTGTATTATTCAATCGGTGATTCTTGTTTGGAGAAGCAGCGAAAAATGATTCAAAAACCACCGATGTAACTAGAGCGTACTCCCCAATATTCCTGAGGTACACATCGCACAGGTTCGCGAGTATAAAGTAGAACGTTAGGATATATGCTGGTGGCCAGTTGTTCGTAATTTTATGATTTAGACAACAGAACCAAGCTACATCGTCGAGCCAAGGGAGATTATCCCACTCTCGTTCGTCTTTCTCGTTACCTTCCATTATGACAGCTGTTATTATACGACTACGATCTTTCGTCTTTGCAGTGTATCGTTGGCTGGGTGTGTAGCTGCAAATGGTCGTGTGTCTTAGCGACTTTTGGGAGTATCGCTTTCAGCTTATTCGGCCAGATGTTACCGGAAGATTACATTTTTCCAGTGATGGTATTGTTTAGCTGACGTAAGTCGGCTTTTGTTATGAAAATGTTAAGCCCCCATAGGTGCCGATAATTTCTCTTCTGTCTTGATTCAAAGCTCCAATAATCCCGCATATTCCCTGGCTGTTCGTACAGAAAATAACAGGATCGTCGATAGATCCTAATTAGGTTCGGGTTGAGGTTGCTGAGTGGCATTGGAGCTTTATTATTCCTTGCTGCTGCCTCAACTTTCTCGCTTGTTAGAATCCGCACGAGCGGGATATCTTTTGTATATAAGATGGGTCATGGTCACGTCGGTTCGGACGTTTTAAGCTCGGGCAACTCGGAGGATTACTCGCACGGATTACAGCTAAGCGGGGTGTACTGGGAGACTGGCCACCGAACATACGTGCCTTTTTGGAGTAGTTTGGTGGTAAAATTTACTCCCAAACTAATCGATGATCAGTTGCGAGGTTTACTAGGTCACGCATTACCGGTGGCTTACGAGCCATTTGTATTTTACGGTCGTTCGTCCTACTTTCGTAGTTACATTGGTGACCCTGACGTGAGTACAGTTCACCCATTACGTCGTCGTACTAACTTTTCCTTTTATCCCACAGGCGGCATGAGCTTGGGAGTTCTGGAAAGTAGGCTTCAATTGCTTGGTGATTCCAAGCACGAAACCCGCGAAAAGGTGTTCCGCGAGGTAATGCATTCTGCCAAGCAGTTGGATATGTCACAATAATAGTAGCCGTATATCTTATCGGATTGGATTGCTGGCCGCAGTACCTCAACTGTATCAATTGCTGTTAATGTCAACATGATTGGCACCGTCTCAAAAATGAGTGTTGTATACGCTATATTATCGCTGTGTGTAGCAGAATGCGCCCGAGTATCGTTTTACTCGGTTGGTTTCCTGTTGCCAAATGACCCTGGTGGATACAGGCCGGCGTTGCGACGGCGGTCGGTGTCTACAGTTGCGTCACGTGCATTACCTCTAATGGCATCACCTATGGACGACATGGCTGTGTCCGATCTCGACTCTGACTTTGAATCAGATAATTTCGACGCCGACGATGGAAAAGACATCACGGAGTCCGATATTGCGGAGATGCTGCAACTGATCAAAGATGTAAAACAAGGCAAGTTGGGCCCCAAATGGAAGCAAGATATGGAAGATGCTGAGGCTATATATAACCGTAACGCGTCTGCTCTGGAAAAGCATCCTTGGATGTCTGACGATTCGCCTAAACCTGATGTCACTGAACTTTTAAAGGAGCGTGATGAGTTTTTGGAGAAGCAGCTTAATGAGGTATTCGATATCTCTGGATTGGAACACCCTACGGAGGAGGAGATCGAGCGAAGCCTTGAAATGATGAAAAGTGAGAATACGAATGATGTGGGCGGTGGCGAGCCTGATAATTCCGAAGTTTCGGGTGATGAAGAGTACTTCCAGAATGTTGCTGATGGTAAACTGAGGTCTGAAGAGCTGAAGAAACTAGTTCATAGTTTTTACCGAGAGAAAGGTATGCTAAACGAGCCCGTTGTGAGGACTACGGTAGACCGTTTTAGGCTTCACTGGCGACAGAACAAACACACCTTTGACATCTGGTTCCCATGTGTATCTCCAGATGACGAGGACAATGACTACTCAGTGAAATTTATGCCACAAGAGTTGACCATTACCTACAAGGGTACTCCTTTTGTGTTAAAGCTTCGGGGTAAGGTGGACGTTGATGGATGTTTCTGGTGTATGCAAGAATTGCCTGATGTAGGTAAGGTGGTTGGTATGGTTTTGCGTAAGCGCGTTCCTGCCTACTCGGGTACGTGGGCACACCTTCTGAGCGTCGCGTCGACCGCACTACGAGAGCCCTAAGTCGTTTCACAAATAACACCACTATATATATATATATATATATTTTAATAATCAGTTGAAAAAACCAACATCTTAATAATGACATTCGTTATTCTAGAGTACCTATTGGCTGCGGTGAAGCTTCTGCTTGCCATTTCACCGTTGTTGCTTATTGTCGCTATTTTCGTGTTGAACAAGAACTGGAACCAACGTTCAGCTGACAGTTCATCAACTGGTGTCCGTAATGCGTATATCGATTCTGATTACGATGATGAAACCAAGGAGGACTGGTAAGTGGGTATTCCGTGTGTTCCATTGCATCTGTAGACTTCTGCGATGAGAACAAATACTAGTATTGCTGGCAGTTCACTACATCGACGAATGTCAAGTTTTAGCTGTGGCTACAGGCTTTACGTGCCGAATTCTCTAAACCACGGCGTTCGCACGTAGGCTGTCCTGAAATCAACTCCCCTTTAATGACGTAGTAATAATGACATCTATCGATTGTTTTAAAATGGTTAAAATGAAAGCTGTGCCATCGCTATTCGTTCGATTGCTCTGCCTTACCGAGTTATGTGCTATCTCAATTCGAGCTTTTCTGGACCCGTGTTATGGCAATAATGCTTAAATACATTTTCATTGAGTTACGTTGTGTGAATTATGCGCTAAAGTGAACTACAACAGTGGTCATAGACGATTCCTTTCATGGGTGACGTTGATATGTTCATGTCGCCTTGAATTTTTCAATACCACCATATTGCTGAAATGGTAATCTATAATCGTCTATTTGCGAGGAAATTGTGTGGTCTGAGATATGAAAGGGATAGATCTGGAAGAGGAAGAGAGCGGCTGCAAGACGCCCGCTGTTTTAAACCAGGCAATAGTAAGTGAGGTGTGAAGATTTACCATGTTAATTATTCCTAATTCAACCATATAAAAGGTTTTATAATCACCAAAACGGCAATTTTAATAGCACCGCAATTATGTGTGTATAGGTTGAGACGTAATACTTAAAGGGATGTCACGCAGTCGGATACGCCGATGCGCTGAAGAAGCGTACAATAACGCTTCTTTACGTTTGCATTATACACTCTTTGCGGAAGTGTCCCCGTTTTCTGGTGGAAGGTCGGCCCTTTGCAACAATGGAGCCATCAGACCGTTCAGCAGTGGCAGGAACGTAAGTACGCGACATGCACCTCGGATTGCCTCCATGTCGCGTTGTGTACGCCGGTTGGGGACCTATAGTCAGATACGTGAATACCATGAGGGTCGTGCGTACCTGGACTACCAGGCTACGACACCGCTTGACCCCAGGGTCTTGGATAAGATGATGCCATATTTGAGCCACAGCTTCGGCAATCCACATAGTCGCACACATTCATTTGGTTGGGAGGCTGAGCATGCGGTCGAGCACGCTCGTTCAGAAGTAGCATCACTGCTAAACTGTGATCCGAGGAGCATCATATTTACATCAGGGGCAACCGAGTCTAACAACATTGCTATTAAAGGCGCTACGGATTACTACAGTCGTCTGAAACACGACGATCCGACGAAAATCAAGGACCACATAATCACCTCGCAAATTGATCACAAATGTGTGCTGCAGACGTGCCGTCACCTTGAAAACAGGGGATACAGTGTGACATATCTGAAGCCCGATACTAAGGGTATGATTACACCGGAGGCTGTAGCCGCTGCTATCACACCTCGAACGTTTATCTGTTCGATCATATATCTCAACAACGAGATCGGTACAATCCAAGACATTAATGGCATCGGGAAAGTGTGCCGCGAGCGTGGTGTCATATTTCACTCTGACGCTGCGCAAGGTTTTGGAAAGTTACCCATTGACCTTTCAAGTCTACCAGTTGATCTAATGTCAATATCAGGACACAAGATATATGGTCCCAAAGGTGTGGGTGCACTTTACGTTGGTAGGAGACCGCGCATCCGCCTGAGGCCGATAATTGATGGTGGAGGCCAAGAGCGCGGGCTGAGGTCAGGTACATTGCCTGCACCGTTGGTTGTTGGTCTAGGAGCGGCAGCAAGTGTAGCAAAAGAGGAAATGCACCGCGATTTTGATCACGCAAAACGGCTGTGGCATAAATTGGTTGCCGGTATAGAGGATATCGGACATGTACACATCAATGGGTCCGTGAAAGAGGGTGAACGTTACTGGGGCAACCTGAATGTGTCCTTTGAATTCGTGGAGGGAGAGTCTCTGTTGATGAGGCTTAAGAATGTTGCGTTGTCTAGCGGTAGGTTGTGCGGTTGATGCGTAGTTTCGTGTTTTATTGGCTACATAAGTGTTTAACTGTGAGTATTGCTGCTGTAGTGGCAACGTGTGAACTTCCTGTAGCAATATGTTTGTCTTATGCGTACGCGGTGTTGATAATCTACCCATTTGTCTTCTGCGAAATTGCACTAATCATGTTCGTGTTAGGTTCTGCTTGTACCTCGACAAGTCTGGAGCCCAGTTACGTGTTACGTAGCATAGGAGTTGGGGAAGATATTGCGCACACTTCGATTCGTTTTGGTATAGGTCGTTTTACTACGGAGGATGAGATTGACGCTTTGATAGTTGAGCTCAAGGAGGCTGTGCAGGGTTTACGGGATTGCAGTCCTCTTTACGAGATGTTCTTGGAGAAGGAGTCACCTGCTAACTTGACATGGACATGAACATTGCTGTGTCAAATGCTAGAAAATGTGAAGAATTTTCTGCGTAGATTTTTCCGCCATTGGCTCATCGTGACACCTAGGCTGCATGGGTGTTTTTGGAGTACGAGTGTGTAATGTATATCGACTATTGATAGGGCATGAATGCTTATAGGAATGATATTTGTCAATATTGAGGGCACTTTATGGTAACTGGGTTCTGAATACACCATGTCTGCAGAGCCCCCGTTACAATGCTCTTTTTCAGTATATCACCACAATGTATCAACAAAATGACCTTTTCAGCGGATATCACTAAGCCATTTCGAATAAAACATGTGTTTAAGATTGGTTATACCACTTGTAATGGGTTACTTATTTTCATTGGTTGGTTTTCGGATGTCTTCTGCTTGTGGATATCTTGATCATAATGTTTTGTGTTTTTGGTTATACCGGTGTATTTAGATCTCTAGAGCAGTATATTATAGAACATATTAATATTAATAGTTAAGTTGGGGTACTTCTTGGAAATGTAATAAGACAAGTGCCATTGAGCCGGCTCATGTCGGTACATCAAAGTCTTGCAAGATGGAAGTAATTCGGTGTCTATCGGCATGCAATCTACGGTGATATCTTATACTTTACCGCTGATACCTTAGGGCATGGGTTAGTGACAACTTCATCATCCATTAACCCGTTAAGATGCGAAGATTTTTAGGCGCACTGCGACACTGATATACCACTTTTCCGTCGCCTCATGAATCAAGATGTTCTCTTGTGTGCGATTTAGTTGTATTATCAATTCTTGTGTTATATTTGCGGAAAACTTGAATCTACTTCTTTTCTTTCTACTTACGGTGTTGGAGCCTTGGTGAATTTTATACTGGAATTTCCTCTTCGTCGACCTTTGTGCCATCAGTGTGTGAACTTTTGATCATACTATACTGCATAATTACTTATAATAATGCATCATCAGAAGGGTGTCAGTTTCTGGGTTAGGTTGGGCAGCCGGTGTTTCGGTGGTTGCATACGTTCGGAGGATGGCGTTACTGGTGAAAGCGACTTGATCAGTATGGTTCCGGACGAGAGCCGCATGTTGCAACTGAGTGACTACACCGCTAAGAATGGTAACCTAATACCAGTATTGCCTGATGAGATTGAATTTCGGCGTATGGATAATTACCATTGCCGTGTGCTTACAATCGTTGACCAAAGTCCGATTGCGGTACGAAGCTTGGAAGAGATGACTAAGGAGCTCAGCACAGTGAAGGAACCCGTGGCTATGGTCCTGCCTCCAAGATTACCGTTTGATTTGAACAATGAGCATCCGTCGCTGGAGAGCGAGGTGCTATCGGACTCAGAGGACGAGGGTGTTTCAAGGTAGGTACCCATTAATTTTTTGTAATGGTTACAGACTTAATTCTAACGACTCCAATGAAGTGGACACGCACAATGACTGTCAAGTAGATGAAGCGTGCTACATATTGGCCGACCGTATATACCAGATCGAGAAGTCCAAGCTAGATGGCCGCTGTGAAGAGAGGTGCGGCAGTGAAGACTACAGTCAGACTACTGCACCACTATCTCCACTAGATGCTAGTGTGAGTACTACATTCGAGGGTTCTAAAGTTGGTTCCTCTGGATACCGAGATTGCGTGAGTTGTTCACCTGGACCCTGGGAGGACTTAGATGATTGGGCTACATTTCAGTTAGAGAGTTCGAAAAGTGAAGTGTCTATAAGTAGTGATAGTGAAGTTTCCCGCCCATCTCTATGGACTTCATCGCTTACATCTGATGTGAAGGCATCCAATTCACCGATTGATGAGCATGAGGCTATCGCTAGCTATTTGGCTAGCTCCGTTAGCTGTGTAGATGAGAACGATATCAAGTCACCTACAGAAAATCTACATCACGTATCTGCCTTTTGCGACAAGCCTCCTATGGCTTTCATTGATCCATTTGACGAGCGGGATGAAGAGGACTTTTGGCCATTTGCATTTGGTGCGGGCGTATGGAAGTATATGGTGGGCAGTTCTACTACGAATGCAAGCTGTGACTCTTTTGACGTGAATGTTGAGGGGTGCATATCGTCCTTTTACTCAAAGGAAGGTAGGCTTTGCGTCGATAGTGGCGTAATATCGCCTCAGAACTACGCCAGCTGCGCTGTATGACAGATAATATAGCACGATCGGAGCTATCTTCCATCGTCGAATCGACCTTAAGTATCCTCAGTAGCTAGTATGGTTCGTATCATAAATGGTGTCTGCGTGACCCGCCGTGTGTTGTGCGTCTGCGGCTGTCGCGCAGGTGTGCAACCCACCAGTAATTTCTGCCAAAATTAACCGTCTCATCTTCCGTCACCGTGATTATTTTCACGGATGTCCGGTCAGGTGGGTGCGGGCGGAGGCGACGACTCCGTCGCCGATGACGCGGCGTCGGAATCAGCCTCCCAAAAGCTGAGAGCTGAGCTAACGCTACGCTCGATGATGCTTCAGAAGGGTGGAGTTAGCCGTTATTGTGCTTGCGACCCGAGCACAGAAACAGTTATCACAACCTTGTATGACACTGGAGAGTCATCGCTCGGCGCCGGTAATGAGATGCAGATAGCTGGGGAGGATATAGATTGTACCTTAGGTACATCGGCTTGTAACGATGTTGTAATAGTGCGAAATCATGAACGATATCATAGCGAAGCAGCTGCACCTGCAATCTTCACGTTTTTCCAAGAGGATGGCACACCCATCCGTTATGTGTACGACTTTGTATTCCAGGCGCCTACAGGGGATAAGATGGTACCACTTGATCAATTGGGCAGAAACTTCAGCAGTTTATGGCTTCTTGGGAAATTGAAGCTTGTGGCTACTGTCCATGATGCAGAGCAATTCAAATCGTGGATGAATCAATCGAGCCCTGGATCCACGTCCAACGAATGCTCGCGACTACGATTGCAAAGGAAACACAAAGCCGTCTGTGTAAAGGTAAAAATCGTAGATTTTTTCGTAGATCATGGGTGGGAACCTACCGATATCCCTGCAATTTACGCCGTCAGTGAGCATGATATATACTACCGTTTAGATAAAGCGGCGTCTCGATATACTACTAACTTCACTTCATTCTTGCTCCTATACGATCTTTCAACTCGTGTAGCAAAAACATTCCAAGAAGATCGCAATCGCAGGCTGGCTTCAATACTTGCAGATGTTACTTCGGCAGACCGATCTGCCCTAACAACCTGGGGAGAGCCTATGCACCTACCAGGTATATCAGCATCAGAAGCTTCTAGTATTATCGAGATAATATACAGCGAATGTCTTTATCAGCATCTGTTCCACCATCCATCGAATTACCTTTTTGGAGACCTTGACTTTATGAATGATGCAGAAGTGCAAAAACCAGAAGGGTTCGCCCAAAACGATATGAAGCTTATGGACAATCCCGTTGAATACGGTGATATAGAAAAGGACGCATACAGTTTGGGCGATGATGCCATTAATGGCAATATCCATGCTATGAACGACTTCAGGGATCCGAACAGCTACGACGAACGGGGGAATTCTCCCATGGGTGTTGATGACAGCAAATATAAACAGATTGGCACCCTCTTATACGACATTTTGAAGGCAATGCGAGAGCATCGCCCTTTATTTTTCTTCGACGAGGGTTTTGTCTTACCTGACTACTTGAAGTGTGCTAATCTAGCTGAAAAATACGAAGACGCATTTGTTCTCCCACCACCTTCCGCAGAGGACGCAATGCAAAACTGCGCGTGGACCATGGATAGCATGGGAGATGGTCAAAACGCAATGCCCCCTAATGGGTGGACCACACATCCCAATGGGTCAAGGGGTGGCAAGTCCGCCAAAACACAAAAATCAAGACAAACTAACAAACCACATAAGTCATCAAAGGCCGCGAATGTAGTTGGGGTTGAAACAGCCCTTCCACCGCCAGGACCTATAGAAATTAAGAGTAAGGTTTCTGGAAGAATTATTAAGCGCAACTCTAAGCTTACCGATGTCCCTGATAGGGTGAGGTCAGCGGTAGATGAGTCCGCTTTGTCTGCAAAACGTGCTTGTACTGGTCCTGCAGTGGATGAGGCATTGCAACGCAAACAACAGATGCTGGTTGAAACGGAGCGCATGTGCAATGGCCTAGCCCTGCCCGATGATTTCGAATACAGTAGCTACAACACTACTAGCGAACTGTCGGGAGATGAGACGTCTCACGAGCCTATAGCACTGCTTAACGACTGCCATGTAGACCTGAAAGATGCCAGATACTATTCAAGAGACATACCATTACGAACTCTACGTTTCTATGGAGCTGATGATATTTTAGATATAGCGACGGTATGTCGTCAGTTTTCCGCGAATCCATCGGGCCTCGATCCCCTGCTGCCCAGATTTTCCTTCAACGAGTTGGAGCGCTGCCTATTATACACTACGAGTGTTGACACTTTTAAACCACTTGAGCCATCTACCTTCATTTTCAAGACACCTCAATGTCTCTGTAATTTCTTCGGAAAGTACACTGACTGGTTTTCCAAGTTGGGAGAGACTAAGCAAAAGATGGACGATTTGTACTTGGGGCTTATGCGTTGCCTTGTGGAATATAGCCGTGTCGATAGTTTCGAATATCGCCTGAAAATCATACGTGATGCTTGCGATCTCACCGGTAGGAAGCGGGATGTGCAAGAGCGCGAGATCAAGGCTGGGCAGCCTGACACCGAAACACTCTTGTACTTTTTGGCCACCCATGGCGGTTGTCTATACCGTGGCAGATATAGGAATGTTCCTCCAGAGTCAGATGTCCAAATACCCTATATCAATTCAGTGAGATGGAACAAGCGATTTAAGCGCGTCGAACGACTTTTGGCAGCAAGCAAATCTCACAAGTATACACCTATTGGCTTTGAGTACATGCCAGATGGTATAATGGTAACCGTGGATTCACGTCTCGAAGGTGTACCTTTAGATGTGCTGATGAACGGTCGGCATCATGGACAGGGGTACCGAGTCGTGTACCCGTCAAATGTCTTTGAAGTTTTGCCGACGTATAGTAAAAAGTTCCAAGTATGGCAGGCAGAAGCTGTCCCAGAAGTTCGAGAGCCTTCGGGTGTAATCGAGAAGTTGAACTCGCGCCTCAGTGATCTTTCCCTATCGGTGTTTGCTGTGGAAAGATTGCCCCAGGTTGGAGCACACCCAGTTATGGGTTCTGGTTTCCGTGAACCATTCAACCTATTGAATGTGGATACGGTGATGCGCCCCGAAATGTTAACAGTGTTCAACTGGTCATGCATCCTCCGGATCTACCTCTTCTATGCATTCTACACGTGTCGGCACAAATACATGTTCAAGCTGAACTCTGTAGTTTGGGGTGAAGCTCCGTCTGCCGCTATGACGTCAATGGACGACGACGATGATGAAGAGGACGAGTATCAGGTGGACAAACCTGAAAAGGGTAGTTTCAAGCCCACTCCCTCAGGTGGCGATGAGGAGGAAGAAGAGGAAGAGGATGAAGAGGGTGAGGAGGAAGAGAACGAGGGAGAGGAAGTTGATGGAGAAGGTGACGAGGCGGCTCGTGTTGGACGAAGAAGAGGATGGGGTGTGAATAGATATTCGCCATATTACGAGTTTGAAATCGACTGGTACCCAGATATGGAACGTGTGAGCCACTTATTCCAGGGCTCGATATCACCTGAAGCTGTAAAGGTGGTAATGGAGAAACTGCGCGTTGCAAGTTTCTTCGAGCTTGAAATTAAAGATCGACTTACTCTACTTAGATGGCTTGGTGAATTACTAACTTACCAGCCGTATTCTAAAAGGTTTATCGATCAGCGTAATGACGAGTTCTTCTTACTGAAGACTTCATTAACTAAAAATGAGTCCAGTCAGGCTTCTAATGTGGCCACTACAGCTGAAGGTCAATCTGAAACTACGGAGAAATCGGCCGAAGATGAGAAGGCTGTTCCGTCCAACGGTGAAGTAGCTCTTGTGAAGTCTGAACAGGAAGATAATGCTGCGAGTTCCACGGAACAAGAACTGAAAACAGTTGATAATACAAGTGACCATATGGATATCGACTTGAAAACAGAACCTGAGGACAATGTTAAAGGTGAACTAGCTTCTGATCCCGAAGGAACGGACACTGCTGGAGTTGATGCCATGGCAGTGGACCTTAAGATCGAACCATCGGAAAATCTAGTTGCAACCGCTAAAGCTTCGGTAGAAGTTAAATCTGAACTTGTTTCGAAGAATAGTGACGATGCTATGAGCGTTGATCCAGCGGCGTCGAATGGTCATTCGTCACAATCCGCCATGAACGCCGATGGCACTAAACGTAAAAAGCCAAAGGAGATTATGCGAGATTTGGCAGAACTTGAAGAGCGTTATTTGCAGAGAAATGTCCATCTAGGTCGCGACCGTTTCTATAACGATTACTATTACTTCGGTCCTGAGCTAGGATGTCGTATCTATGTACGAACTCTGCCAGCTGCAAGATTCACAGCACAAAGAGCATCTCTGCGTACTAAACTGTTACGAAACCCATCATTTGGGTCTGAGAGGTTTAGATTCGATATTACTAAATATGCTAAACGTCTTGAGGAAGACCGTATCTTTGGTTCAGAAAGCAAACGCGGTAGATATAAACGTGCGGGTGCCAAGAAGAGTGACACTGAATCACAAGAAGTGGAGCCACAGTTACCCAAGAAGGAGCGTGCTACGCCTGAGACAGCTGTAGATGTCAATGATCCGAACGCTATGCTTGTTTCTAAAGAGGAATTGGCGATGCAACTTGTGAAACGCAAGAAACAAAAAGGCCGTAGGCCCCGAATGATTAAACCGCGTTTACGTAGGAGCCGTGAATTCTTCGATCGTCATCCTACCAAGTTCGATACTGTACAGGAGTATCTGAATTACTTAGTTAGCGTCCCACCACGTTTGTGCTGGGCCGTGATAGATAACCCGCGCAAAATACGCATGTTCATCGACCGTCTATCCACAATGACAACGAACGAACGTGCATTGCAAGCCAAGCTGATGCAATTAGAGCCGGAACTTAAGGCATTGTACAACATGAAACTTCAAGACGAGGAATGTTGGAGAGCACCCACTACATATGGACAGCTACTGACGTCATTCGCTTGCGGTGTGCAATCATACAGTTCTACTATTCGCAATATGGTAAATAGCTCCATTATCCGTTACAGTTTATTGGCTGGGTCATCTCCTAATTCCACTGTGGATGCTGTAACGACCAAAGAGGCTGACCAAGATCTATCGAACTCTTCTTCAGATGTTGTTATGACGGATGGAGCTCAACCAGATACCGTCTCGTCATCCAACGTTAAAACTAGTCTTTCTGATATTGTCAGCTGGAACGATCGTTTACTACAGTTTATCGAGAACAGTAGCCAGCGTGCTTTGACTGGCTGTTGTGGTGACTTATCGACAGTAGCGTCTGCAGTTATGTCTATGATCGAGCTAGTGTTACTCTGCGAATCTTTAGTCTCCAACTACTGCGATTGGCTACACTGGACATCTTTACGTTCTGAATGGCAGGGTCACATTGATGCATTGTACCTTGAGGTACAAACTTTGAACCCTGCAGCAAGCAATACTGCGTCAACGACGGTTATCCCTGAAAAGTGTGAATGTACCGTTCGTAATGGTACTGTGGCGCTAAGCGCACAGGAGAAATTACTTTTGCACGTTATTGAGGAACTAGGACTATGGTACCAGTATGTGCATGTGTCCCACCAGGATCGTATTGAACTATTCACTCGCTACAGGATGAACTTCATTTCTCTCAAGGATATTGAGCAACCTACATTGCTTTGTGATTATCTATCACACCTCGAACAAGGATCGTTGGTCTACATGTTCGGCGGTTACAAAGAATGGCTATTGTCTCTCAGCGAGAATACCACTTTCCCGAGAGATTTGCTAATCGAGATGATTCGCGAATATGGCAATGCTAACTTAAATGCAGGTGAAGCTGCACTATTAAGAGCTTTGCCGACCATGGATCCTCTAGTGCCGACAGAAACACTCGAGGCGTACGTGGAATCTGCATGGTTCTTCGAAGTGCCAGGTTACGGAAGATTGGCAAGACTGGCACTACGCAGCGTGGGCTACGGTGAATATGACGCAGAGAAGCATGAGTCAATAGTTACAGCCACCGAAGGATTATTCGTACCGTACCTGCAGAACGTGGTCGCATCATTAGCGGCACACGACCGCACTCGCCAAAACAAGAGGTCACCAGACGATGTGGAGTACGTATTGCGTGGCACTTCCCACGAATCCCAACGATTCATAGTATACGCTCCTCTCGATACTATAGAGCGCGAATCTGAGTTCTTGCTACCATTGCCATTTATGGCCGAGAATATGCAACAGATCTGGAGGCAGTCTATGCGTTGTACATGGAACGGTCGTCAAGCTCACGTACGCCGGATGTCCTACGCTGCCGCTGACCTTTGGCGTGTTATGCAAGTTGATGCAGGGGGTAACAGAGAAATGGTCAACCTCTGGGAGGTTTCTTCAGTTCAAACGTCCGTAAACGGGAACTAACACTTGTGTGTGCCAAAATAAGGCTGATGTTTAATTAAAGGCGCATTTTCCCGGGGGAAACCCAGTGAAGCTATTGACGTTCCTGTATGGTTACACGGATACGTACAATCTTCATAGTAATTACAGGGTGATGAGCTTAAACTCTACGGTATGCCCGAATGGGACCGCTTGTATATAATTGATTAACTGCATCATCTATTATCTTTTATATTTGTTTTATTTTGTTGTGGGTGCTGTGCGCCGGGGGTAAAGGAACTCCTGCACAAGACGTCGCCGCTGGTTGCGAGATAGCCTCTTCCATATTGCGATCTGCTGGTACTTGGTTCCCACAGGTCTTGGCGTTGGTCTCCTGGCTCCACTGCGAATCCAATTGTCGTACTTCACTGCAAGATCCCGTTCTAGTGTCTTTGTGCGATATTTGTGGTTGACCAATGACTCCAGGTAATACGGGTCATCAACAACCTGGTATCCGGGGTACTTGTGGGTGAGGTAAAAGTCCCTAATAGCGTAAGCGCGTTGGGAGTCGTCAGAGGAACATTCCCTCTGCAATTCGTCCACACGTGACATGTTCATTGTATGCCATTCACCGGTGGGGAATACCCCGAGGTTTCTCAAATCATTAGCCATCCTGTCGATGACACGGTTATCCAATGATTCTATCCGGATCCTCTTACAACCATCGGCTCCCGGATCAAGTATACAGCGCACTTCTTGAGTGTCCGCATCTATGAAATAGAAGTCACGTATGTCAGACTCTAGAGCTATTTTGTGTTTTATGCGATAATTGTCCACCATGGATGAACGTGGTAGACCTTTGAATACGCCGTAACGCCACCACAGTGCCGGGTTACGGAAGTCGTCCAGTGTCACACCGGCATATTCCATTTTAGCGGCTACTTCTCGCATTCGCCAGAATACACGCTTGAATAGACCTCGATAACGTACAAACTCCCTACGTTTCCAAAACTCCTGTAAGCGTTTTAATGTATATGCGCGGTCTACAAAGTGTGGATTTTCACGAGGTCGCTCTATTACACGCTCGAAGAAAATAACCAGATCACGGGTAACGTCACAACCTTGCCCTGTTGCTATATTGCGCAGTCGCTGCAATACTCCCTCTAGACTGGAACGAAAAGTTGGATCGACCTCATATTCGTGAATGAGTTCGTCTGCAGTAATGCCACTCTTCAACATATGTATCATCCGGAGCATAGTATCGCTCCTCATGACCTCTAGGGTGTCAGCGCAAGGAATCGCATAGTATTCACGTGGAGCGCCATAGTAATCTTGAATATTTCCATAATAGAGTGTTGGAGAAGGGTATATTTTGGCCGGTGTTGTTTTCTTGGGTCGGTTCCTATGGGTTCGTCGAGCTCCCTTAAGGCGGTTCCTAGAACCAAATAACCGTGTCTCTCGTAGGCATCTAGGTTCACTCCCGAAACTTCGGAATGCGTGCACAACCATAAGTGCTGCTTGAAACAGCCAGAATATTAACCGCATCTGCGTTGCTTATCATTTAGCAGTAGCCATCTTGGCAACCAGTAACTATCCAACAGACTGACGACCTCCAGTGAAAGGCATAGAAGGGCTATGCTGTTGATAACAGCTCTTTATATCCAAAGAAGGTATGTGTCTCTTGTCAGAGATTAAAATGCGCCCAGTACCATTCTAGAATTCTATTATATAGATTCTATTATTTTCACAGAGCACCTAATAGTTACTAAAACGTTAGATAATACACGTCTACAGTTTATTAAGTTTCGTGAAATATGGAATCATCCCCCAAACAACTCGCCCAGAGCCCTGGCAGTAGTCGCGGGTGATTATGAAGTCACCTTAGGTTACTTATGAATGTACACCTATTTTATTAATGTAACAAAACGAATATTGGTGATGTGTGACACCGTATCGTCTAAAGGGCGCTGGTAACCGACTCAACAACGTTGCCGATTAGGCGGGTCATCTATGAGTACCATTATAGATTAACCATGAGAAAAGTATCTGAGTAAATAAAATTCTGGGTTACATGCGTGTTATCGTTACCTATTTCAACATGAGAGTCACGTTACATAACATGTCCATTACAAATGTGTTAGTTGTCTAGAATCATTACATTTTCGATAGGGACTTCGCGCATTTCCCAATAATATGCATATGTTGATTGATTTCTTCCAGTGCTCTTGCATTGCGATGATTGCTAAGAGAAGGGTTGAATTGTCGGTGTACCTCATCGAATGTTGCCTTGAAGTCCAGCGAGTCGGCAAGTATACGACGATTAGTCAGTGATACACATAAGTTGAAGAGTACCCTCCTGCGCTCATTAAGTTGTGCCTCGATCTCTGTTCGTTGGCGCAGCAGCCCCTCATGTAATTTCTGCCGCTGTTTAAGGACACCTTGCAAATGCGACACCAAACTGCCCAGCACCGATAGATTATCTTGATTTATTATATACCTGCGATTAACTACAGCCCTGGCACTAACTGAACACGGTTATATTCTTGTGTGAATACCACTAACCTGGACTAGAATGTTGTACTATCTCCATGGATGTAGATGTCGGTGGTGGTGATGCGGCCACACCTGAGCATCAATGCAAATATCGACCAGCTATACCACCTACCATCTCCAACAATAGCACTACCCACAGAATGTATCTGCAAAGGAGTGTGATTACGCACCAAAGGTGTCTGCTGCTGCCATGGTTCCATGGGTCTAGTCATGCTCCTCAACGTCTCCTCAGTAAAATCGATGCCACCAACAACGATAGCACGACCTCCACTAGAATCGTCCGTGGACGGCCGGGTCGATTCTGCCAGACAGTATCTATTGATTTCATGAGCGAATGCATCGTAGACGTCAACGAAATCACGTGGCACTGCAAGAACGTCCGATTGACTCAGGTAGAGCTTGAAAATGTTTAACAGACGTTCTATGGCCGTATAATCGAAGAGACGTGGGAACCATCGAGTGCGGTTAAGACGCGCAAGAGCAACGCTACGCGGCATACCTTGGCGTTGCAACGCATCTAACAATCGCTCCAAAACGCCAGTGAATACTTGACGAACAGCACGTCTCAAAGGGCGGACTACCGTTTGTGGATGAAGTGCAAATAGTACCACTTCTTGCGATTGAGGTGCTCCCTTGAGCATCCTTGTTGTGGTCATGTTCATATGGTCCTCTCCGAAGAGCCTAGCGGCAGTACCTTCACGAAAGACAGAAGTGGAGGGACCAGCACTAGATGCCGTAGAAATAGGATGGGTGCGCGAAGTGCTGGCATACGTTGGCATAGCCGTAGTGCCTACGCCATGATCAGATGAGTATTCATGAAGACATACCGATACGTCTTCGTACCGATGCATTTGTTGCCACATATTGCACATCTCTTGCATCGGAACTGGCACCTTGCACGGAAGTCCCGGGTGGAACGTTACGGGCAGCAGATCGCATCCCATCCCTGTAGTCTGTGGCAGGCCATCGTGGCACAGACGCATACGCATGTCTTTTTAATGAAGCGGACCCGGAATTCATTTGATGTACATGCATAGTGTGACCTGGGTCGGTAAAATTTTGTTGTGTCCGTGAAACGCTAGACACTGGCCCGCCACCGACAATGGAGGTAAGAGGGATGCGTGGTCGTGGAGTTTCACCGACAAACCCCCTGACACGGGTATGTGGCGTGTCCGTTGTGGGCATCATTTTGCGATAAAGTGGCTGCATGGATATGTTAAATCTCAAAACGGCGGATCACGCCAAATACTCATTGCTAAGAGTGTCCAATAGCACGCAACAGAACGACAATTTCGCCAAAATGAGATCAGAGACGAAAATTTCTTCCATGGTGTTATACCATTACGAAATTTGTATAAGACATTCACACAAATATGAACAAATAACCAGCACGAAATGATACATGACTCTAACACAAATCATCATCGTAGACAACTAACCTACAGGTGCTGAAGTTTTAAAATACAATGATGAGCATCAATCTACAGCCAAGCCTTGAAGCGATTGTGCGATAAAGGATTCTACATGTCTCTTACAGATATTCTTGACTGCCAATCACCCGCACACAGCGCGTACAGGAGATTTACCGCAAAATATAGACAATTTTAAAAATATTTATTCTAGCAGCCGGAATGTACAAAAGGTCGCAGTTCGCTTGATTACCAGTGCATTTACTTATAGCACGCACAAAAGAATTGAACACCTAGTCAAGGCCAGCAGAATGCAAAAGACCTGAATCATATATATTACCCCTATATTGCTATTATAATCAAATATTATTTTTTAATGCGGTTACGATACCTATAGAATATCACATAGTCAAACGACCGCTAGATACGGGCCCCCGCAGCCCTGTCTACAAAGAGCTGCACAACTTTGGGAGAATGCTAATCACACAACATGTGTAAGTAATTACTGCTATTTTGTGTGATAATTGAAAGAGTCTGGCATTTTCGCCCGAACTTTCCCCCTAATGTGAGATACACATGGCATGCCTAGCGTCCGTTAAGAAAACGACTAAATTGCAATATGTACACTCCAACCGAAAAACTATCGACAATATGCTCATATTGATGAACATATCATCAATATTCTTCCTGATCCAGCTCTTGTTCCATATTGTTTTGGTTGAAATGGACAAGCATCGCAGAGTCAATCTCCTCCTTTTTAGATTTGCTCTGTAGTAGCTTCATAATAGCCATGTCAGTCCTGGTTGATAATAACTGCCGTGCATCACGGAGGTTGCGGCGGAGGTCCCAATTCTGCTTGCTCGGCAATACTAGAGATAGCACGTCCTGAAAATGAGTTACAGTTCAGCATATGACATTTATAGACAATATAATAGATAAAAAGAAGGAGCCCAGAAATATACAATAATTTGGACATAGAAAAGTCCGGATACGGTGAAATCATCCCCTTACACCTACCTTGCTAGAGTGTTCCTCAATTATCTTGTTTATTGCAGCGTCAATGTCCTCCTCTATCTGGCGGTAGTCTTCCAAATTACTACGTACCAAACGTTTGAGATTCTCGTCCTTAGGTACGTAATGATGGAAGACAAGCGACTTCAAATTATCTGCCATGTCGCAGGTACCACGAGTTGGAGCTTATGTAGGCTTGTAAACTATAGGAAAGTGATAAAAACAATCAATGCGTCATCATGAGCACACAAGTTAACAATGGGTGTAATTTAACCAATAATATTAATGAACAATGTTAGGTGCTACATGTTGGAGGGGTAGATTACAAGGCTGACCAAAAATAAGCCCTTAGACATAGAACGCAGTTCAAGTGTTCCGACACGTTCCAAAGATACACGCACATGGACCTGTATGCTTTGAGATCACAAAATAAATAGAAACCTACCTCTACAGATTGACCAAGCTTTAGCAACTCCCCCTCTAACATCTCAACGCCATTCACCTGCAATGATGACGATTCAACGCCACCACAGAGCGCTGCAAGAACCAATTCAATCTTGTATACACCGTGCTCAGGGACATCTATAGACCACAATTGACCCATACCCAAAGGAAGACCAGCCTTGCTCTTAAGTAACATCCCCAGGGCACTGCCACTGCTGGATTCCACAAAACCCTCAGATACATCATCCGATTCGTCAGGAGACTTTGGTGTATTCGCTTCCATTGAACCGCTCGTTTGAGCTGCGCAAAAAGATAGGTCCTCAAGGGCAGTAACCACGTTAGACGAACCCCAGCCGTATGATAACCTACCATGTGGTCCTTTCATGTGACCCAAATCCACATAGTTCGAACCACAAGATTGGCCAGCTTGGCAGAAATCTATACGCAAGGGAAACCTTACTACGTCGTCCACTACCGTGTGAGAACCACATTCACGGCCATATAACGCAAATGTACCACCTAGGGTGTCAGACCCATTCTGTTCTGAAGAACCACTTGAATCATTCGTACTAGTAGGCTCGATTGCGATACGTACAGCGTCAACTACACCATGGTAACCCAATTCAAAACGTAATTGCGACTGTAGTTCAAATTCCTCCTCAAGACCATCTGGGAACGCTATACGTGCCCGCATTGGTGGGCTTCCATCCAGTGGAGAAAAATGAAAATGTACCAATTCAACTGGATTCGCAAATGTGCGAGTTAACCACTGACCACTAGTACGGCCTGAGCCAGATTGCCAATAACCACTACCGAAACCCTTGGAACAGTCGTAGGCGGAGGACAGTGATGATGATGCAGCACAGCCATCACCATTCTTAAACGGAAGAAACTGCACATCATCCTGACATACAATATTGGCCAGTGTGGGTTGCAGGAACAGGAAGAAAGATGTCTCAGGTAGCATCTGGATCTTCACTGGACCAGCATTGAAACGACGGTAGTACAATGAAAATTCTTGCTGACTACTTGCTTCCTCCTGCAACTGTGTTAAAAACCATTGACATCGACCTACGCAATTATGGCTAGAAGAGTAGACGGAAATAGCATCGCTGCTTCGCTCAAAAACTGAACCGCCCTCTGCAGAGCTCTGCATAATGATAAAACCTTAGTTAAACAACATACTGGTATGAATGACGAATGCACAGATATTGCCACATACACAAATGCGTCGTGAGAAATACAGAAGCTAATATGATCAGATTCAGGTTTTACAACCGTTCTAATCATGCGAGAACCTCGAAAACGATCAGGTACATCGGCTACTAACAAATTGGTGACATTCAAAAACGCCTGAGCACCGTTCTCTAACATAGCCAAGTCAAATAACCGCGCTTCTAACCCGCTTATGACGAGAGACTCGCCGGAATCCCTACTGCGGAAGAAATACTCCGAACCTATAACCACACGACTACGCGTTTCACTTTCCCAACTGAGCGATAGACGTACAACGTTTTCATCTCTATACTTCAAAGCGCTTTGATGTGAGTATTCCAATACCAGTGGGTAGCGTTTCCCTCCAATTAACATCATTTTACGTGAGGCTATTAAGGTAGACGACGTCGAACGCCCATCTAGTGCGACCACACCCACAGCTTTAAACTCTGAAGCGAACTTCCCTCGGCCCTCTAGACCATGCTCCATTACCTGCTCTCCATCTACGAACATAAGGAAGTTACAATCTGCTTCCAACCAAAAGGTGTAGTTACCCGAGACGGGGACACGCAAATAGGTCTCGAAACGAACAGAAAAGGAACGAATGTCAACACCACTCACTGGTAGTATCTCATCGAAAGTCAGAGATAGGTTTGGGTGGTCGAAAAAACCGACAGGTGGGCCCCTGAGGTACGGGTTATCAAAGTAACTGGCGCGAACACCGTCGCCTATCACCGCTGGAGTGTACCCCTGTACAATTGCACAATTACGCTTGTCATTCAGCGCAGTCTTGCGTGTGATCTCTAGCTGCTCGTCCAGTGCCTCATACTCCTCCCTCAACGTGTGGATGGTACGTGAATTAGCCTCAACCTGTTGCAACGCACGTTCTAAACCACGCATAGTATGAGCTAAAGCGTTCATCTCGTTCTCATGTGATTCTGTGCCCCTACCACAAACCGCATCGAAATGAGATAGTGTCTTCTCCAGGCGTCTATGCACCGCTTAATGTCAAACAACACTTAACCTACTGCTCAGTAGAAGACAGCTGCAAAACTGAATGCGCCAGCTCGGAAGCCTTAAGTTGTGATAGTAGCGCGGCTTTCGATCTGAGTACGTCGTAGTCGACAGTACCAGCACAAAAGTCCCAGTCTCGGAACCCAACGCCAATAAGCTGTACTTCAACGTAACACCACTCACGGCCTACCGAGCCATCCGGTGCCTCTGTGGTAGTACAATCCGTGAAGGTGTTTCCATTACGTACAAAAGCTGCCGCGCAAAGCATCCCATCGACGGTCTTCCTATGGCGCTGACGAAACTCAGTCAGCTTCTACGAGGGAATATGTATCACATATATCACGTCATACCTGTAATTCTTCCCGGTCATATTCGCTCCCTGGAGGTATTGTGAACTCCTTCGGTTCGCTAGGAGTCTCATTGACGTCGACGACAGCGACGGCACACGCCAGAAGGTACACATAGCACAGCAATAGTAACACTGGCCAGCGATTCGACGAAGTGGTACGCATCACCGCGTTTTCCCGCCAAAATTCTAAAACGCCGCGTGTTATCATGCGGTTGACGCAAAACCTTCAGGCGATACGGCGAAGATCCGTGTATCTCGCGACAGCGCGAGCGGCATGATGTGTTAGTTAAGAATTAAACATTAGTTAAATAATAATGTTGAAGCGTTGTTCTATTACGCGTTAGATTGTTATTCTGACACCACGTACCCGCGAAGGCGGGATAAATGTCCTACACACTGCATTCCCTCAATGTACAGATTCCAGTCAGTATACATGCTATAATGAAAAACGTAGCTATACATTGGATACCATGACCACAATCTATGTTGTATCAGCAAAGACAAAAGGATGTTTCAATACCAGAGCGGTTCTTAGTTAGGAATATTTGCTGCCTCGAGAGCAAGGCGTTTTACAAAAGTAACAATCATTGGTAAAATAGTTTATAGAGATACGGTTTGTTGCGCCTTCTAGTTTGAACGCATCTCAAGTGATTCGCATTACACATAGCATGAATGTGTGGACGACAAATTCTGGGTTATTTTCACGGCCATAACATGGGCGGTCTGCCAAAAAGGCACGTGCCGCTAATATGCTTACTAAATGCCACACATCATACATTTACCATAGTCCAAATGTAAAATAACACAATAGTCCCGGTGAGGCTCAAATTCACATGATATAATTGCCCATGATGCCACTTCAAGCCAAGCTTGCAACATGACACATCTCAGATAAAGTGTGACTTTATACGCGTGATATGAGCTCGGAGGTCATCATATATGATCCAGCAACCTCCATCAGGGGTATACACATAGAGCAGCTAGCCTAAAGTTGCTTTCAGTGGATAGGTCTTTAGGACGGCTCGTGTCTATTAAGCTTGCACAGTTAAGGTAAGGTGTTACATCTACATGAAAAACTGAAGGTTTTTGGAAAGTGCCATCTTAATATAATGCGCATGAAAAAGGTGATGAATCTACTCATTCTGTGGTAAAACGAGTCACGCCAGGCAACCAACGCGTCACCCGATAACACAACACCCACGTCACACCGATTATCAACTACCTCTCAACCCCCGAACACACAAAGCCGAACTTTATCGGCAAGTGCAACTGGGTTGTGAATCTAACGCTCCCGTGTGTGCGCAGCACACGCAACTATCGCAACGGGGAGTCCACGACAAACCGCGGACACATCAATAGTGAGGAAGACTACGCCAAGAAAGACACCACAAAAACAATTAATATATTGTGGTGTAGCAGTTAATAAGATGCGCAGAATGGCGCCAGTGGCGATAATTGCGCTCCTACCTGTGCTGATACTACCTATCGCCGCCGATGATAATGTTGGAACGCCAGTGCCGGAAGCACAAATACACTCACATCTGGACCCGGTTCTATTAGGTGATCATGAAGACCCCTTGCATGGCGCAGGTGCTGTCTACCGTGAGCCGCTTCCACCACCACCGAAGAACACAACAACAAATGAACAACCTGCTGCTACCGGAGGTGGAAAGAAGGTCTCAGTCACAGAAATCAGCTTCGATAGTCTAATAGATGACCTTATTTGGTGTGGAAATGACCACTCAGCAGTACTACTCAAGACACAGAGTGGAAGGTTATACCGCTCAGGTGACGGTGGAAAGCAGTGGACGGAAATAACACATCTTTTCCAAGGAAATGCACGTAACGACCCATATCGCGTGGACTCCATTGTGGTGTGTGAAACAGACAGGAATGTGGTAGTAGTAATCGGCGACTCCAAAACACACTTCATATCGGGGAACGCAGGACAGAGCTTCCAACCACTAGCCTATGAAGGAACCGTAAACATGTGGGTATTCCACCCAGTCAAACCTTCGTGGGCTATGCTCAGTTCCTGGGAAGGAGCTTGCTTCGCCACGGATAATGACGAGGATTGTGTTCACGCAGTCTTCGTTACGAGGGATATGGGAAGGTCATTCCAACGGGTTGCTAAATATGTAGCACAATTCAGCTGGGGAGATGTTGCCGCTAAGTCGGAAGATCGCATATACTATAGTAGATACGCACTGGAGTCAGGAGACCAACCAAAACAAGACGGTTGGAACAACAATATCAGCTTCATGTATACCGATGACTTTGGTAGAAACAGCGTTCTTATTATGGAAGGAGGTAACAAGTTTTTGGTATCTGGGAATTACGTTTTTGTTGCTAAAGTATCAGACCCTGTCAGACAGACGGTGAACCTGTACGTCAGTACCGACAACGCCGAAACATTTAATAAGGCGGTGCTTCCAGTTGAACTCGAAGAACGAAGCTACACCATTCTAGACACATCAGAGGGCGCTGTCATTATCCACGTAGGACATGAATACGAAGGAGGTGACACAGAAGTGGGAAACGTATACATCTCAGATGCATCGGGACTTAGATACTCTCTCTCACTTCCAAACAATATCAGGGCTGCTTCGGGAGAATGTGAATTCGACAAGGTCTACTCCCTAGAAGGAGTCTATCTAGCCAACTTTAGGGATGACTCTGGTGGTGTACTGAATCCAAGGAATAAGTTCAAGACACACATCGATGGCACCAAGAGCCAACTCGAACAGAAACGCAGAAGGCATGTACCACACAACAAAATAGAACCTGACATCCGTACTGTTGTCTCTTTCAACAAAGGTGCTGAGTGGCATTATCTCCAGCCTCCAAAACGGGACTCGGAAGGTAAAGCCTACGACTGTGAGGAAGGCAAATGTTTTTTGCACCTACACGGAATAACGCAATACAAGAATTTTGCTCCGTTCTATTCAGTAGAACAAGCAACAGGTCTGGTACTTGCTACCGGTAACGTCGGAGACAGACTTAGTTTCGATCCCGCTCAAGTTAACACTTTCCTAAGTCGTGACGGTGGGCTCACTTGGGTAGAGGCCCACAAGGGTGCCTTTATCTACGAGTTCGGAGATTACGGAGGGCTCATAGTTATGGCTGAAGACCAGCGTAAGACAAAAGAGGTCGTATTTTCGTGGAATGAAGGTGCAACCTGGTTTGACTTCAACCTTAGCAAACACGATCTTAGCGTCAACAATGTCGTCATTGAGCCTAAATGCTCCTCTCTTAACTTCATCCTATACGGAAACAGAAATGGAATCGGTGTAGCTTTCCATCTTGACTTCAGTGCCCTGGGCCAGCCTCTGTGTAAGGGAATATGGAGCATTGACTCTAGTTCCAGCGACTATGAGACATGGCGTCCAACGGATCCACATGGTAACCAGTGTCTGCTTGGTCGTAAAATGGCCTACAAGCGCCGCAAACAAGCTTCGGAGTGTTTCAATGGAAAGGAATTCAAGGCTACTGTGGAACGTGAAGTCTGCACTTGTACACCGGATGACTACGAATGTGAAATCGGTTTTACACGAGCAATCGGTAGCAACACATGCCGTGTTGACGGCACATGGTTGATGCGCGAAGGTTGTACGTCCTCGAGCTTCTTCTGGGCGGATGCATACCGCAAAATTCCAGGTGACGTTTGTGCAGGTGGTTGGACGCCACGCCCGGTTGCTGTGCCATGCCCCCCGCACTCTCCGCTATCAAAGGGCAGCAAGATGGTACTTACCACGATCTTGGTCCTCTCTTTCATCATGATGGCCATCGTTTATATCTCTCACAACGACAAATTGAAGCACCTCTTCCACAACTACGGTTTCAAACAGTTCGGATACGTTGCCTACTCACCTGTCAATGCCAAGAAAGCTATGCAGCGCGGTTCAGGACTCGGTGGCCGATTTGAACCAGAACTTGGGTTTATTGACGCGGAGCAGGAACAGGACGAACCCACATTGCTTAACTATTTCACTGGCAATCGGGCAGCTGCAAACTCCAACCAGCAACCCCAAGCAAGGGGTGAACAGCAGCAAATCGAACTCTTGTGACATTCGATAATAATACAACTACACTGTTCTTCATAGCAATGTAACTTTTCCATATATTTCACTGCTAGCCGTATAAAACCCACCTTGCTTTTGTCCTTTGTAGGACGTTGTACATTTCCCAGAGACAGTTGGACAGTTAGCACTCTACTGATCTATGCGATAATCAGTGTCTGAAGTATAGGCGCACAGAGGGTTATACGCCTTTTTGGAAAGGTTCCTCTATGTTTCATGTTTGCAGTGTGGCCGAAATGTTGAACGGTTTACGCGGCACGTTACAGATACTGATATGACACGCTGGCTGATTCCTACTTTTAATATTCAAGGTTTTGTAAGAGTACCACTGTACATATGCAGATGATGAATAGGGTCTGTAACACTTATAAAACTGGCAATCCCTAAAATGAAAATGCCGCTCTTGTAGCAACAGCATGCATTTTAAGACTTTTACAAATAGTATACAATTCCAAATCTTGATATCACTTTTACTACTTTTCTAGTTATGAGTATTAGCGATGTCATTAGCAGAGCCAGGTGGTCCACGAGTTCGTAAACCACTTGGGGTACACACGTTTATATAGTGCCAGGCAAACGATGTCGTCTTGCCGAATGGTGTCATTGAACATGCACTTCATGTATCCATGCGTCCCCAACGGTTCCTTTATCACACCGTGTAAGCCTCGACCGGTGTGAAGCTGCGCTGGTTTAAAATATTTTATGTCTCGCGGCTGAAAAAACATGTACCTCACCACGGCGAGCCGTTTGTGCACTCTGAATGGGTACCCGGTGAGCACTATTCGTTTAAGAATTATGCGGCTCGGGTCTGCGGCATTCACAAGGCCACCGTAAAGCATTACGCAGGGATCTGCCGCATCAAGAGCCACGACAGGGGTGTTAGGTGGCAGAGCCATTCCATAAATGGATGCCGTAGCGGTGTGACCTTTCTTCAGAGTGCGGCAGAACATCCCGAAACGTCCACGCTCAGCAGCGATGTCTTGACTGTAGGATGGTTTTGCTGGGAATCTACGGAAACCACAATATAGTAGAACGTCCCCTTTGGATGCGATTATGTCAGGGCCCTCAAAACTTCGAAGCACATTCATGCTCAGAACGGACACCTTACGTTCAAATGGAAAGACTACTGAAACTATTATCGGCCTCCCCAGCCTACTGCAAAGCTGTGCGTAGCATTCAGGAGATACATTTGAAAGTATAAGCTGTATATATTTTCCTGTTGTATGAGTTTCGCTGCAGTTACGTTCCACTGTTCGGCGTGATTGTGACATGGTAGTCTGCGTTCCATGGCTCATGTATGCATAACCACTTACCCGGAAATTTTCAAATTCACATATTTGCATATATTCCGGTGGTAGAGACTCGTAAGGATCCCATGCGCCTTCTTTGATACAACGTAATGCACGATATTTACGGAAACGTTCCCGTGCTGGAATATCTATAGGTGTGTCTACCTCGTCTGGGAAACTGAGGTCTTCCGACGCTCTCTGTTCGAATTCAATCCGTTTTTTATTTGGATTGGTATCCTCTAAGCTTGAAAAGTATGTATCCACATCCCCCAGTCCTCCATCGTCGGCAACATCTCCTTCGTCAAGAGTGCTTGCCATCTCAACGTCGCCTTCCTCGACACCACCTACTCGTACACACTTGTCAAACTCTTCAAGCAGTGTGTCAGCATCTTCATCGTTTTGACTGGTTGACGTTACACTGGCTAAGCAATCCACTTCCTGTGCCAGGTCTTTTGCGATATCTTCGGTCATTTCCTCAACGACGCTATCTGTTTGCATGCCCCTAGAACCCTTCACGGGGCATACGTCCGATAGAAGTTCTATGCGATGTAACAAAAAATCACCCAGCCCGGTGACATGCACAGGGTGTCGTACGCTGAAACCTACACCTCGAGCGTAGCCAACAACCGACAGTTGTTGCGCGTTGGCGTCATAGGTGCAGCCTAGGGACATGAGGTAACCCCTCCCTGAACGCCAGGTAAGAGGACTAAGTGATACACCACCAATAGCACTTAAAGCAGCCTCCAGATTATCAGGTGACACTATGGGTACGAACTTCTTATCGCCGCCAAGCTCATCGTGGAAATAACGTCTCACAAGATTGCAGCTACTAGTGCGGTCACCTGGCAATCCAACTTCTAAGTCAATTCCAACGGGAGTTGGTACACCCTGCTGTCGAATAACGCTCAAAGCTTTGTATCTGCACGCAATATTAGGAAAGGACACATGTCAAGTTTAACTGTATTGCTGTTAAAACCATATTGGTACTATCATGATGCACAATCTGGATATAACTATGTTGAGTTCACCTTTAAAATTCGGGGATATGTCCAGCTAAGACGTTGATGTTTGTGCCACGGTCAAGCATAGCACAGTTTCACAGAATATGAATTCTTGACCAACTCACCCGAAATCATCAAACGCTGGTTCATCCTGAGAACTTCCCCTGTAGAGACATACTAACACATCGGCGACTGATGCTGCGTATAAGATCTCTGAGAGTGAACGCGGACATGCGAAGAGTATCATTCGCCGTGATAATCCATCACGGAGGATTGTGGCGGGAATAAGCAGAGGCCCCGATGTCACCCATCCATCCTTGGATTGGGATATTTGAACTCCAGTGTGACCACCTAGGTGTTTGGTGGCGGCTTCTATAAAATGATGAGCATTGGCATTTTCGTGGAAAGGCAATACAAAGATCAGTCTAGGCGCTTCTTCCTGAATGCTCGAGCGGAGAGACTTCGTTTTCGCGACTATACGGCTTTTCTTATCTCTACGATGAAGCGGTGTATCCTTGCCGGACTGCGCAGTGACACCCTTCGGTTTTACACCCTTTCCCTTTCCACTTTTAAATGGTTTATGTTTCTGTTTCAATACAGGACGGTGTACTACCATTTTCTATTGCGATTATGTATTAACCATGGGTTTACCATTGAGCTGCCAACGAAAGGCGGCACAACTTCGCGCGGAAGGCAGGGGGTATAGTATGATACCCACATCATTTAAAAGCGATCATCTAAAATGGTGTAGGCTAAAGCCAAATTAAATGTAGTAATATAACGGCTAAAAGGTCGTTTCTTTAACATGTAACATGATTTATCAATCTGCACATATGCAACTTGGGATAATGTGACTATTGGCTATTTTCAAATGGTTCAGCGATGCTAATGGATAGTTCGATTAAACATGGGTTAAATGGGTGGTGTCTATCAAAATATCGAATCGCAAAATGCCTGTCTAATGGGTAAAGCAGCTTTGGGCATAGGACGCGATAGGCATCCGCTTTACACGCACACCGTCTACACAAGGTGTGTTTTTAAATCGTAGGTATGGGGAATAAAAAGGTGTACAATAAGTGACTATATTTGGTTGCGCTGATATGACGGATGACGCACCTCTCTGCATCCCCTACGCGATGCTAAGTTATGTGTCTTATCCGAATTTCGACTTCAAAGGCGATCGAGTTACAGAAAAAACATTACACACATGATAGTATGATATTACTCTAAGACTCCCAAAACCGTATGGTTGGAAACGGTACACCCTCTGCCCCGTAACCAATATGCGAACGCGACTAGGATACGTCCAAATGGTCGCGGCCGCTCTGGCTGTGGTCACATTAGTGATACAGTGGGATGTGTACGCTTTTAGGGACTTCACAGTCGACGGTGTGGATGTCCAGCCTGGTCAAGGTGTGTCACTCGACCCTTCAGCTATAGCGAAGCTGCGATTTCTTGACGCTTTGAGAACGCCGGCAAAAACAACACCGGAACAAAAACCTGAAGAAAAGAAAGAAGAAGAGAAAGTTGAAACTCCCACACCGACGGTTGAAAACATTGATGTGTCAACCGACCAAGTTGATATACCGGAGGCCGATCCTTGGCAGGATCTTACGGAATCACCTTTGCAAGAACATGCTGTCGCCACAAATGTTGATAACCTTGCTACCTTGGAGCAGAGCATCGGTGTTGAAGGCTTCAAGGAACCTTTTATTAACAACTTAAGTGGCCAATTTCGCCTATTGCTACTATCTAAGAATGGCTCCAGGTTTGTAGAGACATATACGCATTATGCTCTCAAGCTTGAATCTGCAGAAAGACAGACATATGGTAAAATGGTGAAGCTGGTTGAAGAAAAGGCTGACGCCATAGGTTTCGTAGATTTCAGCGAAAGACAAAGGGGTAATCTTATGCCTGAAGTAAATAGAGAAGCTATGAAAGTGGCAGGTGTTACCTCCCTGCTCCAACTTGGTGATGAAGTCAGATACGTGCCGCCTACACGACAGGCACAAATGCCGAGACCCAACCAACGCATTCAGGAAATAAAGGTAATCCCAACAAAACGACCACAGAATCAGGAAGTACCTGAGACTACGTCATGGAAAAAGAACAGTTCTGTCCAGGAGGCGATATTTGCCAAGGTGCTGTTCCTCCTAGGAGGTGATGCAGAGAC